CTAACCCTAACCCTAACCCTAACCCTAACCCTAAACCCTAACCCTAACCCTAACCCTAACCCTAACCCTAACCCTAACCCTAACCCTAACCCTAACCCTAACCCTAACCCTAAAATGGAGCTATAAGAACAAAGGGATCGAGCAAGAGCAAGCACTTATTTTGACAGTTACAAATAACTTTCACGGACGGACAGTATGTTCAGGAATCCAGCTGGGTGGACTGTAAAGGCTAACAGCATGTTAGTTCGCTGCAATTTCGCTGTCTTCAGATCCAGAGTCGCGAGCCAACTATGGTCCGTATCTGCCCAACATCGACCATTGCATACCAGGGACAAACACTCCGATTACCTACAATGATAAGGATGCCCTCCGTAAAGCGTTTAAGCATGCTGGTCCAAATCTTGCAGCATTCCTCATCGAGCCAATTCAAGGCGAAGCCGGCATCATCGTTCCTGACGACAGTTACCTTCAGGAACTACGCTTTCTATGTGACGAGCACAATGTGCTCCTTATCGGTGATGAAATCCAAACTGGGATTGGCAGAACAGGCAAGAATCTCTGCTTTGAGTGGAGCGGTATCAAGCCAGACCTAGTCCTTCTTGGAAAGGCAATTTCAGGGGGCATGTATCCGGTTTCATGCGTGTTGGGCCGTCGCGATGTGATGTTAAGTATTGAACCTGGCACACACGGCTCCACGTACGGTGGCAACCCCCTGGGCTGCGCCGTGGCCATGCGAGCCTTGGAGATTATACGTGACGAGGGGCTGGTTGAAAATGCCCGCCGCTTAGGTGATATCTTTCGCGACGGCTTGCAGCAAATACGGAGTCCCCTCATCCAGGAGGTTCGCGGAAGAGGTCTGCTGAATGCCATCGTGATTAATGAAGAAGCTGCCAACGGGCGTACTGCCTGGGACGTATGCATGCTCATGAAGGATAAGGGCTTGCTGGTAAAATACTGACTTCATCCTGTTAAGAGAAAAACGAGTGCTGACAACTTCACCCAACAGGCTAAACCAACACATCAAAACATCATTAGACTTGCTCCCCCGCTCATCGTGACAAAAGACGAGATTCAGAGGGCTTTGGTTATCATCGAAGAAGCAGTCTCAGAGCTTGTGGTGTAGATTTTCAACAACAGCAAAAGAAAAAAAGAAAGTAATTACTTCGCTACCTACTAAAATATATATTTAGATATATAGAATCGGGCAGTTTCACCTTGCAAATACAGTGTCCCCGCATAGTAAAGAATATCACGTAGTTACATATCCAGTGGAGCTCCCATTCAGCTTACTCATGGGCGAAGCAGTTCCACCGTTATATATAACCACTATCTCGACCGTACGGAGGAGGCCATCACCTCCAACTCAGGCCAACAAGTTTCTGCCCCCGTCTTTGGTAGCTTATACTCGTGCACTGGGGCGGGGCATTAGGTAGAAAACCTGAGCATCTTCAATGCCGCTACCTGTATCTATTAATACTAGGATCGATGTTGGAGATCACTCCCAGTGTAATTCATGCAGCTATGAACAATGTCAATATTTCTGGTCCAGAGCGGATGCTGATAGGTACATCTCTCAGTCGGTTTGCAACTGCAACAATCAGGTACTACTGAGCGATATCATGCACTCTCAGCTGTCTGTATATCATATACGTAAACAAACAGTTCACAAAACATAGCGAAAGGATGGAATCTCCCAGTCCGTCTTATCCTCCTCGTCCGGTACTGCGCTTTCTTCAATATTCGGCTGCCGGTCTCGACGGGCGTTCGTCCACATCAGGTACAGGCGCAGAACTGCGACGAAAAAGGCTCCGAGACAGAAGCCAGCCAGACTTGCCCGGATGCCTTTGGGATAATTTGGTGCATCCTCGACGTTGAAGAACTGCGGGCCGACAATGTTCCCAGCACAGTACATGACCAGCACACAGGCATTGATGGTGGCCTTTTTCGTCATGCCGCCCACGTTGCTTGTAACCAGCGACAAAGCGATGGGCATACTCGCCGAAAATGCCAGGCTGAGGCAGAATCCAGCCAGGCGACCGGATCGATTATTCTCGTCGAGAGCAAACATAAGCACCATGCCCACCATGCTGATGACGGCGAAGCAAAACATGACGATAGTACGCATGTTCCGAAAGTACGAGCATATGATGGCACCGACAACAATAAAGCCCAACTGGGCTGCGCCTGTCGGCATTTGGATGAGTAGCGCTTGTATCCCCTCATAGCCAAATCCCTGGATGACGAGAGAGCCGAACGAGGTCAAGCCGCCGTTCGCGATATTGACGCTGAATGAGTACAGCGATAGGCACCATGTAACTGGGTCCTTAAACGCTTCAACCACCTGGTAGGGCTTATACCCACCGCCCCGGACTTTCTGCGAGGGTTCCATCACACGGTGAGCTGCGACTTGTCGTTGGGCCTTTCGTAACCACAGGGCGTCGTTGATGCTATCGGGGAGGAGAAGCAGCATTACTGTACCCCAGAAAGCAGTCACCCCACCGAATATGAGGAACAGGTACTGCCACGGTACAAGAGCACCATCGATATGCCCAATCCCGTAGGCGGCTAGGCCGCCGAAGAGACTTGCTACAGCAGACCCGGCGAACCAGAGCCCATAGCGGAGGGGCTGCTCTTCGCGTGTATACCATTTTCCTGTGATCAGCGAGAACCCGGGGGCAATTGCGGCTTCGAAGGCCCCGAGAAAGAAACGGGTGACCATCAGGGTAGCAAAGCTGCGGCACGCAGCGTGGCACATCAGGACTGCCGCCCATACAATTCTGAAGGTATAACAGTGAGATTAGCATGCATATTGCAATCCCAAATTCGTCAACGAACACTTACACGGTACAGCTTAAGTACTTTCCGATGGGCAACCGGACAGAAAGATACACCGTTGGATAGGACCAGAAAATGAAACCGATGTAGAATATCGACGCGGTCCACGAAAACTGGCTGTCGACCAGGTTGATATCTTCCAGGATCCCAAGTAAGGATGCATAACTCAGTGTTTGCTTGTCCAGGAACTGGAGCATGTAGCAAACACCTAGCAAAGGGAGAAGCACACAGTCGATCTTCCAGCGCACCTTTCGTGCTTCAGGAGTCGCGACATTCGCCACATTTCCCATCTGATTGACTGATAGCTGGTCAAACAGTTGCTGGTCCTTTGTCACTTTGCAATCCGCAACGGGATCCTCTTGACCAGACACCATAGTAGGAAAGAAATTGAAATATATGAGATTTGGGTGAACTAAAGCGTGAAAAGAAAACAGAAGAACAACGTGCCTACTCACACAACCGCTGAAGTCCAGCCACATTTATAGATAGGCACTGCCTCTTCCTCATTGATACTGCCCCATTCATGTGCTGGTGGTTCGGCTTCCAGCCCACTGCCTAATGCCGGACGGTTGCGCAGTTCGGGGGAGAGAACACTGAGTGCATAGACCGCGCAAATCGCTGTGATAGGCTGTAGGTAGCCGGAAGCGGATGTCTAAATTGTGGGTCTGGGGCGAGGCCTGGGGAATCGCACAGTCTGCTCTATCAAAGCTTTTGTGTCGCTATTTCCCCGCCTGCTCGAAACCTCGCCCCGGTCTCTTGGCTCGGTAGATGATAGAATACACGGCAGGCGGAGTCTGAACCCCAGAGAGTCCAACCAGCAAACCTAGAGCGAGCTTTCGAACGTTGGTTTCATCACCCATGGAGAGTAAATATATTTGATGCTTGCTTGCTCTACTATCCAGGAGCTAGTCTACTCGTGCGCCTTTTCCACCCTCGCATAAAACAAGTCATCTGTTAAGAATGCCCAGCCCGTCATGGCCATAGCTGCAGCAGCTTTCAGCATGATTTTGTAGGCAGCCAGCTGCCCCGAGGCCACGCAGAACTCGTGAGTGTGGTTCTGGGCGCCGTTTGGAACTGGGATGCCAATGATACCATGGAGGGCCGGCATGGCATGGCTAACATTCCCCTGGTCGGTCGACCCCGTCATAACATCATCCTCCACGCGCAATAGCGTCTCTCCCTGCTCCTGCATAGACCGGCGGTACTCCGCACACAGATGTTCGTTTACGCGCAGGTCCGCGTATGCTGGGGTATCCTCGAAAGCAGCATGACACCCCGTGGCCAGGGCTCCAGCCTCCAAGCAGAGGCGTACACGCTCAGCAAGACGCGCCAGGCTACTCATGGTGGTGCTTCGAACAGAGAACTTCGCCACTGTCTTCTCAGGTATCGCATTGGTAATTTGAGGAGCCTCCAGAATTGTCCCATGAATCCTATCCTGCGGCTGTATCTGCTGACGCAGAGCAGAGATGTTCATGTATGCTGTGACAAAGGCGTCCAGTGCATTTACACCCTCCCAAGGATTAGCTCCTGCATGGGCGCTTACTCCGGTATACGTGCACACCAGATCGAGGCAAGCAATGGACCTTTGGCCAGCGGCGCCAACTACACCGCGGTCACGGAAGCTGGACTCGGCCATGGGGTGCCTTAAAACCGTCTTGCATCAGCGCAAAATTACTAGTCTGAACAAGGCGACCTGTCACTTACACCATCAGCGATACATCGGCCTTCTCGTAAGCGCCCGCCTTTAGCAGACCGATTTTCCCTCCGCCATCCTCTTCGGCAGGGGTCCCCAGCAGTTGAACTCGACCCTGCACCGCAAACTCCGCAATGGCGTGTCTCAGGGCGAGGAAGGCTGCCACGCTAGCGGTGGCAATGAGATTATGCCCGCATGCATGTCCGATCCCTGGCAAGGCGTCGAGCTCGGCATTGAAGTTGACGCAGCGTCCCCCGGAGCCACCGGTCGCCTCAAAGCAGGTGGCTAGCCCGTACGCACTGCGAGTAACCACTACATCCAGCTGTCCCAGAAATGTACTTATAGTGTCATGCGCGTAGTGCTCCTCATAGGCAAGCTCGGGGTTGCCGTGTATCTAGGCAACAGTGTTAAATTGCAGGCGCCCTTGGCCGGAAGGGATGGGAATTGGGGTTATTTAGAGGATAGGCGCTTACATCGAGATTGAGGCGTTGCAACGACTGGTCCAAGCCCGCAAGATAGTCACTGATCACGCGCCGTACCTGGTCCCTGTGATTCCCCATAGTTTAAGTAATGTTTCGATGAACCTCTTCAAAAGTAGGTTTGGGGGACGAGCAGGCCGAGTATGCGGGAACGCTGCCATAATATGCATATTCTCAGCGGGAGATGTGGCGGAGCCTGCTCGAGACAGAGGGGTCGCGTGTGTGCGGAGAGAAGAAGGCGATGAATGCGCAAACCACCCTCCGATTCAATGCAGGCACTGCCGTTCCGGTACCGGTAGTAGAGGCGCCGCGCAAATCGACCTGGTTGGACGGTCGACAGATCCACTCATAACAGTCGGTTTACCTGGAGCGCCAGTGCCATCGTTCGAGCGCTGCGTCCCATGTCTGGCCCTATAAATCTCCGCAGAGGATCACTCGACATGCTCGACATGCTTCACATGCCAGTCATCACCGGTGGTGCCACTTACTTTGCTAAAGTTTGTTGTTGAAGCTCGAAACGCTCGAGAGGCAGGTCCAAGGCTCTTCTAAACATGGCTATCACAGCGTGGGAGCAAAAAGTCCAGAGCAAGCAAGCTCAGACTGCAGCAGTCATTCCACGAGAATGGATTTTACCAACCGATATTCTTCGCAACTCCTCGACGAACGTCCTGAATGTGCCCAAGACATCTGGGATCCTGACCGAGAGAGAAATCCACATTACCGAAGACTACGATGCCACAGCCCTGCTGCAAAAGCTTGCTGCTGGTGACTTCAGCTCTGTTGAGGTCACGGCGGCATTCTGCAAGCGGGCAGCAATTGCGCAGCAGGTGACTTGCTGCTTGACGGAAATGTTCTTCGACAAAGCACTAGCTCGGGCAAAGCAGCTGGACGAAATACTCGCTCGAACCGGGACAACCACAGGGCCCCTACACGGACTACCCATCAGTATCAAAGAGTCGTTCAATGTCCCCGATGTTCCGACTACGCTTGGGTTTGTCGGATTCCTCGACCGACCCCCATCATCGACAAGCTCGGCCTTGGTTGAGATACTGAACAACGCTGGGGCTGTTCTCTACGTCAAAACCAATGTGCCCCAGACGATGATGACTCCAGACTCCCATAACAATGTCTTCGGCCGTGTACTCAACCCACACAACCGGAGCCTAACCGCCGGTGGCAGCAGCGGTGGAGAGGGCGCGTTGGTAGCAATGAGAGGCTCCATCCTAGGCGTCGGGACAGACATCGCAGGGTCCATCCGCATACCTGCCCTCTGCTGCGGCGTATTTGGTTTCAAACCCACCGCCTGCCGTGTTCCATATGCAGGTCAAACGTCTGCCGGCCGGCCTGGTATGACGGGCATACTCCCATCCGCGGGACCCTTGTGCCATTCCATCCGCGATGCAGAGCTCTTTCTCAAAGTTGTACTCAACTCGAACCCTGCCGACCTGGACGACTTCGCACTCGGCGTTCCTTGGTCTGCTGTTTCGCAAAAGGAGAGGCTTACAATAGGGCTTCTCCCCGAGGACCCATCTCTCCCGCTACATCCACCAATGCGACGGACCCTCGACGCCGCAGTGAAGGCGCTGACTGCAGCCGGACACCGGGTCATCGACCTCGCAGGACAGGCGCCGTCGGTCTCCGGCGCGAATTCACTCGCATTGCGGTATTTTGGGCTCGACCCGGATCGAACCGCACTGCGCCACATAACGCAGGCGGGGGAGCCATTCATTCCTTCGCTCAAGGTCACTTATGACCTCAGCGAGCCGACGACGGAGCCCACGTTGAGGAATCTGTTTGATTTGAATGTAGCCCGTGGTCAGTTCGCTACGGAAGCACGCATGATGTTTGTTGAAAACAAGCTTGATCTGCTCCTAGGCGCCGCATATCAAAGCACATCCGTTCCTCACGATACTTACGGGATTCCGGTATATACCGTTCTCTGGAACCTGATTAATGTGAGTATCCGTCCTCTCATCTCCCTGCTTCTACTAACGGCGCAAAAGCATCCGGCGTGCGTTATCCCAGTTGGTGCGGCCAATGAGGTAGCGGACAAAGCGTATTGGCGCGACGTCCCCTATGTGCCAGACTGTAAGTTGCGCCTTTGAATTAATCCTGCTTTATCCACTGACGACAGTAGATCGGGCAGAGCAAATCGAAGGCGCGCCGTGTCACATCCATCTGATAGGCAGGCCGATGGCAGACGAAAAGCTGGTCCAAGATGCGAAGACTGTGAGCACAGCGATGAAAGCAACGGTAAATATGTGACTGTTGAGAGTCTAATTCTACGGGGACGGGATTTTAACTCGTGGACTGTGGTTACATAAATGTGTCATATGCTTTTGAAGCCTGATAGGCTGTAGTGCACAGCTCTGATGTCAGATACAAGCCAACCAACCTAGCCAGGAGTAGAATACTGAAGCCATCAATCATCCTTTAGCAACGCCCGAAGCTGCCTTGAAACAACTCGCCCACGATCAGAGTCATTATATTGAGCACCTGCTCTCCAGACTTTCGACAGGCGATATTGCGCCAGGGAAATAGGACCGCTTTGACGTGAGGCAGATACCTGGGAAAGCTTCGCTCGGACGATCTGCTTCTCTCCAGGTATGACTGCCACTGAGCCCACAACCAATAGCGGCCACAAATAATAGTACGAAAACCACTCGTCAACAGCCAGTTTTGTAATGATTTCAAGACCTCGGAGAAGATATAATTCCATCAGCTTGACCCAATCGAGCATGGAGCGCTTTGGCTCTGCGTATATAAGTAGAATTCGGATTGCCACAGTATAAAGCCGTCCGACGTGATTTTCTGAATTGGACATCTGTTGGTTGTTAATGGTCGTCTCCAAATGCGCTACCGTGTCTTCCGCTCGATACCAGGCTTCAGAATCGGCAGTGGTTGCCAGAAGAGATGACCGAGCCAACTTTATAACATCTACAATAAACAGGTAGAACTTAAAAGACGCATCCAGAACCGGCTGGGTTGACGTCAAGGTGCCCGGTGGGACGTCGTCTGGGTGATCCGGATCTGAAAAGTAGGGCTCCAGACTGAGACCTTCCCTGGTAAGTGGCAGGCAGTTGACGGAAGGGTCAAACAGCGTAAGAAGGGCAGCGTGGTACAGAAATGACTCCACGCAGATGCGCTCGAAGACCACGGCCTCTTGCGAGGCGTTTCGGGGTTTTGGTCTGCGAAGAGACAACATCCGACCCGAGGCCAACACATGAGCCCCCGCATTTGGCATCGCATCGCAGCGAGAGTTCTTGACGTAAAATTTAGCCTGAGCTGTGCGAGCAAGGGGTTTGTGTAGAGGGTCATACTTCAAAAAGACACAAGCAGGTAGTGGTGGCCAGAAGCCAATCCTCGGTGCCGGCATACCGTCCCTCCATCAGACCCGTCCTCAGGCTCGAAATAGAAAACAAATAACTTTGTAAAGCTAGCGACCGGGAGTTGGGTGACTGCGACGAGATCCTCATCCCAGCAGTGGCAATTAGAGCTCCCATGAGAGGTGGGTGAGCCAGGGCAAGACGGACGATGTGTAGTTCATGGGAATACCTGGACAAGGCGGTCTGCCGAACAAGTTTGGGTGCTATGGAGTGCGCGAAGTATCGGTAAATCCGCAGGTGCTCACTGCTGCGAAATGGTGCAGGCATGCTTACAGGGGGCGGCAGGGACAGCCCTGCTACCGTGTCCACTGGCTGGATTCCGCCATCTGCTTTTCTAGGACACCGTCGTCGATCAACGGGCTGCGTCTCGCTGGGCCATCGACATCCAAAGCCATTTCGGGTACAGCCTCCGCATCGGGGCCGTTTCTCATCGCACTTCTTCCGGCGCTGCCGACCTGCGCGTGGTTAACATGCATCGCACCGCGACAAGTGCACGGCCTGGGCCTACATTCGCCACATCCACTTCTCGTTCTCAACCGTGCACTAGATCTCTGGACATGGCCCGGGACAACTTGATCATTCGAGTGCAGCATCGTAGCTCAGAATCGTCGGCAATCAACCCTGGAGGGAATTCGAACAATGTCGGCGATGAGACGAGGAAGTGGCGATACCGGGACGCTCTGCTACGGCAGGCCACATGAACCAGGGTAGCCGATCCGGTGGCGCAGTTGTTCGAGATAGCTGGCTAGCAGCCAGCCTTGCAAGGTTCTTGGTCTAGCGGCCTAGCGCTCCGTCAGCAGTGATTCATTATGGCAGTCCCCAATAGCCGGAAAGCCAATCGGCAACCACTACGGGACAGCAGGCAGTATCCGCATATTTAGCTGTCATGCCTTTCTGGGGTTCATGCCGGGGTCGAGGTCAGAGCGCTACCGGCCCGGTTGATAAGCTTTGACCCCATCTGCCTACCCCAGAGTTCCCTGTATGCGCGGGCGTAGTGTTGATCTTGTCTGCAGTCCGCCGCGCAATTGTTGCGGATTGGTCGATTTCCAGGCTGCAGTGTGTGGGCCCTGCTCTGATACCATGCGGGGAGTAAGATGTACTTAATCAGCCAGGGATTTGTGAAGACTAGAAGACTACTTCATTGTCTACTTGTACGAAGACACGATGGCAGCGCAACGAGGTCATCGCGGACACATGGCGGAGGCAGACTTCCAAGATAAACCGGGGCCGCCTGGAACGGTAACCCTGGCAAAAGGTAACTACTCGTATACGCCTGTAAAATGAACTGTTCCATTAATCGTGACTAGGATCCACCAGCTCGCCTATCCTTCATCCCACCCCAACCAACGACCCCAATGACCCCCTGAACTGGTCCCGATGGCGGAAAGCCGTCAACTTCGGCCTCACTTGTTTCTATGTCTTCTTTACATTTGTGATGTTGAACATTCTCAAAGTCGCGTTTGAGTCATACTTGGACCTTGGTATCTCCTATGCAACTCTCAACAATGCCGTCGCTACAAACAACGCCGGGCTGGCGGTCGGCTGCCTATTATTCATGCCCTTTGTACACAAATACGGCCGCCGACCGCTCTATATCTTGAGCTCGTTGATTCAACTCATGGCAGCAATTTGGTCAGCATGTCTCAATACCGGCGGCGAGCTCATTGCAGCCAATCTGGTCTCCGGGGTCGGGGGCGCCATCAGCGAAGCAATCGTCATGATAACAATCGTGGATCTCTTTTTCCTTCACCAGCATGCCCGGCTGAACGGCCTCTTTCTTCTGATGCAAAGCGTTGGATCATTTGGAGGCCCCGTGGCGGCTGGATTTATTGTTGACAGCCAGGGCTGGCGATGGATGTGGTGGTGGACTACGATCTTTCTAGGGCTCAACTTTGTTCTCGTTTGTTGCTTCTTCGAGGAAACAAAGTATGTCCCCATCTCGGCTGTCCAGACTCCACGAAGGCCAGCGTCCGTGGTTCATGAGGACGGGCTGCCAAAGATGTCTTCTCACGAACATCTCGAAGAGATGTCAATTCGTTCGACCTCCGACCCAGCCACTCCTCCACGGAACCCCTTATCCAAACGCTTGGCCATTGTCACGAAATCCGACGTCTCCATTCGCCAACACTTCTATCTTCCTGTCAGGGTACTCTTTACATTTCCTGCTGTCGCTTACGCGGCAGTGACCTACGGCTTACTTCTAGCCTGGTTCGCTGTCATCAGCTCAGCTGCCTCCTACTTCATGCTTGACCCCCCGTACTCATTCGCTTCCTCCTCAGTGGGTCTGTTCATGATCTCTGCTTTGATCGGAACAATAATCGGTACTATCTTCGGCGCGCCCCTTAGCGACTGGTCTATCCTCTGGCTTTCAAGACGAAACGGGGGAGTCTTCGAACCTGAAATGCGTTTATGGGTTGCCCTGGTAGGATCCCTTCTATGTACTGGGGGGATCTTAATGTTCGGCCTAGGGCTTGCAAAGGTGAATATGCGCCAGCTATCTAAGAGTAAATCCTCATACTAATGATCAACTTGTGGGATATTAAGAGCCTGCCATGGATTGTTCTAGCTGTGGGGTACGCCATCTTCGGCGTCGGGTTTTCAATGGCCGGTGATATCGCTCTGACCTACTTAACTGACTGCTATCCTGATGTGAGTGAGACCCAATTCCCAACAGATACTCTGGTCTGTAGTTGTGAAGCTGCAAGGCTAATCCAGCAACAATTTCCCCAGATTCTTAGTGATGCTCTTGTTGGCGTAATCCTCGTCCGCAATGGGATCTCCGTTCTCATCATGTTTGTATTCACACCGTGGGTTAACAACCTCGGCATCCAGAATACATTCATCTGCATTGCATTAATCTCATTGATCATGACCCTTCTGCCAATTATATTGCTTGTCATGGGCAAAGCAGCCCGCGCTCGGACAGCAGCCGATTACAGGAAGTTCGCTGTTCGACAGGCTGTATATCGAACTCTTTAAGACTTGAATAGTTGGTTGAATCTTGTATCATCGAAACGGGCCGATGGAAATCAACTTTTAATAAACCTGTTCTCATTGGAGGTGGCTTCCACACTTTGGAATTTAGCCTTGTTGGCTGGAAATGGGTGTTGGATAGCAATATTAAATATAATAGCCTATATGTTCGGTTACTGCCTGAAAGTTCGTGGACGCAAGGAAGGCACCCCTTCATACTCGCCATAACCCACTAAACAAAGAAAATTGCACCATATTTATTCAATACTTGAAGGGGTGACAACCAATGCCCACTGTGAAGCTCCAATCGCACTTTGGGGGGAGCGGTGACACTATATATATACCAACAGCCTCTGCTCACGATACCCCTTGAACCATCCAGCTTTGGGAAAATTAATTAAGACTAAATTAACTCCATCGCATTTTTTTTTACCTAGCTCTGCGAAGTGCTGGTACCCTATTAAGAGATATATTCGCGCCCTAATAATATAGAAAGACCATTTTCCCCCCTCGAGGATGCTCAGTGATAAAGAATCAGTGGGTCAGCTATCAACCTCTGTTTAGTTGTAGACAGTACATACGACCACAGGGTGTGGAAAACAGGGCTTCCCGTCCGCTCAGCCGTACTTAAGCCACACGCCGGCTGGTTAGTAGTATGGTGGGTGACCACATGCGAATCCCAGCTGTTGTATGTTTTTGTTTTTATTATAATATATATTTATATACTGTTCCGAGTCCTGAGCCTGAATAGCCTGAAGCCCTCTAAAATCCAGCCGCCAAGCCTGAACTGATGACGCGGCCTTTCCAACTACCCCCTGTTAGGGCAACAGCCGCCAGGGGATATTAGCATTAGCGTAGTACAGGCTGGGTGAAGGCAGCTGTTGGTGCGCTGTTATTCATTGTCAGTAGACCGATGTAGTTGTATTACGGCAGGGAAACGCAGTTGAAAGTCACACCACACCAAACTAGACAGAGCCCAGAGCTGTTGCTATGAAGCCCCAGGTAATACACAAACACCTGAAACAGCATACCGACCAATTTCAGCATAAAAGCCATCAGGGTTGGTCATGGAATTCCTCGGCAGGACTGAAGCCCAAGTAGCCCAGCATTAGAACCAGCTTCTTAAGCGGCAGAAACAGGACGCCCTAGCACGAGAGATGGGTCGACGAAGGAAGCTAAGTATACTCTGCCATCTGTGTCTTCGATGCTTCACATCGACTTTCCTTGGTGAGAAGTGCTCGGTGATAATCTTCCTCTTCAAACAGTCAATTCCTTAACCCACTGTTCTCTCGTTTCCCCGGTGGTTTTCAGGGGGTCGCAGTAGAATACCCTCCATATGGGCCACCCGCCCCCTTGGTTGGTAAGAGCAAGTCATGTTTTGTAGGGCAAACGTCACATTCACTCGTTGTGTGGTCGTCGTCTCATCCATTACGAGTTCAGCCACACGGGATGGGTCCGCCATCCCATTTTAGAGTATAACAGGGAATAGCAGGTTTAGTTAGTATAATATACTATAAACGTTTATATGGATACATGGATAAAAAGCATGGGGTAGGACCTATTCCGCCGCAAACTATATCATTAGGTGGTCGGACAGGAATAAGTGCTGGTCCTGACACTGGGGGGATTGAATGCTTGGCTGTCTGGCCCTGGTATAAAATCGAGCTCGGCTTCCCATCGCTTATTAGGTAGTACTAGGAAACTCTTAGTCTTGAACACGACTAACTGGCTCTTAAGAGACAGGGCCGCAGTCTGCATTTGCGTGAAAGTGGCCGTAATGGCGCCAGACTTCCAGCTGTAATACCCAGACCTGCTTCGATATTGGACCATATAGCGACCTGGCTCGTTGCATCTGCCATGACGGTTAGAGGTGAGTGGCGTATGAGGTGGGGGGGTTGCGTACGCAGAAACTCGTCACTTTTCAGAGAGCTCAGGAAGGGAATACGGACGATTACGGCGGCGCTCGCACTAGACGCAGAGTCACTTCTACTCGAACACAAGTCGGTAGTGAAAACACACAGGCAGCCAATTCCAAGAATCACGGAAACACCAATCTTTGTACTATGGCTGGCTCTTAGGTGACGTATCAACAAGGCGGGTAAGAGGCCAATCGTCAGGTCGCATGCCGCTGCCACAGCGCTGTAAAAGTACGTGATGTCTGTCAGGAGGTTGCTGTTCAAGCAGTGGCCTTGCATGGTCAGGCGCTCCCAGTAGTATTCGACAGGGCTGCATTGGAAGACTGTGAAGAACAAAAAGACCATTCCCACTGCAAATGAAAGCGCCGAAACCACGTAAAGTGTAATGGCATACACACGCTCGAAGGTGAAGCGAAAGAGCTGGATGACAATGGATTGTCTCATGGCCGTGGTTGACAGGGTGTAGAATATTTGACCCAACCACCAGCACTATGGATCCTCGTGTGAGGGCTGACCAGGCAGGGCTTGCACAGGGGTGTATATCACTCACAAACATGGCACGGCGAAAGTCTGCTGGACGATGCTCAAAGTATGTCATTTCCTTGCCGATACCGGATGTGGCCCCAAAAATGCCGCAGATGGCGAAGACCATGTTGAAGATCTAAGCAGAGTCAGAGAAGGTAAGTGAACCGCTTTTATATATCACAAATTCGAACTTGCCATTGCAATAACCATGAGGCCATCATCCCACCCAAAGGCCTTGACAACCTGTAGACGCACGAAACACCGAAGACAGACAGTTACCAGAGATACTGCGAGCATCACAGCAATGACAATAACAATCCCATCGCTTCGGCCTCCCAGCATAGTCGGCAGTTCAAATTCACCGTCCACGATGGGGCGAACAGGAAACAAGACTATTCCCAATCATCATTTAATCGTAATTGACGTCACGTGGTCGCGTTCGGTCGTCGCGTGTCCATGGTTCAAGAGGAGAGAGTCTTTGGAACAATTTGTATCTCCGCGCAGTGCATACAAGCGACCGAATAGTCCCGATTCCTAAGAGGGTACTCCCTTCTTCTCTTAAATTGTCTGCGCAATTCAGCGGCGACTCCGGGTAGATCCTTCAATGATTTCCGTCTCTGACCTAGCTGCCTCATCTTCAGATTTCAGGTGACGGGAATCTCTACTCAATGAGCTGAGCCTTTATCTCGGACTGAAAAATTTGGTTCTTGAGTAGAGTTTGGCATATGACTGCCAGTGTATTGGACTGCCAGGGTGGTCAGATGTCAAATGCAGAATTGACGCGCAACTATATTATTAGCTAGTTCTCAAGCTGGTATCCTGATAGCAAGTTTGAAAGCAGATTGCTCGACTTCCATCCGAGCGGTATGCTAGTGTGTGCTGGCTCAGGATCTTTTAGTAGTGGTGTAGAGCTGTCTGAAGAGAGGTAAGGTATGCTGCTGGGAATTCACCATCTGCCGCCAGTATGGTTGCTCAAATACAAGACCAGGGCATGGAAACGAGCTTATCCTTTTCGTCTATCGACTAACGTGGCATACTACGTCATAGCAAGAAGCCTGTACAATTATTGTACTAATTAGGGGAGAAAAAAAGCGCTTAAATACCCGATCCTATATCTGTCGCTATCAAACTCAATCTAAGATAGTTATGTAGAGTAGCGAACCCTACGCGGCTGTAACCCCACCGGAACAACGGGATAGCGCAGTCCAAAATATATTCAATCCCACGCTTAGTCTAATTATAGCGTCGAGAGCTTTCAGGCTCCACAAGGAAACTGCAATGAAAGTATCTAGGGCGTAATAATGCCGAGGAAGTCGCATTACTGGATACAACCTCTTCGACACTGTATAAGGACTCATTGACACTGCTCTCCGCCTCGGATTCAGATCCTTCCTGGTCCAACTGATCCGGGGTGGCTGTGGAGTTTACCACGACCTCACCCTGCTGAACGGGATCCAGAGCATGATTACCTGGTGTGCCGGGATAATCAAAATCGTGCGTTTTTATCAAGTGTACTGGAATAGTTTGGCCTAGACTGTTAATGTAGATTTTATACTACTAGTTTATTGAGGTACCCATGGTCAATACTGAATTATCGACACTAATGGAGTTGGGCAATACAGCCAACAAATGCTATAAATCATTGCTCTGGTGCTTTGCAGTAAACCATAGCACCTGGCCTGGGGTGTTCATTGACTCATTCAGATCACATCCACACCCAAATCTGGCGAATGTTACTTCTTCAGAGTAGTAAACTTTTTAAAGTAGCCAGAAATACTATCCACATCATCCAGCCGTGTTGCACAGCCTAAGATCCCATCCGGCCTGACAACAGCAATACAACCCGTAGTGTCAGAAGCCGCATAGGCCGTATGCGCCGATCGTTCAGAATCAAAGTACAACTTGCCAACCTTGGGGATATCAAAAACTTGGTCGCCTCCTCCATACGGTTGGGAGACGAGGGTAAAGAATCGTATCATCCCATCTGGAACCGACGCACTCAAGTCTCCTAACGTCTGCACAGCCCCGGCAAGATATGGCTGTGTCCTATCAGGCCGGCCAGCAAAAACAATGACAGACCAGACACCCGTGTTGTTGGTTAATCGAAAGAGACGAGTTGGGATGCGCGAGCCTGGCGCGTAAACCAACGCGTCTGGTGCCCTCCACCCACTGGTGGTCATGGTAGCCTTAGGCGACTTGTTGATTATGTTCGCATCGTAGTTGATGCCCAGGCCAATGTTGAACTGGATCGTGTCGTCGAATACTTTGGAGAAAAGCGCGTTAGCGTCGAGGGCCAGACTCTTGTACGCCTCTGGAACCCGGCCAGAGATGGTTGCGGAGAAGGTCTTGTCGAGGTCGATGAGGTGCTGCGCTGCAGGACGGCGTTCGGCGTCATAGGTGGCAAGCACTTTGGACGCGTTGTACCAGCCCTTGACTGCCCCGCCAATCTTCCACGATAGATTGACGGCATCGTGGATACCGGTGTTCATGCCCTGCGCTGCACCTGAGGAGTGAGTGTGGCATGCGTCGCCGGCCAGCAGGATCCGGTCATTGCTGAAGAAAGTCTCTGCTACGCGCTGGCTGATACTGTTTATAATCAGCACGCATGCTTCGGACAAGATCGGGATAACCAAAGTCACTCACCTATAGAGAGTCCACCACTCGATAGACTCAAATTGCAACGAATACGGCGCCATAGACTTGGTAGCCTCCGCCTTGGCTACCTCTAGTCCAAACTTTCCTTCATACTTGGCTAACATCTCTTCCGTCAATGCGAATCCAATCCGCTTCACGCCGTGGTCCAGTTGCACCCAGAGGACGTTGCCGTGGTTTTCCGACTCAATAGATGCAAAACCCAGATCAGAATCTGGCATGTTGGTCTTGAATCGGCCGTCGATCCGGACCCATTTGAATTCAGTCTGGTCACCGTCGAGGGGAATATTGGCCAGTCGACGGACCAGGGAGTGGCCGCCGTCAGCGCCGACTATGTATTTACTATGAAGTTTGGTTAGATAACACTGTTTTGCTGGAACATAAATCATGCAAAATTAGAAGCATACCTTCTCACGACCAATTTCCTCCCCGAATTCACTTCCACTATGTTCGAGACAACCTTGTACTCATCCTCGGCGGCGTCATCAATCGAAAACCCCTCCAGCTTCCACCCAATATAAGGCTCGCCCCCAATAGACTTAAACGCATCGCGAATCACATTTTCCGAGAACTTCTGCCGGATGTTCAGGCAGTAATCCAAGAAAGTCCCATGCATGCGCTCAAACATGAGATGCCATCCCCGGGACGTCACCCGCCGCCCGTCCTTGTCGTATGTGATGCTGTTCCGCGCCACATACCCGATTTGGTTCAGTTCGTCCAGGAGCTGAAGCTGGTCGAGCATCTCCAGGGTGCGAGGGTACAGGGTCGTTGCGCGGCCGTACATTGCTTGTTGGGTTTTGTCGCGCTGTTCTGTTGATTTTATTTGGTTAGCATGTCGTCTTTTCTTTCTATAAATATTGAATAGGGTCCGCAGGCAGGAAAGTTTCTTACCCACAAGAACGGCATCAACGCCCTGTAGAGCAAGCGAGTATGCAATAAGGAGGCCAACGGGACCTCCGCCAGAGATGAACACGTCTGCTTTGATCGAGTCGGACATTATGGCCTGCTGTGGGTGTGGCTAGGGGTCTCTCTTTGTAATATATAGTTCGATAGATTGAGCTTCGTAGAAAGGATGAGTTTTGTATAGTAAGTAGTGTTTGAGGGATGGGATTAGGTTGAGTTCCTCTTGGAAGCTTTATATAGCTGTTTTCCAGGTACCACCGGCACGATCAAATCCATCGGCATACCTTAACGGCGCTCAAGCTTCTCAGACGGGACTGATTAGAGGCAACAGTTGCCATCATGCATAGGGCGCTGCGGTGGTGATCGTCTTGGGTTTCTGGTTTGTATCGGGGTGGTATCGGAGCGTAACGAAGTAACTTTAGAATCGGGAGAGTTGGTTCCTTCGGCACACTGTGACGGCGCGCAAGCTTTCGAAGATGGCTATTGGACGGGGTGCTGCGGGTGGCGAACGCTGTTGGGTCCGGGTTGTACCAGTATTGTATCGGAGCGTAACAAAAAAGTTTCGAATCGGTATGCCGACTTCCGACTTACTTGGGACCGGGCTGGCGACTAACTTCACGTACTCGAACCGCTGGGTTGGCGAAACAAAGTGATGACATTAGATCTTGGTTATTCTCGATGCGGTATAATATTATTCAGAAGAGAAAAGGGGCAGTCAGCCATGAATCATCCCACATCATTCCCCACAAAGACCCAGAAAAGTCCTGCGATCCCTGGCCGTTGCATAGATAGCCAGTTGTATCATGATCCGGCACATTAATAAAATCTTGTTCTGTGCCTGTCCCGTGGTTTTCGACGCTCGGCATTGGATCGCCGAGCGGCATGCTTGTAAATCGCGGCCAATTGGCCATATATGAGTTTCCAATTGTTGCTTGGGGAACGGTCTCGACCAAATTTTGAGACGGCGGCTCAGGAATATGGCGTGGTCCACTAGGCGTGGTGTCTCTTACTGAAACTGCAGATAGTATTTTCTGGAGGCTAAAGGCGCAAATCTCTGCAGATTTGCTAAACCGGCTCATGCTCTCTAAACAGTGGCAGCAAGTTCGCCAGGAGTCATCCAATATCTGATTGGAGAACTTGGCCTCAATGATAGGGCTGGTACGAGCTAACACCAGAACAATGCCGGCAGTAAATGTATCTGCAAACAAGGATCAGCGAGTGCCAATTTATAGGTAGGCGACCAAGAGACAGGTACGAAGGTACCGGTAGGGAGAGGCGCGTACAGAATACACTATACCACCACACACTGGCCATCTCGGTGCTCGATATGTCATTCATGAGTTGAACCAACTGAATGGCAGCTTCGACACAAGACGTCGAGCAGCTAAGCCTCAATTCACTGAGGATTTTGCTCTCCGGTTCTGTGGGTCGGCCTGGTTGCGTGTTAGGGGCAGAAGTCGGGTACTGTGCGTGGTGGTTTTCATGACAAAATGAAACCAAAGTGGGACGCAGTATTAGTATTCTGAGATGAAGAAACCTGTCCGAAGCACTCAGTATTCGCTCAAGTGAACAGAGTGAAACACCCATACCTGGCCCTGAGAAGGTTGCTTTCGCGAGATAGGCGTTCTGCTAACGGCGCAGGCCCTTGCCTATGATCCCATGCCAGCTGTACGGGAAGCTGCGATTTGAAGCCCTCAAGATCCGCTTCCAGATCCATTGCAATCTGGGCCTGACTGTTTTTGGTCTTTCTCTGCCCTGGCTGCTCCAGCTTGTCCTCCCATAAGTCATACATCTCATATAAAGTCCTCCTCAGTATTTTGTACAATTGCAGAGTCCTTACATAGTTCTCTGTATGGGATACCGTGTTCAGTGAGGTCTGGGAAGACTGGCGAAGAGAGTCAAGATTCTCGTCATTGATGGCCTCTGGAAGAGGAACGACTGATGCATTGGTCATAGGGGGGCGCCCTAGCATCATGCTGCTTGAGCTTGAACAGTTTAGATGTCTTAAAAGTCAAATGAAAGGGCGAACCTTACAGATCAAGCATAATACATCCGTGCCAGACGCGCCTCCTCATTTGGATCTCTGCCGGTGCCCTGCCCCGGTCCGTCTTTAGCGAATGCATTCCAAGCGACTGCGCTATTCGGCATGCAAGCCCGATGATGTTCCAACATCTGGAAGACGAGTCACCTCCTTGCAAGTAATGCGATGTTACGAGCAGTGTCTGTACAAGAGCCAGGTTTTCTTTGTCCAGCGAGGTGATTTTGAGAAGCTGTTCAGATCGCCGAGCAAACTCGTCCGCGGTAGCATCACGGGCTGAGGGATGTAGCTCTGAAAAGTGACATCCTTGGGCAAGGAGGATGTTCAGTGCGCAATGGAATGTGGAGGGAAGTACATCTGGATCACCCAGTCCCATCCGAGGATACGATCCGTCCGTATAGGTTCTCCCCTCAGGTGTCCATAGAGCATTATATGCACGAAGAAATGACGGCTTGTGAATAAAAGGGTATAGACTATGGATTTTGTCAAAGTAGCATTTGAGGAGATAGTCCGCAAGCTGCCGCGGTGGTGAAGGAAACTTCTGGGGTTTTGCAGACTTGGACTCCTCTATGCCTGGCAGAGAAGATGAGGACACGTTGAAACTCGTGTCTACGGCGCTGTCCTTTTCTGGCGCTGGGTCCGTTATTGCAGACTGTTTGATCTCGTCTAGAAATGAGGCAATGGAAGACTCTCCAAAGAACTCATCTCGAGTTTCCGACGGTCCGCCGCGGCGATCGGATGTTATCCCCATAGCGGTTATCCCGCTCTGCCTCGAGCTCGAAGGTGACTTTGAACCTCGTGGGCGTGAATTGCGGTTACCTTCACTGGAAGATGCAGTGCCAGTGATTTCTGTATGCCGGCTCTTCCTCGCACTGTCGCTGTTGTAAGAACATGAGGCCTGCCGCCGCCAGCAGGGCCCACACTGTGGTTTGATGCCGTCGCAGCGGATCTTTCGCGTGCGACAGCCATCGCAGGCGACCGTGATATTTCGTCTCTTGCTTGAAGGCTGCGACTGTCCGGATGGTCAGATGTTGGACGCAAAGTTGACGAGACAGCCTACACACCATGTTGAGACGGCAGTGGCCGATCTCCGCACTCGATTGTTCGACTTTAGGAGTTTTCATCAACCATCCAGCCCTTGTCGAAATCCGCAGCAGAGAGTTGGAACACGCCGGTTGGGACGTGAATGCTGCAGGGGATGTTCGACTGCGTCTTACGCAACCGTCACGTGTGACAGTACGGTACTGTAATGTAAATCAAACATTTGAACTACAAGTAACCAGCATTTTCTGAAGCTAAAAAGATTTCTCTTTATAGCTAATTAGCCTCTTGTAAGTGTCTAGAGGTATTCCAGGTGGTTCGATGTTCCAGCGCGTTAGAAGTTTATCTAGAGCAGGACGACGAGAGTCCGCGGCCTACCAGCCAAACTGCCCATGCTTCCCTTCATCATCTATAATCTTCAGGAATAGATCCTTGTTATTGCCCTCTATAGCCGCTCGAAGTCTGGATGAGGGAGGGAATGGAAGCCAGCTCTTGATTACTTTGTTTAAAGGTGAATTCTATAAATCATGACCACTACTGGCTTCCCTCGAGCTCCAGATCTTGCCATACTCAGCAATAGCCCATTCCACCGTCCATCCCGATTAGACCAACGATTCCAGCGAGATCACCCCTGTATGTTAGGTATTAACCTCACTCGACCGTCAGTGATCCATTCAGGTGCAAGATGCGGCTACTGGCGCCAACAAACACATTATAGTCAGCCGCCTGAAGGCGCCACTGCTGTGCAACGACATCCCAGATGCTGAGATCCCGACGTGTCAGGGGGAAAGTGACGGTCTTGGTCTCCTTGGGCTTCAGCTGCACTCTTTCGAAGCCGCGAAGCTGGCGGACCGGCGCGTTCGGGATGCTAACATAGAGCTGCGGAACGTCTGAGCCAGCCACATCCCCCGTGTTGGTGATCGAAGTGGTCACCTCGAATAATGTATCCCAGAGCTCTGGGTGTCCGCCTTGGACAATCGTGATGCTGGGATTGACGAGAGCGGATGTGCTGTTGCCGGCAGATTTGACGCGCAGATCTGAGTACGTGAAGGTTGTATAGGAGAGACCGAAGCCGAATTCGAAGCGAGGGGTGATCTCCTTGCGATCGAACGCGCGATAGTCGATATATAGACCCTCGGTGAAATTCACCTCCGGAAAGGCGTCGAAGCTAACGGTCGAGTTTAGAAGAGAGCCATAGTCAGACTCGCTCTTCGCCACGGTGTAGGGTAGTCTTCCAGAGGGGTTGATGTCGCCATAAAGGATATCAGCGAGCGAGTGGCCACTCTCCTGGCCGGGAACACCGGCGAAAAGCACAGCGGTGACATTAGGATGGTCGATCCAGGCATCGACAGTCCGGATGCCTTTTAGCCCCGAGTGTTAGTTTATATTTTTGTCGAAAGCAGTGAAGGGAAGCTTACCAGCAGAGTGAACAACCACAATGGTATTGGTGCAATTCGTTGCAACATTCTTCACAAGGCTGTCACTGAAATCATCCGCAAGGGTGGTCCGGTCGAATGCCTCAGAAGCGTATGCATTGATAAACACAAGACAGGCATCGCTATTCACATACGCGGGCGAGGGGTTCTGGGAGTAGAAGTCCCAGCGCAACGTTCCGCGATTCTTAGCGGTGCGCTCCTGTAGGGCTTGAAATGGGCTGACAACATAAGGGGGGGTGCTGCCACCAGAGCCCCCTCCAGTGACAAGTGTGCCGTTGAATGTAGTCCAGCCAAAGTTCACCTCGTAGCCTCCTCCATACCGGGAGGGGTTACTCCATGGGGAAGCGCTTACAGTGGCATCATAGCCGTAGACACTGAGAAACTTGGTCGACTTTGTAAAGGGAAGTGTGTTGTTGACATTCTTGACCAGCACGGTGCCGGCAGACCCAATCTCTTGGATAAGATCGGCGTGATCTCGCTGCACATTGATGGGATCATGCTTGTCGGCCTCGGAATAGATTCCAGGGGAAGGGAATCCCTCGTCCTGTCCCGTCAAGTACCACGCGGCCAGAATTCGAGTGACCATATCGTCCAATCGGTCGGAGCTGACGCTTCCGTTTTTGACGGCACGAGTCAGATTATTGCCCCAGAAACCACCGTCAGGCATGACGATGTCCAGGCCAGCATTGGCAGACGCGACACCAGCGTGCTGGGCCTCCCAGTCACTCACCACGAACCCTTCAAAGCCCAATTCCGTTTTCAGCACACCGTTAAGAAGCTTTGAATTCTGACATCCATAGGAATGATTGGCCCGTTGATACGAGCACATCACGCTGCCGACGCCCTCCCTCATGCTGTCCATAAAGGGGAAAGCATACAGCTCGTGCAATGTGCGGTCATCAACATTCGAGCTCAATGCCTCGCCCATATCTCCAGGGTTCCGTCGCCATTCCTCTTCGTTCAGAAGCCAATGTTTCGCGGTGGCAATCACGCCAGCCTCTTGAATTCCCTTTGTGATCTCACCCATCCCAGCTCCTGCTAAGTACGGGTCCGCGCTCAACCCTTCAAAATTTCTTCCACCGCGAGCTATTCTCCCTAGTGGCCCGGCCACCGGGCCCAGGGCTACATGGACGCCCTTGTCGTGATACTCCTCACCAATAGCATTGCCATATTGGTGCATGAGCGAGCGATCCCACGTCGCAGCCACGTGAATGCCAGCTGGGAACGCAGAGACGAATTCTTGACCACGCAGACCATCAGGAGCATCGGAGAAGCAAAGCGAAGGGATCGACAGTCGCGGAATGGCGCCACTATTCCCCACACACTGTCCGTCATGGCCCCGAGTCAGATTAACTTTCTCCTCTACGGTGAGTTGTGACACTATGCTCCGCGCCTGTCGGTAGGCGTCTTCCCAGGCGGTGCTTGTTGACCTGTTGCCAACAGCTGTAAACCCTGTTAGCTAGACCGTTTCACATTCGTACACCAGTAGAGCAGTGATGAGGAAAGTCAGTCGCATTGGGTTGGGATACTGACGCGAGGGATACACAGCGGGACTTCGGCCATAGTAGGGTACCTCAGATTCATTGGTATAACCCGCAAGGCACACGGTGCCGTGCACCAGAGCTGCTTGGGCTAAGGCCGAGAGAACCTTCATATTGACAAGTTACTTCAGGTTTCTAGGCATGTTCAAAAGTCTCCCATCAGATGCCTCGGTGGGCCTTTTTGTAGCCGTGCTGCCCTCTTTGGAGACCGTTTGCGTGCCTCGTCTCGCGGCTGTTCAGTGCCCTCATACCAAGCAACCCAGCGGGTAAATGTCGGCATTATTCAGTTCAAACTAGCACCTCCAACTATTCGCTGTGCAATAGAGGGAGCCAGTGCGAGAGCCAGTGCCATTGAATGATCTGAGGGGAAGAAGTGGATCGTGTGGGGGGGGGGTCGTTTCCCAGAGTTGGCCGTTACCGGGAAATATACACGGAATATGCCTTGAAGATTGAGATTGTGGCCCCAGAAGTGGCGTGCTAGTGTGGAGAGTACTTTGTAATTCAAGGCCGTGCCGTGAACCCATTTGTGGTATGATTTCCCCAACTGCCAAGAGTGCGGCATTTTGCTGATTAGTGCGCTTGACAACTTTACTTGGAGACTCGTAGCGTGGGCTTGATGTCCCCAAGAAGGATAGTGGGAATGGTTGTGCCTCTCCTGTGTATTCTCTGTTTGTTAGCAACCTGCATACACACGCGCGCGCATATAGGAAGTAACACGAAGTATATCCTTTGCTTGGCGGTCCCGGAAATCCCAGGAGATGAAATCTATCACCAGGGGTATACACAGAGGAGATGCTCAGCTGTCAGCCCGTTTAAAAAGAGACTCAATAAAAGTACCAGTTACTTGATAAAAAAATTATATACTATGTTATTAAGAAAGGGATATTATATTAATACTCCTTCTAGAATGCTTGGTGAGGTATTACAGTGATAATATATATCTTTTATGAGTACATAATTACCATGAAAAAAAGGAAGAGGTATATCCTGCAAGTTTCTTGGTACCTGCCGGTGCAATATATATACATAACTATTCCGGGGGCATATAAACATCCCTAGCTTCCATATCAGCCTACTATAATCCAGAACCCATACTCTGAACGAGCCTAATTAAGGTTATTTTACTATTTCACACTAGTTGTACATGTCTGAGGCACTCCAGCCTCACCTTAACCCTACTATAAAAGCCCAGAAAAGCCCCTCCAGATTAATGACCTCCTGGACTTAGATTGCAGTGCCTTGGGATACACATAGATATATAAGCAGACTTTATAATAAAAGTAGCTGGAAAGAGGCAGCGTTAGGTTCTACATTACGGTATCCGTGCGGTTATTCATGCTATTGATGGCGCCGTGCACTGGGTTTGCAGTGATGGGAGGATTGGTACTGAAGGCGAGATACAGGATAATAGAAAATATTATGAACCTGTCTGTGCTGTGGGAAATTTACTATATTTAGATATCATATGTAACCCTAGAAAACAAGCTTGAAAGGTAGGCTGGACCCCTTGCTCGTGCACAGGGAGAGCCAATGCTACAATTTATCTTGTAACATACAACTGACTAAAAGATCACCATGTGATTGATGGTGGCGTTCTTGGTTCTGGTGGGGAACATCTCCACTAGTCCTTTCAAGCACAAGTGCCCTGGCCGGTACCGCGAGCCGAGTCTGGAGCCGCGAGGCCTGTATAATCTCAAACTCCCAGAATCTTTAATTCTGGGGATTTCCTATGATGCCATACATCCTTGGCACCAGTTCCACCTGGCGTTAAGGAATGGGTGCGATCACAGGGTAGCTGTAACGCTGCCTGCTGGGGTTTCTGTGGCGTGGGGTACATGCAGTGACTATGATGCGCATGTCTCACCTGCCACTTATGTTGATTGGCGCTCGCACTGACTCCTGGGTGGTGGTCTCACAATTCAGGATCTTGAGTGCATACCATGTCTTAGACTCAAGGTCGCCATGTACCCTCAGTAACATCTGTGGTCCGAACTTCAAGCCTATAAAAAGGTCACCTATCCCTGCTTTTGAGGAGGGGAAACCAATATTACAAACCCTCAGTGCAAAACAAAAACCAAAGCACTCACAATGAAAACCTCTCTGATCGCATTTGGTGCCCTCCTCGGTCTGGTCTCGGCCCAGAATGCTGTTGTGCACAACCACTGTGACAGTTCTGTCTATGTGCAGTCGTTCCCTTACGATGGCAGCGCCCCCGGCCCTCTCACCACTGTTCCCAAGAGCGGAACATTCTCCGAGGAATTCAGAGGATCTGGTTCGGTATGTGACTATCCCATCTCGCTTTGCAATATTCCCTCCTGACTGCAGTTGGTATCTGTAGACTATCAAGATCGCCAAGACAAAGACACTGGAGAAGCCTCTTTTCTTCGGCTATTCGTTTTCGTCCAACCCAGACTATGTGTACTGTAAGTTCACCTAATCTAATACATTCTTTGGCTACCAATACTCAACTAACTACGCTTCTTCCCAAGATGAGCTGAGCACTGAATGGGGCAACCCCTTTGCAGCAAACCCCAACATCCTCAGCCCCGGCGACGGGTGTGAGGTCTTTGACTGTGCAGCGAACGATCCCACCTGCTACAGCACCCCGGATCATAAGAAGGTCTACGGGTGCCCCCAGCCGGTCACCCTGACAGCGGATCTGTGCCAGTAGTTGCGTTGTGCTCACCCTCCACTATGGTATCCCACAGAAATGGTACTATGTACGCGATTGAAACCATAATGAAAGAATGTAATTGTCTATATAATCTCAACACTGGTATACCTCGTAACTTGACCAACTTCGCCCAGTATCAGATTATTCTCTCTTCTACTCAGTCGATCTTACAGCTTCATTCAAGTCTGCGATGTCGCTTGCAGAGCCAGAAATGTGTCCCCACTGCACTACTCCATCCGTATCGACAGCAAAAGCACCCGCCGTCTGCCACCGGCTCCCACTCCTGGTGTTGCGATTCCATATACCATCCTTGCGGCCCAGCGCAAACACCGAAGCAAGAGTCCGAGGATTGAACACATGCCAGGCGGACGAGACGCCCAGTCCCCAAGCACCATAGAGCTCCCGCGTTGGATCCACAACGACCTTAACTCGAGGTTCCCCCGGTGCTACATCGGGCTTATCCGAAGAAGGCGGGTACAGTGGGTGTTTCTTGTCGTTTGTTATCTCTTCAATCCATTTCTCGGTATCCTCGGGGGAAGAATGTGAGACTATAATCCCGGTAACATCGCCCCGGCGGACGGCGGGAAGATTGCAGAGCTGGCGGTAGTCCCTTTCGGCGTCTAGGCAAGGATATTAGTTTAACCTGTTGGATAAAAAGGAATGATTCGTACATGGGCAACCACAGTGGCGCAGGAAAATTATTACAGTTCTGGATCCTGTCGGGGCTTCCAGCAGAGGATGCACCGGCGCCCTCTCCCCCACTCTGGGGGGCTCAGACACCTTCACGGCTGTTAATGTTCTAAAAGAAGCGAGTTCCTGAGCAAGTGCCATCTCGTTCAAGGATGTGTAGGAAAACTTCAAGATTCGGAGCTGGCAAGGCTAGATGGAATTAATGCTATGTTAAAATAACAGTGGCTGCCGACCGCGTTAAAAATGCTGATCCTGTGCCACCTCGGTCCGCTCTTTCTTGACAGATTGTGCACTGCGCATCGACCAGGTGGATAGCGGGCCGAGAACTGCGTATTATACACATATACCTGGTAAGGTATAACCGTATAGATGATAGTGGATTGTCTCATCGCTAGTCAGATCAATGGCAACAGGATAACTGGCTTAGGGGTAGTTCTGGAGAGGGCTACTAGGGTTCGTTAACAAGTCCACCCTCAGCTGTCTTGCCGTCTTATCCCCGACTCATTAAACACTGGATAAAGATCGTCATTGGAATTTTGGAGAGGTGCAGACGAGGTTAAGTGATGGGTAAGAGTCCAAATGTACTTTTATTGACCGCAGGCTTGCCACTACTGTTGATGTAATCCCAATAACCATTTTTGCTCTGCGCCATCCTTCGCCCCATATCTGGCCATACAATACCCAAATTTGGCTTTGTGTATCTCGCCTAACGACCTTGTGGACTTAGTATTCGTCATGGCGGCGGAAGTTGTTCATTCCATTTCCCACCTCCTGCCGACCCAGAGGGGTCATGTCCAACAGGTGATAAGTCGACAGGATGATCTCCAAACCGCGAGATGTTGTCTCATATGTGTGGAATACCTCATCACCATCGCGAAAGAACGAGCACAGGCCAAAGTAGCCGTTCCCGGGCTTCCAGGTGATGGCTTCGCCCTGTGCTTCAGCTTCCGCCCATGCCTTGTGCGTTTTCGCCGAACTATAGAAAGGAAAGTTCCAACCCATTCGATCCCGGTAGGCAGTGATTTCAGACAACGGCGCAGTGGCTACAGCAACGAATGAGGTATCTCTACTCTTCAGATGCCGGAGGTCGGCGATATGGTCCATGCAGAACGAGCAACCCACGCAGACATGAGTCTCCCCGGGGCCCAACATGAAATGGTACAGTATCAGCTGCTTATGTCCATCGAATAGATCTCGCAGGTTCTTCACCCCGTCGGGTGTGTCGAATTGGAACCGATGTGGATCGTGGATGCGCACCATGGGAAGCTCTCGGCGCAACCTTGCGAGCTCCTCGAGCTGGCGAGTTGCTGCTTTCTCCTGCTGGAGAAGCTGGGACCGAGCTGCCTGGTACTCTTCAGGGGTGACAATGTTTTTCTAATGCTAATCAGAGGTACGCACTGGATGTTAGCAGGGTGGCATACCTGGCTTGCCATGTTGCAGTTGTGACATCACAAGTGCACGAGCCAGTTCCAGCGGCAGCTCACGCTATAATTTAAGTTAATGATTAATCAATTAGTCATTAACTCTGGGCATTACAATATAGCATATGAATCCAGAATCTTATACGATATATAACTACAGCTGCCTGGGTCTATTTAACCCCAACATAATAATAACGTAGAACTCTGACATAACCACCTGTATCAGTTCACATTTCAGTTCACATTGTAAGCCGGCGGCAAAATGCCCTCCAACGCAGCCTTGATCTGCAGAGCAAGAGTGCGCGAGTGCCACCGGTGCTGCTGTGTATAACCCCCCATGATCCAGAAGTTGTCTGCATTGTGATGGCGCTTCCACATCCCTCGGACCTCTCCCTCTTCGTCGAGTCCCCACGTCGCATCTATGCGCGAGGCGACATCTCGTGGGGTGAGTATATACTGCTGCTTCTCGCTCACAACCGCATTCCCATCACCAAGAATCTCCGCGACAGTGTCTACCGCGTTCAGGTCAGCAAAGCCTGTACACCAGATAACGGCATCTGCATCCACAGAGCTCCCGTCCGAAAACCGAAGCCCCTTCTTTGTATACCCGATGGGCTCCACAAGCGCCTTCACATCGACCTTCTTCTCCTCAATCAACTTCGTCCCCCCAACATCCACATAATGTCCCCCAGCCCGCTCCAGGAGATTGGACATCAGCGCACAGGACGGCTGTCGGCTATCGAGAACGGGGAAACCCGCTGTCTCAAGCTCAGCGTACCGCCCCGGCTCATTGGCGGCAAACATGGCGAATAACGCACGACCAAGCTGGCTGTCGACGACGGTGGGAAGGGACAGGAAGAGGTTGTCGGCGGAGTCCACACCGGCATCATAGGCGCCGAGGCTAAGACTATGGCAGATATACTCGAGAGGGACGATGTATGTGGGGGACCGGACGACCATTGTGGCGGCGAGACCAGCGCCGTGGCAGTCTGCGAGCACGTCGAATGCGGTGTTTGCTGAGCCGACAATAACAACCGACTGCAATGAGTTAGTCCCTTTCTTTGGTTATCAGAATCTCATGCTTACTTTGACTCCTCGCTCTTTCAACACCTCCGCATTTTTATACTCTGCCGAGTGGATGCTGACCCCTCTGTACAGACCTGTATCTTCGATCGACGGGATATACGGTTTCTGAGACCCAATCCCCGTCGCCATGACGAGATGCTTCGAGACAGCCCTACACTGGCCAGCTGGAGTCTGGATCGTGATACTCCATGTCCGAGCCACTGTGTGATACTCAGTCCACTGGACTTGAGCTGAATGGATGGTATTCAGATTAAACGACTCGATGTATCGCCGAACTTGCGAGGCGAGGTCATCTTTCGAGAGGAGGTGCGGGTTTTGGAGCTCTTTATCATAGCCTATCCTCGATCAGTGAAATACTAGAGGTTTACCTAGATACAGGACGCACACATATACGGCATCTCACAGAACGAAGTCGGAAGATGGAACTGCATGCAGTCGTAGCGCAGCGCCCAGTTATCTCCCGGGCGAGCATTCCGGTCGACCATGACACTGTCGACGGCCAGGGCCTTGAGGCGTGCAGAGAGAGTGACGGCGCTAGATGGATGTTAGATCGGTCAAGCATGGGATTTCCACTCACGCATTGCCCGCGCCGATAATAAAGACGTCCGTTTCGAAGTCCGATGCACCATCAAGCGGTCTTTTCGGGGACTGTAAAAGCATTTCGTTTTCGGGCTGTATATCCAGACTTTCAAGCCTGGTGCTGAGAATCCAGATCCTCCAGACGATGTCGCCGCCGTCGTCGACTGGTAATAGGAGGATCTTACCCCGACCAAGTGCAGCAGGGGACCCTGTCCTGAATATAATGGGGCAGTCGATAAATTGCTAAACAGGATACAATTTAGAACAGAGAGCCAGTAGGTATCATTATGGGTAATGGGCATCATACAAGAACCGGTGTGGCAGGAAGAAACTCTGCAGTTCCATCCACCTCAATCCGAGCGAGGCATCTTAATTTCGCAGTCTCGAGTAGCCTCGTGGCAATGGTGCCCGGGCCTCTGAATGTGCGCAAGTGCCATGTGAAGGCCAGCTGATCTTTCCAGTATGCCTGGTCTGTGTAGAAGCACGATTCGAGGGCTTTGGCGTCGCCAGGGACCAACGCAGCATTCAGTCGATCCAGAACAACGCCCGCTTGGGTTGTTGCTTTGCCGCCGGTCATTGATTCTGGGTTGATCAGGCCAGTTTCAAGGGCTGGTAGGGGATTCTCGTCCATCATCGCACGAAGGTTGGCATGTGGACGATGGCCATTTTTCAGGGGGTGCTGTCTAGCATAATACCTTGGTTAGAAGAGGCGATTGAGTATTGACAGGGTTCAGGGACTCACTGGTAGGCATTCTTGGTTTATCAATGGCAAACGTCCAGGGAGAAGCGTTAATTATGGAGATTGAAGGATGCACGGCTCTTTGTCTCGCACGCTCCACAGCGGCACGGTAGCAGCCGGCGGTTGAAGATATCTACCGGTTATTGGTGCTCCTCGCAGTGCCTCCAAACTAAACTGACCGGGGGTATGCTTGTTTTTGCCCAAAAGAGAAGGAGCTGTCGCGGATTTCAATCTGGAATCCTTTCGAGCTGTCAAGCATGGTGACTGAGCCCGGTCGACAAGGAGCGTTGGGGCCTACCCTTAGGAACCCAATATAAATCCTCCCTATGCTTTGCCATGGTTGACAGCTGCCTGGTCTCAGAGTCACAGCAGTTGTACAATGTCTCTGTCTCCAAATTCACTCCAGGAGCTGCTTTCCCAGCCAGCTCTGCAGCCGCCAGCGGGTGTCACCGCAGACTTTGACAGTACCTCGAACAACAACGCACTCGCATTGGTGGTGACAACGGTCTGCGCGGTTGTAGCGACCATTTGCCTTCTCTTGCGATTGTTCGCTCGGGTGTGGGTCGATAGAACAATTCGCCTCGAAGAAGGTGAGCGCGCCCTGCGTATTCAGTAAGTGGAACTAATCGATATGACGGTTTTGATGGTTTGTGCATATGTATAGTTCCCTGCCATGGAGGTTGCATCCTTCTACGCCGGGTCTAACTTCCCTCCAGGGCGCCTATTGCGGCACGGCTTATGCAGGATACTCGATGATTTATACCCCGGGATATTATGTCCATACCTGGAACCTGCGCAATGGAGACCTAGTCAGACCTCTCTATGTTCGTTTCTGCTTTTCCTATCTTGCAATATACGTGGGAACCCGGCTAACAGCATACAGCTTATCCTCATCTACGGCTGCTGCTACTCGGCCACTCTCCCCTTTATGAAGACCGCAATTCTGCTCGACTGGTGTAGGGTATTCGTCCCCATTGACCGGACGAGAAACGCCTTTTGGTGCGGGTGCATGGCGGTGGCTACGCTGCAGTGCGTCTGGGGACTGCTCTGCATCATCCTTCTGAACATGCAATGCAGGCCGCACGAAGCCAACTGGAAGTTCTATCTTCCCAGCAAGTGCTACTCCCTGCCGGACGTGATGCTCACCTCTGCGAGCGTACAGGTAGCCTCGGACATCATCATGTTCATTCTTCCGCAAAGAATCATCTGGCGACTGCAGATGACATGGCAAAAGAAGCTTGGTATCTCCGTCATATTTGGTGCAGGCATACTGTGAGTATGTACTAGCTGTCATTCATTCAGTATAACTGACAATCTCCTTCCATTCAGTCCCTCCGTTGCCGCCTGCTTCCGCCTCGCCCACACTGTCGGCTTCGCAAAGACAACAGACACAATGTATCTGATCGGCCCCTTACCATTCTGGGCTTGCGGCGAGATGACCTGCGGGTTCTTCATTTTCAGCGTGCCCTGTCTCTCCAAGCTTATCATGGAATCTGGACTTCCCCGCCATGTTAAGATCTCGCTCGGCTTTGCTCCTAAACCTAGTCATCCATCGGACGACGAAGGACAAGAAAGCAGGTCGGGAAACTCTGGTCCGCGCTTTAGACTGCATCCTATGCAGGCCTGGGGAGGCACAGACACAATGTGGTCGAGGATCGAAGGGGGCGATGAAAACTTAAGGGATCTAAGACAGTCCGAGTCCCAGACAAATCTATATAGCGGCGATAAGGGAGTGCATGTTTCAAGGACGGTGGAGGTCAATGTTTCGCAAGGGAACCCTTGAGATATTGATATTGGATGACCATTTTACACCTATTAATAGCAAGAGATCTGGAAGTGTTCTTTTCCACTCCAGGTTCTTCGAGGGACATTCAAGCGTCGCTCTCCTCTCATATTCATGCCGAGCTCTCGGAGTCGCAAGGAGTTGATATACAAGCGAAATCCCATGGAATTCGAGGAACCTCGTATTCTAGAGGATAAAATTAGTACAGTTACGAGAATCTATCCTGCCAATCTGTCGCGGCTCTGCATCTTCAAGGGTTATACGGGCCCACGGTGGAGCGGCGGAAGGCCACCAGCACGGTCATCTTCCAAAGGCAATTCTCGAACAGGGGCCAATTTCAGTATGCCAATCTGAGCTTCTTCGCTTTTAATTGGGCAAGCCCTCGGGAGCATCAGCACCGGCTGTGGCTGAATACGAGCGACAAAAAAAGCCCCGCCCTTCTCTCGTGAGTGAGAATTTCCCCTGTTCACCACCTCAGTGTGTTCCAAGCCAGCCTCCATCATGCAGCTCACCATTTTCTCACAGGTTGTATATCTGGGCCTGCTCGTTTGTCGAATCCATGGACAACAGGTACCAGCCCCCACAGATGCTGGAGTCGGCCCCGTTGTCACAGCAGCGCCTGAATATCCTGCCTTCGTCGACAGTCTGGACAAGAGACAGCAAGGGGAAGATTTTGTGGCATGGTGGCCAGTCTACAGCTCCTGTTAGCCTATGTGACCGTCTACCTTGTCCTACTTTAGACTGACAGAATGGACAGGGCGCGAAAAAACGTGCGAGCCGGGCTCACAATACGTGACCCATTCAACATACGGGCAGTGCTGCGCTACGAGTGCCTCTGAATGCAATTATGCCACGGCCTGCGCGCCCGATGGGTCGGTCCAGTACTACCGAGGGAACCAAAGCTGGTAGGACTTGAGAATAGTTCAAGCCTTAGGATCTAACTCGGTATAGTGACCCAGGGCAATACTGCGAGGTATTCACGATTCTGCCCTCTTCAGGCAGCCCTGCCAGTGAGAAACGCGATATCGTCCAGTGCATAAGTTCCGGATACGACTATGCTGGGACCTGGTACCGCCAGTCCTACGCCTGTGCGTGCTCTCTGTTTGTATAGTCAAGAACTGGCTGACTGCAATAGTGACAACGGACCCATCTACAACTACCGTCACACAAACAGAGACTGCGCAGACTACAACCGTAACCCAGGCGGTGCCCACTGATGGCAGCACTGCTCTGAAGACACAGGCCATGCAGGGGGCACTGGGGGCTTTTATTGTTGCTGTCCTACTCATGTATTGATGCTAGATAACCAGCAGTATCTGTAAACAGGCCTTATTATAATATCACAATTAGGGTATCTAACATTCCTCAACTACTTCTCGCCCATCTCAACGACCCTCTGCGTGTCGCTCAACTCGTTAATCCTGCGAGTCTCGCTCAGTTCCGTTGAGCCCAAGTCCCCCGGCAGCTCTGCGAAATGCTGCCTCTCGACCTTTGCTGGAATTGCCTCCGCCTCTGCAGGCAGTTTTTCCAAGGAAGATCTCTTCGACTCTTCCACTGGCGTCGCTGCCACCGCCGCTGCAGCTGCGACACCACCGCCACCGTCGCCATCTCCTTCTGGTTGTCGCTCTGGCTCATTTTCACCGGTTTCAGGGGAAGATTGACGCTTGATGCGCCGCGCGAGGTAGAGAATCGCCCCGATGAGTCCGATTCCGACCACGCAGCCCACGACTATGCCTGCAATTGCACCGCCGCTGAGCGACGACCCCGACGACGAGTTGCTGGTATCCGCAACAGGTGTGCTGGTTGCCGTCGGTGTGCTGGATGGCGTCGCCGTGCTCGTAGAACTGGTACTGTCTCCCCCGCCGCTCTCTTCGGTCACAGGAACCTTGAGCTGATCCCAGGATCCTTTCCCCGGCCAGCCATCTGCATCGTCACCACTGTAACCAAGCTTCTTCTGCCAGCATTCGTAGGATTTCCGGTCCGACTCGGTCCACTGTTGCCCGGGTCCCTCGCTGTACTCCCCGCATCCTTCATCGACCAGTCTCTCTCCCATCGCAGTAATTACCGGGCTTCTTGGGGCAGACTTGAACCAGTCCGCTCCTGGGAAGGGCACCAATTCGCCGTCAGTGTCTGTCTCCGCGCCGGCCAGGTCGATAACAGCGTAGCTGAGAATCGCAGAACTCGAATTCTTCGACATGTAACTCTCGAACTTCCCGCTGAAAGTGCGCGGGCAGTCGGTTTCCGCGTACGTGTACAGTCGCACAAGATCGCCTTCGCTGTCGAATTCGAACGGTTGGCCTTTGGCATGGTCGATTTCCTTGCAGGTCCTTCCGCCGGAGCCATCCTCGACGGTGGGGATGCCGCTGGAATTCCTCCAGACGAAGGTCCAAGCGGAGATCAGAGGGAGGGAGTGGAGGACGTAGAGGGTCGTGAAGATGGTTGTGAGTCGTGCCATCGTTGCGACAGACCGGTGGCCTTGGGAGAGCTGATGCCTTCACCACAGAGGGCCGATCAGGGTTTTTGAAGCCTCGCAACCAGCCGAGCCGCGCCCTCGCAGGGGCACTCGAATTGCATTAGTGGGTTGAGGAAAATGGGAGTGTTGCAGACACTATCCCCAGAGCTGAGCCGATCAGCGCAATGTCCGCCTGTGATACGCCGCAGCCAAATGAATACGAGCCCCAAGAGCACCGATACATCTTGGCAGGCATTTGGGCGACCCGTTCCAGCCAATCGGCAGGCTATATGTGCTCGTGTAATGGAACTGGATCTGGCGATTGTCCCCGGATTCTGTTGCTCGTTCTGTTCCTCGTGAGTCACGGCGCCGCCTCCGAGGCTTGTTGCTCCTGTCTCCCACCACGAGATATCGAGCTAGGAATAACACTTGCCCATGGCGCATCAAGCTCACAACATCCCATGGACTCTTCTTTCGTCCAATCTGCACTGGGTCCTGTCGAGGCCGTCCGCCGCGGCTCCGAGTCTCCAGTTCCTCACAAGACAGCTACGGACCAAGGAGCTGATGCACTTCTTCGAAGCTTTTGCCAGGAATATCGAGGAGCACTCCGCATGTGATCGCCGAAAGTATGCAGACAAATACGACCTGCCGGATCCAGACGATGTGGTGCTGGACGAAGCCACCGTCGACAAGATCAGTCGCACTGTCCGACGCTGGAGGCACGCCAACGATCCCTCTGGGTTTCAGGCACCCCCTTGGGGCTGTCCAGGCGATGGAATCGAAGATTGCGCCTGTCCTGTTCTCTCTTACCGAAATCGTCAGGCGTCGGCATTTCGTCTTCAGTACGAGCACGGCCCTTACTATCGATTTTGGGAGGACAACAGCAACTACTATTTCAACATGGAAATCATCAAGACCCTGCTTTTACACGGTGAGATGGACCCCATCCTACGCATCTGTGCGGATCCTCAATCGGACTTCAGGCACGGCTGGGAACTGGGCGAGCGCTTCTGCGGCGTAAGTATATCCACCTGCACGTAAAGAAAACAACATATCAAAAAAAGATCTCTCTGGCTAATTAATACAGCGTAGCGACCTCGGCTTTGACCAGCTTCTCAAGATGGCACTGGCTGCCTATATCGGGCTGAATGTGATATATTGCTTCCCCGATACCTGGGACCCAGCATCCGGCAGGTCTGATATCTGGGACTATCGCCGGTCCCTGTTCTACAGGTCCATCGTCAAAACCTGCACCAGGCGACTGGCTATGTCCGAGATTCCCACCTACCCCCACCGCTATTTCTTTGGTGTCGATGACCATCAAGCCCCATTCCACGGAGCAACCCCGTCTATGGTCATACCGAATGAATACCTGCCAGCTTCCGACGACGTTGACGAGGTGCGTGAGATGCTCTGCCGTAAGGGACTCCCGGCCGAGCTCGCACTGGATGTCATGGAACTCGCTGGCTACGAAGTTCCGCGTAGAGTGCCTCACGATCCTTTGCACCCATTGAACAGGAATGACCTGGCCCGGTATCTCAAATACTGCTGGCAAATCCTGGTCCGCTGTGACATGTTGGCAAAGGCACTCGATATCAAGCTCTATTGGAAGGCCTTGGTTGCTGATTGCATTACCGCGTTCTGTGAGCAAGAGAGCCCTTCCTCGAACTTGTGGTACAAGTGGTACTCTGAGGGCCACTGGCCTGAATGTGATCGTATATTCTATCGATATCCCTAACATGTCTCAGTATTATTTCCAAGAATTGAAATCTAGCTGCCCTGGATACGGAGCAGCCACATCAGTCTGCGCGAGGGACCTTGGCTTACGCCAAATGGCTTCGCTAACAGGAAGCCTGGACATTGCCAATGAAGAGATCCAGGACTGTTTCAACGACTTGCTTCGCAATGACTTCAAGGGACCTTGTAGCACTGCTGCCGCAGAGGACTAGTAGATGGGCTCACTCTGGGACTGTAGCCAGCCAGCCTTCCTGCATCGGTCATACAGTGCAGCTGAGACACGCCAAGAGTAGATTGTAAGAACACTCGCTGTTGTTGTAGTGATTCTATTTCCTGGAGAACTCCTCCGTCCCGCTGGCGTTCAGGAGAGTTGACCCTAAAAGGAAATTAATTCGGACGTACCGTAGGGTTGTTTTCAACGCAAGAGAGGAACAATGCCTGACCCCATTACCAGGAGGATCAGGTGTTTATTTGCTGTCGTTGAGAGGTTGAAGTCAAAGATTTCACCGATCAAGACCGCTATTTGCACCATGCCCCTCGATGACAAGCGCTCGAAGCTCGTTGACCAACGATTCAGAATCCAAAACCACCCCGGCGCCTGGCATTCGTACTGGCCACATTCCAGCTCTCATATGTGATGCCCATTGCGTTGAAACCGATCTGTTATCAGTCCCCCAAAGCGCATACCAAGGGGCCCCGGAATATGGGCCGTTTTGGCTGGCTTATTGACCTGGTCTCTATCTGCTTCGGTTCCTTCATGATTGTTATGATGTCGTATCCCACAATGTACCCAGTGATGGCTACAAATATGTGAGTACGAAATGAAGTTATAACCAGATGGGCGCTACTCTGTCACTATACTGGGCGCTATCATCATACTTTCACTCGGCATGTGGCTCTGTTACTCGAAAGGGCGATACCACAACACTTCAGGCGAGGAGAACCTATGCAGGGGCGGTAGCTAAAGGGGAGGGTTTGGTCCAGGTCCAGGTAAACAAGGCGAAGGCTTCATTGTGAACTATCTCGTAGCTTATACGGGCACCTTCCCACGCTGAAAGTGTAGTCCCGGTTTAGAGAAGTGTGGTGCCTGTTATAACCCTTCCCGTCCTCACTAGTAGTCCTCGGAATACCCAGCAAATCCAATATTACCATCTAAGCAGCGGTAACGCGGTCTTCTGTTGTAGCCAGTACTTACTCGCTGAAGTCGCGAGCATGTCGGCGGCGGTAGGGGCTGCTGCTGCAAGTGTTGGCCTCTTTCTCCTGGGTGTAGCCACTGGAGTAGTCCGCACTGCCTTCATTGGAAGCAGAGCCGGAGCTGGAGGAAGAGCCGGAGCTGGAGGAAGAGGCAGAACCACCGGTCCAGACGGGAGGGCCAGGCATAGGATAGTCCTTCATGCCACCCCAGACGCTGAAGTTGAACGAAGGGTCGTCTTGCTGGTAGCCACCGGGGAACTTGATTGTAGCATCAGGAGAGCCGTTGCCACCGCCAGTGACCTTGACCTGGGCGCATCTGGGAAGTTTTAGTGTCTGCCTAGGTAGAAAAGGGGGTAAACAGAGTAAACCTACTCGTAGTAAAATTCAGCCTGTCCGTCATGCGCTCCGTGGACACCTGCATGGGAGGTTAATGGCCTTGCTTTCTCTTTGGCTCATGAGTGGTACGGAGGCATACCAATATGTTCAGGCCGGATAAGGTACTCTCCATCCGGGAGGTCAGCAGGGATCGTGAACTCGATACGATCCTTGTCCCAGGTGCACCACGCATCGGTCTTGATGTCCTTGCTCGTGTCGCAGATGCCTTCCTCGTGGATCTTGAACCAGTCACCGTCACCCTCGTACTGGTTAGCTGCACTGGGAGCCTTGGACATGTACACGAGACCAGGGCCAGGGTGCTGCATGGTAGCACCAACACCGAGCTTCATGGCAAGCTTGGATCCAGCCTTGACCTCGGCCGTCTGGGTCTGATCAGCGAAGCTAAAGGCGCCCTTGTTGCAGCGGAAGTCCGGCATGTCGGGGGTCATGTCATCGCGGGTGTTTACCCATTTAGTTGGGTTGTACTTCTCGGGCCTGGTGTTGGAACGAACGTATTCATTGGGGGTGGTTTCCTGGCCGTCGATGACCAGGGTGTCAAAGAAGTAATGGGCCGACGCCAGGGGTGCGATAGCCGCGGCAGCAAGAAGAGAAAGCTTCATGTTGAAGAAAAGAGGAAAGTGAACAGAAGTTTGGTTAAGTGAATGCAAAGGGGCCAGCCCAGAAAAGCGAGTGTATAGTAAAATGAGTGAACAGGAGAAGGCACACAGTGACTTTGAAGTTACAGGGGGATGCCACCACCGAGGAGATGCTTCCTTATATACCTGAGATGGCAGTCTTTACTGCATACCAACGGCGTCTAGTACTATTCACAAATTGTATAGACAGTAGTCACAATAAAAAAACTCTCTATATATCAGAAACGTGCCGAGCCCGCCGATACCACCCATCTCCGCCCTCTCTCACGCTTCGGCGGGCCTGCCAATGTCAAGCTTGAAACGTTTCCAGTTTCCAACGCCCCGAAGGGTCTGGCCCATGCGAGGCGATCCCAGAGAGAGAGAGAGAGAGGCCGGTATTGCATGTGTAATTTCAAGTCATATCATCATTCATGATAGTCAACGGAGAAGCGATGGCATTATTACGATGGCTATATGGATATTTTGGTTGGGATACTGCACTGAGCCTCGAATCCAAGTAGACGCCAGGCAACAAGAAAACTAAAGTGTGGAAGGGCGGAATACTCCGAACCTTGCAATACCCACAGCGGCAGGGCCTCGGTGCCAGACTGGTCAGGGACGGGGGACCAGGGTCCAAAGCGCCAACAGCACACTCGCAGCTCCATACAAGAGCCCTTCACAGGGAAACGGGCCCACAAGGCGGAGTCGGACCCTCACCGATGAATCGAACCTGAAACCACACTTAATTGCTCAAGAGGGCCAGAGCTCGTGTCCGGCAGTTCGAGCAATGCTCCCAGAGCCGATATAATCTTGGCATCCAGCCAGTCCCTCTGCAGATCGTAGCTTGGGCAGGTCCTGCCAGGACCAGGCTAAATTGGTGGATACCATGCGGAGCCAATTGTCGCAGGTTTATTAGACAACGATGAATATAGCCTATTGTCTAGTGCAATTCTGGGTCCGTCACCTATACCCGGCCTCTCCTCCGTCTATCGTGCCTGCAGGTTAGGAGATGCTCCTGTGGAGAGCCCTGCCTAGGTACTCGTCTCTTCAGCTCTCTGGTGCGTTCCAAGTGGCAAAAAAACTCTCTCCTCGCCTCGGCAATTTATACAGGTCTCACCCTGTAACAATCACAGACCCCGCCTCAGTGCCTATGCAGAGCCTGCCACGGACGATTCGTCGAGCAGGCCAGGTGTATCGGCTGGCAAGAGTCGGGGGCTGGATGGGAAATGTAATGAAACCATCCCTGCTCTCTCCCACCAGACCATCATGTAGATAGGACTCCGTTTCTAAGCCAGCAGTGATCTACGCGAGAACAGGCACTGCCAGTCAGCTCAAACAACATAAATACACGGCATCAACAACTCCATGGTTGATGCCCATTTCACAATTCACTTTCCTCTCACCACTTAACAAGCCAGCAAAGCCAAATAACAGTTGTACTAGTGACAATGTATCAACTCGCCATTCTCCAAACCCTCCTGGCTCTCAGTGCCCTCCCCTCCGTCTACGCCGCCAACTCTCCAGGCTGCGGTAACCAACCCAGCCTCACTAACGGCGTCCACCAAATCAACGGCCGCGAATACACCCTAAAGCTCCCCGACAACTATGACCCAAGCAACCCATACCATCTTATTTTCGGCCTTCACTGGCGCGGCGGGAATATGGACAACGTCGTGAACGGCGAGAGCATCCAGCCCTGGTACGGCCTTGAGTCGCGTGCACAAGGTAGCGCCATATTCGTTGCCCCCAATGGCCTAAACGCTGGCTGGGCCAACACCAACGGCGAGGATACCGCTCTCATCGACGCCATTATTGAACAAGTCGAGGCCGACCTGTGTATCGACCAGGCCTCGCGCTTCGCGACAGGATTCTCCTGGGGCGGCGGAATGAGCTATGCCCTTGCCTGTGCACGCGCTTCTGAGTTCAGGGCCGTGAGCGTGCTAAGCGGTGGCGTTATCAGTGGGTGCGACGGGGGCAATGATCCCATTGCATACTTGGGGATTCATGGGATCAACGATCCCGTTCTTCCCTGGGATGGAGGCGTCGAGCTGGCGGAGAAGTTCGTGGCAAATAACCAGTGCCAGCCAGCCCAGATCGGGCAGCCTGCGCCTGGAAGCGGTGATTCCGTTCGCACAGACTTTACTGGTTGCTCCAGGCCGGTGTCGTTTATTTCGTATGATGGTGGGCATGATGCGGCGCCGCTTGGTGTGCAGAGCTCGCTTGCGCCGGATGCTACCTGGGAGTTCTTTATGGCAGCTTAAGCTGGCTTGATCTTTACTGTTCCCATGGGTTGTATCAGTTCAAAATTGTTGGAAATAACCCCAACATTAAATGACCAGATTCTGCCCTTGGAGTTATTTCTGTTTCGTTGGAATGACAGCTGAATTGATATATATATTGAATCCCTGATATAGTGTATATAATTGAGCACATGCATCCCGACTCAGCCATGATGTACTGCTTCCGGACAAACATTGCATCCTAGAAGCAACACATAGCGCATGTTTACTGGTTTGAATCTAGTTTGCTCGCAACCGAGTATAGAGTGACTGCGGTAGGGTCCAATTTGATGCCTGAGGTATTAAATGTCCGCTTTTGGAAACTGCGAGTGCCGCTACCATGCACGTGACTCCCGCTGCATGTCGCAGATTTTTCCCCTAGACCAAAAAGGGTCAACCCTCCTTGGGAAGGCTAGATCTGACTAATAAATGCATGTTCTCCGGTTGACACTGCAAAAACACCAACATGACGACTAATCCAGTCGCCTCAGCAACAATCAAGCTTCATTTCGTTCTGGAAGGAATGATGCATCGGGACTCGGCCACGCGACGGGTATTCGCCGGGATCGTCGGTGCCAGAACAGTCGAGCCCTTGCAGGGCACGTACAGATGGCCCCTGATACGCCTTTCTTGGCTTACGTTGGCCTCTCACAGGACACAATTATAAGAACAATGCAAATTGCTAATTATCTGTCTAAAGTCTAAGATAGGGTCGAGGGTATATTAAAGGCCTATGCTATGTGTTTAGGGACTGGTGAAGAACACTGGTGCGGTACATCTCGCTGCGCTGGATGAGTTCAACATGCGTTCCTTGCTCAGCACAGCGCCCGTTGTCAATGAGGAATATGCGGTCTGACTGCTGAATAGAGCTCAGTCTGTGTGCAATGGCAATGACCGTGGTGCGTCCTTGCAGTCTCTTGAGTGCCTCTTGCATCCGACGTTCGGACTCTGCATCCAGGGCACTGGTGGACTCGTCGAGCAACAGCAGGCGTGGCTGACGTACCAGCGCCCGTGCAATCGAGAGTCGCTGGCGCTGACCTCCGGAAAACTGCTTTCCATCGTGGCTGCAGTGCGTCTGGTAACCATCAGGCAGAGCTGCAATCACGTCGTGAATATTCGCCATCTTGCAGGCTTCCTCAATTTCTTCCTGGGTTGGCGGGTGCGAAGGACGGCCGCCCAGCCCAATGTTGAAGGCCACCGTACCCTCGAACAGAACATTCTCCTGGGGGACAAGAGATATATCGTCACGGAAGCCCGTTCCAAGCTGCCGCGTAATGTCGACTCCGTCAATGATCACGGATCCTGACGCAGGGCGGTAGAATCGCTCTATCATGGAGAACGTCGTCGACTTGCCTGATCCACTAGGTCCGACCAAGGCGCAGAACTGACCAGGCTGTATCTTGATATTTAGCCCAGACAGAGCTGGTCGACCCGGCCGCGAAGGGTATTCGAAATGTACGTCTCGCAGCTCGACGCCGATGCCGCCGGCACTCAGAGAGATTCTCCCCTTCTCGTTGTCTGACTGACCGGACGGCGGTGCAGCCTCGCTATCAAGGGGCTTCTCAGGGAGCAGATGGGTATCGTAATCACTGACTCGTTTTGAGGCCTTGTGGCCGAGCTCTTCGTCCGCCGAACGGGTCGTCAGCAACTGCGTAACATTTGTTGATGCGATTCCAGCCTTGGAGATGTCGGGTGCCAGCGCAAACATTTGACTGCATGACTGGGTACTGAAGAGCAGCGCAGGCATCACAATGAAGAACTGGGTCTGAGTGTAACGGCCCTCCAGGATCTGCCGAGTTCCCCACCAGTAGGCCAGGGCATACACCAGGTTGCTGACGCTGAAGGCCGATGCCAGAAAGACGTTTCCGGTTGCAATCGAGCGCAATGTCTTGTCATAGGGCTCTCGTAGTGCTCGCTCGTATGTTGAATAGACCTTCTTCTCCAAGGAGAAGGCTGATACCAGGCGGAGGTTGTCAACTGCTTCGATGGTGACGGACGTGGCATCGGCAAATGCCTTTTGATGCCGCTCAGCAAACTGGGCCTGGGTGCGCAGCTTCATGAATCCCGAAAGCAGAAGAACAGGGATCGTAGGTAGAAGCACAATGGTGATCTTCCATGCAATGGCGAAGGACACGACCACGCCAGCAATCAGGTTCACGGCCGCGGCCAAGAGTAGACCAATGGTGGTACCAGTAATGCCTCCAAGTGCAGTTGCATCACTGGTGATATAGCTGAGCAGTGTCCCTGGAGTGCGGCCTTCTGCTTTGTGCCAGGAGGTACTCTGGCGCAGCAGTGACCGGAGAGAGAGAACCTGAATTCGGTACAGAACCTTCTGGGCAGCCCATCCAAATGCAAAACCACTGATCAGATTGGCAAATAGTTCGACAAGAGCCATGACGAAGAAAAGCAATCCGAACAGCTCACCGCCACTACGGATGGCCTCGGCGCCAACGCAGGGGTTCAAGACTCCCAGAGTTTGACCGAATATAACGGCTTCTGCGATATAACTGCCACCGATAATGACTGCTGCTGCCAGACCGAGCACAATGTAGCCGAAGTTCGGGCGCAGAAGGGCAAATATGAATTTGGTGATGAACCAACGAGAGTGTTTGCGCTTGCTTTTGCTCTTGGAGTCTGGCTTCTTGTCGCCGTCTTGCTTGGGTTGTTCTTTTTCATCGCTGTACTCGGCCGAATCCTTTGGCTCGTGCACAGTGATGGATGCCTCTTTGGTAACGGAGTTGTCTGCCTCTATCGGAATGTCCTCGCTCTCAATCGAAGACTCCGAAGGGGTCAGCTCTGGGCTGACATTTGCCAGCGTTTGAATGCGTATCATTTCAGCGTAGATGCCGTCCTTTGCAACAAGTTCTGCATGGGTGCCCTCCTCGGCGACCTCCCCCTGTTGCAGCACGATGATCTTGTCGGCGTTTCTAGCGGTGGCCAGGCGATGGGTAATGGAAACCATTGTCACCCGCTCTGGTAGGTTGGTGAGAGCGTCGTGGATCAGTTTCTCGCTCCTTGAGTCCAAGGCTGCGGTGGCTTCGTCGAGGATCAGGACCGAGGATTCACGAATAAGGGCTCTTGCAAGGGCGATTCTTTGTCTCTGACCACCACTCAGCTGGCTACCAAGTGTACCGGAGCCGGTGAAAAACCCCAGAGGCAACTCATCGATGAAGGACAAGGCATTGGAGCGCGCCGCGGCCTGTCGGACCAGCTCGACAATCTGAGAAACCTTCGGATCAAACTGTGCAAGGGCTTCGGCCTCTGGGGTACCGCTGCGGACCATGTCGGTAAGGTCAGCCAGTGTCGAGTCTGCAGCAAACGGAACGAGGGGTTGGTGGCTCTCGATGGGGGAGACGATCAGGCCGTAGGCAATGTTCTCGAGGATAGAACGGTCGAGCAGGACTGGCTCCTGCTGAACAAGGCCGACGTTGCCACGTAGATACCGCACATTCAAGTCACGGAAATCCTGCTTGCCCAAGCGGACCTGACCTGCTGTTGGGTCGTAGAAGCGCTCCAGGAGAGACACGATGGTTGATTTACCGCCACCGGATGGTCCTACCACCACGGTGTGCTTTCCAGGGGGAATGGTGAAGTTCACGCCCTTTAGAACCTCCGCCTCTGGTCGCGAAGGGTAATGGAAGCGCACGTCCTCCAAGACAATATCCTGTGTGCTGAACAAGGCAGTCTTGTCGCCCTCTTCGCTCGTTCCGTCAATGTCGGAGGGTCGGTTGATGACGGCCAACAACCGATCAGCGGCGCCTACTGCGGACGCAAAGACGTGAACAAACGGAGCGACCTGGCTGAGAATAAACGAAGCGTCGATCAGGACGAAGATGACGGTATAGACCGCACCCACTGATGTTGAGTTGTCATCGGTTTCAACAGACTTGGCGATCAAGCGAGAGCCCTCCCAGAAGGCCAGCGCATTGGAGCTGTAGGCAATGAAGTAGAGCAGACCCAACTGGACCGCATGCGTAGTCGCCTTCTTGAGAGCGTCAATCCTGGTCGCGGAGAGGTGCCCGGCGAATTCCCGCTCCAGGCTCTGGTTCGCATTGAAGGCGTGGACAAGGGGCAGTTGCGACAAACTGGACGAGGCAATCGAGGTTGCAGCATTTACATGTGTGCTGATGCGACCGGCGTATCTCTTGATCAAATAGCCCAGCATCGACATCATAAAGAAGCAAGGCACGACGGAAACCAGGATTCCAGCAATGATGGGCACCTTGATGAAAGCCACGACATAGGAGGCTACAAAGTACGAGACCGTGGATATCACAAGGCCCACCTTCTCCGACGTTCCAGACTGCAGCGTCTCGACATCACTAACAAGCCGCGAGACGATATCGCCCGAAGACAGACTTTCGATATAAGCCGCGTCTTGCTTGACGACGCTTTCAAAGTACCGCCGCCGGTACCGTCGTGCGATGCGCTCACTGACATAGCACCAGCAGCTGCAATGGATGTAGATGAAGCAAAAATTGGCGATGGTGATGTAGATAACGTAGAGGACCTTCTGCCGCACTCCGTCAGACACATTGCTGGTGGCTGCTTCGGAGGGAGAGCACTGGGAGGTATTGAGGTCGTCGACCAATTCACCGAAGACGATACCGAGCAAGGGGAATGGGATACCGGCGGCAATTGAGAAGAAGACACCGGTTATAATAAGCAGGACGTCTGTCACAGTGTAGTCGAGGGAAAATAGCAGACGAGTATAGGAGAAGAACTTTCCCGGTGCTGCCGTGATGTCCTTAATTCGCTTCATCTTTTCGACCTCCGCGCCAACACCTGTCAGTATTATTGTCGTCCGGGGATTTTTAAAATCGAATACATACTAGGCCGGCCTTCTTTCCTTCGGCCACATGTTCCTCTGCGTTATCTGGCATCGCTGCGGACGGCGTGCCTCGGAGTCAGGCGTTCGGAAAGTCGGTGGGGGGAGATTTCCCTTTTACAGCGGCCGTATTTCTCAACGAGACGGACAATGGGGGGCTGAGCGAGAGAAAAGTGCGACGATGCTATTCCATTACAGAGTGCTGTCGGCCTCGCTGGCCGTGAAGGAGTGCAAGTGAGACAGGAGACAGTCTACACCAAACGATGCGAGCATGGAAGAGGAAGAAAGCGCAGCGTCCCGCAGGCGAGCAATTTTGTCAGTTCCTGCAGGCCCCTTGGCATTACGCGATGGATTGCCGGTCCACCATTGCCGTGATCGGATTGCCTGATCGTTGTGGTTCTGCTGCTTCTGGACCCTTCTCGCCAAGCCCTATATGGTTAGGCACGGGGCGTCGCCTGCCCAATCACGGGCGGCTGCGCGGGGGCGCCTTCCGTGGCGGGGCCGCCTAATCTTATCTGATTGATTACTGCCGAATTTTGATTTTTTTTCATTTTGATTGTCGCCCACGCTGCTGGTTCACATGCGAGCAAAAACTCAGGGTGAACCCACTGCCTGCGACCCGATATCGGCTGTTCTCCCACGCCACGGCGCCATGCCTGCCCATGTGGGGAGCAAAACAAGGCCATCGCATAATACCATGGCCGCCCTGCATCATCGCAGGCCTGTTTGCGCGCATCCCGTATCAGCTCGACCTCCGCCAGGAGTGGGAGTCCGTCGGCCGAGGCCGTCATTGTAACGTTCACCACAATGCTAGTATTTGGGGTACTTATTGTCTCACCCACGGGCTCCCCCCGACGGCCGTAGACCTAAAGCCCAATTATATAACCTGTTCGCTCTTTCTCTGCCGGCTAGCGGTGTGGCGGCGTTCGTTCATTCTTCGAGTCTCAATCCCACTCTGAGTCTTTTACAAATGGCTATCTTCGAGTCCTTGGAGGAACCCCCACCTCTGCCCACGACGCAGGTCCCCTGCCTGAATATCTTCAACCGGTATGCGGTTGGGCAATCACGCACATCTCGAGTCTCGTCAGAGGCGATCGAGCTTGATTGTGGCCCTACTGACCCGCCGGCCGGAGAGTTTCTTCAGGCATATGCGGGGTTTGTCGCTCAGTTGACGGGCCAGGAAAAGATCGCTTTTGTGCGAGATCCGTGCAGCTCCGTTGCAGGGCTGCAAGACCCAGCGAGGGTGATCGTTCTTGCGACCAGGAAGACAAGGCAGGAACCAGACAAGGCAGCGCGGTTTGACATTCAAGAGCAAAACTACGACGACTACAACAAGGACGAGGTCCAGTTTCATTTGAACCTGGCTCAGCTGGCTGGCACCGAGCAGACCCTCTTCTCAGACCACGAAGACGTCAGTAGATAACCCCGCCAATCTCTCTGCATAGAACCATTCTAAGTCCCAAATAGCTCTTCACTTTGAACGTTAGATCGAGCCCCGAAACATGCAAGCTGCAGATCAGCGTGGTATATCCATCACACCTCGTCCCTTCCCATGCGATCCCACAACTACTGAAGACGATTACATCACACTTGACGCGCTCAGTCGCCAGCCTGCAGCTCCCAAATATCAACAATAGCAAACACTCCCCAGAACTTTCCGAGCTAAATTGGCCCTCGCTTGGGAAGCCTCCCTCACAGAGCCAACCATTCAATGGCCGCTCTCATGGACCATTTCTTCTTCATTCAGCCTTTGGTGCTTGGGCTGAGCAAGCACCACATACCCAGGCCATTGATTTCGTTTCCACCCTCGGAGATTCAAACCGACCTGCCGAGCACCACACCCTGACGTATGGTGCATTAAACACAGCAGCAACCAGACTGGCTGCCCATATACACGAAAGGATTTCTAACAGCGCTGGTCCCGCTCACAGCCAGTTTATCATTCCTATCTACATATCCACCTCAGTCGAACTGTACATTTCGTATCTCGCTGTGTTAAAAGCCGGTTTTGCATTCTGTCCAATTCCATTGGATGCCCCGGCCAGTCGTACCGCTGAAATCCTCCGTGATTTGACCTCGCCCGTGATACTGGGTGTTGGCGACGAGCCTTCGTCTGGACCTTGGGTATCAGAACAACCTGAACCCGCATGGATTGATGTTACAGCGGTTTCAGGGTGGAGGGACCTATCTAGAACTGATAAGTCGAATGTGGAAGAATTACTGGAGATCAACTTCCAACCGCCGACTATCACCGACAATGACCTAGCTTACCTGATGTACACGAGCGGCTCGACTGGTAAGCCTAAGGGTGTGCAGGTCACACATAAGGCAGTGTCATGTTCCATAGAGTCCCATGCCTCGAGCATCCCTCTCCCATCAAGAACCTCGGACGGCTTTCGCTGGTTCCAGTTCGCGAATCCAACTTTCGACCCATCGTTGATGGAAATCTTCGTTACACTAAGCAGCGGTGGAACGCTCTGTTCAGCCTCTCGAGCGTTGATGTTGACAGACCTCGAGGGCGCCCTCAACGAAGTCAAAGCTACCATTATGATGGCTACACCCAGTCTGGCTGGGCTGATACGCCCCTCCGAGCTCCTGACATTGAAACATCTGTGGACAATGGGCGAGGCACTGAGCCAGACTGTAATCGACAAGTTTGCTCGGGACTTTACGCTGATCAACACGTACGGGCCTACCGAAGGTGCAATTAACTGCACTTTCCTGGGTCCTGTGGAAAATGGCATTCGTGGTTCCATCATCGGTGGGCCTCTTCCTACTTGTTCCATGCTAGTCATAGACCCCAATAGCGATAGTCCTAGTCCAGTCCCTGTCGGATGCGTGGGTGAGCTTGCGCTTGCCGGTCCCCAAGTCAGCAGGGGATACTTGAATCGGGAGGCAGAGACTGCGAAGGCATTCGTCGACAGCCCTGAATTTGGTAGAATCTACCGGACTGGCGACATGGCCAGAGTCGTATGGGGACAGTCGGGTGAGCTTCTCATCGACTTCCTAGGACGTATACTATCAGACCAAGCGAAACTGAGCGGCCGCCGGGTTGAACTGGGAGAGATTGAGTCGCTCTTGGCCACGGTGGATGGGGTGGCCGAGGTGGTCACCGTAGTTGTCAAGCGGGACCAAGAGGAAATTGGCAGCGAGCGAGTCGTCGCCTGTATTGTGTCTGCTGGCCAGACCGATGCAGACAAGAGAGACCTTGTCGACCGCTGCTGTCAGACCGTAAACCACCATTTGATTTCGTATATGCGCCCATCGGCATACCTCTTCCTCCCAAAGCTCCCTAGACTCACGTCTGGGAAGACTGATCGCAAGGCCATTGGGAGCTTGCTGTTGCGAGGCAATGACAACCTGGATATATACCAGTCCGACATGTCCGCTGCAGTTGGCGATGGGCAGGAGTGGGATTCGAGTAACAATGAGGTCCGCTCGATCGTCGTAGAGGCTTTGGCCCAGGCTGTTGGTGAGAAGGCGTCGGCGATTCAGCCTGGCGCGAGCTTGCATGCCCTTGGTCTCGACAGTCTCGGGGCAATGAAGCTGCTGCAAAAGCTCAGGGATAATTCAATCCATGACCTCGGCGTGGCTGGTGTTCTTCGTGCCCAGACCCCCGTCGCTTTGGTGGCGCTTGCTGTGCAGAGTATAGAGTCCACAGAGCTCAGGGAAGAACACAAGAATCATCTGGCCAAGACGGAGGAAACTCCGAGGCAAGAGCTGAATCTGTTTTCTGATCGCAATATTACAACCTGTGCTGGGCGACTCCAGCTCGGCGAAGCAGATATTGAAAAAGTCTTGCCTACGACAGCAACACAGTCTGGGATGCTGGCAAGTTACTTGCGCAGCTCAGCAGCATCGACCCCCACTACTCGTTCGTATATCTATCACTCTGTAATGTCCCTGAAACCAGAGGCGGGCTTGGATCGTTTGAAGCAGGCGTGGGATACAGTCATTCAAAGTTACGATTCATTCAGGACCGTCTTTTGCTGGCTCGATGATGACCTTGCTCCTTTTGCCCAGTGTATTCTGGATTCCAAAGCCTCTCGTCATCCTGGATGGAATATCTATGCAGCTGTAAAGGGCGACACTCAAGCAGATGAAAAGACCGAGTTGGCTCTTCGCACCGCCGAGAGAAATATTGACATCCAACGGCATCCTTGGCAGCTGTCGCTGGTATATCTCGAAGACCAGGTGTGCCTCATTCTTAGCATGTTCCACGGGATCTTCGACGGTGGATCTCTGCAGCTTCTGCTGGACGACGTGTCAGCGGTCTATACAGGCCAGGACTCCCTGCCACGTACATCCCTGGACCACATTGTCGACCACCATTTCATGGCGGATCATGCGTCGACTGCTGAGTTCTGGAACAGGCAGCTTGAGGGATACGTTCCTGTTGACTTTCCTTCCCTTTCCTCCACACGGCCGCCTGCGTCGCCCGCCACTCATGCCGTCGAAGTGTGTTCCCAAGTCGGTTATGATCAATTGAAGCAGGGCTCCAAGATGATGGCTACAACACCATTGTCTGTTGTCCAGGCAGCCTGGAGCTCCATCCTTCTTGCCTACACTGGGGCGAATGGCCATGATGTCGTTTTCGGCAGCGTGGTATCTGGACGACTGGACGAGAAGTCCGAAGTCTGCATAGGGCCGACATTCACTACCGTTCCCATTCGACTTAACCTTCACAAAGTACCCAAAGGCGGAGAGAACTTTGACAGCCGCTCAGTAGCAAAGCATCTCGCATCATTGAATACAGACGCCATGACCTATCTGCAGCCTCGATTAGGGTCGGTGGTGACCGCAGAGGGCCGGCTTCCATATGACACGCTGCTGGCGTACCAGGATTTCAGTGCCAAAGGCACGTCTCCTGCTATCTGGCAGTCCATTCACCATCCAGCCATGGTCAATGATTTTGCAGTCATGATTGAGGTATGGCCTGGAGAGAATTCAACATTGACACTGCGCGCTACATTTAGCGAGAAGGTGATGGACCGCGCTGCGGCGGAGATGATGCTTGCAGAAATGGACTCCATTATTGCGTCTATACTCAACAGTCCTGGCGATAATTTCTTGGAGACTTCTGCGATTGACGATGGACGACTAAAGTCTGGCCTGGATCTAGCTGCACCTCCATCTTCCATGGTGTTTGACAGCATGCTCCTCCACAGTGCATTCGAACAACACGTCGAGTTCAACCCTGATGCACTTGCGTTGATATTCAAGAGAGCTCTGGCAGATGAGGCCAACACTGCAAATATTTCCTGGACCTATCGGGAACTGAATTCAAGGGCCCAGGCTCTGGCTGCACAGCTACATTCCGGACACTACGAGCTTTGTCCAGGCTCTGTGGTCCCTATATGCATCCAGAAGAGCCCAGCCTTATATGTAGCGATTCTTGCAATTCTGAAGGCTGGCTGCGCTTGGTGTCCCATCGACGTGTCCTCTCCACCGCAAAGACGGAGCAATCTTATTGCACGCACTGGATCGCGAGTGCTCTTGGTCTCCAGCGAGGACACCATTGACGCAGCAGAGTTGTTGCCCGATGGATGCCAGCCATTGAATGTTAGCCCATTCACCAACCAGTCATTGTCGCTTCTCCCCGATCATCAGCCTCTAATGGCCCATGAAACCAAGTCTTCGAACATGGCCTATCTTATTTGGACCAGTGGGACGACTGGAGCACCCAAGGGTGTGCCCATTACCCATTCTGCGGGAGTGGCCAGTATAGCGTCGCTGATGAAGACGATTCCCCTTGGTGCCAGCGGAACACCTCGCACGCTGCAGCTATCGGATTCCATATTCGATGTCTCGATACAAGATATATTTTACACGTGGAGCTCCGGCGGTACCTTGATATCTGCATCACGAGAGATCATGCTGGGCTCATTCCCACAGCTTGCAAACGAGACCAAAGCAACGCATGTACATTTAACACCCGCATTTGCAGCAGGAATCCGGCGGAGTGCGTGTAAGACCCTGCAAGTCATTACCATGATTGGCGAGAAGCTCCCTCAACCCGTTGCCGATGACTGGGGGACGGATATGCGGGCGTTCAATACCTATGGGCCGGCTGAAGCGACAATTGTATCCACAGTGCGAGAATTTGGGAATGAACACAGCAGTGTTAAGAGTGCCAATATCGGGTGGCCGCTTGATACCGTGTCTGTTTTCGTTACCAAGGGAGAGAAGTTGCTGATGAAGCACGCTGTGGGTGAGCTGGCACTCGGTGGACCACAACTATCGCCTGGATATCTCGCGCAGGAAGAGATCACAAAGGCCAAATATCGCTGGAACGAGAATGTCTCGCAGATACTCTACTATACAGGAGATCTTGTTCGAATGCTATCAGACGGCTCCCTCGAGTACCTGCATCGGGTGGACGACATCGTCAAGTTGGGCGGTATTCGAGTGGAACTGAGCGAGATCAGTTATACCCTGGCAGACTCGCATCCCCTGATAGACACCGTGGAGACCCTGGTTCTGAACAGGCCCGACAGACCTACTAACGTGGTGGTCTCATTTTTATCAGCGCCTCAAGCAGTCGTCGGTATCGACCATAGTGGTGAAGCCATCGTTGATGAGCTTGGAGCTTCCATAGCCTCTGCAGCACTGAAGGCAGCATCATCTTCGCTCCCTCCTCATATGATCCCGTCGTGCTGCATTGTCATTTCTTCTATCCCCAGAACACAGTCCGGCAAAACCGACCGTCGCGCCCTACAGGCTATATATGTTGGACTGGACATTGACAGCTGGGACCAGGCACTGGGACTGAGCAGTGACGGCTCATTACAAAGCATCTCTGACAGTTCCAGCACTCCGCTAAATGGACGTATAACTTCCACAGTCTCAGCGTTTGCAAATGTCAAGCAGTCGCTGATCACCGGAGCAAGTCGACTTGCAACGCTGGGGATTGATTCTATACGGGCGATAAGACTTGCCTCACGCCTGAACGAGAACGGCGATAAGATCTCCGTTCAAGACGTTCTTCAGTGTCGGACAGTTGCGGATCTCGTCAACAGAGTCGAGCTTGCTCCGGAGCAGGACCAGGAGAGATATGACTTGGAAGCGTTCAACAGTCAGTGGCATGATGCGGTGGCCAGCGCTGTCACTGGAGACTTCCAGGTAGCACCAGCAACGGCAATCCAAGAGGGCACGCTGAGTGAAACAATGAGCAATGTCGCCATGTACTGGAGCAGCCATTTCTTTGCCCTGGACCCTTCAGTCGACCTCAACCGCCTCAAGGAAGCCTGGCATGCGGTATGCCAGAGCAATGCCGCTCTTCGAACAGGGTTTGTCTCTATCGCTGCGCTAGAGGAGCAAGCTGTAGAGGGCTCGTCCAAGCACGACTTGCTCCAGGTGCTCTATAACCAGCATGACATCGACTGGGCATACACGGAATGCACACAAGCTAGCTACAGATCTGTGCTGGAGGACAGGGTCAACGACATCATGGCCAAGCACCAAAACAGCTATTTCATACAGCCTCCATGGGCAATTACAGTGCTCGCAAAGGAAGACGAACAGGTCCTGGTTCTCACTCTCCACCACAGCATCCACGACGGTCCCTCGCTCGACTTCATCAAGAACGACGTTTACAGTGCCTACCAGTCTTCGGCGCCTACGCGACCGTCGCTGCAACAGGCCCTGTCGCTAGCCCTTCCAACTCCTACGCAAAAGCAGGAAACGAGTGACTTCTGGCGGGCTGAACTGGAGCCATTCGCAAATGCGGGTCCTCCGGCTTGGGCTGAGCTGACAGGCAAGAGGGTGCGCAACGGCATCGTGCCTAAGCGCAGTTTCATATCGGAATCGATTTCCCTGTCAGAGTCTGCATCTGCTCTACGAACAAAGGCAGCCGGTCTCGGGGTGGCCTCAGTGGCATCAGTCCTTCGTGCCGCCTGGGGGATTGTCCTGCTGGCACACCTGGGAGACACTGCAACTGTCTTTGCCGAGACACTGTCTGACCGTGTCCTAGATGCCGAGATGGCAGAAGTCATCGGCCCTTTCATTTCAATTGTGCCGGTGCCCTTCCATGCCAAAGGGACAGTGAGGGAACTGTTTGACGAGCAGGGCCGCACCTATGAACGCTCTTGGACGCATCGCCATGTCCATCCCCGGGAGATTAGAAAGGCCTTGAAGAGAGCACCAGGTCAATCTGTCTATCCTGCTGTCTTTACTTTCCATCCAAGCTCCGAAGGCGGCTCGTCGTCTCGAACTGCTATCTGGGAAGAAAGGGAGGACGAGCTGGGCTTGAATGTCGAGCATTCATTCGCCCTGAATGCCTCCGAAGAGACTGATGGGACGTTAACCATCATCGTATCTTGTCTATCAACAATTATGAGCGCGACTCACTTGAATCTCTTCGGCCGTCATATCGATGCGGTAGTGAGTGCCATGCTTGCCCATCCAGACGAGCCAGTGCATGAAATCTCTCGCTTCCTGCCCACCGACCTGTTGTCCATATCGGGCCCGGACCCAAGCCCTGCCGTGAAGGAATCGGTATCATGGAGTCCAGCCTACTGGCTTGAGGCCAATGCGAAGACGAACCCAGATTGGCCTGCGGTGGAAGTTGCAACCTCCATCACCGACAAGGGGGTTGTCAAGGACTCCATGTCATATGCCAGATTGGATTCCGAAGCAAACAAGGTCGCGGCTTATCTGGCTTCTCGTGGGTTCCAGAATAGACTGATAGCTGTCTGTGGCACTCCCAGTCTCCTGCTATATCCCATTACCCTCGGTATCTTCAAGTCCGGCAATGCATACATGCCCATTGACGAGGGTCTACCAGAAGACAGAAAGTTCGTCATGATAGAAGATGGAAATAGCCCTATAGTATTCACCGAATCATCGCTGTATCACACATTCGCGAACATCCCCCAGACGTGCGAGGCGATCCGCTTTGATGACCAGTCGTTCCAGGATATCCTATCTCAGATGCCCTCAGAGGATCAAAGCGATCCTGCAGAGTTAAACGACCCAGCCTATGTGCTCTTCACGTCTGGCTCGACTGGAAAACCAAAGGGCGTGGTAGTAACTCGCGGAAACCTGTCTTCTTTCCTGCAATCCTGGTCGGAGCTTGTCATGCGCATAGCCCCAGACACTCTTTCCCTGGGAGGACGAGGTCGTTTCCTTGCCCTTGCGAACAGGGCATTCGATCCTCACATCGCTGAGATGTTCGGGCCGTGGTGCTTTGGTATGGCCACCTGCGCTGCTGATCGGACATTGCTGCTGGACGACCTCCAGGGGGCATTGGTACAGTGGGACATCACTCACGCCAGCTTTGTCCCATCCGTCCTCGACCAGATGAATATCCTCCCGTCTGACGTTCCCAAGCTCAGGTATATCAGTGTCGGAGGAGAAAAGATCTCACAGAGAGTGTTGGACACCTGGGTGGCCGACACTGGGGTGTCCCTTGTGAATGCATATGGTCCGACAGAAGTCACCATCGGATGTACCTTTGCCCACGTCAACGAGGATACAAATATGAGGAATATCGGGACCCCTTTATCCGCCTGTACGTGCCATGTCTTGGTCCCAGATAGTCTGCATCATGCCCTGCGGGGCCAGGTTGGCGAGCTTTGCTTCACAGGCAGCATTGTGGCCAAGGGGTATATGGACAGGCCCGATGCAAAGGGCTTTGTAACAGGGCCAAATGGAGAGCACATGTACCGCACTGGCGATATGGGACGCATGATGGCCGACGGCAGCATTGAGTACTTCGGACGCAGTGACGATCAGACCAAGATACGAGGGCAACGGCTGGAGCTGGGCGAGGTTTCTGAGGTTGTTCGTGCTTCTTCACCGGTGGCAGTGGATGTTGTGAGCATGATCGTCAAGCACCCAGCCCTTGCTCGAAGCCAGCTGGTCTCATTTATTGCTCGCTCCGTGCGTAATAAGGGCGCTGAGTTGGCCATCATCTATCCAGACATTGCAACTCTAGCAAATGATCTCCGACGCGCCTGTGAGAAGAGGCTGCCTGTCTACATGGTGCCAGAAATCGTCCTTCCTATCACAAACATTCCCCTGGCGCGACTATCTGGCAAGGCTGATTCCAAGGAGCTGCGTCGTATCTTCGGCACTCTCTCGCTGGACGAGGTTCTTCGTGGGAACAGCCTGGTCTCCGCTTCTGATGCCCCTGTTGTTGATCGTGCCTTGACCGCGGAGGAGGAGAGAATTATAGAAGAGATTGCCAGAATCGGCACCATCGACGGTTCGCTGATCAAACCGCATACAAACATATTCGAGATTGGGATTGATAGTCTGGGAGTGATTGGCCTTTCTGTACGACTTCGTGCAGCTGGCTATGATGCGTCCGTGGCAGCAATCATGAACAGCCCGGTTGTTGAACAGCTTGCTCTGCTACCAAAGAGAGACGACAATATTTCTGCTCAGACCGCCGACAAAGACTGGGAGCAGAGACTCAACAGCCTGAAATCCAAATTCATCGAGATGCATCCTGAGGCCGTGAATACTCAAGTATCAGTCAGGCCCTGCCTTCCACTCCAGGAGGGCCTGGTGGCACGATCTATGAATAACGACGATGAAGATCTCTACGTCAATCATGTCCTGCTGAAGTTGAAGGAAGATGTGCAGCCAGACCTGCTGCAGTCTGCATGGAGTGTTGCTGCCGCAAATAACGAGATCCTAAGGACTGCGTTTGCTGCCCTCGACTCCGAGATTGTGCAGATTGTTTTCCCAGCAGAAGGGAGCACTCTTGAATGGGCTCAGCAGAGATTCGATGGTATCGAGCAAGCCAAAGGGAGCTTTATCAGTCAATATCGCAGCATTGCCCGCAACATCATCCAGAATATCAGCACAACGCCCCCTGTTCGATTCAATGTTGCCTCGTCCCAGAGTGGCCAGCCGCTGCTACTGCTTGTGTCCATGCATCACAGTCTCTACGATGGCGAGTCCTTCGGAATGTTGCTGGACGACGTTGCCAAACACTACGCCGGTGTCTCGCCCCCAGAACGGGGCTCGCCGTCTGCGTTCATCCAGCATGTTCACTCGCAGAGCCTCGACAAATCCAAATCCCACTGGGAAGAGGAACTATCAGGCTGTTCACCGACCCTGTTCCGGAATGATACGTCTGATGTAGGAGAACCAGTCACTATTGACCGCACTTCTATCTCAGCCCTGTCCGACATTAAGCGCTACGCAGCCAACCTGCGCACCACAGTGCCTTCTCTGATGCAATCCATCTTTGCTCTTCTGCTTGCAGACTCTATCAATTCCTCTGACATTACCTATGGCCTCGTCCTCTCTGGTCGTTCTGTTTCTGTCCCTGGCGCCGAGTCCGTCCTGCTTCCCTGCATCACCACCATCCCCGCCAGACTCAACACCAAGGGTCTCAATACTGTCGAAGAGGTGATTGCATATGCCCAGAGGACGAGCGCCAATTCTTTAGAGTATCAGCATACGTCTCTACGATACATCCAACAATGGGTCAATTCTGGGAAACCCGTGTTCGATTGCCTCTTCTCTTTTGTCAAGACAACCCAGCCCCCGGTCAACGCTCCGTGGGAGGAACTTGCCAGTGATATGCCGATGGAGTATCCCCTTGCCTTGGAGGTAGAAGCAGACGAGGCTCAAGACCAGCTTCATCTTCATTGTGGCTTCACTTCCGCCTTTGGATCGCGTTCCCGTGTCGACAACCTGGTAGAGAAGATGGATGTCGTCCTTTCCACTATTATCAACGGAGAGTCCCTGTCTCTGGAGTCTTTCAACCTCTCGCAGACTTCCATTCAGACCAATAAACCAGAAGAAAAGGTTTGGAACGATAATGCCTGGTCACAGCTAGAGCAGTCCATTCGGCAAATTGTCGCAGATTTCTGTGGCCTGGGAATCGACGTCGTCCTCAAGGGCACGTCCTTCCTTCGACTCGGCGTTGATTCAGTCACTGCCATCCAGCTGTCCAAGCGACTTCGTACAGATGGAGTCCCCGTTTCATCCAGAGATATAATGCGCTATTCCTGCGTGGGTGCACTGGCACAGAACGTCCTCGAGAAGACCAATTCAGTACCACATGCTGCTGAACCAGCCAAAAAGTCAGAGATACTTGATATTTCAGCATACGCATCTCATGCGCGACTCTTGAATTCACAGGACACGATTGAAGGTATCTTCAAGTGCACGCCATTGCAATCATCGATGATTACGCAGACCCTGGGTCTCTCGGGCGCTGTATATGTCCACCCGCATATTGTAAAGCTGTCAGAGACTTGCAACGTCGATACTCTGGCATCTGCACTTCAAAAGGTTATCGATGCCAATGATATTCTTCGGACATCGTTCCATTTTATCCAAGAGCTTGGAGGTCAATGGGTTGGTGCTGTTCACTCTCAGTACTGCCCTGAGTGGCAGGAATCCTCAATATCTGCAGACGGCGATGTTGATGCCACAGCCCTGGATGTTCTGCGCCTGGATGAAGAGAGTGCATTCTCCATTCCGCCTCTTCGAGCAGCCATAATCCACCGCTCCAGTGAGCGTTTCTTCGCCCTCGTAACGCATCATTCACTGTACGATGGAACCTCTCTCCGTTTCATCTTCGAAGACTTGATGCTTGCACATCAGGGACTTCCTCTACCCAGACGCTCTCGATTCGCAGACAGCGCCCACCGTATCTCGCAAGGCCAGGAGGAAGCATGCACTTTCTGGACAGAGTCCCTCCAGGGATACAAAGTCACAGAAGTGCCACCTCTTCCTGAGTCAGATTCGTCTCCACACATGTTCTTTTCCGAGGCGCGAGTTGAGCTTGATATCTCTTCCATAGCCAACGCTTGTCAGGCGCTAGAGGTGACTGTCCAGACAGCAGCACTTCTGTCCTACGCAAAGGTTATTGCTAAGCTGACTGGCCAGAGAGACGTTGTGTTTGGCCATGTCCTTGCAAGACGGTCTGGAGATGCCCTCGATGAAGACCAGACAATTGGCCCTCTCTTCAATACAGTTGCGCAACGAATTGACCTTGGTTCCAAACTCACCACAAACCGAGAGATGCTGCAGCGACTGCAGAGATTCTCTGCCGACTCTCAGGACTTCCAGCATGCATCCTTGCGCACAATCCAAACCAGACTGAGAGAAGCACGCCAGCTTGATACTGCATCTGTATTTGATACACTGTTCGTATTCCAAAAGAGTGCCGAAGGCCCAGGTAGTCTGTCTGAACCGAACTCGCTATGGACGCCCTTCAACAGTGCTGAAGCACTGGATGGCCAGGCGCAGTACAAGCTGAACGTTGAAGTCGACCATGGAGATGACGGTATTGTGGTGCGTGCTTCATGCCAGGGACAATTCCTCTCCCAGCGCAACCTCGACGATACCCTAAAAGCTTTCAGTCTGGCATTCTCCGACACAATAATCCAGCCTTCGCGCTCTGTGACAGCCTATCCTGATTGTTTCGATCACTTGCCCAGTCCTACTGCTAGTGCCGCCAAAGAGGCAGTGGTCGACTCTGAGGAGCCCAGTCACGAACCAATTGTTCGTAAAGTGCTATCCGAAATCTCAGGGGTGCCCATCGACGCCCTCCAGCCCAATTCAAGCATTTTCAGCATCGGTCTGGACTCGGTTTCCGCCATCCGTGTTGCCTCAGAGCTTCGCCTGCAAGGATTAGCTGCAGGCGTCGCGGACGTCCTCCAAGGGAGTACAGTTCGTGGTATTTCTTCACGACTGCAGCTTAGCATTAAAAAGCAGGATTCCTTGCAGAGGCCTCTTATCCCTGATATGGATCAAATCCGACCCAGGGTTCTCGAGCAGATACAGCGATCCGCAGAGGAAGTAGAGCAGATCCTCCCTTGTCTGAACGGACAGATGTACCACTTGGCCTCCTGGCTCAAATCCAGACGGACGCTCTTTGAGCCTGCGTGGCCGTACGCCTGTTCCCAGCGCATCGATATTGACCGAATGCAGAATGCCTGGACACAACTGCGTCAGCAAAACAGTATTCTTCGAACATGCTTCGCTGCAGTGTCTCCATCACGAGCAGTCCAGGTTGTTCTCAAGACGGCATCTCACGATGACACGTTCGAGGTCATCTCAAGCTCTGAATGTCTTGTTGAAGCTGCTCAGACTTGGGCCAAGATTGAATCAATTCGCCCATCGACTCTGCATTCTCCCCCAGTTCGGCTGCGTCTTATCAAGGCAGCTGACCGGGATGGATTCCTCTTGCTTGTGAACCATGCTGCCTACGATGCTTGGTCCATGCCGATGATTGTGCAACAGCTGGCAGACATCTACCTTGGTGTCTCGTCCGAGTCGGGCCCTGAGTTTGCCTCCTTTGTAAATTTCACCACCCAGTCAGCAAAGGTTCTCGACCAGGATAGCTACTGGGATTCAGTTATTGGTGAAAGTTCCCCGACCCTCCTTGGCTCATCTTATACCAATGGCACACATACAAACGGCACAGGATCCTCCCACCGCACTAGCCAGTTATTCGTGGGATCGTGGGAGAAGATTCCGAATCTTCCATATCTCGAAAGGACCTGCCAGGCTGCAGGTGTCAGTCTTCAAAGCGTGACCCTCCTTGCTGTCTCTCGTGTCCTAGCCCGTCTGGCCCAGGTCCCCAGCCCGACATTTGGCCTGTATCAAAGCGGTCGCTCAGCAGCTTTTTCTGGAATTGAAGGTCTAGCCGGGCCCTGCTTAAACGTCACCCCTTTCACTGCTCGCGATGTATTGTCCACTGATAGACCATTGGCCTCGGACACTGTCAATGCAGTGCGGTCAATCCAAGGGTCCCTAGCGGACCTCATTCCCTATGAACAGACCTCGCTGCGAGATATATTAACCAACTGGGCACATAAGAACCCAGCAACCCCAGTACTATTCAATGCCTGGGTTAATCTTCTTTGGACTGGGCAGCCTGCACCTCAGTCAGCCAGCGCGACCTTATTCGAGCCAGTTCCAATTGGCGTCCCAACAGACTTTATCCTCTCTACCGCGCCAGCAAGGCTCGCCACCGAGAAGACCAGTGTTGATGCATTGGATACAACTTACCTACCAGGCCAGAACATTTTCATAGACATCGGCCCTGACCCTCGAACGCAGACAATCGGATTTGGAGTCCGCGTCGAGGGAGGGTTGATGAGTGAGTCGGAGACTCGCACATTCATCGACGGCGTTGCATACGAGATTGAAGGGTTGGTACGGTCTTTAGAGAGATAGATGAAGGCGTTATGATTGTAATGAGTTGTTCTTTTGGATATTTTTATGTTGTCTGCAGTTTCTTTCCTATATTTGTTATATTGTACTCCCCTTGTTTAGCGTTGTTATTATATCTACTTTCCAATCAAATTGAGAGACTTAAACTAATGCTAGAGCTGTCTTCTAATTGCAGCGTCAATGCGTGGTGTCGCGGTTAATCAGTACGAACATGTTCTACTAGGTCAGTCCTGCAGAAAGCTCTCTTCGAATGGATAGTGAGTCAAGAGCTCGTAGCCTGTCTCAGTCACCAGCAGTTGGTTCTCCAGCTTGATGCCATCTTTGCCTCCTACTTCACCAACATAGGCCTCGACTGACAGCACCATGCCCGCTTGCAGCTCTCCATCGTAGCCAAAGGACTCCAGGTCCTCTGGATAGCGGATGGTCGGGTACTCGTCGCATAGGCCTACACCGTGAAACATCATGCTATACCGCTGAGCGTGGCAGCTTTCCGGCAGACGGTGCCCGTTGCGCGACAGCTCGGAAAAGCGCACACCGGGCTTGACCATCTCGATGTTAGTCGTGATATGCTCATGGGCGATGCGATACAAGCGTTTCTGCTCTGCTGTCGGCTTGTGGTCGCCGCAGATCCAGCTGCGCGACATGTCCACGCACATTCCATAGACGCCGATGAGGTCCGTGTCGAAGCTCACCAGCTCTCCATCACGAATGATGCGCGGTCCACATTCCTGGTACCAAGGGTTGGTGCGCGGTCCAGAACTAAGAAGGCGAGTCTCAATCCATTCTCCGCCTCGTCGAATATTCCCAGCATGCAGAGCAGCCCAGACGTCGTTCTCTGTGGCTCCATCACGCAGGACCTGCTTCATCTCGCCAATCGCGGCTTCGCAGGATGCAACTGCACATCGTATAGCCAGGATCTCGTCGGGGCCCTTGATCATCCTCGCGTGCTCGGTGACAGCCTGCCCGTCACAGACTTCCACTCCCAGAGCATCGAGGGCACGCAACCCGGCGATTTCAATGCGGTCCACGCCCAGCCGACGGTTGTTGCCGGCATGCGATCGTAGCAGTTCATCCACTTGGGCACCGAAACGCGCAGCGTGCTCCTTGGTCCGGTTGCCTGTTTCAAAGTAGAAAAACGAAGCACCCTGGCGTATTTCTTTAATGAGTGGCAGGTGTGCAGTGAGATGGTCGCAGCCATGGAAATCCCACAGCACCAGATACCCACTGGCCGCGACGAAGCAGGCGCGCGCAGGATTGTGGGTCGTCCACAGCTGCATGTTGCTGCTGTCGGTCGCATACCGGATGTTCAGCGGATCGAACAGCAGGATGCCGCCCAGGTCGCGAGCAACCAGCTGCTCACAAATGCGCTGCAGGCGATACTCTCGCATACTCGGGAGATGCGGTGGTTGCAAGCCCAGGCGTCGCCACTCTGCAAACGCCAGGGCAGTCGGTCCTCCTTCCACGCGGTCGTTGTCATTTTGCGAGCCATCCGGTTTCAATGCAGCAGTAGGGTCGATTCGGCGAGACTCTGGAGGGATGGAGAACGGCGAGGTCATATTCGGTAGCTTGGTGTGCAACAGGCTGGGTGAATACCCTGTTTATATAGAGAGATATCGGGCATCAGTCCATACATTTGGGTGTAATACAAAACCAGCTCCCTCATTGGCTGTTGCAGACTGATACCTGCCTGCTGGTTACATATCAGGTCGAAGTCGGGCACAGCTACATCGAAGTGAAAGGTGGATATCTAATTGAATTGCTATGACATATCTATGCCGACAGTGGCATCAAATTCCCATTCCGGTGCCATTCCTTGACTTTTCTCGCCACATTCTCCGGAGACTCGACAAAAACATGCTGCCATCCAAATACACGAAGGCTGTCCTGTCCACCACCATGTCGACCCAACTCGCTCGCAGCTCCAAGCCATGCATTTCGCATTCTAGGAAAGGCATCGTCCATGTGAGAGCCGACAAACTCTGCCTCGTCCTGATCCTCGAGCTGGAAGGGATAGCTTTTATGCGCGCCAAAGAATGACAGAGCCAGGCGGTCGTGGTTGGCATGTGTGAAATCACGTACGTGCTGAGCATTCTCAAGACAGCAGCTGCCGTCAGCTACATGAGGAATCTCCCTTTCTGCATCGCCAAGGCGTCTCCTATAGTCATCAATGCCTCCGCTAATGCTATTCCCCATGGCGACTGTATGTGGCTGTGACCGCCAGTTGGATGACAGCAACTCGGAGGGGGAAACTGGTTGGATATGCCACTCAACTGGGCGCTGGAAGCCTTCGTCAGACGTGTCCTCCGATTTCAAATGTGCAATAAAGACATTGAAATGCCAACCACGCGAGCAGAAATAACGATCAACCATAAGAATGGGAGAATGACCCTGCGCCCACTCATGTCTCAGCAGAAGGTATCCCACAAAGCAAGGGGTGACTGTCAGCCCTTTGCCCGACTTTAAAGTTGTTCGTGCTAGTAGTCTGTTACATCATTAGCCAGGAATATATGGAAAACAAGGTGAGGTTTACCGGTCCATCCCTCCCGGAGAGCATCGCATGGCCACACTATGCAGCCAGGCGGAGCTCAGATCAGAGATCCAGACCTGCAGCGCCCGGAGCTCTTGCGAAAAGCGTTCCACGCGTGCTTTGCGATAGTCACTATGGCTGAAGTCCCAGGACCCTTCCATCAAGGCATAACCGGCCTCTGCGGTGTCCGCTGGACACAGCCGTGCCATCACGGTGTTGTCTACGCTTGAGAAGGACTTGTACTTTGAGAGCACAAATGAATAAACTACCAGGCGAACCAACACCGCAATATTATCAGGAGTCCACCTGGTCTCAAACGGCAGAGGAATCTCGGATCCTGTCGACGACGGCGACGTGGAGCGACTTCGTGTTGAGGACGTCGATGACCAGGACACAGACTTTGATGAATCGCCCTCGAAACTTCGCCTGCCTCCCATATCTTTAAGCGAGTATGAAGTACTGGATTCTGCTGATACCTCTTCCCAGTCGACCGCCCGAAACAGCTTTGGCAGTGGAAGATCCTTCCCACTGAGTCCGACAGATTGCGGCCGTGCGCTCTGTTGAGTTAGGGCTGCGCAGATCTGCTGTGCCTTTTCCTGCGTCTTTCGAAGACGGTGGATGGTCTGGTCGATCCACTCTGAAGAGGAAGCATTGCTATGTAAACGGTAGACTTCCAGGAACATCCCTGCCCTGAGGTGACAGCCAGTGTCTCCAACGTGGGCGTCAAACGCCATGAGGCCGGGTGATGTGCCATTTGGTGATTTGAAAAGCAGACCGCAAAAACTTGTTAATGCCTCGATGCTGTCAGAGGCAGCACGGGCTACGTCTGTCAATACTGCAGCATAGAGTGCCTTGGGCTGACTTTTCAAGCGTTGGTGCAAAGTGGGAAACAACAGGTCCGCCATGTTTGCCGGCGTAGTGGGTGGGAAATGGAGGTAATTTGACAATCTCTTTAATTCATTGTAAATATTTCCAAACCTTCCGGTTATTATACCCGATAACCTAAGCTTCAGGGCCGATCTGTACAAACTATTCATGACGAACCCCGGGACCGGCCCCCCGGGACAACACGAACTACCGTTTGCGGGTTCACACCATGGGCAGGCAACTTTCTGCAGGGACTCAAAGTACTCACGGTATGACCTGATAATGGGATCGACCGTCTGTGGTTCGAACGGGAGATTTTGTCGAGTCCTTGCCACGAGGGCGTCTGCTCTGGCCCGCGTGTCCACCCACCTGCAAGTTGGTATACGAAGAACGACGATCATCATTCACCTCTAGACTCTCCAAATGGTCTGGTAAAAGGGCTAAAGGTACCTCTGGACGCCTTACGGCCCATGTCTACATTCAGCATTCAATGCGAGCACGGCCAGGATACCTGCTGGCCAGTCGGTGGCTGATTTTCCATCTGATAACTTAAAGTGAAGCCGAAGGCACCCCCACCGATGATCAGGACCCAGTGGACACGTTTGACAGTCCGTCAGCCACACCGCGACGTTCTACGTGGGGCGGGCCTCTTTCCAAGCCGATAATAAAAAAAACTTGAAAAATCAGGCGTGGAGTCGGTATGGCCAAGCTGACTGGGCAATATCAACATAGACCACCGACTAGTCAGAGCTCATGACGCAGCACACGAAGATCACATTGTTCTCAGTCTCGCTACACTCTTCCTCTAGCCAAATTCACTCTCTATTCTCTTAGTCGACACTCGACAATCGTCAGGTCGCCGAGATTGCGCCAGACCTGGACCGACTCCAGCCCCGCTTGCGCCGCCAAGCGTTCGTACTCGATTCGCGTGCGTTGCTTAGCATTGACGAAGCTGTAAACCTGTAGATCTAGCCGGCTGGTTGGGGCGTCTCCCCAGTTCGCCAGCAGCGGCTCGGGGGCGTCATGCTGGCTCTCTCCTCGCGGGACACTTTCCCCGGCTGCACGGTATGTTGGACTCACCATGTGCTCGCAGATGAGCAGCTTGCTCTGCGGTGTCATAGCCGAGGCACAGGACTTGAGGACCTGGACGGCCTCCACATCAGGCCAGTCGTGGATAATGTGTCGGAGGAAGTAGATCTGCGCTCCCTTGACAGGGGCCTCGTTGAAGAAGTCCAGGGGAGCAAAAGAGGCAGTCCCGGCATCCACAAACTCGGGAAAGTTGTCAATGAGGTTCTGTATCGTCAGATATCATTGGCAATGAACCAGATACTGGAAGGATACTCACCTTCTCGAAAACTGGCTTCGAACTTGGCTGATCCTGCACCGTCAGGGTGAGCCCTGGGAACGCCCGCAGGACTGGCAGAGTGGCTGCTCCGATGGCCCCTCCCACATCGACGATATGAGCGCCCTTCTCGCGAGCCCAGGGATACACTAATCCGTTAGTACTGGGCGGCCCAAACCTTGATGGTTACTTACGGCTGAGGTACTCTCCGAGATTGAAGGCCTTGCCACCCATGGCCTTCTGGGTCCGCTTGGCCATTTCCGGCCTGACGGTGGTCGTATACTTGAAGTAGTCTAGGGGTGTGTCATAGGCAATGTTGAATGGCGCCCTGGTCGGTTCAGTGGCGTCCTTGTACTCCGGCCTCGTCATCGCATCCCACACTTTGCAGGACGCAGGGCGACATCCATCGATGCTGCAAGCGAATCAGCAATGGGCACTCGGACTTGCGTAGTGACTAGAGCATACCAATGACCCACAATGGCTCTCAGTGCCTCTGATCGGTATCGCACGGACAAGGCGTTGTTGGCAAAGGTGTTCGGGGCCACTTCCTCGAAAATGTGGGAATTGCACAGGTTGCGCAGGAACCGCGCCAGAACTCCAGCATTCAGCCCTGCCTTGGCTGCTAGTTCGTCAATGTGACAGGGGCCCTCGCCCAGGAGATTGGGGATGTCGGCCTGGCAGGCGACGAGAAGAGAGGTCTGGTCGTGGCATCCATAGGTGAAGTCGTTCAAGTACGTATTCGGCCCGCAAAGAGCCCGCAGCATCTGTCCAGCTGAAGCGACGGACTTGAGGGCATATAGCACGTCCTTTTCGTCGCGCCGATGGATGGGATGCTCGTCGACTGCGTGAAGTGTGAGTGGAGGATCCTGATGCTCCAGGACGGCGCCCTTGACGACGTCGATACTGGACACAACAAGGTCCCGGAGCATTTCCAGCTCTCGTACAGGGTTAGGTTCGGCCGACATTGTTGTAAATAGTCTATGAAGTGACTCCAACAGAGTAGATGTTCTATTCAGGTTTCTACAGCTGCTATTGAACCAGGGGGCTTTTATGCTGAAGCCGAGCCGCGTACTCCAGATCAGATAACGTTTGCTGCAGACTTATGGGTCGTTGAACTCTCCGTAATGGTACCCTCGCTCTGCATACCCAAGCCCATGATGCTGGTTTGTACTTCTCCGAGATCGGAATCTTTGGAGTCTCCACTGATCTCCTGGAGGTCGCACTGCTTGACTTTTTTGAGCCGTCAAAAGGACGTCATTATCGATTATGACAGACGTCAGCATTTTTTAAAGCAGGTAGACCTTTCGTGAAACTGGATCCCCTGGGGTTGACCGTAAATTAGGCGTTTGGTGGAGTGGACACTGCAAGTCTGGAACGGTGGAGCAGGCAATGTCTAGTCGGTTGTCCCTCCATGACCCGGCATCAAGATCAGTCTTGCATATTGATTTAAGCACTTGGTCAGTCTGCAGCCTTGCAGGGATTACCTGATTGTCACTACTGTACTCCGGCACGATGGGGCACATTCATGCTCTGTTCTTCGACGCGACCACTGCGGTCGCTCTGCGGCCAGTCGTGCTGTTTGCTATTTTCATACTTTGCTTTATCTTGTTTATTCAGAGGAACTCTAGCAAGAATATACCAAACTCACCGTATTTTCTACACCATGATGGGAGGATGATGAGGACTCTTCCTGGGGATGCGCGATACACTCGCTTCACGCACGGGTATAACATTCGATTCTGGTTATTCACAATACGTGCTGACCTGAATAGAAAAGAACTGTCCAAGGCTGGTCAGGCCATGTCTGGCGATGATCCTTATCTGTTGCGAAACAAGTCGAAGCGCGACCTCGTCCTCCATACTCCGGCGCAGATGAGAGACTTTTTCAAAGGAGATGGAAAACGTAAGTCTTTTATTCAGTTATTTCAAATACGAGACTATCAGGCTGACCTGTAAAGTCCACACCAAGCAGCAGGATGCAAGCATGGGCGCGTACTTCCTTCGCAGTCTGGGCCAGTGTGTAGGAGCACAAAATGGACCACGCTGGCACCAAACTCGCTACCACTTGGAACAGTTCTTCTCCGCTATTGAAGCTGCATCCATGATTACAGATTTCCAGCGGGTTTTGAATAACTGGGCGCAAACACTGCCGGATAATGCAGCATCGCAGCAGATAGGCGACAGGAAGTTCCTGACCGACAGCGTTGAAATATGTCGACAGCTTCCTTTTCGTATGATTGCGATGTGTCTTTACGGAAACATGCTAACCAGCGAGGTGAGCATCTTGTCAGTTTGTATTTCTTTGCTAATAATTTCAGCGATTCGATACGCTGTGGCGCCTCAACAAGGTCCATGAGAAGGTCACGCAGTATACGTTCTTTGGCACATGGGAGAATATGCCTTATTATCATCTGCTTCCCACTGCAGCAAATAGAGTCCTGGCTGAGTATGAGCATGGATGGAAGGAATTTAACCTGGAAATCATCAACGCAGCTAGAAAGGTACTTCCTATTGATCATATTCGAGTATCGTCTAACGAGGCTTAGAGCAACACTTCCTGTCGAGCAGCACGCATGTTCCAAGTTGTTGAATCGGGTGACATGACAATGGACATGGTATGGCCCTCAATTCTGTTTTAAAGCAGGATGCTGATCTTCAAAGTACCTTCAATCTCTAGATGAAATCCTGTTCACCAACATCGATGTCACGTCCGCCCAGTTTGCCTACGGATTGATCAATATGGGCAAGTCTGCAGCAGCTGGACGAAGACTATACGACGAGGTCAGCACTGTTGCTGTCGAAGAAGACGAAATCGACTTTTACGCCCGAAAGGACGATACATTCCTGCACAAGATGTATCTGGAGATTCTACGAAGCAATCCGCCCATCTGTTTGTGCCCATTCTTTCTTCGTTAGCTGCTCTATCTGACGTTTAATCTTTCTAGGGTTCACCTTCCCCGAAACCACCGCGGTCGAGAAACGAATCGACGGATTCCTCATCCCAGCCGGTACCAACGTGGTTATTGACACACTTCGACTGAATAAATCATCTCCGATCTGGGGAAACACCGGCCACGAGTTCCACCCCGAACGATGGGATCATATCACCACTGGACAGGCGCGGTATAGCTGGCTGGGGTACGGCATGGGCCCGAGAAAGTGTCTGGGAAAGAACTTTGCCAATATCATCCTGAAGCTGTTCCTGATCTCGGTCAGTCGGCACTTCACCCTGGATGCAGGAGAGGGTGCCGTTCAGATCAAGAGGGATCGGTTTACATGCGTGCCGGAGCAGTTGGTCGTGTTTGAACAGCGGTAGTTTGTTTAAGTTTATTAAATATTGGATAATTATGAATTGTGTTCTCTCGCTCATTACTCTATAATCCCATTATTCTATAGAATACTCTTCTGAACTGAATATAGATGACCAACAAGCCTCAACTGAGACAGAATGTTCAACATCTAAAGTACAATTATGTTCTGAAACCCCGACCCCTTCCAATTCGATCCCAACTTTGAATATCCCTCTATACCCTTATGAATTGGATTGTCTACTTCCGCAGACCGGGAACATCGGTGTTGCTTGCATTGCGAGGAATCAAGTCGAGCGTCTTGAGGAACTCGTTGGTGAAGTCGAGGCCAGTGACTGCAAGGCCCTCGCCAACGACTTCAAGGACGCACGCCGCGACGAAGGTGACATTCAGCGTGATACCGGCAAGGTCGGGCACCCACTTCTCAGGGTGTCCCCACCAGAGGATTTCCCAGTGTAGCTCGTCGATGAGCTTGTCGAAGTCGACAGTCTTGAGGTTGACAAGTTCAGCCACAACACGATCGGTGGTGGGCCAGAGGCACTTGAAGAAGGCGTCGATGGCGGAGCTGTCGCTGGCAGCAGCATCGATCAGGCCTGAGATATCGGGAGAGGGTTGAGCAACCTCCGCCACAGCAGGAGTGGTTGGGCTGGGCACATCGGAGGACGAGGACTGGCCGACGGCGGAGGCAGTCAGGCCGAGAAGAGTCAAGGGGAGGAGTCTCATTGTGAATAGAATAGAAGAATGTCTTGAGATGATGGTCCTCATACCGTATCCTGGACGCATTACATTGTTTTATACTCGGAAAGAAGACCACCACGGGGCACAACAGCATTCTATCCGGCGTGCGGAATCCAGGTAGGCGAGATAAGGATCTACACGCCATGCACACCGCAGTCAAGATATTGAGTATTTGACAGCCCTGGCCACGGACATCAAGCGCTGTCGTTGCGGTCCACCGAGCCGGCAAATGGCTGTCAGGGACAGTCGTTCGTTCACATGCAAATCCCACGCGGAAAAGGGACTAACAGGTTAAGCACCACAGTTCGGCACCTTAAACACGGAGAGTGGAACCCCGAGAAGCCGTTCAGGATGTTTATTCCGAAGTGCTGGCCCGATATGGAGTCGTCGTCGTCTGACTGGGTCCGATTTCGGTGGCGCAAAGTGCGTCTACGCTAGGCACGCTACGATCTTTCCCATATGCGTCAACAGCCCGATATCAATCATATCAATCACATCAGCAGCAGGGTCTAAAGAAATAAGAGTGGCCCTCCTTTACCGTTGTTCTCACCGATCGGCAAGGCTTTGTGCCGTGGCGACGATCACGGAGCGTCTGCTGCATCTGGCACAATCCATGACACAAGTTTATGCTAATGGATCTTGATTCTACACTAGCTGTCATTGCAGGTTCTGGCTGAGGGCGGAGAGCCCAGTTTAGTGCAGCCTGAGTCAGAATGGGCCACCATCTGCCAGCCCCAACTCTGGGCGAAACCTATCACATGCAGGTTTGCTTGTGAAGGATGCGAGAAGGACAGGATGCCTCCTTTATTATGCCTCGCAGACTCCAGTTCTTGATTTGAAAGTAGTAAATACAGCGCAGCACAATGTCGAAAACACTTCCCCTGCTGGTTCGTCTCCCCGAGCCATGGAAGACCTCGTATGAGCTCCTGGTAGTTGAATACGAGCTCACTGTGCGCAAACTTCAGCTGCATCACTCTCCTCGGGCAGACGATGGTCCTCTGCCGCCGCAGCCGTTACATCATGAGTCCTTGACGTTCACCGACTTGACTCTGCCTCGGTCCTTGACTGTTCCGGATGAGGGCAATAACCTGGCATGGGCAAGAGCACAACGAAGCCCTATTACACACATCTCCTGGTCTGGACCTACACCCACAGTGGGTCAGATATGGAACGTGGTCCACGCAATCGAGATGCTGCACGATGACTACGAGATCTTTCGTGCGGGTCTATCAGGAGAGGGCCAGGAGCTACTAGAACGAGAGCTCCTGGCAGTTGGACTCGCCACGCCCCATCCCAAGCCTTCCTCACCTCCAGGGAGGCCGATTCCCACCTCGACAGACCATACGGGACAGTTGGTATTTTCCCGCAGCAGCTTTTGGCAGGGGGCAGGCTCCCCGTTTGGTGCTCGGCCAGCATGGGTGGCTGACCCAGGTATCCACAACCACCTACGCACGCCGTTAAACTTATATCCCAGTCGACCGTTGGAGTATACATTGACAACGGAATTTCCCAGGCGCCAGGTGCACGCGTTGCACCCAGTACGCCCTCCCAAGCCGGCACCGGGGTCGCGTATCTACAGCCGGTATATTCCCGCCCTTGGGGAGTTCTTCTCCGTATATGCCCTGGACTACACCAACGAGCAGCATCTGCAGCTCTTTCACACATGGCAGAACGACCCCAGGGTGGCCGAGCAGTGGAAGGAGACAGGCACACTGGATGAACACCGTGAATACCTACGGCAGATCCATGAGGATCCCCATCAAATGGCCGTGCTGGCCAAATTTAATGATATCTTCTTCTCCTACCACGAGATCTACTGGGCCAAGGTTAGTCTTCTATTCCACTCCCACTACAGCAAGCTCACGCTCTCGTCCCCACAGGAAGACCATCTCGGTGCGCACTACAACGCCGGCAATTGGGACCGCGGACGGCACTCTCTCGTCGGTGATACTCGGTTCAGGGGGTCCCAACGGGTGATTGCATGGTGGTGCAGTCTGATGCATTACATCTTCCTGGACGAGCCTCGTACTGAGTACGTGACGGGGGAGCCCAAGTTTGCCCACCAAGTTCCGCTGGCTTACGACCATGCTACGGGCATGAACCTGGCCAAGGTCATTGACCTGCCTCATAAACGATCGGCGTTGATCTTGGGGAGTCGGGACAAGTTCTTCCATGTCGCGCCGATGCGTTTCGACGGTGTAGAAAATTTGGATCGTGATCCATATGGCGTGTTGAAGCTATAGCAGTTTGTGTCAATCAGAGAGCATATCGTACGCCTGGCATCAATAATTTTGCTTTCTTTATTGTATCCTAAATATGCTTCATTATAAATGAGAAATACCAAGCAATGCCTCTATCAGGTCGCTTTCAAGTCTTATTGGTACTTTCCCCATCAGCCATGAGCCCTGTACGTCAAGGATCGATGAGGTCGGTATAATAAGCCGAAGTCTTACTGATATTTCCCTAGCACTAGTGCTGATTACAACTGTTTCTCTTCAAGCAACTATCCATTACTGTCGGCTCGCCCGTGCTACCGGGTTGCGTGAGTTGGACCTAATTCATGCGTACGCTCGGGCTTCTTCTTGCCAAACTGATGATGGATTTTTTTGAAGGTGATCGCAGATTGTAGACTTCAGCGAGTGTATATACAGGCATTTATTTGAATCCGGGTCCTTCTCGATTTCCCTGTAGTTTCCTATTCTGCGCTCTGTATCTTGTTGCGGCTAGCTTGAGACTATGCCAGCTAGGCGGGGACACAGACTCCTGGAGTGCCAGGTTGAGCACTCCGCACGCAGTTCTCGCCCTCTCGGCAATCTGCCAGGGTCTGACAAGCTTCGCTACCTACAGGGGGTTGGTCAGTATGTTTGGCAACAGTCTGTAGGCGGGCACATACCAACTGCCAGCGAAACGACGAGCATGACGACGGTGAGGAACTTCATTGCGGGCTGTTATACAGAGCTGGGGATTTATTTGGAGGAGACTGAGTTTGGAATCGTAGCTGAAGCCCGCCAGGTCGTCTTATTTATGCTGTGCTCTGTCCCTGCCCGGTATCGGGCTTCTGCACTTTGGCCCCCAGAATCCTGCGTTGAAGAGCCTGGACAGACGTCAAAGATAATACGAAAGAGATCAGATCCGGTGAGTCCTCCAGTCAGATAAGATCATAAAAGCCAGACCGTCCGCGCCATGAGATTTCATGGAATAAGCTGTCGGGAACTGCATAAGTACGTACCCAGTATCCACAATAAGTCAACTTGTTGGTTGCAGTCCATCTCTGGTTGGGCGTAGCAAATGCGAATATCGGACAGATTTGGCCCCAGCATAATCCAAGTGGGCCCAGTGTTCGAAGTCTCGACTGCCTTGTCATAATTATTGGATATACTGTACCCTCGTATATTTCGATGCGGATCAGATATGATTGATAACTATTGTTGGTGTTTGCAGAGTTTGTACGTCCGCAGTCTCAGCACAACTTTCAAATTGGTTGAAATATTATCGTGAAATCGGAATATATATTATTTGTTGGGTATTTCTGCTTTTGCTTGTAATATGAAAAGCACTGAAAGTTATTTGGGAGTCAGTGGAAACTCTTCAACATGCTCTATCGTGTTGTATATATATATATGTTCGGTATGTTAAGATTATGTTAAGCTACAATCGAAATCTGTCATTCCACAGATTTGGGCCCTGAAAGTGATAAATAAATTCGATTACTTGATATATATAAGGAATGACTCGATCTAGTCTTATTTCAAAGTTGTTATGTGGTGAATATTGCTGTCGAGAGTGAGGCCGGGTATTCCCAAAAAGGAAGTCACGACTCAGGTTGCGACTTCCATTTTAAGATTAGCGTCTCTACTCGTCAGGTGACCGCCAGTATTTCGCGAGCTGCGCGTCCAACTCGCGTCCCTCCAGTCGCTTCATCGTCAGGCTCTGCTTGACCGGCGAGATTCCCTCTGCATTCGCAGACGCGAAAACCACGTCCAGCTCTTCCAGTGTCCGCCCCTTCGTCTCGGGGAAGAAAAAATACACGCACGGCATCAGCGCCGCGTTGAACACCGCAAAGATTATATACGTCTTGTACCCCAGGTTTTTGAACGCCGGCGGGGTGATCATGACAATTAGGAAGTTGGATATCCAGTTCGAGCTGGTTGATAGCGCGTTTGCTTGAATCCGGATGCGCAAGTTCGTGATCTCCGCCGGATACAGCCAGGTCATGCCCAGCCAGCCGATGGCGAAGAACGTGTTGAATACAAAGAGGAACACTGTTGCCGTGATACCATATTTTGTGTCCAACTCTGGCGCTCCGTTTGGGAGGGTTCGGCCTGTGGAGACTGTTCCTGCCAGGATCGCCATCGATGCCATCATTCCAAATGCCCCGATTAGCATGAGCTTGCGGCGTCCTGTGCGCTCAATTAGAGGTAAGGCAACTAGTGATGCTAGAAAGTACTCCGTCCCATTGCACGCTGCGAGTAGACGGGACATGTCAGGGGCGAAACCTAGTGAATTTTCAAAGAGAAATGTGGCGTAGTAGGTAATCAAATTGATTCCGCACAGCTGCTGGAAGAACTGCGCAACAATGGCCAAGACCGTGCGCCGGAGGTTCTGGGATGGGCCATTGGTGAGAAGCTCTCTGTACCTGAATGGACCTCCCTTGCTCTGTGCCGCCAGTGCGTCGTTGATGTTCTGGATTTCCTGCTCGACTTCCCTGTCATGCTCCGGCTTCCCAACAAGGCGAGCGGTTACATCCCGGGCTTCCGTATGTCGTCCTTGCATGATCAACCAGCGCGGAGAGTCGGGGAGATAAAGCAGTCCGATCATGACAACGATGGTAAAGAACGATTGGAACATGAGCGGGAAGCGCCAGCGGACAGACCCCGTGAGGAAGTAGAAGCCGTAGTCAACCCAGTATGCAATCATGATGCCTGCAGAGATCAGGGCACCGGAGAGCATGATCAGGACACCGCGTTGATGGGGGCGGGCGCACTCGCTTTGCCAGGTGGGAATTGCTGTTGCCTGGTCAGTGCTATTGTCTGAGCATCAGATGAAGTAGGGCGTACTTGATGTCACCATTCCATTCCCAATCCCACCGACGACTCGCCCGGCCACAAACAGTCCGTACTCAAAGCATGCCGCCTGCATAATAGTCCCGATGATCATTAGCAAGGAGCCCCAGAACGTCGAAGACTTCCTTCCCCAGCTCTCGCCATAAGCGAGAATCACTAGGGAGCCCAGCCAACATCCTATCTGGTATATGGCCACGCCGGCAGCCTGTGTATTGGCGGTCCCCTTGCAATTTTCCGGATGTGGGATTCTGCCTTCTGGAGTTTCAATCCAGCATAGCGGGTTGAAGTCGTCGCGCGGCGTCATCAGGGAAAGTTGCTTCTGGAAGTCGTCCAGGGTGAGCAGGGCGCTCAGAACACCCTGGTCGTACCCAAACATCAGAAAACCGCAGCTCGCAATGAACCCGATTGAGATGTTCAGAGCACGACCAGAGAGATGGGACCCTCGGACCCTCCATTCTGGAAGGTTACCCATCCAGTTGAAGTAGCTCGCCAGACCGGTGGTTGCTTTGGTTCTGTTGCGCTCACGTTGGATGCGCTCAGCCTTGCTGGAAGCATCTTGGTTCTCATTGTGGCTGGGGGAATTGGAAGAAGTAGAGCCTGCCTTCTCCTGGAGAGGAGATGAACGAGCCGTGTCGGACATCTCGACCCAGCAATGTGAAGGGAACAAGTAGAGAAGTATTGTAGATGCCTCCCTCGCCTCCTCGTGGGTGGAGAGACGATTTATACCCACCCCCACGAGAGAGCTCGAGAGGCTTTCTGACCTGCGCACGGCGATCCAGCATGGGGTGATATGTACAACGATATGCGGTCCTCTTGCGACTGGGATGCTCGGCACCAACTTGGCGATGCCGGAATTGCCCAAAACGGCAAACCACGGCTGCCCAGGACAACACCAAGCATTGGCGCTTCGAGGCGACGTCTAGGCGGCTTCGAGGCGGCTGCACCTGGCGCGGCCGATGTCATGCAGCCCGATCTTGTGCGCTTCCCTGTTTTTCTGGCCGAGCCTGGATCGCGTGAGGACCACCTCAGCCTGGAGGCATAATGACCGGATGCACGCGACAATATTCAGCAGGCTTGTGTGCTGCACTTGACTTCGCTACACTGGCCGACGAGGTTATCAGGTAGCCACCGGATGTAGATGGTCGCACGACAGAATTGAGATCCACATCTGCTTAGCCTTACGTCGACCAAGAGCCGTATCTTGCCGTAAGGGGGATATCGCGCAGCATGATGAACCTTGAATGCACGCCCGGCTACTCCGATTGCGACCTACTGCAACCGGGCGCACTTCTTGCTCTGAAGAATCTGTCCACATGTTGTCCGGCCCTCATGGAGCACCCGATATTGGGCAACAGGCCGATAAGAATATTGGGCCAGCATCGCGAGCTGGAAATGCCGCAGTGATCGACAGATCTGCGGCTTGGCTCCCTCCGCTCATTAGAGAACGGACCGGGGTCAGATCAGAGTTGGATACGGGTGGAGGGTTACAACCTCCTGCTAGGGGCTCGTAAATTTGTCGACAGAATGCAGAGGAGGTGACGGTGCCCATGATAGCGACTTCCAGACGCCGCCTGTATGCTAACTTGCATGTTGTCCTTACCAAGAACGCCATTGAGTGTGCGATGCAGCGAGAAGCGACATGGTGGCGTCGAGGTAGGGTACGGCTGGCTTACGGGAACCACGGAATCGGGCCCGGGAGCAGAGATTGCCTCCTAATTAGACATGCTTTTTTTCATTTAGGGTGAGACCGAGAGATAGATTATACATATTCACTGCGAATCTGCCTCCACGAGTTTGGTTCGACGTGTGGTCGTCCTTGCTTCGCCCCTTGCAGCGCCATTGAAAGCGTCCTGACATTGAAGACTCTCCACACCCTCTCGCCAGGCACCTAAGTGTCTGTCTCACCAGCCTTGCTGTTTTGAGATTTGGTGTTTGCTTTATACCGCTGCCACTCGAGCATGTTCAGGTCGCCCCCAATTGCCTTGAACCTATGATGGTCAGCAGCATTCACCATCCTTGCAGACCGAACTCACCATATGGGGTCGATATTGTCCAAGCATAAATGGGGCGAGACATCTGCCTTCTTACCCCCCGCGCGGTCTACGGTAGTCCATCCCATTCCCAGATGGGCCCAAGGGTTCGAATCGAAGTGGCGGATCTCAAAGTCCTCGTACCGTGGCCGTTCGATTACCTGCTGATAATGCAGCGATGAGCCTGGCCAGATGGCGTTGACGCGGCCAGTTTCGTTGTTTTTATACCCTAGTAGTCATATCTCGTTAACTGACATCATCGTTATGGAGGCGAAGTTAACCTACAGCTTCGACAATCATCACTCCAGACGGTGTGCTTCACCCACTCCTGGACATGCTCGTTGAACTGATCTGTAACCTTCTGTCGAGGAACCCAGCTGCGGATATTTTCGTTCTGCATCTTATTCAACAGCTGGATTGCATATTCGGAAACAGAATGCAGCGGAGCCATCACACTGCCGTTCTGGATAGGCCATGAGGGGCCGATGAACGTGAGGTAGTTGGGCATCTCCGGTACAGCGAGCCCAAGATACGCTTCAGGGCTTTTCTTCCACTTGTCACGGAGGTCAACTCCATTTCGCCCGATGGTCGCAAACTGTGGACGATAAGTGTTGTCGAATCCAGTCGCACAGACAACGGTGTCTACCTTCCTCTCTACGCCGTCCGCTCCAACGACACCATCTTCAGTGCAACTCGCAACAGCTGTGAAATGGACATCGACATTGGACTGCTGGATCGCTTCCATGTAGGGGTCTCCAGGTGTGATCCGACGACACCCAAAGCCAAAATTGGGTGTGAAGCCTTGAGCCAACCGTTCGTCCTTGATGATGCTGGCAGTGCGCTGGCGGAAGAAATTTGACGCCCCCTTCTGCGCCATCGAGTCGCGGTAGAAGGCCCCCCACATTCCATTGACCTCGGCCTCGATGTCTTTTGCATGGTCCACCAAGGCTGTCGGGTTGGTTTTGAATTCAGTGCGTTCACTGTCGCTGTAGACCTTTGCTGGTGCCCCGGTGTTGCCTGCCAGAACGCCGAACCAGATGCCCGTGCGGACAAAGACGTCAAGATGGTCTGTATGTGGTTGCATACCAGCGACGGCCTGTACGGAAGATGCGCCGGACCCGATGACTGCGACGCGCTCGTTCCTCCACTGGTCTTGTTTGTAGTCGTCTGGCCAATTCGCGGTGTGGACGACTCGCCCTTTGAAGCGATGGTGCAGCCCCGGTGTATCGGGCCACTGCAGAGATTAGATACTTTTCGACTAGAGCAGGAGGTAATACCTTTGGATTGCTGAGTACTCCACATGCATTCAGCAGGACATGGCAGTAATCGTCGAACTCCTCTGGTTCATGTCCAGGCCGCTGTCGCCGGAGGCGAACATTCCACTGGCCCTTGTCCTCGACCCAGCGACTCTCGACCACTTCTGTCTGGAACTGCATGTACTTTCGGAGATCGAAGGCATTGCAGACCTTGTCGAGATATTCCCAGATATCGGCGGCGTAGGAGAAGTATCGCGGCCAGTCGGGGTACTTCAAAGTTAGCTCAACCATCTGCAATTCTCCACGAGGTACACACCAATGCAAATCGGTAGGTGTATGCATGGCTAGGAACATCACAGCCAGCGTTTGGATAGCGATTCGTGAGCCAGGTGCCTGATTCTGTTAGAATCCTGAAGATAATGGCCAGGGGTCCCAACCTCCAATATCGCTGTTCTTCTCGTACACAACATGCTCCATATTTTGGCACTGCTTCTGCACCTGATACGCCATCAGGATGCCTGAGAATCCAGCCCCAATGGTAATGACACGCAACCGGCGATTGCTTGGGTCGTTCCATGTTGTATCCTTGGGGATCGAGTATGCCGGCGTCTGAGGCGGAGAGGGACTTACTCGCTGACCCTTACCGTTGATATAGGAGACTGTCATGGTGGGGTGTGAATGTGGCTGTCCTGCCGTCTCATCCTGGTCAGTCCGTCGCTTATAACTGGATGTTGTCGTCGTCCGGACCTCGGCCAGCGACTGGATTGGTCGCACCCCGAACAAAGAACTGGGGGCTGCATTATCGGCTTGAACTGCCCCGTGGGCCGTCTTGGATGACTGGCGTCGGTGGTCGCGGTGGTTATAAGGATGCGATATCGTACGGACATTCGGTTTGCTTATCATCACACTCCCTAGTACAGCCAACCGTCACCTCACCATGGCAGCACCTCCAGCGCCACAGCCCCCGAGTCTCCTCGGGTACCACCGAGTACTCTCTCCCCTGGCCGGTATCCGCGTTTCGCCCCTCTGCCTAGGCACGATGCACTTTGGCGGGCAGTGGGCGCATACCATGGGCGAAGTGTCCAAGGAAACCGCCTTTGCACTTCTCGACAAATTCTACGAAGCAGGCGGAAACTTCATCGACACTGCCAACTTTTACCAAGGCGAGGGCAGCGAGAAATGGATTGGTGAGTGGCTGGCCGCGCGCCAGAACCGCAACGAGCTCGTCATCGCAACCAAGTATACCATGAGCTACAGACACACCGGCCCCGAGAAGATCAAGTCGAACTACCAGGGGAGCCACTCGAAGAGCCTGCGCCTCTCCCTCGAGGCGAGTTTGAAGAAGTTAGGAACGGACTATATTGATCTGCTCTACGTGCACATGTGGGACTTCTCGACCGGCGTCGAGGAGGTGATGCAGGCGCTGCACCACGTCGTCGCTAGTGGGAAAGTATTGAATATCGGTATCAGCGATGCGCCCGCATGGGTTGTCGTCAAGTGCAATGAATGTGAGTCTCTATAACCCTAACGATTGCTAGTCGAATCACCGCTGAGCGACTACGACGACCAGACGCCCGATTCCACGGACTGACGCGCTTCTGCGTCTACCAGGGCCGCTGGTCGTGCTCGTATCGTGACTTTGAGCGCGAGATACTGCCTATGTGCCAATCCGAGGGTCTTGCAATTGCACCGTTCGGCGCCCTGGGTCGCGGTCAATTTAAGACTGCCGACGAGTTCCAGCAGAGTGGCACGCGCAACATGGGCCCGCAGGAGGAGAAGCACCGGCTGATGGCCGCAAAGCTAGCGGAAGTTGGACAGCGCAAGGGTGTCGCCCCGACGAGCATAGCACTGGCATACGTACTGCACAAGTCGCCATACGTTTTCCCCGTCATCGGGTGTCGGACTGTTGAGCATCTGGAGTCGAACATCGAGAGTCTTGCGGTTGCGTTGACCGACGAAGAGATCTACGAGATTGAGGATGCGACGCCGTTCGATATCGGCTTTCCCATGTCGTTCTTGTTTGAGATGCCGGGGCAGAAGTATCGGAGTGATATGACAACCAGGCATATCTGGCAGGTTACCTGTAATACTCGTCTTGAGGCCGTTCCCAAGCTTCGGGTAAGTCTATCTATTCTCCTGCCTTTACAGCGAGCTAATTGTGATACCAGCCCATCGAGCCGAAGCAGGGATACAACCAGATGGATCGGTAGGATTCTGATATTACTAGATAGCTAGTTTTCTGGAATGAACATGAACTTTCGGGGTCCGAATCCCCTCGAAATAGCGTATATAATTTTCCGCTTCCCCAGTATTCCAGGACTGACACCACCCAATTTTACCCCCTTAATCATGTCAGACAACTACCGCCTCGACGGAAAAGTCGCCCTTGTCACCGGCGCCGGCCGTGGAATTGGCGCTGCCATCGCAGTAGCTCTCGGTCAGCGCGGCGCCAAAGTCGTCGTCAACTATGCCAACTCGCACGAGGCCGCCGAGAAGGTCGTCCATGAAATCAAAGCAAACGGTAGCGATGCGATTGCACTCAAGGCCGACGTTGGCGACCCCGAGGCTGTGGCCAAATTGATGGACAAGGCTGTAGACCATTTTGGATATCTCGATATTGTGTCCTCGAATGCTGGGATTGTCTCGTTTGGACATCTCAAGGATGTTACACCAGACGTGAAGTCACCCTTTTCACTTAATAAACCCAAGTACTCATATTGAGTAGGAATTTGACCGCGTCTTCCGAGTCAACACCCGCGGCCAGTTCTTCGTTGCGCGTGAAGCCTATCGCCATCTACGCGAAGGAGGCCGCATCATCCTAACCAGCTCCAACACTGCGTCGGTCAAGGGGGTACCCAAACACGCCATCTACTCAGGATCCAAGGGTGCCATTGATACATTTGTCCGCTGCCTGGCCATCGACTGCGGGGACAAGAAGATCACCGTGAATGCCGTTGCTCCTGGCGCCATCAAGACGGACATGTTTCTTGCCGTGTCCCGGGAGTATATTCCGAACGGCGAGAGCTTTACCGATGAGCAGGTCGATGAGGTATGCAGTCTGCCTTCGATTAGTGGTGTATTTGCTAATAGTTAGTGTGCTGCGTGGTTGTCGCCTTTGAACCGAGTCGGTCTGCCGGACGATGTAGCCCGAGTGGTCAGCTTCCTGGCATCGGACGCAGCAGAATGGGTTAGTGGGAAAATCATCGGCGTCGATGGAGGCGCATTTCGATAGATTATCTTAAACTATTATTGTATGTAATCAGAATGCATGGACGTGCAAGCATCTTCGCTCGCCGTTCGCTCACCGAGATCTCGGCAGACTTTTCTTGATGTACGTACGTCCACCGCTAGATACATCGAACTATGCGCTATCCTCATTTCTCCACCTAGGAGGTGCAATCGGCATTTCAGCTTCAGCCAGGGCAGCAGGCCCCGATACATCCATGACAATAGGCAGCGAATGGACCCGTTCAAACCACCCCGAAACGCCGGGATGCTCCGAGCGCCAGGCCGGGTCAAGAAAGAAGCGAAATGCGCCTTGAACAATGCCAACAACAAACAGGTCGGCCAAGGTGAGAGTATCCCCGACCAGATACCTGCGGTCGCGCAGATGGTTGTCTAGCATCTGCATCCGGAACAATGTGTCCTCCTTGCTTCTCTGGATGGCGTCTGGGTTAAACGGCGCCCGTCCGATCAGCGGATTGAACCAGCTTCCCAATGCGGGGAGGATTTCGGTAATCCCAAAGGCCATCCAGCGGAGGATTGAACTGTAGTCCTTCTTTGAGGCGCCGAGGAGCGTGGTATCTTGGTTCTGGGAGGTCACTGCGCTGGTTAGAAGGCTGTTCGCAGTTGACTGGACATGTATTTACCGTAGATAGCGATGGCGATGGACTCTGTCAGCACGAAGCCATCATTCCCAACAAAAGTAGGAATTTTGCCTAAAGGGCTTAGTCTGAGATACTCTTCAGGAGCCTCCTTGGACGAGGTGATGGTTTTGACCTCGAGGGGGAGACCGTTGGCTTTGGCCACAGCGAGGATTGCCAGGGATCGTGGGTTGAAGGGACGAGTATAGAGCACGCCGGACGACATCTTGGATATTTGAATTTGAAAGCTAATTGCACGGGACTGTGATGACTGGGAGTGATCTTAAGAACAATTCCGAGCTATATCTCTGCTAAGCCGTAGCCCTAATATCCCCGAGCACAACGGCCTTCATCTTATCTCGATCCGTGAACCGCCCTTCGTCCTCCAATACCTCCGGACTGGTCATAACCGGCAGAAACTCCTGAAAGGCCTCTCTGCTTGCAAAGCTGACTATGGCAAATCCGTCGTAGGTGAAGTCGGCCGCGTGGCCTACCAGCGGGCTAACCGGGTAGTCTGCACGGGTCTCGTCTCGCTGCAGATAGTGCCGGGTGTGACTGAGAGGGAATGATGCTCCTCCAAGTCTCTGAAGGAGAGGGACGTGTCTGTTTTCCCAGTGGTCGCGGAATTCGGCTGGGGAGAGTTCGTGTTTTCGCGTCACGAAGACGACTATTGTGAAGCCGGACGACATGGATATTGATGGCAAATTTCAATAGAGCGTTGGGAGATGAAGGAGGGACGGAACCATCGACGGGCTTGAAGTATTCGGTGTTGATGTGTCTATATCACCACTCTCATCGGTGACTGCAGTCCTGCTCGGCCGCCGAAGAGTACCATAGTTCAATGCCAGCAATATTCCAAATATGCCTCCTTCACTATTGAATTTTGTCCCCTTGAGCAGAAACCATGTATCCCATGATCATCGCAAGTGCAATAGTACTGCTGGTCCTGCGCCTGGTGCTGGCATTTTATCTCGCCCGGCAGGAAGTATGGAAGCTTCGACGGGCAAATCTGGTATGTCCACCATCAGGATTGCAGGTCTAGTGAGCCAGACGCTGACTTCTCTAGGCCATGCCAGACTTCAAACTCCTGACCGGCCACTTCGGCGCGCTGAAACAAACAATCCAGGGAATGCCGCCGAACGCAACCCTCCACAGCATAATGCTGAAGCTCTCACAGCAATTCCCCTCGGGCATGTTCTATATCAACATGTGGCCGTTTAGCGGGACATGGTTAATAGTCGCTACCCCATCAGCAGCAAGCCAGATCCAGAGCCTGAATCTCACTAAACCGGATATCCTGCGCAGGCCCTTGGAGACGATCACGGGGGGTCCTAGTTTAATCAGTATGCATGGAGAGGCGTGGAAACGGTGGAGGGCGCTGTTTAATCCGGGGTTCAACCCAACATACTTGACTGGGCTGGCGCCGTACATTGCCGACGAGGTGTCGGTTTTCTGTGAGCAGTTGAGGAAGAAGGCGAGAGAGCGCGAGATGTTTCTGCTTGAGCCTCTCACGCTGAAATTAACTGTTGATACTGTCTGCTCTGTTGCGCTGTAGGTATCACTTACCTTGGTTGTTAATGAGAGCTGCTAATCCTGCTCGCCCTTCATAGCGACGCACAGCTCCATCATCAGACGAAAGCCCACCCCCTGGCAGTAGCCCTACAGCGACAGATTGAATGGGCTTCCTTTGGAACCACCTTCAACCCGTTTAGGCGTTATCTCACAGTCCGACCCCTAGTGCTGTGGTACAACAACCGTCTGATGAACCAATTTATTAACCAAGAGCTCGATCGAGCATATCATGAGCAGTCGGGTCAACCATCCAAGTCCGTGATCGCGCTCGCTCTCAGGCAATATCTGAAAGAGCAAACCAACGGAAACACTGCTCGATCACTAAAGGATTTCAAACGCGAGGTTGCACCCCAGTTGCGCGTCTTCCTCTTCGCTGGCCGAGACACAACAAGCAGCACTCTGCTGTATATCTTTTATCTCCTTTCGAAGCACCAAGAGGCCCTAGCAAAGATTCGTACAGAGCACGACAATGTTTTCGGGAGAGACCATCATCAGGCACAGACTCGAGTCCGCGACGACGCACAACTTCTCAACCAACTCCCCTACACGGTAGCCGTGATAAAAGAGACCCTCCGCTTATTCCCACCGTCCGCCTCAATGCGCGAAGGTAGACCAGGAGTTGACTTAGTTGGAGACGATGGTCAACAATATCCTACTGCGGGTTGCAATGTCTGGACGTTGACAGTTGCCCTTCACCATAACGGCCAGTACTGGAAGGAGGTAGAGTCGTTCATCCCCGAGCGGTGGCTCGTCGGGCCAGAAGATCCCTTATACCCAGTGAAAGGGGCCTGGAGAGCGTTTGAGTTTGGTCCCCGGAGCTGTATTGGGCAGACACTTGCGCTCTTGGAGCTCAAGATTGTTCTAGTAATGACATTGCGGGAGTTTGATATCACGCCTGCCTATGATGAGTGGGACAGTCTGCACCCGCGGGACTCCGCTAAGCAGGTGAATGGACATCGTGCGTACCAAGCGGAGAAGGGGGGAGGAGGAGCTCATCCTGCGGATGGTGTTCCTTGTCGAGTTACCTTGCGGAGGTAGGTGAAAGCTGTTTCTACGACAGTATAGATCAGGAAACCCGCAGAATCAATGTAGGCCACTTCAATCGGTGTGATTCGCAGAATTACAAAATCGAGGAATTAGGCCAATACACTACGGGAAGAACAAATGCCAATATTCATTTGCAATTTACTGTAATCATGATAGTTGTGTATATCTCGACACAGGAATCAACCCATAATCCGATCAATTAGCTCCCTTACCAAATAAACATGTTCCTTCGTCTAGATAGCGCATCAGTAAAAGACCATTTAACGAATTGAAAAAAGCACTCACCATTAACGTGAAGTGGTTCGCACCCTCGGCGCGAATAATATCGAACTCGGCCCCCGGACAGACCGTGTCCCAGCCATCAGGTCCAAAGTCCGTCCGCTTTTGTACCATGAAGTGCATGCCCTTCATCCTCGGCGCGGCATCTTCCTCCATCACAGTTTCGGCGGCCCATATTATACCAACCTTGGGCATACGCGTGGTATTCAGCGGTGCCACCTTGTAGTCAAGCATCACATCGACGGTTGCTTGGAAATGTGGAATCAAATACGCTGGAGGCTGAGTCGTGCCATCGGGCGCACCACCAGGCTGATTGGCAAAGAGGCCGATGTTGTTGCAGTATTCATAGAAAGACGTAGGTAGTTTCTCCATCACTTGAGGTACGGGCGCATCTATGATGATGATCGAATGAACCTCTTCGCCCATATTAACAAGAGCTTCCGCAGTCACGTAGGCGAATGCGCCACCAGATGACCAGCCGCCGACATGGTACGGGCCGCGCGGCTGGCGGCGTTTGATCTCATTGCAGAAACTTTGGATCATGGCCTGGTGGGTGCAGTTCATGTTCTCTGGATCACGCGCGTACGGACAGTTCAACCCGACGATAGCCACATCGGAATGAAGACGAGGGATGGTGATGTAGGACGAGGCTGAGCCACCGCCATCAGGAAGCATGAACAGGATCTGTCTGGCCATCCGTGGTAAACCTTGAAGAATCACCGAAGTAGTTGGACGGCATTCATGAACCCGCTTTCGCGAGGCATTTGCTTCAGCTTCATGATCATCTGGCGCCGAGGAGATACTGCTGCCACTTTCATCGTCTTTCGAGCTAGACGAAGAGCCAGTAGTACTTCTGTTTATTCCACCAAAGAACTGCCGTAGGCGTTCAACTGTTGGCACTTCCTCAAACAGGTTGAATGATGAGTCTAGGGACATCCCAAGGTCCTCGCGGAACCGACTCGTGATGACCATGGAGCTCAGGGAATCAATACCGATGTCGGCAAAAACCGTATCGCGAGTTAGCTCTTCCAATGCCACTCCGCTTTCTTCCGCGACGATTTGTAGTGCGGTATTGAAAGCCTCATCGCCGCTACCAAGAACGTCAATGTCTGCATTTCCAACTTTTACCCAGGTTCCCAGCGGGAGGCACTGGTGGGATAGATCTAGTTTTGGTGATGCGGAATTGGGATCCTTGGCTGCCTGCTCAACAGGCTGTTCGCTATCTCCAATATCCTCAGCATCCGCTGTGGATTGATCCGAAAGGAAGGTCTTGAGAGACCTAACAGTAGGGCAATCGATAAACAAGGAAAACTCAGCACCAAGCTCAAGGCCAAGGTCTTCACGCAACCTACTACCAATAACCATGGAGCCTAGGGAGTCTATACCCATATCTGCAAAGTTACTGTCGTCGGTAAGCTCTTCCAAAGCGACACCGCTTTCTTCGGAGATGACACCCAGAACCGCTTGAACTTTGCCGTCATCTGGTTGCGGTTGGTTTCTGACAGGCTTTGACTCCCTGAAGTTTGAGCCAGTGGATGGTGCTGTGCAGTCAGTGGCTTGTAAAATTTGTTCTGCCGCCCTTTGAGTAGCCGCTATATGGCTAGGCGTAGGAACAGGACGCTGAGATGGCTGGAGTTTAGCGGTTGGCTTGTCACCATGTTCACGAACGGCTTTGTCTGAAGCTTGTTGGAGGACCATTCGAAGACCCCGACGTGGAACGCAACGGAGCTATCGCAAGTTAGCTAGTTAAATCAAATGTTTAGTTAGAGGATCTGTACCGAAAGTCCCTTGAAGAAGGCAACAACCGCATCGCCATCCAACACAATAGTGTCGCCATGCACCAGGTCTCCAGACTTATCCTTTGTCATTCGGGAATATACTTCGTAGGCCTTACCCTTAACAAGAGGCTGGTAAGCTTGGAATGAATCCCAGCCATGGTTCACAAAAACCTCCTGTTGAATATCGGTGTTGTCGTTGGCGTTCATGGCGAACCCACCGACCTGAGTAATGGCGTCGACGTAGGCGGGATGCACAGCAAACGTTCCGTCGCTCTTAGCAGCGGAAAAATCCATCGTCGACACGGCTTCGTTGTCCACCTCATTCAGAATCAGATTGTCGAGCAGTTTGTAGTCAGGGTGGAAACTGGCCATGCTACTCATTAGCTTGTAACCGCTCTTTCTGGTATATCGAACGAATTGCCCTTGGTGAAGACCCTCTCGTAGTCGATCCATTTGTGACTTATATTCTGGGACCCTTCTCTGCAAGGACTTCAGCTGTGCGTCGCTTGTGAAGCGTACGGTGCAACTCGCGTGTTCGGTGTCCAATTTGCCGTTGGCAAAGTATGTAGCAAACTTGATTTTGGCTGAGCGGGTTGTAGCTGCAGCCTTTGGAGGCCAGCTCATAGTTAACCTTGTCCTAAGCAGTTGGGGTGCTTTGCCATGTGGAATGAGAGCCTTATCCACGACCAAGTCGGCCACGTCTACAACGCCATCCATAGCGCCCGGGTGACTTGCACGAAGGCGGTTCATCGAGTACCGTCCTACTTGCAGAGCAATATCAGCGTAGAATGATGGAGTACAAAGTGGTATTCCGTCGACTAGGTGACCCTGGGCTATCTGATTGACATCTTTGCGTGAGATATCCGTTTCCACGACTAGCGTTGCTCCAAGCGGCTCGGTCTTTTCTTCCACGACCCGGTGCACTGTTGTGGTGAGTGCAATGTCGGGGTATGCCTCCTTGGTCTCGTCTTGTTTGGAAGCACGCCTAACTGATACTGAATCATCTGTGGGTACTTGATAGTCGCTTGTCGCAGTTTCCTTACCAGGTGTTGCACAGCTGCAGTGAATTTCATGGCGATGCAGACACCACTCTCCCTTATAAGGAATGAAGTAATCTTTCAAATCCCAGCCGTAATCAGGTACCTCGATTACCTTCTTACTGGAGTCGAATGGCTCATGGTATGCGACCCAGTTAATGTCCAGCCCTCGAGTATAGAGGGTGCTCAAGGCATTATGCAGACTTTTCCAGACATCAATGTTAGGGCCCAGTACTGATAAAGCAGAACTGCTGTCTTTATCGAGCGTCATTCTAATCATTCGAGCCAGTAGCGGCTTGGGCCCAACGTCAATGATAATCGTGGGATCCGTAATAACCTGCTTATCGCGCGCAAGCTCCAGCACCTGCACCATGTTTACTGGTTCGCGACAATGGCGGGCGAGATATGTCGGGTTCATAATGCCCTCCTCGTCGACAATCTTGTTTAAAAGAGGCGACAAAATTGGTATCTGGGGCTTGTGAAACTTCACGCCACGAGCTATATCCTTAAACTCTTCGAGGATAGGCTGAATCTGTGCGGAGTGGAAAGCAAATGGGAGCATAAGGAAAGTCCCTTTGATCCCCTTGGCTGATAGGGAATGCTGAAGATTGGTAATTTCTTCTCGTGGTCCGCTAAGAACAGTATCGTTAGGACCGTTGTGACAGGCAATTTCACAGTTGGATTCAGCAAGAGCCTCCTCTAGAACGCCTGGTGATGCACGAAGAGCCAGCATCGCGTGAGTTCCGCGTTGGCAGCGCTCTTGAAGCAATTCGGCCCTCTTTCCAACTAAATACAGGGTATCAGAGGCAGAGAGTACACCGGCAAGGTACAGCGCGGCGTACTCGCCTAGACTATGGCCAACGACGGCGTTCGCCTTCAGTCCCATGGAATTGAGGAGATTCCCCAAAGCCATTTCGAGGCTTACCAGGGCCAACTGGGAAACCACCGGGAGGAGGTTCTCCATGGGATCACCGATCGGTCGAGCGGTATACACGTCAAGGAAGCTGGGGAAACCATAGGTTCTAGCCAATTGGTCAAATCGCTCGAGATCGGAGCGAAAGGTTGGGTATGCTTCATAAAGCTGCTGGCCCATTCCGGCATATTGCGAGCCCTGTCCACTGCAGGCAATGACAACATTAGGCTTGGTCTTTGGGCGGTTGATTCCATCGCCTCTCTCAATGGCACTTTCCAGGTTGCATAGAATCTCCTCGATGTTTGTGCCGGTAATGCTGACTCTGTGAAGATGATGCCATCTGCGGGCGGTGGTTGTATATGACAATTGCGCGGGATTAATATCTGGTCGATTCTTCAAATGATTCCGTAGTCGCTCCATATTTGTTTTCACTGATTTGCCTACATGTCCTGAAACGGTAGCAATGTAGTCCGTTCTAGGGTCCGATGCCGTTGGAGCATCGCGGATAGGGGCGTCTTCAATCAAGACAGCGGTATTTCCCCCAGCAGCACTAAAATTGTTGATGAGAACCCGTCTTGGGGTATCAGTACGAGGCCATGGCTTAGGCTCCAACGCAATGTGCACATTTCGAGCAGGTAGGTCGGGATAGTTTCGGTTAATTCGGCTACCTGGTTTGATACCGCAGTGCGGTGGGATGGTGTTGTGTTTCAACATCAACAGAACCTTCACAAGACTAGTGACCCCGGAGACTCCCTCACCGTGACCTATGTTCGCTTTGGCAGATCCCACATACAACGGTTTATCAGGAGGTCGGAACGTTTCATTCGGAGCGAAGAGGGTCAAAACCGACTCCATCTCAACAGCATCGCCGACCTGGGTCCCGGTACCGTGCATTTCGATATAACCAAGGTCAAGTGGATTGATTCCTGCCGTGCTCAACACAGCCGACATGTTGTCGATCTGGGCCGGGGTGAATGGCCTTGTCATCGAGTCGGACATAGCCGAATGGTTCGTTTTAATGTCGAGGATGGTGCCTAAAATCGGGTCGTTATCTGCCAATGCGTCTTCAAGACGTTTGATGAAGACGGTGCCAACTCCCTCTGCGCGGCAGTAGCCATCTGCCGCATCGTCGAAGGCCTTGCAGTTGCCTGTGCGTGACAGAAAGAACCCTTTATCCAAACCAGTGTGACCATCAGGCGTAAAGATCATATTGGTGCCACCTGCCACCGCTGTATCACAGTCACCACGCCAAAGTGAGTTGCACGCAAGATGAATGGCCGCCAAACTGGAGGAGCAGGCAGTGTCGTTACTATAGCTGGGGCCCGAGAATTCAAAACAGAAATTTATACGCCCCGGGATGAACCCACGGTTCCCACCAGTAATGAAGTATGTATCAATGTTTTGCGCTGTATTCGTTTCCATCCAGTCGTTACTGGTAACCCCATGAAAAACGCCGATGCGGTTGCGTTGAGTTGAGGGTGTTGTATCTGGCACGATACCTCCCCTCTCCATAGCTTCGTAAGTCGACATCAGCGCCATCCTTTGCGCGGGGTCCATCTGCGGTGCCTCTTTGGGGGATATACTAAAGAACCGCGGGTCAAAGTCACCAGCAAAGTCCAGCCAACAGCCCCAACGGGTGGCTCCCTTGTTGTGAGCCTTTCCACTTGGGTCAACATGGGTTTTCACATCCCATCGACGTGGGGGGACCTCCTTGCATACATCAAGGCCTTTGTAGAGCAGATCCCAGAATGAATCCGTGGAGGGTGCCTCGGGAAACCGACCAGACATTGAAACAATCGCAAGTTTGCTTCTGTCGGATCCTGGACGGTGACTATACCGCTCGGGTATTTGAGCCGATGTACTGTGGGCTTCGCCAACCGTCACTCCTTCCGACGTTAAAGCGGCCGATAAACTCTTCGTAAGAGTGGTTGCAAGGGGGACAATTGACACAGTATTCACACCACCCCGGGCCTTCAGTAGTCGCGGCAGCTCAGTCTCAACTAGTTCCCATCGTATAGGTTCAATAAGACATTGCTTAAGAGCGAGATGTAGTAGATCACGGTAGTTGCGTACCCATACGAGCTTGCCGGTCACGGAGGAGAGGAATGGTATTTTGGAGCCATACGTACTCCAATAGCTTTCGTTCGTCGTTTCAAGGATATTGTCGACATCTTTGGAGGAGAAAAGATGCGGGTTATGTGCAGGGACGTATATCGGGATTCCCATCCATCGCTTACTATCTTTCAGTCGTGGTTGGGTTGCTAGGTCGGCCAAGATATCGGGGCTCCCGCTCACGGTTGTGCTCTTGGTGGAGGTCGCTGTAATCCAAGGCTGGCGAACATTCGGTAGTGCCTGCCGCAGGACTGAGTCAGTTAGACATTCTTAAAGTATGGGTGAACTTACTGACCTTTTCATTGCTGAACCTTTCAATGGCAATAGCGGCTTCATCGGGTGATATATCAGACACCACCGACCATGGTTTTGTGTGGTTAACATCTGATATCTCCAAGCGGTCACGCACTTCTTGAGCACAGAGACCGAGGCGGAAGGAAACAAGTACGGTCTGGACCGCGATTGGCAGAAGTTCGGATAGAGAAGTGCTACAGCTGATGGCAGACGCCGCCAGAGATCCCGTACAGACACCCAGGACATAACTGTCATTGAAGCGAGGATAGGGTATGGCTGGGTCATCAAATTGCCGCATGAAGAAGCCCAGTTGGGCAATGCATGAAAGCGCTGTTTGAAACGCCGAAGGTAGCCTGCCGTCGACATACTTCTGCAGTACTTCTGCCAGGGATGCCGTTCGGGCTTGCTTGTGCTCTTTCGGGGTCAGCTTCTGGATCATCTGTGCACGTATAACATAGTGTGACTGTTCAAGGAAGGCCACTAGTATAGGGTTATTGCGGATTGCCAGAAGATCTCGCAGTTCTGGGACAAAGTCATAAGTTTGATCTCCGAAGAGGAAGAGCCGAGTAGAATCGGCCTGGTTTGCCATCATGGGTGGTCGATGCGAGGGATGTATGGTCTGATGGTGTCTAGACTTGAACAAGCGTAGACCTTAGCCTACTATTTTATGTGGACGTGGAGTATATCGACACGGGAGCCTTCTCCGGACCGATCTGGACTCGCTGACCGTAGCCCGATCTTGTCTGAAATTGGAGGAGAGTTCCAGAATACACCAGCGAGACCGAGTTTCTGACCGAGGTCTGAAGGGTTCCGCTGCGCGGTCGGGGGTAGGGCGTCCTGACAATTGGCCGACAGTCAGTGACGACCTGCCGAGCACTGATATATCATCTGATGTTGTGAGAAGGGCGAGAAAAAAATCCTCTTCACGCACTGGCAGTACAATGGCTTCAGATGTCAAAGAAGTCGTTGCGATACTTCTGAACATAAAATGGCTCACACTGTTGAACTATGTGGGCAATTGTTTAATGGTCATTAGTGTGATCAAAGTGGGCCACCCAGAAGCGTGAGCAAGATCGAGACTGACACACTTAGACTATACAAATTGCCTTTTTCAGTCCGCTCAGACGAATCCCGGGGCCATGGTATGCATCCTTAACGGGACTTCGTCTGTCATGGTCTGTGTTTGCCAACAACAGGATCCACTACGTTCATTCCCTGCACCGACAATACGGGCCAATCGTCCGCATTGGACCGCAGGAAATCGACGTAGCAGAGCCTGCCGCAGGACGAGAGATCCACCGCATGGGATCGGGCTTCACCAAAGCGCCCTTCTACGCGCTTCTGTCGCCAGGCCCGGTAGACAATATCTTCAATTTCCGGGACGCCAAACTGCATTCGGCGCGTCGGAAGCTCTACGCTCGGGGGTTCACATTGCAGAGCCTACGAAATGAGTGGGAGCCCAAGGTCCGTGAAATCACCAAGTTGACTGTGCAGAGAATCAAGCGCGACGCGCTACAGGGGGAGGCCGAGGTGATGGGATGGTGGACACTCATGGCCAACGAAGTAGTCTGCCAGCTTACGTTCGGTGGCGGCGCAGGTACAGTTGCCAAGGGAGTAAAGGAGCCCTTTGTCCTCATGCTAGAGCGCCGGATGGGAGATCTCGCACATTTGCTCAAGCATTTTGCCCCACCAGGCTACTACATTGGTCGAATGTTAGCCTGGGTTGTCCCCCAGCTGCAGGATGTTTTTTACTCCCAGGAAAGGATGTTCGCTGCCGGAGGCGATGTTGTATCGCGGGCCCGAGAGGTGAAGTCGGCCAGCAACGCCCCCAGCAATCTATTCAACAAAGCGTTGGAGGAAGGAAGCCTGACCGACACGGACATCATAACCGACGCAGGGGCTCTACTACTGGCGGGCTCAGACCCGACGGCAATTTCCCTGACCTTCCTTCTCTGGTGTGTATTGAGTCGGCCAGAACTTCAGAAGCAGGTCGAGACCGAAGTTGCAACACTCGAAGGCGAGGTAACGGACTTGGCCTGTGAGCGGCTTCCGATCCTGAATGCGGTCATCGACGAGAGCTTACGACTGTACGGGGCGGCCCCGGGATGTATGCCTCGAAGTCCACCGCCCGGAGGCGCAACTGTCGGAGGCTATTTTATCCCAGAGAATGCGGTGGTGGTGACGCAGAATTGGAGTCTCCAGCGAAATCCGGATGTTTGGAAAGACGCAGACACGTAAGTAGAAGCCATCGAAACTAGCGGATAAACCAAAAGCTTACACCACTCAACTAGGTTCGATCACACCCGCTGGCTGCGAGATTCTGGAATGACGGAGCAGGCCAAGCTTGCATTCAACCCGTTTGGGTATGGGGCAAGGCAGTGTCTGGGCATCCATCTCGGGCGCCTGGAGATGCGTCTGGCGGCGGCGATGTTTTTCCGCGAGTGTGCCGGAGCGCGACTGGGGGAGTCAGTGACGGAGGAGAGCATGCGAGTGGTAGACAGTTTCATAGCGGGCGTCCCTCGGGACCGGAGATGCTGTATTACACTGCAGTAGTTGATTGAATGAAAGCATGAATGTTGACTTGACTGTTGATTGTGGACGCGAGAGTGACGCGTGCGCGTTGAAGTCACGTGCTTGGCGCGGTAGTTCTTCAGCCGACCGCCGACTGCCAGAGACCAGCAGAGTCGGCGCAGCGACTCCGGTTGTCCGGCAGCCGAAGCGTTCGCCAATCACGGCTCCTGCCGCGGTCCGAACGATCCTGTTAGCGTTGCAGTCTGCAGCTTACTTGCACTCTATCAGTACATCGCAACACGGTCTGTTCTTGGAGGTGGCTCAGGTGAGATTGACAACAAGAGCAAGGAATTTAAAATTCGGTATGTTGTATTCATCTCAAGAAGCCTATTAATTATTGGCTTGTGTTATATAAAAAAATCTATGTAAATGGAGGGGAGTCGCATATATATATATCGAATGTCGTAGCACACAATCCATTCGAGAAACCAAAATGAACAGGAAAAAAAGAAAAAAAAAAAAAAAAAAGAAAGAAAGAAAAGAATACAAAAATCATCTATGCACGGAAAGAAAGAGCTTTCTTGGCGAATCGTTTTGCAAATTCAGAGATATCCTGTGCCCTCTTGCCAAACTTGGGCGGCGACCAGACCGGAGGACGCTGCCATGGAAGGGGGTCCAACGCTTGCTCAGCAAAGGGCCGCTGGTCGAAGGGTTTGCCCATCAGGTTCTCTGGTGTACGTAGAGCAAGTTGCACCACGTCGCTGGCTAGGGAGAAGCCGCTGATTTCTTCTCTCGGTCGTTGCCAGCCTTCCTTGACGGGCAGGCGCTCTTCAGTGAACAGGATCTTGACGAACTCGGCCGATGTCTTGTTGGATCGGGGGTCTACCATCGTGCGGAAGTACTTGATGGTCTCGCCGTACGTCGTGATGACTTGCTGGTCCTGGTAGAGGAAGCTAGGGTTCTTCAGTCGCGACTCAAGCACCCGCGCATACCGGGCCGCGGCGGCATCGTTGAGGTCGATCCACTGCTTGCCCTTGAAATGGCCAAGGAACTTCTCCAAGGCAACTGGGTCGATGGTGTGGCCGTCGCCTCCGAGATACCAATCCTTGCGGGTGAGGGATGCGTCGTGCTCGAAGATGTTATGACGGTTTAGCATGCCGTAATCGAAGACGCCCGAGGCAGGGTCGTCAGCGGAAAGGACAGAAAGCCCGGTAACAATGGTGGCAAGCTCCTCGCTGAGATGGAAAACCTCTTGCATCAGGGGGATTACTTCGCCAACGGTGATGTTGCTTCCATTGCGGTTAAGGAAGCCGTGGTTAGCCAGACTGTTCATAGCCGGACAGCCACAGCGCAAGTCACCAGGCCCAGCTGGATGCCATTGATTGAAGTCGAGCTCTGCCTGTGCGGAGCCAAGGAGGAAGAATGCGGACAAAGCCCCAAAGAGAGTTGCCTTGAACATCATTGTACAAAGTATTGCGTTGTTTTGTTTGGAAGAAAATGATAATGAGACTGTTCTTGCTGGAGAAGGAACAATGGCATCCAGGCGACAAATGCCCGGTTATATAGGCCTCGAGGTGTTCTCTCTATTGATTCTATTTCCATCTACGAGGCTGCGCTGATAGCCAATCCACACTATCCAGCACCGCCGACACCGTATTCCAGTGCGCCTCGAGTGGCGATGAAAGCCCTCGAGCATGATGGAAACGCCCAGCGCCCGTAAGCCTCAAGCTAGATGTGATCTGAGAATACGAACCTCAGTGTTAGAAGAGTGTAGTTTGAGACAACATGGGGGCCACGCGACAAAAGTAGCACGGCTAGGCGAGAAACAAGGTTTCTGCACGATGTTCTATAAATGACGGTACTGCCACAAGAGCGACGACGAATGGGAACCATGATATTTTGACCTGTGGCTGCTTTTACGGGCCAAGGCCAGCGTGCCTGCGTTTGATCCCTGCCCTCAGGTGATGGGTTGGCTGTCCTTGCCCGCAGGCTATGAATAGAAACCCAGCTTGTCCCTGTGCCGTGACCTCAGCCGCAGTGCCGGGACGAGGCAGAGCGCATACAGAGAAGACCGAGATAGAAACAGGAAGAATCAGCCGATGACAGCTCCAGTACTATCTGGGTTATGCTGGGGCCGCAAGGGGTGGTATGAGTGACAAGGCTGGCAGCATTCTGATGGTTGGGTGGAGCAGAGAATTAGTGTCAAGACAAAGAAAGTGCCTGGGGCCAAGAATGCCTTTTTGAGAGAACCTGAGGCCTGGTCCCAGGAGTGAAGGGTTGGTGGTGCAGGGATTGGGCCTTTGTGTGATGCATCGGCGCTTCTTGTTTGCGCTCTCCGTCCTCTCGGCCTGTCTCGCATTTCCTCCCTTTGTCCCCCTTAAAACGTGGACTTCTTCCTCTGGGCTACTCAGGTGCTGATTTTATCTTCTTGCTATCTTCCAAACCCGCTGAACTTGATAATCTTACATCCTTCATCCGTTATCCCACACTTCCTCAGTAAGCACACGAGCCTGCGACTACGCCCACCCTTCGGCTGACCCTTGACAGTCGCTCTGTTTTACCAGTACCTTAAAAATCATCATGGCACTCTCTCAGCATCCCGGTTTGCAGCTTGGCACCAAGGCCTTTGCTCTCATCGCTGTCGGGTTCGGCGTCAACGCCCTCTTCCGCCCTGAACACGCTCTCAGCTTCTTCGAGTGGGAGATGCCCACCACCCTCGCCGAAAGACAGCTAGTCGAAAGCCTGCTTTACGCCTACGGGGTCCGTGACATTTTCTGGGGGTTCGCCACCTGGATCGCCGCTGCCTACGGCACACCGAAAGCTGCCGGCTGGACTCTGGTGGGAGGCAGCGCGGTGGCATTCGCTGATGGGATAATTTGTTACTCTTGGGGACATGGTCAGTGGGGTCACTGGTCCTATGCCCCTATGTTTACTTTGCTCGGGGCTACTCTGTTGGGTGTGTTTGACAAGGCATAGACATGGGTCGGACCGTCGGAGACTGGTTTGGTTTTGAAGTATTGATTGAAGCGCATGTTTTTTGAGGGAAAAAGAAATAAATAGAAGAAAAGACAGAAAAAGAGAATAGGATGTGCTCCGGCACTATACTGATCAACTGTCCATAGACCCTGTTCGCACAACAAGGAATTCCGGGCGTACATCCATAGTCCTGGAGCCGTACTTCCCTTAGTATGCAATCCCCGATCGTACAGCGAGCGAGATTTCAAGCCTAGAGCGCTGACCTACATAAGAAAGTGCAAAGTATGCATTCCACAACATGCTGTAGGACAAGCATAGAATCTACTTTAGCATCCACCATGAATGGCTCAGTTGACCGGAAGACCGTCTATCTAGTGACCGGTGCAAGCCGCGGCAAGAAATCTCCAGCTTCTTCTCAAGAGATAATTTCATCTAACGATCATAGGCCTGGGAAAAGGACTCATTGCTGCATTTCTCCTGCGACCGAATAGTATCGTCGTCGCTGGCCTTCGCAATGTGGCCACCCAAGCAGCGACGCTCGATGCACTTCCCCGAGGGCACAATTCCGAGCTGATACTCGTCCAGTTAGACTGCGCGTCTCGAACCGACCCCGAAGACGCAATTAAATTACTTCAGCAAGATCACGGACTGACCTATTTGGACGTCGTGATCGCGAACGCAGCCATCGCCGCAAACTACGGGCCAGCATCCACCATGCCTCTTGAGCACCTCGAAGCACACATGCAAATAAACGCTTACGCCGTCCTTCTTCTCTTCCAGGCCACCAGGCTCATGCTCCAAGCAGCAGGAGCAGAAAACAACAGACCACCGCAATTCATCTGCATTGGCGCACCAATCAGCACAATCACCGAGCTGGAAAGCTGTGCCCGGGCGCCACTGACAAACTACGCGCTCTCCAAGCTGGCAGCGTGCTACCTCGTGCGCAAATTCCACTTTGAGAATAAGTGGCTGCTCGCGTACATCATCGATCCAGGGTATGTGTGGATGGGCCGATGCTGCCCGACGCCCGGGCCAAGCACGCAGACTGACCAGAGCAGACATATCCAATCCGACATGGGCGCCCAGGCTGCCAGGTTGTTTGGGCGGAAGGAGGCGCCGACCACCATCGAGGAGAGTGTAACCGGAATTTGTGCCAGGGTATTTCCTGTCCCCTTCTTTCACCAGTTTGTGGAGTGGTGCTGATACGGAGATAGATGGCTGAGGCCACCAAGTCGACGGTTTCTGGGCGTTTTATTCTTTTCTCAGATGGCTCAGATGTTGCTTGGTAGTTTTTCTGATAGCTACGAATATATATATATATATATGTATATATATTTACAGTCAAATATTATCTTCCGTGTCCATAGGCGCAGTGTAAATTTAATTTGAATGTCAACCAGTACGCCACGCTTAGCAACAATACAAGTAGTAGAGCGTACCCAGGTAAGGTACGCTGATGTCAGGAAGCAAATCTACTAGCCTTGGGTAAAGAATGCATGGGCATCGTTACAGTGGCCTGGCTCTCCACAGCAAAGATAATGCCATCTTGTGCATCGGGCAGCGAGCCCGTCTACAGTGTAGTCTTGTACTCTCGATTGATTAACAGCTCGTTCGGGCAGACGCATTAATACCATTTTCTCCGGCCAGCCAAGGGATCCGCAAGCGGATGAGTACTAAAGCAGAGACAGTTACTGCCGCGAAAGTGGCCTTGGAAGGCTTCTCAAGCTTGTCGGAGAATGCTGATAGTCTCCGACGAGACGGCGCGCAGTCGCTTGCGCAAGTCGTCCTCCAGGTGAGACAACGTGGTGGACGACAAGGGCACCGCTGGGATTCTGCCCAGCCCTGACAGCCCGCCCCCTGAATCTGGCACACTGCTTGAGGCGGAACTGGAGGTGCCGGTGGAATCAGCGTTGAGGGAACGGTGTCGGATGGCTTCTAGTCGACGTCCCACCAGGGTGACTAGACGCTGTACGCGGTATAGCTCACTCAGCACCAACTGGGCCGCCATCCGACTTTGGTGGTGACCATCGACGCAGTAGCCACCGACAATAGTGGGTAGATGCAGCACTTGCTCCTCGAACGACGAGGCGGAGTGCCGACGAGTATCTGAACCACTGCTCCCTCCACTCCCCCAGCTGAAATCGTCATCCCGTATGGGCTCCAACGACCGATCTCGAGCGACGGCGAGATACCACCCCATGACCTTGAAGACAATGAGAGAGACCAGGGTGGCGACGTACTCGTCCTCCGCACAGCGACATTCTAGGACGGTCTGGACCGTGTCTATGATCTGCTTGTTGTCCTCAATGACGGACTCAATCGTGCAGAACCTCCCAGACCCGTCCTGACTACCAGGCCGCTCGCAGCTGGCTTGTGCATTCGGGAACAATCGCAAAAGAATGTCCAAGCAGAGTGCCAAACAACAAGGGTGGCTCTTCGCTATAGAGTCGGGCAGCGGGGGACGCTCTGGACCCTCCAACTCGTGCATGAGAGAGGATGGATCGGCGACCGATATCTCGCCCAAAACATGCGCATGCAGGTCGGTATCCATGGCATCGGGGCCATCGAGCTGCGAAGGAGACAGGGAGGCAAACAGCTGCGTGATATCGGTGTTTACGGAAAGGAGGGACGAGAGATCGGTGGAGCTGGATGCATTCGGGGAGAGAATTGAGTTCCACAGCTCAGTGTCGCTCGGCGGAGACTGGAGATGTGTCGGCTTGGGTGAAGCCCTGGCTATGATAGCTGGAGTCTGGGTCGTTACGGCTGGTAGGGCTTGTTGAGAAGGCGCTGCGGTGCTGCCGGTGCCTGCTCGATGAGGCGGGCTCGTATGGTTCACGGTGGTCGTAGCAAGGGAACAGTCAACTGTCATTGTCCCTCTCGTCGCCGTCGCCGTCCCCGTCGTCGTCGTTGTCGCTGCTGTGGTCGTCGGTGGCCTCTCAACGCCAATGACTCGAGTGCGGCCGGTGCGTCGGGATACCATATACTCGCAAGGGAGGCCACGTCGGACGCATCGACCACATGTGGGCTTCTCCTTGTCGCATTTCACTTTGGATCTGGAGCAGGAAATGCAGCTCTCACGTAGCTTCCGGGTGCCTTGCGCTCCACCGGGGCCTGTAAAACGTGCGGGCACATGCTGCTGGGCTGCGGTGGTGGACTCCATGGATGTTGAATAGCATAGGACCTAGAAGATCCGAGCCCGTAAAGAGAAATTGACCCGCGAGACACGACTGCTGCTGCATATTGATATATACCAGTCATATGGGCTGGACGTCAGGACTGGGGTAGTAAGCTGTGCTGTGGCCGGCCAAGTGCCCGTGGCAACCTTGCTGGCGGGGATGGAAGGCACGATATCGGCTACAGGGTGATACGAGAATACCAAGTCAGCAATCCTTGGAGTAACTATGTCCAGGGATTGGGACCATCCTGGACTGTAACCTTGAGATTGAGCAAGAGTATGCGGGGCCCGAATGCGGCCGCTGCATGAGCCTGCCCGGGTTATCTTTAGCGGCTATATTTCTCACCTCCAGCAACTGCCAACCGTGATCGGCTGGACTGTCCTCATATGCGATCAGGTTTGCTTCTTGCAATCCGTCAAGCCTTCCCTCGGACCAGGAGGAGGCGTTCCTTGGAGCAAGTCGCCACCCTTCTCGACATCGAGCCCCTCTCTCGTTAACTCGTAAAGTCAGAAATTTATACAGCACTGCGAAACGCGGTACAAAATGGATAGAACCGGATCAGCAAGCTTTCTGCGACAGCTTGTGTTACAGGTGAGTATCTTCAGAGTGATCAACCCCTTGCATTCGAGGAGCAAAGGTCCTCAGATTTTCGTTTCTGTATGGAGCTTGCTGACATGTTACTGAGGAAAGGCGCAAATACTGGCCAATCTACAATGGCTATGCGAGTTCCAGGTGTTGGCCTGCATCCCGCTCGATGGAGAGGTCGCCTTTGAAGAAGTCGCCGGCATCAGCAATGTCCCCGTGGATCATCTGCAGCGAGTGGTGCGCCTGATGACGACCGCAGGCTTCCTTCGAGAGCAAACTAGCGGGCATGTTTCTCACACTGCGTTGTCAGCCTCCTTTGTCACGGAGCCAGACCTCCTAGACGCAGCGCTATTCCTCGCTCAAGTTGCGGTACCGGCGGCTTTGAAGATGTCCCATACGGCGCACCAGCCCGCTCCGTACAACCATGACCAGTTGTCAGCCGTGCATTTCGATCCTTCTCAGCCCAAGACCCACCGCCAGTTCGCAGCTTATCTGGCCCACGGGATTCTCGATGAACCCTCCGCCATCGATGAGGTGCTTAGGCTGATAGATTGGGATGGTATCGGGGCAGCAACGGTAGTCGATGTGAGCACAACGCACCCAATAGCAGCTCGCAGCATGGGACCCTTTCCAGAAATAGGCTCATCTAACCATATGGTGAATCATATAGGTCCACCCTCAGTCGACAGCCACCGTGGCCAAGCTTGCCGCACTGGCACCCGCTCTCCAGTTTGTAATTCAAACGAGCTCCCCAAATAACGGCCACTCGGGATTGATGGCGGGATCAGACGGTGGCATGGGCGGCCCATCTTGGATGACTTCGCACCTACCGTCGTCAATCAGCAGTCGCGTTACGGTGCAGACGCGCCCAGCGGCGGCCTCGCAAACGGTCCTAGGTGCAGCCATTTACATTCTCCGGATTCCTTCACCATCCTCAGCTCTTTCGTGGGCCACCATACGCAGCCAGACCATTTTGGAACTGCAGGCCCATCTCCAGGTCCTTCGTGCGCAGTCTAGTTCCCGCCTTATCCTAACTGTCTTGGTAATTCCCCCGCCCGGCGCGGTCGACCAAGGAACAGAAGCGATGGTGCGCGTTCGCGAAATGTCCCTGCTACAACTGACCAACGAGCGACTGCCGAGTAAGACAGAGATCATCGACCTCCTAACCGCTATAAGAGACTCAGCAGGTGGACTAGTCCTCACTCGAGAAATCTACGCACCGGCCAGCGCCGCAACTGGGCTTGAAGTGAAGTATCAAGTAGCGAATGAACGAGGTCGTTGATGGGGGGAATGCAACATTGGCGAGCTGCAGCAGGTGGGGGGAGAGAGGGGTAAGCAAACAGGATATTCAGCTGGGGTAGCGGCGGGGCTAGCCGTGGGCTTCGATAACCGAGCGTGGACTTGTTGATTAAAATGCAGGCGTTGGTTATGGTGCAATCTGGAGTGACAAGTGTCCTGCAGCTGTGATCTGCTTCCGGTAGCGATCGGCGGAGGGACCCGTTGTGGATCGCAACAGTAAAGGGTCCTTATTGGTGGGACTCTGATGAGGCTCGGGCCAGATTCGACCTGAGGATTCTTCGGAGGCGCACTAGTCCGCCTTGGGTAAGCGTTACTTGGGGTTGGCACATTCATTTTCTACTTTGGGACACATTCCTGTCATGTATACTACCATGCACCGTGATGCAGAGATTTGGTCTATTATTGGCACGGAACCGATAAGCTCGTCGGCAGGAAAGTCACTCATCATGGTCTGTGAGTCTGCACTGCCCCGCAGCTGAAAGAGTTACTGTAGAAGGTACACGCCTTGGACCCTGGCACCAGACGGCGACCGATCAGATCTGCTACTCGACTTTAACCTCATCTAGACCATTGTTGCCTGTTGGCGCATCGTACTTTACTTCTTTGGCCTTGGTTCCAACACGACCCACAGCGGACTTTTGTCCCACAGAATCCAGATCCCCTGCTCCGCCAGCCAGTCCGCGTCCTTCATGCGCGTCTGGTCGAGCCGTAAATTAAAATGCCAGAGGATATGAACCAGGATGAGCCGTATTTCAGTATAAGCTAGTTGACGGCCGATGCAGTTGCGGGGGCCCATGCTGAACGGCTGGGCTACCTCGCGGTGATCCTTGGCGAACTCGCCCTGTCCTTTCCACCGTTCCGGGAGAAACTCGTCAGGGCGCCTGAAATTATCGGGAGACCTACATGCTGCAAACTGCTGGACCGCGACAGAGGTCTGTAATTGTTGACCTCGGTCAGCGAGTGAAACCATCACACCAGAGTGGTGAGATATTGCTGACGATAACAGCCAAGGCGAGAAAACAGAACAAAGACATTGTGATTCAATATTGAACATATGCTTACCCCTCCAGGAACCCATTTTCCTGCAATAAATGCGCCTTGCGGTCCAACAATGCGATTGCTCTGCATTGGAACCGGCGGGTAAAGACGGAGTGACTCCTCGAGCACAGCCTGCAGCCCCTCGACTTGTGTAACCGTCTGCGGATCGACCTCTGCAGGGCTGGCAAATCGAGACCGAACGCGGCGGGTCAGCTGCTGGAGATACACCGGGTTGTCCAGTAATAGCCATATGCAACCACTTAGGAGAGTCGCCGATGTCTCGCTGCCCGCCAACACGATTGCACTGGCATTGCTGACCATCTCAGCGCGGGACATTGGAGGCTCGCCATCCGGCCTGTCTGCCAGGACCGAGTCCCACAAATCACCTCGCGTGACTGCTGCATGTTCCAACCGGCGATCGACTTTATCTGCCGTGAATTCCGCATTCCGCCGACGCATTTCGAGCAGTTTTGCCGGAGCAAGCAGGCCGAGTATGCCGACTAGTCGATAACGACGCAGAGCATTGAGGATGGGGATCGCGTGGACGTTTCCCTGAATCGATGCAATCCAGGGGTGTGTCTCCGTCCTTTCTAAGCATCCGAACGATTCCCCGAACGCAAGATCACCGATTATGTCGAATGTGGCCCAGTTAAACCAGACCGTCATGTCCAAGGATCCCGTTGCGCAGTTCTCGTGTAGGCGTCCGATCAGGCGATCAATATGCCGCTGGATCATGGTTTGCTGCGCACGTAATCCTTTGTCAGAGAAGGCGTGGGCCAGAAGCCGGCGATACCTGCGGTGGTGAGCATGGTCAGCAGCAAGAATGCCCGGGGCGCCATTGTGGAATGGCGGGAGATGCATCGGATCCTTCGAGAACTCCGGGTTTGACGTGTAGATTGGCTTCGAGGCCTCGGGTGTGATGTATGAGAGTTCATCTGGCGCAATCCGGACGACTGGGCCATATTGTTTGTGTAGTTTCTGAATGTCTCGGACGATGGTGCCACGAATGGTGCTTTGCAGATATGGAACTCGCGAGACGGCCCACCACCATGATCCTGGATATGCTCGTAATGGATGCAGCCATAGACGATAAACGACAGTGCAGAAGGCAACAAGAGTCTTCTGTGGTTAGCCTATTGCATAAGACGTGGGCTGCAACTTACACCCAATATTAACCCTCCTAAAAGCTTCGAGAATTGCAAAGACATGATGCAGTTTCAGATGGAATAAAGAAAGCTAGGACATATGCCATAGTACCATGCTATTTATTAGATCTCGCGTAGAACTATTTTTTCGAAAGCCGAGCAATGTACTCCCCGACGGCTAACTAGATATAAATGGGTATAAACCATCACCAGCAGCTTCTGTCGAAAAGGATAAACAGCAAGCGAACTGTAATCATGGAGCCTCTTAATATCGAGTTTGATTTATCCACCCTCAAGGGAAAGTCTGCCTTCATCACCGGTGGTGGATCGGGTCTGGGACTGGCCACTGCACAGAAATGGGCAGACGCCGGGGTATATGTGACAATTGCCGACATCCAGCAGCCCTCGTCTACCCTTCCCTCGAGTTACACGAATTACGTCCACTGCGATGTAGCGAGCTGGGAGAGCCAGGTCGCCGCCTTCAAGAGCGCCCTCAGCTTCTCCCCCACTGGGTCGCTCGATATTGTGGCTGCCTTTGCTGGCACGGCCATCGGCCCTGGAAACCAAGTCGACCATGTGCTGGCTGCAGGAACTCCCAGCCTAGAACTCGATCCACCTAGACCAAGTATCCGCAATATCGAAGTCAACCTCGTCGGAAGTTACTACACTTCATGGCTGGGATTATACTATCTTCGCCTTCCCGGGTCTCAGCCCAATCAGCCAAGTGACAAAAGCCTGCTATTCTGCGCCTCCATCGGCGCATACATGGATAGTCCCAGAGCATCTACCTATCCCGCGAGCAAGTTCGGTGTGCGCGGTCTCTTCCGCAGTACGCGCGCTCAAACGCAGCAGCTGAATGTGCGGTGTAACCTCCTCGCACCATGGTTCTTTGATACGCCTCTGATTGCCCCGATCAAACATGCAATGGCTGCAAGGGGGATTGATATGGCGAAGGTGTTGTCGTTTACGACCGTTGAGGCATGTGTTGACACTGCCAGCTACTGCGCTGCTAATCCGGGTCTACACGGTGAGATTGCTAACCACAACCAGAATTGGCACATACTGATAATAATTTACAGGGCGTGCATTGGCTGTGCAGCCAGAGGGAACGTTTGATCTCAAGGACGATATGGAGGGCGGATGGGGAGGGGATCAGATGCGTCCTATTATGCAGCGGCGACGAGATGCTGGGTTTGACGCTTGACAGAAATTTGATTTCGCCTAGTAGGCTTAGTGGTAGTTTGAGCTGCCTAAAACTCAATATCATATCCGACTGTGCTTCCATCTTGACAGACCTTCAGGTACAACTCGTGGACCCTATCAAGGTGAGTATACAGCACAGCTTTCAATACGCGGGACTCTTACTCGTCATGGCTAGGATGCGTGAAAAATGTAGCCAGACTCTCAGAGTAGTCTACTAATACCACAACACCCATATCGAACCCCTTTGCCATATGCGATGTGAATTCAAGCGGCGACCCAGCTTGAAGGGATATTAGGCCTGGTACTTTGCCGACCATTGCGTGTGCAAGGTCCTGCCACCGACGGACCTGTTCAGAGTCGGCATCTTCCTTGAGCTTGAAGAGGGCTGCTAGTTGTTAGTCACGTCATTAATGTTGATATCCACATACCAACATGATAGACGGGCATCCTGAATGGCAGTAGGGTTGGTTGATGAGAGCCATTACGAGGTAATGAGACGAATACAACTATATCTGCACACTTCCATCTCACCGAAATATTTTGGCTCGGTGAGCGATAGTAGAGATAATACAGGCCCCACGCGGTTTGCATAGGACATTCCAAATCCCAAGATTCAACGATGGACTCCCAACTAGCAGACTCGTGGCTCCAGGTAGAATAGCCCGATCATATACACTCCAGAAGACTAACTGTCACAGTTCGTCCATGAACTGGGATTTGTACCAGTCATTGACGGGCCATACGAAAGCCTCATGCAGGGATGGGGAGCAATATTCGGCAAACTCATGACCCTTTACAAGTTTCCTCCACCAGACCTGACTGTGGAAACGGAGGATAGGATTATCAACGGCATCCGCATACGGATCTATATACCACCCGACGCGGTTGACCCACCAGTTGCACTCTACTTCCACGCAGGAGGATGGATCATGGGCGGCGTGGACGAAGAGGACGGATTCAGCCGTGCACTCAGCAAGGCCAGCGGGACCACAATACTGAGCGTAGGATACCGTCTTGCTCCGGCATACGAATTCCCGACCCCTCTGGAGGACTGCGTGCATGTAGCGCAGTGGGCGCTGGAGACATATGCGCCCAAATCCGTCTCGTTCATCGGGGCATCGGCCGGAGGTAACCTGGCATTCAGTACAGCACTGTCCCTGGTCGACAAAGGTCTAGGTGACCGAGTGCAAGGAGTAATCGGAATAGCCCCGGTGACCGTCCATCCAGACGCCGTTCCAGTGGAAAAGCAGGCCCAGTATACATCGTATCGCGAGAACGACCGGGCCACGATCAACACGGGCTCGGCCATGCGGACCTTTCTCGACTGCTATGGGGCGCCACCGGAGGACCCTCGGCTTTCATGCCTACTGCATCCGCGGCTCGGTGAGATGAACAAGGCCTACATGGCGATTGGTGGGGCGGATACACTGCGGGATGATGTTAGATTGATGGAGCAGGCGCTGACCAAGCTTGCGGTCCCGGTGCGATGTGACGAGTATCCTGGGTTTCCGCCATTTTCATGGCTTTTTCCTTCGCCAGCTCTGAAGGTGCATCAGAGGAAATTCTTCGGTAATCTGGTCCGCGGTATTCAATGGGTGCAGGAATGATCTGGTTGGAGTGAAGGCAGTAGTAGATTTAGGCAGTTGTAGAGTTCGGACATGGTGGAAATTGACAATCAAAGGCCATATTTAAAATCAAGGTATTGGCTCAAATGGAACTGTTAATTTATTTCCTGCATATGTGAACGGTGATGTTTAGTGCTTAATTCCATGGTAGCAACGTGGCTGCCATCGATATTGCCCGAGGTAGCCCATCTGCAAATCGTGATCCGAAGACAAGCAAGGAATTTAGTGAAGACGCCAATAAATAAAGATCCAGATAGCATAGATCCTAAAGAGCAATTTGATGATAACGGCGGTAGTTAAACAATTACCGACGGACACCCAGGGCAACCGCCACCACGCAGTCGTCCCCATAACTCAAACTCAGTTGAATATTATCGAGACCGGCATTCTGGGCTGCCTTCAATGCATCTCCGTGTAACTAAACGGCCATCAGTTATTAAATTTAGGGTGTTGGATTCTGAATACGCACCACCACTGATGGCGCCCCCTGTGAGCGTATGATCTCAATCTCTTTCATCGCAGCCCCCGCCCCCTTGGATATGGTTTGTAAACACTTGAACACGGCTTCTTTAGCACACCAGCCGCTGGCGACGGCCGTGCGAAAGTCTCGATGGCTCTGCAAGGATTGCTGTTCTTGGTCTGTGTAGTTGCGTTCGATGAAGATGGTATTCTCGTGCGCAGCAAAGCTACTGAGCGTCACTGTATCAGCGCCGACTGTAGAGGGCTTGGTTATTAAAGACGTCCTTCGGTGATGAACTACATCAGGGCCATCTCTAAACAGACATGGAGCCTCCGTGACATGGTAGCAACCGCTCTTTGCATCCCGGCAAATCCGCAGAGACGGGTTGAGGAGTATCGCATGCATCGTCGCAGGATCAAACGGGGGCTGCGACTGCACACGGACAATATGGCCGGCTGTCAACGCACGAACATAGGCGCTCTCAGCTCGTGCGGTGCGTTTTTTCATACGAGACTTGTATGCTTCGAATTCATGTTGGGTCAGGAGTGCGAAGAAGTATCGGGGATGGACGCCAACCATCTGTCCCTCTTTCTGTCCAAACCCACATGAATTCAGCAAGAATGCTTTGACGCCTCTGGTTTGAATGGTCTTCGTAGTAAAACACAAATGGTCAAAGTCCCTTAGAGCAGGGTCGATATCGTCAGCATTGCGGTTGCCAGGTATCAAGCAAGAGTCCAACGCCTGGAGACACCCATTCAGCATCCAGGCAGCAGCGGGGGCCTTGGGATGCCCCGTGATTGACTTTTGGCAGATTGCCCATAGCGGGCGACCAGCGGTGCGGTTGAGATGGTCCATCTGGCGCTGGATGACGGACGGTTCGTTTATATCGTTTGCCGGGGTTGAAGTGCCATGCAGGGAAGCGAACGCGAGATCGTCAATGCTCAGACCCCAGCGTGAGAGTGCTAAACGCATCGGAGCAGGCTGTGTTGGGCTCTCCCGTGCGAAGCTGGAGATTCCTTGACCGGGGGCAGGCACCGAGCGACTGATGCCATCCGATGCCATACCACTGCCAGCAACAATCCCATAGACTGGAAGACCCATGGATAAGGCGACGTCTCCACGACAGAGCAACTGCACACCGCAGCCCTGGGACTCGATGAAGCCCGCACGAGTGGCGGCTGTAGGTCTTGACATTTCCCAGGGCTCTCGGCCTCGCTCCTGCTCGTCCTTGACAGATACTGTGGCTTTCATTCGCGCGAACCCGGCAGACTCCTCCGGCTGAAGATCATCATACCCACCGACAAGACATACCTTTGTTTGGCCGGCGCGGATGGACTCAACCGCAGAGTCAATCGATTCCAGGGCTGTGGCGCATGCCCCTACGGGTGTCTTGATCGGACCAGCAGCTCCCAGCAGCAACATGTTCACCCAAGCTGGTGCAGTGTTAAGATATGTCTCCTGGAGGGCGTCAGATGGTACATCCTGGTCAAGGGAAACTTGATGATAGAGTGCTCGCGTGCTCACGACGCCTCCCATTGATGAGCCGACAAAGTTCCCCAGCTCCGTGAGGTGGATATGCTCAAAGACCTCCATAGGATCGGAGATGCCTGCACTATAAAAGGCCTCTGCAATACAGCAGAGCAGAACGAGAGAAACAGGGTCAACTTGCTGTACGATCTCTCTCGGTATGCCGTATTTATCTGGCGACCACCCGGTTGGCAGTTGACCAGCGACAACTGGAGGAGCCATGATAGATTTAGGAATACGGATGCTGACACCTTGCTGCAACTGAACTTGACAGGTATCCCCGTTTCCCTGGCTAGTCAGTCTGACACTGTTTCCATGACGCTGGCGCAGAGCTTCAGCGTTTTCCCTTGTTGTCTCGAATGGCGGCAGATCCTCTTCCAAGACGATCTCCTGGAAGACCTCTCTTGTGTCCGAGGGCAGTGGCCGTATTCCTGCGTTAGACCGGATAATGGCCCCGTATTTCTGTGGGATGTCAGAATCTGCAACTGACTGCCCAGTCTGCGCATCGACCCATCCGACATATTGATCGTTTCGTCCTTGCCTGTTGGCATGGCGGATGAGGTTCATGAGCCATGCCATTTCGACGTATCCAGCTAGCGAGAGCTTGCCCTGGGACTCCATCTCCCAGCGTAAGCGTGCACTTCCCCATGGACCCAGCTCAGCAAACCCGACGACGACGACGGCATCTGCTGGGACGAGCTCTGGATCGATAGTGCTCTGCAAGGGCCGGAGGTCGGTATCATAGTGAGGTAGTGTGGGGAAGCCAACGCGTAGGGTAGCCCGTGGCTGTATAGATTCATTCTTTGTAGGGTTTCGCCCTCTATCCTCTCGTTCATCCTCATCTGCAATTGCTCGAGCAATCTGGGCGCGTTGGCGGATGTCTGCACGGGCAGCAGCGAGATGGACAGAGGCATCACGCCAATACCCGAGATTCCCAGAGAAGTCTGCCATAAGGGGCGCATCCTCGCCGCGAGTAACCCATTGCGGAGTTAAGAGCAAAGTAATCAGGTCACCCATTTCCTGTCCAGAGAATGTCAAGACGTTGCCCTCCTTTTCCGCCGTCTCGGCGACAATATCGTTACTGTTCATCAGTCCAGTGGATCGGGTCCAGCCAATACTCACGCCGCATATCGAAAGCTCTTCGTCCCAGGACTCCGAGTGGAATCGGTGTAGCAGAGTCTCGAGTCCGCGTTTCGACTCGGCGTATAGACCGTCACCACCCAGGATGCCATGGTTAGGAGACAGTGCGAGGATGACCTGGGTTGGCCGGCAGCGAATATTCCTGCGTCGCTTTTGCGCTACCACAAATCCGAGGAGGCGTAATAAATTAACAAGCATCATTCGGAAGGCCGCTTCATTTCCGGCATCCAGCCCGTCAATTTCTGCTCCCACCTGGCTTGTGGCGGCGAAGGGTAGGATAGCATCTAGTTCCAGCCCTAGTTGGCCGTAGATGTACTCAATCAAGTTTTCGCAATCCGAAACGCTGGCCTGGTTAAAGGGAACAAGATGGAGCTGTGACCCACGGCTACCGCACTCATCATACAGCTTCTTGAAGGATGGAGCTGCAGCAGAAGGCTCACGACTGGTCGTTATAATGACCTTGGCTCCCCCAGCCAGCAGTCGACGAGCGACGCAATATGCGATAGAGCCTGGACTTGCCCCTGTGAGAAGATATGTCTGGTCCGCGAAAGTCACTCCCTCTTGGCTGACGTAGGTTAGGCTGTCGAGTAATTGCGGGGTGAGGTCTGTCCCGTTGCATTGGACCAGACCAGATTTGACATTTGCCTGTATCCATTGCGTAAAGAAGCCTACAAAATCAGGTGTCTCCCGAGTGGTATCCTCACATCTGATTTCTCCAGCCGGCGTCACCACTGTGTGGGGTGCCTTCGCTACTAGGGCCCCCAAGCGGACGACAGGAGGCAGATGAAGGGCCTTTGTGAGCATAGGGACAAGCCCTATCGCAGCTGGATGCGCCTGTGCGATTTGAAGAAGCGTAGAGTCTGCACGCTGGACGAAACGATCTCGTAGCTCATCGGTCCATGTCTCATCCCACTGACATAAGTTTAACAGCTCCTTTCGAGCCGAATTCCACCAGTCCCGATACCAGCGCGTTTTGCGGCGATCGAAGCGAGGCGAGACACGAGTCAGAAACTCATCAGAGAACTCAGTAGTCCAGCTGTCCAGCTTCCTCTGCAGCTCTGTCACTAGAGAGTCGCCCGGCTCTGTTTCAAACGCAGGAATGGCGAGGTACTGGCGAAGAGCTTCATATTGTCTCTGCGCGAGCGACCTTGCCCCAGCAGAGTCGCCACTTGGAGTTCCATTATTTATATTAGCAGGCTCTGTAAGCTGATGATTGGTTGCTTTATGCAAAAACAGACCCAAAGACTGACCGTACGCCTCAGTCAGAGAGTCCCAGTACTCATGGGCCTCCTCCAACGAAGGCAGCCGTGACTGGGGCTCCGCTACCAGGGCATCCACCAAGACGCCAGTTTGCCGGTGCAAAGGAAGCCCCCAGATATCGGCCATGCGTGCACGAGCTGCAGGGATGGTCATGCGGGCCGGCATCTTCGCACTGAAGAGTCGCTGCAGCAGGGCCGTCGAGGTCGGGCCCAGTGAGACCTCGCCCAGCGCAGCATCCAGCTCCACCAGTGAGACATCTTCTGCACGATCTGGCAGGTTTGGAAATTCGTGTCCGAGGTCACCAATCAGCTCGTTCTGTAGTGTCGACTTGCCACCACACAGATCCTTGATCGATCGGCTCGGGTCGATTTCGCTTGCCGGCCTGCGGAGCTTACGCGCAATCAACGCCCTGATGATCCGTAGGGCAGTCAAGGGCGCATCTGGAACTGTCAGCACGGTGGCAGCCTCTGGAATTGTCCTAGGCTCCGGGGCAGTGCTGGTTTGCGGCGTGTCAATTACAGGCTCGTCAATAGTGGAATCGTCGGGCGTCTGATCATAGGCATAGAGAAGCTCAGGTAGGTTCTGCGTACTGGCCAGGAACTGCACGTTGGATCCCAGGTCATTGTTTATTGTCTTTTGGGCCATTCCTAGGAGTGTCCTGGCCGGCCCAAGCTCCACTAGACGTCGGCTGTCTCTCAGTAGACTCTTCTGTGTTTCTATCCTGTATGCCATCAGCAGAGCGCAGCCGCAACTAGGAGCTGCTTACCATTGTACTGGAAATGCAAACTGATGCCTGCTCTTGTTAGGATTTTCCAGGAAGCCTGGGACTGGACCTTACGCTAGAAGCTCTATTACCAGCTCGTAGGCAATCGCCTGTTCCATTGTGCGAATTGTCATGATGGATGTTCAGTCTACACCCTGCCTGGTGTTACCAGCAAGCCGAGCACTAAAAGAACCAAAGCTCACTGGATACTTGAGTAGGCTGAGTGCTGTACATTCTCGATCTCCGATATCTCGTAAGCCGACCCGGCGCTGACAGCGTCTTCGCCGTGGGAATATGGGACTGGCTGTACCATCCACGATATACTCGTTTTATTGCTATCTTGCACTGGATGGACTAGGCTTCGATAATCCTGCCTGTGGACAAGGAGCAATGGGACCATCAGGGTTTTTGGAGTCTGCAGACTCTGGTAGACTGCGCCTATACAGTTGCTGCGGTGGACAAGGCCCCAGCAACCTCACGGGTCTCGACGACTTGGTCCATCTTGTACGAATATACGGAGACCGCGCCCCCATACGACAATTGATCGACGTCTCATCCAATTGCATCGAGCTCCTTGCGTCTATTCCACATCGATCTTGTTTCTTCTCGGGTCGTGGATTCCCATTAAACAGCTGGCTCCACGACTCTGCTGCAACGGCCCCATCCTCTGACGAGCTCGCTCTTTCGCCGTATAGTTTCCCCATAAACACCTTACTTTCGTTGGTCCATTATGCAATCGCTGCGCACACTGTTGGAGTTGATCCTACGCAGCTGCGCGACCGTCTGCACGGCGTCATTGGACATTCCCAAGGAGTATTTGCCGCCGCGGCGATTGCTCATAGCGGCAAGGGGTGGCCAGCGTTTTTCAATGCAGCAAGACTTGCGCTGACGCTGTCCTTCTGGGTTGGTCTGGAGTCACATCGAGTTGCGCCAGGTAGCACTCTATCCGCAGAGGATGTGGCAGGCTGCCTACAGCATGACGAGGGCGCGCCATCATATCTGCTGAGCGTGACGGGGTTGAGCCATGAGCATCTACAGGGTGTTATATGGACAGCGAGCAGCGGCAACGTCCAGATATCGCTCATCAATGGCTACAACAAATTCGTGCTGGCTGGGACACCGGAGGCCCTGCGGACTGTATGCCTCGCAATTCGCAGAGTCAGTGCACCGCAAACACTGGATCAGACCCGCGTGCCCTTCACACACCGTCGACCGGTCATTGACGTCCGGTTCCTCCCGGTCTCAGCTCCCTACCATTCGTCGCTTCTGGCATCGGTTGAGGCGGACGTGGTGGATGCCATGAAAGGCACCCGGTTGACTGGCCGCGATATAGCCATCCCACTTTATTGCCCCGTGAATGGCAAGACGCAAAACCTGCAAGATCACAGTGATGTTTTGCCAGCCCTAATCCGGGCTGTCACGACAGAGAGTGTTGATTGGCCTGGTGCATGCCACAAAATGGACAGTGCTACCCATGTATTGTCGTTTGGGCCTGGAGCTGTTGGGACCCTAGTCCAAGCTGTGTTGGAGGGGGCTGGAGTCTACGTACTGAGCATATCAGGGCGTTCTCTGTCGTCGTCCCTCAATGCACTCGTATCAGAGTCCTCTCTTCCATCAGGACATAATTGGGCCCAAATGTACCGCCCACGCCAGAAGTCCAAAGAGGATGAGACCTACATTGAAACGAAGATGACACGCCTCCTAGGGCTACCACACGTCATGGTCGCAGGAATGACACCGACAACGTGCTCGCCAGAATTCGTCGCCGCCATCATGCAGGCAGGATATCATGCTGAATTTGCCTGCGGTGGATACCACCGCCCAGAGAGCATGGAAGCAGCTCTTCGCCAACTCGCAGCCACAATCCCAGTCCATCGCTCGATCACCTGTAATGTCATCTACGCCTCGCCGAAATCTCTCAGCTGGCAGATAAATCTCCTGCGCGACCTCATCGACGAAGGGTTGCCGATTGACTCGTTGACAATTGGTGCCGGGATACCCTCGCCTGACGTAGTAACGGAATGGCTTGAGCGGTTAGACCTGTCTCACATCTGGTTCAAACCAGGCTCTGTGGATGCCATAGATCGCGTCCTTGCTATTGCTCGTCAACATCCAAGTCTTCCCATCGGTCTGCAATGGACTGGTGGCCGCGCAGGGGGGCACCACTCATTTGAAGGCTTCCACCAGGCAATACTCGACCGCTATAGCCACATCCGGAGCTGCGAGAATGTTATACTCGTGGCGGGTAGTGGCTTCGGCGGAGGACAAGATACATGGCCGTATATCACGGGCTCTTGGTCACAGAAGCTGGGATTTGCTGCGATGCCGTTTGATGGAATCCTTCTAGGGAGTCGCATGATGGTAGCCCGTGAGGCAAAAACGTCTCTGGCGGCGAAGAAGTTGATAGTACAGGCCCCAGGGGTCGGTGATGACGAGGACTGGACGCATTGCCAACGTGAAGCCATCGGGGGAGTTCTTTCGGTTGTCTCTGAGATGGGACAGCCAATTCATGTCCTCGCAACCCGGGGAATGAAACTATGGCATGAGCTTGACGCGAGGTTCTTCTCGATTAGAGACACTGGGAAGCTGGGAATGGCACTGAAGCAGCACCGGGAAGAGATAATAAGGCGTCTGAACGCGGACTATGCTCGACCATGGTTTTCAATTGCCGACGATGGAACGCCAGTCGAGATGGAAGATCTAAGCTACAGACAAGTGCTGCATCGACTCTGTCAGCTTATGTTCGTGGAGCGACGCTCGCGATGGATTGATCAATCCTACCTCGACCTTGTCCAGGACTGGCTGCGGTTGGTACAAGCACGATTTGAATCCGAGATGAAGCTTAGCGACAATCCAGTGCAGCTCAAAGCAGCCTTCGATGCAGCATACGGCGCCCACGCGGACCAAATCCTGTATCCAGACGACGTGGCACTACTGCTTTCCCTGTTTCGAAGGCCAGGGCTTAAACCAGTCCCATTCATACCGATACTCGATGAGAACTTCGAGACCTGGTTTAAGAAGGACTCCTTATGGCAATCGGAGGATGTCGACGCGGTGCTGGACCAAGATGCCGAACGGGTTTGTATCATACAGGGCCCTGTGGCTGTACAACACTCCACGGTGTGCGATGAACCTATAAAGACCATTCTTGATGGGATCCGTGACTCGCATATGGACTCTCTACAGAATGAGATACTTGGTCGTAACGAAGACGATACGTTCAGCGGCATAGTTGAAGCCGCCCTCAATTTACCTGGCGTCCACGTATCCCACGACGGTGCGATCTATCGTTACCAACTGACGGGCCCGGCTATTCCGTCTGCTGACGCGTTATCAAAACAACTGACTGCTGGATGCTCCTGGGGGCGTGCTGCTCTCATCAGCAAGCATGTTCTGTTTGGTCGACATCGTGTAAAGAACCCCCTTCGCGACGCTTTCCAGCCAAGTATCGGGGATATTATTGAGGTTAAGCATGTAAATGGCACGCCCACCGAGATAACATTATACCATCCAGCATCCCAAGAGAAAGATTCCCACCAGATACGGGCTGCATTGGAAATCGCTCACGTCAATGCGGAGACAGTAGCTGTAGCGTTGGTAACGCGCTCGGTTCGAACAGTGACTGGAAACCGATCCGCGCTGGAGTTTACGATGAAGCTACTCGGTGGATGCATGGGACGGCCTGTTATCCAGTTCGACCAGGAGACCTACCTTGGGCGAGTTCGCGATCTGTATACAGAGTTGTGGGTCGGTCCTGCACCCGGCTCATCCTCGGCAGGACTCAACTCGGAGTTTAGTGATGGCCCTGTTACTATTATGGCAGACCATGTACAGGAATTCCTGGCTGTGGTTTCTCAATCTGGGCCACCTCGCGGTCGTGCCTGGAGCGCACAAGGACCCCTAGTTCCACTTGACTACGCTGTCGTGCTGGCCTGGACTGCGCTCACCAGGCCCGTGCTACTCCCAGCCCTTAACGGTGACCCTCTTCAACTACTTCACCAGTCGATATCGTTGCGACTTGCTCGCGGCGTCCGACCACTCTCTGTCGGCGATGTGGTGAAAGCAACCTCGTGCATAACAGAGCGCACAATCACCGCCATGGGCCAGCGTGTCGAAGTTTCCGCAGAGGTTCTCCGTGATGCACAGCCTGTAGTTCATCTGCGAGCCACTTTTGTCATTCAGCGGCGTACCCAGAGTGCATCCCAGCAGTTCCGCTCCATTGACGAACAGGCTATGGTAATACATATCACAACTTCTCTTCAGCTGGAGGTCCTGATCAGTCGGAAATGGCTGTTCTTAGACATAGCGTCTCACCAAGTCTTTGGGAGGAGCCTGCTGTTTCGACTGAATACCCAGATAGTGTCCGGCGCGAAGGACGCATCAAAGTCGCTCAAGGTATCCGGCATTGTTACATTGCTCCCAGCTCAAGCTTCAGACACGACAACAACTGGTGCCAAGGTTGGCCGTGTATATCTGGAGGAGGAAGACCACAAGTTCAACCCTGTGATGGACTTCATGAACCGACATGGCAGCCCACTAGTCCAGAGGCAGCCACTGCAAAGCCCCGGCTGGATTGGCGATGCTGCTATTCCATTTACCGCTCCATCACAGAGCAGCACATATGCAGCAGTATCAAAAGATACGAACCCAATACACACCTGCCCCCTGTTCGCTCGGTTTGCTGGCCGAGGACAGCCCGTGCTCCACGGGATGCACCTCTCGGCAGTAGTAAGACGCATCCTTGAGTGGATGGTCGGCGATACAGATCATCGCCGATTCCAATGCTTGACAGTGTCCTTCGATGGTATTGTTCGCGCACACGATCAGCTGCGCATGGAGGTGCAGCATGACGCAATGGAAGATGGGCTGATGGTTGTCCATGTAAAGGTGTCTAATGTAAACACCGGCGATCAGGTCCTGCATGCGGAAGCTTTAATAGAACAAGCACCAACCGCATATATCTTTACCGGGCAAGGAACCCAGGAGAAGGGAATGGGGATGGCCCTTTATGGCACCCATAAGGCTGCACAAGTGGTTTGGGACCGAGCAGAACGCTATTTTGAATCTCAGTACGGTGAGCTCGCCCTGACTTTATTGGGAAAATAGGATTCTTGCTAATGTATTCTCCCAGGCATTTCCCTGCTCCATCTAGTCAGTGATAATCCAAAGTCCCTCGTCGTTAATTTCCGTAGCAAACGCGGCCAGCAAATCCGCGCCAACTACCTCGCCATGGCATCTGCCTCGGAATCTGATAACCCGATGTTGCCTGGCTTGACCGAGTCATCGAGAGATTATACATTTTCATACCCCGCTGGACTGCTCATGTCTACTCAATTTGCCCAACCCGCACTGGTGGTCATGGAAATGGCCGAATACGCCCACCTCCAAGCCCAGGGCGTCGTAAAGAGGTCTGCCTTGTTCGCTGGCCATTCCCTGGGGGAATACAGTGCTCTCGGGGCCTGTTCTACCTTCATGCCGTTTGAGTCGCTACTGTCCTTAATTTTCTACCGGGGATTGAAGATGCAGAATGCACTTCCTCGGGATTCCAATGGGCGAACCGAATATGCCATGATGGCTATTGATCCTTCACGCATTGGGTCAGGTATTCATTCTACATTCCAATTAACTGGCTTATAGCTAACCCTTCAGACTTTGACGAATGCAAGCTTATGGAACTGGCTCGGCTTGTTGCAGGGGAAACGGGTCTTCTACTGGAGGTTGTCAACCACAACGTGCAATCGCGACAGTACGTATGTGCTGGTCATGTAAGATGCCGATATACTCGTAGAGAAGTTATACTATCATGACGCCCCATCTAACCATGATGCAGATTCGATCTCTCTGGGTAATGGGCCAAGTGTGTGACAAACTGTGTCTCGCGACCAGCAATAGCCCGGACACCATGGAAGAGTGTATAAGAAAGCATCTTCCAAGCAGTCGGACAATAACGAGCCACGAAAGCCTCGCCCGTGGACGCGCGACTATTCCACTTGTCGGGGTCGATATCCCCTTCCACTCGCAGATGCTCCGGGGGCATATCGATGACTACAGGCAGTATCTCCGGTGTCACCTCCGAGCTTCTGACATCAAGGCCGAGGAACTGGTTGGCCGCTGGGTGCCGAATGTTGTTGGGAAGCCGTTCACTCTGGAAACTTCCTATATTCGTCTGGTGCAGCAAGTTACCCAGAGCAAGCCTCTACAAGATCTCCTAGAGCGGTTGGAGGAGAAATCTTAGTGGATCGATCCTATTTCATCAGATATGATTTATCAACGAGACTGATATACCGCAATCAGACTGTCATCTACATGAGTCAATTAATATGCATCTACCCTCCTGGTAAATCACTCCCGCGTCTTGAATGACATATACAGCTCTCGCTTTGCCCATATAGACCATATCTTCTGGTCCAGAAATTCGCCTGTCTTCTCCTTGTCCAATGTAATATCGAAATGCCACAGCAACTTCGCCAGGGTGAGTCTCACCTCAGCATAGGCTAAATTTCTGCCGATGCAGTTGCGAACCCCTACAGACCAGGGTTGATACGCCCCGTAGTTATCATACTTGTACGGCTCTTCTGCCTTCTGCAAGTGCCGCTCAGGGATGAACTTGTCCGCATGGGAAAAGTTGTAATTAGCGTAGTATGCCCCGAGGTGGCTGACTCCGACGCGAGTCTATCATTCATCAGTACAGGATATTTATAGGGGGGGAAAAGACGTACCTCAGCAGGTACAAATCGACCGCATATGGTCGCACCACCGTCTGGAACAACACGAGGAGGCTGGCCAGGCACGGAGGGATACATGCGAAGAGTCTCATCAATCACCGCCGAGAGATAGGGCAGGCGAGAAACGGAAAGCAGATCAATCTGGTCAGACGCCTCAAAGGCATTCCGAATCTCGGCAACGGCTTTACCCAACTTGCCAGAGCTACAGAGCAGATAGGAACAGCCACAAAGTGCAGAGGAGGTTGTCTCCGAGCCCGCAACGACCATGACGGCGGCATTGTTGAGCATCTCTCCCGGACTCATCCCGTCGCCCGTTTGATTTCCGTCTGCGCTCTTGACTATGACCCGGTCCCAAAAGTCGCCCTGGTCGCCGGTCTTCTGCATGCGCTTCTTCAGCTTCTCGATGGCGTAGCTGTAGTTCTCCTGTCTCTTCCCGCGGAGTTCCTTTGGCATGACATAGGGTGTCAGGAACTCAACGCCCATACTGCGCAGAACATGCGATATCGCGACGCTCTTAAGGTTCTTGTGGATCGTATCAACCCACGGATGCAGCTCGCGGTTCTTCAGACTATCGAAGGATTCCCCGAAAGACAGCGCCCCGATGGAATCAAAGATCGCCATATTGAAGTACCGCACCATTTCGACCGAATCCCCGGTGTCAGCCACCTCGCGAAGGACCTCCACAAGCAGATCCGCGTACTGCACAATCGTCGGCTCCTGCGCACGCAGCCCCTTATCACTAAAGGCGTGCCCAAACAGGCTGCGGAACCGTGCATGGTTGCGCGTGTCAGAGACAAGGATACTCATCACCCCATTCGGAGCGAGTGGGAGGCGGATCGGGTCTTTGAGAAACTCAGGCCGTCCAGGGACGTGGGCGTGAATGTCTCGCCAGGCCTGCGCATTGGCGAAGCTGATCTCGTCCGGCTTGATGCGTACGGTGTCACCGTATTTCTGGTGGTGGCGCATCAGGTCGTGGTGCATTGTCCCGCGCAGCAGCGTCAGCTTCCAGGGAAGGGAGCTTGCTCTCCATAGTAGGGGGCCTGGGTAGTCGCGTAAGCTGTGGAAGTAGAGGTTGTAGACTAGCTGGAAAATGACATATCCAACGGCAGCTAAGGCCGTTAGGAGAGGGAGTGCGAGCAGAGCCATGTTGCTGAATCCCAGCGTTTGTTGGTCGCAGTGCCTGAGTGATGGCTCAAATATCAGCTGTCGGACAGCGAGTCGGCTTGAATATCGGGCTGCATCCGGCCTATTCTGGGAATTATTATTACCAGGTGTAGGTTGTCAGGGAATATCAGTCAAATTAATTCATTGGAGCTACATCAAACTACCTAGATAGCATGGTCCCTTTGACGGTTCACCGTCTCTACCTATATTAAGATCTAGTGTAAACTAGAAGGCAACCAGCCTGAGAGTCCCTAACAGGCCCATAATAGCACCAGCCAAGGGAAAGAAAGCCCGGATAGCGTTGAACCGATTCCAGTTCTGTACCAGGCGCTCAGCGTCCGACCAAGGCGGAATGTTTCCCTTCTTCACCTCACTCTCAAGCCGAAAAAGGGCCTTGTTTGTCGGGACCATGGCTGTCAAAGTAAACGGCACCATGCTGATAGTGATTAAACCTGCTGCTGCGAAAACAGCCCACGTATCGCCCGCCCAGTACTTGCTGGCGGCGGCAATGCCGTACAAGGCGGTCGTAGTGAGGCAGATTATAGGGCCCTTGATATGACCGTTGAGGAATATCCGACTCCAGTGACGGAGTAGATGTCCGGGATCGGTTGTTGTGTCGAACAGAGATGGGACTGCGAGTAGGTATACGCTCATCATCGCGCCTATATGCATCAGTTGGTACTTTGATGACAGAGAAGGTGTATTACCGGACAGAAATGACCCGGTGATGACGGCGATGGCCTCCACTCCAACGCTCCTCATGGCGATATACTATTGTGCATGTATCGTAACCTACAGTGGGACTGCTCCTGTCAGCTTTATACCGAGAACCACTGACTCTCGGAAAGCGATCGGTTAAGTGTCTCCGCATGCCGGCTCTTCAGCTGTCTAAACAATATCTAATAAGTACGTAGTATTTATTACGTAGATCGCGCAGCCTATCACTACTAGACAGCAAGCAATCGCCATCATGCCCGCGTGGTCGGTACTTGCCCTAACCGCTGCCCCAGTCGTGGCCCTCATCGCCGGCCAGACAACCCTCTTTTCTTCACCATGGGAAACACTATTCGGAAGCGGCAGCGAGGAGGCCTCCATGGATGGCCGCATCCAAGCTCGCGACCTGCTCAGCTCCCACTTCGGGTGGTACGGTTGGCCCGGCCAGTCCTACGACTATGTGATTGTCGGGGGAGGCACGGCTGGACTGGCCATGGCACACCGTCTGTCTGAAGATGGATCGCACTCAGTTGCCGTGATAGAAGCTGGTGGATTCTACGAGATCGAGGCGGGCAATGCGACTGAAGTTCCCATGTTCTTGTTCAACTATTTTTTCGACAACGGACATGTCAAGAACCCGCTCCTTGACTGGTATCAGTATACCGAACCACAGCCGGTATGACCCTTTTAAAATATCAGGGTTATGACTCACCTTTACAGGGTCTCGCAAACCGGGAAATGTTCTACATGCAGGGAAAGACGCTGGGAGGTTCAACAGCTCGTGGGGCGATGCTATACCATCGGTTAGCCCTCTACTTCCCCCCTCAGACAAACTATACTGACGAGGTGCAGAGGGTCCAAAGGAGCGTACAAGATGTGGGCAGACCAGGTAGGAGACGACAGCTATACATGGGAGAACTGGCTACCTTTCTTCAAAAAGAGCGTGCAGTTCTCTGGACCGTCCACCAACCCTCGTCCAGCAAATGCGACAACATTCAACGACATATCTGCCTTTGCAACGAATACTTCCGAGGAAGGGCCAGTTCAGGTCGCGTACCCCTACCTGACAAACGCCATCTCATCTTGGGTAGACAAAGCGCTCGAAAGGATGGGCTTCCCAGAGGCGCAGGGATTCTCGAATGGCAACCTGCTTGGTCGCTCGTACATCACTCATACGATCCATCCCAAGACACGTCGGCGAGACACTGCCTCCACCTCGTACCTGCAACGGGCACTTCGAACGAGTAACAATCTTAATGTTATTACGCATACCCTTGTCAAACGGGTCCTGTTCGACGAAGAGAAACGCGCAACAGGCGTGATCGTCAACACCGGCGGATTCGAATGGCAGATCGGGGCAAGGAAAGAAGTAATCCTATCAGCAGGCGTGATGCGCTCTCCCCAGCTACTGATGATATCGGGGATTGGTCCCAGAGAGACACTGGAGAAGCTCAATATCCCAGTCCTATCAGATCTCCCCGGAGTTGGCCAGAACATGCAGGATACAATCATCCTAGGCCCAACAAACCCCGTCAAGGTCGAGAGTCACAGCCAGCTAATGGGGAGCAAGGAGACTCTTCCTCGCTCGATCTTCGAATACAACAATTTCCGCACTGGTTTGCTCACGAATCCAGGGCAGGACTACTTTGCGTTTGAGAAGCACCAGCCCGGTTCCCTCAGCAAGGGCACGTCCGCAGACATTGAGAAGGCTTTCCCGGCGGACTGGCCGACATTCTCATATATTGCGCTAGACGACACCTTCGTCCCCCAGTACGACGGCAGGAATTACTTCAGCATGTCTGCTGCGCTCCTGGCGACGTTCAGTCGCGGCACCGTCACGATCAATAGCACCAGCACCGCCGACAACCCCGTCGTTGATCCGCGGTGGCTCGATGACCCTCGCGACAAGGAAATGGCAGTCGCAGCATTCCGGCGATGTCGAGAGGTCGTGGCCTCGGAAACAATGCAGGAGGTGATCGACGGCCCAGAGCTGCTCCCAGGATTCGAGTACCAGACGGACGAAGAGATCCTCGATTACATTGCGGAGACTTCGGATGCGTATTATGCGGGTGTAGGAACTTGTGCTATGGGCAAGTCCAGCGATCCCAAGGCAGTTCTTGATTCAAAGGCGCGAGTTAGGGGGGTCAAGGGGTTGCGCGTGGTGGACGCGTCTGCTTTTCCGTTTGCAATTGACGGACAGCCCATGGCGACGGTGTATGCGCTGGCGGAGAAGATTGCAGCGGAAATTCTAGCCGGGAACTAACATTACGAATGTAGTTTGAAGTTATCCAGTTGATGGATTTGGATGCAAACGCTACTTGCTAGGGAATAGTTACACATCCAAGCACCCCCAAGATCAAACCAAGGCATATTCCCACCACAATCAGGTTCTCCTTCCCGTATCTGTACTGCATATGGGCCATCCCTCCTTGTGCCAAATAGCCCAGTAGTACGCCCCAAGTCTGCTTAACTGGCCCGGTCGCAGTGACTCCCACGGCCTGGCCCTGAAACTCATACGCGCGGTCGGCAATCTCACAAAGCGCAACCCCAAGGTCGGCATAGCTCAGAGCGGTCACCTGTGACTCGCCAATAATCAATCTATGACCGGTGGGCTTGCTGCCATCGGCATCGTGCAATGTTGGGGGGTCGACAAGCACGTACTGCAGCAACCCAGCCAGCGACGCCTCGTGCAGAACCTCGCATGCGCGTCTGAGATCGCTATAACCCGCAAACAGACAAAACGAGACAAGTCGGTGCACGAATCTTGGCACCTGCGCGGCGAGCGCGGGGTTCAGCGACGCAGAGCGAAGCTGGATGACCGTGCATGAGGACAGCGGTTGCTGTCGGCGTCGGCGTCGGAGGGCGTCAACGACGGCGGTTGCGCTGTCCTGCACCAGGCTGGTCCCCATTGGACTTCCATTCTGGCCCACGCACATAAACAGGACACTAGCATTGTGGAGAACAGCGTCGAGGCGCTCTGGATTGGTGGATTCGCCCTGGAAGATGCGGATTGTCGGCGATCGACGCTGGTCCAGGCCCGAAAACATTGCCAGCAGCTTTGGGCGAGAGCGGACCAGGATGTTGATGCTGAAGGAGTCATTTTTATTTTCGCTCGCCGTCTGGAGGAGACAGCGGAGGACACTCGAGCCGGTGGCTCCTGTTGCTCCTAGGAGGGCGTAGGTTGGCATCTTGCCTTATGCATCCATACAAAGGGGTGGTGCGTGCATGATATATATCTGTACGGCCTCAATATCGGTATAGAGCGGGGCATGAACATCTTGTATTGTAAATACGCTACTTGGGCACGACCACGAAAATAGCCTGCTCCTTACCATCATACTGATACGACTCAATAATCTCCAGCCCAGCCTGGTCAAGCAGCTCTTCCCACTCCAAGCGCGTACGCTCAATAGCCCCCAGTGAGTCCATCATCAGCAGATCCATAAACGCCGCCTGCCAGGGAACCCCAGTAGCCGGTATGACAACCTCGTCAATCAAGATGCGCGACTGTGGACCTAAAGCAGGGATAATCTGCTGTAGGATCTCGATGCACTGTTGATCCGGCCAGTCGTGCAATACGTGCCTGAGATAGTAGAATTTGGCGCCGTGAATTGGCTGCGGCTTGAAGAAGTTGTGCTCGACTAACTCAACGCCCTCTGCCGGCTGGGCTGCGGCCAGGGTCTGGGGAATGTCCTGGACAATGACCTTCCCTGGAAGCTCTGGGAATTTGGCGCGTAGAGCCTTTGACTGTTGTCCGAAGCCTCCACCGATGTCCACCATTAAGGTCTTCTCGGCGCTGGGGAAGTCGCCTAGTTGCTCCAGGACAGGGAAGTGGTCAACCCAGATCTCAGGGCGTTGAAGAGCCATGAGATGGCCGAGAGACTTCATATGTTTGGGATGCTGAGGCATCCATTCGAAGAGCGTTTGGTCCGTGTTGAATGCTTTCTGGAAGGGGCATTCCTTGTTCGACACGATCTCCTTGTATCCAGTTTCGGCCAGGTAATCAGGTAGAACTTGAGTGCATGGACCGGAGATGTCGAATCTAAAACGCATCAGCACTGCAGCTGTGAGAGAATCTGCAACATACAGTTGTGCAATCGTCCCAGCTGCATCGGGGTTGACGAAGACGTCTGTGAATGCGCTTGACGTATACTCCTGCGAAGCCGTGTCTTTGATGAGACCAAAAGCAGCCTGGCTGCGCAGAATTCGTCCTGGATTTGTTAGAAGAGTCTCGAAGTCACCACTGCGCACACACACCAAGGAGTCTAGGAGCAGCGCCAGTCTTCTCCGCCAATTCTGCCAGCGTCACCGGGCTTTCACTCTCCTTGAGGATACGGAATATGTCCAGATCAATTGCGATCTTGGTGAGGGCAACTTGCAGGGGCTGGAAATAGTCAACGAGGTTCAGATTCGATTCTCTGGGGGAAAATTACACCACTGCTCAAGCGCATCACAACATCCCAGTCCGAGTAGAAGCCAACCTGCAACTCACGAATATGGCCTTGAATTTGACGCCTGCCGTTCTGGTCGGCAATGGCGTATTCATCTTTGATTTGTTTGAATATAGCCTCCATGGTGAATATAAGGAACTATTCTTGAAAAAGCGTGGGCGAATCAGCTGAACTATAAATAAATACCAGCCAGACAGACCGGCGAGCGTATCGGGACGAGTTTACCCAAGTAGAATAAAAGAAATTGCACGGCCGATTGAAACATCCCGCCAGCAGAGGCATGCATCACATTAAACTATATACTCCTCTCCTTCGGCAACGGATACTCTCCTATATACCTGTACGTCCACGGCAGAAAATGGAATAACAACCCCGTAAAGGCATAGTAAAGCCCATCCCACGGAAACCTGACATTGCTGGACGTCGGAACAACACTAACGCTGCGCATATGGTACCGTTCATCATCGGCATCCGCGACCTCAACCATCCCCGCCGCCAAGTCCAGGAAGGAGAGGGGCGTCTGAGCCCTGTCCAGTCGGACCTCGTGCCCACGGGCCTCATCATGCACTAGACCCCCAGGTTTCACAAAGGTTGCCGAGAGCCAGTCTGACTGGGCGCGAAGGAACTCCTCCGCAGCAGCCAAGTCCCGATACAGATGCGAGACAGCGGTTTTGAGAACCCAGTGGACAGGGGCAGGGACATCATCGCAAAACGAGGGTTCCAGAGATGCCGAGGAGATCATGATGAGGCGGGGGGGACGGGTCTCTGGTGACGATGATTGCAGTCGCTGTAGAGACGCGACAACAGTCCGGGCTGTCTGCATGGCGATAGAACAACCGGGCATGTTATCGACGATGGCGACTACCAGAAACACGGCATCGGTCCCCCGGAGACATTCATCGATAAGGCCATTGTCATCAAGACTCCCTTGGAAAACCGAAAGCGCTTTCGAGGTTTCTGCGCCGGGACAGTGTCGGTAGAGCTTCTCTTTGGACCGGCAGTAGGCGTGGATTCTGGCGTCGGGTCGATCAAGCAGTACTTGGACGATCGCCCGGCCAGTATTGCCTGTAGCTCCCAGGACGGCATAGGAAGGCATTGATGATTATTCTGGCGGTGATAGGGCTGATCGTGGGCTGATCTAAATGGTGTCGCTCGCTCAGCGACTCCGGCTGTTGCGCATCGGGCTTCGGTTGTGGCCCTTCTTTTATGGAATTATTCTTCTGCGAGGACGAGGACACAGAGCTTTACGAATACAGATCCGCATCGGAGTATCAAGTGGGAATGCTATTCACATCAACCCCCCTGGGACCGACCGAGCCCCAGAGCAGTGTCTACAACATCCAGCTCTCCGCGAGTGAAACCCCAGGGAATACGCATGTAGATGGCTTGACACAGGCGAGCGCAGACCGCGTGTCCGAGCTGCTGATGATCAATTATGCGCGATATCATACTCTCTATGCTGCAGTGGGCTTTCACAGTAAGTCAAAACAGCCGCCGTGAAGCGATATAGGAAACCTACCAACGCGCAACAGACCACACGGTGCACCACCTCCTCACTTTATTCGCTCTCGGTGCGACTCCAGATGAGATACGGGATATGTACGATCTGAATATCGGCTACCAGTCACTGGTACAGTATCGGTCGGCCTCGGTGGTTGTCCAAATGAAAGACCGAGAGTTTTTCAAGAAATGCATAGGAGACCTGAGCTACTACGACAGCTTTTTGCGGTTCTTTCAGGATGAGATTGCGCAGCGCGGGGTCCCTGGTGTCGTAAACGAGTATCTGTTTGGGAATACTGAGCATTCGAATGATCTCCTGGGACGGATGCACTCCGGTCGGTCATGCCCTCTCTATAAAATAAACCAGGACGTATACTGAGTGAAGAAGGCTTTCTACACCCCATGATCCACCTAGGATGCGGACTCGAATTCAATCAACCTCTCCTCGTAGCAGAGGCGCTGGCGGCAGGCTGTGTTCACGATGACTGGCCGAGCTCGTTTCTCTTCCCGACAGAGAAATACCAGGAAACACATCCAGGGATTGAATCCAAGTCGATGCTTGAGGTGATGGACGATCTACATAACGATCCGGTTATCAGCAATGCAGTCCAGTTAACAGACCCCCTGAATAAAATCAGCGACGGCCTTTTAGCCAAAGTGTGCGACGAGCTGGTGCCCTACCTAGCACGGTACCGCGTCACTCCTACAGACGACGAACTGTATCAACAAACGGTCCACATGGTGCATACATGTGCATACATGGTGGGAGCAGCCCAGTGTCCAGGAAAGGTCGCAGCTCTAGATTTCGTGATGCTGCATACCCTAACCCTCTCAATATTCTACACAACATTCCTAGCGCAGGAGTGGATCTCGAACGAGAATAAAGCGCGCTTGCTGCAGTTCAAGGTCTGGGGCGACTTGGTCACCTACGCAGGGTGTGGATGTGCGACCCTCTACCCAGACCGGATCACCGGTTATCGACCTAAACGGCCAGATCAGGGATGGAAGGAGCTAGTTCATCGTGCAAACATCTATGGGGACGATGGGCACATTTCCAAGGTTACTCGAGCTTTATTACATGCGGAGAGCCTGCCGGATCCATGCCCTGGGTTCCCGCTATGCAAAGACGATTTCATCAGGATTGCGCACCTGAGTCTTGATTCTGTGGAACGTATGCTCGAGCCGGACCAGTACAGGGTGCCGGAGAAGATTCGAAAGGAAGTCGGAGAGGAGATGGGCCAGGACGAAGAGGTCATCCGGGTCATGGTGCGATGGGTACGATGGTGTGGCGTCGACGGTGCATGGGATGAGTTTCCAGATCTAACTGACTGAAACGGAATAAAAGTTACAAGTTGCGATAAGGACAGTATCTAGTGCAGTCGTTTCTTTAGTAACCAGGATGGCGTATATTCTAATGATTCAGCAGTTGCCAGAGGTCTTGGTATTTAAATCCATATCCCCAAGAATGACCAGCTAAGCCATGCTCTCTACCAAGCCCAAGTCAGTTAATAAATATGAAACAAGCGAGTTGCCATTGAAGCGCTGGGCTTGATATTCCCCGCGGCATATCCATCCACACCAGTCAGACTGCGCACTGGGTTATAAGCCAAGAGAAAATTTTCCGCGTGAAGAGAAATTGATCCACTCAATCACGGAGTTAACGTCCACCTGTCCGGACTCCGCACGCTTCTCCGTGTCCATTCACGCCTATTTCTTTACAATATCCTCCAGATGAACTACCCCGGACCTTGTTCCATGTGCATAACATATCCTCGAAATGACTTCCTATCTGATCACCGGGTCCTCTCGCGGGATTGGCCTTGAAATCACCCGGCAGCTGGTCGAGTCTAATGCTGAAATAACCATTTTTGCTGCAGCCCGGTCTGCAACTTCGCCTGGGTTTCAAGATCTGTTGGAAAGGCACCCAACTCAAATAATACACGTGCCTTTGGAAGTGACAAGCGAAAATAGCATTAAAGCGGCTGTATCGCTTGTGACCGAAAAGCTTAATGGCAGGGGCTTGGATGTGCTCATTAATAATGCGGGCGTCATGAACGCGGCGCGCCTTGAGGACATGTAAGTTTGCACTCATTGCAGAGAAACAGATCGTATCTGGCGTCGAGGAGCTTTGAGAACTAATGGCTAAAGGACCGACCTTGACGAGACTTTCCGGATCAATGTCAGCGGCGTGCACTCTGTTACGCGGGCTTTTCTGCCAATTATGAGGGAGGGCCGGGAGAAGAAGATACTAAACATGTAAGTCATTTATATATCGTGCATTTACGCAACGGCTAATGGGCCTCTAGGTCTTCCACGGTGGGTTCGATTGCCTTGCAGCCAGACTTTCGCATGACACCCGTACCTTCATACAAGGTCACAAAGGCTGCATTGAATATGCTCACGGTGCTTTATGCCGATGAACTCAAGGATGAGGGCTTTACAGTGTTCTGCGTCAGCCCAGGTGTACGTTTTATGGATGATATATTCAAGGACATAGCAACTAACGAACAATCAATACAGTGGCTGAAGACTGAGTTGGGGGGTGAACACGCGGATCTTCCTGTGGAAACTGGGGTCAAGTCAGTGTTGGAAATTCTTTCGAGTGTTGGTGGAGAGGACAACGGACAGTTTTTCAATATTGAGGTGCCAGGATGGGAGAAATACCAGCGAGAGAAGGTGCCTTGGTAGATTGATTATTGGAGGAATAAGATGAGTTGTTTCGGATACGATGCATATATAGAATATGACGCAGATTGACACTTCGTCGTCATATAATATTAGCGTCTCCCACTCTGCTATGATCAAACCATGAACAATAATACCGCCTGTATCGCGATTTCAGCTTTCATGAACTGTGGAGCGAAGGAAAAATATTTCGGCCAATCAAAAGATGGTTCCAGTGTGCTGGCAGAGGGATTGCGGGCCAGGCCGGGGATCCGGTGGAGACGAATCACTTCCAATCAGATTGCTCCACTGTTGTTCACTGCCTGGGAATGTATTTAACAGACAGACCCCTTCCCGACGCGTCATGTCCAACCTTGCGCTGACTTGCACTGACTCCTGCACCATCCTTCAGTCGTCGAGGTCCTTTACAAAACTACAGGGCTCCTACGTCGGATATCATGTTTCTCGGTCCCATGAAGAATGGCGTACCATGGGGCCATCGCTGGCGGTCGTCTGATACCTTCATTGTCAGCACGATGAGCCTGGCGATGTTCACTGGTAAGCATATTATGTACCTCAAGAATCCAGCACTGTTGCTAAATTATGGCGACTTTAGATGATCTGCTTTTTGCATTCATGATACCTCTATTACCCACGATTCTAGAGGATAGAATCGGCCTAGACCCAAGCCTTACGCAGCGATACACCTCGATATTCCTTACAGAGGGAGCGCTCGTTTCAATTATATCGAGCCCATTTATCGGGGCGCTGTCAGACGCGGTCTCCAGTAAAAAGCTGCTTTTACTGGGTCTCCTTGTGCTGACCTTGATAACTACTGCCTGCCTGTCACTCACAGTTCAGTGTAAGTATATTCTACTCCTTGCGAGATTCGACGAGTGAAGGCTGACTGGAATGCAGTGCCGTGGCTATTTATCGGTCGCTTCTTCCAATCAATCACCAGCAATTCCCTATGGATCGTGGGCATGGCAACTATGGTCGAGAATCTTGGGTCAGAACACATCGGCAAGATAGGCGGCCTGGTCACCACGCTTCAATCCACCGGAACCACCGCGGGGCCATTTCTCGCGGGCCTGTTGTTCGAAGTGGGAGGGTACTGGTGTGCGTGGGCGGCTGCGGGAGCATTCCTTTTGGTGGACATAACTATGCGTCTCCTCATGGTCGAAAAGTCTTCCGGTTCTCCCGCAACTGTAGAGGACAGAGTACGGGATCGTCTTCTCCAGGACGACACCTCTACACTGGACAGTGACCAGTCTGATGATCGGGTTTCGTCGGACCTGCGCAGTTGGCGATTCCATGCCTACATGTTCCGTCAATCGCGCTTCGCTGCGGGAATCTTCTGTGCGTTCGTTTTTGCCGTGATAATTGGGAGTTTGGAAAGTACCATCTCAGTACATGTGAGAATTGCGTTTGGATGGAGAGCTTTTCATATCGGAATACTGTTGGCAATGCTTCAGGGGCCCGGCATACTACTGGGATCATCAGTAGGTTGGATGAAAGACCGCATCGGCTCACGATTTCCAACCGCAGTGGGATTGTTGGGAATGGCGCCTTTAATTACGCTTCTGGGAATCCCCGGCGACAAACTGTTTCCATGGGTGGAAGATGCGCCCTGGGTGAAGATTGCCTTCATGGTTTGCATAGCAATGATGGGATGTCTATTATCTCTCCAGAGTGGGCTTGGTTCTGTAGAGGCAGCTGGTGAGTACATCTGAGTCGGAAAAATCGATATAGACTAATAATATCCTTCTAGACACGATCAACGCCATCGAGGAACGCGAGCCTGGTAAATTCGGTCCTCACGGAGGCTATGCGCGCGCTCTGGCGGTGATCAATATGACCTGGATGGCTGGACTTATGACCGGCCCCGTTTTGGGAGGACTTCTAGTGGAGACGGCTGGGTATTTTGTTCTGCATTGCTGCCTTGGTAAGTCTCTGAATGGATATAGAAGACAAGTTTCTGATTTTTCCAGGGGTCTTAAGCTTTATGGCAGGATGTGTCGCTCTGCTTTTCCTGCGCTCTGTTCCATATTCATCTCCTGAGAACTAATAGGATGGTTCTTGGAATATAAAGTAATTTATCAATGGTGGCAGTAAAAGTATCAATCTACGTAATATAATATATTATTCCATACATTGCCATTGCATTTATTGTCGCCAAGTCAGAAACGGGTCATGGTGGAAGAAGGTCTGAGTCTTCAGACGACGAGCTGCTTTCTTCACACATTTGAGCGTAGAACTGATGTGAAACCAGTCGGATCATCCTGCGGTCAGTCTTTTTTGAGGGCGTGCGAGGAACCCGCGTACCTAGCAAGAATAACGTTGGAATCATATAAGTGGGGAGGAACACGGCGAGAGATTCCTTGATTTGGTCCACTTTCTGAAGAGCACTCTGGTCTTGACTTGCGTCTTTGAGAGACAGGCCTTCCGTCTCAGAGCTGTCTGGGTGGTCGTTGAGATACAAAAAGGCGGCTAGACAAGGTCCCTGTTTACCATCAATGACACCGAGTAGGTCTACCACAATGGCATCTTTGGACGTAAGACATTTCCTTGCAAGGTGCTCGACCTCGACCACGTCGATCCGACATCCATCGAGCTTTACAATCGTGTCTTTTCGCCCGATATACTCAATCAGTCCATCCTGCGTGTATCGTGCTAGGTCCCCCGATCGATACAGGCGAGCAGATTGTCGCTCTGGATGGAGCTGGGTTAACCAACGTGGGATCGACTCCAAGAAGCCGGCTGGTTTCGTTCGGTCCGATGCCTGATGATTCTGATCAAGATATCCTCTTGCAAGATGAGGTCCTTCAATAACAATCTCACCAATGGCACCGACTGGGGCCAGTTTTTCTGGGCAGGTTGGGTCAATAAGCCAGATAGGACCGCTGGACGGCTGGCCAATAGTAGCCGGTGCACTACTAGTAGCATGTACATTGTCGTTGTATGCACAGCAAACTGCTGCTTCACCCATCCCAAACTGGTTGACCAACTTTGTCGAGCTGTGAGCCCAGTTGTTCAAAAGGTCTTTCGGGAGAGGCTCTCCACCGACGCAAAGAATCTTGAGACTGCTCATTGCTTGTGGAGTTGCCTTTATAGCGACGGTGGGTGTCAGGAACGCAATATTGGCATTCAGACTTTTAATATTGTCGGCCAGGTCCTGAACCGATTTCATCGGCCCCGGCACACAGCAGCAGCCTCCGAGAATGAGAGGAACCAAGAACTCCAGGTTGCTAATGTCAAACGCGTAGTCGTCAAAATGCAGAAACCTGGTATCTTGATCCAGGCCCAAGTTTCTTGCGTAGTCGTGAATGGCGGAGGCGTACGACTTGTGCTCCTGTACAATGGCCTTGGGCTTACCGGTGCTGCCAGAGGTGAAAAGCACCGTGCAGGCGTTGGAGGGCTCAACTACCGGCAGCGAGGAAGATTCAGGCTCCAGAGGAAGCGTCTCTAGCCATTCAGGAGTGATAGTAACGACCGTTTCTATTTTATCGCGGAAGTGGTCCGCATACGTAGGATCGCTCAACATGATCTTTGCACTGGTGCGCTGGATGACAGAGTCGAGGTAGGCTGGGGGATTGCTAGAGTGGATCGAGATGTAGGCTCCCCCAGCCCGCAGAATGGCCAATCGAGCGACAATTGCCCATGTTGACTTTTGGAAACTGCTAAGAACAAATGATTCGGGCTGTACACCCAGGCTTGTGAGATGGTGTGCTAGTCGGAGTGACAAGTTGTCTAACTCCTGGTAGGTCAGGTCGCCGTCAAATGAACGCACCGCAGGCCTTGTTGGATGTCGTCGGCAATTCTCCACGATCAAATCGTGCAGACAATGGAAACTACCGGCTGATTTTGCTTCTGTCAAGCCCTTGAGGACCTGCCTGTGAAAGTCTGAGCAGTAGTCGATCTCCTCGAGTTTGAGGGTAGCTGGATTCGTCGTAAGCTGACGTAGAACGTGCTGGAAGGTCCAGAGCATGCTTGTATTCAGAGAGCTTGCGCCCATTTGCGGGTTCTTGATCCTAGCGAGTATTCGATCATCGTGCTGAATGATGGCAAGCTATACGGTAGATAAAAGAAATGTCAGATCAAGGACGGACCAACGTTTTGAAAAGAAGCATACCTACCTTGAGACTTTCACTACCCGAGCTTGGTCGAGCCAAACATAAGCCCGAAGTCGTCGTGTATATGAGCGAAGAAGTACAGGAAGCTGCAGAGTACCCAGGCTTAGCGATCTGAGTTCCATTGCACTCAGACGATGCTCCACCGGCCTTTTGGACCTCGAGCTTGTCGAGCAGTGTCTGTACGTCCCAATCTGGGTCCACCCGCACTGTGAAAATAGCAGGCAGCTCGAATCTCGAGAATGAGTCGTCTTCATAACTCAATGTTGCGACATCTTCTGGCAGGAAGCGACCAAGAGTCAGGATCCATGCTGCTTTCAACAAATCAGTGCCCAAAATCGACGTCAGCGCCTGAGCCTCTCGAAGGCGAGACCAGGAATGGCCCAGGTCGAGTTCAACGACGTCTTTACAAGTGCATATTGAGTGGGAGGATTTCAAAGATTTAATAGGTGCCTGCGATATCTCAGTACATGGCCTCTTCAACAGAATCGGTGCCATCGTGACAAGGTTGTTTGAAATGAATTGAAGAGAAGCTCGAAGCTTCAGGTCGGTTGTTTGCACGCGGCACCAATACAGGTATTTACGACAGCTGACGATTGCCAAGGCTTCGGGATTGATGGCACGTACTTTGGAAATGGCGATCAACCCCGCCAGCGCGGCGTTTCCTTCGCGCAGCGTTCTTTGGCAGGTATGCCATCATGCAAGGGTTATTGAGACCATGCCTGTTTGCCTGTATTTAAAATGTTTCCCCGAAATTCCACATCACAGTTGACTATTTAATAATGCTACAATCAATGCTAAGTGGTGCTAAACTAGCTCAAGCTCACAAAGTTGGTCATCCGATGCTCCGACTGATGATTGTTGTATAGAGTTTTGCTGGAATCGCCTGCTGCCGATCGCGGTGCCGATCGCGGGGCGGCGGGCCGACAGCCAATAGAAATTTAGTTTCTTTGTCGTGATCAAACAGTCTGAGCCAATAGTATTCTGCCGACTAGCAGGAGCGGCCCCACTGTTCACGACCCCCTGATGGGCCTCGATCGCTCTGTGATGGTCTGATGGCGCTGCAGGTGCCTTGAATGGTCTCACGTCCTTGGACGACTCGAATCATCGTCATCGTCATCACCACGCGGCGCGTTCTGTCAAGTACACTCTGTATTTTTCATGCAATGAGCCCCACTGTTCAGCTGGGCGGATGAACACCCACAAGCAGCATGCCAAAAGCAGCCATTGTTAGTTGTTGACTCATGGCGATTCGTATCCGTAAACATTCCAGGTCGTCATTTTCCTTCTTGCTTTCTATTTGTACCTTTATACAAAATCATCATGACAGTTACCGTGAAGCCCATAGCAAATGGCCACACATCACCAGAGCCTCCCCATTTAGATCACGATTTCCATAATTCCTGGGGCAGCATATACTCGAACAGCGGATTCACGCGCGATGATCGCGCTCGCAAAATCTGGGAGGATTACACGCGCAACCCGGCCAGAGTCGAACAGCAGTACCATCTTCTCATCAACGAATATTCTGAGCGCTTTCAGTCGTTTTTCAAGGGATACTGGCCCATTTCCTTCCATGCGCATGTCAGCGATGCACTCATGCCAACCACGGTAGCGAGTCTTGTCTTGAACACTGCGTCAACCTGTCCATTAGTAGTGGAGGATCCGGCATTGTCGCCGCTTCTCAAAGATGACCCTGAACCTGAGAAAGTCCAGCAATTTGTGCGGGACCTTCTAGGTTGGTCTGATGTTCATGCGACAGCACCGAAATTGGCAATTGTGGAGGGGATTTACGGCAGTGCATATGGGCCTTTGGTAACTGGAAAGTTTACCTTTGAAAATGGCACAGCTGACAGTAAACCAGGCTCACTCATCTGTCGAATGGGAAAGTAGGATCATTGGCGCGGGGCCGACATCAATTATGATCCGTCGGGATGACTTCTCATCGGAATCTACGTTACTGAACAAGCTTACAGAGGCCAAAAAGCAAGGCTGTGTCGCTGTTGTATGTGATCTAGTAAGCACCTCGGACGGTTCAATACTGCCCCCAAGTCTATATCACCTCCTGCTATCCTGCTGCGAGCAAGCACGCATCTGTCTTATTGTAGACGAGGCCATGACCGCAGTGCGATGTGGCGCGCCATTAGCCTGCCAAAGACCAGAATACATCGGCAATGGCAACATCCAACCCGACATGATCGCCTTCGGTAAAGGAATGGGCGTGAGCGGCATGGCAATTAACTTCAACGGACTGATGATGCGACACCTCGCATACCACAAGCGAGACCAAATTCTTCAGACCCTCAAGTTCTGGCGGTGCATGGTGAGCAGGCCCATTGCGGCCCCGGTTCTAATCGAAGCCCTGGGGATATTGAACGTTGCCGAGATGGAGGATTGGCCAGCGAAAAGCGAACAGATTGGGGCTGCATTCCGCGCGTTTGTCCATCAATACGCGCACAATGACAGCGACAAGGAGATCATCCGCGGGCTGGGCGCTTTCCTGGCAGTTGACCGTGAGTTTTCCAAACAATTCCGCGTCATGGCGGCGTTTCGCAGGCGTAGTTCGTGGGCTCGTTGGCTTCCCAAGCTCAACAGCACTGCCTTTCTTGATCCCCAGTCGATCGGGAAGTACTTAATTGGCCCTGGTGCCCGGTCCATCCGACAGGCGATGTCGGACGAAGCACAGATGCATGGGGCCAGGCCATTGTGGTGTTATAGCTGCGGTATTGATACAACTGGGGACGATTGGTGCCGAACGTGCTTCTTAGGGTCTTGCGGCAGCGAGGAATGCGTAGAGGGTTTACGCGCCCATGAGTGTGTCTAGATTATCCAGTCAATCAGCAAACAAAACTTGGCGTTCATTTGATTTGGTGGCAGCAAATGATAGACAGGTGACAGGTGGTCGAGCGTGCATGATCGGGTTCTTTAGCATAAGCAAAAGGCCAAAGCGAGCAAACAAACAAAATAGACACATTGCCATGGCGAATCAGACAGAGGACAGTGAAAAGGACGAACTGTATCCCAGGAACCTGCAGGCGTAAGAAACGGAATTTGTGCCATTGGCCAGTAGGGGCAAACTGCATTTCCTTCGCCCCGCAAACCACCCAGGGGCCACAGCCGCGACAAATAGCAGGATTCTATTATTTTATTATGTTACTTAATTTCGGGTAAACTCCTCCGTATTTGTTCTGCAGTCGTAAATGCTCGACGGCAACAACACCCACGCCCCAGGAAATGAAGCGAATTCTCTTTTTGACCAGCGTTCCACCACATATTACCGATCAATACATTTCGGACAATGACTGGTCGAATGAGATGCTGCCAGCACGTCTCTCGGACAGGGGAGCCTTGGTAACGATCAAGCAATGGACCGACGAGGACATAATGGACACTCTGCTGGAGAGCGACCTCGCCACATTCCTCTGGGCGGAGGATTATGTTCGATATCCCGATGCTTTTGGACGCTTCCTGAAGACAGCCAAACAGGCAATTGAGGCCAATGGAGGACAAAATACCCCCCAGGTGATGAACGGTATTGACCTGGTCGAGTGGAACATGGACAAGAAGTACCTGCTTGACATGCAATCGGCTGGATTCGACATACCCAGGACTGACATATTCGACATGGAGCAACCCTGCTCTGTGTCTGTCGTTCTCCAACGGCTTCAGACGTTTCAGTCATCTGGTCCTCTCGTTCTGAAACCATCTGTATCTGCATCCTCCAATAATACCCATTTTATTCCCGATATCTCTGCACCATCAGCCGAGGATACCGGATACTTGCAATCAGTTGCAAAAGGTGAACTCCAAAGCTCATTCGTCGTGCAGCCATTCGAGCCAGCTATCGCTACAGGCGAATACTCGTTTATTTTCGTCGGGCAACGACTTTCCCACGTTGTGTTGAAGGTGCCCAAGAGTGGCGAGTTCAGGTGCCAGGAGCAATTCGGCAGTCGTGTCACTCGGGTACCTGTTGAGTCAATACAGGAGAAAACGTTGTCTACCGTGAATGCCATCTTCGACCACCTCTGGGACCGGTTTGGGAATGGAGCAACAGGGCACATGGCTTATGTGCGCATTGATGGCTTGGTGGCCGATGAGCGTCCGTTTATCTTGATGGAGATTGAAGCTATTGAGCCCCATCTTTATCTAGAGATGGACGGACTTGAAGACCTGCTCTCTCTTTTGTTGAAATAGACCCTTCTTTAAATGTATATGTTGGATTCCAGATGCTTAGTGAATATTCATTCCTTAGCAACTTATTGGATATGTATTCATATGTATGCGTGATACTCTGTTATTACAGCGATATAACAGGTCCCGATCGCTCCAAAAAGAATCTAAACGCACTGGATTGGCCAATAGGAGACTAGACCGTATTCAGAAAACGAGCATGAGCATGAGTCTTATCAGGATGCCGCGGGCAAATTTCTCTTTTCGACCCCTGGGCTGGAGCCATTTTAATAAAAGCATCTGTAGTTATCCGTGGCCGAACCGCAAGTGCACCCTCGTCAATCCGACCCATAAGGTCCTGAATCTCGACGTTCAACCCAAAAGCCGGACGCAGGAGTATCCACAGTGTCTGCAGCCCGTTGAACATTCTCAGCGCATCAACCACCTCCTTCCAGCGCTCGATAATGCGCGAAGCCATCAAATCACCCCAGGGCGGCGACTCGACAGCCAGATGCCGAAAGAGACTCAGGCGGGATTGGGGCATATATTTCGGTAGTTCGAGAGCCGTACGCGGATTGGAGATGTAGAAATTATTTTGCGTATAGAGCATCTCGATTGTCTCGGTGTATCTGGATATATCAATACAGGCCAGTTTCTTCAACAGGGGACCTACATTCTCTTACAGCTCTGGAGCATGCTCATTGCCCTTAGTTTTCGTGTCTCAGCGGGCGTCCGCGTAGACTTCACTGAAAATGTCCTGCTATGAGCCCTGGGCGAGCAGGCGAAGTGGTCCTTGCTACAGATGCAAGGCAGTGGGTGGACTCGATCATACTCCAGCTGGGCTTCCATGGGGAGTTTGCAGAGGAAGCTGCGGAATTTGTATTTCCGGCCTCCTACCCAGGCAATATGGACCGTCTCAGGAAAAATGAATATTTCCTTGTATATCATATCTCGGATTTCCTGTGGGAGGCGGAAGAAGAGCGACCGGCCCTGGTTGTGCATGGGCTTGCTTTGCACCTTGCGTTTCTTGGCTTTGGGAGTTGGTTCTTCATGTTTTGAAGTCTTTGACTTGGTGGATGCTGGATGTTTCCGTTTTCCCATGGCTTAGCTGGTTGGAAATGATATAGGTTGAGGAGTCTGCGGATTACAGCTTTATAAGAAGATCAATGAGGCTGTGCTGGAACACGCTAACCTTATTTAACAATGGCCAAGTGGAATTAGAGTAACTAGCACTCATGGTGAGCTGTATAAAACATCAAATATACACAAGGATAATCTAATCATTGAAATGCTGCGCAAGAGGCGCCCTCGTGGCATTCCCATACGCCGAACCACCGTAAGTCAAGTATCCAGCATCAACCGGCCCCGAATGCGCGATAATGTCATCATTGTTACCAAAGGTAAACACCGTCTGCATGCCCATGACCATATGCTGCAAGATATGGCAGTGGTACATCCAGACTCCAGGGTTCGTCACACGAATCCGCCACGCCCGCCATCCAGAGGGAACCAACTGACCCGAGGTCTTGCGGTGCCGGTAGAGCACAGAGGTATCGCGCAGGATGGGATGCGTGCCCTTGAGTCGCTCTTCATTCGCAGTAGCATTATAGAGTCCATCGCCGCCGCCAATATCGTAGACATGTCTGCCATGCGCATGGAATGGGTGCGCGTCAACACCGCCGTTATCAACAGCGCCGCGGTTCTGCCATACAATCTCAAGCACCTCGCCAACTTTAGCTGGGAAGGTGCGAGTGAGGTTATCGAACCCGTTGCCTCTGGCGAGGGCGCGGTGATACGTTGCATCGAGGTTGAGCTTGTTGTTGTAAATGTCAACCAAGTACGGAGTCTGGGGATAGGATTCAACCCAGTCGTACCCGTTCTGCAGCCAGATCGTGCGGTCGCTGATGTTCTGGTGGACGTCGACCACAATTCTCCTGGTCACTTCGTGCAGAGCTGGGAAATCGTTGCTTGGATGCAGAGGCTGCAGTTGGTAGTCGAGCCAGCCCTCGACGGCTTTGGCCACGGGGAGTGGAGGAGGCGAAGGGACGGTGATCAGGTCTGGTGAGTCGGTATAAGACAGCACCGCGAAGTTAGTCAAGACCTCAGGTCTCTCCAACGACGTGATCTGGATGTAGAATTGGCGCTTGTTGGCTTTCTTCAGCTCCTCCTCGCTCTTCGCCGTCAGGAGCACGCTGTATCGCTGGCCGCTGGCAATCTGGAGGAAGCTCGTCTCAAGAGGCTTCGTATAGTGACCATCTGCTTCGATGATGCGCACATCGTGGCTCTCAATGGCAAGCGATACAAACGACAGTGCGGCGCCTCCGACAAATCGCAGCCGGTATGTCTTTCCCGGCTCTACGGAGATGGCAGCCAGCCTGCATGAACCGGTGGAATTCGTCGCCTGCCGACTGTGTCCATTGACCTCGATTGCCTTTGTCTCCCCACTCCAGGTAAAATTCGTAGAGACAAGGCCGGCTTCGATTTCCTCGTCTGTCTGGTCGAAATAGTCCGATATCAGCAGGATGCGTTCCTCGTCGTATTCAAATGGCGGCGGGTCCGCTGAATCCACAATCAACCCTCCCCTGGCCGTGACCGCTTGAAAGCCGACATGGGAATGGTAGAAATAAGTCCCTGCAGATCCAATCTCCGGCAACACCTCGTAGTCGAAGAAATGCCCAGGCGGAATGGGCCATTGGCTTGCAGCCGGGGCTCCGTCAGAGAAGGGCGCAGTATACGCAGTCAGACCGTGCCAGTGCTGTCCGAATCAGTAACAATAACTACTAAAGCTCAGTCAGGAGGGATACCATTGTGGTATTCGCATCGGTCATGTCATTATACACCCGGATCCAATTGACCTCGCCCTCGCGCAGGCGCAAGTCCGGGCCGGGAGCGGACCCATTGACCAAGACTGAATGGCGCTCATCGCATGCCTCACTCCAAATCCCTGCGGTCACTCGCAGGATATGATCAGGCGTGAAAGAGCTGTCATGCTCAACAAGGCCAGCCTGGGCGGCAACTGCAAGCCCTAACAGGGCAAGGCTGGTGTAGATTCCACGCATTCTCGTCTGACAAGAAGATCAACCTTGTGAGACTCGCGATGCAGTGAGATTCCCCTGTCAGCATTTATAAAGAGTCGCAAAGGACAAGCAAAGCCAAGCTGGCCAGCCGATCGACATGCAGGGCCACGTTTATTGGTGCCAGCGTAATGGGCGTGCAAGGGTTCATTGGGCTGTTAATTTTAAGCGGCACGCCTGAACAATAATAAGGCTGAAAGAAGCAGCAATATGCACTCAAATATCCCCGAAAGGGGCGTCATTCTGCGCTCTGCAAGCCTCTTTCGTGTTTGTTATTGACTTCTGGTGGCTCCAGACTGCGCCCCCTTACAGCCTCATTCCTTCCACTCCCGACATTCTCTGCCTGGGTTGCAACATATTCGGGATGATAGGCCTGTAGTGTTCTATTCTCCAAGTTTAGATCAGATTAACTTTAGACCATGCTCTTGCGCAAATGTCAGTGCATTAAGCTCCTCCCCACGGTCGCTTATCACTACGCTTCAGAAGCTGAAGGAAAACAGGAGCCATTCTCGTCTAGTCCATATCAGTTCCGTCCATTATGATTTGCATATCGCTAGATAATCAGGCTCCATGCCTTGCAGAGGCTGGATCAATCAGGGCAATTTATGTTGCATTGAAACATTCCCTTAGCAATGCGACCGTTTTATGCTGTTTTGTGCTTCGACCGATATATATATACCGTGGCTAGTCGGTCCGTGCATTATGCTTAATGCACCAGCTGCATTAAGCCTGCATAACTGCTTAAGTACAGCTACTTCAAACAACTAGCTTAAGCTATCAGTTATCGATTCTCAACTTATCAGTCAATGTTGGAGACTGTTAAGCGAATCTCCGCCGGCGGCGAAAGCAGCCAATTAGACGCCGCTTTGTCCGGCGGAAAACGTTGCCCGGCGGAACCAGACTTGTAGAAGGTGGGGAGGCGGGCACAGGTTTTATATAGCCCGTTTTCGGAGTCCACAGTGACTGAACAACTTCAACAACACCGTCTATACCATGGCTCGCGATAGCATTGTGGTCCTGGGGTAAGCTAGTCCTACCGTACTCGGTTGATGGTCACTGACTGCGACAGCGCCGGCATTATCGGGCTGAATGTCGCCCTCGAGCTGTCAAAACGTGGATACGGACGTCATGTCACGGTGATAGCGAAGCATTTGCCTGAAGACTCCCATGTCGACTATACCTCACCTTGGTGGGTATCTCGGAACCCTCTTCACAGCCTCCACTGACTGTTCAGGGCTGGTGCGAATTTCTCGGGCGTTTCAGGCAACGACGCCAATGCCTTGCGATGGGACAAGGCAGGGTATCTGACTCTGATGCGACTGATTGACGAACAAGCCGAGGAGGCGAAATTCCTCAAGAAGACGGAGTCGATTGAATACTGGGACGAGGAACCGTCAATGGACAAGATCCGAAGTGTAACCGAGTACCTGCGGGATGTGAGTTTCCCAGCATTTAGAATATAAACAGGAGCTAACTAAGACAGGTTCAAGCAATCCCGAAAGGAGAGTTGCCACCGAACGTCGCGTTTGGTCTGCGCTTTACGACCATCACACTGAACGCACCAGCCCATTGTCGCCACCTGCAGTCTCTCCTTTCACAGCCGAGATACGGCTCAGTACAATTTGCTCGACAGGCAGTAACAACGCTAGACAATGCCTTCCTGTCATCAAACACTAAACTTGTATTCAACTGTATCGGAAATGCCGCGAAGGCACTTCCCGGCGTCAGCGACCAGAAGTGCTATCCCACCAGAGGCCAGATAGTTCTGGTAAAAGCACCCCAGGTCAACCAAAACACCATGCGCCACGGGAAAGACTACGAGACATATATCATCCCGCGGCCTCTATCCGACTCGACGGTAATTCTCGGCGGATACATGCAAAAAGGCGACAGAGAGAGCAAAGTCCGCGACGAAGAAACACGGTCGATTTTGCATAGAACGGGAGAATTGCTACCGGCGCTTAAATCCAACGAAACACAGGTTCTTAAGGTTGCAGTTGGGTTTCGGCCGTCGCGAGAGGGGGGAGCTCGAGTGGAGAGAGAGCAGTTCAATGGGCGAACAGTCGTGCATAACTATGGAGCTGGAGGTACTGGATATCAGGCTGGCATGGGGATGGCGCAGGACGCAGTCGGTCTGGTACAGGGGGAGCTGGACATGTTGCCGATGAGCAAACTGTGATTGACATTTACAGCATTTTTTTTTTACAAGAAATTGCAAGCATACTTCTCCGCAACCTCCTAGGCGCAGAAATTCAGTATCCCCAATCAACCGACGCAAGCCGTATGTCAACAGCCGGCGAATGGAGGAGGGACTTAAGTACTGATACTAGTATTGATGATAACGAGCTATCTCCAAGTATCTGTGGTGATAGATTCGGGAAATACTTAGGAAGGTTGATTTAACGTCTTAAACACTGCTGGGGTTGAAAACAATGCGCACCCAAGAGACTGAGCAAAAGATGAATGCTAAACTAAACAGACCATGCATAGCAAAAATAGGAGACAGTAGCCATAGCTTAAATAGCAGAGAAATCGTGGTATCTTGACAGCCTCAACAATTTCTCTGCTATTTAAGCTATGGCTACTGCCTCCCACTTTTGCTATGCATGGTCTGTTTGGTTTGTCATTCGTCTTTTTCTCAGTCTCTTGGGTTAGCATTGTAGCTCTAGAGGCCTGCAGGCATCAAGGAGGAAGCTGGGAGTCGGTTATCAGACGGCTCTCGTCGCCTTAAGAACTCGGCTCGACCCCGCATGTCGATTGCGACAGCCGAGAGAGCGCCTAAGCCAGCCCTTTAGCCAGACGCTACGAAAGCCAGTTCTTCATGGGAACAGTGGCGACAGATTGATTGTATTTTCGACTGCTCACTATTGTCATGGCGCATCATCTACCAGAGTTCCCTATCCCCTCGGGCTCGACCACCGTTCAGGTGCGGATCATCGATTCGACAACCCGGATTGGGAGGCTCCCTCTGGAGTTCCTCATGGTACCCCCAATGCAGGGCATGCAGTACATGCCAGTTCTTCCTGCTTGGTCGTTTCTCATTGAACATGAGTCGGGTCAGAAGGTGATCTTCGACCTTGGCGTCCCTCGCGACTGGCACACGTTTGCGCCCGTCGTTGCTAACAAACTGGAGGAGCGAGGATGGGATATCACGGTCGAGAAGGAGGTGATCGATGTATTAGGGGATCACGGTATTGGCGCACATGAGATCTCAAGCATTATCTGGAGGTGCGTACCGTCTTGACACTACCAACACAGCGAGGAGCTAATGCAATCTCATGGTAGTCATTGGCACTGGGATCACATCGGGGATCCCTCGCGATTTCCCCCGGCCACAGAGCTGATAGTAGGGCCCGGCTTCAAAGACGAGTTTCTCCCTGGGTACCCAGAAAAGGCTGATGCTCCCGTGCGGGAGAGTGATTTTGCGTATGACTTCCACGCCCCCATATGTTGACTACAAGAGCTATACAATTAATGCATGCCACGATTCAGGGGACGCACTGTGAGGGAGGTTGACTTCAACCAGGCAGCTCAGGTCGGCCAGTTCCGGGCTATTGATTTCTTTGGTGATGGCTCTTTCTACATTCTTGATACACCCGGCCACGCAATCGGCCACCTCGGTGCTCTGGCACGTACCACAACTGCTCCAGATACGTTTATTTTCATGGGAGGCGACCTATGCCATCACAGCGGCGAGATCCGGCCGTCCAAACACCTGTCAATTCCACGCGATATCAGCCCTCCCGGATCTACTGCCACAAGCTTTCCCTGCCCAGGGGCTGCGCTGTATGACCAGCTCCAGGCGAGCCGCAACCGCTCCTCGGACCAGCCATTCTTCGATCCGGGAATGGGGCTAGATATAAATGAGGCTCTGATGACCATTGGGAAAGCGCAAGAAGCTGACGCCCGAGACAGCATTTGGTTTATCTATGCCCATGACCCGAGCCTGATCGACGCGGTCGGTCTGTTCCCTCTTCCAGCAAACGAGTGGAAGAAACATGGCTGGCGAGAGAAAACTCTTTGGGCGTTCCTTCAGGACTTTGCACCGGCGGTTGAAGCGTTACGGAACTAAGGCAGTGCTCGTGCGGCTATATAGGAAAGATGCAATCAAGTAGCAGTGCTTTCGAACCTAAACCACCTTTATCTACACGTAATATACATGTACACCATGGACTGCGAAAAGACCTCTGTCAAGCACATTGGCAACATCGCCCCTGAAACCGACAATATCCCCCTCAGCCAGGAAGAGCAGAGCAAGCTAAGCCGCAAGATTGACCTCCGTTTGACATGCGTCCTGGGCTGTTTGTATCTGCTCAGCCAGATCGACAAAAATAACCTAGGAAATGCAAACATCGCGGATATGTCGACTGATCTGAGTCGAGTTGTGTTATGTGGATTCACCGGATCCCCGTACGCGCTGGGCTTAAATATTGAACCTCTCTTCCCTGCGGCAGTGGGTAAACGGCAAGAGGCAAAAGGACAAACCAACTAAAGGGCTCGCATTATAGAGGGGTCAAGGATAGATAAAGTGCCTAAGTCTGGACCAATTAATGCGTTGTTTTAATTTGACATGTAAACATTGTCCATGCCGCGTTCACCCGATGGAAGGTATCGGGGCTCTATGAAGACATTCGCTTTTCTCATTAAGACGTAACTAAGAAACATTTTAGGAGTACCTGTAGGGTAGGTCTGTCCGTTTCTCGGCATGTTTTCACTGTTGACTCCTTGGACTCCTGTGGCATTGGCTCGAGTACGTCCAAGGCAGCCAGGTATTGCCGAACCTCCTGTGGCTTACGCCCCCAATCAGGTATGTCTCTCTCAGACCCTTGAGAAGACTTCTCACTCCTTGCTGGAGCCTGATCGTTAGAAATCGAATATGCGTATATAAGAACAAGAGTTTCTTACCATATGTGGCATGCTTAAATTTGCGCCTCCTGAAAGACAAGATCATAATGGCTAGATCCAAGACATCAAAGCCCACAAAACACGCCCTTGCCAACAGAAGCGCTGTCTCGAGCTCTTCGTAGGTCGAAACATGTTGCTCCGTCCATAGCTTGCGAAGGTGTGCTGTTGTAACAGCCCATTTGGACTGGCCTTCTAGAATCGCCAGCTCCGGATACAGTGAATACAAGCCCGACTTTTCCAACCCTGCCAGGGACATCACACAGGATTTCCCTCGATGAGAAAGCGCGCCTTGCGATAGGAACTCTCCATTTTGGTAAATGTAAACAAGAAGGCGAGTGCTAAAGCTTTGCCGCATATCAACCCGTTTCACCCGATCATAATATGCCTTCAGCAGCCGCTTCGCGTGGATAAACTGACCCTTTTGGAACGCAGTCGTATCAACGACACAGATCTTGATCTCCTCTGAGGTGCAGCCGTGGTGATAGCGCCGGTACAGGGCGTACTGAACGGCATATAGCAGAGACGAAGTCCAGGACATAAAATTATCCGGCGGCTGTCTCCAGTAGTCTTTCACGAACCAGGGGTTCATATGCCTGTCAACGATGGACATCGCAAGGTCTTTATTGAGACTGAAGATATCGAGTTTGCTGTTGAGCAGTCCATCTTTACTCGCCGGCGATACCATCACGTCCTCGTCGCTGCGTCCGAAGCTTTTCCGATCATAGGTCCGAAACAGATATCGCGGCATCTTGTCTAGTCCGAAGTCAAAGCTGCTGAATAGCGGACTCAAGTGCGGTTCAAATAAGTCCGGGCCTGGGCAGTTATGCAAGGCCTCGCTCCAAAGCAAGATCCACCTTTGCTCGATTGTCGTCTTGCACTGGGCTTTGCAATTGGTATGAGAGGACAGATTATGACTTTGCGGAAGGTCGCTGAAATACCGATCGCAATTCAAGATGCCCCCAAGTGTAGTAGCCTGCTGATAATATTGTCTTGCCAGGCTCAGCATTGGATTCCCAGGCTTCTCCCCATCCGCACTCATCACCGTCAAAGCAATCTCCTTGAGACCATCCGCAAAATAAACCAGTAATTCCTTGTTGTCCTGCTTGTGATGACCTGCCAATTCTATGACCCTGACGATCATGGGCTCTACCATGGACTGTTCCGCTTGGCTTCCGGGAGCCCCGGAGGCGTCGCCATCAGTGGCCATCTTCATGTCACAATGGCCATGAATTTAGCGTTCCCGCATTCGCTACAAATAGCATGGATATTCTTGTGTAACAATCAGTTTTGAAAGTCTATGACGTCTGTTATGTCTTCACTCCTTTGTAATCCTAATGCGGCCGACACCGAATGCGGACGATCTCGACCCTCCTGTAGCACATGCCGTGGCCCTTGAGGAATGCTGTACCCCCTTTTCCTGTCTGATAGACTTCTAGGGCTGAAGCCAAATCCCTCGCCTCTTCTTCCAGCGCCCAGGACATTATAGCGAGGGCCCGAGGGTCCCGTTGTCCATAGGTCAGTTGAAAAACAGAACAGCCGTTACACTGGAATATACCGTGTAGACGCACCGGAGCTTGGAGAATTGCATAAATACCAAAGCACCAAGAATGGAATGCTACGTGCTTCCATATTTCGTGCCTCCCTTTCGATGTCCAACTAAACCTCGTCTTCAAGGCAAACACAACTCATCCTCCAGGTCTCATCCGTTCCAGCGAATCAACTCGGATACACGATACAAAATGTTTGTGACTTGGCCGTCTTGCAACTAGGAATTCTCATGCGGAGCTTACAGCAGCCACATGTTGGAGGGAACTATTATTTTTAATTTCTCGCGGTGTGGTGGCTAGGTTCCCTCTTACAATTACGGGGGTCGAGTAGACCCCCCCCCCCCCCCCCCACCGAAGCTATGTGGGAATGGATATGTTCCAAGCCCTGGAGCCTCCGCAGCCCCGGAGGCGTACCTGAAAGCATACATCTGGTGTAAATCACCCGAATTTATGAATGACATCTAAGCACTATTACGGTTGGGTCTATACCAGGCCAGCGCTTAGCCCCAAGAGGATCTACGCTGCGCTGCATCTGGCCTCGAGCCCTCAACCTTAACAGCTTGGACATGCAAGAAGACATTCTTCTGGGCGCCTAAAACCATAAATGGATTGTCTCAGTGGCCATCTGGGCAGTGCTGCGTCTAAGGCGTCCCAATAAACGCCACAGGGATTGCAGCCACGCTTGAACAGCGCATGATCGTCGCGATGAAAGACACCCTCGCAAGCTCTACACTAGGCCGCCTAGAGACCTAAAATTAGCTTAGTAGAAGGTATATAAATGAGTAGTACTCAGCTCCAAAGTCGAACCAAGAACCCATTAAATCATCAAAATGAAGTCCTTCGCTGCTGTATCTGCCACGATCCTGGCCATCGCCGCCTCCGCCAGTGCTGAACTCGGTTTCGCACTTGGGCCTCTTACTGTCCAAACCCTCACGGAGTCCAAGACTGCCCGCACCGACTTCTCCGTTAGGGACCTGGACTATGGCGGCAGCACCACCTGCTCAACCGCCTGGTACGTGCCCATATCCATACTCTAGCAACCAATCTAACAGGCGTGGACAGGGTCATCGGCGAGCTCGACAAGCCCTCCCTCTGGTACAAGTGCAGCGACACAAGCTTCCAGTTTCGATTCCCTGCCGGCATTGCCAACTTCGAGAGCTACAACCTCCAGATCAGCCGCACCACCGAGGCCGGGACTGTCATTGGCGAAGCGAACCTGAACTCCCACGGAGTCGACCCTGCTTATGTCTGCCAGTCTCCTGGCGAGACTCCTGGCACTGACACCGAGTGCAAGGTTGTTCGTGGTGGCGTTGTTGCGTCGCCGATTTAGTTTGGTCTACACATGTAGTACTAAGTAAGCTGTACAGGGAAAATTGTTAAGCATATTCTAGCCATAAGTCTAGTTATAATTCAATAAAACATTAAAACAGTTCCAATATAGCAATGCCATCATAATGACCATCCAACACCGCAGATGCCGATCCATATGTACAGATATCAGGGTATAGGTACATGATATAATATTTAACACACCACATCATATCATCAGCTCATATGATAATGCTCGTATCTAAGCCCACTGCTGGCTCTCCATCCTACTAATCCTCCTTCCCTGGTTCGTCTTATTCTCGGCAGCAAGAGCCTGAGCGAACTTACTCTTCGAACGGATCTGCGGGCCCTTCCAGTAGAAGACGTAAATCGGCGCCACAACAACACACGACAGACAGGCCAGCACGGTAGACGCATACTGGGTGTGCCACTTGTCACCGATATTCTTGTACATAGGCGTGGCATACATCGCAGACACACCAGCCAGCAGATCGCGAGCGAAGGCATTACCACCGGTCGCGGAAGCAGAGTAGACACCGTAGGCGGCGACCATGTAGTCGACCGAGGACAGGTAGATGGCGTAGTTTGCTATACCGACGCACGTCGAGAAGATCATCGATGCGATCCAGGGGATGTTCCGCTCTTTACCGAAGGATGTCCAAGCGAAGCCCATCAGGCCAATGGGCTCGAGGGGCGCGAGCCACAGGAGCCATTTCAGACGGCGCTCGGGGAGCATATCGTCGTCTTCGATGCGCTTTCGGAGTTGCATGTCGCGCCAGAACCACGGCCAGTAGGAGAAGTAGGTGAGGAAGTAGGCCAGGTTGATCGGGATGATGGCCCAGGCGATGGCGAGGGTACCGAAGCCCCAGCCCTGCTTGTAAACGAGGGGGAAACTCTCGAGGAAGATGAAGATGAGGGCATCGGAGAAACCGGACAGCAGGGAGAGACAGAAGACAATGGGCTCGGTGAGCAGCATGTGGAAGGGTCGGATCCAGATATTGAATGCCTCCTTGGCCGACACACGGGGCTTCTTCAGCTCGTTGGGCCCGTAGACGTTGGGGTCTTCGCCGGACTTGCGCATGCGCTTGGCCTCCTTATCCATGATGATGGTTGATCGACTCTCCGGCATGAAGAAGATGATGGCTTGGGTGACGGCGCCGAAGATGAGCTGGATCCAGAAGAACCATTCCCACTCGAGGACTAGTTATATTAGCTACTGATGCATTTTTCAACAGGCGCAAGCGGGGGCAGGACGTACAGCGCTGAATGGGACCACCGATGACACCACCGATACTGGTTCCAATGCAGGAAGACAAGACGATGAAGGCGAGAGGGAACTGCTGCGTCTCCTTCTCGTAGATATCGGCAATCAAACCAAGCGTGACACTGCCACCAGCAGTAGAAATACCACCCTGTCTACATTAGCAGAATTCGCCTATTAACGAGCAAGGATGCATACCAAAGCACGGCAGACGACAATGGTTCCCCAGTTAGGAGCCAGCGCACAGGGAATCTGCCAGATGTTGATCAGGAACATGGAGAGCTGGAGGATAGGCCAGCGCCCAAATTCCTCACTCCACGGGGCCCACAGCTCACACCCAATGGAGTATGCCACCAGGTAGGCCATCTGACCAGTACGGGCGTGCTGCTCGCTGATATGGAAGTGCTCAGCCAGCGGCTTCACGGCATTGGGGAAGACAGAGGTGTTGAAGTTCATGGACACCTGCACGAAGGCGACCGCAGCAAGATAAGACCACTTCTTCCACCGCGGCCAGCAGTATCCGAGCTTCTCGTAGCACTCGTACTCCTTCAATTCGCGCTTCCCATCGGGGCGCACGTCCTCCTTGCCCGCGTTCTCCTGTTCAGCCTTCTCAACCCCCATACTGGGGATGATGGGCGCGTCGGCAGTACCCCCGTTGTCGGGGTCTCCGCCCTTTTCAGACGGTGGTTTATGATGGGCCTCGAGGGCCTGTTGAACCTCGCGTTGGTCGGGTTCCGCCATGATTGTTCGTGGGGATGCAGCGAGCAAAGGGAGTCAAGAAAGGAGAGAAAGACTACGTCGGGATGAGGTGTCCCTGGTCCTGGGGTTTATAAGAGTCCAATTTCTGCCCAGAACCTGCACCGACGTTAGTCCGACCTCTGGGTGGGTTTCAAACTCCATAGAAAAACTCTTAGTATGTTGTCAATACCGGTTTTTGGAGGGTCCACTCGCTGCACCGCAATGCTCCGACCCAGGTTCGTGCCCAGTAAGCTTAGAACCGGTTTGGCCAGCAGTCTGCTGCAGTGATCGGGCGGCGATCCACAGCGCTAGACTGTTCCTAGTTGCCGAATCTTTGCTGAGTATGAGAGGCCGAAGATCCGGCTGCTCATCCACAGTAACGTCATGATCGCCATCGAGGCTGTCGGCATCCCGAGCCACTGCCGAGGTTGCCACAGCTTCTTAACAAATGGCGAGAGGGCACGGAGCTTAGATAAGGAAATAAGCGCTCGGCGAAGGCTTGGTTGCCCTAAGGCGAGTCTTGGTGGTGGTGGTGGTGGTGGCATCCCTTGCTGTCTAGGAATCCAGCATAGCAGGCCCTCGACTTTCACAGATCCAGACGCATTGGACTATTGAGCCAGTTCCTTGCGCGACCAGGGGAATGATATCATGCGACCGAGTCAGATTTTTCGTGGTCTGTATAATTCGCCAGCCGATCGCTGTGGAATCGGTGGATCTACGCATAAGTCTTATGCCCACCGCACGAGACTACGAGTAATGTAGGCCCATTATGTCTTATCGATTGTTATCGAGTGCAGCTGATTATGTATTATTCCGGGCTCCAAATTATAAGCAGCGACAGGTGGAATCCCTTCGAATGTCCATGATATCACTCTGCTGTCATGTCCCTGGGTTGCCCCACGAGCTTCCGCATGCATATGCAGTATTGTATCATTGTATAGAATGCCTAGAAATGTAGCTGTTTGCCATCCGATACTCGATAATAGCAATTGTCCCCGCGGTTATACGGTCGGGAATTCTCGACAGGACGATATCTATCGCACAACATGTCGGAGCAGTGGAAGACTCGCCAGATTCGCCACATCGTCTGGCTTGAATAACTTCCATAGATCTGATCTAATCCTTGCCCTGCGAATTCACAATGACCGACTGTTCCTGGACGCTACTGCCGCTACTGCCGCCACCTGCCTCCCTGTCCTCGTCCTCGATCGTCGAACGATTCCAATTGCCAAACACCGCAAGCAAGGTGAACGGGATGGTGACCCCCCAGAGCGAAAAGCCCAGAATCATCTGGTTCATGTTCGGCCAATGCGTCGCGCCGACCGCATAGGCAATCGTGCTGCCGATTGACTCCCACGAGCGCAAGATCCCAGTCGTCCTCGCAATGTCGCCGTCTGCTTGAGCGCCCTTGATCTCCGCCATAAGCCAGTAGATATACGTCTGGAGGACCTCATAGAAGAACTTGAAGAACATGTACACGGTGAAGGCAGAGTTGAAGAAGGGCCCATCGCCCAGGTCGAAGGATGGTGGCTCTGCCATGCGCGAGAGCTTTGTCTGCACGATCGCGTTCCAGGTCCAGGCTGCGGTAACGAAGACGAGGACGACGATGTAGACGAGCTTAGACCGGGTCTCTCGGGAGACAAATTTCAGGTCGAGGACTATGCCTGTTAGCATGTTCGCTAGGGCGCCGACCACGGCTGTTAGGAACGACGCGAGAGCCCTCGAGCGGACGGTGAAGTATGCTGCTGCTGTTAGCGACATTTAATACTGGGACTTGAAGGCTTACTCGTCAAATAATTCCCCTGATACGTCGAACCAAACTGGCCGGCCAGGAAAACGGGGATCAGGAGCAGCATGTACTTGTTCTTGAGCTGCTTCCAGATCGCGCGCGACTCAATCGCAACGCTCGTCCTCTTCATGTACGGGATTTTGGTGCCGTTGCTTCTGATCACATCTTGCGGCTGAGACAGCAAAAGGGCAAACGGTGCACCAAGAGCAGAAATAGCGACGAGACCGAGATATGTCGTGTACGAGACCTTGCCGGTATGGGCCGTCTTGACATTGATCGCGAGCGATATCGCACCACCGACCAGCGGTCCCATCTGCCGGATGCCCATCCAGATGGCGACATATCTAAGACGTCAGTAATGAAGTAGCAAGTGGTGAACATTGTCTTACCGTCCTCGCTTCTCTTCCTCCGGATATCCAACTGCAATCGCGCCCTCACTGGCCCAGAGCAGTGAGGCTCCAACGCCGCAAAGCGCAGCTCCAAGCAGGAGAAACCATTCATTCCCATAACGATTGTTGCAGTACAGACCGGCTGCATATGGCGTGTAGAACGCCGCTCCGATAAACAACGCCCACTTCGCAGTAATCTTGTTGGAAACGCCGCCAGCCAGAAAGCAGCCCACGGACATGAGTCCAAAGGTCAGCGCATTGGCAGCATTGTTCAAGTAGGGCTGCCTTCATTAGTGATATTCCGAGAATTGAGTACTAATGACAGTGACTACTCACTTTGGCATTTCCCCCTGCTCCCAGATTGTTCAAGGCCGTCCAAATCCCAGGCTCGCAGAAGGCGACCAGCCCAACGATGATGATCTGGAACAGACACGACCGGTAGAACCGGGATACATGCTGGAAGGCCATAGTCGATTAGACTGTCAAAACCTGTCCAGCCGGGCAGATCGCACTTTTATCATTCTAGCAGAGCACGTCAAGGCTCGTTATCATCGCGACATGCTGGTTGATGTTTCGTGCTTCTGCAGCCGCAACCGTCCGTGCATGCAGAACTCCATTATGCCAGTATAGACTACCTATCATATCGCTGTAACAGATTCTGGCAGACGCAGAATACCGGACTTCTGCCGAGACTTAATCTGGACGTGGCTGCTTGTCCTATCAAGGATTTGTTTCGAGCACGCCATGCTCCACTGGGATGGTATACAATGATTCTCGGCCGACATAACAGTGCTACTAGCAAGCGCCATATTCGTAAATGTTGAGTATATTGTAGACTTTCTTGAAATTGGACGTTATTCGTAGCGATTATAAAATAGAAATGTGTAGAGTTATTTGATATGTGCTAAGAAAGGTCGGCTGCCAGTATATATATATAACTATTGACGGGACGTGACGAAACCCTAACCGCAGAAGGAACGTTTGCGGACTACACGACTGTAAGTCATTCTGTGGATACTATTCGCGTCTAGAAATGAATTGAACAGGAAACAAACAAAACTAGAGTCTTAATACAGGCAAAGAGACGCTCGAAATCGAATAAGTGCTTGAGATTAGGTAGGATAGTGATGATTAAGTAAGCCGGTTCTTGGCGGCCATTCTGTCGACAGCATTGCCTTATTGCCTTATTGCCTTATTGCTTTGGGTCTCAGGTTGTGAGGACTGGTTAACATAGCACTGAATAACCCTGAGTCTTCGGTCCAGAACGAGGGTGTCTTAGTTCTATCTTAATTCTAGACCTGAGGCACGCTCAAACCCCTTGGTCCTTCGGTTCTGAGGTCCAATTGGGAGAAGATCGGTATCCAGAGGGTGCGTAATATTATCCACGGTTTAAGAACACTGCAAACACCGAGGACAAAATTGATCGAGAAACATTCCCATTGTATTTGTTAGATATGCCCTCTCATCTCAGGATGCGGCATCTTTCTAGCCGGCATTGTGCAACATGTTCACCCATGCTTGTGATTTCAACTGGCTAGTCTGCACAGCCACCCTCCAGCCCGCGATGATCTCCGGTTCTCCAATGCGACAAGGGGGAAATCATGGATGCCTAGCCACCGTGACAGATTCTGCGTGAGCTTGTTTGGTTTCTGGGGTATAGATACCTGGAGTCCCCGTGCGGCGTGTAATTGCCTCTCATCCACCTCAGCAATGGCAACCGATACAATATCCCCAGGGCACAAGGACGAGGCCAATTCCAAATCCTGGCTCCGTGAACAGATTGTCTCTCTTCCCCAGCGACTGTCCCGCATTGCCTCCGCACGCCCGGTCCACACAATCGGTCTCATCTCCCTCCTCGTGAGCTCCGCATACGTTGCCTTGCTTGAGAACTCCCTCGACGTTTCGAAACAAGGCTACCAGCTGGAAATCCCACGGCAATTCTATGCTGGTCCCGAGACCGCGTGGCAATGGTCCAGCAGGAGCAGGGACGCGGGCGAGGGAGTGGACCACCGTGCCCTAGTTACGCTTGAATTTGGACATGTTTTATCTAGTGATACTCCTACCATCTCCCTGCCCGATCATCTCTCCGTCGACCGGTTACCGTCAAGGCCAGATCCGTTGGCCTCCACCCACAAACAATCGCTGGCGTTTTCCGTTGCTCAGCGCGACGTACACGAGTTCCTCGACCTTTTACATAAATCCCCAGCAGCAAGCTCCGAGGAACAATTCGAGGGATATAAATGGGCTATACAAACACAGGAGGGAGGCCCCCGACGGGGAATTGTACAATTCGCACGCGACAAATGGACGGAGTTGGTATATCTCTTCAACCACGCCGCTCCTCTGGATATCGCGATCATGGCTGCGGCCTATATCGCGATGCATTTGACATTCGCATCGCTCTTCCTCAGCATGTACCGCATGGGCTCCCGATTCTGGCTCTTCGCCGGTGTCCTGATCTCGTCGACGTTTGCTTTCCTATTCGCTCTGTTTACTACGACCAGGCTTGGTGTGCATATCAATCTTGCGCTGTTATCAGAGGGTCTCCCTTTCCTTGTTGTCGTTATTGGCTTTGAGAATCCTGTCAGATTTACCCAGGCAGTCCTAAGACATGCTACTACTGGGAAAGAGACGGGCCCGTCCAGTATCATCCAAACCGCCATCGACAAGTCCATCAAACAAGAGGGACCGAGTATTGTCAAGCACTATGCGCTCGAGGTTGCCGTCCTCCTAGCCGGTTCTATATTCAGCGTCGACCCTGCACTCCGCCAGTTCTGCTTCCTCGCAGCCTGGATTCTCTTCTTCGACTGCATCAACCTCTTCTCGTTCTACACTGCTATCCTCTGCATGAAGCTCGAGATCATCCGAATCCAGACCAGCGGCAAAGAGCACCGTCCCAAGGCCCGCGAGGACAGCTGCATGACGGTGTTCGGGCAGCAGCTATCCCGGACTCATATCAGCAAGTTCAAACTGGGGATGGTGGCTGCCTTTGTTCTGGTGAATATCCTGAACATGACCATGATTCCATTTCGCATAACGACCGGTTCTCCAAGTCTGTCCAGGTCTGACTCCAGACCATTTTCGGGTCTTCATACCAATCTCAAGGCGATATTGGACAAAGCCACTCTCACTGAGCAAGCAACGCTTGTATCTGTCCTTCCGCCAGTTCAATTCGAATTGATGGAGGACAAAGAGTTTCAGACATACGGTGTTGATAGCCTGCTGAAAAGCCTCGAAGAACCCGTGCTGGTGAAGTGCGTTCTTGTTGCGCTGGTTATCAGCGTGGCGTTGAATGGACGGCTTTTTGCTGCTGCGCGATGCGGAGTGAAGGATAAGGATACTGCAGCCAGTGGTAATAATGAGAAGAAAGCTGCTTCGAAGCTGGAAAGTCCACAGAAACGGTTTAAACCAGAATCATCTACTGACTATACTCATCCGAGCAAGTCCGTACCGAAGACTCAATCCGCAGTTATACAGCCAGCCCGCACTGAAGCTGACTGTCAAATGATACTCAAAAACGGCCGTTCTCAAGACCTCACAGACGAGGAAGTTATCGGTCTCTCACTAGGCGGAAAGCTTCCTCTACACGCCCTCGAGAAGACCTTGAAAGATTTCACCCGCGCCGTCAAGATCCGCCGAAACATCGTCTCCCGAACCCAAGCCACAATCGATCTCACACAATCGCTCGAAGTCTCAGAGCTGCCATATGAACAATACGACTGGTCTCGTGTTTTTGGAGTTTGCTGTGAAAACGTCGTCGGATACATGCCTGTCCCTGTTGGACTTGCCGGTCCACTTACCATCGACAACAAGAGCTATTTCCTTCCTATGGCCACAACAGAAGGGGTTCTCGTTGCAGGAGTCATGCGAGGCAGTAAAGCAATCAACGCGGGAGGAGGCGTCAAGACCGTTTTAACAGCAGATGGAATGACGCGTGGTCCCTGCGTTGCATTCGAGAGTCTAGATCGAACAGCACATGCGAAGAAATGGCTTGACTCGGAGACCGGCCAGGATAGTATGAAGAAGGCATTCAACTCAACCACTCGATACGGACGTCTAGAGTCAATGAAAACAGCCATGGCTGGAACGAACCTGTATATCCGCTTCAAGGCCAGCACGGGCGACGCAATGGGGATGAACATGATCTCAAAGGGCGTCGAGCACGCACTGAACACGATGCGCGAGAATGGATTCGAGGACATGGATATCATATCTCTCAGCGCGAACTACTGCAGCGACAAGAAGCCCGCTGCGATTAACTGGATTGACGGCCGTGGAAAGAGCGTTGTCGCACAGGCAACGATTCCAGCGGAGATTGTGAAGAGTGTCCTCAAGACAGACGTGGAATCTCTGGTCGCGCTTAATACAGACAAGAACTTAATCGGATCAGCCATGGCTGGGTCGATTGGAGGGTTTAACTCCCATGCAGCTAACATTGTTGCTGCCATGTACATCGCGACAGGCCAGGATCCGGCGCAGGTAGTCGAGAGCGCCAACTGTATCACCATTATGAAGAAGTGAGTTACCAACCTCTTTAGTTAGACTTCTTATTGACTGGATAGCGTCCGCGGCTCCCTGCAAATATCTGTTTCGATGCCGTCCATTGAAGTCGGCACGATAGGCGGCGGGACTACATTAGGGCCTCAACGCGCGATGCTCGACATTCTTGGTGTTCGTGGTGCCAACTCCGATAATCCAGGAGAGAACGCTCGTCAGCTGGCTCGAGTCATCGCCGCAGGGACATTGGCAGCTGAATTATCACTCTGCGCTGCGCTGGCTGCAGGGCATCTGGTCAGGGCGCACATGCAGCACAATCGTGCTAGTCAGTGATACACCACAATCAGCATTAAAGAACCCGGTCACACCAGATGTAGTCTAGACCTTAAAAAGAACATAGATGCAGTACCAAAGAACTGACACTTTGACAAGCATAGGAACCACTCGACGTAGATAGACCACCAAGCTGTGACAACGGGCTGAACCAGACTTCATGAACCACCGACTAGTGATGATCACCAGGACGGCGTTCGCTGGCCTCGAGTGACATTTCCGAGGGCAAACCGTGGTTCATGACGAGCTAGCTAGTTGCGGCATGAAGACATGGCCCAGTTCTTTGTATGTCGGAGTTTAATTGTAGAGTTCAAACAAAGAAAAAACATCCCAGCACTGACTGACTGTATTTATTTATGGCAGCGTACCTTCACGACGGCCGGGTTGCGACTATAGTCTTAACGCTGTAATAGGTAGCAAACTGAATGACCGACAAAAGCCCTGAATACCTGGCCCAGTCCAAGGCGGTTGGTATCTACATTGCCTATGCGCTCCCTATTCCAATCGCAATCGTCTCCACGAGCGTGCGGATATGGGCTGAGTATCGCCATCATCGAACACGGCTGGCCTATGACGACTATCTGATGCTTCTGACTACGGTACGCATGGTACTCTATGCCCAGACACTGCTAATGCTGGGATAGACCATCAATGTTGCCTACTGCATAGTTGCCATGGTGCTTGGTACGCCGGTAAAGGAGATATTATTCAGTCAGCTAACCACCGTAGGACCGCAGTATGGACTGGGGAGACACCGCGAAGTCGTCTCAGACGAGATGCTCAAAATGATCATGCTGGTACAGTGATCACAATCGTATGCCCTTAGTTGCTAATGTGCTTTTCAAGGGCGACTACATCCTCAGCTACATGTACCATGTCGGCATCGTCACCACTAAGCTGTCCGTGCTGGCCCTATACCACCGGGCCTTCCCCTCTGTCACATTTCACAGAATCATCCTCCTCACCGGCACGGTTGTATTCATGTGGCTGCTCGCCATGGAATTCGTGCTTGCAGGGATATGCCAGCCCGTCCGGAAATTCTGGGATGACGCCGTGCAAGGCACCTGCATCGACATATGCGCATTCGGCCAGTTCAATAACTACTTCAACCTTATTGCAGATGTGTGGATCTTTGTGCTTCCACTCCCGATCATCTCGAGGCTGCGGATATCCACGAGGAAGAAAATCGGCCTGGGCTTTGTTTTCTCTATCGGTTTGGCGTATGTACCCCGTTATTACTACTGGCAAGATGTTGACATGATCATAGAACTTGCGGTCTGAGCATCGCGCGCGTCACATTTGTTAAAACTGAATGTGGAGGGAACACTCCATGTAAGTCTACGCCGTCTGATCGAGTATTCTGTCTAACAACGCACAGGGAAAATGCCCCCACTTCTTATCATGTCGGCCTGGGAACCACTCGGTGGAATACTCTGTGCCAACCTGCCGATCATGTATAAACCGGTAGCCAAGGCATTCCGTCGCCTGACGGGCATGCGGCCTTCTGAGGAATCAGTCGATGGACGGCGCACCTGGTACAGGTATCACTTTGACAAGGCGATCAGACAGAAGAGGAACGTTCAGTTGGAGGTTACGACGGCGGATGACAGCTATACGAATACCGTTGATATCGAGACGGTTGATTCCAGGGGAGGGTTGTTGGATAGGGAGATTGTTCAAAATGACTCTACTTTGGAAACGCCCAAGTGAACTGAATGAGATATTGTATAACTAAAGTTGGTATATAGGAAACTGCTTTAAACACCCCCCTCCACAACCGCCCCCGGAATCTTCCCATTCTTGAATTCATCCACCATCTGCTCCATCGTCACCCACTCCACACCCTCATGCGAATTGATATACTCGATGATGTTCTCATGCATCAGGATAACCTGCGGCTTGCCACTAACCTGCGGATGGATAGTCATGGGGAAGATGAACGTGTCGTACTCGCGATAGCAGTAATCAAACTGCTTCTTCCACAGATTCTCAATAACATCAGGGCTTACATATCCCTGAGCAGTATGTGCCTTGAAGCTGACCACGAAAGGAGGCCAGTCGTCCAGGTGCCAGTTTGCTGGGATCTCCACGATTTTGCTGGGAGTGAGCTTGGACATGGGCTCCATCCAGGTCGAGGCGGCGTTTTTGACGTCTGTTTCTTTCCAGCTTTCCTCGCCGTTGGGGACGTAGTAGGGCTGACAGTCATGGTGCATGAAGGAATGGTCATATTCCTGGCTTTGTTAGCCATAGACCCCAGCACTGGCAGGAATACTCACGATGCCAAACTCCTCGAGAACCTTGATTGTCTGCTTCGAAGTGTCCCACGCCGGTGCAGTCCATCCTCTGGGCTTCTTGCCAGTGAATTTCGTAAGGACGTCAATTGACTTGCCCATCACATCGCGCTGCTGCTGCTCGCCCAGGGTAGCAACAAACTCGTGGCAGTATCCATGTAAACCACTATAATATGAGCACCCGTCTATACAACAAGAGTAACGGTCACAAACATCTCATGTCCACCGTCGCGGACTTTCTTCAGCTGGCCCGGAAACGATTCCACCGAGTGTCCTGGGACGAACCACGTTGCTTTGATATCGTACTTGTCCAGCAATTTCAGGATGCGATCGATTCCAACCGTTGCGCCAAAGATACCTCGAGATACGTCGGTTGGTCCGGCACGTGCACCTGAGCAGGTGTTGATCCTATACAGTCAGTATGACATTCCATGTTCATTGCAAGAGCTTGAATACATACCACCCACTCACGGCATCGACGTCAATGCCATAGCCAACCAGGACTCGCTTTACCATTTTGTCTACTTGAAATTTTGCGAAAGATTTCGTTACTACACAGAGAGGGGATTGAGTGAATGGGACAGTCCCATATTTATCGGCCGAGCCAGCCTGGATAATGGATGAATGCTCGCATATCGTCCAGGTTCCCCGCATGCACCTCCAAGTGATGCGCCCATCGCCGACCCCTGGACGAATCAGTCGACGCGGAGAACATTTATTGATCAGCAGCGGTGGGGAGAAAGATAGGAGAGCATCGGAGTGGTTCTCCTGTCTCCAATCAGACTTGGTGTTGCTGTCGCTGATGTCCGTGATGCTGCGCGTATCTCCGAGTCGGCAGTCATAACCTATGATGGGGCAAGGGGATGTCCCCAGCGTGTTTATACATAAACCAAGTATCCAAGTATTTTACTCCGCAGTTTCAGTCAACTCAGTAATCAGCTAGACTCGGCGACAATGAAGCAAATCGTCTGTTCCGGCACCCCATACGCGGTACTTCCACCCCTGCCCATAACCAAATCACGACGCTAATTTACAGATCGGGTACACACATGGCCAAGGTTCAAAAGAAGAAATCGCCCGCGGAATTACTTTTTACGCAGGGTTATTTGTGCAGAAAAGTGGACTAGACTGGCCACAGGTACAAGCACAGGCCAGCGAATTCGCCCAACTCATACAAGCAAAATGGCCGCGCTATTATGAGGAACTGAAAGGTAGAAAACACGTTATACTATATATCCTGGAGACATAATAACAAGGGTACAGGTGTTGCCGAAGGAGCTGGTCGCGATATCCTCGATATCATTGCGCTGAATGTGCGCTCCGAGATCGTCTTTGGACGGTTTAGCGATGGCTGTACTAGTCTGTACTGCCGAGGGGCTGGATATTCATATATCGGTCAAAACTGGGATGTACGTCTCACAACCAGATTTAAATAGAGTCATGCTGATATCAACAGTGGATGGAGGATCAGATATCGAATCTTGTCCAGCTCACAATTATCCAAGAGGGACTACCCTCGATCCATATGGTCACAGAGGCAGGCATTATTGGAAAGATAGGATTCAACTCGGTAGGAGTCGGTGTTTGCTTCAACGCAATCCGGGCCAGGGGCCTTAATAGAAACGGTCTTCCCTCACATCTAGGGCTGCGACTTGCCCTGGAAAGCAGCTCTGCGGAAGCAGCAGCAAATTCGCTCGAGAAAGCCGGTATGGCCAGCTCAGCGTATATTCTTGTTGGCGATGCCACAACGGCCATTGGTCTGGAGTTTACCTCTACAACGTTTGCCAGACTGCCCTTGAATGAGCATGGCTTTATTGCCCATTCCAACCATCTGATCCTCCATCATCCGAATGTTGACGAGCCTAAATGGCTGGAGGACTCCCCGCTTCGAACGGAGACGATGGGAAAGAATGTTCTCCAGACGAAAGAGATGTCGTGGGCAGCATTTGGTGGCCTGTTTGAAGATGAGACGAATTACCCGTGCTCGATAAGTCGGGTTCAAGAGGGCGCAAGTGATTTCGCGACCTTGTTCAACATCACGATGGACCTTGACAGGAAGACTGCGGTTGTGAGAGAGGGAAGACCGATTGCAGGCGATACCAAGGCTGTCAAATTGAACCTGTCATTTTAGTATAGCTTTAACAGGTTTGACAATAGTATACAAATGTATTTGATTGGAATACCACTCCGTATACTGTTTCTAGACCTCTATAATCGGCTTGAGACTAGTTAGAGTCAACCTTCAATAGAGGCGCCTTGATCTGCCGAGAGTCTCTCCGTTCAGATGGAGAAACTACGCATTGGCCACTGTTCTTGAGCGCTCACCTCCGTGATCGGCAGATAACCGTCGGAGATGCGCGCACAGACATGAAGCAGCCGAGATAAGTAAAACAGTCTCGTCGAGTGCGGGGAAATGTTGTAAGCTCTGATCATGGTACAGTTCCAGATTCCAGGGGACATTTGAGATACTGTTGTAACATAAGATACGCCTATCGACACCAACCCAGCCCAGAAAGAAAGCGATTTAATTTATCAACATGAACGAATTCACCCGCCTTGAATCAATTTCCGATCCGGAGGAGTATAAAGCGAGGAGTGTGCTGGATTTGATGTCCCTGAAGGGAAAGGTCACTGTCGTCACAGGTACATTGCATCTTTGAAACATTCTATCCTTTGAAAGATTAAATAACAGTATAGGTGCCGCAAGAGGTATTGGCCTTGGACTCGCCAGGGGAGCAGCAGAATTGGGCAGCGATGTTGCAATTCTGGACATTCTCGAGCCTAGCGAGGATTTCAAGAGCTGGGAGGGTTTGGGTGTGCGAGTGAAGTACTACAGGTATGGTCCCCAGATGAAATATATGCTTTCGCTAACTGGCTTTAAGGACCGACGTGACCAAGCCTGACGATCTGACGACAGTGTTTGAGAGAATCAACGATGACTTTGGCCGTATTGATAACTGGTATGAACGGCAGATATGTACCACTATGAGACTAACCTCTCCAGCGTCACTGCTGCAGGAATCGTTCTAGACAAGCCGTTTCTCCACCATGAATGGGAGGAAAGCATGAAGGTGCTAAATGTCAACGTACGTGATAGTTCCATTGCCCTGAATAAGGATACTTACTCTGCAGGTCATGGGAAGCATTCTCTGTGCACAGCTGGCCGCCGAATACATACGCAAGCAGAACCAGGGGAGTATAGTGATGCTTGGGTCGACGGCTGCACACGGTGCAACCCCATCACGAAATATGGCAGTTTACTCTGCTTCCAAAGGAGCAATAATATCTCTAACTAGATCGCTGGCCGTGGAACTGGCCCAATTTGGGATCCGAGTCAACTCGGTCTCGCCCGGTTTTATTGCCACCGAAATGATCCTGGATGCGACACGGAAAGATCCCAATCTGTGGAAATCGTTTAATAGCACGCCTCCACTGCAGCGTGTGGGGACTAGGGGGGATCTGAAAGGCATTGTGGCGTGCTTGCTGACCGATGCTGCTGCGTATACCACAGGGGCGGATATTGTGGTGGACGGCGGCCTAAGCTCTGGCCAGGCTTGATGTATATAAATGAATATTGAAGTTATATAACCACAATGCGCTGGCTCCTCGATGACAGCAGAATATAGTGTAGCAAGATAGTGGGTGGAGTTGGAGAACTTTGGAACGCGGGGTACTGAGCATCGATGATAAGACATTAACTACCCATTTCAAGTCTTCAGTCCTATTACGTCAAGTATATCTACGAATACGATGCCACGAGTGCGACGGCGAGCAGTCGCCTGTGCGCGATGTCGTACGCGAAAGGTCATGGTAAGTGCTACCACCACGTCGATGGGCTGGAATAACATGTCAGTGCGATGGTGCCACTCCCAGTTGCTCAAAATGCACCGAAGCCGGCACTCCCTGTGTAGCATCAGGGGCTTCCAGCGAGAGAACAGTTCCCCGGTCAATAGTCCTGTTCCTGGAAGAAGAGCTGGCCAAAACAGAGGCCCTGTGCGAAGAGACAGCGAGGAATGACGGGTGCAGTACGGAGCTCGTAGAGAAGGTCATCAAAGATATGACTCCATCCTTCTTGGGACTTATGTCTAAAGTTCCTCTGGTACCATGTGCTGTTGCAGGGACACGCTTGCCATCTACTACAGACACAGCCGATTCCAACGACAGCAATGTTCAATCCGAGTTTGATCCTGAGCCGAACTGCCAGCCCTCGAGTGCGTTGCTGACGATTCCCATATCGGTAGCGGACTTTCTGTTCCATAATTATATGACCAGGGTTGTTCCCATCTATCCAATCTTCTATTCCGCCGACCTGGTGGCGTACTTCAATGCCATCTTCCATCCAGCATCTCAATCCTTGCCAACACCGCGGGAGATCTATGTTGTCAGCCTCATCATGGCTATATCTCTGACCACTGCTGCACGAACACAACAGGTCCGGGCAAACTCCATTGCGAGAGCTCTTTTCAAAGAAGCGATGCAACAGATCCGACCGGTCTACACGAACGATATTGCTGGACTGCAGTCTCTTCTGTTACTAGTGCAGTATACGTATCTCGACCCATCTGCTGCAAACCTATGGCTCCTGTCTGGATTTGCAACACAGGCATGCATTGACTTGGGCCTCCATCGTGAAAGCCTTGACCAAACTGTCGATGCTCTATCAAAGGATATCCGGCGAAGGGTCTTCTGGTGCACATACGAGATGGAAATCGCCATTTCCGCAGCGCTGCTACGGCCTTCTCTGCTCTTCAGTACAGAGATTAATGTGCCTTTTCCAACAAAAGTAGACGACAGCTCTATATCGGCGTCTGGAATTGACTTGGATGGACCGGCAACCAAATTCTGCTGTCGATGGATCTGGCAATTTCGGCTGATCGAGGCCGAAATCATCTCTGTTCTTTTTCCATCTGGGGACCCGGTATCTACATCTCTTGAATCATGGATGGATGAGATCGAGTCCAGAATAAACCACTGGCATCAGGAGATCCACTGGTCTGCTTCACTGAATACTGATTCCACCATGATTTCTCAATGGGAAGAGATGTCTCTATATGCTGATATCGCGCGCAACTACATCATAGTTACCCTATTTCGCCCCAGCCCACGAATCCCCGAGCCAACCCCTACAAATCTAATGAAAGCATTCCTGGCCGGCGTCGGCGTCGCAGAAGGCTACTGGCAGCAATACTCCAATCTGGGATTCGGCAACAGCAAATACGTCTTCCATCCATGCCACCACACATTCGCAGCTGGGATTGTCTTCATGCGCTCGCTGCAGCGATGCAAAGAAACCATCTCGGCTTCATACACGTTGAATGACGTTGAAGGCTTCATTGCGTGTTTCTCACGACTATTTGCAACAATTGCTGAGCGGTGGCCCGGTGCATCCCGGTGTCTCGAGGAATTCGAGAGACTCGTTGCACCGGTGAAGCGGGAATATATTGATTACACCGTGCAGAAGGCGAGGAATATATCTCAAGATCCTCTATATGACGGCGTAACGTTTGAGGCTGATCCGACCCTCATCTCTGAACGGCAGCTGGATAACGCCAACTTCGAGCCACTCTTTGCCCCGGGGATATGGGATCAGGAATCGGCTGGTGCCTATACTGTGCCCATGGATTGGACTGCCGAGTTTGGGTTTAGCCTAGAGTAGATTCATGTATCAGTCTTGGATTGATCAATATAATTCATTTATACTCTTCTCAAACAGCGTATCACGTGTAGCCGGCTTCTCCCGACGTTCTGGACTTTCTCCAACTCAACGTCTAGTGTCTTGACATGGATGCAACAATGGCGCATTCACAAGATCTGGAGGAGCTACTAAGCTCACTTCCTGCATGCTGCAGATGCAGACTAAATCGCCGCCGATGCGACACACAGCTGCCCTCGTGCCAGAACTGCTCCAAAGCGGGCGCGGAGTGTGTCTTCTTCGACCATGTCCTGCAGCAAAACCAGCCCCGAGCGTGAGTCACTAAGCCAATGCCAATTGATCTTCTAATGAAGTATTGATAGATATGTCGCGACACTTATATCTCGTCTGAAGGAGAAGCGCGGTGAACTGGCTGCCCGCACAGGCCGGGAATCTTCTGGGGGATCTCTCACCTGTTCACCCTCCTCAGATTCTCGGCGCACTTCAAGCAGATGTGGCTTACAGACAAGTCGATATATTGGGAACAGGTCCTGTTTATCGTGGCCCTTGTCTGTCGTGAATGATACTGCAGAGACTACAACTCTGGCTCCGCCTCCGCTAGAAGTCGAGGAGAAGTTGAATAGTGACATCAACCAGGATGTCCACTGGTATCTCATGATGATCTACATGGACAACATCCAGCCTGTGTACCCCGTAATCGAAGAATCCTTGCCGTTTCTCTCATCCAACTGGCTCATCGATCGCGACCTCGATTCGCTGGACGCTCGACAGCTCTTCACGCTCGATCTAGTCCACTCAATAGCCAGCCGCGATATCATTGATAATATTAGTACAGATCAACGACAGTCCTATCGTGTATTAGCCGACGAATGCCACAGGCGAGCCTTGGTTCTATTTGACAAGGCTGCTACGGACATTAGTATTCCCACGCTGCAGGCAGTTATACTAGCCACATTGCATAGCCTATTCAGTCCACAGCAGGGGAATTGCGAACAGCTCATTGGGCTCGCGGTGAGGCTCGCAATGGAACTACATGCCAGCGATAAACAGGCTAGGAGCGACGAGGGTAGAATACAGCAGCTTTACAGGGTAACATATTGCATTGAGAACCAGGTTGCTACGACATTGGATAGGCCGGCACTATTGCCAGAACCGGTAATTGGCTCTCTGTACTTCTACTGTCCAAAATGTGCTAATTAGAATACAGCGTCGTGAGTATCGGTCGGATACTTCTATACAAGACACGCTCTGCGACTTGTATCGAATGCAATCCCGCTTTCGTTCCAACCCAGATGACGAGGAAGCTGTAGCCTCCTTGTCCGAGGAATTGTCTAGTCGTATCAAATATCTCGAGGAAATTACCATTGACCGGAATACCAATGTTCTTGCCACTGCATATGAAACGCGGCTACTTCTCTCCCCAAACGACAACGAAGCCGCAGCGCGTCTGATCGAAGCTTATGGTCAGCCGCATTATATTCGGACCTTCCTAAGTCCGCAATGGGCATATAGGGCCGGTGTGGTCATCTCCACGGCGTGGAAGGGGTCTGGCCCTGCTGTTCAGGCTTACGGCCGTTGTCTAGTATTCCTTGAGCAGTGTTCACGGACATGGCCCAGTGCGAGTGCACTGAAGCAATCGCTGGAATCCTTCGCATCGAGGTGATGTTCAATAGTTGGGATTTTGTAAACTATACTTGTCTGCATATTTGTTATGGGTTCATTTGACTTGGATATTTGTGCCACTGGTTGGGATTTTGACTTGCTAGCGCAGACTGTGGATTTTTAGTCAAAAGACTGAACGATATTTATGGGGCCGCGAGTGTGGGTGCATATTTCTTATACATCTGTACTGAGACGATGGACATGGCACCAGCCGCCAGATATTATCCTTCACCAGGGCTTCCTATGTGTCATTTTCCGAGCCGTGTTGAGTAAAGCAATATCCCGAATGGTATACGAACTAACATCACAGCCTGAGACGTTCGGTATGGAAGATAGGGATGCTCGATATCGATATCACAATATGGTCAAGCATCGGAGCTCCCTTAGCCGGCACAACCGATCGGCTAGTGCTTACTGGGGGGCGAGAATGTGTCTCGGTTCGTTCTGTACTCTGTAGCCATTGGTTAAATATGTCAATGTGGAGTGAACCTCGAGAGTGACGATCAGCGAACGACGAAGAGGACTTGGGACATGCAGGAGTTGAAACGCAAATGGACAGGTGTCGTCATATCCTAAGGCTTCCACACAAAAACAAAAATCACGCAGCTAGGAAAGACCAGGCTAGACTTTGCAACCTTGTCTGAGAACTATCGACACCGTCAGACCTTGTCCTTCCGTCTCGCGACCACAAACAGCAGCAGCATCATGCTTGACCGCGAGAGACCGGGGACCAAGACATTCACCGAGGCCACGCCTTTACTGCAGAAGGCGGCACCAATCGTGCCTGCGCAGGAGTGCCAGCAACATATACAGCTGCTCCGATGTTTCTTGAACTTGAAGCAGACGGTCTTGAAGACAAAAGGCCTCTTCAAGACCGAGTATGTCCATGAAATCAAAAACGGACTAGACCCGATAGCTCGGCAGTCCGCGGCGGAGGAAAGTCGGTGGTCAATCTATGTCTCGCGGGCTATCCATCGATTTTCTATTTGGTGGACTCGTTTATCAGTGACTGGCACTCCAGGGCCCGGTTCGAATCAGTTATTAGAAAAGTCGTACGGGCCGCATGGCGGATGGACCTGGACGGGGGATCAGATGCCTCCATTAGGTATGTATTCTGGACGCGGGTCCAATCTCCCCAACTAACTCGGATAGGACAGATGTTTTGATGGTCCTCCATGCGCTGGCACTACATACCAAAGCCTTCGGGGAGGATTGTTTTCGTCATCAAAAGATGGCACTATGGAACGGAGGATTTCCCCTTCAGCTGGCCTCACAATATATAGACCCGGATAACTTTGAATATTCGTGTCCCGAGCCCTGCCGGCTGCAGTTCGAAAATATGACAAAGCTGGCATGGGACAATGTTAATGACCCTGAAAACCTTCCTATCGAATGCTTCCGGTGTCAGAAACAGACCGCTGTGCCGTGGACGACGCGGCGCGGCAAAGGACTAGCAGATGATGGATTCTTACAAGTGTGCCAATGGTGCAAGTTTATCCTACGAAAAGACGCTCTTCTCGCTCAGAAGCTCCGCCGGGATTTACATCTACTCCTGGAGACAAACATCCCCTTGCCGGGGACCTGCTGGAGTGTCGACAATGGCTTGGCTCCCAATGAAACGACAGACGGGCTTCTAAAACAGCCTCTAGTGGACCTGTTACTAGAGGAAACACGCCCGACTAATCTATTCCCAAATATAACCCAAATAATCCAGGCCAGCACTGAGGCAGCCGAGGGCCAATCTCTACCCCTGCTTCATAATATCTTCGAGCACTATCAATATGTTGGAACCTCTTCCTGTGATCTGCATACAGCTGTAATGAGAGTGTCAAAGTCAGCATCAACACTGCAGAGTGCGGATTGTCTCGACTTATCGCAGATAGAGAGCCTATACACTCACTTTCTGCGAGAGCAAAGCAAGGGGTCGTCACGACGTTCTGCTCCCCAAACAGATATCATGGATCCCCTCAGCTTGGTCTGGAGCACGCATCTGTTGAGGCCGCGTTCATACTGTGACTTTTCCCGACACTTTGGCAACAGCGTGCCAGTGGACTGGGGCCTGCAACATGAATCCGAGACTTGCAGCGTGTGCCAGACGCTGTGTCCGCCTTCTTTCGCCCGTCGGTTTATCCGAGGTCTTACTTCGTTATCAGAATGGAAGGAGTGGCTATCCACTGTGTAGGAACTCCTTGGTATCCCTGCTTGCAGCTGGCGGCGCTCGCGCTTTAAGCGAGCGTGTAGGTAATCGAACACGTATCATGAATGGAATTGGTTATATATATCTAGGTGAAAAAACATATACTGATCTAGGCTTCGGCCACTTATGCATTGTACTAGCTAGTCCACTAAACTGAATATGACTCTGTCAATTTTCTAACCAAGAACCTAAGTCCAAGGTGCGATGGTCTTCCGTGCTGCAAGGTCCAACTAGGAAGTTTTCCTGGAGGCAATCGAGAAAGGGATCTAAGAGATTAGAAGGTAATGGGCCGAGAGACCAAGCTCACGCAACTCAGCTTCCGCTGGAACCTTCGACGATGCTCCAATTGATCAGCCCGGTCATGAAGGGATTCCCATACCCCGTACCCCGCATGAATATTCGGCGATGAGCGCAGATAGCGGGCCCAGCACAGGCCAACCACCGGAGATACGCGCAATACCCTCCAAATGATAGCTAGATAGCAACTGAAAAAGCCGGAGATCAGCGCATTTCCCGTGTATCCTATCAGGGAACTAACCTAAATTGATAACGTACCAACTTTAGCACGCGGGAAGTGTTCCCTGACGAGTAGGGGCGCGGTCTATCTTCGGACCCCAATATATATGTCGGTCGCGATATCACCTACAAAGTGGCCTTCCAAGCTTGATCATGCGACTACATGAACAGACATAAAATGACCCGATACTATGAACGGGGCATCAAGCTCCCCTTCCTACCGGAGTTGCGACTCAACTCTCCCTACTGGCAAAAGTATCCTCTTCTCTAGCCCTGCTCCGACCGAGTAACTAACAGATACCAGCGTCCTCATCGGCAGTCTAGTCGGTGTAACAGCCGGTCTATACGTCTCACTGAACCTCCTCGGCGCAGGAGGAGGCAAACCCAACTCCGCACAAACAGTCCAAGTCGTCAACGCAACCCTCTGCACGGTCTGGTTCTTCTCCGCCTCATTCGGGGGTACAGTCCTCAACACCGTCGGGCCCGCGATCACAGCATGTCTGGGCGTGATCGGGTACATCATCTACGTCGGCAGTCTGATGTACTTCGACCATACGGGGAAAAGCGGCTTTCCGATCTTTGCGGGTGTCGCAATTGGGATATCAGCTGGTCTTATCTTCGTCACTATGGGGTCCATCGCAATGTCCTACTCCGAGGAGCAGGACCGGGGGATGTACATCACCATGTCGGTTAACCTACAGGCTGTGGGCTCTATTATCGGGGGTATCATCCCGTTGTTGATCAATAGAAATTCCGTAAGTTGACATCGACTATATCCGGTACTGCGGCTAACTAGAGTATAGAATGAAGCCACCGGTGTTCCATCAGCTGTATACATCGTCTTCATGGTGATGATGGGCGTCGGAGCATGCGCTGCATTTCTATTAATGCCTGCCTCTCGAGTCATCCGTGACGACGGCACACAAGTAGCCACCCTCAAACCACGCGGCTTCGTCGACGAGCTAAAGGCAAACTTGGAGATATTCAAAGACTGGAAATTGCTCGTCATGGTCAGTACCCAAGTTTCCTATCAGCACGTATACTGACAATGTAGTAGATCCCCGCCTTCCTCCCAGCAGAGTGCTTCCTCGTCTACGGCGGGTCAGTGAATGCCTACCGCAACAACCTGCGCACTCGCTGCCTACTATCCTTCATCGCAGTGGTAATCCAGGTCCCCTGCGGCATCCTGCTACAGAAAGTCCTCGACAACAAGAACTGGAACCGCCGGACGCGAGCCTTCCTCGGCCTGGGCATGGTCGGCATCCCTCTCATCGCCGCCTGGGTATGGGAAATCATCCGAGTGCGAAACTACGACCGTCACGCTCCTCCAGGGGTAGGGCTCGACTGGACAGAGCCGGAGTTCTGGCCGATCCTGGTCCTGTTCGTGCTGAACTGGGTGACGGGGTCGCTGTGGCAGTATATCGTGTTGTACTTCCTGGGCGCGTTGACGAACTCGCCGACCAAGTCGGCTAATTATGCAGTACGTGACCGAATCAATGCCATCTGCTGGTAATTAACAACCGATTAGGGCGTGTTCCGCGGTTTCCTCGGCGCTGGAGAGGCGATATGTTTCGGGGTCGACTCGATCAAAGTGCCGTATATGAAAGAGGCGGCTGTGATTTTTGCGTTTTATACAAGTGGCGTGCTGATCTTTGCGTTTATTGCGGCGTTTCATATTAAAGATACAGAGTATTTCAATGGCGAGGACGGCGTGGTTATTCCAAAGCATGTTCTTGCTGAACACGGAGAGAAGGCTGACTCGACCTGATATTTAATAATCTCATAATTCTTGCATTTCAGGCTTATCTGACTAGTAAATTTGCTGACTAGTAAATCTGCCCACGTAATCCTCCCTGTGTTTTCATCCCTGCAATCTGTTCTCTTTCATCAGCAGATGAAATGAATAGCACGCAAAACACGCGATAAAGGAAATAAGCAAAATGACACCGAAGGGCAGGGAATACTCGAACACCACCCCTGCCTCATTACAAGGCTTGCTGCCAGAATTGGTCGAGGTAGTGGCATCGTTCCTGGAGGCTACCGACCTGTGCAAACTGCGAATGACATGCAGGACTCTCTATAACAACACGCATGATGTATTTTGGTGCACCTCGCTTCGAAACATCCAAACAGATCTATCCCACGCCAGTCTGACGAAACTGAACATTCTCTCGAACAACCCGCAACTATCTCGTTACGTTCATCGCTTGACCTTCAAAGGGTTTGCTGGGAATGGCGATATCCTTGGACAAGGGCTGGACTGGAATCGCCATTCGTCCGGTCATCTCATCGACCTGCAAGAACAGCCTGGCGTGAAGCTGCTACGGCCGATTCTCTCTCGGCTCCCCAACTGCAAATCATTCGAGTGCTGCTCCATCTCTACTCCAGACCACGTTGCGCTGGAAGGCATTACCGGCGCTACCGATGCAGCTCAAGTTATATTGGATATTGTTGCCGAGACTAGACTATCAGTTGCTTCATTTTCAGCGAACCTGTCAGGTCGCAGCTATCTCGATCCCAGACGGTTCCAATTGGATTACTTCAAAAAGTCTGGGTTTGTTGAAAGATGGGCACATCTTGAGGAATTGATTTTGCACTTTACGCCTGACGACGAGGTCATCCTCGACTGGGCGACACAATTGATCCTGCTTGCCCGCAACGTGAAGAAGTTGAATATGTCGCTTGGTACTGATCGCAATACGTTTATTTTTATGCGGCGCCTGGCAAAGACGGAGAAGAGTCTTGCATGGCCCCAACTACAAGAGCTCCGATTGAGTCGTGCCAGTTCATCATTTGCAGATCTCACAGCGTTGCTGCACGAATGCCAGCAGACGCTTCGAGTTCTTCATATCGGGCTGCTGGCAACGGATGCCACTCTTTCTGACCTGCAAATATTTTTTCAAACTCTGAGAACGGGATTTCCTTTGGAGGAAATTGATTTTGGAGCATGGTTGTCTCGCCCACATACAGGTATACAGAGGCTTTGGGCTGTTCATTACCCACGGCTTCTTGACAATTTGAATATGGACGAGGGGGAGAAGGTCAGGGTCAATGTTAGAGAGATGGGGAGTGACGGGGAGCAGAGGACGCGCTTGGTGGCTTATTCTGGACCGCAAGTGCGTGCTGTGTTGGATGCGCTGGCACGATCAGTGGACTTTGTTTGATGTCTCTACACTCCCAGTTTAAGTAATCGCGGGTTTCAGGTTAACGCTGGTATAGCAATGTTCCTATATATACTGATTAGTTATACTAATAAAATATTGGTGCCAGATAATTCGCCCAACCCCGCATCACACTCTCAGCACCATAACAGCCATTCTCAATTTTAACGAAGAGCAGGGATACCTCCACCTGAAGTCTGTGATCACCTGAAATGTCTGATCTAGACGCGACAACGCCTCGCGTGTTCATTGCTCGCCACGGTAAGTAATGCTCCTGACTTAATACGCGGAACATAGTCTGGAAAACAGGCAGGAGAAACCGAATGGACCAAGAATGGTCGATACACCGGAATCACCGAGCTGGAGCTCACTGCCGACGGTGTAAAGCAAGTCACTGGCACAGCTCGCCAGCTTGTTGGGCCTGGGAGGTTGATCGATCCAGCCCGGATTGCAAAAGTCTGGGTTAGTCCGCGTCGACGGACACAGCAGACGTTTCAGCTTCTTCTCAGCGCTGGCGGTGACTCTGGGCTAGAGGAAGACAAAGTAACTCTCACAGAGGATATAGCTGAATGGGATTATGGCATCTATGAAGGCTTGCAAGCGGGTGAAATCAGGTCCTTGAGGAGGGAGAGACGACTGGATGAGAGCAGGGACTGGCATATATGGAGCGACGGGTGCGAGGGTGGAGAGTCTGTTCCTTCGGCCTCAAGTATTGATACTGGCTGATTGCTTGTATAGGTCTGCGGATATGGTGACAGAGAGACTGGATAGATTGATTCAGCAGATCCGTACAATTCAACAACCTCATATGGATGGCTCCAAGCCAGCTGATGTCGTCTTGGTAAGTGTCAACACTACTCTTCTTGCAACAAACTGACATATATACTCAGGTTGCACATGGTCTTATTCTGCGTGCTTTTGTTAAAAGGTGGCTGAAGTACCCTCTTGACACACCGTTGCCAATGATGCTGTCCCCAGGAGCCATTGGTATACTCAGGTATTATCTCCGACCTGAAAGCGAAGTGTGATCTGACATCTCGTAGCTATCGAAATCGTGATATAGATGAGCCGGCATTTTTTATTGGGATGGCGTTGCCCTGACATAGTGTATATTAAGCCTGAGTATCATTGTCCTGATAATTTTCATACTTATATCGTGATCCAACATGTTCAGCGGGCAATCTTGACCTTCCACTGCCATAGATCCGCTCTCGCATGGTTCCTGATTCCCCTTTCGGCGCATACAGCCCTCTTTCTCTAAGAACAGGCACAAGTAAGTCCACCACATCTTCCCACGTCCCTGGCACAGTGATATGCCCGATATTAAACCCGTCGATATCGGCAACCCTCATCCACCTCTCCATCTCATCCGCGACCTCCTCCGCTGTTCCTACAGGTGTGGGCCCTGAGGCCCCCAGGGCAACTGCTTTACCAATACTTCTCGGGGTCCACACAGGCGCACCCTCACCAGGGTAAGCGAGATTCTGAAGCAGCGACTGGAGCTGAACATTCTCAGCCTGATCGCCCATCTGAGGAGTGACCTCGGCATCCAGATCCAGCTTTGATAAGTCAATACCAGTGTTGGCACACCAGTAGACCAGACCACCCTCTTCACTCGCGTACTGTAGGGCTTCACGGTACTTTTCCTGTGCTTCCTCAGTTGTTCGACCCAAGATTGGAGTCAGAGAAGCAAACACCTTTACCGAGTTCGGGTCGCGGCCTACTTCGGCCACTTTATCCCGTATCCTCTTGACACGGGGTGCGATTGTTTCTGGAGTTAAGCCGACGACAAAGATTCCCTCTGCATGCGTAGCTCCGAAATGGAGGCCTGCTCTGGGAATAGTCAGAAGGCGTAGGCTCCATATTTGGCAAGACTTACGGTGATGATCCCGCCTGGAAGATGAACGGAGTGCGCTGTGGGCTGGGATCTAGTATATGCGGAGCACGGAGCTTGAAGTGCTCACCCTCATGCTGGATGACGCGTACTCGGTCGAAGTCTGCGTATATACCATTTTCTCGATTCTCTACCAGAGCATCGTCGGCCCACGATCCTTCCCAGAGCCTGCTATTGTTAGACCGTTCGATCTCAGACACAGACACCTACTTATACAGCACTCGCAGATACTCATCTGCAATCTCATATCGTTTATCATGCGGAACGGGGTCAATCCCAATCTAAACCGTCAGTCTGCAACCCAATTTCAAGTAAATAGGGATATAGGTGGAAGGTAATACCGCCTCAAACCCCGACGCCTTCCACGAGGTAACGACATTCCACCCAAACCTGCCACCCGTAAGATGATCCAGAGTCGAAAACCGCTTCGCCAAAACATAAGGCTTCTCAAATGACGTTGATGCCGTGATAGCGAAGCCTAGATTCTTCGTTACTGCCGCCATGGCCGTCAAGGGAACAGCCGGGTCGCCCATGGGGTACTGGATGGCATTGCGCACGCATGGCTCCGCGCTGCCTTTATAGACATCGCACCAGCCATTAGTATCTGCAAGGAAGATTGCGTTAAAGTCCCCGCGCTCAAGGATCTTTGCCACGTCGGTCCAGTAGGAGAGATCGCGGCGCTTGGTTGCTGAGCGGTCTTTAGGGTTGCGCCATTGTCCAAAGGACATGTGGCCGACGGTGAACATGTCAAAGGCATTGAGGAAAATGCGCTTGCGCTCGTTTTGTGTCATTTTGGAGAGTGGTATGTCGATGGTTGAAATCGGAAGTTATTGGGTGGTCAATATACGCAGCACGATGGCCCATTTTTATAGTAGATGTCGTGCTCGGAGTCACCTCCGAAGACGCCATTATAGCAACTTATGATGCTGTATCCTGACTCGTGTTTACCGCTATACTCCAACTACCCCAATTCTTCAGGCCATGCCGTGAGCTACCAGAATGTCGGTCCCTTGCAGTCCTTGGGTAGATAAGGCGACATCATCCTGGCATTGACGCAATCTCGGCCATATATATCCCGGTATATCCAATGGTTTTAACGGCCATGATAGGTATTCAATATGGACATCGAGCAGAAGACGCCAGCTGCGGCTGTCACACTCAAGTCCGAAAAAGCCCAGTTCCTGTCACAATTCACGGCCGAAGATGACCGGCGCATCATGCGAAAGGTGGACCGCCGCGTCCTCCTGCTCATGGGCATCATGTACCTCCTCAAGCAGATCGACTTCACCAATGCAGCATCTGTCAAGGTGCTACAAGTCGGAGAGCTGAGCAACATCCTAACAGAACTACACATGTCCACCAACGACTACAACTGGACCCAAACCATCTACTACGTACGCCCCCACATCCATTCTGATACATAAAACCTACTAACAGCCTAGATCGGCCTCGTCCTCTTCGAAGTCCCCAGCAACCTGCTCCTCAAACGCCTAACCCCCCACAAATGGATGACGCGAATCTTCCTAACCTGGGGTATAATCGTGGCCTGCCACGCCGCAATGCAAAACAAAGCCTCCTTCTACGCGCTGCGCTTCCTCCTCGGCGCCCTGGAAGCAGGCTTCTTCCCGGGCCTCGCCGCCCAAATGTGCGCCTGGTACCGCAGCGACGAATACAGCAGACCCATCATGTGGATGTTCGCCTTCCAGAACTGCTCGGGGATCATCGGCTCCCTCCTGGTGTATGGCATCTCATACATGGACGGGATCCGCGGGTTAAGTGCCTGGCGCTGGGTATTTCTCCTCGAGGGATTAGTGACAGTCATCTTCTGTCCGGCAATATACCTCCTCCTACCAGATTATCCCAAATCGGCCACGTCTGCGAAATGGCTTACCCCAGACGAGCAGGAGTATCTCGAGCAGCGACTTAGTTATAACGCACCCCGCGCAGCAGACCCGGACTTTTCACTACGGGAAGTTATAAACGCACTTCGTGATCCAAAGATATACCTCTTCACGGCATGCCAGTTCCTACTGAACATCGCCGGGTACGGGCTTAGCTGGCAACTTCCAACTATAACAACATCGCTTGGATTCGCAAGTCTGCCACGGAACCAGCTGCTGAATATCCCACCGGCGGCTGCAACGGTTGTGGGGATTATAATTGCCGCGCGATTCATGCGATACGCAGTAATAACGCGCCCGCTATTCTGCCAAATCTTGAATGCCGTTACGCTGCTGTTCTTTATTATCCTCTGCATACCTGTTTCAGCGGGTGGGCGGTATGCAGCTTGTGTGCTGGGGACGGCGTTCTACTATGTGTACTTCATTCCGTTCTGGGCGTGGAGGTCTGCTGGGTTGGTTGGGGCGACGGGGACGGCGTTTGCGATTGCGCTGCAGACGGCGGTGGCGCAGGTTGGGGGTGTTATTGCGCCGCAGGTGTTTCAGGGGAAGTATGCAGCGGATGATTATCGCGTTTCGTTTATTGTTTGTGTGGCTTGTGTGGTTGGGGCGATGGTTTCAGGGCAGGTGCTCTGGCATTTGTCCAGGAATGTAGAGAAGGACGTACTACTTGTTAGAAGACGGAGGATTGCTGCCGACAAGGAGGGGACCGTTTGGACTGGGGAGGATGTGAAGGTGCAGAGTGCGAGATAGTATACGTAACAGTCTAAGTATTGGCATGGTCTATCTAGAGCACGTCTAAGTGCGCTTTTAAAGGAGTATGATCGCAGTTGCATAGGCTGAGGGAATAATATAGAACATAGTCTGGAAAACAGGCAGGAGAAACCAAATAGATTAACAATAGTTAATATACTAGAATTATTAAGCTAGAGCGTACTATTAATAATATATAATAAGTCAGAGGAAGACCGACAGCAGTGTATTCCCCGCAGCCCTCTCCTTGTCTCGTTCTTATTGAGACTATGTTGGAAGGCGGTCGTTAAGTATACTAATTAATTGAGTACAGCAGATTGGTACTTGGTAGATGTTGGCTAGCACCTAGTAAATAGAGCCGTTATCTAGAAATGGGAAACTTCTTCAACGATTGCCTCCGGGGCTTCGAGAGGAATTAGATGCCTTACACCTGGTAGAACCCTAAACGAAACCCGAACCCCAGCATCCTCCAGAAACCGGCAAACTTGGGTTTGAAGTCTTTCTCTGGGCTCAACTAAATCGAGCTCTCCAGCGAGAATGTGGACCTTGATTGTCTTCGCCAGAGGGCCAAGAAGAGCCACCTTCACATCGTGGCTAATATTCTGCTCCATCCCATACGCCGGCCAAGCTTCCTTCGCCAGAAGAGTCCCTCTTAAGCTATCGCGCACGATGAGCTCCACGTCATCATGGTCCAGATTCTGCACATCGGTAAGAACATTCGTGACCGTCCACCGGACAGAATCCGCCGACTCATACGCGACCTTCTGCTGCTCTTTCATATCGGGCGGGAGAACAAGTGTGGTCGGCGGCGCGGGCGCAACGAGTACGAAACCCCTCAACAGTTTCAGCAGGTTGGTAGGCAGAGTGGATAAAGTGGCCACCGCGACCTTCCCGCCCATTGAATGGCCGACAAGGACAAAGCCGTGGGCGAGGAGCCCTCGGTACTGTGCGTCGTCCTTCAGCTGTGAGAGCACTGAGGCTACGTCAGCGGCCATATTGACAACCGCATACGACCTTCCCGTGTCCTCTGACGGGCCGGTGGAGGAGCCCCATCCTCGTAGGTCGATAGCGACTGTTGGATACTGTGAAGACAGAGAAGTTGGGGACGAGGCCGAGGTCACTTTGTGCCATGTCGCAGAGGAGCCGCCCCAGTAGTGGAGGAAGACAAGGAGAGGTTTTGTGGTGCTGGTGTCTGGTTGGGTTATGCGAATGTGCAGAGTGGTGTCGGGGGCAGTTTCAAAATACACAGACATGATTAAGGCTTCATTAATGCTCTGCCACCAGACATCTGGCTATCTATCTATAAATATATAGATGCGGGAAACCCCGAAGCTTCATTGGTTTGATCGGTTTGCGTTGTTTGCATCGGGCCAATCAGCCAATCAATGAGCAGGATCGGGAAACCTTTGAATATATATTAAATGTATCAATAATATTAGGTGAGTCACAGGCTGAGGTATCGTCGTATGGATTGATTTTCGCCACTTTGACAATTCTCATACTTATACCATGATCCGACATGATCCGGAGGCAATTTTGACCTTCCACTGCCGTAGATCCGCTCGTACATTGAGCCTGAGCCTCCCTTTTGCGCATACAGCCCCCTGTCTCTAAGAGCAGACGCAAGAAAGGGGCGATGGGGTCAGGGTGGGTGCTCTGGTATTTGTCCCGGGATGTAGAGAGCGACGTCCAACCTTTACTTGTTAGAAGGCGGAGAATTGCTGCCTACGAGGAGGGGAGGATTTGGATTGGGGAGGATGTGAAGGTGCGAGGCGCGAGATAGTATGTACGTAACAGTCTGAGTATTTGCTAGGATGGTCTATCTAGAATCTAAGTGCCGCTTAGGAGCAGTTGGCATAAGCTGAAGGAACAATAATGGCAGCAATGGCTTCGTGATATGCAATCGTAACATCGTGACCGTGAAGAGGCCAGAAAGGTTATTCAATCCTGTCTTCGGCTTCAGGCTGGCTCTGCTGCTTGGACAGCTTCGGGTTACGCAGGATAAACGCGAATAGAATCATCGGTGCAGCGATGCATATTCCCGTGATGCAGAGAATGCGCTGGACGTGCCGGTAGCTGTAGATGATGGCGTCTCTCTCCGGGGTGCCGACTGGGTATGAAGGGATGACTTCAAACGGCGATCCATACACCCGTTTAGCCAGGGTATCATCTGGCTGGAATGAAAGCTTGTCGGACAGCGTTTTGTAAAGGGTTTGTGTCCAGATAGCGCCTGAAACACAGGTTCCAAGAGCACTGCCGACATTGAACGAACCCAGATATATACCAGTCAGAACAGCCATATGCTCGTGCTTCGTGGCTGCCTGGACGGACGCTTGGGTTGGATAGGCAAAGAAACCCCCAGCCAGACCCAGGAGAACCTGGGCAACAATGACTCCTGTTTTCGAGCTCTCTGAGGAGCCACCGCGGAAGTGTATAACCAGCCCGTAGGCTGCCATAAACATGCAGGTGCCGAAGACGATGAAGTATTTCAGTCTCCGTAGACGGTAGATAATCAAGCCAGTGATCACTCCGCTAATCAGACCAAAGAAAGAGTAAAACGATTGAATCCGGGTGGCCGACGCGACAGAGAAATCAAAGGCAACAACCAGCACGGTAAAGATGTAGTCGGCCTGCAAGTACCAGGAGAAGTTGAGGAGACAGCGAATCACCAGGGCACTCCAAATGCCTCGGTCTTTGAGGAGGTAGAACGGCGTCAGCGGATGCTTTGCACCTCTGACCTCCCAGAGAACGAAGACTGGAATGCACAGGATACCGATAGCTAGAGGGACGATGATCTTCGCAGTTCGCCATTGCGAGATGGTGCCTCCAGCAACGGTGAGCGGTGCGAGGATGAGGCCGAACATGGTGACCAGCAGCACAATCCCAACCACATCAAGCTGGTGGAAGACGTCAATACCAAATTTGCGCATGCCGAGCAGTTGCAGTGGAGTAGGATAGTTCTCCAGTTCGCCGCTCTTCTCTGCACGGCGGCCGACATGATACAAGGAGAAGAGGAGAGGGAGGGAGCAGAAGAAGTAGATGATGCACCACATTCCTATACCCCATCGCCAGGACGTCTTCTGCAAGACAGCCGATGTGATATTCCCACTGATCCAGGTGTTGATGATGAACGGAAGGGCCGGAAGGTAGCTGAAGAACACTCGCGACCGCATGGACGTGATATCCGCGATGATGACCTCAACCAGGAGGACAATACAGGTATATCCCACTTGGTAGAGCACGGTACCAGCCGCGAAAGTTTCGATATTGCTGGCAGACGCCTCGACGACCGTCCCGATGATATAGAATACGATCGATATGGCAACCAACTCGAACCGGCCAAAGATGTCAGCAATCCTCGCCGCAACGGGCTGGCCAGCAGCCGCGATGACACTGCGAATCACATTGACGGTCGCGAGCAGCGAGTGTTTCCCGAAGCTCGACGTCGCATAGGTCTGGTATGTCGAGCGAACCTGGCTGTCGAGACCGTAGGCATAGCCCACCAGGAAGACGCCGATGAACAGGAAGATGCGATCCGTGCGAGTCAGGTGGGAGTTGATGATCTCGATGCGAGCGACACCAGGGGACTTGTCACCGAAGACGGGCATCTCTCGAGGCAGAAGGCCGGTTGTTTCGTTGGGATGGCCATCGTCGCTGTCGCCGTCGCCATCGCGGCTGTGGGTGTGGGTGTGGTTCAGGTCGGGCAGTGAGGAGGCAGAGAAGGAGCGATCGTGGCCATGACCAGCCCCAGGGAGAGCGTTATGGCCATGTTGAACGGGCAGTGGCATGGCAGCTCAAGGAAGCACATTTACTTCTGCTGTCGAGCGAGGCATAGAGGAGTGTTTTAAGCCCAGGGTTGGGTGATGATCAGATAAGATTAAGAGAGAACCAGAGAACCAGAGAACAAGAACAGGGGATTATCACGGCGGGGCAGACCATCAGTGATCAGACATCAGACAAGAGCAGAAACCGCAGTAAGTGCCAGAAACAGCTCGAGCTGTGACAGGCAGCCAGCGTCACAGACAGACAGCATGAGCCGATCCTCGGAGCACCGACCATGGCCCACCCACTGTCCACTGGCCCACCTCGCCCAGGCCAAATTCTGGTCTGTCTGATTTGTCTGTGGCGGAGGATGACACTTATTACTGGCTGGCTCTGGCCCACTCGTCTGACCCATTCTGTAATATCAGTGAATCGCATATCCCCTCGGCTATACGCTGCACCTCATCAGATCACAATGTCAGGTCACAATGTCAGACCACACAAAAACACCGCATAGCGATCCTCCCATGTCCACTGGGCGTGCGAGACTGGCCTGTAAATCGTGCAACGCCAGACGCGTCAAGTGCGATGCCGGGAGTGGGCAGCCTTGCTGGCATTGCCGCATACGCAACACCCCTTGCGAGCTGATCGAGTCGAAGAGGGGGAAGTACGTTTCGATTTAATTTGAACGTTCCACTTGACACTGACTGGCGTAGATATGTTCGTAGAAAGAAACATCTCGGTCGGGGCCAACGGTCGCAGGAGCAAGCGTCTCCCAGTGAAGACCCGAATACGAGCCATAACACGACCCCCACGCCCTTGGGCACATCCAGGAATGACTCACTCGAATTGAGAGGCTTTGACGTCCTGCCAGGAAATCACCCTGACCGTACCCCACACTCTCAGCCCCGGGGATCGGATTCCACTACCGACGCGGCATGCCTAACCTACACCATCGAGGTCGACTACACCCAACGCAGTGGCTCGACTGAACGCTTCAAGGTGAACTACCCGATTCCAGCGCCGGTCGCAGATCGATCAACCTTCCATCATGGACCAGGCGCAGAGTTGGTCTCCTTGGAGGAGGCTTTGGCCATGCCACCCCGGCATATAGCAGACGGGCTGATTCGGGCCTTCTTCGAACTTGCACACCCTGCCTACCCAGTTTTCGACCGCAAGCGCTTCACAACCTTGTATGGCCAAGGGAAAGCCTCTCCTTTAGTCCTTCAGACTATCTTCTTCATGGGGTTCACTGTCGGCCCGGACAGTCTGATACAGGACTCTGGCTACAGCAGCCGGACAATGGCACGGAAAACGCATTACCTTCGCGCGAAACTGTTGTACGACATAGACTACGATACTGACAGCTTGAATGTAGCTGCGTCTCTGCTGATGCTCGGGTTCTGGTGGTTTGGGCCCGAGGACCAAAAGGAACATTGCTACTGGGTGGGATGTGCCAGCCACGTCGCACAGTCTCTGGGAATGCATCGCTCGTATGTCTCCAATGTGATATATATTCATAGTACTGATTATATAGTACATCGCAGTCAGGCATGAGTCAGGCGGAACGGTCTCTGCGGAAGCGCATCTGGTGGTCGATATATGTGAGTATGAGTACCGTTGTTATCTACAGGATATTAATAAATAGACCCGCGACCGCCATGTAGCAGCAGCATTTGGACAGCCGTGCCGTATCAGGGATGAGGACTGTGATGTTGAGGCCTTGGTAGAAGAGGACTTTCAGTTTGATAGCGACTGTGATCGGAGTCTCGTTCCACCCCAGCAGGACTTTCATGTGTTGTATGTCATGGAAATGTCCAGATTAGCTGTCATCCGTGAGTGTTTTTCCGCTATTAAAGGCTGGTCTGACTCCATGCAGTAGGAGATATCCTCATCGGAGAGTTCAGTCCTCGCCGCCCTGCCCTTGATAAATACACGACGGAGAGTCTAGTACAGAGATTGGCAGAATGGGAATCGCATCTTCCTGATACACTGCGAGGAGCCTCACCTGATGGATCACTTGGTGCCTGGTTCTGGGCTACTATGCTATATGTTCCCTATCAGTGAGTTGCTTGTCCCATACATGTATCTACTTATTAACAGTTCAGTAACTACCACGTTCTCCTTTTCCGGCCAAGGGCTATTGAAAATCTATCACCAGCAGAAGCAGACAGAGATACTCGGGCACGCACCGCTGCAGATTCAATCACCCGTCTTGCTGAAGACCTACTGGCAACATGCACCATCAGATCTGCACAGGTTCAGCTGTATGTACTCGTCAAACCATGCCTCTCCCTATCTCCTGACATACTTTCAGTGTCCCTGCTCTATTTGGAGCCCTTTCAGTCCATACCATCGTCATCTGTCGCAAAGATCCCATTCGGCGGAAGCTCGCAGAAAACAAATCAAGACAGTGCCTTCTCGCATTGAGCGAACTTTCTATCTCCTGGCCAGTCAGGATTTGGTTTGCTAGAGCGTTTGTCAATCTGATGAGACGTCTGACTGGCCGAGGAGGCTCAATAATCAATGTGTCGTCCAGCATCGTGCGGACTCGCAGCAACCCAGCATTTGAAAGAATAGGTATTTCCGAGTCTCAGCATGGAGCTACCATTGACGAGTCCTCTCATGGTTTTACTGCGAATCCAATACTACCAAACTTCCCCGGAATGACTGAGCCGAGTTCATATCCTGGCGATTCTGAGTCTTACAACGTACACCACTACGCTCCACAGATGCCAGATCAACTCATGTATGATTCGTTTCTAGCGGGCTACCTCGATAATACCTTCGACCCTGATCTGCTTTTGTACAACAGTCTAGAGCCGATGCTGCCACTTTCATTCGGGAATCTCCCCGAGTCAGATCCAGACAGCTAGGTACCGACCTTGGATAGGCTGTATCCTCAAGTTTCAACAGCAAACCTACTCCTCTTCCTGAGAGCCTTGCCATACCGAAAGAAGAGCCAAGGAAACGGCATCATGGCCAGAGTGAGAAAGGCCAGCAGACTGCTCGCCCACTGATACCCGAGTCTCTCATACATCTGGTTTCCGAATAACGGGAACGCCGCTGTTTATTTTAGCAACCTGATATCAACTCTGTAACATAGCCATACCTGCAAAAGTGCATCGCACGAATCCATTCCCCGCCAGTGCTGAGGCAGCATATTGAGTGTACGCATCAACCTGAAAGTCAGTAAGTAGAGCACCAGACCACGGATATATCAACATACAAAAAATGTAAACACCCCAGAATAGACCAACAGCATCCTATTAAAAACATTAACAAGTTGCACCCCTAATCCAGAATCCTGGAATATCACTCACCCACAACCAAAAAACGCAGACCCAAAAACCGGCACAATCCAATGCACGCCGGCATACGTCGTCCACCCAAACCAAAACAGTCCGACCGGTATAAGAACCCCACCCAATATCGCCGGGGGGAGCTGGTACTCGGGCTCCGTTCTTCTAGGCTGCGTTGGATCCTTCATCAGGGCTATATCCGTGAGTCGCTGGCGAACCTTCACCCAGACCGGACTCATCGCGGCACCGAGGACCATCCCTACTATGATACCCAAGAATGTAAGACCGGCTTGCCAGAGATTCATCCCGTGAGTCGTTTTAAACACGAGCGGGAAAGCGCCGAAGAAGAGGTACAAGATGCCAAGGAGGATAGCAGAGTACATATCAAGACAGAGACACATTGGCTCAAGAGCCAGCATCTGGAAGGGACGGGTAAGGGCAATCCGCAACGCCCTACCAGGCTGGCTGTCTTTCTGTTTCTGCCCGTTCAAATTCGAATTAACAGGGAAGCGAGTCTCCGGCGCAAAGAAAATAATCGCTACCAGGAGAGCAACAGCCCAGATAATCAAGACATAGTACGTCCACCTCCAATGGGCATAATAGTTAATGAACCCCCCAATCACCGGCCCAGATGACGGACCAACGAACGGAGCAAGTGATACAACAGTCATGGGCTTCTGGATCTCGTCTTTCGCAAAGATATCGCCTACCGTGCCCCCAGCGACAGAGAGGAATGTCCCTCCTACAAAGCCCTGGAAGAAGCGGCCGATGATGAGGGTTTCGATGTTCGTTCCGACGGCCGATGGGATGGTCCAGATGATGAATAGAGACCATGCAACTAGATATATTGGCCGTCGTCCGTAGTGTTCACTTAATGGACCGGTAAGTAGTGGCCCTGTTCCAATGCCTAGGACGAAGGTTGAGAGCCCGACTGTTGAGACGATGGTTGAGGTCTCGAATTCGGAGTTCATCTGTTCGTAGGTTGTTGTATAGATTGAACTTGCACATGTCCTTCTCAAAATTAGTGTCTACATACAATTTCCAAGAATTATGTTGGTCTCGAGTGCCGTGTTCAACTTACACGCATGCGCTCCCCATACAAACAATCATCACCATCAGCCACTTCCTCAGCAGCGGCATATCCTTGGGAGATCGCGGCCGCCGGGCAGCTTCATTGTCAGTATCAGGCCCTGTATTGCCCTCCATGACGTTGGATATTTCATGACACTCTTTCAAATCCAGAAGAGAAGACTTATATGGCGAAAGGGGGCGAAGAACCCGAGGCTTCTTACAAGAAACCGACCCCCACACGCCCTGACCCACAAACCCGTTGGCAATGCGCACAGACGAATCTCGCTGCTGCTCGGCTTCTGAAGTGAATGGTTCATTGCCTGCGCTATAAAGGCCGGCGAAACTGCTCGTTGTGAATGGCTGGCATCGAATAACACCATGGCGACAGTTAAAATGAATTCTCCCAGCCAGGAAAAGCAAGTTGAAACAGCTCGAGACCAGCATCTGCTGTCAGAAAGAGCTGCATGCAATTCCGTGCATCGGGATATCTGGGGTCCACGGGAAAAGTCCATGGGAAATCCCTGGTCTCCTACAAACCCAACAGGGACGTGAGTATACCACTTGCAGAGTTACGGTCAATCCGATTAACAAATGCAGTGTCAATCTCCGTCTCGCCGAAAACAGTCTCATGCACGAGGAAATCGGGCAATTCATCAAAAATGAGGTCAGTTTGCCAACTGTATCCCTGGCATCGGCTAACATTACATAGATAAATGTCCTCCCCCTTCAACATTTAACATATAGCACTGGCCCACGAGGTTCTCTACGTCTCCGACGAGCAGCATCTACATTTCTAGCACGAGAGTTCCATCCGCGCCACTCTATCACTGCCGATGATATCTTCGTCACCCCAGGGCTAGCTAGTGCCATTGACGCCGTTGCATGGTCAATCTGCAATGATGGAGATGGCATTCTCGTTCCGCAGCCATTCTATAACGGGTTCCAATTTGACCTCCTCAACCGGAGTAACACGAGGGTTGTCCCTGTTTCGTATACAGGGGTGGAGGGGTATTCCGGCCTCGATGACCTTTTTGATCCGGATGTGAATAGGATGGCACTAGACAGGGCTTTGTATAAGGCTAGAGAAGATGGGATTCGTATCCGTGCGGTCCTTGTTTCAAAGTTCGTACTTTCTGACAGTTGTGTGTCCCGTTTACTGACTCCATGTCCAGTCCCCATAATCCTCTTGGGAGATGCTACGTGAGTTTGCCTTGCCGTATATGCAAGAGATAGCATATCTAATAAATACAGCCCCCTGCAACCATGAGAGAATTCGCCAAATTTTGTGGTCTCAATAAATTGCATCTCATCTCAGACGAAATCTACGCAAAATCCGTATTCGTGAACCCCACAATCCCAACCGCGACGCCCTTCTCTTCCATCCTAGCCCTTGATACTACCGACCTCATTGATCCTACTCTAGTCCATGTCTTATACGGCGCAAGTAAAGATTTCTGCGCGAACGGGCTACGCTTGGGATTTGTGTATACACAGAATAAAGGCATTATCGGGGCGATGTCTAGTATCAGGTATATTTTACCCAATCCCTGCAATGAGCTGAGTTAAATGTATACTATGTAGTATGTTCTCGTGGTCGCCTCATCTCCTTCAAGATGTCTGGGCTGGGATGTTAGAGAACGCCGAGTGGATGGACGACTTCATGCAGAGAAAGAATGAGCCTGTGCTGGAGAATTATAACATCACTTCATCGTTTCTCCGTGACTGCGGGATAAAATATTATGAAATGTAGGTGTAATTCTGTACTCCTATGCTTACATCGATTGACACTAATTATCGACAGGAACGCCGGGCTCTTTTTCTGGATCGACCTTCGGCATATACTCAAGCCAGGCTATGCAGGTGACGGCTCATTGAGCGTAGCCTCTTCGGATTCGAGCAAGTATAAAGAGCGGGAAGCGAGGGTAGTCGAGATTTGCATGAAGCACGGTGTGCTGATTGCTCCTGGTCATGTCTACGTACCTGAGGAGTTCGGATGGTTTCGTATAACCTTTACGGTTGGCAAGGAAGCATTACGAGAGGGACTGCAGCGAGTTAAAGAATCACTTGCTGAGATTGAAACAGAGCTGAGTTGGACTACTGAGTAAGGTACACCGGGCTAGAAGTTAAACCACAGTAGAATAGAACGATAGAATCATTATTCACTAATCATGACCATCACAATCTCCATCAGAGACAACATTTTCAAATACAGCGACTAAACTAAAGCTGCGACCGAGTCCTGGGCGACGCATTCGAGCGCCTCAAATCAAACCGATCCAGATTAGAAACCTTCTCCCAAGCACTGATAAAGTCCCGCACAAACTTCGCCTCGCCGTCAGAGCTACCATAAACCTCGGCAAGCGCGCGCAGCTCAGCATGAGAGCCAAAGACCAAGTCCGCACGAGAGCCCTTCCACTTCTGGGCGCCGGTCTTGCGGTCAGTGCCGACGAAGACCTCGTTGCTGGCGTCCGTGGGTTTCCACTCTGTGCCCATATCGAGCAGGTTCACGAAGAAGTCGTTGCTCAGCTGCCCGACGCGGTTCGTGAACACGCCGAGGTTCGAGCGGTCGTAGTTGTTGTTCAGCACACGGAGACCGCCAATAAGCACCGTCAGTTCCGGAGCAGAGAGGGTAAGCAGGTGCGCCTTGTCGACGAGGTAGTCCTCGGTGCGCACGCGGGTAGTGCCGCGGCCGTAGTTACGGAACCCGTCGGCGATGGGCTGCAGGTTGTTAAAGGAGTCGACGTCCGTCTGTTCCTGGGTGGCGTCTGCACGGCCGGGGATGAAGTTGACGGAGGTGTCGTGGCCTGCGTCGCGGGCGGCCTTTTCAACAGCTGTAGACCCAGCGAGGATGATCAGGTCTGATAGTGAGACGCGCTTGTTGGAGCTCTGGGCATCGTTGAACTGCTTCTGGATTGACTTCAGGGCATCCAGAGACTGGGCTAGCCAGGGCTGGTCGTTGATCTTCCAGCCGTTCTGGGGAGCGAGGGCAATACGGGCGCCGTTGGCACCGCCGCGCTTGTCGCTGCCGCGGAAAGTCGATGCGGCAGCCCAGGCGGTAGAGATGTAGTTGGTGTGGTCGACGCCAGAGGAGAGGATCGCCTTTTTCAGTGCAGCAATGTCATCGTTGTCGATGATGGGGTGGTTCACTGAGGGCAGCGGGTCTTGCCAGGTGAAGACCTCAGATGGGACTTCGGGCCCCTGGTAGAGGATTCTGGGACCGACGTCACGGTGGGTGAGCTTGAACCAGGCGCGTGCGAAGGCGTCCGCGAGCTGGTCTGGGTTCTCGAGGTAGCGGCGCGCGATTTTCTCGAACTCGGGGTCGAATCGGAGGGCAAGATCAGTTGTCAGCATGCGCGGCGGGTGCTTGACGTTGGGGTCAAATGCATCAGGGACGAAAGGCTCAGACTTGGCTGTCCACTGGTTGGCACCGGCAGGGCTCTTGGTCAGTTCCCATTCGTACTTGAACAGGTACTCGAGGAACTGGTTGCTCCACTTAGTTGGGGTCTTGGTCCAGATGACTTCGATTCCGCTGGTGATTGCATGAGGGCCGACACCAGTCCCGTAGCTGTTCTTCCAGCCCAGACCCTGGTTCTCGAGCCCAGCCGCGTGAGGTTCCTTGCCCATGTGGCTACCGGGGGCAGCCCCGTGCGTCTTACCGAATGTGTGTCCACCGGCAATCAGGGCAACGGTTTCCTCGTTGGTCATGGCCATACGACCAAAGGTAGTCTTGATATCCTTCGCCGCGGCAACAGGGTCAGGGTTTCCATTGGGACCCTCAGGGTTGACATAAATCAGACCCATATGTGCAGCAGCAAGAGGGTCATCCAGCTCGCCATTCTCATAGCGAACATCATTGCCGAACCACTCCTGCTCAGCACCCCAGAAGACCGACTCGTCCGCCTCCCAGGTATCATTGCGGCCACCAGCGAAGCCAAAGGTCTTGAAGCCCATCGACTCGAGCGCCACATTACCAGTCAGGATCAGCAGATCAGCCCAGGAGATCTTGCTGCCGTACTTTTGCTTAACAGGCCAAAGCAGACGGCGAGCCTTGTCCAAGCTGACATTGTCCGGCCAGCTGTTCAACGGAGCAAAGCGCTGCTGTCCCTGGCCGCCACCACCACGGCCATCAAAGACACGGTACGTACCAGCGCTGTGCCAGGCCATGCGGATGAATAGACCGCCGTAGTGACCAAAGTCGGCAGGCCACCAGTCCTGCGAGTCGGTCATGACCTTCTCCAGGTCCTTCTTCAGGGCGAAGTAGTCTAGACTGTTGAAGGCTGCGGCATAGTCGAAGTCTTTGTCATATGGGTTTGTCACTTGAGTGTGCTGGCGCAGGATGTTGAGCTTGAGGTCGTTGGGCCACCAGTCTTTGTTTCTTGTGCCGCCGCCGCCGACGTTGGCGCGCTGGCTGTTGTGGACAGGACATTCGCCCATGTTGTGAGGTTATTTGATGGAACAACGATAGAAAGCAGATGGAATCGATGAAGGATGAGAAGGAAAAAGAAAAGAAGACAGTGACGGGAAAGAAAAGGGGCCGGGTGTGACGAAGCTTATAACCCCGCATTCTATAGCAGGCCAACCCCGCAAGAAAACTGGTGAATTGCGATATCCTGGAGGACGGGGGTTTCCGGCCCACGAGCGGGGGAGATCCATGTGATGATTTACCTGGCATTCTACTGGCCGGACCTGGAGCCAGATATCGCGGAATTGACCCCAAGCAGCAGTGGAGTTGGCCGGGTAGCCAATGTGGGCGTTGGAGAAGTAATCGCCGGTCGCCGTGAGGGGTTGCCTGCTTTTACTAATAGGGGCGGTCCAGACTGGACGAGGCCTGTGAGATGACAGAGCCGGAGGTAAGGTTGTGAGATGCTAAGAGTTGGATGGCTGAGTGGGCTGATGTTTATTTAGTGGTTTATATTTAGTGACTGAGAGATGCAGATGCCGTTGACGCAACGCTCCTGCATGATTGAAGATGCCGGTATGCCTGATTAAGGCACGCCTGTACCGGGCCGGTTCTGGACACCTGAGCTGTCAGGCAAGAATCACATGACTTTCTGTGACACATCCACAACCAACACCCCGCGTCAACCTTCCAACACTTCGTCTACGATAGACAGATAATTAAAAACTTTCCCCCAGATAGACATGCCCTCTCTGCAAGACAGCAAGCTCGCCTTCCTCGGCGGAGGCAACATGGCCTCGGCCATCATCGGCGGCCTCCTCAACCAGGGCATCAACAAGCAGAACATCACCGTCTCAGAGCCATGGGAGGTCAACCGCAACAAGATGGCCGAATTGGGCGTCAACACGACGACTTCCAATGTCACTGCCGGTGGTCAAGCCGACCTCATCATCCTGGCCGTCAAGCCGCAGGTCGCCAAGACCGTCTGCCAGGAGCTGTCCGAGGCCTGGGCCACGAGGTCTAGCTTGCCTGTTGTTGTCAGTATCGCTGCGGGCATTACCCTTGAGAGCATGCAACAATGGGTTCGCACTGCGGATGGCCGGAGTGCTCACCTTGTTCGCGTCATGCCCAACACCCCTGCACTTGTTGGAGAGGGTGCATCGGGGCTCTTCGCCAGCCAGGATGTTACCGCAGAGGAGAAGGAGCTTGTGGGGTCGCTTCTCCAGAGCGTCAGCAAGGCTACGGAGTGGGTTGACAAGGAAGAACTGCTTGACGTTGTTACTGGTCTATCAGGTATGTTGCCCAAAACCCTCACACTACGTGGCGTACACTAATTCCCCAGGATCCGGACCTGCATACTTCTTCGCCATGGTCGAGCACCTTGTCGCCAGCGCCACTGCTCTTGGCCTTCCAGCTGAGCAGGCGACCCGTCTGGCAACACAGACCTGTCTCGGTGCCGGCCGCATGATGAAGGACTCGCCCGACACCCCGACGCAGCTGCGGAAGAATGTCACTAGCCCGAATGGAACGACACACGCCGCCCTGGAAACATTCAAGGAACTCAACTTTGAAGAGATTGTCGACAAGGCCGTCAAAGCTGCGACGTCTCGTGCTGCTGAGCTGGGAAACACTCTCGGAAAGGCCTAGATAAAAGTGTATTATAGATTAACACGGAAGAAGCTGTAACCTTAAGGGACGCCTTCACATCCAACAGTCAATACAATTAAAAGCCCCCTGAAAACACTGTACCAATCATTTCACATCGCTCAATCCAGTCACATACTGCACCCCCGCCTTGAGAATCCCAATGACAACCTCAATTTCCTCCTCATCCCTCGGTGCATAGATCAAGACATACTCCGTTGGGATAGTAGAAACCCGCCCAAAGGTGACATTCCTGAACACACTCGATCCAGCCAGCGGGAATCGCTGGCCCCAGCCGGACTCGATAACGCGTTTGCCTGCCTTGTTAGATTTGTATATTAAAAACGGTGATTAGATAGACATACAATCAGCCGGGGCCAAGGTGACATGCAACGAATAATCACTCGTACCATGGACATGACAGATCTCCCGCTTCATCTGCCTTGCAACAGACGTAAGGGGCACATGGCCACAGACATGGGCAGCGTCAGTATGGCGCTCGAGAATCGAGGGGACACGGTCCACGATGTGTGCATTCCGCTCCAGGAATGCCCCATACGCAGCCATCAATTTCTGCCTCGTTAGCCAATCCAACTCAAAACCCGGAGTATAAGGTACACGTACATCTCGAACTTCAGCACTCGGTCGCTGGCTGATCTGGCGCTGGGGCACAGTGAATTCGCCCATGGTCGGCCGTTGGCCTTTTCTATGTGGCAGGCTGGATAGGAAGGCAGCCTGCTCGCCGGATTCGATTTTGCCATCGTACAGCACTGTGCCGAAGGGTTCTCGTCGTAGCGGGTCGAACAGTAGTTTCACAAGTAGCCAACCGAACACATTATACGGGGGTCCGCCCGGGCCAAGAAGCAGCCATGACTGATAGTCGCGATACGCGGGGAGCAAGAGAGCGATGAGTGCTGCTGGGAGTGCTGCCAGCAGGAGGCGGCTGCGGTGGGAAAAGGGGGATTGAGTGACGAGAGAATGCGCTTTTTCGGCGACGGTGGAAAAGTAGGACATCTTGTCGATGCAAGTTTAAATAGAGAAAGTCGGATGGAGGGATGTTGGTCTTATGTAGACAAACATTCCGGCGGAGTTGGACGGAATCCGGCTGTGGCCTGATCGGTCGCCTTACCAGCTGCAGTATGATAACGTGGCGTATTATTTTCTTTTTATTTCGCAAGATTCTATTCATTAATTGTAATTGGCTTCGGTTGTGTTGATATATCCACTACAACATAAAGCGCTGTGCTCAGCACACTATATATTTTACCGAAATGCGTTCGACCATCACAACAACCAGCGGTTTCAACCATCTTTCTATGTTGCGTCATGCCAACAATTTCCAATTAACTTCCATCCGAGGCATTCTATCAGTATAACCTCTATAATTTATCCCCTCTCCCATTCTATGTGTTATCCTTTACTCCTTTACCCTCTTAGGAACCCTCATAAGCCAATACAACCCAACAGCCGCAACAACATTAAACACACAAAACGCCCACATAAACCCAAAATCCCTCCAGCGATTCTCAAAGCGCATATTCATATCTTGTAGAAACGCATCACTGCTCGCCGTTCCACAGAAACTACAGCTGCTGGCAGAACTATCAACCAGATACCCGCCCTTCGCGTCGATATATGACTGCATGTACTCACCGCAGCTCATCCCAGCGGGGGCCTCGTATTGAACCAGCTCGCTGGGCGTGCAGGTTACAGGGGCGCCGGCGAGCGCTGTTCCTAGGAAACTCTCGATCACGTAGGTGAATGGGTTGACGCGGTACATGAAGATCCAGAAGCCGGGGAGTTCGGTTGGGCCAGCGAGGACACTGATCATATCAATCAATCAACAGGCCCGAAGACATTGTAGCGGGGGAGTAGGGCATACCCAGCAAAAGCAAACATGATATTGAAAAAGAAGTTGAGGAATGCACCGGCCACCTGCTCGGTCTCGATACCGGCGATCAGCATGTTGGCGAATGTGCTGGTGAAGGCGAAGAAGATCCACATGTGTAGGCAGACTGTGATGCCGCGCGAGTGGACGGCGTCTGTCCACTCTGCATTCCGGTAGAGGGCCAAGGGGAAGTACCAAAATAGAAAGGAGAAAATGGCCATCAACTACTGAAGTTAAGCCAGGTATAGAATAGGGAAGGGTTGGAGCTTACGGAATTCCAGGCCAGCTCGACGATGATGTTTGCGGCGAGAAAGACGACCCATGAATACGCTTTGGCGGGTCTTTCGCGGGCTTCGTATAGGGTGCGCTGAGAGACGAACATGGGCAGGATCTGCTCGACAACTTGACTGAAGATGAAGAGGAAGATGTATGTTGCCAACATCTGGTTGAACAGTCCACGCTGGGTCACGTCCCCATTGACCTGGGACAATCCGATAAACAGGGCCTGGTAAGTTAGCTTAAACTGTCTAACCCATTTGATCCGTCTAAGAGACATACCGATCCAGCACTTAGAATGGATTTGGAGAAAATATAACTCGGCGTCCGCCAATACTGCTGAAAAACACGTTTGGTGACCTGCGTAAGCTGGACAGGAAAACTGGCAGCAAACTCCGCCAGAGCTGCAGGATCAGACTCGACGGTCTCTCCATCTCCCTGACTAGATAGACGCCCCAGTTCCTGGCGGACACCCTGATATTCAGGGCTTGCTTTCCAGATACTCGGCCAGTCGATGGCGCCTCCATGCTTCGCAGCCCCGACAACATCAAGCATATATTCCGCTGGGTTAGTCCCAGTCTTGAACAGCGGTGCACCGTTGCGGGTGAAGTAGTCAATCAGCGTCGACGAGCCCTTACCAACATCCCCGAAGTACACCGTGCGTCCACCCTTGGCCAGCAGGAGCAAGCGGTCGAAGCGCTGAAACAGCGCCGCAGAGGGTTGGTGGATGGTACACAGAATAGCCTGGCCATTTCGCGTTAATTTCTCCATGAGATCGCATATCGCCCAGGATGTCTGGCTGTCAAGACCAGACGTGGGTTCGTCGAGGAACAGCAATAGCTCTGGCCGCGCTGCCAATTCCACACCGATAGTCAAGCGTTTTCGCTGTTCAACGTTTAGGCCTTCGCCTGTATGTCCAACAATGGCATCAGCACAGTCGTCCAGATCAACCAGCTTGATCACGTCGTTGACATAGTCGAGCTTCTCCTGGCGGGTATACCGCGCTGGCTGTCTCAGCAACGCGCTGAACTGGAGTGCTTCGCGAACAGTAGATGTGTGCAGGTTCAGATCCTGCTGCGTTACATATCCAGTCTTGCGCTGGAACGAGGAGTCTCTGAGTTGGCCATTCACCAGCATTCGTCCGGAGATGACGCCCATCGTGACTCGGCTGGCCAGAACGTCTAAGAGCGTTGTCTTTCCAGCACCAGAAACACCCTATATAAATTAGCGATATAACAAAGGTATTAAAGGGAAAATACCATCAAAGCCGTCAATGTCCCCGGCTTCACCCACCCATCGACATGGTCTAGGATCGTCCTCGTCTCATCCTTAATCTTAACCGAATAGCAAACATCCTGCCAGTGGAAGATCGAAGTCTGCTTCGCAATACCCTGCACTTCATTCCTGTCAGTATCTCCCCTCCGGATCGCAACATCCACAGCAGCCGTCTTCTCCTCATCACCACGACCCTGAGTCTTCTTTTTCAGAACCTCCCGCGGAAAGACAAGAATCTCCCCCTTCGACCGCTCCGACGAGATAACCTCAACCGCAATAAGATGAATCACAAGCAGAAACACCGTCATGGCAATAACGATCCCGAAATTGCGCCAGCGGTGGGAATCCACAAACCCGTACATCACGTCCATATGGACACTACCATCCACAAACCCTTCCCCTGGGACCGAGCCCTCAACGGAGCAAACCTGACCGAGGGACGGTATAGAACTGGTAATGTATTCCTCACCACTAGGAACAAAGTCAATACAGGAGAATCTCCGACCAACGAATTCACTCAGCGACAGCGACTCCTGGACGTAGAAGAGCGGGTTTATCCAGCGCAGCCAGCCGATCCAGTCGTCGAGGTAGGACTGGGGGATGATGAAGCCGCCGTAGAGCATGAGGCCGAGAATGACGATTGCACAGGGGGCCAGGGCCTGGGAGACTGTTTTTGTGACGGACGCCAGGAAGCGGAAGAACATGGACATTGTGATTGTAACTGTGAAAGCCAGGAGGTAGAAGAAGAAGAACGGGCCTGGCTCTCGACGGAGGTTTCCCATGAAATAGGCTGTGACGTTAATGCAGATAGCGTTGACGAGTTTGAATGGGATATCCATTGCGATTGAGGCCAGGGCCTCCATGCTGGGGTGGTAAAGGGCGTAGCGGACGTGTTTCTCGACGATCTTGCGCTTCGAATATAATGTTAAAACTTCGAGGGCGGCAGTCCAGATATTGATCATGAGGACGTAGAAGATGAACAGATTGCGGCGGAATACGCTGGAACTGTCTTCCTGCATGTTATAGAATATGCTGGACACGACGAGGGACTCGAACAGGTTTGCCAGGAGGAGAGTGATCCAGAACCAGGGATCCGCGATTAACAGTCTGTAACTACGCCAGAGATTGAGGCCGAACTGACCGGCCAGGGAAAGGGTGAATGGAGATGCAGCACGCAGGGAATTCGACTTCTGTTCGATTCTTGCGACGCGGAATTTCTCAGACTGATCACCACCGATGGGGAATCTGTCTTCGAATGCTTCAATCTGCGTGACGAGGGACTGGCGGGTTTGACTGTCGCGCCAGGCCTGTGCAAATTCATCTGGACTGCGAGGAGGCGTCTTTCCTTTCCATCCAGACTTGACGATGCGCTCTGATGGACTGGTCATGGAGGTCAGGAAGTCCGGCGTCGTCTGCTCTGGAGGACACTCGAACCCTAAGCCCTCGAAGTATGCCTTGGCCTCGCCAGTGCGGCCGAAGAAGATCTGTCGGCCTTCATAGAGCACAATGACTTTGTCAAATAGCTATGCTGTCAGTACACACTGTTAATCGGGTCAAGGCTCTTACATCGTATGCCTCCTGAGGAGCCTGGTAGATAGCCACACAAACACTACCACCAAACGTCTCAGACTGAAGCCTCAGCATGCGACAGAACGAGACTGCATTTGCAGAATCAAGACCTCTGGTGCTATTATCCCAGCACTGCCAGGGCGAGTAGCTCAGGATGGCCTCAGCAATGCTCACACGCTTTCGCTCACCACCACTCACGCCGCGAATGAAGTCGTCTCCCACCACTGTATTCTTAGTATGCGATATCCCCAACATAGCCATAACTACGTCACGCAGGTGCTCCGCATACTCATGTTTATGTCCCGCGAGTCGCTGCGGGCACCGTGCTCGAGCAGCAAAGTACAGCGTCTCGCCCACGGTGAGTTTCGGGAAATGATAGTCGACTTCAGCGGTATAGATGGCCTCGCCTTTATATGCCGTTGCAATTTCCTCCTTCCCAATCCCCTGGTAGTTCAGGGTACTCCCATCGGCAACTTGGAAGCCATACGTATCGCCAGCAATAGTCTTCAGCAGAGTAGAACACCCAGACCCAGGAGGACCGAGGACGCAGAGCATCTCACCACTTTCCATAACCCCCTCAAGATCCTGCAGGATATCGATGCGCTGTTTCTTCGCAGACCCAAAGAAGCCGCGAACGATTTCAAACGGGCCGTATAGGAAATCCTCAACAGTCCTCTGATGCTCCGCAACAGCCATCTGGCCAAAGACGTTGAAATTTTTAAACGCCAGACCGGCCGAGTTAGGCGGCCGACCTCCCAGAGCCTCCGTCTGGTTATTGTAGAACGCTCTCACCCATTTCTTAGCATCAAAGGCGGCATTGTGAGGGTCGAGTGCGTCGTCCGTAGGCTTAGGGAGGATATGGCCGCCCGCGACAGGAATGGAGGTAACCCGCCGAGCGAGATCATGGATCTGATCTTCGACATGCTCTGAAATATCTTCATTATCGGTCGTGCTCCCAGAGTAGGAGTGGTTCGCGGGCAGGTGTGGGATGCCGTGCACCAGCTCTGGGCCGGGGACGATCGGAGGACGCATTATGCTGAGACGGCGAAGGCGATGACTGACCGAGGAGTCAAGGCCAGATTTATATACAATCTACAAAATATAATACTTAACTGTGAGTTTTTTCAATCTCCGCTGGCCTGCCTAATACGGATGCCATCGATAGCGTATACATTGTAGACTGGTATGTGCGAAAGTGCGCAGGAGGATTCGATCCAATAAGGACGACGAGAATTAATCCACAATATCCCCAGCGTTGGCTGTGGGCCTTGTGGGTCATTCTCTGGCCAATATAAAAGTGCGCCCAAAGTGCGAAAGTGCGAACCTCCGAAGGTGCCAAAGCCCAGCTTAACAGTCTCGCTGTTTTAACTGCATCAGAGTGCGCATTCCGCTGTTCGCACTATAGCAGTCTCGCACTGAAGGTCTTTAGTGCTATCAATGGCGTCAGACCTGTCGAATGGTCGACTTGCGGTAAGGCGCTTTGCTGATCTGGATTACCATGCTGAGTCTTGCAGTGCACCCATTGCCGCCGCAGAAAGGTAGCTTTAACTATGGCTGTCAGGTAATTATGTTGACTCTGTAGGTCCGGTGTAATCGCGCCCTACCGTCCTGCGAGCGATGTCTACTCCATCAGTTTCAGTGCTCCTATCCCAATAGACAGCGCAGAACCACTCGTAAAACAGTTCAGACGCAGTACGTCCATTCCTTGATTTAATTCATCAGCTAACAGTTTGAGCAGAGAACAGCATGCTGTGTTACCACCTCTGATAGAGCGACTTCGTGCTGAACAAGCTGAGAACGTATCCGACGCCCGAGACACTATTGACAACCCGGACAGAGACGGATCCTCTGGTCCAAGAGCTGGGTCTCCTGCGTCGCGAGGCGTCAATGTACCTCTAAATGAGACCACATTGGACGTCACATCGATCCTGAGCTCCGCCGTCGACAAAGTCCAGCAACTCAGAAAAAAGCATCGCTTCGGAGTCAGAGCACTAACCCTGGAACCCATCACCATCTCGCCAGAACGAGCAAAGCAATGGATCTACCGTAAGCTATCGGCGGGAAACATGAATTGCAGACATTAACAGGCATAGACTACTTCACCAACATCGAAGGCAAGCTGCTACCTGCTTTGGTGGACCGTAAGCTCATCGATATCATGCCCGATCTTATTGACATGGACCATGTGCATATCGACCCCTGCATGCTCATAATCTACTACTGCATTCTCTGGCAAGGACTATTCTTCCATAAAGGAAGTCCCTTCATCGGCATCGACAACCATGATGCAAGACAGGTTTTTATATGCTGCAAACGCACAATCCCAATCTGGCAGCGAGAAGCCACAGGCACCGTCACCGACTTTATTGCAGCCATGTACATGGTATTTCACTCGATCTATTATTGCAAATACATACTAATAAACAGACCCAAACTGCAACGGAAAACTTCGACTTCGGCCTCTCCTGGGAAATGCACAAACTCGCCTGCGAATACGCCCAAACACTGCAAATGCACAGTCTTGACAGCCTCGACCACCACCCAGGCGGCCTCTCAATGAGCGACCACGACCGGATGGGCATGTGGTGGCTGATCCACCTAGATCTATTCGCGCGGCTGATCAACGACAAACCAGCCGTATTCTCGTCGCAGCTCAACGAGTGGAGGGTGAACATGCCGCGCCTTGCAGCGGAGTTCTCGCAGCGCAATGGGGCAGTGCCAACGATGGCGTTTCTCGTTCGAAGTCGGCTTACGTTTATTCTGATTAGCTACTTTCAAGCGTCGGAGGCGCTGAATGACGAGTCGGATATACAGGCGGCGATTACTCCGCTGTGTGAGGATGTCGAGGGGATATTCGAGGAGTGGAAAATGGTACCGACTCCTCCTCTATACATAGCACTTTAACTGATCTATATTTAGGAGGAATGGCTGCAGAGTTACAAAAATGACGATATCAATGGGTGGATCCTGAGTGACCTGGCATTATCTGGATACACCTGCATCCTCTTCATGCTGCGCAAAGCATCTCTCCCGCAAAGTAGCGAGCACAAGGCCATGCTCTCAGACAACGACGAGATGATTCCCCGAAGCGAGCTGTCGATGCGGACATCGAGGAAGGTGCTCAAACTCGTGCACCACATGATTCATGTTGTAACCCTGCCTGGGCCGGAGGCGATGTCGCTCATTCTGGGAACATATCGGGCGTATATTGCGCATGCTCATCTGGCGAGTGGCCTTATTCATGACCCGGCTGCACCTACAGTGGATGATGACATGGGCCTTTTGCTAGAGGTTGCAGAATGTATAGAAGGGCTGGCCAGGGAAGTGAATGAATTTGTCCCTCTAGCAGGGGCTTTCAAGATGGTTAACAACGAAGTAAGAAGAAAGGTACAGGAGGCATCAGACGAAATTGATGGAGATATACATTAATTCCATTAAACGAGCCCCGGCAATTACTCCGAATCTAGTAAATAGTTATCTTCCTCCAATAAACACCGTACTATATAAACCACCCCCGCACGCAATCAGCAGCTCTCCTTCCTCACGATGACATTCCAGTTATTCCTATTGAACGCCTGCCCACTAACCGTCCTCGCTTCGCCAAATGGGCTTGACATGCACTGGTTCAGGATAGCCATGGCCCCATCGGCAATGTTCGCGAAACTGGTGAGACTCTTCGTAAACGGATCCTACAACCATTAGCACACCACCCTAACATCCTTGGAAGAAAAAAAAAAAAAAAAAAAAAAAAAAAAAAAAAAAAAAAAAAAAAAACATACATCATTACACCACACAACAGCAGTGTTATAGGCACAGCTCACGCGCGTACAAGCCCCACGCCCAGGCCCATTTGTTGGCTTCCCGCCGACGCCGTACAGATACTGGACCCGTTTCAGGGCCTCCATCCACTCAACACTCTCGAACCGGCCGCAGTCTATCTGGGTAGCGTGGAAGTCTTGGGCTTTGCGCTTCACGTTCACGGATTTCCCGGTTTTGGAGGTGGTGTCACGGTTGACGTGGTCGTTGTCGTTGTCGTCGTCATAGTCGATGGCCGCATGTAGGTAGTCCCTCTCCCAGTTGGGATTCTGCTTCACGGCTTCGTCTATGACATCTTCGAGCGTTCCCCTGACCGTGATGGTTTTGTTGCGAAGGACTTCCACCTGCCACTCGAGGGGAGGTGGGGGGTGAGGGGGCGAGGGCGCGACGAAGTAATGCGGGTGGACGGTTCGTTCCTTGATGGGGGTCGCGTTTCCCTGGAGGATATTAGAATTGACATTCCAGAGATTCTATACAGGTTGAATATACCACAGAGAAGGACAGGGACAGGAGCCCGAACAGGATTGCCGCCTTCATGATATCAGGTGTTGTTTGTTGTCTTGGTGGCTTGACGTTAACTTGTCAGTAGAACCAGCTTCTGAATTTGTATAGTAAAGAAAGTATGAAGCGGAGGTAGGTTTCACCAGGCCACGTCCTCAATCTATCTATATATACACCCAAACAACATCTCAAACACATCCACATTGAAAGAAAGAAGCGCCAACATCCAAAAGCGGCTACACAGCCTCGTCGCAGGCACGCATTATGCCGATCTGCACATGGCCCGATACAGCCTATTGAGAACTTATTGAAACCTTATTGAGGGTCTATTCCGGTCTTATTGAGAAATGCTTATTGAGACTTTCGCATTGTATCGCGGCGCTTAATTCTGCGCCAATGCAGGCCAACAAAGCGGCGTTACACCGGCTATGTCGATATAAAGAGAGCCGCATATCTTTATCTCCAGACGCCACGAGGCACGTCCATCGGTGATTGAACGAAGATACATCTAGGCTCAGGTACCGTTACACACTGCTATCCTGGTATGTGGCGGATCTGCGGTCGGGCAATGCCAACAAGCCACGGTAGAATGGCTCTATACAAAACGCAGCGTAGGAAGGTCCCTCTAATGTACCATCAACAGTTCCTATTGGGTTATTTGAGGCTCTCTGTTGGACTGTCCTGTTTAATCTCATGGGATATTCCAAACTCCTTATCTCGAGATTCATCTTACTCGACAAGCTGATCACCCTCGTATGTATCTAAAGCCTTGTCTCTCCAAGCTTCCCATTCCAAGTCCCCGTCAATATGCGACGCCTTCCGTAGACCCTGGAAAAGGCCTTGAAACCCATCCCAATCAGCTATATCATAACCACAGCAGAATTCAAGCCGATGAAGTATCCGCCCCTGCCTGACAACATCAGCCAGATCTTCATGTCCCTTATCTTCAAGTAACTGGGCAAAAACCAGCTTATCCTCACCCACCTTGTTTGCTCCGTTATAGAACTGAGCAACGGGAAGAAGCATTACCGGGGTGTTAAAAGCTGCGGACTTTGCATCCGTATGAGCCCATTCCTAATCCATAATTCCTGTGATATTATACTCGTCATTAATAAGAATGTGGTCTCCTTTACTATCTGCATGTTTGAGGTAAAATCGGCCGTCGTCAGAGTGGCTATGGACGAGGTATTTCTCGGAAACATAGTCCAGGAGAAAGCGATGGATTAAGTAGGCATCGACTGCTCGCGGAGTGAAGCACTCTTCCCGCATGATTAGATCTATTGTTAACTGCTGCAACTCGATATATATATCTGCTAGCTGGCTCATGACTTTCCTTCTCTGCTCGATCTCGAGAAGAGACCAGCGAAGCGACTGACTAGGCATTTTCTATATCAGGATATAACCAACGCCTATATGGTTATTTTTATCAAGGCTATGATCAAAGACCTTGGGAGCAGGAACGTTTATCTTGCCCAGGAATTGCAGCGTCGCAACCTCACTGGACATAATATAAGCCCGTAGGTCCGGTGGCGGCAAATTCGCATTCAGTCTTCGAATACGTGCGAGCCAGCGAATTCCATCCTGGAACTGGATTTCGATATGGTAGTTCATGGCACCCATCACCGAGGAGCGCGTCAGCCGATTATACTGGAGGGGTCAGGTCGTATAGCTCGGAATACCATTACGCAAGGAACTGGCTCTGAGAGGGAAGGGCAGTGATAGGGGATGCCTGGAAGAGCTAATAATCCACGGCAGACTATACGAGATGAGACAATTCAGGATCAATAATACGGTGTGCTCCTTCAGGCCTCCATGCAGCTGAAACTAAATATAGCCAAGACAGAATAAGGCCGACTGATATCGTCAGCTGAAGATGAGAAGGAGGAGGATGCTATTTTAACAGCTGGATTCGACAGGTCTCAAACTCTCTCTGTGCAGGACGAGAGAAGAAACGCAGCGAATGGTTCCTGGCGAAGAAAAAGACACAAACAGCAGGGATCGTCTTAGTGGAGAGCCAGCGGCGAATGGGGCTGCTTTGCGTCTAGTGCTGAGATCATCGGCCCATGGATGTCTCAGTCCTGATGAGAACTGGAAAACCTGCACTTGCTGGTATAAAGGGGCTCTCAGCCTGACTTTTGAAAGCATCCACTCGCTCACACATCTTGATCAAAATGAAGCTCGCCATTCTCGCCTCCTTCGCAGCCACCGCGCTCGCCCAGAACGCCTTCGTCTACCTCCCCAACGGCGACCAGCTCAAGGCCGGCAGCGACGTCGTCGTGCAAGTCACTCGTCCTGTAAGGCATCTTATCAACCGAACAAGCTCGAACTAACAATATAGAACTCCCTCACCGGCTCGACCGAGATTGGCGTCGCCATTGGCGTGCAGTCATGCCCGTCGTCCGCCTGCCGCGTCGACACCATCGGCACCACGCTCTTCGCCGGCGAGTTCAAGCCTGAATACCACGGCCAAACCGGCGGTGGCCAGCCCTACCAGAACTACACCGTCACTATCCCCGAGGAGACCGCCAAGGGCCGCGCTTTCATCGAGGTGGCTCATGCCACCATTGTCGGTGTACGTACCTATGTGATATATATTACGAGATGCAGCTAACTTGTTTAATAGGCGAGCACTTGGCCTCTTTTGGAGCTGATTAATGCCACTGCGACTATTGTTTAGACTATAGATTATTGAGTGGTGGGTTGAGAGACCGATGGATGGTGTTGGATATAGCTAGACACTGTTTGCTGTACATTGTCGGTGTGAATATAACTACGGACATATCATGGATGAATGGTAATTAAGGAACTACTTCTGCATGTTTCGTCATATCAACTGCCGTACTGGAAAGAGGCTATTTGTGTGAAACCGCCAGTCGCGCTTTCCTGATACTCGCTTTCCTATTTAAGCAGGAACGACCAGGTAGCACCTTCCGGTTTGGTATTCTTAGACTAGATAGTAGGTGCGATGTCGGCTGTTCATATCTGCGCCAATGGTATCCAATTAATACTATAAACTAACCCATTATCTAGTCCCTGTCCACTCCATCAAGGATACTGCATCCCCTGCGTCTTCTTATACCCCGTCGCCTCGACCTCCCCAACCTTAATCCTAGCAGCCTCCTTCTCCGCTTGCACGAGCGTACAGCACGGACACCAGAAACTGGCCAGGCAGTCCTCGACCAGTGCCTCCTCGACCCCGTGCTTCTTCTTGATATCGCCCTTTTCCATCTTCAGGATCTCCTCGAGGTGCGTCTCGCTGATGCCGAGTTTCTGGCGCATCTCGTCGCGCTTTTTGGTCATGATCAGGAAGCTTGCGGCGAAGCAGTTGAGGCCGCAGAAGATTAGGCACTACACCACAAACATGGTTAGAGGGTAGAACATGAATTAGGGGGGGAAAGACGAACGTTGTCGTTGATGGGGCTGTAGTTTGCCAGGGTTGGGTCTTCGAGGCGTGCTTGGGTTTTGCCGAAGAGGAAGCATGGGCAGCACCATGCCATCATGCCTGTGAAATTAGTATTTACCAGTTGCAGTATAGAAGGACATACAGGTATCGATAGGGGTCCAGAACTGCCAGAAGGAGTACGCCCAGTTCCGGCCTGAGGCCAGAGGTGTGTTGCTCGATTCAGCCATGATGAAGTATGAATTACGAAGTATGAAGTACAATAACGAGAAAAATAGTAGAGAGTGACTGAAGAAAAAAGAATGAATGAATGAAGAAGAAGAACAGAACAGAACGGACAGCACCGCAGTCCAGCAATTTATAACATTCATAATTGTCCAGCAGCATTCTCTATGAATGAGGCTCGTATTAAAAATAGGCTCGTATCATAATAGCCAGCGAAAATCCTTCCCACAATCAAACGGTCAAGAACAGCCTCCCTCGTATCAAACGATAATCCTCGTATAGCGGTCCAGCCCACACGAGCTCTGACAGCCACCGGTCTTCATCATCGAATCGGCGTGCTCCCTCCTGAGCCCTTTCGAGCTATCACTTTGCTGTCCCTGAATATCAACGCGCAGGATGGTACGAGGCTTGCTGAACGGGGTTAGCCTTGCTGGTTGGGCCTGATCTGGGCCTGGCCGTGCATCCTTTATGCACGAGATAGGGGTTGGAGAAGGAATAACATGGCAGTTCGCATTTTGTATCTTCGGAATAATATGGCAGTTAGCGTTAGTAATAATATGTTGACAGACAGCATAACCCTTATACTATACTTGTTGTTGTCTACCTCGGCTATAACCATAAACTCCGTTCAGGACGCCTAAAGATCAAGTCCCCCACTTGCCCCTCATCCAGCTCTCCTCCAGCTCTCTGCATCTTCATCTCTCCTCACCCATTACTACCAAACAATCCAACATGCCCAACCAATTCACCGTCGCCATAATCGGCGGCGGCATGGGCGGTCTCAGCCTCGCCATCGGCCTCCTCCGCCGCTCCATCCCAGTAACAATCTACGAAGCCGCCTCAGCATTCGGCGAAGTCGGACTAGGCCTGACAATCGGCCCCGCCGCGCACCGCGCGATGCCACTGATCGATCCCAAAATCCGCGAAATCTACGACGCGCTCATTACGACGCATGCCGATAGTCCCGGGTATGAGCGCTTCAGGGAGACGTGGTTTGAGGTTGTTTGGGCCACGGGCGAGAAGGAGGGCGAGGTGATGCTTGATTTGAAGGCGTTGCCGAGTGGGCAGACGACGGTGCGTAGGGCAGATTTTCTGCATGCGCTGGTTAAGCTTGTTCCGGAGGGGGTGGCGAGGTTTGGGAAGAGACTGGAGGGGTTGGAAGAGATTGACCAAGGTAATGGTGGGATACGGATGAGCTTTGCGGATGGGAGTCAGGCTGAGGCGTCTGTGGTGATCGGGTGCGATGGTATTCACTCGCGGGTGAAGCAGTTTGTTCTGGATGAAGAGGAATATGCGCGTACTCAGCCTAGATACAGCGGGATGTATGGCTACCGGGGAGTGCTGGATATGGAGACCATGATTGAAGCCGTTGGCGAAGACCGCGCACGGGTCTCGACGATGTATATCGGCGACGGCGCATACGCGGTAACGTATCCGATTATGCGCGCGAAGAAGGTCAACTGTGGTATTTATCCGCTGAATTCAGACTGGGATCAGGAGAGTTGGAAGCGGCCGGCGAGGAAGGAGGATATGCGGAGGGACTTTGCCCATATGGGGCGGCATATCAACAGTTTGATTGAAGTATTTTCCCCCCTCGTTTCTAGTTAAGTTAACATGCTAATGTAATGTAGCACATGCCTGATCCCTCGCAGTGGGCGATCTTCGAGCATCCACATATCTCGACGTATGCGCGGTCCAGGGTGGCTATTCTGGGCGATGCAGCGCATGCGTCTACACCACATCAAGGCGCAGGTGCCGGACAGGCCATTGAAGACGCGCATGTTCTTGCTGAACTGTTAGCCGATCCGCGCGTCGTTAATGCTGAGCACGCTGTAGCGGCATTAAAAGCATACGATGTGGTACGGCGGCCGCGGAGTCAGAGGGTCGTCACAACCAGTGGGGAAGCTGCGCATCTACTCTGTCTACGCCTAGAGGGGGTTGGAGCCGACGAGGAGAAGCTGAAGAAGACACTGCAAGAGCGGTTAAAGTGGCTTTGGGACTTGGATGTACAGGACCAGGTGGAGAGAGCCAGGGGTATCATGGTTGAAGAGATAGAACGAAAATGACAACATATAGATATGCATAGCGATACCTAGTTTAACTACACGATAGTAATCTTTCCATCCCCAATCGCAATATCAGCAATCCACATCCCCCGTCCACTACCAATATCCTGCCCATTATTGAACGCATGGAAGACGATCCTCCCCGCGTCCAAGAAATCCGCACCACCAGGCCCTCCCAAATTCCCATCACTCCCTGCATCCCCACTAACAAGCAGCGGCGCATCCGGGTCTTTAGCCTTGGTATACGGCCCTGCAACGGCCGGCGCCGTCGCATAACTCACATCATAGTTCAGACTATCATACATATTCGACGAGAACATCAAATAATACGTACCATCCACCTTAAGCAGACTAGGCGCCTCAATCAACGGGCCATCCTCGTCATCCCTATCCAGGATCGGAACAGGATCCCCATCAAGGCCCAGCCCATCACCCTGCAGCTTCTGCAGCATCAACGGCGTAGAATCCAGGCCTAGACTGTTCCCGTCGACCTTGTAAACGACGTAGCGCGTGCCGTCCTCATCTTGGAATCCCATCGGGTCGATGGCGCCGCCTTGGTCCGTGTGGCAGGCGATGGGGTCCGCTTCGGGCGTGTAGGGCCCTTCGATGGAGGAGGACGTTGCAGCGGCGACGCAGTGCCTGTTTCCGTTTGTGCCGGAAATAGCCGAGTAGTACATGATGAATGTATCATCCTGGTAAGTAGTTAGCGGTGCGTCACGGGTGATGTTTCAGGACTGTTTCGCATGGGTAAGGAGGGTAAGGGTAGGTAGGGGGTGCGTACGCGTTGGATGACATCCGGCGCCCAGATCTGCGGGTCGTCCTGGTTCACCCACTCCGGGAATGGGCCTGGCATGGCATCTGTGCCTTCGAGGAGAGACCAGGTCGTGAAGTCGTCGGAGCGGGCGACTTGGACGCGGACGCCATTGCCCTGGGTGGCGAAGGCGTAGTAGCCCTGGTCTGTTTGGAGGACGGCTGGGTCGGGGAAGTCGGTGTTGAGGACGTGGGTGGGCAGAGCCAGGGCAGGGCCTGCTGCTAGGAGGAGAGTAACCAGCTGTGAAGGCATTGTGATTGAACTGAATGTCGACACTGTTTGAGTACGGAGACATCTGCAGGCTTTATAGCTGGTTCCTGGCTCGCAGTCACGTCTTGCACTCCGGTGACAAGTTTCAGCTCGCACTTCTGCAAGACTGCAACAAGGCGAGCTTCAGCGGCTCAGCATTCCAGAGCTTAATTCACGATCTTCCATTGGCGTAGCTCAGCCCATGTCTGAATCGGGAAGAATGTGTCGATCGCGCAGTCATTGGTGTTTGTGGAGGATCGTCGTCTCGCACTTCGACAGCCACCGACGATCGTCGCTTGAGCACGCAGTGCATGTTTGATGGTGTAAGATGCGCGAGGTTGGACAATGTGTAGAGAAAGGACGACCAGCCGTGGATACACCGAGGAATTCACCATCTGCAGACATGACCTGGCCCTATAATCTTGTCAATCCTGTGAAATCGAGCACATTCAAACCTATTCAGGATAAGATGCCAGATAGGACGCCTAATCGGCATCTCGCTGAAGAGTTGGGGGCTAACGGCGCAGCTCGCACTCGATAATCTTTCCCTATTGGGCTGTGCAGAAACTGATCGATATACGACATCAACTCCTGCCAGATCCCTGCAGCGAGAGCTGGAGTTGGCAGTGGACGTTGGATGCAAGGCAAGATCTTGTTCATTGAAAGGTGTGCCCTGAAGTACGGCTGTTGGGCCTTATTGAATTGGCTTGCAAGGTGGCTTCCATTATCTGGTTGAGTATACCGACATAAACCTACAGACAGGGAAACAAACTACTGCGCCACCTCCTGAGGATTCAGCACCAGCTTCTTCGAAGCCTTTCCATCCAATACATCCCCACAGGCCTGTTGGATGGCAGCCAGTCCTCCAGGCCGCTTTTCCAACGGTGTAGGCGTAACACCCCCATCAAGAGCCTTGGAGAGATATCCATAATACCACTTCGAAAACTCTGCATTCTCCGGCTTCTGGGTGGTCATACTGTATGCATCATATTCTAGGGTGACATTATCTGCCAGATTCATATCGTCCGTCTTGCCCCGAGTGGATGCAAACGTGCCGCCCTTTGGCTGGAGCAGCTCGCTGATGGCGTTGGCACTCTTTGCGTCCCCAGAGGCACTCATAGCAAAGTCATACGGCCCCAGCTGCTTCAGTTTCGACACAGCGTCTGAGTCTTTGTAGTCGACCACCTCTGAAGCGCCGAGACTGCGCACGTAGTCGAACTTGGCAGTCGAGGCTGTTGCTATCACGGTATACCCGACCTGCTGCTCGTTAATTTCCATAGCTCCAGTGGGATGGGAAGCATACACTAGAAGCATACTGCACCGCATAACCCCCAACACTCCCACTCGCTCCCCAGATCAACACCTTCCCCTGTTTATTATCCCCGGGCTTCCCAATCCCCAATTTCAAATTCAGCGCAGCAACCGCCGTCAATAGCGCAAACGGAATCGCAACCGCATCCTCAAACGAGGCACGTTCCGGAATCCCCGCCGTGGTCCCCTCCTTGCTCACGACGTATTTCTGCCACCCGCCGTACTTGGTGTCTTTGAGGTGGTACGTCGGTGTATCTGAGACGACGCGGTCGCCGATCTTGAACCCCGCTACGGCCGACCCGACTTCTTCTACGGTGCCTGCGACGCTGGTTCCGAGGATCATGGGGTAGGGTACGTCCATGTATGCTTTTGCGCGGATGTTGGCGTCCAGGGGCTGGATTGCGATGGCATGATTCTGTTTGCGTTAGCAGACTTAGCATAATGGGAGAAAAGGCACTGTCATGGGAGCGACACCTTGATAACGACTTCATCGAGGGCGGGCATGTGGTATGGAGCAGCCAGGACTTTCAGATCGCCCTTTGGCTCTGTGCTCCAGGCGGCGCTATTCATTGGAGACATTATTCCGCTATTCTTTTTTGATTGTGCTGGTTAACTATTTTCAAAAGGGCAGATAGTTGCGAATATGTAGTCGGCTGCCATGACGTCAGGACAGCCTACAATACGAGACCAAGATTGATAATGATAAGTAATGCGAGATCCGTGTCGATCTGAGTCAGATCTTATTCAATGTTGACTGAATACTTGTGGTATGATATTGTAGAGCTAGCTATGACGCCTACACAGCCTGTTCCCCACATCCAGATACCACATCCGATGTCTTCTACAGCTGTGATTGCCTACCACATGGAGCTCGTCTGGCTGAGGGAACTATAATGATTATGAAGTTATCCTTACGTCTGTTCATGATGAATCCCCCGGTCCATAGATATAAACCTGTAGAAGCCAGCGTCTATTCCGACGTCCAACTACAACTATCCAACTCTGATATACTACTAAAATGCCTCCCGCCTACAAACGCCTCAACTCCGAAGACTGCGTCTTCCTCTTCGTCGACCACCAGGCAAGCCCCGAGGCCCAATCCTATCCAGGCGTACTAACAAGATCCAGGCCGGCCTCATCCAGCTCGTCCGCGACTTCGAACCGCACGAGTTCCGCACAAACACCCTGGGCCTAGTCAAGGTCGCGCAGTACTACGGCGCGCCCTCGATCCTGACCACATCCTTCGACACAGGCCCCAACGGCCCAATCGCAAAGGAGATCCAAGAGGCGCTGCCCAATGCGCCTCTAATCCGGCGCCCGGGCCAAATCAACGCGATGGACAACGAGGATTTCGCCAATGCCGTCAAGGCGACCGGGAAGAAGCAGGTTGTTATCAGGTGTGTCCAAGTATCCTACCCACTTACCGCCCGGTCGGTGGTGTCTTCAAGAGCAGAGCTGATATATTTTTCAATAGTGGAGTGTTGACCGAAATCTGCGTCGCATTCCCCGCGCTCTCGCTCATCGAGCAGGGCTACGACGTCTTCGTCGCGACCGATGCGAGCGGCACCTTCGCCGAGCATACCAGGGAGGCAGCGCATAAGCGCATGGCGGCGGCGGGGTGCCAGCTGCTGAATTGGGCGGCGATAGCGGGCGAGCTGCACCGCGACTGGCGTAGAGATATCGAGGGCTTTGGCAAGATCTGGACGGACCATATTCCTGGGTATTGGTGCTTGATGCAGAGTTACCAGACGGCGGGGGAGAATGCGAAGCAGTGAGTGTCCTGACAAAACAACCAGGAAAGGGTATCTATTTCTGGAACGGGAGCTATCAAGCGAACCGTGGTTTTAACCGTGTGTTCATGTTCATATTCAAGGCAAGAATGGTGATCGCCGAATTTTTGCAGTCGTAAAGTGGAGGCCTCGGTGGGTGTGCGAGTCGGGCGCGACCACATTAGTATTATCTCGCTGCACTGACAGCAATGTCGCGCGGGTATCCTAATTTAGTAAAATTCAGAATCGCTTTAGCTTCTCCAAATCAGGGGCCGATCGGATATGTGTATCACAGAGCCATGAAACGAGGCCCCGTGGTACCGGTACCTGCATGCGCGGGGAATGAATCGACACCACGCCGCACCAACAGAACTCGATGCAATGAAGAATGTCAGTGGCCGATGGGTCGGACCCCAGAGGGAACAGACCACAGACCACAGAGAACAGAGAGAGAGTGGGGATCATATGTAAATCGAGCAAGCTCGGCCAGAACGTGTCCCTGTGAAAACGCGGGGGAGACCGAGGCTTCCCTGTCCATATTAGGGCACGGCCACCCACGAGGGTATTTATTATTATCCCCCCTCTGTCTGGAAATCCACGTCCATTCATTTATTGTATTGCTAACTGTATCATCATGACTGTCGCCCCTACCACCGGCTACGTGGGCAGCCTCACGCCCAAAGAGGAGGCCTCCCTGCGCGAGATGTGGACGCTGCTCTTCACCACCGTCACCTCGCTGCTCTCGTCCGTATACGACGTGAAACTCCCCGAGAGCTCGCCAAACGACATCTTCAAGCTGCTCGACAAAATCACCGAGCCCTCCATCGACGGCATCCTAGCCGTCCTCAAGAACCCCCCCGCCGCCAACGGCGACACAGCCTCAGCACCCAACGGCGACCACAGCACCACAATCGAAGCATCCCTCGACAAGATGAAGGAACTCGCCGCCAAAGCCAACGGCAAGGAAATCCTCGACCAGCTGTCCAAGGAAAAACTCACCCAGCCTCAACTCAGCGGCCTGCTCTCACACCTCCGCAAGAACCACGTCAACGAGTCGGAGGTCAAAACCATCGAGAAGATCCTGCTCGCCATGTCCCCAGGCGAGATGATCTTCACCCTGCTCAAGCTGGTGAAGCAGGAACACCCGGATGCTCTGCTTCTGCGGTTCCTGCGCGCGCGCAAGTGGGACGTCCCCAAGGCGTTTGGCATGATGGCCAATGCTATTCTCTGGCGGCAGAAGATGCAGGTCGACGACGATATTGTGCCTAAGGGTGAGCTGCATGCTTGGGAGCAGTCGCGCGATAAGAAGCTGAGCGCGGCCGAGCAGAAGGCGGGCAAGGACTTTATTTCGCAGTTGGAGATGGGCAAGAGTTACCTGCATGGTCTGGACCGGGAGGGCCGGCCTGTCAATGTCGTACGAGTGCGTCTGCATAAACCTGGTGCGCAGTCTCAAGAGGCGCTGGAGCGGTATATCGTGCATGTTATCGAGTCGACGAGGATCCTGGTTGCTCCTCCAGTGGAGACGGGGGTATGTTCTTCCAAATAGGGACTGGATTATACTAACTTTACCAGACAATCCTGTTCGACATGACTGGATTCGGACTTGGAAATATGGAGTATTCCCCCGTCAAGTTCATCATCCAGTGCTTCGAGGCCAACTACCCTGAATCGCTCGGCCGACTGCTCATCCACAACGCCCCGTGGATCTTCTCAGGTACGCCAATACTCCCAAGTACATGGACTCAGCTAACAGAATAGGAATCTGGAAAATCATCCACGGCTGGATGGACCCCGTCGTGGCCTCAAAAGTCCAATTCACCAAGAACATCAACGACCTCGACAAGTTCATCCCGCGCGCCCACATCCCCAAAGAACTCGGTGGCGACCAGGACTTCGAATACAAATACATCGAGCCCCCAGCCGACGAGAACAAGGCTATGGAAGATAAAGAGAAGGGCAACGCCGTGATGATCGAGCGCATGATGATCGGGCTGCAGCTTGTCGCTGCCACGGCGGCGTGGGTGTCTGCTGCAGACTCGGCGAAGAGCCAGGAGGAGAAGGAAGCCGTTGAGTTATTGAAGAAGCGCAGGGATACGGTGATTGAGGAGTTTAGACTGAATTACTGGAAGGTGGATCCGTATGTGCGTGCGAGGGCGCTGGTGGACCGGACGGGGGCGGTGTCGCCGGATGGCACTGTGAATAATTTTTAGGAGTTTAGGTTCATTTAAATTCAATATTCATTGTAAAGTTTTAACTATGATAGTATCCAGGCAGCTATTTCTCAGGACACGGATGGTAGTACACGCTCACATACACCCCGGTCCTCTCCGAATACGCAAACGAGATCCAAAAGACCAGATGCGACGTCTTGGACAGGTCATAATCGGGACTAAAAGTATTAGCAACGCCTAAAATATAACAGGGGTTGGACATACTAGAAAGATTCCACAGTACTGCGATAAGAAGCAGCCAGCTCCGTCCAACCCAGCATCCTAAAGAAGCGCGCGATCTTCTCAACACAGACCAAATCATTCAGTCCCTGCAATGGAAAATACGCCTTCCCATACGGAAGGGGATTCCCAGGCGTAAGCTCATAATTCCACAACATTGGCGCTGAATTCTCCGGAACCTGGGGCGCATCCGCAGGGAGGTCCCTCTTGCCTGCAAGTCGAAGGTCAATCACATCCCAGAGCTTACGAAGCCAGAACAACCCCTCCATATGCGCAGGGCCTGTTGCACGGTTATTCAATGTCCACAGCTCCTCAAGCTTGCTGTCCGACACATCCATGACGAACGTGTAGAACTTGAAGCGCGACTTTGCCGGGTCGATATAGTCCCACGCCCATAGGTTGTGGTAGCCCCAGCCGTTGGTTTCGGTGATATATTCGGCCAGCTTGGACCAGGCGTCGACGCAGTCCATTTTGCCTTGGGCCTTGAGGTCGGTCACGGAGACGGTGAGAAGTTGTTTGATGTCTTGCCCTGACATGTGTGCTTTCAGGCCGGGGTAGGTGTATCCTTTGACTGTGATGCCAGTGTCTTTCAGGTCGAAACCCATGGCATGCTGTGTTCTCAGCTTTGCGCCGCCGGGGACGGAGGTCGGGAGGCGGATCTGTTCGTCTCGAGTTAGGGTATGCTTTGGCTCGAAGTAGCCATACAGCTGGGGGTCAAAGCCATTGAGGGCTATTCTAGCCAGGTGAGACACCATAAGGGCAGGCGGAGCCTGGTTGAACGGGTCTCTGTCTGTGCCGGAAAACGAGTCAACAGGCTCAGCACCAATTCGTACGGTAGGATGGCCTCCATGCTCTTGGTAATTCACGCTGAACTCCATTGGCAGCCCGGTGACTGTGATGCTCGAATGGAAAGTCGCAGGACAGGGACCAAGACGGGGAATCAGCTGGTTGTGGTAGAATGTGAGGAATTGATACTGCTGCTCAGCAGTATATCCTGTAGTCGACAACAGTCTTCCAACAAGCGGACCTGTCCTCCGCCACCACTGGTCTTGGTCATTCGAAGGGAAAGTCAGGTACGTGCTGAGGACGTCGAACGGCGACATCGAATTATTCGTTTTGGTCGCTGGACTGGAATCGCTAGGAACATCCGACGGGACAAGCAGAGTCATTATGCTATGGTTTCAACGGAAGAAGTATTTCAGAGTTTATTCAGGGCAAATTATGGCAGTGGACGACAATAACCAGAAAGCCTGCAGGACGGCCAGATATATGGCTGCATTCCAATCCCGACTGCCCCCCTCACGACCTACTAGGCTACCAGGCTACCCCCCGCGCATTTCTTTTCGGTCTGCATGCTGGATGTGTACCTTTCAGTCACATCGCCCGATAGGCTCTGCGTTCTCGAACCAGCAAGCCCCGAGAAGCGACAGGCTACGGTTTCCTCCCAAGAAGTGATTCAGAACATATCCAGACTTGAAATCAGCCACGCCTGGACCACCGACTGGCCGGCAGTTTCATACCGCATCTTTGGAATCCTTAGATGGCGGGACCATGGCGTTTGGACGTGTCGAAAATGTCAACAGGGTGGTGACGCAGGTTCGTACCTTGGGCCTTGTACGACGTCTGGGCAGTCGAATCAGAAGATGTCCTTCTGGCCTCATCGACGCCGGGTTCGTTTTCTACTGGCCATATTGTTAAGTGTTGTCCTACTTCGGATCTCGAGGAGAGGTCTTATTGGAATGGGTGGCCATCACCTGTTAAGAGATGGGACAGACAATTTCACCAAGGTTGCCGTAAAGCTGCCTTCTCGCTATGCAAATAGGGACGTTAACTAAGCCATTCTAGCTGTAATGAATTAAGGCATCACATCTCTTGGTTTCTGCACCTTATTAAACTATTCATTGGATTCTACTGTATCTCCTATCCGCAGCCTTGAGCAGCTACACACTCAATGAACTCTCACTAGTCTCCACCCCCTTCTCCTCCCCATCCTTAATGCCCTGCGCAGGCCTAAACTCCTGATCCATCGACGACCCTTTGACAAAAACACAAGAAAGTAATCCCAACCCCGCCGCACCACAAAGCACAAGCCAGACAATCCCAAGCGCATCCGCATACGCACTCTCCATCTCCCCACGCAGCGCATTCCGCGGCAGACCCTGGATATACTGCACCAGACCAGCGGCATCCTGCGTCCATGAATCAGCCATGCCCGCCAGGAGAGGTCGGGATAGGAATTCCTTGTGGATGCGGTTCTGGAAGACCACACCGCCGATTGCAACGCCGACTGTCTGGCCTAGGGTGCGGAAGAACGCAGCCATCGCTGCCGTGATGGAGATGAATTGTGGATCCGCGGATGCCTGCACTGCCAGCATCATTGAGGAAAAGAGCACGCCGAGACCGAAACCAGGCACGACGGTGATGAAGATCCATTGGGGGACGGTGGTGGCCGAGTCCAGAAGGTAGAGCAGGCCGAGGCCTAATGTAGATACGGACCAGCCGGACCATAACGCCCATCTGTATCTTCCAGTGACGGAAATCAGGATGCTGGTTACTGCTGATAGGGGCGCGATTGTTAATGTCAAGGGGAGTATTGCTGCGCCGGCGATGACGGCCTTGTATCCCAGGGCGCTTTCGTAGTAGAGGGGTAGGTAGTACAGCATGCACCAAAGGATGGCGCCGTGGAGGAGGCAGGCCAAGTAGTTAAAAACTATCGTACCGTGCTGGAAGATCTTCATAGGAATCAGAGGTCGCGAGGGAACTATCATCTCGTAAACAACAAAGACACCAAGACCTGCGACACCGACTATCAAGGGAACGAGTGTTCGCCATGAGCTCCAGGTGTACATAATACCTCCCCAGCTGAGGGGCACGAGGAACGACGTCAGAGAACCGGTGAATATCACGGCACCGCCAAAGTCAATTGCCTTGAGCCTATCCTTCAGCGGTGGGAATTCCTGCCGCAGGTTCATGAAAATGGGAATGAAGACCAGCCCAAGACCGCAGAAAGGCAGATTTAGCCAGAAGATCCAGCGCCAGGCAGACTCAGCTAAAGCACCACCGATAATAGGGCCGATGACGGTACCAAGAGACCAAGTTAGTGATCGAATACTCATCCACTTCCCACGTTGCCGAAGAGGTATAAGGTCTGCGATGAGGACCTCAGTCAGGGCAATAATGCCGCCGCCCCCGACACCCTGGATACAGCGGCCTACTAGCATCACTGAAAGACTATTGCATACTGCTGCAACGATAGACCCGACAGTGAACGCAACAACAGCGCCGAAGAGGGTCCATTTTCTCCCGAACAGGTCCGAGACCATACTGAACGTAGGTTGGAATACGGTCGAGGCGACAAGGAAGGAAGTTCCAGCCCAGAAGGCTTCGATGGCGGAGCCATCGAGGGCATCTGCGATTGTCTACACCAGTTAGCACCGTGATAAAGGCAGATAGTATATTGGACATACAGGAAGTGCAACAGACAGCGAAGTGGCATCAAGGGCCGCCGCAAAGTTGAGCAGCCCGATGACACCGAAAATGCACCATAGACGGAGGTCTGGCTTGAAAGCCTCAGTAGCTTCGTTCACCGACATGCTGAGCTATTGTACTAAAGGAGGCGAACTAGGTAAAAGAGGCCCCTTGCGATGGCCGCGAGTTGGTTCAGCAAAAGGCCTCACAGTGGGAAGGGAAATAGGGAAGTTATAGACCAGCGAGAACATATCCTACATTCACAAAACGACCCCTCCTTGACGATGGCCTCATAGATAGGCTTGGCTCGACGACAAGATTGCATCGGAGTTACTCTCGGCCAAACTCCTGCGATACATCGCTGGCCAAGTATGTAAACTCACAAATGAAGTGGGACTTGGCTGGTCATGCTCACAATGTCAGCGGGGCAGCAAGACGCGAAGGAAGAACAGAGTGAATCTGGCAGTGAAGCCAGCGAACGGTGGGGTTATTCCGGACTGGACATCCGGTCGATGCACTGGCCAGACGAGCCATATCACAGACTATGTCTACTCTCGAGTGAAGTGCAGCCAGCACACTACATACTCGCCACGTATTGTCCCACCCTTCGGTGTTCTCCTTGCGGGGAGAGGGTGAGATTTTTATATCCACACGAGGGAATAACAACACCATAAACGATGCAGGTCCTAAAAATGGTCAGGCCATCGTAACAGTGGTACTGTCCGTCCTGGCAGGCAAGGGCTGCGAGAGAGTGATTTGAAGTGATAAATAGGCGCCGGGTCCGCTGTACTGCATGCATTCTTTACAAGATGGATTATGGGACCTTACACTCTAGCGCCCAGCCATGGATTGGCCAGGGATTACTCGAATAAGCAGGAGATCGGGAAAATACGTACGATACTTTACTCTAACCACCGGTTCCTGGTCAGTGCGACCAGGGCCCACAACGCTGGGACACGCTGTTTGCTTGGCTGCGACACCGACATCGGGTAAATGTCAGCTGTGGGGGCATCTCCTTAATCAATACGAGACGTGCGATTTATATGATAAGTGCCGTTGTCGCCAGAGTTTTGGAGAACTGCACATTCGTTCCAGTTACCAACTACCGTCCTTCGTTCGCTATGCTGACCACAGCTCTCCTCCTGGCCACCGCTGGTACGGTGCAGGGTTATACCCTGGTCAACTCGGAGTACATCATGCGCAAGAACATCGACTCCATTGTCCAGCCCGGGAAGTATACCAGCCACATGCACAGCTTCTTTGGCAATGACGCGGTCAATCTGAATACTTCCACTACCGAAGAGCTGATGTCCGGCTGTGCCACCAACGACAACCCGAACGATCTCTCTGTTTACTGTACGTATTCCGTCGCCTTAAGGTGAAATATACTCACGCTGGACAGGGCACCCGACTCTGTACGCCAAAAACGACTCTGGCCTTGTCCCAATCGAGGCCCGGTACTTCAAGGCGTACTACAACGAGGTCGACAGCGCCGAGATCCCATTCCCCACTGACTTCAAAGCGGTCGCGGGCAACGCCAGCGCATCTACAGAGGACGAGCTGGACGAGCTCTGGACCATGAGCTGGTGGTGCGAGTACGGTCCCGAGACAACAGCGGACAGCAACGGCTGGCCCGACTCCGGATGTGAGATCGGTCGTCTGCAGACCCAGCTCCGGTTCCCTGACTGCGTGAACACGGACACCCTGGACACTGGCTACTCCAGCCGGGCATGGCTGCAGAATGACAACCGCTGCCCAGACGGCATGAAGCGCATCCCCCAGCTGCGGTTCTCCGTGCGCTTCGATACGTCCGAAGCCCTGCCCGACGGCTGGTCCGGCGAGGCGCCCCTGCAGCTTGCGAGTGGGAATGCGTACAGTTTCCATGGGGACTTTATCAATGGCTGGCTACCTGAGGCGGCCGAGACTATGCTGGAGGAAGCCAGTGATAAGAGGGAGTTCCAGACTGTCACTGGGCCCCGGACTGAGATGGCTGATTGTACCCCGGAGGATGTCGACCCTGACAATGGCACCAGTGACTACGAGGAGAGTCTTCGTATGATGGAGGCGTGATCTGTATTTTCTTGAATGCTCGTATTTACTTCACTACCTTGTGTATTAATATTCGCAGCGCGATTGTAACATAGTATAAGAACCTGATAAAACTTCTCGTGCTCTAGCACTGCCTGCCCGCCTCCTGGGGAATCAACTCTTTCGATCCCCATCACAATTCCTTTCCTGCATTCAGACATACAGGATAATTGTCTAAACCTAAGAAATCTCTGGAGCTAGACTACAATAGTGACAGCTCAATGACTACTGCTTATATATATTAACTTCTACTGGCCGTACATTGTAAGGATCGCAGGCTATATAAATATAGAGTAGCACGTGTTATTTTTCTACTTTTCTAATATTCAAGTATAAATAGCCTTGGATTTTCAAAACCCTACTACTAATATAATATAGCACACTACAGCATATCGATGCGAATAGGCCACAAGGAATGAGTGAACCCCGTCTGGCAGTGTGGCATAATGCTTCTTGCTTAACCTATGGGGAGCTATTGGTCGCAATCAACAGTCAAATGCACTGCACCAAAATAACAATGGAGCGAGACCTCGAAGCGGTAGTCCAAGAGCTGTAAGCGCCAGAATAGGGCCTTGATTCCACATATGTTTAAGCGGGTCCGTTCACTTCCTACAAGAGTCTTCCCTTGCAGCGCATATATCCACCCGCACCAGTACCGTACTTCAACGATCCACGAACCAGCATACGGGCGCTGGAACCCAAAGGACCTCAATTGCTTGGGCAGCATGTTAAGCCTCAACATGAATGGGCTTTCGCGCGTGGGAATAGAGTGGGGCTGTAGATGTCAGCATTTAGGGTGTCAGCAAGAACCATAGAACTCGTAGTGGGGTTGATCTAACATATATAACCAGGTCTCTATCAACTAACAGAGGATGTCAGTGGCTGGTTTGACTTGATGTCGGGGGATGTGGGTGTCGAGGACGCTGTTGAAGGTGTGGTAACGGACAAGATAGACTGTATCGAGGGGGAAGATGTGCAGGCGATGTATGCACTGGCGGACTAGAAGAATCATTATAGCTCTATGTACACCTTGGTCTCATGGCAGTTATTACTGATGGTATCTGTCACTCTTGCTCTATACTATATACACTTGCCAATGAACTCTATAATAAGAACGGAGATATTTAGCGAGACGGCAGCTTCTAGTGGCACACTAGCATGCTACACTAGATTATAAGAATACTCTGTAGATATTCATGACCTTAGTCTAAAGCAAGAACGTCCTGGACCTTGCTAACTCCGTCTCAGACAAGGCACCGACGCTGTTTAAATAAATTCGCCCATTATAATCACTTCAAGCCAATTATTGGACTAGCTGCTGTAGCCGAGTCAGCAATTAGCGTACTCAAGGCACCCCAATGGGGGGTTGGCGTCAGTAACAGATGAAGGGTAGCTAAAAGCTGGAAATGGTGGAGTTGCAAGCAAGCAATGGATCAGGAAGTCGTCAACAGCTTGTTATTCCAGATTGCAAACCTACGGCCAACTATGCCAGCTCTCGTGTAGATCCCGAAGATCCATTTCAGCCGCGTTCCTCTTCAGATACGACGTAATATCAAAGCACAGATCCCCTTCCCTGTGTGTGCGGCCATTGCCAAAAAAGGCAAACCGGTTCCCACTGCCCGAGGTATACTCGTACTCAAAGTCCTCCCAGCGGGGATTGCGACGAATCAATGCCAGATGCGAGGCACTGCCAGGCCAGGCGCCGTGGATCCGTCCCCCGGGACGTCCACCGTTTGCCCAGGAGCTGCAGTTCCCTGTCATGACAGTTGTGGGAAAGTACGCATCTGCGTAGGATATAAAGTCCTCCACAGCCCTGGAAGACGTCGTGATGGTCTTGATGCCTTCGCTAGACACCTTACGCAGGACTTTGGCGTAGTATGTGATTTGGCACTCGATGCTATGCACAAAGGTTCCGGCAATGCCGTTCGTGTGTACAGTGCCGACGAAGAGCAGGTTGGGGAACCCGGCACTCGCCATGCCAAGGTACGTCTTGGGGAAGCCAATTTCCCCGTCATGCTTCCAAGCTGTCTTGAGGTCAATAGAACAGCACCTTCAGCACCTTTATGGCACATTCTACAGCTTCAGCGCCTGCTCAATCAGAGCCAATAAACCTGCCCCACCACCACGGTTCGACGTCCAGTATGGCTGCAGAATATCCAACCCGTCTACTACACGCGCCCTCCAACCCGGCGGGATCTGAAGCTCCTGCGCGCCTGCAAGTCTTCTATCCCGCTGTGCTTTCTCCGCCGCTGCGAACCGCAGACAGGATCCCGTTAAGCTACGGAGGTGGAACCAAGTCCCGTGGTGGAGTCTCCTGCTTATCCCCTGGATTTTGAGGTATGAGAGGTGCAGGTTCTTGGATGCTAGTTCGGCTGCTTTGGTGCGGAGTGTGTCCAGCCCGCTGTCAATTCCGCTGTGGGGATCGGAATCCTGCAGGGCAAAGTCCGTGCAGATGCGCAGTAAGGGCCGGTACGTCAATTCTAGACTTGAAAGGTAGCGCTGCCGTAAGACTACCGTCATCAGGTCGTTTACTTCGGGCAGGTTCCAGTCCGCGGGGATGTCGAATTGGAGCCGAGGGGGCAGCGAGGAGCGCCATTCGTTGATCTGTGCCTCGAATAGGGTTGTCTGATGAATGATTCGCGCAATATCCACTGGCTGGATGTTGTCGAAGTCGTAAACATGGCAATCGAGGAGGTCGTTGATGATGTGCCGTGCGGCGATCTCTGCTAGGTAGTAGTACCAGCCGCTCTCGCTGTCGATGAGAGTTGTATCTTCAAAGTCTGGCGGTGATGGAAACGGGCGAAGGAGTTCGTAGTCGTCCAACACTGAAGGGGGCAGCGATAACTCAGGGCGCAGTTCGCTGGTTGGAAGTTGGTAAGCTTGACGAAAGCCTCAAGGCGAACTAACATACCACGTGGATTTCCAGATTGTGAACCCAAGAGCCTCGTGAATGTTGATAGAACCAGCAAGCTTTCTGTCCAGAGATTCGCGCAATGGTTTACTGCTTATACACGTTAACAACGCACATCCTTCTTTGAGATAGGTGATCCCTACTTCCGCATGACGGTGCAGAACCAGGCACTGGCCGCGTGGCTAAAGTACTTCCAAGCTTGAAGCGGTTGCAAATTGTGCATGTGCCATACTCTGACTTAGTTAGGAGTTGAGAAAACTGGAAAGTGGTGTGGCACTCGTACCCTGCTAGACACAGACATTGCACCGCCGTAATATCGTTGCGATCAAGGGCAAAGCCCAGGCGTTTCGATGCAACATTCCAGTAGCCGGCAGCCAGGTCGGGATCGCTATCGCATAAAGCCCCGTTGGGATCTGATACATTGAGAGACTCTGTAATGGCACCAATTGCACATACAAGTGCAGCGAGGCAGGACTCAAGCGACCAGTCAAATCCGCTTTCCGCCACCTGGAGGATCAAGTCGTGCAGGGTGGGAAGATCCAATATGGGATTCAAGAGGTGGACACTGTGGATATATCTCCATTCTAGGCCAGTAAGGAGCGTAATGTTGGTACTCGGCATCGAATGGTCGAGAGGGACCGGTGGATTGGCGTCGGGATATATGTCACTGGCTACAAGATGGGGCTGGAAGATGCGCCACTGCACGATGTTCTCAACTCTCTGGATTCGGTCGAGAGATACCGCCAGCTTGGACTTTGCCACAAATGGACCTTGAGCAGGAGAGTGCGCAAGTGCCGTTCCGTGGGGAGCTGAATGTATAATATCCGCTGTGGGAGAGGGCTCGTTGCCATCAGCCAACAACCGCGCAGTCGGCGGCTTGGTGACGATCTCTCGAAGCTCATTGAGGGCCTGTAGAACTTCACGCCCGAAGACATGGCAGCTGGAGCCAACCCGTTAGCAGCCTCCCCTGCGCAGATGGGTCGAGGTCTACTGCTTACCAGGAGTTGGACTCTGCCTCATACACGCACGGTTCGCCGATCTTCAAACAGTAGCCGCAGCTTGGCCGTCTGTTGTCGCATTTTGTCTTCCGCGAGCGGCATCTGTGGCAGGCGACGGTTCCCCGAGTCCGCGGTGGTTGCGGTTCAATGGGAGTAGTACGAACTTGGCCAATATCCAGATCGCTGGATGGCCAGGCAAGGTCGGCTGTCGATGCTGCTTCAGTGCGGCGGATCTTGTGGGGCCTGTGGTCTGCCAGCCCTAACTCATCCTGGTCATCATTCATCAGCGACATCTGTGCAGTCAATGAAGATGCCGGTGGGTACTTTCTAGCAGTCGTCGGAGCTCCGCGATGAAGTTGGGCCTTTATACAGCCTGGCCATCCCCACTTGGGGTAATCTCCGCCATTCAACTCCTTGGAGGCGATTGCATGAGTTGTCGCCAGGATTCGCTCATGAACGGCATCAAACAATACTAGTGCCGGTGACGTGATACAAGGCTTACAACGGCCCATTGTATATCGACCAATAAAATCGATATTCCATACTCGACCTGGACTATAAATCATATGAGGCCTTACAGGAAAACATGCCAATCGATGCTGATCTCTCCCTCAGTGTCTGCATAGTAAAGTCACAATATGACGACTCCAGATATCTCGGGGCCGGCAAAGTCCCCCAAGAAGCAGATTCTGCTCAATGCATTTGACATGTCAACCGTGGGCCATCTCTCGGCTGGCCATTGGAAGGTATCTCGAGTCCTATCGAAGTCAAAACAGTATTAACGCTCCGACAGAACCCGGCCGACAGATCGGCCACAAAACGCACACTGGCATACTGGGTGGAATTAGCGAAACTGCTAGAACGAGGCGGGATCAGCGGGCTTTTTCTTGCGGACACCAATGGAGGATTCGATACCTATGGCGGAGGCGTGGATGAGAGCATCAGAAGGGCTGTTCAATGGCCGGTGACCGACCCAGCTATAGTACGCAACGCAGTCATCCTTTCTAAACGTAGGACTGACGAACTATAGCCCATTACAGCTATGGCGACGGTAACCAAGAACCTTACGTTCGGCATCACGGTGTCGACGTCGTTTGAATCGCCGTTCGTTCTGGCGAAGCGATTTTCCACCCTGGACCATATGACGGATGGCCGCATGGGCTGGAATATCGTCACTTCTTGGAAGAAGTCTGCGTTCAACGCCATTGGCATGGACCCGGTTGAGCATCACCTGCGATATGCACAGGCTGATGAGTACATGAGGGTGCTGTACAAGTTTGTCTCGCTCAAATTCCGATGACGAATCTTCACTGACAAACTGTATATCAGACTGTGGGAGGGCTCATGGGCTGACGATGCGCTGCAGCCTAATGCCAACGCAGACACCTATATTGATCCATCTAAAGTGCGCCATATCAACCATCAGGGGAAGTACTACCAACTCTCAACCCGCCATATCGTAGATCCGTCCCCCCAGCGAACCCCGTTCCTGTTCCAGGCAGGCTCGTCAGCGGAGGGAATCGACTTCGCAGCCACCCATGCAGAGGGCATCTTCGTCTCGGCATCTTCACCTTCGCTACTGCGGACGCAGATTGAACAGAACCGCCGAATCGCCGCCGAAAAGGGGCGCGACCCTCGCTCCTTGAAGTTCTACCTCTCGTTCACGCCCATCCTAGGTAGATCAGACAAAGAAGCCCTTGCGAAGTTCCAGGATCTCAAGAAACACGCCAGTCCCATTGGCGGGCTGGTCCTGTTTAGCGGCTGGACTCGCATCGATATGGCTCGATTCGCTCTCGATGAGGATATCAGCAAGATCAACTCCGACGAGGCCAGGAAGCTGTGCAATATCTTCAAGCCCACAGACGAGACGCCGGTCTGGACACCGCGTCTTATCGGCGAAAAGGCTGCCATGAGCGCCATCTCACCGTCCGCTATCGGATCGCCGGAAACGGTGGCTGATATTATGGAGGACTGGGTAGATACCGCTGATTTGGACGGTTTCAACCTTGGATATGTCACGTCTCCGGGCTCGTTTGAAGATGTCGTGGATTTGCTTGTGCCTGAGCTTCGGAGGCGTGGTATCTATCCTGAAACCGTCGAGTCGGGGTTGACAACACGCGAGCGTATCTATGGAAAAGGCCAGACCCGTTTGAGGGCTGACCATATTGGGAGCAAGTACAAGTACGAAGTGTACCAGGAGGATCCAGGTGTTGGGGATGGCCGGGATGAGTAGTAACTCGCCAGCATAGCTCAACTGCATAGATACTGAGAAATAGATAGCAATCACCCACTACGTAACTTCTTTCCAGAGTGTTCCAATTTTCTTTTCAATTATCTTGCTCATCAAGTGATCCGCTTTGGAAACTGTAGTGGAGACAATAACACTCGACTAGTAGTCGTGGCTGCTGCAATTGACTACAGCATATAAAGAACCGGCACCCTCCCTCAATTTCCTTTTCTACAGTGCACCACACAATCAATTCTTCCTCCCCTCTAAACTTGCTGCAAAACTACTTCCAGCGTCTATTCAACCATCTGCACTTGTCCCATCCACAAGCAACAACATCCATCCTAGCCACACCACCAAGCACAGATTCTGCGATAGCCAAAAGCAAACATGCCTGAATCAAGAATCATTTCCACCGCAAACAAAAAGCCCACTCAGACCACAGCAACCTTCACCGGCCACGTCCTCTCCAACATCATGCACCTCGACGACAAGGCCGTGATCGCCAGTGTGACATTCTCCGCATGCGCGCGGACACACTGGCACACGTACGTGGAAGGGCAAATGATCCACGTTCTCTCGGGAAGTGGATTGATCTGTGATAAGGGAGGGAAGGCGAGGAGGATTCGGGCGGGCGATACCATCTGGGCATCTCCTGGGACGACGCACTGGCATGGGGCTGATAGTGAGGATGGAATGACGCATCTGGTTATGGTGACTGGGGAGATGAATTGGCACGAGCCTGTTACTGAGGAGGAGTATGAAAACCGGGAACAATAGCATAACCTAGGTTCTGATAACCTAGGTCCTGCTGACAGGCTGTACGGGCCCTGGATACATTACTAGCAGCAACAGAGTGCCAGTGATATAACCTAGCTTGGATGGTTACTATATAGGTTTACTGAATTGTATCTATATATCTCTATCCTTCTCTTACAAAAGATGTAATGTAATACGTAATGCAGTTTCACCTAGAGAATGGTTTGCTGGGCACAAGTTAATCTCTTCTAGAGGGCTCTGGAAACCCCTTGTTTATGCCGGTAGAATCTAGCACTGCTTCTGGCTATCTAGCGATCAATCATTCTCTCTTCCAGGCAGGATCGGCTGGATATCATCGACATAATCAAACACCCCGCGCACATTGGCAGTTCGAATATCGCCAGGTCCACTGGGTCCACGGTTGGTGTTTCCGCTCAAAAATCTGTGTGGAAAGCCGATATCAAATGGATAGGCGGCTTCAATATCAGCAATATCCTGGCTCGTCAAGCGCAGTCGCAAGGCTTCAATGCTGCCCCCAATATGATCCAGCTTTCGGCCGCCCACAACGGGGAAGACATATGCGGACTTGTGTAGCACGTACGCCAGAGCAACCGATGTGATGGGCACTTCCCTACGGTCAGCGATCTTCTCAAGCTGCTCCGAGACCACAGCCTCGCGGCCGTTGTTCATCGACGGCATGTTTCGCCCGCCTTCTTTGACGGCATCCTTAGGTTTGAACAAACCGCGGCCGAGCGTGCCCCATGGAGCCAGCCCCATGCCTTCAGCCCGGCACATGGGGATAATCTCTCTCTCGAAGTCCCGATCTGCCGCGGACCACCGGCCCTGGTATACGGAAAACTGGCAGAGTCCGTGCTGCCTTGCGTATTCGTTGCACTTTACCACAATCCAAGCGGGTGAATCCGAGATGCCCAGGTACAGGACCTTGCCGGAGGCAACCAGATGGTTCAGCGACTGCATGATCTCTGGTATGTCCGCAGTCATGTCCCAGAAGTGGAGGTAAAGGAGGTCAATGTAGCTCGTCTGCAGTTTCTTGAGGCTCGCGTCAACTGATAGATGTAGACTTTTGGAGCCGTTTCCGCCAAAGTTGGATTGTTGTCGGTGTGATTCTGACCTGGCCTTGAAGTTGCCTGTATACTTTGTCGCCAGTACAAACTCATCGCGCCGGCCAGTCTTGGTCAGCCATTCGCCCAGCCACTTCTCAGACTCTTCTCCCTGGTAGCTCGACGCTCTGGGAATCACTGTTAGAATGGTGGGAGAGGCAATATCTCGGATTGATACATACGTGTCTAAGAAGTTACCCCCTTGCTCGTAGAAGAAGTCAAGAATCTCAAACGCGGTCTCTTTCGTGCACTCTCCCAGGGACTCATTCATCACGCCGCCAAAGTTCATCGTCCCCAGGCATATCGGGCTGACAAAAACCGCTGCAGTCGGCGCCAGCAGCCTGTGGCGGCCGAGCAGGCTCTTTGGTTGTTGGACGGTGGGGGGTGCCATTGCATTACCTCTATCGCCTCAGGATAGAGTAAATCTCGGTTTATGATATCGGATGGCGCTATTCACATGCAACTAGTCGACTGAGTCTGGCAATGGCTTTAGGGCAGGCTGAAGTACGCGACTCATTGCATCGCGGAGTGGGGCCGATGGCCAGGGGAAGCCATGAATCGTGTAAAGTAACTAATATTGCGTGACGGTCAGCATCGCGGACCAGACCGATGAGAATCCTGACGGAGATAGTCTTATCACCTTTCTTCGTTTTGATGTTTTGATGTTTTTAATTATGTGGATGTTGCTTTGTGGAACGGGTCGTGCCACTGCGTAGAATCTGGCTTGCAGCCTGACATTTGTCTTGGATTGGTGAGGTGTTTGGAAGAAGCATGATAAATAAGTGGATATCCAACCCAGTAAATAAGGCTGTATAGTTGGTAAGGACATAAAAGCAACTGAACAAGAGATGACGACGTCCACAACGACAGAGCAACCGGCGCACGGCCAGCTGCAGAGCACAACCGACACTCCAGTTCTCTCGCCTCTTCAACTGTATGTCGGCGAAAATAGGACTGAATAAATACAGCATAAGCAGTTCCAGTCTAACCAAGCCTCGACAGATATGGCCTTCCCTTCTGGGGCAACGAGAATGGGAAAAAGTATATATACCGTTTCCTTCTTGACCGTGTTGCGGGCATTGAAGACTAATAATATGTGATCACAGGCTGCCCCCCTTAGAGCTCTTCGAGCACTACGAGCATGGAAAGGATGCGGATCCCACATTCAGCTCCTTACTGAAAGAAGGCGTGAAGGTATCCGACATCACCGGATCGATCGGCGCAGAGGTTACGGGCGTTCAGCTCTCACAGCTGGACAACAAGGGAAAGGATGAACTCGCTTTGCTAGTGGCCCAGAAAAAGGTATGTCACCGGGAATGGTCTAATGGTGCTATCTGACTTTCAACCGCGTAAAGGTCGTGGTGTTCCACGATCAAGACTTTGCCACTATCCCGATACAGCAGGCTGTTGATTTTGCGGGCTATTTCGGCAAGCTGCACGTTCATCCAGTCAGGTACTCCTATCTACCTACATCATAACGCTTCTTGCAATCCCGGGCTGACTTCCTGCTTGCAGTGGAGCTGTTCCAGGGTTTCCTCAACTCCATATGGTCTACCGCGGGCCCAAAGATGTAGGTCATGATAAATTGCCCGAGACAAGAACTACGTCCATTTCGTGGCACAGCGATGTGAGCTATGAGCTACAGCCTCCGGGAACCACATTCCTATTTGCCGTCGAAGTCCCCGAGAGCGGAGGTGATACTATCTTCGTCAACCAGGCCAAAGCATATGAGCGACTCTCTCCGACGTTTCGAGAGCGACTGGCGGGGCTCAAAGTCGTGCATTCCGCGCATGAGCAGGCCCACCAGGCTATTAGCAACGGTGGGCAGTTGAGGAGGGACCCAATCACCACCGTGCACCCTCTGGTCCGAACGCATCCTGCAACGGGCGAGAAGGCGCTGTACGTCCAACCGCAGTTCGCCCGCTCGATAGTTGGCTACAAGAAGGAAGAGAGCGACGCGCTGCTGGGGTTCCTGTACCAGCATATTGCTCTGAGTCAGGATATCCAGTGCCGCGTCAAATGGAGGCCTAGGTCTGTTGTCGTGTGGGATAATAGGGTCACGGCTCACTCCGGCTTGGTGGACTGGGAGGGACCGCGGTTCAGGTATATTGCCCGACTGGCAGCACAGGCTGAGGTGCCAACCGAATAGCTTCTTCAATTTGCCGGGATGAGAGCCATTTACTACTTATCTGCATGGTTCGATATTATGACAGGTAGCAGCAACTATGAGATGGCAGCCGATGTTAATAAACTACATAGCTCGCTCTGCCAGAGCAATATCATGGTATTATACCTTTCAGAATGCATGAGCTTGTACGATTCGGCAATACTATACTGACGGTACACCGAACCCTTCAAAAGCCCTATCCGATTTAGGAAATAAATAGGAAATAAAACAATGGCCGCCAGTGCCGTGGGTCAGCTACGTGACGAGTGGGCTTCGTGTGTCACTCCGGGCTTCTCGTTCCCTAATAGTGGTGTGATCACACGTCCGACAGGCAGCCAAAGAAATTTCGGCCATGCCGTAGCAAGGATATTGTGGCCCTATCCCAGCAAGTCCAGTTTGCCTTCTCCTTTCACTTGTGGTTTCGGGTAGTTTTGTCATTGAACTCAGGGATCTTCTTCCTGAACAGAATTAGGTCTGAAAGTTTATTCTGGTGAGGAATGATATATATCATCACTATGATCCACTTCTGCCACTAAATGCTGACCGTACCAGAATCTACACCAGAACATACAATGCAGACCTGCCAGCTGAAGTGCAGAGGATATATTAGCCTCTGATACTTGTATTAATAGTGTGTGCCACTCGGTGGTGGGCTACGTCACTTGTAAAAGTATACACTTACCAGGAAATAGAGGTTCTCAGAAACCTAGAATTCCTTTTTGGAAGCCTATAATACACAGAAGCTAGATTGGAGACACATAAATTCATAACTAGACTACTAGATACACTACATATAATATCTTTATCAATCTGCTATGTAACAGAATACGGGAAGACACTCGCCATAGTGATTATATCGGACGAACGATAGTCAGACATTGTACTATAATAATCAGTTATATATATTACAAACCCTAAAGCCCTATGATATAGATGTTATCTGCAGGGGTACACTGATATCTTGGTAGGATATGTATATTCCGTCCAAATAGTGGATAGCAGCGATATAGTGTTACATGGGAGGCAAACAGGATATCGTGGTTGGCTTAAATCCCTGAGCTCAGATCTTGTTCGAAGTTCGCTTTGCGAGCCCACTCTGACCATGTATCACATCGATCCGAGAGTTCTTTGGCAGCGCCGGCTTCTTCCATAAGCCCTCGGATCTTCCCAGGCTGCTCAATGAACTGCATGGAGAGCCCCGCGAGTGCATGACTGCTAATATGGCAGTGAAACAACCAGGACCCAGGATTATTTATTTCGAATGCGATCCACATATACCCCCCTTTGCCTTCAACCATAACCGTGTCTCTTCGTGGGGGGTTCTCCAGGTTTAGCTCGATCTCGTCGGGGAGAGGGGCTGGACCTTGGGCTAAAATGGCCATATCATGGCCATGCAAATGCATTGGATGATAAGCCCTAGAGGAGTTAAATCCCTGGGTAAAGTTATTGACGATAAGGAAGTACACCCATTGACCTGTTTCGAAATCCAAGGAGAGAGAGGCCGCTTCTCGTGGCAGTGGCGTATCCTCATCCGCAAAGACTGACTTCAAGCTAGGGTTTGCCCAGTCGACATGTTGAGGAACATCTGTCAAGGTCCAATGAAAGAAGTGGGACTTATTACCCACAGACGGATCTGGGTATGCAAGCATTCCTGGTCTCACGTAGTTCTCTGGCTTAACCGCATTTGCGCTATGTCCAACGGCTCTCTTGACCACCGGTGCGATGCTCCGGTAGTCAGGATCGCGGCAATGCAGATAATGATAAGTATCAGCCCCCAGAGCCCACTTAGGAACATCTTTACTGTCTTTATCGTAGCGAACGATCCCTAGCCTGTCGGATCGAACCGCACGTCGATCGCAAGGAGATGCATGAATCCAGAAATCTGTGCCATTTTCAAAATCTGCATTCGCCTCGATGATAATCTCGTACCGTTGGCCTACATCTCAAAGTCAATAACATCAGGTAAATGGGGCTTTGTACGCCCACCTGTTCCAACGATTAGTACGTCGGTGACGTATGGCACAACTGGAACCATATCCATTTGAATCACGGTCATAGTGTGGCCGTCAACCCAGAAAGCTTGTGGTAGAAGAGTCATCGAACCTATAACTCCAATCTTATACTTTGTGCCCTTGCGAAATACCGTTTCAAAATGCTGCCCTGTGCCGGTGCAATGGGTATCTGTAGACGTATCGTCGCAAATGGAAACCCCCTTTCCGTTAAGGAGACCAACAGGCGGCAGCATATCATTTTCGGGATATAACGGAATCCAGTCGAGGCCGGAAACATTTGTGTGGTAGTGATCACCTATCAGCCATGGGCCAAGGTTGACGTCGTAGTCCATACTTGACGGACCGTGAATGACAAGACCACCTGCGAGAATTATTATTCCAGGCCAGTAGCACTCGAAAGGCGTTCCACAACATACCATACAAGCCGTCGGCAACTTGCACTGGTCAGCATACGTACAGAGAATGATTGACCTCAAAGGCAAAGGCAGGAATTACTCTGTATGCCATCGTGGGCATGATAGTATGTACTTCCATACTGTGTAGCCCTAAATTCATATAGTTGTTCGTCCCCTGACTGGAATATTAACGAATAATCAGTGCCAAATTCTTTTGCATATGGAGTTAATGCTGTCTTACCGTTATGGGACACTGAGTGACGCCTGGCACACCATCTTGCCAGTTAGTGTGCCATTGCCGTATTCCGTGCCAGTGAATGGATGTCCCGTTATATGTCGTCAGATTGTTGTACACATTGATACCTGATTTCTTTTTCAGAAAGTGCCTAGGATGCAGGAGGTTATTTTCAAGGGTTAACGTACGGACAGTATCGCCCCAGTCTGCCTCTATGGTAGGCCCTGGATATTGCCCTAAACTCACGGTCAGTGCCAATATCGATATTTCCACTGTTTCTGACAAACAAACCGTTGACGACTATGCCCGGGCGTTCATAGCCATCTGGAGATATCGTGCTTTCAGATACGGTAAGGTGGTACTAAGGATCAAGCGAAATCAGAGAAGATATAAATGTAAATGCAAATGGACCTTACCTCGACCAGTTTTCCAGGAGGAATGTTTGCAACGTCGTGATAGTCAGTCAGAATATTGAAGCCATTAGCCCAGCAGCCTCGACTATGCGCGCTGTGAGTACAGTTTTTAGGCAGGTTAAACTCGAAGGAAAGCACTGATAGGGCACAGAGTGCTATGGTGATCCCCAGTTTGTTAGAAATCATCATGTCCAAGTGCATCAACTCCTGACCAGACGATAGGGACCTTTCGTTCTTAAGCGCCATTCCACGAGACAGCTGCAAGATAGAAGGAAGGCTTCTCGCGTCATTCTTGCAGTGATGATTTGTTCTCGATCGACTGCACATCCCTTACGTAGAAACTATGTTGAAGATACGGAGTCCCTTGCAGACCAACAGCCCCTTGCTTCAATAATCGATTGCTATTATTGGTTCAATTACTGCCTGTTTATTCCTATTGCTACTTTTGGCCGTACATGGCGCTTTAAACAAAAATAAGACGAGATTAATGAACGGCAATCTATACCCCTCTGCGCTTCATCGCCAAGTTGAAGCTCTTCATAAACCCAGGCACCACTTCCGGGTTCAACATCCTCGCGTGAATTCCTGGGCATTCATAAAATTCAATATCGGATCTCACAAAATCCTTCCATCTGCCCAACTTGTTCTCCACCCAGTCTCGTCTGTCGACTGCCGCATAGCGTGGCGGATCGGCCACAAACACATCCAGGTGCTCAACATTCCCGACAGGCTCGTATGTCTCCCCCTGTAATCTAAAGTTTTCTCCAATATCACTTATCTTGTTCAAAAGGCGGGGAGTAAGTGCTAGCGCACGAACTCGCTCTCTGTCGCTGATTGACAAGACGTACTCCAGGGCATCCTTGCGCGATATGGTGTGCGTGTGTAGGTAGGTGGTCGCACGGTCCATGGTCTCCTGGTCAATCAACTCAAGGAAAAATGATATATGAAGCAGTACATCAAACCAATTCAGGCCGCTAACATACTGAGAAATGTGCGGGGGGTAGTCGATGCTAGCTAGGAAGCGAACCTCCTGCCCCTGTGCCTCTAACAGCTTGCCCACTTCAAACGCAAGCGTTGAGCCTAATGAATACCCCGCCACGGCATAGGGACCGTGTGGTTGTGTCCTTCGGATATGGGCAACATAGGTCTCGACTGCTTCCTCCATGGTGGAAAACACGGTCTCATTCGCGTTGTATCCGCGAGTACGGAGAGCGTAGACTGGTCGGTTCGGGAAATGTGTTGCCAGCGCGATGAAAACAAGGATATCACCGCTGCCGGGATGAATGAGGAACAGGGGAGTTTGAGATCCCTTTGTTTGCAGCGGGATAATGGGGTTGTATTCCTGTGGCTCAGATAAAAGTTGGTCCACTGAGGCGGCGATACTACCAACCGATGGCCTGTACGTTCATCAGCCTTTGTCTGCGGTGTTGCCGTTGAGCTTAATGATGCTTACCTTGTCATGAGAATAGAGATCGGAAGCTCAACCGGGCTGTCCGCAATATCCTCGATCATGGCCCGGAGAAGAATCAGATTAAAGGAGTTTATGCCCAGATCAAAGATCGATGTATCAACACCAATGTCTTCGGCGGGAACGTCAAGCAGTCCCACCAGTATAGTCCGTATTTTCTTCTCAGTTTCAGTCGTGATTGGCCGCCACACAGCCTGCTGATATTCGCGTAAAGCTTGACGGTGGTGCTCCTCCATGGCGGAGTAATCACCATTATTGAACGCATCGCGTACTTTCGCTCTTGATATCTTCCCCAATGATGATTTTTCCGGGGTATTCTCGAAAAGTGGGATCGAATGCCCCGGCTTTCTTCCTGTAAGAAGGGTGATAACTTTGGAAACAGCATTATCCGTTTCAGCTCGTGCCTTCAAGTCGTCAACAGCGAATGTAGGGCAGTAGACAACTGCAACTTCCTCTGTGGGAGAGCCCGGATCCCGACAGGAAAATACTACCGTGCAGGAAGTAACAAGACCTGGAATAGCTGCTTCTTCAATTGCAGCCTCGATCTCCGTCACATTCCATTTTACTCCGTTGATATTAACAGTGTCCTTCACCCTGCCGGCCAGGTTCAGATTGCCATTGTCATCCAGCCAGCCCAAGTCACCAGTAATAAACCACCCGTCCTTGGAAAAAGAAGCTTCTGTAGCTGTTGAATTGTTGAAGTATCCGCTGAATAAAACCGGCCCGGAGAGCTGCAGTGCACCGACTTCGCCAGAAGCGGCCAGTTCGCCCTCACCATCAAGACGAGCTACTCGCATTTCCATCCCAGGTATGCAGGCACCCAAGCATGCGAATTCATGCCCACGAGCAAGATCATACGACGGGCACACTTTTGAATAGATCGCGCCGGCACACGTCTCGGTCATTCCAAACCCAGGACTGACTACGCCGTTACGCATCCCGAGCCGCCGCAGTTCACGCGTAATGGTGTCACAGGTGGTGACCGGATTTGCCTCTCCACCGGAGATGATTCTTTTCAGGCAAGACAGATCCACTTTGATGTCCGACCCTTGTGTGAGGAGAGCATCTCGGACCTGGGTGAGAAAGAAATTAGGAGCGAAAGTATAAGAGACCCGATGCGTGTCTAGTAGCCGGATGAACTGGAGAGGATCCCTCAACAGCACAGAAGCAGGAATATGGACCTGTTCACTACCCAGGCCCACTAGAAACTATTATCAGCGGGATGGTCTTCAAGTGCGCTTCCATACAGCAAACAAGGAAAGGGGGCGTAACTGACATGCGTGTAAATGGACCTCACACATGCTCGCAACGTGGTCCATGCCCACCCAGTTAAGAAAGACATCACTTGTATCCGTTCCATGGTGGGAGCTCTTTCCCTGTATGGCATTCAAGAGCTGCCTGTGCCGGAGAGGAACCGCCTTTGCGCTTCCTGTACTCCCAGACGTCAGCATGAGTACCGCCGCCTCATCTACATCCTTTTCTATTCCCCTCATAGGCAATGTACATGCTGGGCCACCATTAGGCGCTGTATCTTGGCCCAAGGACTGTACTGAGTGAAGGCGAAGCTCGGCTATATCAAGGAACTCGGCAACAAGTCTTTCTGGTGTCAAAATGATTGGCTTGTCTAGAAGCTCATGGAGGTGGAGTATATGTTTTCTCCGTTGCGCTGTGTCGTGCACAAACGGGGTTGAAAGGGCTGGCAGAAGGCCAAGCAACGTAGCGGCCCAGAACCACTGAATGGACTCGTGCTGAGTATCGAAATGGAGTAGTATTATTGACCCCGTTGAAGGTGTCGCAATTATGGACAGTATGGCGGCCTTGTGCATTGCATCTTCTTGGAGGTCGGCGTATGACTCGCGGCACGCTTGCAGGCCTTCCTTGCCATCGGTATAGAATGTCAATCCACGCTTGGTTGTCGATGCTTTGGCCAGTAACTGACTCAGGTTTTGCGCGGAGCTTTGATGGTCGTCGCATTGTTCTCGAACGTCCTCGGGGATGATGACGCTCGTCTCTGGCAGCTTGGACGAGCTCGCCTCAATCCCGTGAACAGTTTGAGAAATGGCAGTTGCCATGGTTGGTTTCAATAGAGGTACGAATTTAGCGGGCTTGGACAAACCTTGCTGCACTCTCCAGCACCTGTTTGAGACGACTTTATATCAGTGATTCCTGGCCGCGGCCACTTTGAAAACGGCGCTTTATATAAGGAATAATTGAATCAAGACTGTCTAATATTATCTGATAGATCAGTTGGGCTGCAGTTAGGTGCAAATGCAGCTTGCATGTTCATATTCGGCTTTAGGCTCAACAGTAGGGTGAACACACTGGCGATGGATTGTAAGCTGACTGCATGGTGATAGAAAATTGCAACTCTTGCGTGCCATGTCCGCTTCATATCACCCCTTGCCTGCTTGTCCACACCGCTATCGAGCATGCGCGGCTTTGTCGGCCGAGTTTTCACCGGCTTATGCGGTGCGAAGTGAGAGACTGAAGTTTTGCAGGAATAAAGCAAGGTTGGAAATTTTGACACAGTCCTGTATAGCAAAGGCTATTCCTCAAAATTCAAAGGGCTCATGCTGTCTTTTCACGGGTCCATGACAAAAGACAGGAAAGGTTTATTCTTATTTTGCTGTTACTGAGTAGAGTGTAATTGGAAGCAACAAGTGGACAGTCTAAACCAGCGCCACATGGGCCCCTGTCTTATTGGTAATAATTAGCACCCTGCAGCATCGCAACATCTGCCTGTATCCATGACCCCGCCCTGGGTCTCCTTGCCTGAATTCTTTAGTTGGGCCTCTCTGTCATGGTCGACGAGGGCACCACATGTGATGCCCGCCAAGAAACCGATATACCTAACTACTTCTCCACGCCCTCCGTTTCCCCAATCCTCACCACATACTTCACAGCAGAGGCCTTCCCCTCCTTCAAATCCTTTAAAATCCCTTCAAGCCCGGCTAGCCCACCAGGTCGCACCTCAAACGGATGTCCCTGGAACCACCCTTGCTTCAACCCCCTCCCCATAAGCTGGAAGAAGGCAGCCCCAAACTCCGCATGATCAAAGGTATTCCCTTTCCTGGGCGGGAAGTGCACATATCCAGCAATCGGCTGACTTATACTCACTCCCTCCGGTGGCGTAAAGTCACCACCCGGCGGAAACATAACAGCCATGGCGCCGGGGCCCGAAATCACAGCGCCGATATTCTCAAAGCACTCAGGCTCTGAAACACCGTCGAATGCATAGTGTATTGGACTGCCGTTGGCAGCAGCCTTGATCTGGGCGCGGATGGCTTCGGCCCCGGCGCGGTAGTCGATTACTTTGTCCCCCTTTTCTGGGGAGAGGAGGGTTTTGACGTAGGGGATGCCTCTTCCCGCGACGGCAATTATGGGGTGGATGTTTGATAGCTGCGCGAACTTTATAGCGAATGCGCCGACTGCTGTTGCGCCGCCGTATATCAATAAAGGAAGTGTTTCGCGAGCTGGGTTCCAGGGCAGAGGGAGTTTCATGTCCTGGTACAGACCCAGTGCAGCGGTGATAGCACATAAGGGGATTGTCGCCGCCTCTGCCACGCATCAGATATCGCACAGTACAGTATTTATAGATATAACTAACCTTCAAAGCTCGTCTGTCCAGGAATATGAAACGTGGTATAATCCTGTGCAATCGCGAACTCGGCAAAAGTACCATGCGGCCTCATAACCTGATGGAATGCAGCGACCCTATCGCCCTTTGCCAATCCAACGACTCCCTCGCCCACGGCCTCAATATATCCAGCCATATCGTCACCGTGGTTGTATGGGGACCCATCTTTCGGGAAGAATCCCACCATCTTCCAGTCCTTCGGGTTGGTGCCTGTAACTACCACGCGGATTAGGACTTGCCCAGGCCCTGGAACGGGAATGGGACTGTCCTTGATCGAGACGGTGTAGTCGCTGTTGACGAATGCTTCCTTCATGGTGGTATTTGCCTAGTTTGTTGTAAAGTGTGTCTTGGTTTCGATAGCGGGGAATGGGGATCTATATATTGCTTAAACGCCCCGTCCGACCTCGTAAAATCACCAGACGCGGGATATAACACTGATTAAATTGCCCCGTTGCATCGAGTAGTCACAAGCTGCGCGATATACGGCGTAAGCCAGGCATCCTTGGTCTAGACTCGGGCGGAGTTGGCTAACTCCTATCTCCGTTACAGGCAACAAGACCATGGTCATGGTCTGTCAATTAGGAGCTCAGAATGAATTAAAGCATTATTGGCTATTCCATGTCTTATATCCCAGTAAATATCTTAAATATTAAAGATAGATATATATGCCATCAGACGTTCTGCAGCTTCTGCACAGCATTCTCCAGGGCCTTGATCGCCTCCTCCAAATAAGGCAGCTCGATCTCTTTCCCAGCGGCGCAGCACTCCAGCAGCTCATATCCCCTCTCATATCGGTCCTCCTCATTCTGGAAATACAAGTAACTAGTAGCCATCCTTAACCGGAACCGCCCATACATAGGCCCATCATCGTCCTCTCCAAACGCAGAACCCGGTAGAGCAGCAAGTCCGCACTCCCGGATAAGCCACGCCGAAAGGGCAGCACTGGTAGAAATACCAAGTTTCTGTAGCTGCCCTGCATATGGTGAAAAGGACGGGTAGACGTAAAAGGCACCGCCGGGCTCGCTAACATCTAGTCCGAGTTTCTTAAGCGCAGAATAGAGCCTCGAAGTACAGTATCTATGCAAGGCCGTCACAGATTTGCGGTATCTGCACATTGCCTGGTCCGTGGAAAAAGCCTTGACGGATGCCAATTGGGCCGGCGTAGAGGCTGCGGACCAGCATTCAGAAGCATATGCGAGGATTGTCTTGCGGATGGTTTCGCCTTTTGGGGATGGGGGGAATATGGCATAGCCCACGCGCCAGCCACCGGCTGAGTATGTCTGTTTAAAAGCTGTTAGAAATAATCAGTCAAATGGTGTGTGCCCAGCTACCTTTGATAGTCCCCCGGTAAGGATGACAGTTTCGGAACCATCCGGGCTGCTATCAAACGCGCTGATTCCCTTCTGAGCGTCATCAAAGCAAATATCGGAATAGATCTCGTCTGTTATCAGTGTTATCTGCTTTGATTTGCAGAATTCTCTGATAGTTCGGATACAATTGTCGGAGAAGACGTGGCCTGTCGGATTTGATGGGCTGTTGATCAGCATAATCCGAGGGACGCATCCCTCTGAGATTGCCTTCTGGTAGGCAGAGAGCAGAGATGATTCTGGCACAAGTTAACGTCTGTCAAGTTCGAGAAGTCTGATACTAACCGGTAATACTGTGACGATCAACAGGGTCCGTCTCAACCCAGAAAAGCTTCTTCCTGGCATTCAGCACTTGTGGCTCATAACTGACCCACGAGGGGCGAGGGAGTAGCACAGCGCCGTCTAGTATATCAAACAAGGCGAAAAGCAGGGGCTTTGACCCAGGAGCAATAACGACCTGATCAGGGCCGATCTCAACACCTACACGATCCGAGTTGAACCTCGCAATAGACTAGCCGGGCATCAGCACGTTTCTGAACTGAAGGATTGGATAGAACAACGTCTCGCAAGGCTTCTATACCGGCTACCGGCATATAGCTTGTTTCATTAGATGCGTCTCGATGGGCCTCAAGGACGTCTCGCTGGATGGGGAATGTGGCCTCGCCAAAGCCCAAGTGGATAACATTTTTACCTTCTGTGCGAGCCTTCGACACTAGTTCATTGATCTCCAGGGTGGGAGAGATGCGCAATTGCGCAGAGATTGAGTTCACGATGTCAGTCATGGTGTGTTGTCACAATGAAGATGGGGTGTACGAAATCGTGCTTTGCCTTTTTATATATTGGGCTTCTCGGCGATTATCTCGGCTAGAGAGCCGAGAGAGCGAGATAGGCAAGTCGGTGACACACTTGTTGCTCTCCAAGACTCAACATTTCCTTTGCGAATGAGATGTTGTTCTGTGAATCGCCGAGACACCGAAACGCCGAGGAGAGAGTAACATCACAATTCCCACCCGTGGGCCCCTTATTGCGGTAGAATTTGACGGAGCAAACAGTAAACCGGTAAATGCATAAACTCGTGTCTAATTTAACCAAGCGAGACGCTAATAGGCAAAGATATAATACATGGAGGACCAACGGATCTATTTCTATATAACTAATACATTGCGAACCCCAGTCTGTATACTCCACAACCCACAATGTCAGATCATGCCAGTTCCTCGACATATTGCCTGGATATTATGTTGGTTGTTATGTCCATATCCCGGAAACCGACAAAGCTGGTCTTCCGGATGAATTTATACGACACAAACCAAGCCACATAAACCAATATCCCAACGTAACTAACGACAAAATCTACGGGATCGAACTCGTGCACAAAGCTAGAGAAGCCTGATAGGTATGCAGCGTTAGTATTCCACCTCACTTTTGCGGTTTATACTCACCACTAGTGAAGATTATGACAACAGTGAAAAATAGAGTCATTTGTGCCCTCGTCTTTTGGAAACGACCAGAGAAGGGCAGGTTTTCCCGGCTAATTCCCTGGGCCTTCATACCCTGGTGGAAACATAGATAGGTTACTAAGATACTGACCCAGTTGAGCAATCCGAGAATCGTGGAAAGAGATACGAGGTACCCAAAAACCACGGCGCTTCCTGAATTAATGTTCAGCAGTGCCAGAAGGAAGAATACTGAGGCTGCTGCCACAGCAAAGACAGGAATCGATCGTTTGGTAAATTTGAACAAAGACGGTGTATAGCCGTCCTTCGCCAGGCCATATAGAGTACGGGACGCGACATAGATATCTGCCTCTCGGTCAGCAAGTTGCAAAAGGTCGATAGCCTTGAAACAGACCTGTATTCGCCGCACTAAGGACAAACACCAGCAGACAGCCGTTGATTATATGAGGAAGGACTGGAATTCCGGAATCAACAATCGCAACGACAAAAGGAGAGGCGCCTTGTATTATGTCAGTATTAATGTCTCTTTCCGCAGGAATAATAGGAAGTAAACGTTACCTGCGCCAGTGTCTGCTTTGGTAGCGTCTATCAGGCGATTGTTCGAAGAGGAGACAACCAACCCCAGACAGAAGACACCCCCGACGTAGAAGAAGGTAATGCGCCAGAACGTGGCATTGACGGCCTTTGGGATCGTCTTCCAGGGCTGGGTTGCCTCTCCAAACGTCATTCCCACCATCTCACTGCCCATATATGCAAATGCTGCATTTGTCACAGAATCCCAGAAACCAAGGAACCTCCCTGCGGAGCCTGTGTCAAGATACTCTTTGAACGCACCAGGGTTCTTCCAGTACCTGAATCCTATCCGTCCTTGTTGGCTGCCTCCTAGATCGATGACTAGACAGAGAACCATTAAACCGACAATAGTGACGGTCTTGATGCATGCTGCACCGAATTCGATTTCACCAAAATACTGGACAGGCATGAACTGTGAGAACCCAGTTAGCACCCTCCTCATAGAAAATCGGGTAGATCGAACATTAATGAATATAATAATGGCGGCAAATGAAACGACCCAGACAGCCACGTTGATATCAGGGAGCCAGTATTGCATCACTATCCCCGAAGCCGTGAGGTTATTGGCCAGGAGCACCACATATTTGAGAAAATAGTTCATCCCGGTGGCGAATCTCATCTAAATTTCAGTACCTGGTCGTTGCCGTTTAGATGGTGAACATACCCAAATGCCGGATCAACCAGGCGAGAAGCATATCCACCAAACCCCTGGTCCATGGGCATGAAAACGGCCATCTCGCCAAGAGCGGACATGATGTTGAGCACCAACAGCCCAACAAAAGAATAAGCTATAAGCATGCTTCCAGGGCCACCTCGTGATAGTGCCGTTCCACTGCTTATGAGAAGGCCTGTTCCGATGGCACCTGCAATGGAAAACATCCCGACGTGTCGAGATTTGAGGCCCCTGTTGAGTGATCCGTTCTCAACATCGGGGTTGGCAGTGTGTAGAGCAACTTCGACGTCCAGATCGGTAGGCGGGTGGTGGGGTGATGCATTGGATTTCTCATTGGAAGGCATTTCGCAGCAGCATTGACTTTAGCAGTCAAACTTGACCCCGGAAAGAGATGATCATGGTTTAATATATAGCATTGACCCTCCCCCGCAGCCTTTTTGCTAAAATATGGAGAGGGCACCTCTTATTTCCCAACCTGCCTGACATCTCGGCAATTACTATATCTCATTGGTTGGACGACTGGGATCTTCCTGTACCCATCTACTTGGACAGCGTCCAGCTCGGCAGTCGGTGTTTCGGTGTTTCAATCAGATATTCTATCACAGCGTGCCAAATTTCTCGAATCCAACCATTTCAACAGTGCCGGCAGGAGTATCCAATTCGGAAATAAATAATCAAGAGATGTATATTAAACAGAATCTAAGAGTCAACTCATTTCGCATGGTACATAAATCGGTAGAGCATGTCACGTGCCTGACCCTCTCGGCGTTTTCAACGCCGAGTTTTACTGCCTCCAAATTGATCCTGTCTGTATCTGCCAGCAGAGACGAATGAGGCATTCTGAGGGATTCCAGTACAAACTCCACTATGCAGTCCCGCCGGGGAACCCGCAAGGCGTGTGCCTTGTGCCACGAGCGGAAAATCAAGGTAAGACCCCCGGTTGTATCAAGCGTACCTTGACTGATTAGCGGCAGTGCGATGGAGGTACACCAAGTTGCCGGAACTGTTTGCGAGCACAAGCTCTCTGTCGACCGCATGAGCGGCGCCGCCGTCTCACAGTTCATACATCAGACCGAAGTCCAAGCCAACCTCCCTCGGTTTCACCACCGGCAGCCGTGGAGAGGCTCGCTTGGTTGGAAAATGAACTCCTGCGGGTTTTGCATCTGGATGTTCGCCAGGTGAACACTGGCACTGCAATTAACTCTCTCCCGCGCTGTCAGCATCTTTTACGCACTCAGGGTGCCCCTTGTTCGCAAAACGCCGATGCTCAAGTCCCGACATCGCAGAGCGAGGCAGACCCATCCGAGACGGCTGAGATGGACCCGAACATTCCCCTTTTGGCGTTCAACGCCACTGGTGAAGCTCGGTATCTGGGTGCATCAAGTGGATCCGTCTTCGCCAGGTTTATTGCAAATACTGCCAGGTCGGTTTTACCACAGGGGGCTACGGGGCCCGGTCTCCAGCCACATGTATATGAACCCTCGACTGTCAACCGCCCTGCCGCTTCCTTTAGCTCCGCAAATTGGAGAAAATCGGCAACATTTCCTTTCCTTTTGCGATGTTATCTAAAGTGGGTTCACAGCTGCTACCCTTTGTTTCTGTCTCAGGACATTGCGGCGCTCGAATCCATAAGCTATTCAGAGGAGCCCCCCCGGGAAACTGGGGATACGGCGATTATTTTCTATCTTATCATGTCGATAGGTGCTGTTCATGCCGAGCAGAAGCATCTTCTCGATCACCTTCAGCGCGATCCGGGGCTGCGGCAGTATCAAACTGAGGCTTCGACTCGTGGACTCTCTTCAGAGGCATTATACCGAAAGGCTATAGGAATAGTTGCATCTGAACCATCGAACCTGACTCCCCGTGTCTCCTTGGTGCAAATTCTCATTTTGATATCGATATATGCCTCCCACCGCCCATCTGACAATGAGCAATGGCATGTTGTGGGAATGGCCATGCGTGTATGTCTTTAACACTCTGAAATGATGGCCCAGGAACGAACTAATCAAATCAAAAGATAACAATAGAGCTGGGCTTACATCGACACAACAACGCCTGGAAGTTCACTGTTGATGAGCTTGAACTTCGGCGTCGAGTATTCTGGACGACCTACGCCATCGAAATCACAGTGGCGTTCAATTTAGGTCGTCCTGCTAGTATATCTTTTCAGGATGCGGATGCGCCTTTTCCTACTAATTCAGAGGAAACCTCCCTCGCAATTCACCATATTAAACACCGGCAGATCCAAGAACAGATGCTGTGTCTGGTCTATCGAAGCAGATCACATAATGCAGCCGCAATGTCGGAGGTCGATAACTCGATCTCGAATATAGAAAGCCTCCAGAAAAGCCTAGACGAGTGGCATTGGGAGCTACATGAGTTGTATCGCCAGGCAAGCTCGCCCTACCCGGTAGAGTACTGGGATCGACTCTACTATTCAACCTCTGCCGCACTTTCTCGACCGACCACTCTTTCCCCCCGACCTGGACCCGAGCTTCAGAAAAGGTGCTTTCTGTCGTCGTACCAGGTGATTGAAATCCATGAATCACTCATCCGGAATTTCCGACTTCCTTACTCTTGGATGTTACTGCAAGGTCTCGTATTCTCAGCCATCTCGATGATCGTCACAACGAGAACATGTACAGCTGTATTATCCAAGGAGTTCGGAGCGGACGGGTTTCTGGACATTCTCACCAGAGGTGTGCGCAATTTCCATGTTGTCCTGGCCGTGATGCGAGAAAGGTGGACTGGTCTGGCAATCAGACATCTGGAAGAGCTACTTGACAAGTTATGCCAGGATACTTTAAGATATACGATTAATATGCTGGCAAAACTATCTTCTGGGGCCTCTTCTCTCCAGTCATCCAAGCATCCTGGTCTTTTGTCCCAGAATCCATCTTCATCCTGCCCGGAGCCAGTAGTTACAACTGGCACGTCAAATGACCAACATCCTCCGAATGAAGAACAATTCCCTCGCGGTCTGCTGAGTGATGGAGCGTACCAAGAAACGAACGATCCGTTCCAGCCAACTATCGACTCTGGATTCTCAGAATTGTATCCTGGGCAGGACTGGGGGGCTTTTGATAACTTGTTCGAGTTGGACGAACTCAGAACTTTCTTTGATTTCTTCCCAATCGAGCCGTACGGGGGATGATGCATTGATCCCCTCGTTTCAACTTTCGAGAACCAAATCCAGTTGAGACATGGTGGAGCTTCGCACTTCTTGTTACAGGCATACCAACGGGGTTTGTCGTCACTATTGTGATTGAATCACTTGTCCCTCGCCTCGTCGTTTCTATATATATTTTGGTGCCCTTGTGGAAACATATAGTATAACCCAAAATAAATCCATTCATTGAATTAACCAACACAGCACATCGAACCCTTGTAAAACGACCAAACATAACTAGTCTTCCATACCAATGTCTATTAAGAAAGACACCTGGAAATTCTGTCAATGCCAACAACATCAAGTGCTGCCTCAGGCCTACGTTGACACCGCGTCATCAGCGGCTCGGACAAACATCGTCCCGAACAGCTCAGCTTGTTGTTGTTCCTGGCAGCACGCGGCTTATGCCTGTCTATTGCGGTGGAAATTGGACGCGCCCAAAATTCACATGCACTGATCAAGATCCAACATGAGTCCGTTCACAAATCGGCCAGAGATGCAAGATCCGGCAGGGTCGCGGTGTCCGCGGAGTGGGTAGGGCGGGCACGTGCACGGCGATCAGCGGTCAACGAGTGTCCAGATCTCGAATTCCCCTCGACTCCCCTCTCCCTCGAGCTTTCTGTTTCACAACCCAATTGCACCCCGTAAAGGCATCAATTGACAATGGGCTCCGATTCTAAGGGTGCCGAGCTTGCGGGCGACATCAGCTTCATCGAGACTCCGCCTGCTAAGCCCTCTCAATTCGAGACTGGCGAGGACTGCGGAATCTCCTTGACCAAGGTCCGTCTCTTGGCTTTTTGTTTTGCTATCTGGCTTCAACGTAGCTAAATTTTTCACAGGCTGCAGCTATCAACAACCCCCCCTTGGCGGCTGATGGCCCTGGAAATGAGAGCTTCTCCAACCTCATCCTAGGTGCTGTCCTCACCGGTGTCCCTGCCTTGCTCACCTTCTTCTTCGGCGGTGGATTTAAGACCTTTGTGTTTTTCGCCCTCCTCTCTGTCCTTCCGCTGCTAGTCGCCTTTTGGACCTACGTTTCCACCTACAGCCCCCGTACCAACGAGAAGGTCAAGCTCCCTGGCCGACCTGTTGAACACTACATCACCTTCAAGCGTGAAGAGGACAAGGCGAAATGGCACGGACGGAACAAGGTCCCCCTTCAGACCTTCGCTGAGATGTACCTCGACGGATTGGTTGACTTCAAGGGCGATGTCCTCGATGTTCTTGAGTACCGCCACGACTGGGCAAGCTTCGCTTTCACCTGGCAGCTATTCAAGTTCATTGTCGGCACCTTCTTTGTCGATGTGTTGTTCCACACCAAGGCTCAGGATGAGGAGCAGATCCGCCCCAACTACGACAGCGGCAACGACCACTATGCCTGGTTCCTCGGCCCTCGCATGATCTACACCTCTGGTATCATCTCGGACGTCGAGAAGGAGGAAACTCTCGAGGAGATGCAGGATAACAAGATGGCAGTTGTTTGTGAGAAGATCGGACTCAAGGAAGGCGAGACCATGCTTGACATTGGCTGCGGCTGGGGTACTCTCGCCAAGTTTGCCAGTGTCAACTACGGCGCCAAGGTTACCGGAGTTACTATCGCCGAGAACCAGACCGCATGGGCTCGCGACGGCCTCCTGAAGGCTGGCATTTCTGAAGAGCAGAGCCGCATTCTCTGCATGGACTACCGTGATATCCCCAACACCAAGTTCGACAAGATCACTCAGCTCGAGATGGGTGAGCACGTTGGTATTCGCAAGCTTACTGGATTCTTCCGTCAGTGTTACGACATGCTTAACGACGATGGAGCCATGTACGTTCAGCTCTCTGGTCTGCGACAGGCCTGGCAATACGAGGATTTCATCTGGGGTCTGTACTTGAACAAGTACATTTTCCGTGGTGCCGATGCTTCTACTCCTCTCTGGTATTACGTCAAGTGCTTGGAAGGAGCCGGATTTGAAGTCAAGGGGTGAGTCTACTTTTATTTTTTAAGGAACCGACGCTGACATCTCCTAGTATTGATACCGTCGGTGTCCACTACTCCGGAACTCTATGGAGATGGTACCGCAACTGGGTTGGCAACGTCGAAGCCATCAAGGCCAAGTACGGCCCTAGATGGTACAGGGTAAGTTCGCCGTTGTCTTGTATGGGGTGGCTAAACTAACGTGAATAGATCTGGGAACTCTTCCTCGCCTGGTCCGTCATCGCCTCCCGCCAGGGCTCCGCCACCTGCTACCAGATGGTCGTCGTCAAGAACCTGAACTCAACGCACCGCATCACCGGCGTTCCCTCTCAGTACGGCCTCACCGGTGCCCTCGAGGCCAGCAGGAAGGCCGGCAAGTCTCGTCTGCCTTAGATGGTTATTAATGCTACGAATCGCCTGTCACGCCACTTGGTGTTGAACCAGGCTGCACGAAGCATGAGTGGATGATTTATTGTAACATACAGTAAACGATACGACACGAACACGGATTAGAACGAGAGATGATTTATTCTCAGTATGATGAGAGTGGAAGATGGGGAGGCAGAGGTGGCTGTTAGGGGTCGGCGTGATAGTTTGCTATGGAGATAGCAATGATCTATTATATCATTTAGGATGGTTAGCTTAGACAAATACACCCATAATCAGCATCTTCTCCATGAGTAGAGGAAATTACCAAGGAGATTGCTAAATGGTCTGGCATCATCCTGTTACTAAGCGTTTGCTGTTACAGGGGGCCCTCGACAAGGAAAACAGACTTCTTGTAGTTCTGTTATGTTGCATTACTATGGAAGCGGGAGCAATGTTTGTCCGCGGCATCCAATGACGTATGTCAGCAGTTACCTGCACCAGCAGTTCTTTTCTGAGGGCATGTTCCCCCACTCCAGAGAACACCATACACAAGAGTAACTGCATTTTAAAATACAATGGAATTCACACTCACCGCCGTCCTCCCCGAAGACGCCCCGGCAATAACCGACGTGTTCTTCGCGTCCTTCACCAACGCCCTCAGCCAGCGCCTAACCCCAGACACCGAGGACGTGCGCGCCTTCGAAACCGCCTTTTTCAAGACCGCCGCCGAAGAGGCGCAGTCAAGCAAGGGGTCGGATTTCATCAAGGTGGTGGCCAGTGAACCCGGGGTTGAGCCGGCGATTGCGGGGTTCGCGCTGTGGAAGTACTACGAGGGGGAGCAGGACCCGCATGAGGGCGAGAAGATCGAGTGGCCGGCGAGTTGTGACGGTGAGCTGTGCGAGAGTTTCTTCTCTGGTGTGGATCGGGAGCGGAAAAGAGCGATTGGGGACCAGCCGCATTATTGTATGTTCTTTTAATTTTGTTTGTGAAGATCCAGTGCTGACAGGACAGACTTGAGTATTCTGGGGGTGGACCCGAAGTTCGGGCGCCAGGGACTCGGCGGGAGGCTGTTGAAATGGGGTCTGGACCGTGCGGATCAGGAACAGCTTATTACCTTCATTTCGTCCTCTCCGGCGGGACGGGGGCTATACGAGAAACATGGATCGAAGGCTGTGCACAGCTACGAAGTTATTCCGGGGTACTACGAGACGTCGATGGTGCGGGCTGTTGGCGGGGTGCGGAGGTGTAAATAGACAGTCGACAGCAAGGAGATTAGAATGCGGGGTTATAAGCCAGAAATAGAGCAAGACAGATCGCCTGACACAAAGAGACAGTGACAGTTCCGTGATTGCCCGCAATTAATATCGCGCATATGCGCCGTCCCCCGCTCTCTTTTCTCTCCCCCTCCTTCTTTCTCTCCAACAAGACCATGGAGTCACCTTTACTGTCTTCATTCCCAGCTCAATAACTACACCATGTTCGGCCGCGCAGTTCAGAGACGGCTCTCGCTGCCCCTCAGATTCAAACCAACCCCAGTGCGCCGCTGGTATGCATCCGTACCAGCAGCCCAGGACCTAACTGTCCACGGCGAGCGACTGTGGTATGCCATCCTTTCACCCCACGATCCAGATCCATCATATCAAAGTTACTGATTATACCCAGGTTCTGCATCAACTACGTCGCCAAATACAGCGCCCCGTCCCCCGGCGGGGTAACGCGTCTCTGCGCCGACGAGCACGACAAGCTCGCCCGCGACTGGTTCCGGAAACAAGTCCTCCAGCTCGGGGCCGAGTACAGCGTCAACGCAACAGGGACGCAATTCGCCAAGTTCGCCGGCGAAGATGATACGATACCGCCCATTGCCATGGGCAGCCATCTCGACACCGTTGCTACGGGGGGCAGGTTTGATGGTGCGCTGGGGGTATGAAGCCTGCTAATAGGACAATCTGAGGTGATGTGGGGATATGGATCAAGCTGATGAGTGGATAGGTTCTTTCCGGCATTGAAGTGATTCGCAGTTTCAGGGAGCAGGGGATCAAGACGCGCGCGCCGCTGGTGCTGATAAACTGGACGAATGAAGAGGGCGCGCGGTTCTTCCCTCCTCTTGGATCATCGAGTGTGTATGCAGGACAGTCGAGTGTTGACGCAGCCCACGCGTCGCTGTCGAATGATAACGTGGGCATCACGATGGGCAGCGAGCTCGCCAGAATCGGATACGTCGGCAACGGCCCGAATACATTTGAAGAGTTCCCGCTCTCCGCGCATTTCGAAGTACACGTTGAACAGGCGCGGGATCTAGAGAAAGCCGGGAAACCTGTTGGTTGGGTTGAAGGGTGGAACGGGATAAGTTATCATGAAGTCGTATTCACAGGCGAGGACGGGCACGCGAATACGTATCCCATGCACGGGCGACGCGACGCCTTGACTGGTGCCGCGAAGCTGATTATCCAGCTCGAGACGTTGGCGTATGCCCGGAATGGATACACCACTGTAGTCAGTATTGAAAGCGGTCCTCGGGGAACGGCCAATATCCAGTCGAAGACGAAGCTGGTTTTCTGCCTCATGCACAAGGAGGCAGAGGGGCTGGAGAACATGGGCGCTGATATCGCGCGGTCAATTCAAGGCGTTGCTGCGATGCATGGGCTGGACTATACCCTGAACCGACTAATTCACCTTCCACCGGGTGATTTCTGGCCGGAGGCTATTGACAGTGTACGCCAGGCCTGTGGTGACAAGGGCATTGGCTCTCGTACTGGCACTGGACATGACTCGACCATGACCAGCCTGAAGTGCCCAACGGGCATGATCTTTGTGCGAAGCAAGGATGGGATCAGCCACAGTGCGAAGGAATGGAGCAACGAGCAGGATTGCGCAGAGGGGGCGCTGGCATTGGGCAGGGCAGTCTTGAATTTCGATGCGTATCTGAAGCAGCGGGCATAACTCTAGGCGTAGTATATTAGCAATGAATTATTTAACCATCTCCTTCTCCAGTCATAGCTTGCAACCTTCTGTCCAATAAGCAGTCTGTCGATGCGCTGGCGTAATCGTGCGGGGTTGCTGTCCACGGTCTCTGGACGACTTTTTCTCACCACCTAAACATGGACGAAATATTCAAAACTCACCCAGAAGCAACCCCCGAGGCTATCATCCAGGGACCTCAATATCGGTTTACCCTGCTTAGCGAACGCCTCATCCGGTTCGAATGGGCAGAAGACGGCCAGTTCGAGGACCGAGCATCGACATTCGCCATAAACCGCGAATTCCCAAAACCCAATTTCCGAGTCGTCGATGGCGACGAACTACAGGTTATAACAGACCATTTCCTTGTAAGCTACACCAAAGAGAAGTTCAGCCCCCAGAGCCTCGTCTTCCACTTCAACGGCAAGAGCATCAAGTACGGCTCGCCATGGCGGTTTGGGACACCGGCGGAGTTCAATCTCGGAGGGACGGCGAGAACCCTGGACGGTGTCGATGGACGGTGTGATATGGGAGAGGGTGTTCTCTCGAAAGCAGGATATGCGGTCATCGACGACTCAAAGAGCATGCTGTTCGACGACTCGGGCTTCGTAGCTCCGAGACGCTCTGGGGATCGATTCGACTGTTACCTCTTCTGCTATGGACGAGACTACAAGGACGCCGTTAAAGCGTTGTATGCAGTTTCAGGGAAGCAGCCTGCCATTCCACGCCATGTCCTGGGAAACTGGTGGAGTCGGTACTACGCCTACCACCAGGACGAGTACGTGGCGTTGATGGACAAGTTCCGCGCCCACGATATTCCATTGTCTGTTGCTGTGCTTGACATGGACTGGCATTATGTCTCTGACGAGCGTGTTCCCCATGCCGGGTGGACGGGGTATACCTGGAATAAGGATCTCTTCCCTGACCCAGTCAAGTTCAGAAAAGAGCTGCACGAGAGGTATCTGCAGATAACACTCAACGACCATCCCCACGGCGGAATCCACGCCAATGAAGACGCATATGAGGAGATGGCAAAATTCTTAAACCACGATACCACCGACAAGAACCCGATCCTCTTTGACCCAGCAAGTCCCGAATTCATGAAAGCCTATTTCAGTATTCTACACCGCAAACTCGAGAAGCAAGCCTGCGACTTCTGGTGGGTCGACTGGCAGCAGGGCCCATACTCCAAAATCCCAAACTTCGACCCTCTCTGGCTTCTCAACCACTTCCAGTACCTCGACAGCGCACGAGAGGGACGCATCCCGTTGATATTCTCCCGGTACGGCGGCCCAGGGAGTCATCGATACCCCATCGGCTTCTCCGGGGACACAGTCGTAACCTGGTCCTCTCTCGCATTCCAACCCGAATTCACAGCCACAGCGTCTAATATCGGATACGGATGGTGGAGCCACGACATCGGGGGACATATCCGGGGTATTCGCGACGACGAGCTACTGGCACGGTGGACTCAACTCGGTGTATTTTCACCAGTCATGCGCCTGCACTCAACATCCTCGAGGTGGATGTCTAAAGAACCCTGGCTATATGGCGACGAGTGCATGCGCTCAATGTCCCTCTTCCTACGCTTCAGACACCGCTTAGTACCCTATCTATACACGCAGAGCATCCTCGGCTCTAGCGCCGACGAACCCCTGATCCAGCCCATGTACTGGTCGTACCCGCATAGAAACGAAGCATACGAAGTCCCGAGCCAGTATTTCCTCGGCCGGGACCTTCTTGTTGCGCCGATAGTCCAGCCGCGCGATAGACGCACTGGTCTTGCTTCTGTTAGGGCTTGGTTGCCCCCGAAAGGACGCTTCGTTGATTTATTCTCCGGGGCGGTTTATGATGGTGGCAGGGGCGCTACCTTTTATCGGTCTATTGAGCAGTACCCTGTTCTTGTCCCCGAGGGGTCGATAATTACATTGGACGGGGATGCGGTTCCTCGGAATGGATGTCTGAATCCTGATGTGCTTGAGATCATAGTTGTGGTCGGGCAGGATGGAGAAACAACCTTGATTGAAACGGTAGAAGATAATACCTTCAACGGGGCATCTAATCCACACCGCGACCTGAAACAGCGAGAGATATCCATCAAGTTCCAGCAGCAAAAGGGCGAACTGGTTATCTCAGGAATGCAACGGCGATGCATCGTCCGATTCCTAGGGCTAGACTCGATCCCAGCGGACTTGAACCTCGCGATACCCAGCGACGAGAACGCTGATATATCTGTCTCGAAATTAGGACATTCCGCTCCGTGCCTTTCCGTGGATATCCCGCCATTGAAACCAGACGTGGATATTGTGATTAACCTCGTGCAGAACCCGCAGCTTGCGGTGCAGGACCATACACCCGCTCTTGAGGAGTTGATTCGCGGGTATCAGATTGAGTTTGGGCTCAAGGATCGGTTGTGGAATGCCATCGAGCAAGGCAAGGGGCAGCCGTTGAAGATTATTTCGTCGTTGTTGGCGTTGGGGTGTGATGATGCTGTTGTTGGTCCGCTGGTTGAACTTGTTTCGGCGGATGGGAGATCTTAGACTCTTAGTTCGCGAGAGTGGTATTAGACTACTTGCAGTGGAACGGACAGTAACTAGAAAGGAATATAACAGTTCATTCATTGCACTACTTGAGCCTAAATATTGACTAGCTGACTCCAAGACCGCTAAAGGCATGACTCTTACGGTAAGATGGTAGACTCTGTGGAAGGAAAAGAGCCCTGATATTCTGCATACTTCGGGTCTCTTTGTTCTCGACAGTCCCTGTTACAGCCAGAATCGTGAGAGCTTCAATAGGGTACTCAGAAGAAACATTGCTCAAGTCTTTGTCATATCTTCCAAATACCTTAACTGCTTACTGGGACTGGTATCAACTGATAACCGGCTTGTCGCCGAATAGCCCTAGAACAGCTGAGAAGGGCTCAGTTATTTCAGGAAGGCCCTTGGCAAGCTATTCTTGCAACTCTCTAGGAACTATTCTAGCAATGATGTTCTCTTTCTCGGCGATCTATACTGCATGGATGCCCTCGCCCGCAGTTCGTCTACTTGGCAGCTCGTATTCCCTCTTGGCTTCCTGCATCAAGGGCCATGCGGCAGATCGTGGACGAAGATCATGGCCTTAAATGCGCCAAAACGCCAGTATCGCGAATTCACGATGCGACAGATCTTCCCCCTCCCCCAGCACAATGGCGCCCTCCAACGAGGTGCGCGTGACGATCGAGAACCCTGAGAACCCGGTCCCAGGCCAGGACATCATCGCGACAGCAACCCTCACGCTCACGAAGCCACTGTCCATCTCCGAACTCACCGTCTCCGTCTACGGCCGCGCATTCTCGCGCATCTACCGCCAATATGTACTCAACAACTTCCGCTACGAATGGCGCGGCCAGGGCTTCTTCTTCAAGCGCTTCGTCGTCCTCGTCCCGTCCCCCACCACCCTGCCCCCCGGTACACACATATTCCCCTTTAAACTGCAACTCCCTGCGACGACCGAGCCAGTCCGCGGCAACTGGCACATGTTCAACAAGTGGAAGCCCCGCGACTCATTCCCCGGGAACGAAACCCCCCACCCACTACCAGGAACATTAGTAGACATCGCCGTGTCGGAAACCTGGGGCTCCACCGACGCAAAAGTGGAATACATCATCGAAGCACAAGTGAAAAAGGGCCCCGAGGCAGGAATGCTCGAATCCATGCCCAAAGACGCCAGGATATTCACCGTCGCATCCACCCCGAATCCCTCCCTCCCTCCCTCCCTCGACTCAGTCCCCTGGCACCAAGTCGTCCGCATAATCCAAACCCCCGCCGATCCCGCAAATCTAACCTGCCGCCTCCCCCAAGTCCTCATCCAGGGCTCCAAGATCCCAATCTCCCTCAAATCCGACCGCCCACTCATCCTCACGGGGCTGAAGATAAAGCTCCTCGTGGCGTATCTCGTGCGCGGCCGGAATCTCGTCTTCCCCGAGAAACGCACTAATGTAACACATACCTTTGAGCTGGTTAGGGCCGAAACGGGGAGTGCGCAGCTCCCGGCGGAGTATATGCTTGTGCGCGCGCCGGAGCTGCCGGAGGGTGTGCCGATGGCGTTTACGACGCTGAATCTGGCTTGTTTGGCGCACTGGATTCAGATTGAGTATCGGGTTACATTGCCTGGGCAGAAACAGGAGATGAAGGCTGTTATGAATGATATTGCTGTCCAGGTGCAGTCGGGAGCCGGTCGCCGGGGTGGGAATGGGCAGGGGAATCAGGCTGGTGGCTTTGTAGGGCAGGTGTTTAATGAGGAGGAGTATTTGAAGTGGCAGGCTGAGAGGAACTAGATCAACTTAACAGTAGTGTATATAGTATAGATTGATATCCCAACTGTCCTAACTGCATTCGATGCGATCGGCAATGGCTTAGATTATTAATGACGAATTTCCATTTGCGTTTTGTTTCTTGATGTGTAATTGTCTATCCATCAATGGTTCAATATATCCACCAGAACAAGAATAATGAAGGAATTTAATTATTTAAAAATACTGGATAATACTATAAGCAAGGTAACAAATAACAGCCAATGACAGAACAAACCGTGGAATGGTCTGCTGCCGATCGGCGGAATTCCGCCAGCACAGGCACCGAGATTCATATAAACCCTGAACCCAGGTAGAACAAATTCAGAAAACCATCCACCTTTTATTGAACCATGGCAGTAATTCCAATTGAAATAATTTCCGACGTCATCTGTCCTTGGGTATGTTTCCCTTCTTGCATAGTATAGAAATAATGACAATACAGTGCTTCATCGGCTACCGCAGCCTGCAGCGAACAATCGCACTTTACAAAAAGACCTACCCCGGAGGCTCGAAAGATGAATTCCAAATTGTATGGAAACCCTACTTCATCGATCAGGTTGCGCCAGAAGAGAGCGTCCTCGTCAACGGTATGCCTACCTACTTTATATGCATATCTACCCCTCACTTACAGAAACAGACCGCATGGCACGACGCATGACACCAGCCCAGATAACCGCAGCACAGACCCGCCTGATCAGAGTCGGAAAATCCGTTGGGATCGCGTTCCGGTTCGGCGGGTATATTGGGTCCTCGAGGCTGGCGCATCGGGTGTTGCATTTCGCCCTAGAGCGGGGCGGGAGCGAGATACAGTGCGCGGTTGCGGAGACACTATTCAAGTACCAGTTTGAGATGGAGCAGGACGTCAGTGACGTCGATGTTGTGGTTAATGCAGCTGTGGGGAGTGGGCTGGACGAGTCGGAGGTTCGGGCCTTCTTGGCTGGTGGGGGAGGGGTCGAGGAGACTGAGAACGAAGCAAAGGGGTCCAGGGCGCAGGTCCAGGGCGTGCCGCATTTTGTGATTGGAGAGAAGAACCACCTCGATGGAGCAGGGGAGATGGAGGAGTTTTTCCAGGCGTTTGTAGCGGCGAGGGCGGGAATGGGAAAGACAACTGCATGATCTGGACCAGCATCATGCAACCAGCGAGTTGGCAGTGGAGATCGGGCCGATCCGATGCCTGACACTCTGGACAATGAAATAAATGGCTTTATGTAATGGGCTGCAGCCCGCCAATGAAGAGTAGACAGCGTGCTTAATGTCATCGGCCTATATGCATCAATTTTGTCTGCAAGCGCGATTGACGAACTGTTGCTTTTCCATTTCCCCGCCATGCCACGGCCCTTGCCACTCTGCTGCATCCCTCCTTAAGCTGGCCGTTTCCTGGTGTTCCCTGTTCGGTATCACGGTCCTCACAATACACAGCCATGGATGATAGAGACTCGATGTCGTGCTCGTATACTAATTCTTCGTCGGCGAGTCGTACTCGCTCGATGAGTGTGACGTCGTCGACTGTGACTGTCCCCTCTGTCCCTGATAGAATCATCGAGCCGCTGGATTACTATTCAAAGCAGAAGTTCCACCCGGTGCATCTGTTGGACACCTTCCAAGGTACCCGGTACACGGTCATCCGCAAATTAGGGTACGGATCGTTTTCCACGGTCTGGTTGGCCAGAGATAGCAAGTATGTAAAGCCATGCAAGTATGTTACACAGCTATGCAAGACGCAACTCTAACCAGTCAGATCCGACCGCTACGTCGCGTTAAAGATTGGACACGCCGAGTCTGAGCCATCCCCTGAAACTGGCATATACGACAAACTAGCAAAGCCAGTCCCCATTTCGCATCCCGGCCGCAACCATTACTTGCCCTTGCTGGACCATTTCCGAGTCATTGGCCCCAATGGTACGCATCAGGCATTGGTCTACGAGCCGATGGGAGCGAGCGTGCATGAGGTGAAGGATGCTCTCTTCCCCGATACTCCGTTTCCGCTCTGGACAGCCAAGTCTATACTATGGCAGACTTTGCTCGCACTGGACTTTATGCTGGCGAATGACGTCGTGCATGGAGATGTACAGCCGCGCAATCTCCTCTTCACATTGGACGACCTGGCACATGTACCTGTGTCTGAGATGTCCCAGGACAAGGAGATCCCGGTGACTCGGGTGTTCGATACGAATCTTGGTGGTGGCATTACAGGACCGGAGTACCTCGTCGCCGCTGACTCCTTGATGCAATACATTGACATCTCCCGGCAGTTTACAATCAAAATCTCAGATCTCGGCGGATGTACGTCCCGTCTCCCTATACTTGCACACAGCTAACGAGAGTGACAGCCTTCCTAACATCCAACCCCCCCAAAACCCCCTCTCCACCCCTCCACCTGCGCGGCCCCGAAACCCTCTTCCAAGGCCTCGTCTCCGCAAAACAAGACATGTGGAGCTTCGGCTGCCTAATCTTCGAGTTCCTCACAGGCACCGACCTCTTCGATCTAACCGACTACCCGGTCTCCGAAATCACAGACGACATGCACTTCATAGACATGTACAACATCCTCGGCTTCCCGACGGACACTAAACTCCGAGATACACACTGGCCCAACTGGCGCGAGTTCTTCGGTCCAAGCGGCGAGCGGATAAACCACTACAACCGGAAACGGGGGCGGGATTTTGATAGTGAGGGCAGACGGACGGCGCATACATTAGAGGGGTTATTGGAGGAATCACTGGCAGGGAGGTTTTCGGGTGAAGAGCTGCAGACTACAATACATTTGCTGCGTGGGTTGTTGGAGTTTAATCCGGAGAAGAGGTTTACCACGAAGGATGTGCTGGCGCATAGGTGGTTTGAGGAGTTGAGGGGGTCTGTTTTGCTTTAGCTGGTATTCATATTACTTATCTGTATTCTCATTAGAACTGTCCCATCAGAACTGCTCCATCAGAACTGCTCCATGAATGTATAGACATCGGACTTGGTGGGTGTATCGGATTTAGCACTCGGGTATAAATGCACTTTCCTAATTAGGCAGGACAGGGCAGGTCGTGGCTTCCTCTCTGGCAGTCGAGGCACAATCAGATTCATCATTGAAGAACGAAACAAAATGTCAGTCCAACCGATGCCTTCAACTCACAATGTTATGTTATGCCATCCTGCTCCTGGCCTCCAACGCGTTTTGTCAAACATTCGACTACGTCGTCGTTGGCGGCGGAACGACAGGACTGCCACTCGCTGTACGCCTGGCTCAGCATCATAAAGTCGCTCTCATCGAAGCCGGAGGCTACTACGAGCTCGAGTATCCACTGGCCAAAACACCAGCCGCGGATGTCCTTCCTGTTGGATCTGACCCTGGCATCAAGAAAATCCCCATAGACTGGGGATTCATCACAACACCACAGCAAGGTGCGAACGGCCGGCGTGTTCACTTCTCTCGGGGAAGGTGTCTAGGTGGATCGTCAGTATACTCACTAAGGACTGGCATAGGCTAACCTCAATAGGTCTGCTTTGAACTTCATGATATACCAACGGTAAGCCTCCCCCGGTGAATCGAATGCATAACGAGTAATCAAACAGACCGACTAGACAGACGATGGATAAGTGGGCAGAGGCCGTGAACGATACCAGCTATAGCTTCGATAACATCTTCCCGTTCTACCAGCGCAGTGCCAATTTCACGCCCCCGAATACAGATAAGAGGTTCTCGAATGCGACTGCGCTGTACAATGCGAGTGCATTTACGTCTGATGGTGGTCCGCTGCATGTATCTTACTCTAACTATGCGATGCCGTGGTCAACGTGGGTAGCTCGGGGCATGCAAGGTATTGGAATGACAGAAGCTGTAGACTTTAACAGTGGTCAACTCGATGGATATCAATACTGCACATCGACGATTCGGCCAAGTGACCAAACCCGGAGTACGTCGGAATCCTCGTTCCTCGGTATTCCAGCCCCGAAAAACCTCAAACTGTATAAGAAGACTCTGGCAAAGCGGATTTTGTTCGACGATGATAAGAACGCTATCGGTGTGCAGGTGAGCCCGTCGCGAACTCTGATGGCCTCGAAGGAGGTGATCATTTCCGCTGGAGTCTTTCAATCTCCGCAGCTATTGATGGTGTCGGGGATAGGCCCTAGAGGGAATCTGCAACACCATAACATATCAGTGGTATCGGAACTTCCAGGCGTTGGTCAGGGTATGCATGATCATCCGTTTTTCGGACCGAGCTATCGGGTGGGAGTGGGAACTATGACAAGACCTGCGACCAATCCACTATATCTGGTAGAAGAGTACCTTCGTTGGGCCATTCTGCACGACGGTCTCCTTTCTAACCCGGTTGCTGATTTTATAGCTTTTGAAAAGATTCCCGACGAACTGCGATTGGGGTTCTCTAAAGGCACACAACAGAATCTCTCCTACTTTCCTAAGGATTGGCCAGAGGTCGAGGTACGTGATGCCCGTGATACTTGGAATATATGCTGATAGTCTGTAGTACATGTCAGGGGCAGGCTTCCTTGGAAATATTTCCAACATGTTCAAATACCAACCGAAGGATGGCTACGAATACGCATCGATTCTCGGAGTACTGCACGCCACGACCTCGCAAGGCACTGTAACGCTGGCCTCGGCGGACACTTCTGACGCACCGATTATCAACCCGAACTGGCTGGAGACTGAGTCGGATCAGCAGCTGGCTGTTGCATTGTTCAAAAGGATCCGTCAAATATTCGCCAGCGAGGAGATGCAGTCAATCATAATCGGCCAAGAATACTACCCGGGCAGGAGTGTTCAAACAAACGGGGAAATTCTGGAGTGGATACGGAATAATATCATGACGCTGTGGCATCCCTCCCGAACCTGCAAAATGGGCACCAGGAACGACACCATGGCTGTTGTTGACAGCAGAGCTCGCGTCTTTGGCGTCAATCGATTACGCGTGGTCGATGCCAGTGCAATCCCCTTTTTGCCACCAGGGCACCCTCAGTCTACTTGCTGTGAGTGTGTCCTGGATTCCAAAGGCCACTACTAACCGGCCAGACATGCTCGCGGAGAAAATCGCGGATGACATTCTAAGCACGGAGGATGTACAGGGGCAAATAAGGTCCGATCTACGTTAGTATCGTTCAGCACAGTAGATAGGAAATAGTGAAATACTTTGTGTTCCAACGATTGTTGAACGTAAAGAGCGTAACTAAAGTGGATGTCCAATCATTGTTCTCAAAAGAACGAGAGCAAGGAGAGCCTCTTAGACATGAACAGCAATGACACAAGAGAGGAAGACAGGTTGAACCCACACGCGTATCGCAACTACCAGTTCTCCTTGTGGCAGAGGTCATCCTCCTGAACGACAAGAGACCAGTTGTCGGGGTGGTTAACAACGCCACCAGCAACCTTCTTTCCGTCGTAGGTATCAACACAATCATGCATGATAGTCTTCAGACTGTCAAGGATATTCCGAAGGGGCATGATACGGGGATCCTTGGTGTCCTGCCCATCTAAGTCAGCGGATGTTCACCCAGTACCTAACTAACTTACCTCATTGCAGAACCTCACACCGTTATTCTTCTCGCACCAGGTCTCGCGGCAAGAGTTTGGCTCGGCGCGCATAGCCACAGGCAGGTTATCGTTCTGCGTCTGGATCACGTGTTCGAAGACCTCAACGGCCTTTTCGAGGGACTCGTAGTCGGCGTGCGAGGCCTTGCCCCAGCAGTTGACGCTGTGTTGCTTTAGACTCAGTTAGTACTTGATACATGGCTGCAGGGAAACTGGGGTACGTACGCCAGAGACAGCGGGGGCTAGGCAAGAAAGCACGGCGGCCACGATGGAAATGCGCATCTTGGCTGAGTTTTGTGAGTAAATGCTCGATAGATATGCTGTAAGGGAAAGGTATTTATGGAAAGAAGCAGATGATCTGGGCATTTTTATATATCTTCATATCCTTCGATATATTTTCTATTGCAGTGAAGCTTGCCTCAGTGAAAGCAGAACCCAGTGGAGTATGTCCTACTACACAATCAATAATGAGGGGGAAGAAGGGAGGAACAGGCACTTTCAGGAATTGTAGTGAAGGCCGTTGTTAATTATTTGCATGATTTGTGCTTGATTGGGGTTTACCAGGGGAAACAACCTCAGAGGGAATACTGATTGAATAAACACATTCATGAGTGCAGTAGTCCTGGGCCGTTAAGACAATATTATTGTTCTGTCAAAATTCACCACTGCCCAGCGCAGACAAAGACATTGATGGGTGGATATGGAGACATGCTGTTCAGGGGTACTATTGACAACGAGGATGAACGGATTGACAATAGAATTTGTGAATATCAAGGTAAAGCCACTACCTGGGGACGCCACCGTGGATTATGCTAGAAGGCTCGAAGCTCAGGCTAGTATATTCATCAATGGACACTCAAATGAATGTAGAAGAAACAGCACCAACCCCCAGGGATCATACGGAGTCCATTGCCTGTGCAGTGTGTAGTATGTTCTAGGGCTCGGCACGGCAGCAGGGAGCCATCGGCATCCCACTCAAACGCCGTAATCTGTCCGGCACCAGACGGGCACATACTTCGACGGCAAATCCGTGCAAGAGAACCTCACCTACGACGTCCTTGAATCCGGCGTGGAAAGGCCATCCAAATGCGTTGAATTCTACACCAGCATCGGCCTGGATCTACCCACGGCTCTGGAAGCGGCGAAATGGCCTGCCCAAACGCGCCAATATAACGCGCGCGCTTTACTCGCTTTCGAGATGGGGGGTCGGTATCCCCGGTTTAAAGTCCCTGGTCTTGTGGTACAGGGGGAATTGGATAGGGCTACGCCTGCGGAGAGTCAGGTGAGGCATATTGCGCAGGCGATACCTGATTGTCGGATGTGTGTGCTCAAGGGGGTGAATTATTTCCCGCCGACGGAGGCGGTTGGGGAGATGGAGAGGTTGGCGGAGGGGTTTGTTGAGGGGTTGGCTTGATTATGCTTGGTTGGATAATTAGGGTAGAAGATGATCTGATTGTATTTATATCTGCTCTACGACCGGGGGTCTGGGCTACGTCTTGGTTTCTTATAGCCTCCTGTAATGGAACGATGGGCGTGTATGCTTATATTATGTATTTTCTAACCTAGCATTTTTATTGATGATTTCCATTTCTAGATCTGATATACCTGGAAAGCGTTATTCAATTCAACCAGGCAATCAGGAATACAATATTAGGAAGGATTTATATCGAATACCAATTGAAGTGTTTCTTAGATAGCAATGTGATATAACAATCCATTATACAGGCAGTTTCATGGCAACGCAGACAGCGATTATGTATCATAACAACAGTAAACAAAACGTGGTACAAAACTTGCAGTACATTCATAGCATGAAACAGCAGCATGCGACGAGCAAAGCAGCAGCATAACAGAACATTAACATGAACAAACTAATCCGCTTGGAAAGGTCGGAGCGTTGCAACATCCTCAATATGTTCGGAAGTTGGCATATCATCGTCATCGTCGTCCTCCCCGTCGTGGACGTAGACGTGGTCGTGGTCAGTGTCCTGGTCGGAGTCCTGGTAGGTATGGTAATCGTCACTATCGCCATAAGTGCCAAAGGTCGACTCTCCATCCTCCGAAGAAGAAAAGGGGCTGTCGGTGCGGGCGATACGAGCGACGCAGTAGTACAACGGATGGTTAGGGTTGTGGAGTTCGTTATCGACGTAGATGAACTGATCGGCGTATTCAATATTCTGTGGGCCTGGGTTCTCATCATCGTCATTGTCATAATAATAAGAGTCGTTTCCAGCAAAGACAGTATCTTCATCAGTCAGAGTAAAGTCCCGCTGCTCTTCGTCCTCGTCTCCATGCTCCAACCTATACTGCTGACTCGCACCGTGCGAAAGAGGTGGACCGAAGACGTGTATAGGTTGGGGCCCTGTAAACGCGGGAGAACAGAGGCTATGTACCCCGTTAAGGTATCGGTTGGTGAAAGTTCTGTAGCGAGGCCTGTTGGTCAGGCTGGGGTTACGGTTGTGGGTGCGAGTGTTGATAAAGGGGGCGCCGACAGAGGAGGTGGAGAAGGAAGAAGAGGGAAAGTCAGGGGAGGGAGCGTAGTTTTCAAGGGGTGTAATGAAGTCCATATTCTCTCGATATCCTCTGGTAGCCAGGCAAGAAATATTTGCTTGAAGAGTGGAGATAGGCAACTGATGCGTTATTGTAGACAGGTGGTTGTATGATATTTTGCGGAAGTAGGTTATCTCAGGAGTGCAGCTGGTAGATGAGAGAGAGATACAGAGGGAAAGACGGAAGAAAGAGGAGAGAGAAGAGAAAAAGAGAGAGGCGAGACAAACTGCCCTCAAGGGGGGACTGAAAACCCTATTATGACTCGAGAGCGAAGCTTCATCGGTATACACATTATGTTGTATTTGTGGTAGCCAATCTTGCGCAACTCTATATATCGCTCAAAAGGAACAAGCTTTTCAGAGCCTCTTGGAAAAGACACCCGATACATACATGGCCTGTCACGCCACACGCAGCTCCCTCTTGATTGGCAGGGTTCTAGGTTAAAGTATCCGAGACCAGTTTCACGTCTTGATAATGGGAGGAGCCTGATCCCTCTCCACTTTAGCATACCGCTCCTCTGAGACCCTCTGTCGCGATTTCTCCCAGAGCCTTTCTCTCCACCACCAGACACCCATGAGCGTCGCACCAGGACCGATGAAGGAAATCCCCAGAATAATGTAGACTGATGCCGTGACCAGATTAAGGTTCAGGACGCTGACTCTGCGCAAATCCCAAGCCGTAAAGAGAAGCCAGGTGGCAACGAGCAGGGCGAATACCCCAAAGTTAATGATCTCCGGTGTCCGGAGTAAGAGCGGTCCATAGCCCTGACGCAAATAAGGAATGATATCGAAGAAGATCATGATAATATGCCTAAACGCAGCAACCATGCTGCAGAAGAAGAACTGATCGAGATATTTTATATCGTAATCGCCGAACTGGTAGGCGGGTGCCCATCGTTCGCCGTGGACACGCACGATGCTCCTTTCGATCAATGTAGTTATAAGTGGGATTAGCAGGTGTGGCATCATTGTATTGCTCAGACTGATAAGGACACGCAGCCTGGAGAAAGTCTCGCGGGCCATAATAGCAAAGCACAGTGCCGCTGGAAACGCTTGGGCCGCAGCAGGAAGGATGGCGCGCGGCCATGGGTGGTAGAATCCTCGGAACGAGGAACCCAAAACCCAAAAGGCAAAATAGAATGATAGTGCAACTTCCCAGCTACAGTACTTGGCGAGAGCAATCCAGGGTATGGGGGTAAGAATGGGACCTAGGCTGAATGCTGAGCGATAGGATTCGATGGTCCAGAACGCAGTGATAGCAAAGTAGGAATATTCTATGTAGTCGTTCCAACTTTGCAGGAAAGGAGGCCTGGTTGGACTCTCTGGAGTAATGAGCGCTATTCTATTCGAGAGAATGGACGGAAGGATAAGCCGCAGAGACCCTATGAATATGAACGTGCAAATCCAGGTATAGGACGCTGTTGTAGAGCGATGTCTCGGTGTGGCCTGGATTTCCTCGTCGTATGGGAGGAGTCGCTTAGACCTGGCGGGTAGCAGGAGATGCTTCAACGGCTCACCCTGCGTCATGGCTTCTCCAATGGACGCTATCAAATTCTCACCAGGCACTGTGGGAAACAGATACAGCATAGTGAGCTTTAGTAGCGGTGTTGCGAGTGATTCCAAGTGCGCTAGTCCGCGAGCCCCGTCGGTCAGCATCTGGGTCCGAGGGCGTCGCTGCTCTTGCAGGTTATGGAACGTGGATTCGATCTCGGACCCTGTCGGATTCCATTTCGCTTGGAGGAGATCTTTTAGACGGTTCGCTAAAAATGCCGAGTCCTCGATGGCGGAATTTCCTCCTTGTCCGGTGACAGGGTGCATCTAGGTAACTAGTTAGACTAGACACAAAGGATGATGAAGTATGCCTACCTTGTGAGCCGAGTCTCCTAGTAGTAAGATGCGCTTATAGTAGCAGCGTCGCAAAACGAACTCCTCCACGGATACGAGGACCGCGGTTGTCGAAGCTCTATATATCTCCCCGAAGGTCAAGTCCGATCGAACTTGGTCGCGGGCGAATTCCGCTGCGTAGTCTTCCTTTTCTTGCTCGGTGTAGCGAAGATCTTCCCACGACTCTGTCTCTTTCCGCGTCTTGAAGAATACAACCCAGAATACAAGACCATCGGGGGCGCCAGAGCACAAGTAGTGACGGTCGTCGCGAAAGTGCTTCCACGTCTGCGTAGCCTTAACCTGCGGCAGACCGTGTGAGATGCCAAATATACAACTGCAATTATTGCGGATAGCTAAATCTTGTTAGGTTGCCCTTCGATAACATTCACGATATACGCATACCCTTTCTGTCTACGACGGTGCTGTGGTTATCAGCCTCCACCAGGCGCCACATCTCGTCGCGAGTCCTGCTCTTAATTCCATCGGCCCCAACGACGATGTCGCCAGTGAATATGCGACCGTCTTGCGTCTCTACGAGGATGCCTCTGTCTAGATGTTGGATCTTGGTGACCTTGGTTGACAGGTGGATTTTGGATCTGTCCTTGATGGCACCCCATAGAGAATGCAGGAGGCGTCGTCGTTCGACAAATTATATCGGATAACCAAGCCTACATAGTTAGTTACCGGCATCTCACTCTTTATCTGATCGCATACATGGCCTCTAAGTTTGCACCCATCCTCTCTTGGGTTCCCAGGTGTTTCCCATCCGGTCCGTACATGGCGAATTCTTGGACCGCAGTACCGAATGGAAGCAATTGCTCGTAGCAGCCGAGTTGATCGAGAACGCGTGACCCATGAGCGAGCAGAGCGATGCTCCCGCCCAGTTTTGGAGTGACATCGCTGTGCTTTTCAATGAGGGTGTAGTCAATCCCGTAGCGTTCAAGAATGGCGGCGAGAGTCAATCCGGTGACACTGCCGCCGACGATCAACACCTTGAAGGCCATGTCGAGCCTGCTGCATCACAGCAAGCGATGTTGAAGACGAGATGTCTTGCCCGTTCCCGCAGGATGCGTCTGCAATTTTATGGCCGGCTGTTGGAATGTTGGACCGCTGTTGGCGGCCGTTCCATTGACGCGCAATATGTGTCTCTTTCAGGCAAGATCACTGCAACGGTACAACACCATAGCAGTCAGTCGGAAGTGTCAGTAAATTTACAGTGGACCAACCATGTTCACTTATACGAGCTCCTGAGAAGTGAGCCATTGAACCATTGGGGCAGGCCCGGCCCACCCTCTCGTAGCGCACGGCTTCGATGTCGGCGTTCTTTGTTCCATGGAGCCAGGGATGTGCCGACAAAGAAAATAGCTTCCAGGATAAGGAGAGGAAGTTGAGAGATGGAGAGAGAGGTCGGATGCTGCGGGAACTGCGGAGTTGCTCCGCTTGTCCCGATCGGGAATTCTTTGTCTCCAACAATTACACATTTCCTCACTTCCAACTTCCAACTTCCTTCTCACCCAAAATGTCGAAGCTCAAGGTTGCCGTCTCTCAGTCCCACACTCAGCAGTCCCTGCAGGAGACAATCGATGCACTGGAGCGCACTGTCCGCACTGCAGCCTCCCGCGGAGTGCAAATCCTGCTCTTCCCTGAGGCCTACCTTGGCGGATATCCCCGCACCGCCACCTTCGGCACCCGCTTCGGCTTTCGAGAAGCCCATGGCCGCGATCAATATTTGCAGTATTTCAATGGCGCAGTAGATCTAGGGGATACCCCGACGGGCGCGGGCGACGACTGGGTCGAAAAGAAACTTCCCGTCGCCAAAGGCAAAGCATACCGTGGCGATGGGACGAGGGAGAAACTCGAGAAGATCGCCAACGAAACCGGAATTCTGATTGTTGTCGGAGTCATTGAGCGTGCAGGGGGCAGTTTGTATTGTTCTGCCCTCTATGTTGATCCCCAGCGGGGTGTTCTGGGCAAAAGGAGGAAGGTGATGCCGGTCAGTTGCGTAATCATCCATTGTCTTTGTCCCATGTCCGGTAGGCTAACAACGCATAGACCGGGTCTGAACGCCTCGTTTGGGCTCAAGGCTCCCCCTCGACACTCAAGGCTGTTACGACGGAAATAAATGGCGTTCAATTGACTCTCGCGGCGGCCATCTGCTGGGAGAACTACATGCCTCTCCTCCGTCAAAGTCTGTACTCACAGAACGTCAATCTCTACCTTGCACCGACTGTAGACTGTCGCGAGACCTGGCTTCCACTTATGCGCACGGTTGCTGCGGAAGGAAGAGCTGTAGTTCTGTCTGCTTGCCAGTCTGGTCGGTATAAAGAACTACCCAGCTGGGTTACCGAGGTCCCAGAGGGTGAGAAACTAGGCTCAGGTACGTACGCCACCACTACTATCCATGATCACCGCATTAATAGGCAATAGATCCTGAAGCTTGGGCCAGTGGCGGTGGCTCGTGTATTATTGGACCCCTGGGCGAGGTTCTTGCTGGGCCTATTTGGAATGTGAACGATAACAGTGATCTGGATAGCAGCCTCCAAATCGTCGAGGTAGACTTTGAGGACTGCCTTCGCGGGCGACTCGACCTTGACCTGGCAGGAAGCTACTCGCGCAACGATTCATTTGAACTGAATGTCAAAGGGTTGGACCTTAACCCTCCTCCTCAGTAGAATATCAATACTATCATACAATTTGCTCCTTAAACACTGCCGTCAACTGAATTGTAACCAACCACTCCTGTAATCAACCATCATAATACGGTCTATGGCCTGCCAGGTAAATGACGGCCTTGAAACTACGGGCAGAATCTGGGCTTACCTAATCCATTGTATGCCATCACTCATCCGGCTTGCCAGTAACACTTCACACGCAGTGTCGACGCGCCATCATGTCTTCTGCTGAAAATAATGCTCGATCGCTCTCGTGGAAGCTGAGATGGACACGCTACTTCTGGATGACAATTCAATACCTTCAAGTTCCTTGCTGAGTGAGATATTATCCTGATCCTCCACGGCTTTGACATCGTCGAGACCGCTGCAGGGAACCTCACACTTGATCCTCCCTCTTCAGCCCATACTAGGAAGATTTTCTATCCAAATATTTCATCAACCCCGACGTCTATGACCCAGAGACACTAAGTGCAGAGTCATCACTTGAGGTTAAGAATACCCACTAGATTCGCTGGAGCATGGCGGCACTCGAGAGGTGGCTGGCTACCTATTCCATTCACTTGGCCCTGGCTGGGTTTTCTCATGCGGTCCCAGAGGATGTATTGACTCTGACAGGTGTGTGGCATTCGTCCCGTCATGTATTGACCTCTCAGGGCCCTCATTGCTCTGTAAATGTGCTGATTCCCCTCCATCCAATATGCCTTCCAGTGGTTCAAGCTCGACAGTGACGGACAATAGTTACCAGGAAACAGTGAAATCGGCTCTCAAGAAAATACCCAATACATTAGGTTTTCTACCCAAATCCCACTATTATGAGTACGCTAAATAACCCGAGACTCCCTACTGCATTACCATTACCGATGAACCATTCACATCCTCTCCCGTCCGTATCACGTCAGCTGGGTGGCTAGAAATATGCTGTACCACCCACAATTGCAGCAAAAGCACCAACCATCATCATCATTCGAGATGACCGGAAAGCGGATTCGGCAGCTCCCGTGAAGACAGTGCCATCATCGGGGGTGTAAAGTGGCTATCATCAAGCAAGTTAATCAGGAAGCTCAGCGCCATACCTCTTCTCAGTGCAATGACGTACCTTGTTAATCAAATGAACCACGCCGTTCTCGATTATAATGTCTGATTGGACTAATCTAATGTCGTTATTCAGGACGACTTCCCCACTCTCATCGACAGTGACCGTAATATCCCGCCCATTGGCAGTCTGGAAGCTCGCGCCATCGACCAGACGGGGCGAGTAGGCCACCGATCCGCTGATAACGTGTGAGTCCGCCAGGGCCGTAGCCTCGGATTCAGAAACCGTGACGTTAGAGCCTAGAGACGCCGACAGGGCATCGTTGGTGGGTACGAATAGGGTAATAGAGGAGGTGGAGCCGAGCGAAGATACTTGCGAAGAAATGTGCGACGAGAAGTTGCTCGCCCGGGGTGACGCGCGCAGGGTGTCAGACAGGGGGCTCGGTGGAGTGAAAGGACTATTACGTATCAGCAAGACCAACGACTTGTTTATCTGGAAAGCGAAGACTACATACCCGCTGATGATATGTATAATCCCGCCGTTAAAGGGGATATCTTGCTCCACGATGGTGACATTATTCCCCAGACCACTGAAAAGGCCAATAGACGAATCCGCGTCATAGGAATCACCGCGCTGTCCCTGCGAAATGACAGCTTGTCCACGGCCACCCAGATTGGCATTGGTACTCAGACTCTCGATGACGCTTCCAGTGGAGTTGCGAAGGTCGGCGGCAGTGAGGAGCTGATCGGAGACTTGGTACAGGTACTGCTGTGTCTCGTCTTCTGTCTGACGGACACGGCGTGTTGGAAATTCGTCATCGACTGGGACGAAGGCAGTTCTACCTCCGCGGGCGCTGGTGGAGAGTTGCCTGGCAATCACTGCTCCCCAGCGACCCGCCCCATGGGATGATGCAGCATCGGAAAGGGACGCAGAGGACGAAGGGGTTTCACTCGAAGTGGCGGTGGGAGTGGAAGTAGAACTAGGAGTGGAGGATGGGATAGAGCTAGAGCTCAAAGTAGAGCTTGAATCATCCTGGGCAAGGGCTGTAGGAGCCAGCAGGGTCAGGGCCCCCAGAAGGGAGGTAAGGAAATGCATGGCGTGTGATTTTGACTTTGCAGCTTCCTTTGGTGGTCAGGGAAATGTAGGAAAGATCCTGTTCTCGCAAAGCATTTGAAGGAGAAGGAATATATACCTTTGGGCATCGCGGCAGACTGTACTGGAGTAAACCAATTGCAACATTGACAATCGGACTGAAGACTAAAAGGTAACGTACATTCCTCTCCTCGGAAATAGCTCTTCCATCTGCACCACGGCGGGCATCTATGGCCTGCTGTAAACCAATCGCTTCTTTAACTGGATGTGACAGGCCTGCATAGAGCAAACAGCGGACACATCATTCTCTCTCTGCATATGCAAGGCTGAGGCATTCAACCCCCGCCCATAACGAACACTCATCACGGAGGTCAGCCGACACCATGCGAACAGGATCGACTGGCCGCAGCCGGAATTCTGAATAGCTGCTCTTTTCGTATTCAGGCACATCCGTACCACGTCAGCTCACAGGGGGGGGTGGCGGAAATCCCGCTGGGTGTCTAGGAGCTACGTTCCGGGACAATCCTATCCAGTCACTCAGCTGCCATGCAAATCTGACAGCTAACAACGAAGCCGAACGAGGAGAGCTGAACTCGGGCAGCTCGACAAGCGGGGCCCGACATACAGAATGACCGAACATAACGCGATATCCATCCATAACTGGCTGGCATGGGCCTGCACTCATTTATGGGTTGGAAACCCTTGTCTGCTGGTGCTTTGCACTCTCCACCCTGAATTTGGGCGGGCTTGTCCTCCTTCGTGAAACTGCTCCAATTGATACTCTCATCATCAAAGAATTCCTTCATCCTCAGAGACCATGGAGAAGACAGAATCGCCCGTTGTTGATGCTCTCGTGGAGAATCCCACCGATGCACAACCGCGGCCGGAGGTACCACCGCAGCCACAACAAGCAGATCCCACAGGCTTTGACTTGGTCAAAGAAGGCTTCCGGAGAATTCTGCAGCCTCGCAATCTGGTCGGATTTCTCTGGCTTGGTCCGTCAATCGCTATCCTGGTCCTCAACTTCCGAGGCCACATTATCGGCGCTGGCCTCAACTGCGGCTCACACTGTCGCATCGATCCATATTCCACCAGCCAGATCGAGCAGATTGACCGTCTGGATGGCACAAACCGTGATGTCCTGGGCGCTCTGCAGTTCGTGGCTAAGGGGCTCGAAGTCTGGTTCATGTATGTGGCTGCCGGGTTCATCTACCGAATTGCACTCCATCTATCTGCAAAAGACAACCGGCTTCCAGTCAGCTTGTTGTTGGTATACGCAGAGTTCATGGACCTTCTCTATCTCAAAGACCTAGCTGTCAAGGCGAGGGATCTAGCCATGGAGAAGAACCAGACTACGACGAATCCAACATCGACGAGCAAGATATCAAGACCGGCCATTCTATACGTTTTCATGTTTGCTGCCGCTTGCTTGTGTGTGATAGCCAACCTGATGGGCGTTGCAACTGCCACTCTTATCATTCCAGGGCTACAGTGGATAGACATCAACAAGGACGAGTCTCTCGCATTCGGGGAGATGCTCTCGGCCGAGGCACCTCAGGACGACAACATCGCACGCTGTCGAGCGGGCCAGCTGGCGGACGGGGCCTATAGTTGCACTGACAATCTATACGGGGCCAGCCTCGATGAGTTGGTCGAAGCAGCCGTCGCAAGCGAGAGACAGTTCGAGGGACGGCAAGCAGTGCTGCTCCCCCCGGTATCCCAAGAGGCCAATCTGACATTTAGTGCCAATGTCTCTCAGTCTGCAGCCATTCAATGGGCCCCAAATAGACAGCTCCTACGCGGATTCTCAGCCGACTTGGCTGACTATTATGTTGCAACTACCTCGAATACTGGCTTGAACGACAGCTATCCCGATTCCCATCGCTTCAACCAGTCACTCCAAGCTCAGTTACAACGAGTTGGTCCCACTGTTGGGCTGGCCGGAAGCTGCTGGATATACCAAGGACCAGATATTTTCAATGTCTCCTCAAACAGGGAAATCCGTTGCTACCAAGGGGCGTCTCTCCTCAACGGCACAACAGCGACCAAGTGTATACGCTGGGGGTCAGGATGGAACGACAATTCGACCTCAGCCTCATTTACCATCTTGGACTCGGCGGCTCAGCTATATGACATGGACGTATCGATCTACACCACCCCAGCGGCCCGATACCTCCGTGACCAGTCCTGCCTAAGACAAGACTCCTGCGACTGGGACCAACTCTTCGCCGACCCGCCAGACTCACTATTCCGCAATATCTCCAGCAGCCAACAGACATACGAGTACTCAATGCCTCAATACACCAACGACACCGCAATATGGTGCGACAACACCGCCTTCCTCAGCTTCGCCTCCTACGCCCTCAATCCATCTCCCGTCTCCAACCTGCTCCAACTAGTCCAGCTCGGCGTCTTACAGGACGACCCAGGCTCTGACGAGAACACCAATGGTGCCGCCACTATATCCATCCACCCATCCTGGACACTAGCCGCATGGTCCGCAAACGCCACCGATGGCATTGTCCCAGGCACCCGCGGCTCAAGCACACGGTTCATCGACGCCTTCCAACGCTTCATATCCTCGCCCGCCGACAACTCCCTCCGCTTCAATCTCATCCACTCCTACACACTCCTCCAAGCCGTCTCCCTAATCCCATACACAACGCGAAGCATCTCAACAGTCGGAGACGCAGACCGGAACGCCCAGCAGGAGCGCGAAGCAGACAAGCCATACACGCAAGCAACTCTAACATCGTGGGCAACAGTGCAGTTATGGAAATTCGGCATCGACTCCCGAACAAAGACGCTGGGTGTGGTGATTTTCATTATCGGTATGGTTGTTGTGTTTGCTACCACGGTGCTGTGGTTTGAGTCGCCCAAGTCGCCGACGAGTATTGTTGTTACGGCGCTGATGCATCCCGCGCCTTCTGATGGGGTGGTCAGGGATGCCGAGTCTGGGGCGCCGCTTACGGCGAGGTTGAGGTATCAGGTTATGCAGGGGCAGGCAAACGGGGATGAGACTGGGACTGGGAATGGAGGACAGTCAGAGAGGGTTAAACCGCGTCGGGCTGTTTCCTTTGCCTTCAGCCATCGGTCGACATCTTAATGCTTCACTCGTAGCTGAGGTGGGCAAGGTGGCTATTTGCTGAGGGAATCTATGTCTAGCGGCTCGTACTGGTGGATGGGAGGTCATATCAAAAACAATTGGTTATTTAATGTAGGATGGAACACTACAAGGTGAGTATGGTTTAGGGCTTATGCTGATGCCGGATTCAATATTTCTCCTGGTTATAAGATTGACTATAATACACACTCTTTATCTGAACCGTCAAAGTGGATTGGTTACGTACGAATTGTATAGAGGAATATGAAGTACAAACCCCGTACCATTCACAGCGCAACAACACACCTAGCTTTATACACAACACCAACTACGCCGAACTATGAACACGACCGCTTTGGATTTCTAGTTCCCGCCGAACAGAGATCCCCACCAGGAACCACCCTCCTCATCGTCAGAACCCTCTCCCCAGCCACCATTTCCACCCCAACCACCATTTCCTCCCCAGCCGCCGTTTCCACCCCACGGGGCAGAGGGACTAGCGCCAGGCGCCTCCGTAGGGATAGTTCCAGTAGGAGGGGTGAAAGTCGGGAATGCACCAGTCGGGGTCGGGAATGGAACAGGGGGAGCACCGCTAGGTCCGCCGGGGCCGCCGCCAATGGGACCACCGGTGGGAATAACAGGGGTAGACGGAGTTGGTGAAAGGGTGTACCGAGCGGCGGTAGGACCAGTGGTGCTGGATGCAGAGCCGGAGGAGCCAGAGCCGGCGATGTCGTAGCGGTCCTTCAGGTTTCGCCACCAGTCGCGGAGCATCCAGAAGTCGAATTCGGTGATTTCCATGGAACTGCCTGCCAGCATGATGAAGCTGTCGACGCCAGTTGGGGTCCAGTCGTAGAAGTCTATTCTAATTAGCAAAATTCCATGAAATAAGGTGGATGTTGCGGGAACGTACCATCGAGAGCGAAAGTGTGGCCGAGCTCGTGGAGGTAAATGTGGATGCTGTCCGAGTCGATGTTCTGGAGGAAGTACTCCGACCCAACTTGCTGACCCCAATCGCCGCCGAAGCCGCCCTCGAGGCCTTCGGTTAACCAGAGACTCTGGTCTACGAAAGTCAGTAAATATTCCCGTTGATATGTGGGTAGGTCATACCATAGTGACGGTCAGCACCAGCCTCACAGCCGCTGTAGTCGCCGTCAGTGTGGAAGAAACGGCCACAAGACTCAGCACACTGAGGCTTGCCGTCGGCATCGGTGTCAGTGTAGATGTCAATGCCTGAAGTGTCGCCCTCGAGCAGAGACTCGTCCTTCACAGCCCAACCAACGACACTAACTTCGACGCTTTCATAAGGCCAGCCGTCGAATCCAGCAAGGCCAGCAATCCACTTGTTGTAGTGGGTGCTAGCAGTCTTGGCAATCTGCTCGCGCTGCTCCGCTGTGACGGACTGGGAGGAGTCCCAGCGGACACAGTAGTTGATCTTTCCTTCAGCGGCAATGACCTGGTCGAAACCATAGTTTTTGAAGGTCAGCGGCTCGCTGTAAGTCTCCATTTCATGGTCCCAGACCTCCTGGAGGGGCGTCACGAGGTCAGAAGGGGGGTCCCATGTGGAGGGAAGGCTGCTCTGGCGCTTGGCAGCCGGAGAGCGGTACTTGGGGACACCAATGTGCCATGGGAAGTTACTGTCGTTCAGTTCGCGAATGGAGATAGACTTCTCGTTGACAGGGAGCGCGGCAACATGGCTGGCCAGCAGCTGAAGCGCGGATAGGGAGAGAGCGGCTTTCATTTTGGATAAGGGAAAATAAAAACAACGAATGGAAATGCAGCTAGTCAATAGCTAAGCATGGAAGAGAACGGATGGGCTATCAACATGGCCGGAGGCGTTGGCAACTGTATATATAGACATCCTGAAACAGGGGCCCAAGAACGCCGTGGTAGCTTGGTGGACGCTGGTGGAAGCTGGTGGCCGCTAGGGGCAGCTGCTGACAGCTTGGCGGACATCTTGGCAACAATATGGGCTGGAGAAAGGCCGCTTAGGTAAAGATCAATGAAGTGATATTCAGTGCAGAATCAGGGGAGGTTGAGGTTCAGTGCCTGGCAGGAACCTGCAGTTCCACCAAAAGGAACGGTCGGACCTGGAGTGCCAAGAGAGACGCAATCTATGAGAGACAGGTCAGAGACAGGTCCACCCCGCCGGCGCAAAGCCAAAGGCTTGGTACACTCATTCCGAAACGGTGGGGAGACTCGGATAAATCGCGGCCACGAAAACAGAGACCGCGACTGGCAGGATTTTCCGATTCTCGTTGGTGGACACCGGAATCGCCCCGCCGGCGCCCACCGGGCTGACGGGCAGGCTGGTCTGATGTCTCTCGACACCTCTTGCCCAGGCCACTCCATCCCAGACATGACGGCAGCGACGCGGTTGCTGAAGAAATTAAGGCGGCACGAAAGGGACCCGTGTCTGTACATCTATCCCTTTAGCATCCCCTGCCTCGCCGTCCACTTCACGATTGTGCTGGCGCTGCGGGGGAAGCTCCGGCCCAGCCGTGATTTATCCCATCTGGGCTACCGTCTCGTGAACATTGAGAAGCACGAGAACCTGCGGGAGTGGTATCTCGTCGAGGTGAACGCATTGGGTCGAGTACGTTGTTTCATTCTAAACCCCGGAATTCGAGGTAACCCGTGCTGCAGGTGCCAACTCTAACTGGCAAGTCGCTGCCGTCGCCAATAACGGACGCGCTGTCGATCGTCTACTGGGTTTGCGACCAATGCCCAGGTCTACTGCCCAAGGAACATCAGACTGAGATATGTCGTCTCCTTTCTCAGCTGCACGAGACCATCGACGGGTACACAGCTGCCAACCCCGCGGTGGAAGATTTTTTAACCAACCATGACATCACTGATACCCACCGCGAAGCCCTGGAATACAAGCGCGATCGGTACGTCCCTGAATCCATGAACTTTATCGGTCGCTGACAGGAACCAGGCAAATGAAGCAGCGGGAAATGGTGGCAATGAATATATCAGCCGGGAACAGCATGACTGGCAATTCTGTTGCCTTTCTAGCAGAGATCGTGGCGTTGCGGAACAAGTATAGCCGTGGTGGAACCTGGATCTTTGGTGACAAAATCGGTCCAACGGTACTGGATGCCCATGTTGTTCCCTTCATCGCGCGGCTTCTCGACATCAACCTTGACGAGCTGGTTCCTCCTGAGCTGCGCGCATACGCCAACACTGTCCGAAAACTGCCACCGGGCCAAGAGGCATTGGGGAAGAGACCGACTGTGTGGGACCCGTCGCTGGGGTCTATTGACGAGATCCGACTATGATTGACGATTGCTCATGACCTGTATGAATATTTTAGATCCTTGTATGTTATAGACGTTTAGATCAAGAGCTGCAATAGCTGCAACTGCGACCGATATTGGCAAGTATCAGTAGACCAGGTGGTCGTAATACCGCCCGTCCATTCCGGCCATTGCGCGCGCGTCTCTGTTAAAGGGCTCTTTGAGTCCGCCGACGAAGTACTTCCGTACGTTGGATCGAAACACCTCCACCGGATCGGACTTTTCCTCCTGGCAGATCCAGGTAAGCCATCGGTGGCCCGTAGTGACATGGGTGATCTCGTCGTTGTGTATGACCTCAAGGGCCTTGACACTTTCATCGTCCCGAGCATTCCGGAATTTCGCAATGGTCATCGGATTGACATCGAGGCCACGTGCTTCATGAACCAGAGCGATGATGCTGATTCGGGCGCGGAGATCATGCGCTGTCTTGGTCGCCGACTCCCACAAACCGTGGTGAACGGGGAGAGCACCGAAGTAGGAGCCCATCTCCTCAAGGCGAGTACGGAGCAGGGAAAAGTGCTTCGCTTCGTCGTTCGCGACCTTGAGCCAGTCGTGGAAGAATGTCCGGGGTAAGTTTCTCGCAGAATCCGATGCTTCTGGGCTAGTTTGGAATTCGGCAAACCGGACGCAGATATCCACAGCCAGGTCAATTGCCCACTGTTCAATATTCGCCAGAGCGTGGAGCATAGCGATTCTGCTCTTCAGTGTTCCCCCTCTTCCGGGTTTCTGCATCGCACCGGGTCGGACTTCAACAAGCTTCTCCCGTGGCGGTGTCGGGGGAAGCGAGGCAGGGGTTGGCCCGATAATTGTCATCGGCGAGGATGTACCCTCTCGTTTGGTGAATGTCGAAAACAGATGAGCCGTGAGCTCTATCTTATGCTCGGAATTCGATGTGTTCAAAATATGGGCGCACCAGTCGCAGAGCGTTGCATTTTCATCCAGATACTGCGCCGTTGCTGGCGGCGTGGTGGGCTGTTCAGTCTCCGCCGAGGCTGTAGAATCAGAGCAAGGCGTCTTCAGTTTGATCGCCTCACTGACCGGCTCCAGCCTCGCAACAGAAATATTTTCGGGGCCGTAACTCAGGAACACATCGTCCCCATCCACATCGATCGGGAATGTGCACGCCTTGATGCCGACACTGGATTCGCCGGTCTCCACATTGAAATCGTATGCATGCCACGGACATGACGCGATGTATGCCGAGTCTTCGATATCGACTTGAGCATCTTCCATAGGACCGCCAGCATGCGGGCACTCAGCTTCCATGGCGTAATAAGACCAGCCGTCATTGCTTTCATTGCTCGCTTTGCTGCGTCTGCCTGCGTCGATTGACGGCAGGCGAAAGAGCACCAGCCGCTTGCCGTCCGACAGATGGATCACATATCTAGTATATGTGAGATTAGAGAGCGAACCAAGACTGAGTTTCGGCATTGTGGAAGCTTGTAGAACGCTTATCGTGGGGAATTTCTGATGCCAAACATCATCAAAAAATTGTCAGCCGGAGCATTTCCGTTGGTGGGGGATCTCATTACTAAGCATCTGCACAATTACATAAAACCAACATAACAATATCTATGTGAACTAATTTGGAAAATGTTTGATTACTTTGGGAAGTAAGACTGTGTAGATTGAATAACAAACAGAAATACAAAACTAGATACAGACAATTGCTTCTGACTGCCAGTACACGTATGGCCCAATGTTGAATGAGGTCAACCAGTCTTCAAAGCTTCGAGCAGATATACACCCCCGCAAAAGACCTAGCAGTAGTCGCTCTTGTCCTCGCCACCATCCTGGCAGCCACTGCGGCAGTAAGTATAAAACGAGATATCGCCATTCTGTCCTCCGTTGCAGTGGAAAAGCGACTGGTTGATGTGACTGTTGTCTGTTGGCTGGTTGGCGTTGTCGAGGGCCTGGTTGACTTGGGCACCATATTTTCCTATATCCTTCTGTTAATTGTTTTTTCTTTTGGTTAAGGTCGAAACATACCAATGTCGAGAAGGTTCCAACCGCAGTAGTTGAGGCCAGTTTTGCAGTTCCGGGCAGCGACTAACGGCGTAAGTGTGCCAATGGCAGCGACAGCGAGAGCAGTGAATTTGACCATTTTGGTAGTTGTATGAGGTTTGAAAGGTTTATCTTTCGAAGTAGAAATAGAGGAGTGGTTGCTATCTGATTGAGTATTGGAATTGATGGTTTCTAGAGCGGGGATTGTCAACCTCTTTATACCTGGCGAGGACGCGGGCTTGAGCACTGTCTCTTGAATGGAATTCGGGACGAGTATAGTGCGTACTGCGCCCTCAATCACATGGTGGTAGGTCTATTTCTGTAGTTGTAAAGTCTCACGGCTCTTGGTAAATTGCTCGATCTGACGATAAACCGCGAGGGCCCACGAGATTTGTGAAATTACTGACAATAACACAGCTGATAGGGACAGAGAGCTCAACCACAGTGTGTCGTGGGCGAATCATCGCGAAGGCGTGAGGCTGTTGAAGGACCATATCCATCTGTATCTCGCCTGATCTGCAGATCTAATGCCGATCTGGGGTATACGACTCCGTACTCTGGGTAGCCGAACTACCCTTTGGGCCTTTCGTATTTCAGCCGTAGCTGATGCGGCGGGATCGACATATTGCGGACGCTACTCCGCAGTACGAGGGTAGGGCAAGATATCTGTGAATAGCCAGGGAAAGCAAAGAGTTGTTTGCCAGGGTCTAAGTGATAATAACCAGCCAGGTCAATTGTTTTAGGCGTGCCATTATCGATCTACATGGTCCCAAGCTATTCTCGCTATTAACATCCTCATGGGGACATGGAGACAACCAGGTCATGACTTTCTTCACAAACAGGCGAATATGAGTCCCCTTATCCACTTTTTAGCACTATCAAGCACCTGGGACCAGTGTGGATCACTATTCCAACTAGGCAAAAGCAACTCAACAGACTAAAAGACAGAGAGTATGCTAACACGAGAGCGAGGCCCAAGTCTGTATACAAAAATGGACCCCCCTACATCATGCAGTCCAAATGCATCACGCTGAATTCCGATAACATCCACAAGTCCTTGACTGATGGGAGCAAGCGCAACAATGAAGACCGAGCAAGACTTCCAAGCCCTGAGGCCAGGGGTTGGCACTGTAGCCGCAGCGACACTTGAGCAGCATGAGAGTCTTTCCTGTAGCAGGGATGGGGCTTGTTACGTACACAGGTCCAAGTGTTGCCGAGCGTTTGGTCGACAAGGTCATGGGTGTTGTTTTGCTTTCGTACGGTCTCCATTTTGATCTACATGGTAGATACAAGTCAGGATATATTCACCCCGTTGCTCAGTGCAATTTACCTACCGAGTTTTAAGTCAGTTTCAATCAAGATTGTCACGAGTGATACTGTCGTCAGTGGTGTAAAAATTATAATTGTTTGAGAAAAGTCTATTACTTCCGCCGGCTAGCGAGATATATATATACTGTACATGACTCAGCGGTGAGTGATGGATGACCTTCAATGCCAGCCTCATCCGAGTTTCCGGCAGACAACAAGGCTGAGGCCCGTGAATATGCATTGCAACCAATCTGGAAGTAGTGCTGCTTGAAGTCGCCCGTATGATTTGTAGGTTGTTTGCTTTTGAGGTCATGAGACGGCGGTAGCCATATGATAATACGCTTGGCATAACTATACTGCTTCACGGTATTATTTGTAAAAACAAAACTTTCCCATCCAAATGATCCGGATAATTGTTGGGGTACTGCCATTTGGGTTTAGTTATCACTACCATCCAGGAGCGTCTATGGTTCGCCATTTTGTTGTGTCTGCCTGGGGCGACATAAAGATGCCTCAGGCTTGCCAGGAGGGACGATGGCGGTAAACAATGACAGCATTCCAAGCCAAACAACCACGATAACCAGCAAACATCTCACTGTCCTTGCTGGTATCGCAATGTTGGAGCCCAGGTGATCTTAGTATCTGAGGCTCATGAGTATCATTGAATCTACCGGGTGCTGCTGCCACTAGATGCGGAAACTTGACGAACGCGCCAACTATAGACGTGACTTCGGTGCAGCAAACAAGAAGTCGTTAACCATTGTCCCAGCAGCTCTCGCCAACCCGAAGCTGAATACATAACCACCGCCTCCTGTACCGTATGCGTGCACAATGTTCTGTCCATCTACGACTTCCTTCTCGACTCGAACACCGGGAGATCGCCCTGGCCGGATTCCCACGTTGTCGCGGACAATCTCGAAGTCTGCCGGCTGAGCGCCGGGGAACACACCAGGGAGGTTCTCGTGGACGCGTCGAAGGATCTAATAATGTCAGCTGGGGCTGATGGACAGTGGCTATGACACTTACGTCGAGCTTGATGTCTTGATCGACCTCCGGATATCTGTCATATTGGTTAGTAGGGACGTTTGACCGCTGGGCGACACTTACGTTTGGTCGACCTGCTTTATTCCTCCGAGGATAGCTGTCCCGTCTAGGCGTGGTATAACGTATGTGTAGTCCTTGCCGTGCCGCATGAAAATCTTGTCATGTCGTGTCTTCACAAGCACAGTTTGGCCGCGGATTTGTTGTACTCCCTGGTCCGCAACGTCTGCGAGAAACTTTGCCCCGAAGCCAGTCGCGTTGACGAGCACCTCATGCCCAAAGCCCTTCAATTCGGACAGTGACTTCAGGTTCTTCCGTACAAACTTCACACCGGCAGCTTCGAGCTTCTTCCGGAGCCATGGAAGGAAGACGGCCGGTGTGATGACGACCGATTTATCTACCAATTAGCCTATGTAAACCCGTATGGAAAAGACAACTCACAGCTCATTCCAAGCTTGGTGCCCTTAGGCAACTCACTGGGCGACATTACGCGGAACTACCAACGTCAGCATCGCTTTAGCTTTTGTATCTCACCACTCACCTCTGGCATCAAATCCCGGTACCAGACTTTCTCCAGTGGTGTCTCATCCTGTAGGTCATGCATCTCGATGATCTGGTATAACTGTTAGAGCGACCCGTAAGTTTTTACAGCACGCCGTACCCGAACACTGGACTCCGGATCGCTCTTTGCAAGGCTCCACAAGTAAGAGAAGGAGTCTGCCTGTAGCTTCTGTTCGAACGGAGTTGACCCATCCAAACCAAGGAAGCAAGCGCCTGCCCAAGGACTGGACCATTCCCGACTTTCGCTGTCGCCCGGGAGGTTACGAGCGACAATCGTCACTTCGTTTGACCTCGAGAGCATGCTGGCAATAGCCATGCCGGTGATACTGTGCCATTGTTAGCACTGGCCATGAAACCTTGGAAGCACGTACCCGGCTCCGACAATAGTTATTTTCGGCATTATGGTTTATCAGTCCCAATGTTCACAGCTGATATGAGACTGGACTCGACTCCAATATCAGGCCTTTATACCGCTTATCCTAATGAGTTGGAGTAGATATCTCTCTGCCATCGGCTGTTCGGCCGCTAGTCCTAGGCCCCGAGTTCTCCTCCAGAGCGGCCTCCTAGCGCCCGACAATCGGCCGGCTTCCCTCCTATCACGATGCGACCCAGCCGGTTGGAGCACCCCTGCTATCTCCAAGTTGAAGATTTTGCGGGGAAATACGTATCAGTCCTTTATCACCAGGGCTGTCGGCCGCCTCCATTTCAACTTGTGGCTTTCTGTGCCTATCAGTGGCTGCGCGCTATAAATTGAGTCTTGTCCATGATGGAGTGACCAAAAACCATTCCGTCAATCCAGTGCTTGAGGTATATTGACCTACCATGGAGTCCCCAAGTGACGCAGTCATAGTAGGTGGCGATGTTCCTGAGAAGATAGCGGAGAATATTCCAAGGCCCTCGTCTGTACATGTTCGCCCAGGCAAGATCGAGAACACCAACTCGGAATATCTTCTGTTCCTGGAGCTCAATGAACATTTCTCTGGGAAGCGACTGCAGAAGTTGGTCCGGAAGGTCGAGTAAGTGTGTTGACTTCTTGTCATTTCTAAACTAACTCTTCAGTTTGCATGTCTTGCCGCAGCTGATTATAATTTACCTCATGTCATACATCGATCGAACAAATGTTGGTATGTATGTTCTCAATCACCATACTTCCTCATTTAACAGTTCACAGGGAATGCAAGACTCTTTGGTGTGGAACCTGATTTGGGCCTAAGCAGCCAGCAGTGGAATACCTGCCTGTCTATATTCTTTGTCACATACGCACTCGGGGGAGTACCGTCGAATATAGCACTGAAACGGTTTGGGCCGAAGATCTGGCTACCGGCTCTCCTACTATCCGTCTCATCCATTCTGGTTTTCACCTCCCTCCAGGTCAATTTCGGAGGCTGGGCGGCATTTCGCGTGCTCTTAGGAGTGTTTGAAGCAGGCGTGTTCCCCGGGTGTTCTTTTGTTCTTACCTCGTGGTACTCGCCTAAAGAGGTGCACTCTCGAATGGCGATTTTCTACTCCGGGGCTTCTGCTGCAGGGGCATTCTCTGGTCTACTAGCATACGGTATTGGTCAATTGGATTACACTTGGGGCTATCGAGGATGGAGATTCATCTACTGCATCGAAGGTAACTCACAAATCGGATACCACTTGAACGCAGTTGCTGATAGCCTTAGGGTTGTTCACTTTTCTCCTCGCACTCGGCGCATTCTGGTTCGTGTATGACACACCAGCCAAAGTAGGTGGATGGCTCACACCCGAGGAGAAACAATTCCTCATCCTCCGCCACAAATACTCCGCCGGGGGCGAGACAGGTGTGGCCGAAAAGTCAGAGTTCTCCTGGAAACACGCCGCCTCTGCGTTCAAGTCCTTCCACATCTACGCGACGGTGCTTATCGAGTTTACCCTCTGCGTCACTGTCTACGGATACTCCTTCATCCTGCCAACTATTATCAGCAATCTCGGGTATGACGCAGCCGAAGCCCAGGCGATGACAGTCCCTCCTTACGTGTTTGCGTGCCTGGTCACAGCCTTCTCCGGCTGGGCTGCTGATCGGTACCAACAAAGAATGCTCTCCGTCCTGCTGCCGAATCTCATGGCTCTCGCAGGATTCATTATCGTGCTAGTCAGTGTCAGATACCCCGCCGTTCCAGGAGTGACGCTATTTGGGGTCTTCCTCATCACCGGCGGGCTATACCCGATCTCCCCAGCAGTGACTGCCTGGATCTCGCTCAACTGCGCCGGAACAATGAAACGAGCCGTCGGCATTGCGGCCATGGTCAGCTTCTCACAGCTCGGCGGTGTAAGTCTCGTGAACTCGTACTACAGCATGTCAATTAACCAGTGTCCAGATTGTCGGCTCCAACATCTACATCTCCAGCCAAGCACCCACATATCCAGTCGGATTCGGAATAAGCATGGGAATGCTAGCTGTATTTGGCTGTATTTGGCCTGTGATTTATTATTTTATTCTCAAACGCATTAACGCCAAGCGGGCAGCGATGGATGAGAATGAGATTCGGTCGCGGTATACCGAGGAGGAGTTGTCAGAGATGGGCGATAGGAGCCCGTTGTTTAGATATGCCACTTGAGTAGTTCAAGATCACAATCGTGATGAGAGTTTGCAGATAATGCAATATACAAAACAATTTTCCACCCATACCCGATGGCTTGGGCCTTGACCCATCGGTCAGCCCGTTTAATGTCCTCTTATCCTGGGCCGGGTAGACTAGGCAGGTAAATGTACCATCTGTGGGACCTATTTTCGAGTCGTAATGTCAGCGGGGAATGAATATTTATATGATTGGGATTATACCATAAATTCAGTACACGCGGGCCTCTGATGGCTTTGGGTATAGTGAATGCTATAGCCATGGCAAAGCCGACGGGCTGGATATCGGTAATCGTTATCCATGGATTAAATCAACAATATCTATTATCTTAATTTTCCAGCTCATTGGCTGATTTAGTGCTTGATAAGGATCGAACGGAGTGACTCCAACTGCAATCTTCCCCGCATCTCGGGCTTCTTGTTTCCACTATCACGACAGCCGTCTGCACGACATCACAATGCAGGCCTCAAGCCCCCGAATAAACACTGCCTGTTATCGCTGTTACAAACGTAAAGTAAAGTGCTCGCGGGGTAAGCCTCCATCCCTGATTTCTCGGATTCAAGCATAACACATCCAGAAAAACCATGTCGGAATTGCCGCCTCGCAAATCGCGACTGCGAGTATCCCAACCGAGACCGCAATGTCTCCGTTGCTGAGAGTTATCTTCGCAGCCTGGAGGCCAGAGTTGCAAATATTGGACATGGTATCCCGGCTGGCCATCCTCCGCTTACTCCGGTGGATGTGAATCTCGCACCGAGCACAGAACCCCAAGTCGTTGGTAGCAATCTATCAGACCCGCTTGTCGAAGACCCGACGTCGGAGGTATTTGTCTCTGGCTTGAAGCAACTGCATTCGCCGACCATTGTGCTCGCTGGACCTGAATTCCCTACGGTTGGGGCTAGTCCGTTCATTGAGACCCAGTCTGTACAGCGGCAGGCGTATGAGTACTACCATCTCGACTCTGATACCTTAAGTAAGAACAGAATCGCTTTTCGTGATAAAGACTAACAAAACCAGATCCTCCCTGCTCTTTCAAACTTCCGCCATACCCGTACGCCCTCACCCTGCTAGACCGGTTCGCCGTGTTCATTGGTCATGATTGGCATTGGTTCAAACGAGAGACGTTCCGGAGGAGGCTCGAGCTTACATACAAAGACCCCAAAGCAAAGGAACTAACTGATAGACTCTGGCTATGCCGCCTGCTTGTTGTATTTGCGCAAGGGGAGACCTACAACTCTGAGTTAGCGCCAGAGATCCGACTGGGAGATGGAGCTACTCCAGATACATCAACAAATAGTGATAGCCAGGTAGCACCAGGAACGGAGTTCTTTGAACAGGCGTTGTCTCTTTTGAATGTTCGCTATGAGGACCCTTCCATCGAGCAGGTCGAAGCGCTGAATCTGGTGGTAAGTATACATTTATGACGACTCAAACAACACTGACGAAGGACAGGCCTTTTACTCCTACAGTCTGAATCGGAAAAAGGCAGCATACATGTACGCGGGATTGAGTGTTCGAATGTCCAACATGCTAAAATTGCATAAACCGTCCTCGCCAACGTCAGAGGTGGAACATCGCAAGCGAATCTGGTGGACAACGTACTGCATTGATCGGATGACAAGCACCGAGATGGGCCTCCCGCCTGCTTTCCAGGTTCAGCAAGTAGAGCAGACATATCCTGATGATTCCATGCTCTCTCCAGAGGAAGCCAAAGAGTTTTATGATGCCGAGACATTGACGACACAGGTCCAACTGGCGTTTATCCACGCCGATATCTGCGAGAATATGCGGAGTATCCGGAAAGACAACACGACAAATGTCGGCGATCTAACTCGGTCCATTCTCCATAGACTGGAAGAAGTGCGAGCACGCCTGCCACCGCGCATGTCGTTCAATGTGGACAACGGGATGCCACCGGCAATGAAACAAATGCCCGATCGATGTCTGGCGTCAGTCTACCAGCGATATCACCAGGTATCCCCCACCGGTATCACCATATTCAAATTCAAGCTAATAAGGTACCTCTAGTGTTTTGTCCTCCTTCTACGCCCTCTCTTCCTCAAACAAATCAGCTACCTCCTCGCCGGCGACACAGTGAAAGCATACCAAGACGACCTCAAATTCCTCACAAACACCTGTCTCCGAGCAGCGCGAACAAACCTGAAAATAATAATCGATCTGCGCGGCTGCGAGCGAATGAGTATGCCAGCCTCGCCTCCTAGAGATTGCACTGAAATGAAATGCTGATAGATCGTGACAGCCCGCTTCGGTTTCTGGGAAAGCCTGCATCTCTTCTCGGGTCTTATGATACTCTCTCTGGCTATGTCAGTGAATTCGCGGTGGCCTGGCAGTTGCGAAGAAAAGTCCGATGATAGGGATACATATGACACGGCGAAGCAGCTTCTCGACGAAATGATCAACGCTGGGAACCTTGGATCGAAGGGCCACGGGCAGATGCTGGCAGATGTAGAGGCGTTTCAGAATGGACTCTTCACTGTGCATCCTGGGGCTGTTGACTTCCAGTGGGATGTTGACGAGTGGATTAACCAGTTGCTGGGGGCGTAGAGAGACCTGGTCAAAGTATAAAGTCGCAGTCTGCTGTAAAGGACAATATATGTTGGCTTCTGAGAAGAACCTCTTGAAAGCATGATAGACTATGGATGTCGTCCATACCAACCAATAACAGATCTCCACGTTCCAGTACGTGGAGATGTAAATGAATCCAGGCCGTCCTTCCATCTTAGACACAACCCGCAGATCTGTGAGGGCACTGCATGAACCGTGATCCGATCTCGCGATCTCCCGCACGGCCCGCGTCTGAGCAACAATGACCGTGGTATTGGCGGGACATGGTGCTTGATGTGATGTAATTTTAAGTGGTTTAATTGCAATGTTTCCTGAGTTCGGCTGGTGCTAACTTGCAGATCTGGTTGGGAATCATGCTGTATTATCTCACCTAATGACACAAGTAGTGGCTTTGTGCTTGTGAAAGACCTTGACACGAAGCTATAAAGAAAACTTCATCTCCGTCTTCTACACCACCCATTGGAAGTATGAGTGACTACACCGGCCCTGGCATCTACATCCTCGAGTCCGTCGCTACAAACACTGTGGTGAACCTGACGGGCTCATACAAGGCAGACGGAACCGAAATCATCGGCTCGTCCGTATCCTCTTTACAACTATTCCCATCCCAACGGGTCGATACTGACTGTTGATAGCCAGAAGTCCGGCACTGCCAACGAGAGATGACAGATTGCCCACGCCGGTGATGATGAGTACTTCATCATCAATGGCGCAACCGGCATAAAGAACATCCCAAGCTGACTATGATATAGGGGATAACGTCGTGCTCACGTGAAACCTACACCCGCTTACAAACAAGAACATCCGCTGGAAGATTACGGCGGCCAAAACCGGAGCCGGAGGATATGTGTATGTTGCTGATCTGAGCTGCCCTGAACATGCTAACCCGGGGAGCATGGGGGGAAGAACCAGGAGTGGCTTCTCAAGCTTCCAGGCACTCCTGCCTCTCTTTATTAAGGTGGGGGGAATAATCGATGATGACGGTGACGGTATATAAGAAATAAATAAAGTTTATGACTTTGTACATCATGTTCTGTTTGATAGTAATACCGTACCCGTATAGCTCGGATAAGAATGGGAATAACAAGCGAATAATGTCAGCATGAAGATCGCGGCGCACTCCGCCAGCTCCATCTTCCCCGCCCCCGGACCCATTCCGCTTCTTCCTCCCAACAATTTCTCTCTCCTCCCCATCATCACAAGCACACCTCTCACAATGGTCACCCGCGGGCGCCCAAGCAAAGGCTGCCATGGCTGCCGATCGCGGAAGATCGCCTGCGACCAGACCAGGCCGCATTGTCTGCAGTGCAAGCGCGACGGCCACGTCTGTCCGGGCTACCACGATACCCTGTCGTTGATGTTCCAGGACAGGAGCCTGCAGACAGTGGGCAGGCCCACTGCTTCAAAAAGGAAAACGAAACCGAAGACGACGAAGAAATCGCGCGATGCTGGCAACGCGCAGTCTGCAGGCTCAGGCTCAGCTGCTGTCTCACCATCGAGTGTGCTGGACAGACGGGCATCAACATCAACATTAGAATTAACACCGACATCGACATCTAGCTCGCCGTATTCCTGGCAGGACGGAGGAATAGATCAATTAGAAATACTGCGCCCGTCGTACCAGCCGACCCGCGACGAAGCGATCAGCTGGTTCCTGCGCCATAACGCATGGTCCGGCGCACTGTTCATGATCGATTTCGACCCGGGGGTCCTCGCCCGAACGAATGTATCGCTGGGCGAAAGGACCAGGATGGCGAGTTTGGTTGCTGCCGGATCGGCAATGCTTGCTCGGGCACGGCGTAATGGGGGGAGTGCTCTGCAGTTGCAACAGAATGCCTCGCGCGAGTATAGTCAGGCACTCACTCTCATGTCGCAGGCTGTTATAAACCCTGTCGAGTCAAGAAGTAATGCGACATTGTCTGCTGTACTGTTACTGGCGCTTTTTGAGGTATGTTCTGATCAGCTTATCTTTAGACCTGACTAACATGTCCAGCTTATAACGAATCGAACGATGGGCACGGTCGAAAGCTGGACGAGACATATCTACGGGGCTTCTGCACTGCTGGACATGCGGACCCAGGAAGAGCTGCAGAATACAGAAAGTCTCAGCCTTTTTATCCAGTTACGCTTCCAGATTGTATGCCCACCAGTCCACCACAATATGGCTGCCACCACTAACCTTATACAGATTATAAGCTGCCTGCAATGCGGACTCCCTGTCCCCGAATCCCTCCTGGACTGCAACAAGATCGCAATGTATCTCCGCCCCCATATGGAAGGCTACTGCGACCGCGTCATCTACATCACCGGCCAGCTTTCCAACCTGCGCGCCGAGATCATCAGCGGCGGGCTCTCAGACATCGGCGAGATCCTCTCAAGAGCCTACTCCATGGAAGCAGCCCTCACAGCGTGGGTTGCCTCCGGTCCGCCCGAATTCCTATACACTACGATCGAATACCCACCGTCACAACCACAGCCAGCGTTCTCCTGGAGCACAACATCCGGCTGCACCCCGCCCCTGTACAAAAACCGCTACCACCTATACAATGACCTCTGGATCTGCCACACCTGGAACCAATACCGCTACTCACGCATCCTGCTGTGCGAAATCATCATCGGCTGCCTCCGCCGCATCTCCCGACCGGCTGGCCTGGTTCCAGGGAAAGACCTACAACGACAGTGCACCGAATTACGAAAGACAACCCGCGATCTGGCATTGGACATATGCGCCAGCGTCCCATACCATCTTGGAGCCGATTCCCTCCTCGGCTCCGGCCGCGGTATCCCCGCATCCCAAACATATATTGGCGCTCTGTTACTTCTCTGGCCATTAGCCGTCGCCGGCGCCACCGAGTGCCGAGGGCACCCGATGCGGCTATGGGTGATTGAATGTTTCAAAATAGTCGGCCATGCGATGGGCATTGACCAGGCCCTTGCGGTAGTAGAAATCATGGAGATCGAGGCCGGATATTTCGAGGACCTGGATGACGCCGAGGACGGCAGTATCATTTTCCTCGAGACGGACCGCACGCGGAATAATCGGTTTGTTATTAGTGCTTGGAGCTCGATGCTCAAAGCCTGTTAGCCATGTATGCAGTATGCATCTATCGATGGCTCTCCTGGATAGATAGACAGGAATAATGTAACAAGGCCAGTTTCGCAGACGAAACGTGCAATTTCCGCGAGTTCGAGCCACGATATCAGCACCCAACGAGACTGATCTATACGATATGACAGATGACAGCAAGTCGACGTTTCATACCAGCCTCGACAATCCAGCTCAAGACCACTGACTCGCCAAAGGGTTCGCTGCATGGGACAGGTTCCCGTTTCACGATCGCATTGGAGCCCATCAGCCCGATTCATTGGGTCGACCCACTGACTATTGCTTCCTCCTGATGATCCATACCATTGACGATTAAACGGCCCATCACAGAGGCATTCTTGGCGAATTATATCTCCCACAGCAAGGCAAGCAAATGCCAGGCTCAATCTTGATCTCTTAAGCGATCCTCGGCTGGAATAGCATTCCGGCTTAAAAGGCATTACGCCCCTTTTCCCGCAATTCTGGTACACGCTCATCAAGAAGAACAATACAGTCACTATGCGTCTCGCCTTCAACGTTCTCAACGCCGCCCTGGCCATATCCACTGCTACAGCCGCACAGGACACGATCGACCGCGACGTCGTGATCCTCGGCGGCGGTGCAACAGGGACCTACGCGGCCGTCCAACTCCGCGCACAAGGGAAATCCGTCGCGCTCGTCGAACAGAAAAGCCGACTCGGAGGCCACGCAGAGACGCTGTACCTGCCGAACGGAAAGCACGTCAACTACGGGGTAGAGGGCTACTTCAACAACGAGCTCTCAAAGGACTTCTTCTCGCAGCTAAACGTCGAATACGAGCCTCTCCTCCCGGGCTCGTTCATCTCGCAAAACGTCAACTTCGACACCGGCGAGCGCGTGCTTCCATCAAGCGAACTCCTCACAACAGTCGTCGCGGCTACACTGTATCGCAACGCGATTGAGCAGTTCGACTACCTCTCCACAGGCGCATACTACCTCCCCGATGAGATCCCCGAAGTCCTGCTGCGGCCCTTCCGCGAATTCGTCGAGGAACACGCCCTCCAAGGCGCACTGAACCTGATTTTCACTTTCGCCGAGAACGTCGGCAATATCCTCGACCAGCCGCTCATCTACGTGATCCAGAACTTCGGCGTCCCGCAGATCGACGCCCTCCTGCAGGGCGGGTACATCACGCCGAAGAACGGGACGGACGAGCTCTTCAACGCCGCAGCGAACTACATCGACGACTCGACTAACATCTTCTACGACAGTATCGCCACGCACACCGATCGCTCAGAAAAGGGCGTGGAGGTCACAATCCAAAACTCCAAGACGGGCTCTAAGAAACTGATCCGCGCAAAAAAACTACTCATCGCATTCCCGCCAACCCTCTCTAAACTGGAAGGCTTCGATCTCGGCGACGAGGAGAAATCTCTCTTCTCGAAATGGACACATAAGAACTACTACGCCGCGGCGATCACCAACACCGCCATCCCCGACGGGTTCAACATCCTCAACACAAACCCAGACAACCAACCAGGGAGCCTCCCCACAACACCCTTCCAATGGTCCTTCGAATACTCCGGCGAGCCGGGGTACTTCATGTCCAAGATCGTGGGCGAGGATAACCTCACTGAATCCGCGGCGCGGGAGATGGTAATCAACGACATCAAGCGGATGAGCAAGGCAGGAACATTCAAGATCGAGGACGGTCGAGAGCCGGAACTTGCGGCCTTTGCGTCGCATTCGCCTGAGACGTTGATGGTGCCGATTGAGGATATTAAGAACGGGTTTTATAAGCGGCTTTATGGGTTGCAGGGCGTGAAGAGCACGTATTATACAGGGTATACGTTCTGCACGGACTATTCGACCCCGTTGTGGAATTATACGAGGAGTGTGGTTGATAGTATGGGGTTGTAATATTATAACGAGTATATATGAATGTTTGGTGTAAATCTATTATGATTTAGATTATTGCTACCTTCATTCAATATGTCAATAAAAGAGAAGAAATGGAAGCACATGCAAAAAAAGAAGTATCATAGGATTAGGCTGTATAGTCTCCTGCACGGCAGTCTTTACTACAGGGTAAATGGTAATCTACTAGCACTAGCCTTGAATATCGGGTCTCGGAAAACCATCTGTTTTATGCTGCAGTCGTAGCTCATATCCAACTATAAACAGGTGTATTTACATATATTTCTCCACCTGTTTCTTCTTCGTCCGATCAATAATATCAATCCACTGAGACTTCAGACCCTCGCGAGTAAGTATAGGATCTATCGCCTTGCGGTGGCCATCCTGTATAAGGATATCTATGACTCCGTTGGCGGCTCCAGTGGCCAGGGAAACGCTCGTGCTACTGGCGCACTTCTTCCCGTGACTGCAGAAAGGCAACCTAGTTTCTGGCCATGAACATCACCTTGCCAGCTTACGACTTCACGCTACCAATTATCAGGGTTAGGCACGCCTTTGTCGTAGTTAGGTAGTCAGCCCTGGACCATTGTTATCGGAATATATAAATGATGCGTACCAGAACAGAGCCAAGCCATGGTATTCATCTCGAACATGGCTCCGCATTTGCCCTACACCGAATTTTAGAACCGATAATCCATCTAAGAAAAGTTCGTTTCAACAAAGTCGACGAGAGGTTTGTTACACGGTCGGCTCGACGGCTTTCTTTGTTCCCTGGTCTGTAGGATACGCCAAAAGTAGCATGCCGAGCCCACTCCCGTCCACGGTCCCTACCTATAACGACCCACCAGGGACGCAAGTCGCCGTTGAGTGGGTTACAGCCATCAGACCCAGGCTGCTGAACAATCCCGGAACCCTTGAAGGTTCGAATCATGTTTGATTCGAGAGCGAATGAGGCTAAATTGGACATGTTTCTAACATAACACCATGATGAATATAGCCTGAACTGAAAACAAATTTGTTATCAACCTGGCAAGGTGGCCGAGTGGTTAAGGCGCACGGTTCAGGAGGTACCTGGACTACTGAAAATTTCTATAAATTTCCGTGTTCTTAATTGAGCGTGGGTTCGAATCCCACCCTTGTCAACAATTTTGAAATTGGTTTTTTTTCCAAGCCTTTGGCTTCACTCGTAAAAAGAAATCCGAGGACGCCGAGGGTATGCATGATGAATCCCTAATCTTGGGTTTAACACAGCTATCTATTCGAAATGAATTCTCGCTTCAAAATTATTCTTTCATCTATCCAACCTGACTTTGGCAACGTTCGTGATAGTACAAATGCGTGCCTCGCGAGAAGACACCCAAGGCATTCAAAAAGTTTAATATGCTGGTCACTTATGATACCCTTGAGCAGACCATTCCCTGGTACTTCCCAGCATGGTGTTCATCATCATCGTCGAGCTTCCCAACTCTGCTTACTCCAGGTCACTCGCTCTCAACACTGGTGTCTGTGCGGCCGGTATACCACACTGTTCACTCTGCATGCCTAAACTTGCGAAGAAAATGGACTATCAACGGGATCCACAAGCACAGATCATCGTGAGGCAGCCAGCGACAGAAATCGTGCATATGACAGGTATGGATAAGTCCCACGTGTTGTTGAGTCCGGTGTGCAGCTCATTTGTACTACACCGGATTTTGGAATCGGTGTACATGGATGAAATTGAAATATGTCAAACTAGATGGTTACGCGATCAGCTCGAAGGTCGATCGTACGATCTGCTAAACTCAAGCCTACGGCATATTTGCGATGGTGGTCAGCAATACAAGATCGATCGGAGTTGTGGACTGCAAGAGGACGCTGGGTAGAGTTCTTTACGTCAATGTAGGCCGCAACCGTGCATTTGCTGTGGTTACGGCCGGCTGGTTCCAAGGTTCGCCGTGAATGACCGACATGGGCATCATGATATCTTCGCTGCAGACGATGTCTGCTTGTATTGTGTGTAACAACTGACATCAACTTCCACGATCGTACGAATTAATTTCTGCCATTTGGGGCGTGCTGTTCGAGTTGCATTCTGACCCGGACTAGATATACGCCGGAGGGTTCCCCGAATATCAACCATGGAACCCCGGCGAATAGTGGAAGCAGCTTCCGCGCGGCTGACAGAGCCCAGCTCGCAAGGCCGGGGTTATTTTGGGACCCAGAGACTTGTACGGGGTGCCCAATAAGCACATCGGCACTCAGCCTTGTCTAGAACAAAGTTCAGCCTTAAGGCGTGTCACCAGTGCCAGTCGCCAGGTTCCAGATGCCTTTCTGACTCGCCAACCACGATCTGGCACGCCTAACGCCATGTTTTTGGGACGGTGAAGGATGCCGACTTCCGAGAATACTCGACCTCGCGGATTCCGACTCTCGACGTCAGCCAAGCTGCAGAACCTGGGGAATGCAGCATCCGCCCCCGTTCCCCCGTGGTTGATAGACACTGCCTCGTCTAAACTTAAGGCTGTACAAGTTCGTACTATTCTGGGAAAGGATCGTACAGCCCGGGCTGTTGGCTCTGATTTTGGACTTTGATGCGGGCTCGCACTGACCATCAGGACACAGCCCTCAACCGACAGGCTCGGCAACGTTCACCTTGGGGTTCGTGCAGATGCAGATGTTCGTATTCCCCCGCGCTGGTATCCAGCTCGACCAAGCTGGGCTTCTGGACTGTCCTTTCTGACCTCATGAGTCTCATCGGAGGTTTACATCCGTAGTTCTTTGTCTTGTCTTGCGAGACCCATACCTACGGACCAGAACAATTGCTTAGACTTGGTTGCAATCCCAGGTGTACTTCAGCTGCAAGCTGGACATGGATACAGTCAGAGTGAGACATGGAAGAGACATACGAACTTGGCAAGCCACTGGTGCTGCTGTCCGCAAAAGGCAACCTGGCCCACGCAGTCCGGTGACAAGAAGCATTGTTAGCTGGCTCGATGGAGGAGCCACGGAAATTGCAATCCAAGATCATGCCGCTACTACCGGGGATAAATATAGACAAATAATAGATCCTGGCGTGCAACCTTGGGCTCCACCGCGACAGCCCTGTAAGCTTGATATGACATGTTTCTGATCCTTTGACACTGGGACAGACACCGGACAGTCTTGATTTAGATCTTGGATACTGCGACGCTATGACTCTGCAACGCTGCCGTGGCGATGCCTGAATAGAGCCCAGAGGAAAAGGTATAAAGAGTCGGTGCTTCCTGCCTCTACTCGTCTCTTATCCAGTATCAATCTAGCCTCTAGTCCCAGTCCAACACTACTACTCTACCAAATCTAGACAACAGTCTTAACTCTTAACATCCTTACACAATGAAGTTCATCACCTCCACCGCCGTTGCCCTCCTGGCCGCCTCTGCCTCAGCCCTCACCATCCGCGCCGATGGCTCACGCACCGTCGTCTTCACCAACGAGCAGAGCGGCCACGGCCAGGCCGCCGACATCCCAACCAACAACCACCCCGTCTCCGTCAAGGCCAACTACCCCGAGCTGTACAACCCCTTCCACGTCGACTCCGTCCTGATCTCCTCGGGTGTCGTCGAGGGCGCCAACTGCAGAGTCACCGGCAAGAACGACAACGGCCACTGGGTCGACGTCGTCTCGGTCAACGGCCGCCAGAACTACGCCAAGTTCCCCCAGGACACTGGTGTCAACCCCGACTCTCTCACTATCGCTTGTGTCTAGAACGTCCTGGCAAGATAGGCGGAGATGTGCCTGCTTCCCCTCATTGATGCGAGGAATGGAGTTACAATAGCCTTGTTTATATCTTAATTGTCATTCCTTCTAGACGGGTTGGCGAGTGTCGCCCATTTTGATTAATATTGCTTTCTTACAGATCTGTATTGTCATTCCTTTGCATTGTTGCTAGAGGGGAAGTTGTTAATATGATGGACTTATTTGACTATGTTCTTCCGTAAACTAAATTATCCCTGTAGCAAACGATCTTCTGTGGCTGAAGGTTCAATGCACCCCACACTTTGCAAGCCCTGGTTGGTTACTGAATGGTGCAGTCACCATTCAACTCCAGCTGCTGCCTAGCACTGCATTTTTAGGGCCCTGGGCGCGTTGACAGCTCGCGAGGCTGGGCGGCCTTGCGCACCCTAGTCACATTCATCTTCAGTCTCTCCCAGACTGTTCGGTAGACCAGGCTCGCGAGCAGAGTGAAATTTCTCTTTGATGATATTAAGGAAAGTTATATCTATACATAAATTATAATATTTAGTTGGAGCATTCTTCCATTCCCCTTTCTATACTTTATACTTATTTAGAAGACATTTTCTGTAGATAACTTATTGTACGGCTTCCACCGCTAGCGTGGAGTAAATGGTTATATGATATACCCCAACTCTGGCGACTCACTCAATCACTCAAAGTGAGGCGACGTATTGCTGTGTCCCACACTGCATTTTTAGTGCCCAGGAAGCTTGGTGGGTGGATCAAATATCAGACGACTGCACACAGCGCCGGCGTACTGCAATTTTAGTCTCGGCCAGTCCTTGGATCTCTAGAGATTGGGTCCAGAACGAAGGCTACCAATTTCATTCTGAGTTGATCGGCGGCTTGGTCGGGGCCGTATCGTTATCACTGCACTTTTAGTCTCGAGGGGCCGTTGACAGTCTTAGTAAAGCGTGGAATGCGCTTGGCAACCTGTACTGCAATTTTAGTCTCGGGCAGCCCTTGAATCTCTCAGAGATCGGTACCAGAATGAAGGTTCTGGACTGGTGGCTTTGCCTTCAGCCAGCCACAGCTATCCGGGAAAGGCACAGGGGCAATCCCACTGCATTTGTAGTCCCTAGGGGCTGTTGATAGGCTTTGTCGTGAGTGAACTGGTTCGGAAGTACTGCATTTTTAGGGCCCTGGAGGAGTTGGAAAACTGCAACTCTGATTAGTCACAAGCAGGTAGACATAAAGGCGAAGTCTACTTCCTGGCATCGCCTCCCAGCGGTGACATCGTGCAGTGTAGTTGTTGTACGGACTATCCACTAGACGTTGTATTTCCCAGACTGAGAAGCCCGGCGAGCATCCGATAGTCTGTAGACGATATTTGGCATCACTTTTCCTTCTAGCCTTGACATCAGCCAAGTATCACGAGTTATAAACTGGTTGCTGACTGTATTTTTAGTCTCCGATGGCTATTGGACAATGTACGAACACTGCAATCTTAGTCTGCAGGAGGGCTTAACAGCCCCGCTCTATAAGCTCCAGCACGCCCTGTTATGTCCGTCATGCAAAAATCCTCCTGATGAACTGGCCAATCATTGATAATGACCAGGTTTTCGCCTCCTGCACTGCATTTTTAGTTCACAGCAGCTGGTGGCTCTTATGAGTCACGCACTGGTTCAGGTTCACAATTTATGCAAAAGCTTGCTACTCTCAACTAATAAACGGTATATAATACTTACGTCGTAATAGCAGATTGGGTTAGCCTAGAGCCCGAGTCCGGTATACCGGGCTTTATGGGGTTAGCTGGATCCAAGTTCTGCTTCCTCACAGCGCATCCCAGCCTACAGCACTTTTTCATTACCTACGCCCAACTGCCCTCAGCGGTCGAATCTATGGGTATGCTTAGACTACACCGACTGCCCACTTGAGGTCGTATTTTCTAACCTGAGCAGCCTGCTGAGAATGGGTATCACTCTCAAAGGCAATATATCAGTCCTAAGGGTTTCCATTCCATCAGCCAAGGTGTTTTTTCTTTCTAGTGGGTTCTGTGATCAGGCACTACAGCCCCCAATCCACCTCGAAATCACCCATCTTTGTTGAGTAGTCAATGTTATTGGCACGAGATGAGATGCAAGCAGAGCTGGGACTACGGAGTAGTGTGCACACACTGCAATTTTAGTGCTCTGGAGGGCTTAACTGTTTGTGGGGACGAGCGATTGGCCGTTGGCATGTTGCATGCAGGCAGTGCATTCTTAGCCGAACGCAAGTCTGCGGCTCAGGAACTGGCCAATCGTTTACCTTCCCTTTTTCTAGCGCCTGCACTGCATTTTTAGTTCCCGGCAGCTGGTGGCTCGTTTTAGTCACACTGGCTCAACTTAAGCTTGCAATTTATGAAGGAACGACTGTTATTTAATAAATACACTGTACGGAGTACATGACATATGAAATCCCAAGCCAGGCCTACCGCCACGTCCCAGTGACCGTCGCCTTCTCACCGTCGCAGCCAGTACGCACCGTATAGCTCCGGTTCGGGTCACTTTCCCATGTAACATCACTGCCCCCTTTCTTAATAAACTTGTATTCGATTTCCGTGCCCGCAGGCAGTTCCACTGTTGCAGTCCACAGCGGATTCGACTCGGTGTAGCCACTATCAGACAGCGCAACCGCATCATCAGGAGACCAAGACCCTATTTGGCTATTGAGCCGGTAATGAAGAGTTTCTCTGCGTCAGCTGTGCTCGCAAGTTCGAATGTCACGGGGAGGGGGCTGGCCTTGGCAGTGCAAGTTGCCTTGTAGATGTGGATGTAGATGTAGAGGTGGTGGTAAAGTACCTTTAGAGCTAGAATTTCCAGAACCAGAGCCCGAAATTGCAATGTCCGCACAGTGCAGATACGCCTGCGCCGTCTGGAACGAGTTCCATCTAAACCGGAGCAGCGTATGCTCACTCGAGTAGTCCGGAATCTTCACCTTCTTCGTAACAGTATACCCACCGGCAATCGTAGTCTTACACGAGTTCAACTCCGCCCCGTCAACGCCCTGACAGCCACGGTTAGAATCAGCCTCAAACGCATTGCACGTAAACCAGTCGTTACGCCAACAGGGCTCATCCTCCGTGCAATCCGGACTATAACCGCACTCCTGTCCATCAACATCCGTACACTTCAGCTCGCCCTCCAGGAAGCAGTCCTCGGCGGCCTGCTTCTCGGCCTCTGTCGGGAGGTAGTCCGGGTCCAGGAACTTGTCGACCAGTTTCTGGTCCTGGCAGATGCCGTAGGTGAACATGCCGCCGTGGTCGCCGTTATTGTCGACGCACCACTGTACCTCGATCACGTCGCCGGGGGCGTAGGTCTCCACGACCTCGTTGCCCCAGCTGTCGCCGGGCTGGTTGTAGTCGACGCTGACGCGGGCGTTGTATCCGCAGGGTCCGCTGCGGCCGACCTGTGGGCCTTCAAGGTCGGGCCAGGGTGAGACTGGCTCTAGGATTGAGCATTCGGGGCATGTATCGATGCCGGCCTAGAGAGTTAGATATGCTTTGAGGATGGATGGACGAAGCCTACCTCAAATCCAAGCCGGGTGCGACTTGCTGGGACAGTTAGGTAGCCATGTCCGTACACTGAAGTAACAAGACTCGCAGTCAACAGAGTAGAGTAGATCATCGTGGTGTTCAATAAGGTCAATTGATTCGGAAAATTTCCAGGTATCAATCAAGCGAAGGAAGGAGTGTGTTGAAATCGACAACTTCCCCGACTCACGGCCCCTTCTTATACAAATTCCTCCTGGGAGATGGCATTCCCCGTGGCGTCTACCAATGTCCATATTTGTCAAAGGACATACGAAAAAAAAACAAGGTTATTCTGCAAGGCGTGTGTTTTAATCTATTTTACCTTCCGATAAATACCCGCACCCCACAAATCCGGGGAAATTTAATCTATTTAATCTATCGCTTCATCCCCCGACCTATCAATCGAGGTTTACCAGCCAGGGTATGAAACATTAGGCCCGATGACTCCTGGTTAAGTTAACTCGGTCCGACTTGCGGCCAGTCGGTCTTAAGGTACCAGGGGCAAAGACATGACTTGTCGATCAAATGCCGAGAAAATCATTCTTAGCTTAAAGTATATTTCCAAACAAGGCTGTAGAATGACGTCTGAAAAGGCGCTTGTCGCGGGGATGGCAAGTACATGTAGTGCTACAAAGTACCCATGAGCAGCGAAATTGACCCGGTAGGTACATTGTTTTACTATCGAGCCTGGATCAGTATTTATCTCCGCGGTGGTTGCAACCTAGCCAGCCGAGCCCTAACAACCCGACCTCTAGGCACACTCACGCAAAGCCCAACCCCTTAATACTGAGTACACAGGGAAATGGAAAACAGTTCCGGGGTTGAGGATGCCGTGCCTATCTATGTTTTGTCGCCACAACGAGGAATCTCGCGTCGGGTGGGCTGCCTGACAGGGCGCTTCAGGACCGCTATTTATTTTCTTTTACCTTTTCATATAACAAACAAATTTATGGAGCTATATTATCAAAGCGAGACAATGATGCATAGAGTGGATACTTGGTGGCCCATCGGGTCTGTTTCTCTATTAGCTGAAGTATAGGCATCATTTGGCACATACTCTCTAAGTTATGACCCGAATAATGCAGATCATCCCGATGCCCCAGAAGAACAAGACACGCCCAGCTCCGAAGGTGTATTGGCACAGAGCACCTCACCATCCCCCGACGCCGCCGTAACCGTATAGTCCACAACAGACACGTCACACTCGCCATCGACACCACAATTCAAGTTCCCAGTTACAGGATCATACTTATCATTGGTCGTCCCACTAAACCCCTGGAACGTAATTCCCGACAAAACTGCATTCCCTGGATTACTCTCGCAATACTCCTCCTCTTCGCCATAACAGCTCTGGATCTGGATTGCGTATTCGCAGTCCTGAACCACAACGTCATTCCAGGTAACGTTCGTCACAGTGCTCAGTCCGTGGTCGTTGCCGCTGGGATACGTCTTGATCCCCGCGGCTTTGGTCGAGGATATCATTGTCGCACCCTCGACCCAGACGTTGCTGACGGTGTCATCGCTGCTCTTCCCTAGAGATCCAACGGAAAGACCATGGGATCCGGTGCAGGTAATATCAGTGACGGTAAGATAGTCGCAGCCAGGCTTGAAAGCGATACAGTCGTCATCATTCACGACGGTCGTATTCGAGATAGTGACATACGTGCTCTCACCAATATCAAACCCGTCTGTGTTCTTGGGTTCGTTATCGGATGAAGATTCGGCATTTAGGGTTAGATCCGTGAAGGCCGCATTGGTAGTCCCTCCTTTGACAGACACAAAGACATTGGGAGGGTTGCTCTGGAGCAGGTTCGACACTTCGATGTTACTCCCGCCGGTTATGTAGAGGAGAGTAGGGCGCTCATAGCTTTCATCCTCAGCGAAGAGATCCCACCTATAGGGGTCAATCATTAATTAACATTTCCAGCCTAGCAAACACGAGACGAGGCCTTACGAAGTCTGTCCATTCCCATCAATCACACCCGACCCCGTGAGAGAGTGCATAGTCAGCCCCTCAACATCCTGCACATTGATCATAGCCGTCTTGCCATTCCAGTAGTCCGTGCTGTCGGAGAAGAGGAGCGTCCCCTCTATCTGAAACTCGCAGCCGGAGCACCCCTCCAGATCGAGCACGGTGTTCAGGTAGTAGGTAGACCCTTCCGGAATGACAATTGTCCCGCCATCGCCGCATGATGAGATTGCTTCCACGATGGCTGGGACATCGTCAGTGCTGGGGGAATCTCCTGCTGTTGGAGTGCAGGCAGCGTCGGCTCGTCGGACAGGGGAGGGCGATGCCCAGCTTGTCCCTGCAAGTATAAGAAGTGTAACAGCCTTGAATGCCATAATTGTAAAGTGAATCCCGTTTCACTGGGGGATAATTCACCTTGGAAGAGAGTCCGATATAAATACACCGAGCCCCCCTTGGCTCCAGTCGAAGCCTTTTTAGCCACGCGAAGCAAATCCGTTCCTGACGAAGTGGCTTTAGCCTAAAACACAGACTAAACGAATCTGGTTTCAAGACTGCGGGGATCCCACATGTTTGACGGATTTTGCGGGGTCCAAGCGTTCCTATTGCAGGAATTATTATTCATCTCAGTTGTGTCAGTTTTCGCCGGTCCGGCGTCGGCATTATACAGGGTCGTCCGTCAGGGCAGAGAAAGTCCTTCCACTGGCAATGTAGGTACTTTTATTTAGCATATATGGGGCCATGCCCATCTCCAATCGCTCTGCCAAAGCTCCGATCATCATCACCCATTACGGTTGAAAGCCAGAGTCTGACGTACCACAATCTAACCGAGATATCCAACCCTATCAAGATGACTGTTCTCCACTACCTCCCCATTCTTGGCCTAACAACCGCAGCCTTGGCCGCACCACATACCCGCCACAAACGCGTAGAGATCCCAGCAGACTGTCTCACCGTTGGCGGAGACGGTACATACTCCACAATTGCCGACGCAATTGCAGAACTGGGCTCTTCTACCTCCGAAGCCTGCATCTCCATCGCGGCCGGGACGTATGAGGAACAGCTCACCTTCGAATATGGCGGCCCATTGACCCTCTACGGCGAGACAACTGATTCAACCAGCTATAGTGGGAATACCGTCACTATAACTCATACCATGACGTCCACCGAAGCGGGTGACCTCGTCGGTAGTGCGACTGTCAATGTCGCCATGGACGACTTTGCCATGTACAATATTAATGTTGTCAATGGCTATGGCGAAGGGACTCAGGCTGTTGCGTATGCATCCCCACCTTAAAACCGGTCCACTGCTAATAATAGATCTTTAGACTGGCAGCTAGCGGAGAGCGTCAAGGCTACTACGGCTGCCAGTTCACCGGCTACCAAGACACACTCTACGCTCGCGAGGGTATCCAGTACTACTCCAATTCCTACATCGAAGGTACCCGCTCTTCCCCCCATCTTCATTTTACGTTCAGATACTAAGAGCATAGGCGCAACGGACTACATCTTCGGCGACGCCAGTTCTTGGTACGAGAGCTGCGACATCGTCTCCTCAGGCCACGGCTACATCACCGCCATGAGCCGAGAAACCGAGGACGACCCCTCCTGGTACGCGTTCAACAACTGCAACATCGCCGGGAAATCCGGGACGGATCTGAGCGAGCAGGTGTACCTGGGTCGGCCGTGGCGGGTGCTTGCGCGGGTGATATACCAGAACTCGCAGCTCAGCGATATTATCCACCCCGAGGGATGGACGGAGATGGAGGAGGGGGCGACGCCGTTGTATTATGAGATTGGGAATACGGGGGATGGGGCGGATACGTCGGACAGGAAGTATTTGACTGAGATTGATGCGGCGGTGGATAGGGAGACGGTGCTGGGGAGTGGGTGGGCGGATTGGGTTGATGGGGATTATTGATCTCGTATCTTGTATGTTTTGGATGGACTTGATAGGAAATGATAGGGCTTGACAGCGGGAGTATTAGTCAGTATTCGCCCTCTTCTACAATCAAAAATCAGCTGCAAGTTGTTCAATCCTGCTCCACTACGTCTCCCCGCCTTTTGGTCTGTTCGACGAAACAATCCACTTTTTAATGCTCGTCATGGGGTTAGCTGGACTGCCCCTCGAACTTTTAACCCGCGTGCTGCAGTGCCTCCAGGGTGATACTTTCTCTCTCCGATCGGCCCTCCTGGTCAACAAGAAATGGTCCGCCGAGGCAGTCCGTGTGCTCTGGGAAAACCCATCACCGGACGACCTCGCAGCGATCAGTGATATAAACAAACGGCAATTCTACGCGCGATATATTCGTGAGTTGGAAATTAACGGCAGTGAGTGGTTGCATCACGAGGCCTTCCAAACATTGAAATTCCCGCGTCTCCGATCTGTTTTGATCGATGCTACCGATTCGGACGAGAATGAAGAGCAGGAGGAAGCGTGGATCGGTCAGTATATCCAGCCGGCATTGGAGGTGTTTAAATGCTACGCTACTGCGCCGGCTGGGGACGAAGATGTGCTTCAACTTCTGGAGACGCGGTGTCGGCGGCTGAGGACGATGATCATCGGTGCCAAACTGCAGGGATTAAGCTCTGCTTCTCTGAGTGGCTTTATTGACCGATGCAAGTCTCTACGCTCGCTTGGTGTGGTCGATGGTAGACGAGGGCCTATTGATGGCCGGGTGCTCTCCTCTCTTGCCTCTCATGATGGCCTTGTGGAGTTAGAAGTATCGCCCTTTCTCAAGCACGAGATGTTTGTGAATACATTCCAAGATGTTGATCGCCCGTTCAAGGGTATCCAGAAGCTGCAGCTTAATATAGAGCCAAAGACCGTGCCCCTTCTCGTCCCGAAAATCAAAAACATTCGTCTTCTTTCCCTGACTCTGGCGGACGGCGATATAAGCCCATGGCCGCACCTCAGCTCACTGACCAAGCTCCGAGACCTTACCATCGAGTACCATGAGTCAGCAGAGCTGAGCGTTAATGACTTTCAGGCCCTTAAAAAACTAGGCCTAAACCGGCTGAATGTCCGTGGTATCTATGGAGATATTATCGCCCCAACGTTGACGGACGACAAGTTTATCCCAGTAATCGAGACTCAGCCGGCCCTCCGGGAAATATGGCTCGAGATACGGGCTAGTTTGACGGTGCAATCACTCATATCTCTGGGTCAAGAGTGTCGCGAGCTGCAAGACTGTTTTCTGCCTGGGACCTACGATCTGTCTCCGTTGATGGACATTGATCCAGAACCGCCTCTCTTTCCATGCTTGGAGCAGCTTACAATCGGCGCAATAAGTGAAATACCTCCAAGGCCGTGGTAAGTCAGTGTCATTCCTGATGAGACAAGTACCCGCTAATCAGTATAGGCCATCGATCGATTCGACATCAGACAAAGCCAAGTGTCTTGCGCAGGCTATCCTCAAGCATGCGCCAAATCTGGAGGGCTTGATCACTATGGGCGTGGATGATGAATTCTCAGAGACGGTGAGGGCAACCATTGAAGAACTGAAAGAGACAACGTACGGTCCAAGCCCCCAGCGAATTCCTGAAAACAGTCTAACCTTCTGTACAAGGCCTGGCCTACCACCTTCACCCCCGCCGGGCGATGAACATTAATGGTGAATGCACAATTGTTATATACCATAGTATGGCCGAGTGTCAGGGTCATGCTGAATAGAAATTAGACAACGTTATATTGAAAAAGTACAGGAGAGAAAGGTCTGGGGCATACTTATATAATGTTGTTGAGCCGCCACATCTTCACTGCTACTAGGTCTAGGTATCTTGTATCTGTTTATTTTACCTTAGTTGAGACTCCATCGCTCCTTCCTCTCGCAATCAGGTCTGTGCCTTCCAAAGTGGGAGAAAACACTGCTTCCGTTAGGGGAAAGAGCGACGGGCAGGATAGTTTCGCTCTTTCCCACTGAGGCACAGCCATTGCACCTTCCTCGAGTCCATATTCCAACTCTGAAGAGAGACATAGGGCTCTCTCGTTACTGCCCTAACCCGTGGGGTGATACAACAAGGTCAAATTCCAGAAACCAGGCACGAGTCAGGGCATGGGGGGAATCTCGGGCGCGTTGCATCGCGAGCACAAGACCACCCACACACGTTTCCCAATATAGCACTTTAATTGGGCCCCGACGGATCGCAATCCATCGTGCAGCTGACGGGCGCTGTCCCACTGAGATAGCGGCTTGGCCTCCCACGACGCCAAGAATATCCCAAGGGGGATGGACTGCACGTGGGACTGAGCTCTTCCTGGAGAGGTCTTCGATCGGCGTTCGATGTTTTCTAGAGCTGCTGGCCATGGGGTGATTATTATGGGGCGAGATGCTCAGGGATTTAAATCTTGGGCTGATCCCCCGTCCTGATGATGGACCTGCCTTCGATCCTCCAGTTTAGTTCGCATTCGCAATGATCAGCAAGAGCTTCGCCTGGGCTTTCTTGCCCGCCCTTGCAGCTTCAGCAGCTGTCAGTAACTCTGGATCATCATTCGACTATGACGCCCTCAGCCTGCGGACCGTCGGCGCCCCAAATACCCTGGTATATTTGCTTCCCTGGCATGATCTTGTTCCCTCTAACACTCTCAGGAATGGCGAGTCTGGCTTGAGAACAACGGCGAACCAATCTCCTTCTGGCACGACGTCCCTCTCTATCCCAAGGACAGCAACAAGCAAATCATCAACTTCGTCGTCGAGATCCCCCGCGGCACAGACGGCAAGATCGAGATCCGCCGTCCAGAGCCACTCAACCCGATCTTCCACGACGATAAGAACGATGCGCCGCGGTTTGTCGAAAGTGTTTGGCCATACAAGTCGTATCCATTCCTGTACGGATCTATCCCGCAGACTTGGGAGAGCCCCAACTTCAACCACAACTTCACCAATGAGCCTGGTGACAATGACCCCATGGACTTGTTTGATATTGGTCAGGATGTGGGGTACACCGGCCAGGTCAAGCAGGTTAAGATCCTTGGCGCGCTTGCTCTGAATGATGGGGGTGAGACTGATTGGAAGGTTTTGGGTATTGATGTTGAGGATCCCATTGCTTCTTTGGTTGACAGTATGTCTCTATTGTCGGGTGGTCAGAACATTTCTAACAATATGCAGACTTCAAAGACGTTGAGAAGTACCGCCCCGGTTTGATTGAATCCTATTACGACTGGTTCACTGTACATCTCACCATTCACTATTAAGGCCAAGCTAACAAGAGGACAGTACTACAAGGTCGCCCGCGGCGATGACCTGATTCCCATCACAGGCGACAGATATGTCAACGCCACATTCGCAGCATCCAAGGTAAAGGAAAGTCACGGTTTCTGGCTCGACCTGGTCAAGGGCAAGGTGGATACCGGGGAAATCAACTACAACCAGACATCCCGGCCAGATATTCCTCACAGCTTCGTTCCCAAGCAGGCCGCCACCGATCGGTTTGACATCCCTGCCGAGTCCGATGAGAAGCCCGCTGCACCTAGGCCTGCCCGGTATGACCAGTGGTTCTACCTCGACAAGGATTTCAACCTCATTGAGGAGAATGTTGTTGAATAAAGCCATTTCGAACCGTGGCGCTTGCCTTCTGGTACATGGCCGATTAAGATATTGCATGATTGTACATAGACTGACTTCCTATCCTCGCGGGCTGGTACTACGCCTGCTGGTAATTGTATAAATTCATCTCGTTACATTTCAATTAAGCTTGACTTATTATCACAAGGAGATACCATCAATTTCCGTTCTAGATACGTCGGCGCGATCCATATCTGACTACACACATCAGGCAGCGCAGGACAGTCATTCCAGCGATCTCCACAGCCTAAGCGCAATTCGCTCCATATCATGCGTAGATATAACCAGATCCGTCTCCTGCTCATTCCGTGGCTCGCGACGAAAGATATCAGGAAACGGTATCGTCAAGGGCATCGACCTAGCCACAGTCCCATCACAATCCTCCCCCTCCTCCACCGTCATACACTGCATAAGGCGCGGCAAAACCGCCCGCGATCTCGCACATTCCGAGCCATCGACAAGCGAACCTTCAGCGTCCAACTCCGGTCTCCAATGCTCAATATGCAGCTTTGGCTCCCCGCGAAACCTCAAGTACAATAACCGCCTTGACCTCCCCTTCAGATCTCCTTAGCCACCACGCCGCTTCAGTACGCAGCCTTTCATAGCAATATCCCACTTCAAGCACTACACTCGGCCACTGCCCACCTGCTGTGATGTAATTATAGTCGCACGGAAAACCTACTTATCGACATGCAAGACTGATCACTGCGTGAACCTTATTTTGTAAACCTTGTACAGATATTTCGAACAAATGGCACTATAAGCGAGGTCATTCCCGTTCTCTGGATCAGGCCACTATGTACAATGCTTATCCCATCCTTCTGCGGAACCAAGGACCAGTCCGGGTTTGTTATTAACGGCTAGATTTACCAAAGTATCTTCTGCAGTTCCAATTAGCATCGTGCCATACGTAACCCAATGAGATCAACTGACTGTCAAAACTGAACTGCGGCCACCTGTACTGATCAAGGCCATGCTCGGGGTCTTTTGCAAATGCAACCCAAGCACCTGGACAGAAAATGCAGTTAGATGCTGCGCATATTCCTCATGGTAGACTACTTTAGGACCTTCATACCTTGTATATATTTACTAACAGCGATCTCGCTCGCACCAGGTGGCACGTCTGTCAAGTTGTACGTCCCGAACAGAATCGGCAACTCAGCTATCACAGGGGTTAGGGCTGACTTTCTCTCAAAAGCTTTGATACGTACCGCTATGGTATGCTCCCAGCCAGGTCGTGGGGCTGAGGTTTGTGAAGTTCCCGTGGTAGACGTATCTCCACGTAGGGATATGCTGCTGGAGCCGGAGCCTAGGATTCATTAGCAAGGATGGTCACCAATTATAAGAAAGAACGTACTCAACAGCCTCCCGCAGAGGACAGCTGAAACTACTATACAGGGTCGAAAGCATCTGCGTCTCATTGAGAGACGATTGGTTCAGCGGGACAACGGCTGACCACTCTCGCGCGTTGATTCCTCCGAGGGTTGGCTATATAGCCTGTTAGTGACAGAGAGCTTCATGTGGAACTTGTAGGTCACTTACAAGGTGCGCCTGCTTTCCACTCCTTGCTCTATCCGCATAATCTGAGAAGAACGTCCTATTATCAAAGACCGGCGTGAAGCTATATCCGCCCTTCGTCATTGCATCAATGATATCCTGAAATGGAGCCTCCCTCATACAGGAAAGAGACGCTGCTCCGGTACCGCATCCCAGATCGGTAGAAAGTTGGTTCCAGTTGCGGTGCGCAGTATCTGTATTTTCCAGTATGGAAGTGGTGCCTGATTCAAGCACGAGGGCACTGACAAGGGGTTCTTCTGGGTACTACATAGATGGTTAGTGTTTTCCAGAGCCATGGGGATATTCCATACAGCATATGAATAAGTATCAACTGAAGCAGCGCCTGCAGACTGCCCAAAGAGGAGAATGCGATCCGGATCACCGCCGAAGTTGGCGATATTGTCGTGAACCCATTCGATTGCCAGTCGCTGTCTTATTAGCATTCAGACATAGCCTGTATGAGTATACATACCTGATCCAACAGCCCCACATTCTGCTCCGACAGCTCCAGCCCAGGCGCATTCGGAAACCCAAAGATATTCAGCCGATAACTAGATCATCAGCCTTCACCTTTATATAAATCAGAAAGAATGCCATACTTAAACGTAACAACGACAACGCCCTCCTGCTCCCTCACCAAATTCGACCCATCATAAAACCCCACCGAGCCAGCACCCCCCGTAAACGCACCACCATGGATAAACACCATAACAGCGGCCTTTCCCCTCTTTTCTTTACGCAGACGCTGCCCCGACGGCGCCCACACATTCACAGAGAGACAATCCTCGGTCATCTGCGCCGGGTTGAAAATCTCATACGGCAGGACACTCCAGATAGACTGGTTATCGGGTTGGTATGACTGCGGACATGGCCCCGTGAATGCGGATGCATTGATTACAGACGCGGATGGTGAAAATGGACGCGGGGGTGCGAAACGGCCATTCCCTGTGGGAGACTCTGCGTATGGTATTCCAAGGAATGCGCGGACTGTTGAGGAGGTGTCGTTGTAGATGCCCTGGACGGAGCCGCTGGTTGTTTGGATTTGGAGGTCTGGTGGGAGTGCAATTGCTGCATTCGCAAACCACAGTAAGCTGCTCAATATCGCAGGATACATGGTTGAGTCTAGTAGTTGAGTGCTTAAGCTTCGGGTATTCTGATGGTGAGCATTGTTTTATATAGGAGCCGGGTATACCTTGTCGGCTTTCTGGCCAACCCCGCATCAACGCGGCTTCAGCACTCCAAGGAGTTTCCGGTGGGCGGTTGACGCAATGAATAAGCAGTGGAGATGACCGGCAAATCCCCGAAGCAGAGTATCCCGAAGCAACAGATTATCACTGCTCATCATTACCAAACGGGGTAGACGGCGTGCTCTCCGCACGTCTCACCGCAGTACGCGGAACCGGTGGGCCACAAGTGCCGACAGCATCAACTGGATAACCGAAGGGGTAAAGAAGAATTGTATCTTGGTACCTGATAATGCCAGCTAATCGATATACCCATATACCCAATATAAATCAAATGCTAAATAAACCAAGGCACAGCCCTCTTCTCCCCAAACAGCAAATCCCACGAGCCCGCCCACCTTGGCTGCCCACCAACACCATCCCAATCTGCAGCAAGATCCTGCTGTTTCCAAAACGACTGGATAATATCCCTGAGGACAAAGACATTGCCAATCTTGCGAGCCTCGTCCATCCGGTCCAGCATACCGAGGATGAGCAGCCTCTGGTCGTCGGAGTTCGCTTCAGACGCGACCACAAATAACGGCCATGGACTTGTGCAGAGCTGCATTTGCGATAGGAGATCGAATGCTTGGTCTAGGTAGATTTGTCGCTCCTCGTTTCTGTTGATATGGTTTGCGTAGACGCGGTGGTGGTATAATAAGGTTGCGACTCGGTAGAGCTCGGCTGTTTGAAGGGGCTTGCAATGATTCGAAAAACCAGGATTGTCAGATGAATCTATTCGCTGTACGAGCTTAACTAGTTTTCTTTCTAGGACGAGGGCCTCTGTTACGTCGCCATGGCCAGCCATGGTGACGCATCGGGCTTTATTGAGGCAGTGGATTGCTTCAAGGAGCTCTAATGAGCACCCGAGAGATCCAATTATCTGATGGTCAGTCAGGTTGTCACATGAGGTACTATAAACTTACAAATGTTTTATCAACATCGTCGTCCGTCAGAAAATCAATGGACGACACCACCTGTTGCGTAGGCCGTAACGGTTGAGTAAATTCACCCAACACCTCATGGTACATGAGCCACGTATACAGGAAGTGACAGGGTAGCTTCCCCCCGGGAATGGTCGATAGGTGATAGAGCATGGCCCGTGCTCCGTCTATATGGGAGTACCAATGCCCCTCTGTTTCGTCGAAGACCTGTTCATCATCAGCAACGCACTTATTATGATATTCCGCGATGAATTTACACTATAAACACAAAGCATCATCGACACAGCAAGTTGTGTGTTTACAATCGCTGCACCGCTATTCCCTTCGGACGAGAGCGATGACGAGAGACAGCGTACAGCTTTAGCCTTGAACGGAAGGGCCGCTGTTGCTCCAGCCCTGTGAAAGGCCGCCACGGCCAGAATGGCATTACGGAGGGCCAGCGAGGCCAAGCTGGACGAGGCAAGAGCCATGGGGATGAGCTCAGAGCGAAAGCCATTCCTCGTATCGATTGTGGAAATCATGCGGGATATTCGGCTTTCGTCTAGTGCCCATCAATACATATTAAGTACTTAGTGGGTTACTGGGAATACTCACAATATTGCATCATACTGGGCTCGTTATCGAGCAGTCGAGGATAAATAAAGCTACTCCCAGCCGGTCGAATAGCAAGGGTGTGGGCGGCAGTGACCCGACTGATAACATCATATATACTAGGCCCATAAGGCTGATGCAGGTCATCAAAGGTCGTGTTAAGGAACTGTTTGTTCGAGCGATCGGAGACGATAAAGTAGCCATTATATGTCGAGGGAGATATCCTGGCTCTCCTCCCATCACCCTGGTCGGGCCACATCAGACGAAGCCCATAGCCCTGACACTCGCGCCCAGAGCGACGGCAATTATTGCATGATGGGCTAGCCTTGTCGCAGCCGATTTTGCGTCCTGTCTGGGTCTAAGCAACGATGCAGGACGGCGTAATTAACACGGGCCACTCACGCTTGCATGTCCAGCAGCCCGGCTTTTGTTTCGGGGCAGGCTTCATTGGAGCACGTAGTCTGATTTACAGAACTGCAGGCAATTCGGAAGTCAAAATCAGGAGACAGAGATGAGTCAATCCCACCGGACCCGCCCAGTCTGACGGTGAATGTCTTACGATTGGACAGCTGGATCCACGGCACCAAGGATTGGAGTAGACGGGAAACACTTTGCGATCAGACGGATTGTATGCAAATTATAAAGATAATATTAGAAAAGTTACTCCGCAGCAAGGACATCCTGGAACTCCTCCAGGAACTGCTTTATGGCCTCAAGAAGTTGATCCACCTCCTCTTTGCTCGTTTCGAGGATGAAAGCGATCATTCCACGACGGGCAATCCAGAACCCACGCTCGACCAGGTAGAGCCAGAAAAGGTCGCGGAGTGCGGCCTCCGCACTTTGAGAATCGATCTCTATGTCATGGATGCGATATACTCCGTTCCGTCCTCCTGTGCGTAAAAAGTGGACGGTCATCACCGAGCCAACACCCGTCACGGTCAATTTCGTGCCCGTAGCCAATTTCTGCAGACTCGCACGGAAGTAATCTCCCAGTCCATTGAGTGCGGTGCAGGCGTCGTCTGTATAGATCGATGTCATTGCTTTATATCCAACGTTCATGGCGAGAGTATTGTTGTTGAATGTCCCTGAATGTTGGATGCTCGAGGTACGCGGGTCATACACTGACATCAAGTCTCGTCGACCGCCAAAAGCACCAATACTCAGCCCACCACCGATCCATTTACCCAAAGTCGTGAGATCCGGTGTGAGGGGAGTGCCGCGGACTGGATGTAAAAGGGTCGACTGCAGACCCCCCGGCGCTAGGCGCGAGGTCATCACCTCATCAACGATGAAGACAACTCCATTATCCTTGGCCGTCTCTTGGATAGCGTGGAGAAACTCTGCGGTTCCTGGAATGCATCCGCCCGCCCCTTGCATTAGCTCGACCAGAACTGCGGCTGCGACATGCTTATTCTCAGAAATCGAGTTAATAATGCCTTCTCTATCGTTGTACTGGCCAACAATCCAGTCTGCTCTATCGGCATTATTCGGGGCAACACCATGCGTGAATGAGAGCACGCCCCCATGATATGCCCCCTCGAAGACGATTACCTTGTGTCGACCAGTAACATGTCGAGCCACACTCAACGCGTACAGATTTGCTTCTGTTCCAGAATTACAAAACCGTACCCGGTCAATGCTGGTAAACCGGTTAGATATGGCTTCAGCAAATTGGGCTTCGGCAACAGTTGTCGCTCCCAGGTTCATCCCAACGCCGGTCAATGTCGACGTTATAGTCTCCGAAATAAGGGGATGAGAGTGTCCGTAGAGCCCAGCGGTCATGTCACCCAGGAAATCACGGTATCTAAACCGAATGAGTACTTAGTCTGGATCGCTGTAAGTCTAACATACTCATGTCCGTCGATATCGACAAGTTTATTTCCTTTTCCACTTGCCATACATAATGGAAAAGGAGGGCCATGTAACACAGATCTCGTGTTTCCGCCCGGTAGGTGCCTTGCTGCTCGCTGATGTTGTGCCTCTGATTTAGGATTTCTAGTTTCATATCGTTGCTGGAAATCTCGCAGGTAGGCATTTGCTATCTGGAACTGTGGGGACATGATGACTTCCAAGTTCCTCCAAATGCTCAATGTATTGCATGATACTGGGGATGTGGTGATAAGCGCAGTTGGAGACGGCCTCATTCGGAGAGAGCGGGGTTGAAAGCACCGAGCAATCACCCCCATCCGAAGATCAACAAATCTACCATATCACCGCGATCTACTGGCTCTGCGCTCCGGTTGGTCAGCTCGTACACGTTGTCTGGTGTTTTCCCGCGCTTCAACTGGTATCACTGCTGGAAATTCGTATTCCTCAGGGCGTAAAGTCTCCCGAACTCGTAACATCCGTTGCCACCACGGCGGTGGTTTCACTTCCCCTGCTGTTTTTACAGTGCTTTTTAGGTGCGCATCATACCGATGTTTCTCGAAATTCCACCATAGCCCCCATCCACCGAGGGTCACTACCGTAAGAGGAGCTGCAACCGCCCAGTAGATCCAGAACCTAGATGACACAGTCCTGTCCGATCCCTGGTCCTCCCAATTGAACATATTCATTGAGAACAGAGTCTATGGCTTAATTAGTAGACGGCCAGGAAATGCATAGAGCCACGCACCGCAACAAAAGTCCCTGGAAGAAATATGGTTGTGATGAAAGCCAATATCTTCATTGACGTACTGTCCCTTCCAGCTGTCGCGGCAAGACGCGCGTTGAGTCGGTTATCCGTTTGGGCCACGAAACTGTATAGCTACAGTGGGTTAGATGGGCATTTGGTCCGGCCAGTGTGTCACATACCACGTTCAGCTGCAGTTCCAATCGTTTCTGGAGTCCGAGGACATGATCCTCAAGTGACTTTGCGATATTGATATTATGTTCCAACAAGCCTATTATTTCATCGTCTGAATTCGGCACTTGGCACATGAGTCTCGAGGATGCTCTTGCAAGGCCGATGATCATCATAGATGCCTCATGATTCCACTTGGGAGCCGCAGACGTAAAACGCACCCTTGTGACCTCCGTATTTATCGTAACAGTGAGATGCTCCGCTTGGGTTCTTTGCACCGGTACTCCCTCGGTGCCCATGATCCCCCTTACGCTGCGAGAGATTGGACCATTGCCCCTTCTTCCCACTCTCGTTACCCCAAGCTGTTCCTCTATGGCCATTACGCTCTGTGTAAGATCCTGGGAGGAGTATGATTGCAACCGGCGCAAATGATCAGTCAGGATAATACATGGCAAGGTAAGAGGATAGTTCCATAGCCTCGGAGAACGAATTAGATATTCGCGGATCGTAGCACACGGGGAAAACCGTCGGAGCCTCTCCGGGGCCGGCTGCTGAACATAGGGAAGGACTCCAACAATCGACTCACCCGCGAGCAAAGCCGTCGTCCAGCGCGAAGTTGTATGATGTGTGAGTGAAAGCATGTGGTTGCCAATTTCGTACTTTTGTGGTACTTTTAGAATGATTGCTATATCTGTCAGCGGTCCACACTCGGTTTAACATCTATTCAGGAGGGTTGCCAACATATCCAATCCCCGTCCATGTCACTTCCGAAATGTCGCGAAAAGGTACCACCGGCCACCTCCAGCGAGTGTAACGTCGCTGGGTGGAGGTGAAATCTCGATTCGACTAGTTCAAACGCTTCGCGAGACATCCTTACCGATGCTCTTTTGAATAGGGTGTAGTTGCACGCCAACAGTCTTATGCCTCCGTGGGCAGCGCCAACCCCCACAGGCGCAACCGGGGTGGAAAACTCCCCAGTTTGGTTGAGCCATTCTTCAATCTGCTCTTCGTGGATGATGCCAGTGCGGAAATTCCAGTTCGTCGCAGAGCTCGCCTAGAAATGAACGTCAGCAGCTAGCTGCCTTTTGGCAGTCGGAGGGGTCCACGCACACCAGGATAATTCCAAGCCTCTAAAAAATTAAGACTTCTTGGGCTCCACTCGATTCCCCTTGCAGCCAACTCTCGGTTTAACTGATACATTATTGAGCTTTGCGGCAAGCTGATGAAAACTCCCAGGTCAACGCGAGCATGGCCGTGGTGAAATTGGCGTTTGTTCGCGAGAGCGCGACTGTTTGCTCATCCTATGCCGTAAACAGTATGGCGTTATGCACAACATAGCTTGGTGGGCGGCTTTTGGACCTCTCGTGCTCTCGCTGCACGATCGGTTTATCAGCCAGATTCCATCTATTCGGATGAACTCGAGGCCTTCACGACGTAGTTTGACGTATGATGTTTACTCGGCTCGGTGCAGATCACATCGTGGGGTAGTGAAGCCACAAGTTCCGCCCAGAGAATATTGATTGTAAACTCACGATCATCCACCGGTCGCGCTATTCTTCAGGGCGGCTTCGATTACCGGCTGTGGAGCCAATAGCAAGAGTAACCCCGCGGCTCTCCATTTTGGAAGCATGCCATCATGAAGATGCCTGGTCTCAGATGAATCTCCCTCCGGTTGTAATAATCGTCGGTGGCCTACAACTCGTGCCGTCAACCATCTCTGGTGGTTATTGTATAGGCCCCCGCTTCATTGCCGTCTTTTCAACCCCATTTCCCCGACTAAATATTATGCCTTGTTTCACCTAGGGTGCTCTATTTTGTCGGATTCCCATCCTTCTTCCAGCCGTCATCCCGTTATCGGGTGCTAATGTAACCCCTGGTGTATGCCAGGTTGCAGCAAATTATCCAGATCACATTTATCGCCTGTCCGTCATTGCAGTCGTGGGAATCACCTGGTGGTCTTCTTTCTCGTTCGCCGTTCGCCGAGGGAGTCCAATGGCTGGTTCTTTCACGCTCCGGCTTCAAAGACATGAGTATGGGTAACTAATATAGAAAGGAAGGCACATCTGCTTCCGTGGGCCGGGATTTTTCTCTATGCAAATTCCAAGCTTGGTTGTTGTTGTTGGGAAGGGGAGAGGAGGGAGTTGCATCGTCTTCTAGGCCGAAGCTATTTGGTCAGCGGACATATTTTCAATTGATTCGACCATCATGGAGAATCGATTATCACCTTGGACAGATCTATCGAGTGCAGAGCGCAACATAACAGTGTTGGTGAGCTGCTGGCCGGAAATCACCAAACAGCAGTTGTCACTGAAACGCGTCGAGGGCAGAGAGTGGGCACCAAGGTCCTCAACAACAAAAACTCCATCTCCTGACTTCAATCTCGTGTCCTTTTTAGCACTTCTCATCGTTCGCCGAATCCGCCCATCCCTTCAGAATCCTGAATGGAGCGAGCAAACATCTCAAGCCTCCCCCGGTATTATCCAGACAGTGCCCATTTTCAATTGGGCTTCAGCACCTCATCGAGGACCACGCATTCGAACGCAGAATCGCTTAATGGGCAATCATTGGTTGGTTATGACATTTTTTTCGGTCGGCAATTCACTTTCTAAAACGAAGGCAGGCTGCATAAATGATGGTTTCAGTAATGCAGTTCTCTGCCTCGTCCAGGCTTGTTTGGTTAAGGTACGCGGTTGCCTCAACCACCATCGCTCCCTCTCTTTCGACATCACAACAACATCCTGATCAGCGGTGACGGCAATTGAATCTCCATGTCTCTCCGACCCAAACACGTCCTGGTCTTGGAACTAGCATTGAATTGACTAGCAATGTTTCTTGCAACTACTTCCCCCAAACTGAGCACACTCTGCCTCAAGTCTGCCAGCGTCATGCACGCAATCAGATGTTACCCCGGCCATTCGAATCCATGAACCAGAATCACCAGGCTCTCATGCCCCTTCTTCTGTCCCAGCTCTCTTCGGGAGTCGATTTACATCAAAATGGTACCAGTTTGCCCAGCTTATGCGATACTGAACTTGAAATCGGGCGCTCTACACCTACCCATCTACCTCCATTCCCTGGACCACCAGCATTCGATACCGCATATAAAATTCCAATTCCTGATTCGGAGCTCGAAATGTCCACATTACCTCGCCACAGGATGCTATTCCTACTGTTCGATTGCTACGACCTATTGTCACAGCACAGGCAAAATGAAACTCGGTCCAAGCTGCAGAGGGCGAACTTGACAGTGGCGCCGGTGAACGAAGGATTGTCAACATGAACTATTGTCCGACAGATGACGGGCTCTTAGTACTCCAGCCGGAGCGGAGGCAATCTGGGGACGGAATCACGACGAATGCCACTGGCAGTATTTGTTCATTATAAGTGCTCTGTCAATCGTCCAACGCCCTCACCACCCACAGTGGCTTTCTCCCATCTCGAACTACAACCTCCTGTTAAGAAGAAATTATATCTTGTTGTGATTACCTTTATCAAGGGGCCATTCCCAGACACTGTCAATTTTCCGCGAAGCTCCCCGGTCGCGCATTGGGCATCTTGCAAAAGCGACCAAAGGGTTTCCGCAGCGATCACGCAAACTTCAACAGCGACCGTACAAACCCCTCGCGCAATTTGACGACTGTGGAGTGATCCCACCCCATTGATTTCGGTAAGCATCAGACATTGGATTCTGTGTTGGGCGCCACCCTGGCACCCCATTCCTCAAGCGCATTGACTAATTGCTATTCTGGCGCACAGGACATTAGCTCGACGCAAAGCTTCCCCACAGCCACGCCTCCCGTAAGGACCGAGCCCTAAATCAACATCAGTTGTCGGACCGTCCGCAAAGTGCAATGGTTCCGACTTATACATTACTTGCCAGCACCCCAGCGTGAGCACACTTTTATACGCCGATGGTAAACGCCTCTCCCTTTGACGGATGAACAGCAATCATAGGACCATCGCAGCGTTCTAACGCCACCCGTTCCGCGGTAGGTGCAACACTTTGAGTATTACGCAAGTTGTTTTTATGTACAATTACGCAGTCTAATGGTGGAATCAAGATATTTCATAACGTCGACGTTATATTGGCAAAGGAGCGACGGGTTAAGTACAGTAATCAAGTACAGGTAAAAGAAAAGTTTCCTCCATCATATCAGTCTTCTGAGAGCATCGATCTCGGAACATTCGGCCGAATTCTCCATCACGCCCTGAGTATCATAGTTGAATATCCAGCAGTTGTTCTGGGGAACAGGTATGTGTCTTCGCATGTCGGAGATTGCCCTTGTATTGAGGTGGTGTAGCACGGGCAGAAGACGACTCGGCAGAAGGCGAATTTAGTGCTATAGGATAACCATTCGTTAGTTAGTGGCAAGGGGTCACTGGGGACTCAGAAACACTCACGGTGCAGGAGCTGCAAGAGCAGGAGTTGCAGTTGCCGGAGCAGCAGTTGCAGGAGCAGGGAGACATGTTGAAGGTTGGTTGGTAGTGTTTGGTTTAGAACCTTGAAAGTGGCTGTATAATGTGTAGGATGCTTGTGGATGAGAAAGAAAAGCAGAGACAGCAGTTCTTGAAGGGGTATTTATACACTTTCAGAGGCTGTTCCTCAGGCCTCCAGCGTGGGATGCACGATTAGCATCTCGGCCATACTCCCTGCTCCCTTGTGCGCCGGTGGCCAATACTGTGGCATAGACCGGGTCGGATGATCCAACCAGGCCAGGATGAGATATCTGGACGACGGAAGGTCCCGCAGAACCGAGTGGGGGGGCATGGTTTCAAGGCATTTTTGGTGATGTAAATTTGGAGGCGAGTCAGCCGCGACTTAATGTCCTTGTGAGGCAACCGGCCGATATCACATCCACTCGGACATTCCCGCTGGTGGGTAACTAGAAGTTTGACTGAGCAGCCACGAGGCCTAAGCGGCGTAGATGCTGGGCCGGGGCAGCCTGAACTGCGTTTTGATGAGTCGGCGTCTTGACTAATGACAATAAGCCCAGTGCTCCGTAGGCAGTCGCTGCGATTTTGCTCCCATCATCTGGGGTAACATATTGGGCGCTATGAATGCAGAAAGAGAGCAAGAAAGGCCACCTGCTAGCTACGAGGTTCCTGTCTCCCCATTTATATATTAATCAAACCCCCAGGTGAGTACCCTGGAGGTCGTCCCAAGGTCCTCTTCCTCAAGCACGGGGCGTGAGAACGGACAGCGAAATGGGATGGGATCCCTACTCTCTGTGGAAGGGCCATGCATACGAAAATCACGGGTGAAGATATCAGCCGGAGCACAGTGCAACGCTTCCCCCAGTCGGGTGGGGGGCATTCCTGCGATTGGGCAACAACGCCATCTAACCTTCGCTCACGATGGGGGCTGGTCGGTTGGCTCCACTAGGTGCACTTTCCTCGCCATAAATGGCTCACATAATGAAGCTAGCTATAGGACGTTTATGGGTTGTTTACGGCCAATCGACGCACCTCTTGCGCGATATCTTCACCCTCCGAGTGGAGCTGGGCATGGGGGGTTAACCTGGTTATCGGCCGGTTACGGGTGCGCGAGGAAGGGCAGGCCCGGATCGTCCTCGACGAAAAGGTATAAGCTACTGCGTTATTCTCTTCTGGCAACGGCCCCCCTTCCAACCTGGCGTTCTTGTTGAAATATCTCGATAGATGTAGGCTAGATAGATATCTACGGCTGCTGCGGTTCCGCGTTGCGGGTACAGAGTTCAACTAAAGAGTAGTGTAAAACCCGGTCCAACCATCTGATTTCCACCCTGTCCGGACAACAAAACATGCCCTGTGCTCCAGTGTTTTCCGTTCACTGATTTAGCCAAACGTATAAGGATTAGTTGACTAAACAAACGAAGCCCGCTCTTCGATATTGCTCACAGAGGCTCCTCCAACGGCCATTATATATAGAGATTCATGTTGGCAAAGGATACTTTCATGGCATCATCTCTGGGAACTTCTAATATGATTTCATTATTCTAAGCTCAGGAGATCCTACGAATTCCGGGCACTGGTGATTTAAGTCAGTATTTCGCGAATATATATTTCTGTGCACTACGTGTGTGATATCATGAAACACCAAACTCGTCGCAACAATAATGGAAATTTGAATAAGTCGGCTCAGAGACACTACTTTAACAGACAGGAAGGTCTATAACAGAATGTAATATCTACTAAAGCCATAATATGCGTCGCCCAGAATCACATCCGACATTTCATGCATAGTCTAATGCAACAACTATGGATTAATAAGGTATATTATGCTTATTGCATAATTTCGATGAATGGCAGCCAGGGCATTAGTCAGAATTCCGCAGTCTTCTCATTTTAGCATAGCGGCAAAATTGCAACCAGCATCACGTGGAAACTTTGTGCAATATCATAACTTACTAACATTAATTATGCATTTAGTGTAATTCCCATGGGAGAATACGAATGCCGTACCTCGATCGGTAGGAAGATAACCTGACTTAAAACAAGTAAATTTGAATATTTAAAAACAATGAGAACTAGAAGATACAAATATAATAGTGATGGACTTCGAAGTGGACCGAGGATTCCTAGGTTATGGATGTTAGGGCTGAGCGCGGGCTTCTTATTTTTGCGTCTGCACCGGCGCAAGATAGGACAGACCTATTCGCGGTAAAGCCCCAATATGCCTGATTTTTGGACAGATACACTTCTAACTTCAGTGAATCTGGCCTCAGAATTGCCAGAAGTTCAGAGCGACATCTTGACTGGGTAGGCTACGGCGCGGCCCGTGAACGGAACCGGCTGCAAAACTCTAATGCAATATCAAACCAGTACGCTTTGTAGGGCCAGCTGGTGGGAATTACATTCGATACATCAATCTCTTGGAGTTATATCTGCTCACAGGTGGTGAATGAATCCATTGTTGAGAGATGCAACTGGTGTCCCGCTCTATGCACGCCGGGTGCCTGCAGACACCGCAGCGAGAATGATGCCAGGTACCGATGTACCTTATCAAGTCTTGGCTTTCATTACTGTCCGATGGTTCGATAGTTCCTAGTTGCCTCCAGGGATGAGATTGTCCGGCGGGTCTCCTAATCTTGGGAACTCGGCGTGGCCGATCCCTGCATGTAGTCATGTAGCTAGAAGAAGGATAACCCTGGACCCGCTCCGAGTTTTTGGAAAAGAATGGGCCCGAGGATAATGCAAGCCAGGGAATGCCACGCCAATGGATCTGGAGATCGAAATAAACATGCATAGGCTCCACACTGAGTCATTGATGCACACTACACAGTGTGACGCAAGCCCTAAGTTCGACGCTATATTGAGCTCTGCAGCTTAAGAAACAGGGACACTAGAGAGCTTACAACTTGCATAATGATCTCCAAAGCCACGTACTGCCCGGCAACCATACAAATGGAGAGCCGTATAGATGATGATAAATTATCCCTTCCGGACGAAAAAACACCGGCTACGCCACCAACGGTCCCTTGCGACACGAGGTGCGACTGTTGTGAGTCCACGAAAAGCCGCTAAACCATCACACGTCAACGGTGGATGCCTCGAAAGCTCTTGTTGGCAGCTGCATGAAGATCTCCGAGATCGAGGATAAGGTTCACTTAATTGATCCTTTGTCAGGGATGCCCGTGGAAATCAAGTCGGAACCCTGGATGCCTCGGGGGCGATACCGATTAGCCCACTCGATACTGCAGGAACGAGCTCATGCTTCCCTCATGGCTCGGGCAGATGGAGCAATGCATCTCATGACAAAACATTAAGTAAACTCTAAGCGAGATCTTCGAAGGAAAGACCATCTGGCCGTGTGGACCTTGATCATCTAAGCTGATGATGGAGTTTCACGCCATGCCCATGTGGACTTCCAGGGGTGCGTTCTGCATATGCGAAGGGGAGATCTACCCAGAAGGGAATAAATAAATAAAATAGATTAAAAGTAAAATAAAAATAATTACAAAAGGAAAATGGAAAAGAATTACCTGATCAGCAAACTGGGTACTCCATATATGTATCATACCGTGACCCAGAAGCCGGATACGGAGTAGATGCCGACAAGGCGTTGTAGACAGGAACTTCATACAGTAGGGCGTAATACCTTATTTGTCAGGGGCCTGCATCAAGATAGAGCCTCCCAACCAGATTATCCTTGCGAATATCATGTTACTGGCTACCGGTGCATCTGGCATCAACACGACTTAGCCATACTACCAGCTTCCTCGTAGTCGGGCCCGTGTGTGTGTGTGTGTGTGCACTCTTCCACTAGGGTTACATGTTATGTTAATAAAATCAATGCATCATATGTAAGTATTACTAACTCCATATTATGGCTTTGCTCGCAGAGCTGAGCTGTGGACACCGTGGAAGCACCCAAGTGCAGCAGCGGGGTGTTAGCACATTCTATAGTCCCAATCATGCTGCGGATGAATAGATTTTACTCGATGGTCTTGATTATATTGTCAATACGTACTCGCTATACTACCAGTATCCACTAGTACTGGCTGACAATTTGTATTCCTGTGGTGTAACCAGATGGTCCATGATGTACAATACCGCCTGGAGTACCTGAAGTTGAAGATTCAAACACGAAGATAACATACCATTGTAATATCATATAAATACGCCAGTCTCCTAGTATCTATAGCTGACCTCTTCTACGCGCGTTCACTCCCCTGCCCAAAGATGATGGTTTCACTGACAGACCCAGCACTCCACCCGGCGCTTTACTTTATAACCGACTGCGCAGTCACACTGCAGGTGGTCTGTCTCCAGCTGCCAAGAGACCAGAATCCTCAGACTATTTATTCTAAGATTGCCCTGGCATAGAGTCCGTCCGCTACTTACCAATCGGCTGATTATTCCATGTTTCCTGACTCCTGAGAGCTGGCAGCTTGACCAGGGACTACAACCTTCAGCAGCTTGCCCCCGAAGCCACCCTTGACAGGTGCACGGATCCTCTTCCGACGCCTTTCGGAAAACGCCGTGGTTTCATACAAGCAAGGTGTCATTGATCCACTGCATCCTAAGCTGAAATCGCCTGCGCCTACTTCGGCCGGGAGATAGCCAGGATACTCAATACGTGGCTGCTATGCATTCGACAACAAAGAACAGCCAAGGCAACAATTGATGAGTCTCTGAATTTATCTCTAATATGTGGACGAGGCGCTGAAGGGTGAACAGGACTACGAAATGACTCCGTGATCGAGCCTTTACCCGCAATGCAGGTTGTCGACCAGTTATCGCGGGCGAGATATCATCAAAACGACCATCAGACGCCATGGGGAGATTATGGCCATTCTCCCAAAGTCATTGGCGGTCAGACATGGTAACGAGAAATGTGTCCGTGGCTCAACCGGTTTACCAGACCAAGGAAGCACATTTACAACTGGGATACTCCGTACTTCCGAAATCATCTCGGCTGGCCTGCCTGTGCTTGTCTGACCTATTATGGTCCAGTGAAAAGGAAAGTGGGGAGCTCTGACCAGCCAGCCACGATGGATTTTCTTTTTCCAACCCAGCCTGCTGGCCCCAGTGCCTTTCTTCCAAGCGAGCCTCGTGACGAGCTGTCGATGCAGTTCGACACTGTCTGGGCTTGCAGTGCATACGCAGGATGTGGACGAGACCAGGACAATTCTCAAATTACACATTATTCCGACGATTGTCAAAAAAGGGATGTCGTGCTCCGAGTCCAGGGTTAAACGTGAATGAATATCACTCCTCCTTGCATGCAAAAACTGACATATAGGCCCACACACCATCATCTCGAGATGACGGCTTCGTCATCGAGCCTTTTCTCCGGGCGGCTGCCGGGACCCACGATCGACGCCAATGCTCTCGCGCGGTTGTGTTCGGTACGAACGGTCTCCACGGTGAGCTACTCCCCGCTTCCTTCGCGTTCGTGCTCAATCTAATCAGGTTCCCGACAAGGAATGTTAGTATGTGGATCGCCGAGTTTATTATACCATGCCTGGAATTGAAAACTAGATGTGGAATTGGAGAAGTGCGAGATTTTGTCTCCTCGGTGGAGATTTTCAAGTCGTCTGAGAGATTGTGAAGGAAATGGAGGAGGCTGGATGTGATACCAAGGCTATGGCTCTACGAGGCATCACAAGCCCACAATGGAGCATGGAATACCTCACCGCAGGCAGAAAAAATTGGAATATGGGGGGGAGCTGTCTCTCCGCCCACACCGACAAGACGAAGCCCCCGAGTCGGAAATAAAATGCGGCCACAGTTCGTAAGGGCAGTAGGCAACCGAGAGCACAGACCGAGCATTAGACCGAGTATCCATGGCCATAAAGGTCGATACCGATGATCCTCTGGTCGTTGACGGGGAAGAAGGCGGGGAACAGGTAGCAGATCAGCTCGAGCTTCGATCAGCATCACGGGTGGGGTGATCCTAGACACGGAACATTAAAAGGCTCAAAAAGTCAAAAGGCAAAACGCACGACGAAACAATTGTGGGGGGACGAATGGAGCTCTGATGTAAACCGTTGCATGGTTGCTTGCCGACATGCATTTTGTTGCAAAAGACTCATGCAAGCACAGTGGAGGCGCCCGCCCTTCTTTCCCGGTCGGTAATGATATTGCCCGCAGTGCAGTTATATCCAGAAAGCACCTTTCTCATGAGTAGAAAGAACCGGGGTGCCAGGCAGACTTTGATGATATCCAGCTAGCCACCGTTGACGAAGTGTCCAACCTACCGTGCACGCGACAAGGATTGCTATGGATGGATGAGATCCGGTCATGGTTGGCGGTCCGATCCGGGGCGATCCGGCCCTCCAGCTGTGGAATGCACGGACCGGTTGACAGATCGACTTCAACTTCCAAAAAAAAAAAAAACGAGAACATGTTCGAGCGAAGCACGTCCCGCCCGAGTTGGCCATGCGGACAGCACAGCTTTGACAGCTACGTGCAGATTAAACATTAAGCACCAGAGAGTGTGTGTTCACGCTGTCATCGCTTGCAGACACATCCAGGTCAGGTGAGAGTCTAGTCCCGATCGGGAATGGCAGGGGCTTGCCTCCTGTATGTGTTTCACCTGCAGAACACACCCACTATTTTCCTCCAGCTTCAGCTTCCTGTGTCGCCAATGAAATAATCTGCCGATATGCAGCCACGCAAATAGTGCAGCTGGCATAATCGGATGCAATCCACCCCACGTCTGGGTCGTAACAAAATGAAATGTTTGCAGCCGTCCTTCAATTCCTCCCTCTTCACACTGACTGGAGACTCGGTGGGCGGGCCTCACATATTGCCCGGCCAGTAATCTATAGGTGCTTCATTTTCATTAATTGAGCGAGTGGCGACTACAGTGTACACCCCAACCTGGACCCAGCGAGGTGCGAACCACTCTAGTTCCACTGCGATCAAGAGTTCGTCCAAGGAAGATCCTTTGATCATAGACACCCACCCTGTTTCTCCAACTTGACCCATTGCATATGATCGTCGATGTCCCTGCAATCGCCGGTGTGACACCCCAGCGGGCTCGATGCAGGGATGAGAAACCTGTACGTCCTGCGAATGCCGTATCCGATGAAGGGGCTTGTTCCAGGTCGACAGGACCCGCCAGCCAAGCAACATCGCAGCAACAGAACGCGTGGTCCCAATAGCTCCAGCTGGGCTGACAAGGCGCCGTATTATTGCATTACCGTGAAGCCCCTCCTATGCATGTTTTTTTCGACATGAATACGGTGGACTCCTGCTCCATACCCATTCCCGAAGCTGCACCTTGATCTTCCGCCTAGGCCACTTCGCTGCATGATAGACATCACGATTCGGGTCAACCGGCAGGCCATGACGAAGGAAATGGACGATCTGGGCGGCTCGGTTAAGCCAGCCACCTCTTACATTCTTCTGTGTAGCAAATGTTTGCTGGTGACCGGAAAGCCCATGACGTTATCCCTAGGAGCTCACTTCAGGCCACGAGGGCATATAAAGGATAGATAGCTTGCCACTGGGATGGAAATCTAATTCAATTGTTCGATTGTTGAATTGTTCACTTTGGTTGCCTCTTTTCTTTTTTCTTTTTTTTTGCTGCCTCATACTTGTGCCTATCAACACCGCCACGCTGTCTTCTATACTACGCCGAATTCTGTACTGTGCCTGTTGTTTTTCCTCTGAACATCCGGCTGAACCAACTCCTTCACAATCACAACGAATCTCACCTTCTCCAACACCAATACATCCAAAGGCAGATACTCCAAAGCCAACTGCCTCCTGCCCCTTACTTCAAGATTCATCACATATCAAATCTTACCAAGCTGTTAACACGACCGATCCCCCAACAGATACCCAGCATACAATCATGGCCCCCTCTATCATGTCTCCCGTCGCCCCGAGCGCGGATGGAATATTCCGCTTCAAGCGGACGTCGAGCTCCCGTCAGGTCTCCACAGCACACGATGGAGATAGCATTGTCTCGGGCGCAGCTCGCTCCGTTCAATCTCCTCGCGTCACCTCTAGGAAGTTTAGCTCGATGGGAACTACAAATATCTCCAGCGTCGTAGCTTCCCTTCAGCGCCGTAGTAACGATGAGTTCGGATCGAGCGCATCCTCCAGGTTGCTAACAGCAACCCATCACACGATTGTGGAATGGATTCGCTCCGAGCGCATGAGCCTTCTGCCTCCAGAGGGGAGTGAGTACGACAAAGTACTAGCGTGGGCTCAGCTGTTTGTTGACCGACTTCATTCCTTTGACGAGGAACTCGAGCGATTCGCTGGCGATAGCTACTTGGCCGCTCAGCTGTCATACGGCTACTGCTCCATGCTTCTTGAGGTAAGTCCATACCCAGAAAATCCTCAAGCTCATATCTAACCATGGCGTGTCAATGTAGCTTGGAAGAGAAAACGCCGGTGCCCTCATGGCCTCGTTCGGATTTTTCTACAGTATTTCGATGTCTCTGGTAAACCTACTCGAACGCACCGAGCTATTTAGTGTCACCCAAGAGATTCAGGAACAGCTTGTTTTTGCGCTTTCCGACCTTGTCACCCTAGTTGCTAGTGTGGCTACCTACTTCCACAAAGCCATTAGTGGAATGACATCGACTTCTCTCTCCGTCAACATCTATCGCACGTTCCCTGGCCAGATTCAGACCTTCAAACAGCGTTGTGAGAAGATTGCGGAGTCGATGTGGAGACACCAACTCCTCAGGGAGCACCTTGATGCAGACAAAGGTATGATTATGGTATCTCTCTAGGTGGGTGAGCACCTGCTGATTGCCATTGACAGTGTCCGACGTGAGGGCCATTCGAGCGTGGCTCGCTCCTGAAGACCATGCAGTCAGCAGTATTGCCGACCACAGCTCCCACTTGGCTCACGACCGCGAGGAACTGACTTGCCTCTGGATGGCCCCCTATCTAACCCGCTTTTTGAAGACTCCCCAGAAGCATCTCAGCTTCACGGGTCCGGCAGGGTCCGGCAAGACTGTCCTGTCTTCCGTCATTATTGATCACCTACAGCACCGTCATGGCGGCGTCGCTTACCACACCCTCTTTGTTCCAATCAGTATGACCCCTAAAGCATCCGTCGTTAGGAGACTGTGACTGACATCGCCTTTAGATGGTAGGATTGCTGCACAGACTAGCTCATTCGCGATCGCGAAATCCCTCCTTTCCCAGCTGCTCGAGAAGCGTATTGGTAATGTGCAACTGTTCCGCATTCTCAGTGATGCGTTGAATAGAACGAGCGTTACCACTGATCATCAAACTTACGATGATATTCTGTGGGACGCTGTGGAGCAGGCCCTTAACGCCTCTCTGACAGGTGCCAAGCAACTGGTTTTGGTCATCGATGGCGTTGATGAGGCTAGCTGTGGCGAGGACAAGCTGTTGCGAAGACTTACGCAGGCTTCCAGCAAGGCGAACGCTAAGCTCATTACCCTTGGGTCCCAGACTCCTCCCGAGATTCCGGGCCAAACTCGGGTTCGGATTACTGAGGATCTCACCTTTGACGATATTGCTGCTGTTGTTCGTGGCTGCTTCCGTCCCAGCCAGGTCTACTCCAACCTCCCGAACATTGATCAGGAAACTCTCGTGGAGCGCATTACGCACGCCTCTAAGAGTTCGTTCCTCCTGGCAAAGCTCATTACCAAGCACGTTCGCAAGGAGACAACCCCTGAAAGCCTGAACAAAGCAGTTGACAGTGTGTTATCCAAAAAGCCTGCTGTCCACGACTTTGTTGCCAGCGCTCTCGAGCAGCCAGATGTCACCCCCGAAGGAAAACACATGCTGCTATGGCTTGCCACAGCTGAACGGCCGCTTCACGTCAAAGAGCTTTCCGAGCTCGCTTCCATCCAGACTGATAAGCGCACTGTCTCTGAGACCGCAGTGGAGCCCTTGCACGCTTTGAGGCCACTCAACTCGCTCGTCTTCCTCCAGTACGACTACTTCTTCCTCCGCCACGGACTTATTCGCAATGCTATTGTGGACACATTTACCCAAGGCAAGCTCATCCCATCCGTTAAGGACCGACACGCCGACCTAGTGACCAGGCTTCTCGTGTACATCAAGTCAACTGTTACAGACCAGCACGAGCCATCTTCTCTCCCATCTCTGGATTACCATGACACGACAGATCTGCTGGACAAGAGCCCACTCCTTGAATTCGCGCTGCGATACTGGGTTCCCGTTTTCCGTAAGACAACAGTCTTCACTAAGGACGGTGAGACCACCGCAGCGAAGGAGATTTCCAAGGTGCTGCCAACCACAACAATTGTTGTGCGCCTCCTGAGATCCGTCTTGGATAATGTGTCCACCCCCGACCTAGTGACATTCCAGACGTCAGTTACGAACATCTACCGTACCGTATTGACGCGGGACAATGTGACCACCCTTCAGGCAATCATTACATTGGCTAGTTTGGTGCGACAGGTGAACAGCCCGGAGCCTTTTACCCTGTTCTACGAGGCTGCTATCCTTAGTCAGAAGCTACTTACTCCTCGCCACATTGTCACCATGCAAATGGTTACCGTCTTCCTAGAGTTGACTACTGAACGTGTCACCGAGTCTAAGACCGACATAATGACAAGGCGTGAGGAGTTGCTGCTAGTACTGGTCGAATGCTACAAGATTCACTACGGAAACGCATCTGAGAAAGTCCTAACTATTCTGGACCAGCTTGTTGAGCACTACCGCAAGGTCAAAGACACCAAGAAAGTGGAGAGCACTCTTACCACTATCCAGTCCTTCACTAGCGACCATGGCACAACCACTAATGGAACGGCCGGAACTCTCGATGTCCGGCTTGTTGGTCGCCGCGACACCGACACTCAGGTTGTCCAGAATTTCCGCCTCGACCTAGATGACGAGGACGAGCTGTTGGAGACTACGGAAGGCTATGAAGCTGATGCTTTGCTCAACCTTGCCAACAAACATGTGCAGACTGGCCGCGCCGATCTCGCAGAGCGTACCTACGTTGAATTCTGGCAGAGAGCAACACGGGAGTCCCGCGTAAACAATTCCGCGTCGTGGGAAGACAAGAAAATGAAAATTATTCTTGCGTACACCAATTTCCTCCGCAGCCAAAAGAGGGACCACGAGGCATCCTCTGTCCTCAACAGCTTCTGGCAGGACTACCAGCAGACCAATGTCAGCCTTTCTGAATCGAAGGTGTCTCACTTGGAACAAATTGCAAAGGTAATGAAGACTGTTGGTCTCTCTGCTGTCGCATTGAGTGTTCTCAAGCAGGTCTCGGAGTACTACCACAGCACTCGCCGCACTGAGACCTCAAGCTACAAGGAGGTTCAACAGATGCTACAGAGCACTTCGCAGGAGGTGATGCACTCTGCCTCGTCCTCGTCGGTTGTATCCGAGTCGACCTTGGAGGAGATGATCATTGAAACATCCTCTGCCAAATCTGTCGACCAGAGCTTCTACGGTAGCGCTGAGACCTTGGTTGGCATGTACATCTCTCAGCGCAGATGGCAACATGCTTCGCGCACCATCAAGCGAATCCTGCAAAACACCTGGCCAGCCTTCTTTGCGACGACTCTCCAGGATGTCACTTTGCCTCAGAAGCATGTTGATTCCTCGCTGTCTCTGGCTGACCGTCTAGCGCAGTGCTATCACTCTCGTCACCGTCAAGCTAAGGAGCAGGACACTCGCTTCCGAATTTACTACGCTGTCCGTTCTGGTCTGAACGTGGAAGACAAACTGCGACAGCACCACGTCTCTGAGATCCTGCGTATCCTGGAACGGACTTCGCAGACCGAGCTTGTGATCAGCGTTTACCAGGAGCTTCTGAACGACTACACCAAGCACTACGGCCCCGACCACCCGACTGTCATTCAGACGCTGCGCAAATTGGCTGAGCTCACCCGGCCCCGGCCTGTCTTCCTGGACTACTACCAGCGCATCATCCAGGCACTGAACAAGAATGGCAACTACCATCCTGATTCGCTCGAACCTCTCAACATTGTTGCGACCGAGCTATGGAACCAAGGCCGCTACTCTGATGCTCTGCATTACTGCACTATTCTTTTCACGGCCTGGCTGAACAACCCCAAGCTCAGCCCGAAGTTCCAGGATGAGAAGTTTGTTCATGAAATCTTCACCCGTTACGTCCAGTCTCTTCGTGCGGTCCGCACGGCGTTCCCCACTATTCACAAGGTGACCCTGGATTATCAAACCAAGTGCAAGGCTGTGTTCAGCGCAACGGCAACAATCACCGTGCAGGCCACCTTGACGCTCGCGCAACTCTGCCAGGAATCGAAGCACTATGAGATCGACGCGATCAGACTGTACGAGGAGCTGCTCAAAACCAACTCCAAGGACGTCAACTTGGACGAGATCCGTGGCACCTTGGACGCGCTATACGAGGAGCAGTCTGCCATCGTCGCCAACACCGAGTTGACCGAGTCCGCGTCGTCCACCCAAGTGGAACAGGCTACCAGGGTGCTGAAGCGACGTATCACTTCGCTGCGTGAGAGCTACGGATGGGCTCACGAGGAGTCTCTTAGCAGAATGACGGACGTCGTCAGCTTCTATTCCAAGCAGAACAAGACCGTCGAAGTGGTTCAAGAGCTTCAGGAAGCCACCACTAACATCCTCTCGTCTGAAACTTCAACTTCCCGGTTGAGCCAGGCCGCTGCAACCATTGCGAGCTCCTACATTGCTACCAACCAAACACAAAAGGCTGTGGAGTTGTCGAATGAAGTCTACCGCCAGGTGATCAAGAAAGACAACACCAACGCCAAGTCAACTAAGTTCGACCTCACCTCTAAGAGCCGCCAGAATCTCATCTTCCTTGCTCAGCTTGAACACCACCTCCACCGCCAGTCGTCGACGGTCACTGAAATCCTGGCTTCGTTGACCACTGAGTTGGTTTACTTTGAAGAATTCCAGCAGCAAATTCGGTCGAGCAGCAGCTTCATCTCCACTAGCGTGTCGACTGCCCGTCTTTACCACTTCCTGATCACGAACAACCGACAGGATGTTGCTACCGACGTGGCCAACGAGTTTGTCAAGTATTTCCTTGCGAACGAGGGCAAGCGTGTTGGCTTCAAGTCTTCCGATGAAGTTAAGGTGTTCATCATGATGATCCTGCACTACTTCGGCACCCGCCAGTCGAACGATATTGTTCGCTCCGTTGGAATCGCTAGCACCAGCCACGTCACCGAGCTGGTCAGATTGCAGAAGTACGATGAGGCTTGTGATCTGGCTCTGGCATCTTTCAAATTCATCAAAGCCCAGGAAAGCTACCGCACGCCAGCCATTGCCCGATTTGTTCTGGTTCTCAGCATGAACGTGTCCGGCCGTGGCCTCCAGCTTAATGCTGCGACCCATAAGAGAATGCTCGACACCTCCGCGACTATCATTCAGGATGTGCTCCGGGTGCTTCACGAGCAGAAGATTAACATCGCCCAAGTTGGTCTCGAGCACTTGAACAGCATTGTCGGCCTCCTCGGGCAACAGGGCGACTACCCCAGCCTCTCAATGGTCCTCACCTCGATCTGGAAAAGCCGGGAGGCACACCGCGACTGGGACCCCTCTGTTACACTCTCCCTGGGCCGTCTGTACATCATGGCACGATACCTGGTCGGTGACACCACTTCCGCCGTTCGCCTGGCAGAAGACATTGTGTACAACTGCCGCCGTGTGAACGGTGCCCGCAGCCCTACCACCCTGACCATGTCTGTCCTTTTGTCCCAGCTTTACACTGGCATCGGCCAGCGCTACCAGGCGCACAAGGACGCCCAGGAACTCGCAAACAGGTACTATAAGCGCAGCGCCGCACTACACGAGAACGTCCTCCGTGCTCTCAGCGATCCCACCTTTGAAGATCTCGACGGCAGCGCCGACGATGGTAGCGTCAATGGCAGCCTCAACGGCAGCGTAAACGGCAGCGTGACCCCCTCGAGACTGGACAGCGAATTTGTGGCCGACTTCACCAACGGCGCATCAATCGAGGACCAAGTCCGTCAGCACTTCAAGCTGTTCAAGCTCGCTATCCAGCGTCTTGGAGGTTGGCCCAAGGACTATGCCGAGTACCAGCGCCTGAATGGCGACCTCTTCCGCGAATACCCCACCGCCCTCGACGGTGTCGATGGTATTGATAAGTGGGAGCTGAAGGGCTACGGATCTGGAAAGGCTGAGAGTAAGGAGGATCTTATCGACGCCGATTTCAAGGAATGGCAGCTCTTTACCGACACCAGAATTGTGGATGAAGCCGAAGAGGAGGAACTCTGATTTGATATCCTTGTTTCGTTTGTATTATGAGATTGTATATAGGCACTGTTTGAACTATTATTAGGCATGAATTGAGGCAGCTTTTGTTCTAAAATACTGTTCTTGACTCCTCGGATATAAGACTAGATTGGTTATAAAGTCCAGTGGCCATCCCTCTTTCCTAAACAGGTAACACATTAACAACCTGCCTGTATAGGAAGCTGCGACCCAGACACCACTATGACCTTTACGATTTCAACTTCAACAGTTCTACCACAGCATCGGCGTCTCCATCAGTGATCAGTACTGATCTAACACTCGTTTAACCAAACTCAGTATACACGCGTCCGCCCTCGATCCTCGAAATCGGTATCATTACCCCTCCAATCGTCAACAATGAGCGCCGACCCTTCCAATATACAGCTGCTCACTTCTGAGCTCCAGGCGACCCTAAAATGCGATATCCTGACTCCCGACTCTCCTGGGTACGCCGAGAGTATTCTGAGGTGGAACGATGCGGTTCCCAATAACGCTGTAAGGCTCAGTGACAATCACAGCAAGGGTATTCACTAACATCCGTCAGGCTATCGTCGTCTATCCAACCACGCCAGAAGAAGTCTCGACAACTGTTGTCGGTTGCGTCAAATATAAAGTCCCATTTGCAGTTGCCGGTGGGAAGCATACCACCAGTACTGGTTCCTCTTGCTCCGGTGGTCTCGTTATCGATCTTGAACACATGCGTTTTGTGATGGTGTTTCCCAATACAAAGTCCGTCCGCGTAGGCGGGGGGTGTCGTTGGAAGGATGTCGATGATACTCTCGTGAACTTTGAGCTGGCAGTGGTCGAGGGTATTGTGAACGACACTGGTGTTGGTGGTATTACTCTTGGAGGTGGGTACGGATGGCTTGCACCACGCCACGGCCTTATCATTGACAACCTGATGGGCGCGAAGATGGTTCTGGCTGATGGAAGAATCCTTAATACCTCAGCGGATGAAAACCCCGACTTATTCTGGGCTATTCGTGGTGCAGGACAGTGCTTTGGGGTGGTTGTAGAATTCCTGTTCCAGGCCCACGACCACAAGGATCCAGTGTGGGCAGGCATACTTGGGCTTCCTCTATCACAGGTTGAAGCCATTATTGGGTTTGGCAATACCTTGGTGGAAACGACGGATGGAAACTCTGCGATGGTCGTACAGCTCTCGAGGTACGAATTTACGGGTTCTGGCCGTGAATTGGGTGTCATAGCGGTTGTCTTCCATTGCGGCAATGCTGGGTCTGCTCAGCCTATTTTCCAACCTTTGCTTGACTTGGGTCCCGTTATTAACACGACCAAGGAACAGACTTACGTCTCTGTCAATAACATGCTCACCGCTGCCGCAATTCGAGGTGGGCGCAACATCTCAAAGGGCGCAGCGTATACTACGCCACTACGACCAGAGTTCATCAGAGAAGTTCTTGTTCCCGAGTTAGACAAACTTCACCTCGAGGTACCGGGGTCAGATAGGTCCATGCTGGAATTCGAATTCTACAAACCGGACAAGTGGTGCGAGATTCCGGTGACTGCAACAGCGCATGGCCATAGAGGGCGCGTCCAGAACGTCATGATTGGTCTCCATTGGCTAGACCAGCAGGACGATATCAGAGTAGAGAATTGGTCTCGCTGGATCGCGGGCCTCGTAACGACAGAGCGAGATAAGAATGGCGGTCCAGCCGCCGGTCCGGTTACAGAGTATGGAAACTATGATCACTTGTCGGCTCATCCTCGAGACGTCTTTGGGGTTAATTACGACCGACTCGTCCAGCTGAAGAAGGTGTATGACCCGGACAATGTCTTCAACAGCTGGTACTCGCTGGTTGGGTAAGTCCGCGTGGATTTACTGTCAGGTTGTATTGCAAAGGCTTTGTATTTTTAGCACTTTCCCTTCAGCCTCGTAGTAGTTGAATAGAGGCAACTTGTTCTTCAATTATCCTGGTTCCAGGCCCAACAGTGCCGCATTTTTAAATGGAACAAAGGAGCAGCAGAGCATTTGGGTGGTACTGATAGCACCGTATACACCAGATAGGAGCACTTGAGCCTCGAGTTCGTAGCTGGCTACATACCACTCGAGCGCCGGTAGATCTGCACTCCTGCAGCGCAGCAAGGTACTTACTCAGACCGCATTGACCAACAAAACCCGTTGTATACGCGCTTTGTAATAACTCCTCCTACTTGTCGTTCTCGCTCGAGGCCAAGCTTTCTTCGCCAACGCGAAGCTTCCGAGGTTGAGAGAACCGTGCGAGTTCTTGATCTGCTGAACAACGACCATCAAATAAACTGATCATCATCGAGATCTTGCAGCGATAATCGGCAGATTTCCTAATTTGGGCCTGTTCATTGCGTTGGTCGGCGAGAGAGACGGAGATGAGAGAACCAGAATCAGAAAGGTGAAGAGGGCGAAACCAGCGATCGGAGGTTCCCCGGTTTCTGCCTCAGGCAGGCACATTGACTCATCCCCCGCGGTCGCAGGTTGTCGCTCGCAAACTTCCGATATCGCCGGCTGCTGCTCTATTCTGTCTCTTAAGAGCTTCAGCGCGTGCTTTAGGAGCAGAGATTCATCTATATCAACTTGCACATTGTCTTTCCTGATTCTGCTATGCTCTGTGCTACTCGAACTTCATCTCGCTCGCTCTCTCGCTCCTTTGCTGCACGAGAATTCCACCATTCCACAACAGCCATGGCAGCAAACGACTGGAGTGCCAAACAGTACCTCAAGTTCGAGGCTGAGCGGACAAGACCATCCCGCGATCTTCTTGCTCAAATTCCGCTGAAATCGCCCAAGAACGTTGTGGATCTGGGCTGTGGGCCAGGCAATTCCACCGCCGTTCTTCTATCTCAGTTCCCAAATGCGCGCGTGTCGGGAATGGACTCGTCACCGGATATGATCCGTAAGGCGCGCGAAACATTGCCTGATATTGATTTCTCCGTGGACGATCTTGGAACCTACACGCCCCAGCAGCCTGTCGACCTGTTCTTCTCAAACGCCGTCTTCCAATGGGTCCCGCGCGACCAACGGCTTCAGATCATCAAGCGATTGATAGAGTCCCAGCCTGCCGGGGGTGTCTTTGCGTTCCAAGTCCCTGATAACCTGGCGGAGCCATCTCACGTTGCCATGCGAGAGACTGCTGCCGATGGTCCTTGGGCGAATAAGCTGGATTCCGCTGGGCGGGACACCTTCCAGTCACCGCAAGAAATATACGACGCGCTGAAGCCGATATGTGCTGATGTGAATATCTGGCATACGCATTACAACCACTCGCTGGAGAACCACCAGGCCGTGGTAGAATGGGTCAAAGGGACGGGTCTTCGCCCGTTTGTTGACCCTTTGTCACCTGAGGATAGGGAGGGGTTCTTGAAGGCGTACCTGGGTCGCCTTGAGACACTATACCCCAAGTCCTTTGGTGGGAGGGTGTTGTTACGGTATCCCAGACTGTTTGTGGTGGCCACCAAACATTAGCCAGATGCTTGCAGCAAGGAGTTTCGCCACACCGCATAACTATTGTCCAGTCCACAATATTTTTCGCATATCGAAGTTCAATCTAGCGTGGCATGTTGAAAATGAAAGCCCTTTTATCTCAAAATAGTTCATCCTTGGTAAATCGCTGGTTCTTGATTAAGCTTATGTGCGACAAGTGAGCTTATCGTGAAGAATCCGGCGAGTGGGAACCCATTCCACACCAGACCAGACTCTCCTATCAAATCGCCTGTTTTCGCCACGGTGATGCTTTACAAATCCACTATGTCCAGTTAAGCCAGCCCTAACCTCTTTTGAGCTCAATGATGCCATCCAGATGGCCAATAAGGGCTTCATGATCAGGTCCAGATCAGGCCCATTCCCACGGGCCAAAGTGGGCCGGACCACTCTGTGATGCGTACCAAAATTCCGCACTTCCTGAGTAACGCAGAAAAAAAAAAATGATGAGAAATTCTGCAAAGTCCCTAATAATTACCACCGCTGGACCCTGCCCGGCCGTAGCTATACCAATACCAATACTGCCATGTTGCTCCCGTGGATCCATCCCCATTTAGCACAGAGTGTGAACCCCAACAAGGGCCGCCAACTGCAGGCATCGCAACGCATTCAACGAGGCGAAGTCCTCCTCGTCGATCCGCCGTACGCAATTATCCCAATCTCCGGCGTAGACACAACCGGTCCCCTCCTTTGCAGCAATCCCCAATGCAACAGCCCCGTACAGCAAACCACCGGCACCCGATGTCCAAATCGCTGCAACACAGATGTAATCTGGTGCAATGACACCTGTCGCGACGCGGATAACCCCCGCCATACCTTCGAGTGCACCTGGCTGAGCAAATACGCCGCCTCTCTCCGCTCAAAATGGGGCGAGTATAACTTTGGCATGCTCTGGTTGATCGTCCGCACACTCTCCAGAAGACATGCCGAACAACAACAACAACAACACGATAGTAACGATAACGATAACAACAATGGCAATCACCTACACCTACCCCCCGACTCACCATTATCCCACTTCAAATCCGGCTGGCCCGCCATCGACTCTCTCTGCGGCACAATAGACACCTGGTCCCACGCCCAAGTCCGAGAATGGACAGTCCTCGTCAAGAAATACCTCAGCAGCTCATCACTCCCACACACCCTCTCCAACACCGACGTCCTCGCCTTAATATGCAAAGAAGAAGCAAACTCATTCGGCCTCTACCCGCGAGAAACAGGAGTCTTCCCACCTCCCTCTCCCGCAGTTGATCGGGGAGAACAGTTCGGGGCCGCGGTGTATCCGCGCGCTTCGATTGCGAATCACTCTTGTTGTCCGAATGTATGTCCTGTTTACCTACCTTACCAATCATATCTATGCCAAACAAAGCTGACATACTTGGCGCAGATAATACATAAACCAGACAAGCACAGCCGCATGGTCTTCACGGCGGGACGGGATATCGCGCCGGGGGAAGAATGCTGCATTTCATATTTCGATATGACTCAGTATACCACGCTCAGGGATCGACGGGAACGTCTGCAGAGTCTGTTTCGGTTTAAATGCGGGTGCTCGCGGTGTTCGGGTCAGGAGGTCGAGGAGGTCGAGGCTGAGGGTGCGGTGCCTGATGGGAGTGAGGTGCAGTGGGATGCGTTTCCGGGTTTCGAATAAGCATTTACCCTAGTTATCAGAACTTGTGGGCGAGTCTTGATAGTTCTGGGCTACCCATTACGACTGTAATGATTTGATATATCTCTCCTGATGGAGAAAGTGCTACAGCAACTATGATTCCGTGACATGATTATAAGCTTCATTTGTCATTAAAGCTCTAGAAGTCGCTCATAAATCATTCAAGAGACCTTATAGTATACGCAAAAGAGAGCAATATTTGGTCCTACAAGCCCGGGCAATTTACAGATCAGCGCATCGTACTTCTATGCTCCTTCATATCCATCCATCTCCGCCACTAAAACCAGTCAGTACCCCCTAACAAGACGAACAGGAAGAGATCATACCTTCGGGTTGACAAAATAGACAGGGATTCCCAATAAAAACACACCCCCACAAATAGCGGCCAAAATCCCCATTGCAACAGGATAATCATACTTCTCTGTCATGGGATTAATCCCATAACTCAAGGCAAATGCAACAATATTCTTGACCCCAACAACAGCCACAATCGCCGGGCCGGGGTTCTTCTCCCACGCCTCAGCAGCAAATGATGTTGACAGGATAAGCACCGAGACGAAGGTTATCTGGAACAGAGTCCAGCCCATATATGGCCCTCCCCAAGTAGCGCTGCCACCAGCAGTAAAGCCATAGAGAAGGAGGGCGACGACACCTAGGATACCGGGGAATATGAGGAGTGGGAGGCGGTGCTCTGGAGTATGGACTCCACCATTCCGCTTCGCCATCCAGATGATGAATTTGTCGCCGAAGAAGCCGGCGTAGAGCATGCCGCCGAATCCGCCAAAGACACCGCCGAGATTGATTAGCCCGATGGACTCCGGAGCCCAGTGGTAGTTGTATTGGAGGACGGTGTTGTAGGATAGGGACATTCCTATTGAGGAACCGAGCACGACGGAGGCAACGAGTGTGGCGTAAAGGATGCCAGGAGACATGAATGCTTCGAAGATCTGGAGTGTAGTTCTAGGGACCAAGGTCAAGGGACTCTCCCTCGGCGACGACCACGGAATTAGCATCTGCAGGTAGGTTTTCTTCGGCCGCAGTTCCTCCGGTATCTCATGCTCGTCGCCAGGATGGCCATGTGCTTCGAGGTACTCTCGGGTTTCGTATTCTGTGAGCATCCTAGTCACCCCGAACTGGTCTGTAATAACTAGGCGGCCGTTCACAAACTGAGAGCTGCGCCTGTAGCTAGTTTCAAAACCGAGGAAGATCGTTAGAATCAAACCAGTAGCAACTGTGATCGCGAATACCCAATAGTACCACTGCCAACCAAGAGCGGCTACTTCGTAAGAAGCAGCGAGGTTTAGGCATCCTGTGATGACACTCTGCGCTGCCCAATATGCCCCGTATACCATTCCATGCTGGTGAACAAACGTCACCTCTGCGAGGATAAGAGGTAAGACCTATGGGAACCAGATCTTAGTCGATACCACGTTGCATAAGGAAGTAAAACCTACCGACTCTGTCACACCAGCTGAAAGGCCTTGTATAATCCGAAAAGCCAGATGTTGCTCCCAATTATTGCACACTGCGCATCCGATCGTAGCTGCTAGCAGAATGACAGTCGAAACAATGGTAGTGAAACGACGGCCATACAACAGAGCAAGTGGGAGGACGAGGAAGTTGCCTATCAAGCATTAACCTTTCACTCAAGGAACAATACTATCAGTGCACTGACCAACCCCGACGAAAAGGGAAGGGAAAGTCGACAACCACACGATCTCGTTGGTAGAGCGTCCTTCGCGCATGTACATTTGGAAGAATACGTCGAGAATAGCTCCTAAGCCCCCAACAAGCGACAAAGACATTGTCGCTGTGAATAAAATCAGCACTGGCGGTCAACGCGACGTCCATTGTGCGCAGATTACTTACAGAACCAGCAACAGCTCACAATGATGCCAGTCTTCTCCCATCTCGTGTAGTTCAATGGATCATTAGGATCCTTGCTGGGCACTGGCAGCCGCTGCACCTGGCCATCATTATCGACCAGGATGTGTCCATCGCCGTAGTCCACTGATTGTTTGCCGGTCTCCACATTCTCTGCGAACTCGATCACTGCTTTGTCCTCCGTTGGTCCCGACATTGTAATTAGCGGGTGCCCGGGTGGAAGCCTCCAATTCGCACAGGGATAGAGAACTCTATCTATATTTTCGCTGTCATCCTGTCCAGCGGTGGAGAAACTGTTGGAAATGCGGAGACCCCACAAGGTCAAGAATTGTTGACATGGCTTGCCGGATGTGGGCGAGCCGAGGCGTGGGCGACCCTCCCCCACCCAGGCTATGCCCACAATACCGGCTCGCATCTTTCAAATGGCTTAGTACCAATTGGTCCAGATTGGCTGCTATGGCAGGCTCCCTAGATCACGTATTAAGTTGCGTAAATTGTCAACGAGCGGGGGCAAGTTGTCCGTTGCTCCTGGAAAGTTGTTATCGAAAACCTGCCTCCCCACATCCATCACTAGGCGGGGACTAGCAAGTTGGCAGAACACAGTGTTATTCTCTTCATCAGGGCCAGCCGAGTGGAGGGTGAGGCCAGGCTGGCCTATGCCTCGGGCGATGAACGCCTTTACAGACTCTGTTTCGGGGCCATCCAAAGTGACGAGAGGGCCAAGGCGGCCGTCTGGCGGGCTAGTAGCCTCCTGGCGATGGTGTTCACCGCACCGCAACAATCCAAATACCCAAAGGACTAGCATCGCGTGGTAGATCGCTAAGCTATCAAAACCACGAAGTTGGAAAGGTAGGACCAGTCGAGCAGCGCGAAGAAGCTGCCCAGCATGCCAGATTGAGGAGCGAGCTTCTTTATTCAAACTCCAGTCACGAACATTTGGATATTCTCGCCTCGCCTCTGATTCCCCAAATTGGCCGGCAAACCGCTGGATGGAGTCGAAGTTTACATGCAGGTGCATCATAGCAAATTCGCTGAACAAAGTCGCAATCGCTGGGAAGTTCGTCATGTCCTCCCTTGCTGCGGTGATAGACTGTAGCCTAGGGCAGCTCATTAGCTGGACTTCTGTCATTATTAAGGGTATACTTACAGATCATCCTGTCGGCTTTGCATCCACAATCGGGTCATCGCACGAGTGTCAGTGCGGCAGCTGTCCGCTAACAGCGCCTGCTGACGAAGAGCCCACACTTGACTCATCAGACCGTGTAACACCGCCGAATTCACCACGCCCGCATCAACATCAAGAGGAAGATTATTTAGTATAGAAAGATCTGCTAGTAATTCTCGCAATGACAAGCCCGTGGGTACCAAATGGGAATACTTGGCCAGCCAAAGATCTTTCCAAGCACCTGCAGTGGGTGCAAGCCATAGATCTCGAGCACTCGGAAAAGGCAACGTGAATTCGGTATAACTAGTGAGCGAAGGCCTGTTCATGGCTGCTGCTGCCTCGACATCGTGCTCAAAAAGGTGGTGGGCCAGTCTGGGTACATATTAGAACCTAGCCCATGACAGGAGAGTTTTGCATACCTTTTCAGCGACTCCTGCCGTATCCACTGCAGCCAAGTTCTTTCCAGCGCGATATCATCGCTAAGATCCATGAACGGCGGGTCCGAAGAATAGAACGAGCGGTCAAAAGCACCGGCCCTCCGCAGAGCCTATATTGTGTTAGAGGCGTCTGGGGCATCCGCGTTATACATACCGTGCATAGCGGCTGTAGGTGGCTTTCGGCTATTTGCATCTTGCGTTTATAACCACAAAAAACTCCAATATCTAGCCACATCATAGACGCTTGAAAGTACTGGAGATCTCGGAGCACACTGTTGTCTGATTCAACCTACCATCCACGTTGTTAGCTCGTTTTCGCTCAGGGCTTAGATTGTACTCGTACAAGTTGTGTAAGGCTGACTCGAACTATTTCCAGAAGGAGAACACCGGCTTTATTAATCGATGGGATAGCAGAACACACGCAACCAGCGGCAACGAGCGCCGTCAATAGTTCAGGCCGTGAGTCCTGGCGATACAGGGTGTACGGGTGTATCCACGCATCCGTCTCGGTTCGCTTGGAAATGCCAATCTTGATAAGGGCGTCGAGAGATTCAGCGGTTGGGAATGAGGGCACAGAAAGTCGCGATCCCCCTGTAGATAAAACTAGTTGGAAAATATTATCCCGCAGCTGATGCGTGAGCTTGCCACGAATATTCAAAGCTTCGAGCCGAGACCTATGCAGCGACGAGATGGACGCTGTCATATCTCCATCCTTTAGTGGTATCTGGCCAATTTCACTAAAGCCGGTTTGGTTTTTCTCGGGTACCCAAAGCCTGTCCAATGTTAAACCCGTTATTGAAGCACCTTGGTGACTTTTGTGGTTTTTCGAAGAGCGTACCATAGGGATTTTCGGAATGCAGCAACCCGTTGCTTCGTATTTTGCTCCTCATTAGAAGGATCTGGATGTGAATTTGTGGCAGCGGGTGATGGATTATATTCAAGTATTTTGTCCAGGTCAGCGAGGATATCCGCGCCAAACAGACCGGCATTTGGACTAGTAGACTCCGGGTCACACATGAAATCGAACACGCCTCTTGGCTGCTGTATTTCGGGCACCCCCGCAAGATTATATGGATTGGGCGCCATCATGACTTGTTCGAAGAATGCTGGGAAGTCGCTCAATTCCTGGTAATTTTCCACGGGGTCACGAGATAGACTGTGCTCGGGTACGCGGGCAGGGAACGGTGTTGTAGACCCCGGTGAATACAATATCCTATGATTATTTTCTAAATATAATGCCGTCTGATTGCTTTGCTGGTCGTGGTCAAGCGATAGGGTTGATGGTGTTGAGTTTCTGTGGGTGTCAATATCATTTCTGAACTGGCTTTGTGGTGTTTTGGTATCAGATCTAGGTGTTATCGTTGCCTTGTCACGCCGCCGGCCTGACTTGCGTGGGGTACAAGTTATGCCTCTACGTTGACATCTCTACCAATCTATTAGCAGCATGGTCTTGTGTCATAAAGCTTGTATGTACCTCGCAAGGGCTTTTATCGTTACAGCTCACTTTCGCGGTTGCACATTGCGCGCATGCTTCAATAGCTCTCTCCTTGTATTTGCTTACAGGTGTGTCATCAGTGTGTATTTGCCGATGCCGTTGGAGCACGTCTCTTTCGCTTAGGTCAGTTTGGTTTGCGTAAAGTTGTGGAGCGGGCATCATGCCTACGGTTGAAACCGCGATGGCAGATCGGGCATTGGAAGGTCCGTTCGTTCCTATCTGGCCGTTTCATTAGCTGATACCCAACGAACTACACACCGAGAGACATACGGGAATCTAGATGACGAGCTAGGTGGTCAGGTCGTTCATAAGACCTGTGGCACTCAGGACACTGGTGGGGACTAGAAGCGTCCTTGACGCGGGGAGACTTGTTTGGAAACGACATGGGACATTCCTGGAGCTTTATACTATGCAATAAGATTCTGTGGCGGTACGATGAGATCAAATAGAGAGAGTTGAAGTTGAAGTGAGAGTAGCCGGGATATCATGTGGAGGGCACTCAGTGTTGTGCCGACGCTAGTCCAAACAAGTTCTCTCTCTCTCCAACACAAGTCTGACGCTCTTTCCATCGATGCCAACGAAACTATCCTCATGTCTTAGAGCTTTGCCACTACTATTACTGCTCCATGCGGTCGACTTACGCCTGCATCCCCATCTCAGTCAAGCTGTACGGGATGAAACAATGACACAGGCACGCCCTCTACCACCGTCGTAGGAGAACTGGGAGCTCCCCAACAGCTTGTTGTTTATCAGGGGCCTCATACATTAGAAACAGGCTGCCGGTGCAGCCAGTCCTTCGCACCACTGTATATGCAGTTGAATGCCATGAACTCGTCCGGTTTCCTGTGCGCGCGATTAGCCAATGTTGGAAGTCCACCACAAAGTGCGTACATTGTGACAGTCTTCTCTCCTTTTGTAGTTCCTGGTTTTGCAGCCTGACGGCTATAGGCTTGGATAAGACTTGCACGGTTGTGCCGGCTGCGGAAAACGTCCTACAAAGCGTGAGCAAAGAGAATCTGGCGTCACCACAGGGACCATACTTTGAATGTCGCGCTAATGTCTTCGAGACAACAGGCCTCTTCGCTGCCCTTGAAAAATGCACCAAGTGCCTGTGAATCTTCAATCGCTTGGCTGGCTCCCTGTCCCTGCGTCGGTAGCATCGCATGTGCGGCATCTCCGATCAATATGAGTCGCCCCCGGTACCACGTGCTAAGAGGGTCCTCCAAGATTGTTAGTGGGCCATCGACGACACGCAAAGTCAGCTCACAATATCACGCAATTGCCACAGTCCGAGATCTGAGGAATGTCTGGTAAAGTTAGCCAAAGTCAATGGTGATTGACGCGTAACTGACTTGAAAATGCTTGTTACCCAACTAGGAAACTCCGAGAACGTATCCAACATCTTTGTCAGGTTGCCTTCCGAAACCCAGGACTGATTTCCATTTGGGTCCTCATGCATTTGCTCTATTAGTGGTCAGCGCCTGAATTGTTCTCCAAGAGTAAACAACATACCATCTGGAACCAGCGCCACAATTCCAAAAACATCGCCTTGTCTCCCGGGGCCCATAATGAGGCGGCAGTTATGCGCGACCATCATCGATGTGAATGGACTTCTTGGGCTAATCTTACTGCAAAATTCGGGCTCTTTGTCTTCAAGAACGTCCGAAGGAATCTGTTCTGTGAGCCTGGTTCTATAAATACATGGTTACGCGTACCATAAGCCGATAAGCTACATGCATTAGCTCGGTTCGTCAAGATATCGGGTGATCCATACCAGAATGACCCGTCGGCGTTGGCACGACACTGCCATCCAAAACATACTTGCGAAGGACACTATGGCTATTACATTGTCAGCTTGGCCAGCCAGAAATAGCCTCCACCTACATCCCATCCGCTCCTATGATAACGTCACCTTCCAGCCTGTCGCCATTTTCGAGTTCCACACTTCCATTCAAAGGGTCACATCCCACAACCCGAGACGAGACTCTAATTTCGACTGGTTCCCCATCTCTGTTTGCAGAAAGAGCTGCCTTCTTCAGTGCATCGTGTAAGTCCATCCGATGGTATACAATCCGACTGGCCCCATACTCGCTCTTCGTAGTCAAAGAAACGTGGTTTACCAGCTCTCCGTCGGTCGAGTAAACACGGAAACCTTCATCTACCAAACCCCGAGCTTCTTCGAGCTCCTTGCCTAGGCGAAAAGTATCGTATACAATCCTAGTCGCATTTGGTTGTAGAGAGATCAGTGCACCAATCTCTGTATTCAGGCGCGACTGTTCAAGCACTGTAATCCGCCTGTTGGGCGCGCGAAGGGCAATAGCAGCCGTCAGGCCCGCTATACCTCCGCCAACAATAACAACCTGTAACGGGCTTCTAGGTTTCATATCGCTTTCAAACAAAGTACTCTTCTATATGGGTACCATCTCTGGAGATCTGGGGTTTTCATTCACCTACGCCCACTAGTTGAGGCTTCGCCCACCTCCACCTCCACTTCCCTTCCTCCACATTTCCCGCCGAGTGGGCGATATACGGAATTGTGGGCAGTGGGCGTCTGCAAAGATGGATTGTATAATTACACAAGTTTATAACAGCAAGTATAAACTGACGCGATCATTCTGGTAATCAGTTGATCAAGCGCATTTGAAACTGTCGCTCACTTACAGTCCATCATGTCCACCACCGTCACCGAGCCTACTACTGTTCCACCGGACAACGTCTGCATGCGCCTGGACGGAAATGATCCTACGTTTGGAGATTTCCGAGATGACCTAGCAAGAGATGGCTTTGCCGTCGTAAAGGGAGCTATTCCGAAGGAGCGGGCACTCAAGTACGCCGATGAGATGTACTCCTGGCTAGAGGGCTTGTAAGACTTCCTGACACGTCCTAGTATACTGAATGCAACTAAAGAAGCAGCAGCAATCTCGGCTTCGACCGCAAAGACCAAAGCACTGTCCATAAGGATCGCCTACCACTCATCAACGAGAAAGGCATGTGCATGCACTACGGCGTAGCCCACGAGAAGTTCGTCTGGGACGTCCGCAGCGAGCCAGGCGTGGTCTCTGCATTCGAGAAAGTCTACAACGACAAAGATCTCATCGTCTCCTTTGACGCAATCAACTTTGGCTTTCCCAAGTAAGTTTTCCATCCACCTTCCCTCACCTTTAGATAGTTAACAACAACAGCCGCACCGACCTCCCCCCAAACAAACCCTGGCCACACCAAGACCAAGACCCAGAGAAACCTGACTTCCGCTGTCTCCAAGGGCTAGTCAACCTCCTCCCCAACGGCCCCTCGGACGGCGGCCTAATCGTCTGCCGCGGTGCCCACCTCCTCTCAGAGGAATTCCACCGCGACATGAAAGACGAAGAGCGCATCCCAGCCTGGACACCCGAGTGGTACGGGTTCACCGAGAACGGTATGAAGTGGCTCGCCGACCGAAACTGCGAATGGGTCAAGGTATGTGCTGAACCGGGCGATCTTCTCCTCTGGGACTCGCGCACGCCGCACTACAACCTCAGCCCGGAGGGGTCAACCCCGCGGTTCTGTATCTATACCTGTTACATGCCTGTTGCGGATGCGACCCAGGAGGACCTGGGGAGGAAGAAGGCGGCGTTTGATAATTGGCTGGGCACGACGCATTGGCCAAATGCGAAGCATACGGGTTCGAATGCTGCGAAGCGCGATGGGGAGGAGTGTCCGTATAATCGGTTCAAGCCGGTTGTTGAGCCGGTATTAGGGGAGAGGGCGTTTAAGTTGACGGGGATTCCGTATCTCAAGAGTCAAGCATAGTTCTGTTGTTTGGTGTTTGTCGTTATCTGAAATTGTATACAATGTTTTCTTTCATTAGGCTCCGGCCGCGCCTCGGCAAAACATCGGGTGCTCAACAAAACAATGCCACCAAACTCCGGAGTAGACAGTAGACACAAACAATGAAATCAGTCACTGCTGTCAATAATAATAACCGGCAGAACGAACCATCGTCTCGAAAACAAAGAGCCAAAAGAGCCAAAGAACCCCTTAGTGACCCACCCGAAGACCAGGATCCGCCTCCTTCTCCTGCAGAAAGCGGACTTGTTCCGTGTCTCGGTTAGCAAAGTCAACGAACGTCCACTCCAACAACTGTACTATTCAAAATTGGTAGAACTAGTCGACGGACCAAGCGCATTTGTCCGGGCGCCACACAGACAGTTGTCTTGATTCTCGAGGCTCGAGCACCGGCAGTAGTCGCAGACAATTTGGCAAATGAGGCGATGCTAGGCGATTAGTCCAGCTTGCTTGAGCTCAGACAGCTGCGGGTGCGGGGAACCTTGCGAGGTTACACTGCTGCATTTTGTCAGGCTGCGGGCTTGAGATGTGACGGTCGCCTGATCTGTTTTTGCGAGGGGATGCATGAAATTAATTATTTGCAGGTTATGTGATACTGGTTGACTGGATTAACCTTGGACGCAGTCACTGTTATTGATGTTCAGTTTTGATACCAGCGGGACGAACCGAAGTATATATTTCGCCACGAACTCCGTCCATGTTTCGGAAGACAACAATTTAAACCCCGGACTAATAAAAAGTACATATAGACTGTACCGAGTATATATCGGGACAATAAACATTGATTAAAATATCATTATCGACCCCCAGCGAGTATCTAATGCCACTATCGAGCACGCCTATTGCCGAGGCTGGATGATCTTTAGGTGGGCGACAGGGCGAGGCGATACGGACAGAATACCGAGTGCCTGGGATACCCAAGATATCCTCTTTGCAATTCGGCACCTCGCAAGCAGGTCCAAAAACTGAAGTTCGTTATGCATCACATGGTGAATGTGTTGAAGCTGGCATTCAGATGCTAGAGGATTACCTGGCAGTCGATAACCGCCATAACTCGCAGAATGAAGACACAGCTTAGCAAGTTAGAAGTATTATTAGAGGGAATACACTATTTAAATACCTAAAAAAAATGCCATGATCTCCGCTTGCAACCTCTAGACCGAGAGATACCGTCCGTATACTTATTGCTGTGCCAAGCCCGCCGAGGCCGAGGTCCACCGCGACCTTCTGCGGGGAAGCGAAGGACCCCTGGATAGTTGACCGACCAGACGCGCCGTCTCGCTTTTCGATCGATCGGACTTCGCTCCTTCACCTATTTATTATCACCCTAGCTTTCATTTGTAGATTAAGTGTGTCGACTAAGCCGGCGAAATACACCGATCATGGGGAGCTCCAACGACCCGGTCGGGAACCAGGACTATACCGAGTCCACGGTTGCGATTATTGGCGCTGGCATTTCTGGTTTGTTGACCCCATTTCGAGATCGATGTTGGAGTAGTTGGAGTCGTTGGCTAATGGCTAACGCGCCCAGGAATGTGCATGGCCATCGACCTCCTCCGTCGCAATCACCGCAACTTTGTTATTCTCGAGAAGGGGAGTTCTGTCGGCGGAACATGGCACGATAACAAGTATCCGGGGTGCGCATGCGATGGTACGTTTCCTTCCACCCAAGAAGCCTACTCTTGTCTATGGATGTCTATGAATGTATGCTGAACAAGTGTAGTCTGGAGCGCCTTATACAGCTACTCCTTCGAGCAGCGCTCCAACTGGTCGCGCGAGTACCCAGGCCAAGAGGAAATGCTGCACTACCTCACCGGCGTCGCAAGCAAATACGGCCTGTACCCATACATCCGATTCAACTCGGCGGTTGACGAAGCGCGCTGGGACGAGAAGACGCGCCAGTGGAAGATTCAGGTCCGCGTGTCGGGCGAAAAGGACAGCGAGTACCAGAGCGGATATGTGCTTTCGGCAAACGTGCTGATTCCAGGAGTTGGACAGCTGAACCAGCCCTTCTGGCCGGATATCCCTGGGCGGGACGAGTTTAAGGGGAAGAGTATGCATTCGGCGCGATGGGACTGGACGTATGACTTCAAGGGGAAGAGGGTTGCTGTTATTGGGAACGGTATGTATAGTATCCATATATCCTGTCTGGGCCAATGCTAAGACCAAACAGGTGCAACGGCCGTCCAAATCGTGCCAGAGATGGCAAAGACGGTGTCTCATCTGACCGTCTTCCAGCGGAACCCTCAATGGATTATCGGACGTGATGACTCGAGCGTGAGCGTCGTCCAGAGGGCGTTTCTATCGATCCCGTTCGTGCGGCAATGCAAGCGCTCTTTCATGATGTTCTACCGCGAGATGAGCCACGACGCCATCGTCAAGACCGATTCGACGTTCGCGCGGTGGCTGCGTGATATGGGGACCGGCCATATCAAGAAGGGTCTCCCCAATAAGCCGGAGATGTGGGAGACGCTAACGCCCACATACCCCCCGGGATGTCGCCGCGTCCTCTCGTCAGACGACTACTACCCTGCGTTGAACAAGGGACATGTTAGTTTGCAAACGAACGCGATCTCGAAAATCACCGAGACAGGCATTGAGACCGCTGACGGCGAGCACACCGAGTACGACCTGATCGTGTACGCAACAGGGTTCCGAACAGTGGAATTCCTGCACCCCATCAAGGTGTACGGCGCAGGCGGCCGGGACCTGGCAGACGTTTGGAATGGAGGTGCAACAGCCTACTATGGTGTGACAGTGGAGGACATGCCAAACTTTGGACTGCTGTACGGGCCAAACACTAATCTCGGTAAGTTTCTAGAAGGATTGAGCCCACAGCCCCGAAACATGTCTGACTCTGAACAAACATAGGACACAACTCAATCATCCTCATGATTGAGGCGCAGAGCCGTTACCTGGCCGCGCTGATCGACCCGATCGTGCGGGCCAAAGAGACGGGCGGGTCAGTCGCCATCCAACCGCGAACTGACGTTGTGCGAGCCTTTGACCACGCAATCCAAGCCCGCTTGGCCAAGAGCAGCTTTGCCGATCCCAGCTGCACCAGCTGGTACAAGAACGAGCACAACCGGATCACAAACAACTGGCCCGGCACGGTGGTCGAGTACCAGCGGGGGCTGTCGCGGGTGCAGTGGGCGGACTACGAGGTAGAGGGCGACGGGGCGGCCCAGCTGGTAGGGCAGAAGGAGACGCGGATAGGACACATCGAGGAGGTGTGGCCAGTGAGCAAGTCGACGCTGTTGCTGGGACTCAGCGTGGCAGTGGCAGCGGGAGGATATTATCTTCAGGGGTCCAGGGCAGTGCGGCGGCGCTAGGGGCAAGGCCTTCCTGTTCGGGCTTCAGCATGTTTGGGCTGTTTGGTGGCAGCCTAATTTTATCACAAATAGTAGCTAGACTAAACTAAATAATACTAGTTCCTCGTATAATCAGGGTTGATCCGACCATCTGAAGGCTAGCCTTATGGATAGGGCAACAGTGATTTGTGAAACATGTGGGTTCGTGAAGATTCTGTCGGTCGCAGGCTCCTGAGTTCCTTCGCAGGCTTCAATTGTGAGCTGGCTGGCTGAGTAGGAGTGACAACCGCCGTGATGACGACAGGAATGAACGCAGCAGTCAAGCCTCGAGGGAACAAGCTTCTTTCGGCGAACAAACGTCGCCCCGTTGTCCAGAGTAAATCTCCGCAGTCAAGCAATGGAAGCTTCATGTCTCGTTTTCTGGGCGTCTTGGCCGAAACAGTTTGCTGCACCAGTGGACCCGCAAATTTCAATGACTAACCAGAGCCACTGACCAGAGCGACCAGACTGGCCGGTCTCAGTTCCTGTTGTGACTTCATCATCAGGGCATCCGGACTCGCCGTTCTGGTCCAATCCTTCAGGCATCACCATTCTGACATCACGATCTGCTACATCTTTCCCGCACCAAGACACTAAACTCCAACAACTGGCGCGATCGGCCGTCAGCCATGGCATAAGCCTTTTATATTGGCAGAGGAGGAGGCTGTGCTATGGCGCGGATTCGGGGGGAAATGGCGAGATGGCGAGATCTCAAAGGCAGGGAAGGCCCAGGGAAAAAAGGGAAAAAAAAGGGATCGAGAGGGCGAAACAGCCGCAATGACCCGTCAGCCAATGGCACCAATGGGACGCTGTTCCCGCCATCGAGGCTGAGATTTGGCGGGCACTGATTGGTGCAGACGGTGGCAGGACCCCCGCCGGGGTCCAAATCGGGATTGGCCCGACTTTGCTCGAAATAGAAAGTGGTCACCTGCCCATGAATCATCTCCCCTGGCGAGAACCTCAGTACCTCGCCTGGGGAAGGGGTTTGGTAGCAGCACCGTCGTAGCCTCTCGTTGCATGATGTGTAGTTTGGGAGTTTGGGTTGCACGCCCCTGTGTTCCCTGTCACCTGTCCCACGATTGTACATTTGCCCTGCTTCTGCTGGACCCAGACGACACGCGGTCGCCAATCACGGACTTGGCACCAGGGTCCAGTCACTGCAGTTCACTGGGGCAATTCACGCCTTAGTAAGAAGCTGGCTTAGCTAACTCGCCGTCATTGGGGCCAAATGCTCAAACAGGCTTCTCTGCCGTTGGTCGTCGTCGGGCAACTCCACGTTAGCACGCTAATCCGATGCGCCTCCTTTGTGGAGACTTACTGTGTTCACCGTCCAACTTCGCTCTTTTCACTCCTCCATCGCTGACACCTCTTTTTTCTGTCTTTTCCTCCCTCCTCTCTCCCTCATTCTTAGCCCTCCATCTCTTAATCTCTCGCCACTCGAGTATGTGCCGGCCTCGCTGATCCGGCCGTGCGACGACGACCACGATGAAAACCGTACAGAACTTCAAGCTCTACCGCCAATGCACCTCCATCTGGAGCCGTATGCGGTCGTCGCCTGCCGCGTTCTTTGACGTATTCTGGGACTGGACGCGACGATTCTTCTTTACTCTCGCCTTCTTCGCTCTCTTCTCCGCCAAAAACCTCCACCTCTATGCCCATTTACACTCCCTTCCTCCCGAAAAGTTCTTCCTCTGGGGCATCACTTTCTTCACCCAAGATGTCGCGTGCACAATCCTCGTCCGCAATCTCACGCAAAAGTTCCCATGGCGGTGGCTGGACGCCCTCGCGGCGCTGGTCGTCATTCCGTTCAGGTGAGTTGCAGATTTCTCAGTCCAATTTTGAAACAGTGCTGACGTTTTTTTTTTTTTTTTTCGTTTTTAATAGTCTGGTAATGTCTGGAATGGCCTCCGCCAACATTTCGTTCTACGTCACAGCCGGCGCCGAAATCAACTGGCGACAAGCCAAGACCTTCCACCGCGATGCCGCTGCCATCAGAACATTGCTAACCGGCCTGACTGGCTTTCTGATCGTCGAGGCGATCATGACCGTCGTCGCCTGGTTCCTCGCCCCCTACGTCCACCGACTCGTCGGCGGGATTCTGCACATTCTCGCTGAACCGTTCAGGATTCTGTTTAGACCGGTATACAATTTCTTCTCTAGACACGTGGGCTCTCGTATTCGACACGTCCGATTGCGGAGCGAGCAGCCTCTGCCCGACCCTGAGATCTACGAGCAGATCGCGGTCGAGGATTACAATGAATACAAGAGCGATGACGAGGAGGGAGCTGCTCTGTTGAACAATGGCAGTACCAGCGGGACCAGCAGCAGTTATACTGCCCCGAGGCGCCCGACGCAGCAGCAACGGATCACTCTTGGAAAGCGGTTGCTGGTTTGGTTGCCGTTTGTCTCCTTCGTCATTCTTCGCTGTTTCCGACCCTCGTATCCCTCATTTATCTTTCTCTCCGGGGCGCTGCCCTTGACGCCGTTCGCTGGAATGAACCGGCCGACACTGGGACAGCAAGCCGGATTTATCCCCGACTACTCCTGGCTGGAAGGCAAGACCGCGCTCACTGACCCGCCTAAATTTGACTGGATGCCAGAAGACAGACTTCCTGGGTTCGAGGATTGGCATTATGATAGCCCGCATTATATGGCGTCGAAAGATCCGCTGCATATTTCAAACCTCCAGGCGCCGGTGCTGGACGAACTCAAGGATGTTTTGGCCAGCGGCGGCGTGAATATCAAACACATTATCCTGCTAAAGTTGGAGAGTACCAGGGGGGACGTTTTCCCTCTTCGCAATGGCTCTTTTATCCATGAGAAGATCAAGGACTCCTTCAACGGCAAAGAAATGCCCGAGAGCGCCGTCAAGACCGTGGCCAATCTCACGCGCACCGCCGAGTATCTGACTGGCTTCGATTCTGGGTTCGACCAGTACCGTGAGGGACCACGAAAGAAGTACGGTGGAATCAGTGCGAGAAACGGTTTCACCACGGGAACGTATACCATCAAGAGTGTGGCCGGAACGGTGTGCGGGATCTCGCCGCTCGTGGCCGACTTCAATAAGGAATGGAAATACCATCTCTACAACCCCTGCATGCCGCACGTAGTCGGCGCCCTCAGCGCGCAGAAGGATGTCTCGAGCAATGCGACCGACTATCGCTCATGGCCGTGGCAGTCAATCTGGATGCAATCCGTCACGGACACTTACGATCATCAGAACAGATTAACCCCCATGCTGGGCTTCGACGATATTTACACTAGGGAGCGCATCGAGAAGCCTTCCGCGAAGCATTATCCTCTGAAACACAAGGAGGTCAACTACTACGGATATCCGGATACGGAGCTGCGAGAGTACATCCGTGACGCGTTTGACGAGGCGAAGGAGAAGAACAACCGTGTTTTCCTAACGCATCTAACTGGGACGACGCATCACCCGTGGGGTATGCCCAACGATGCGTACGAGAATATCATGGGCCCGTCATTCAAGGGGAAGAACAACGACATGAACCGGTACTTGAACACGATCGGGTTTGGCGACCGGTGGATTGCCGAGATCCTGGACATCCTGGAAGAGAAAGGCGTTCGCAATGAGACCTTGGTCGTCATGGCTGGTGACCAGTAAGTTTCACTTTCCATTTCTATGATCTGACACGTATGCTAACCTACATGCAGCGGCCTCTCTCTTCCCAATGACGGCGGAATCACCCCATACAGCAACCCGCACGTCGGTAGTTTCCACGTCCCCATCGTCCTCGCACACCCTCAACTCCCTGCGGTCGAGGTCAAAGATCCGGTCATCTCGCTGCAAATCGTCCCGACCATCATCGATCTCCTGATCGAGTCCAACTCGCTCAGTGCAAACGGCACCAATGCTGCCAAGGATATCCGCGGCCTCTACGAAGGGCAGTCGCTCATCCGCCCGCTGTACCAGGAGGCCAACGGCATGCAAGACTGGCAATTCAGCGTGATGAACACCGGCGGGTCGTGGCTCGCAGTCCGCTCCGCCAACAGACCCGCGTGGCGGATTGTAATCCCGCTCATTGACGATGTCGAGTGGCGATTCACCGACGTTGAGCGCGATCCGCAGGAAGAAAATCCCATCACCAGCTTTAGCTTTTACGACCTAATGGACGCGCTGTGGCATGAGTACGGTGATGATAAAAAGAAGAAACATAAGCATGAAGACGAAGACGGAGACGACGATCTAGACGAGCGCGATGCTTTTGCATTCCCTCACCCACCGCCACCACCACCACCACCACCTCCTCCTCCACACCATCCTCACCACCGTCCGGGCGACGGTCATGGACCTCCTCCCCCTCCACCACCGCCTCCGGTCACCATCTCGCCCAGTCATCCCCGACCAGACCGAGGTGAGCCCGACGTTGTCCGCTGGGCGCGCGATGCCGCACACATGACGGAGTGGTGGATTGCCGACAACCACCGCCGGTATCAATATGAAAAGCCCAGCGACAAACCGAAAGATAAGCGTCACTTATAATCCATCAACCCACCTACTTTAATCCTCTATTTCCTTTCCGAACTCACCGACATCCGAACCCACTTATACCTTCGCCTAATCCACCTCAAACACCTCAAACACCATAAACCACCGCAATCGACAGGATGAATCTGTTGGATATTCCCCACTGTCGAATGTAAATTACGACGTGTTGACATTTTCTACCGTGGCATATTGTTTACCATCTACTATTTATTCTCAAGCATAGCATGGCATCGTTGATTTGTACATAATGAAACGCGTTCCGATCCTGATTCCTCACCCAGTTGCATATTTTAAATATTTCAAGACTTCCAGTTCTCCCTTATAATATTCCAGTCCCACCGTAGAGACCCAGTTCGAGACCGCAGCTAATCAATCTGTACCCAGACAAGATCCATCCGTAATCAAGCGCCGGTCATTCGCGGACGATAATTTACCTGAAAACGATCGACGCGGACAAGCGGACCGAACTGCCCCTATCACCGTTTCGCATAGAGACAAGCCTTTGCAGCTTGCAAATTATAGCCGGGATTCTAGATTAGATTCTCCATCCGTTAGAACTGAATAGACACGGACTAAACGGCTAATTACCCCTGTCAACATGAGACCTTCCCAAGACGCCAAGCCCTGCTGGGCGTCGCATGTTCGCGGTGCACCTCCTTGGCTCCGGCTCTTGGTCTGTATCCTGGTTAATATTTTAATATCGACCTGTTGATCGTTGCCTTTACCGTTCCTGGTCCGGGCTGTTCAGGATTGAGTGCTGATTCCGGCTGCTGTTATTCGTTGCAGAACAAACTGGCCAGAGTGGGAACGGGTGTATAAAGTAGGGCATCGCCCGGCCTGACTCTTCCTTGGTCAAACCGTTCACTGGCAGTTCGAGTTCAGCAGCACGGTTCGTCCTGGTGACGACCATTCGTTCTTTTCTACCTACCCCTGCTTTTGATCCGCTCCTTCGTTCCTTTCACTATGTATTCGTTCTTTCGTTCATTCGCTGCCCTGGTGGCCGCGGGTAGTTGTATGTCAGCCCTACCACACTATACCCAGGGTTAAGCTAACAATGCAGTCCTCCAACCATGCCTCGCCCAATCGACCACGCCAGAGAAATATACCGACCCAGACACCGGTATCATCTTCGACACCTGGACCGTAGAGGAATCCTCCTCCGCCGCGGGGCTGACATTCGGTGTCGCCCTACCCGAAGACGCCCTGACCAACGATGCGACGGAGTTTATTGGATACATTGTACCCTCCCCCCTCCCCCCGTCCCTGCTTTACTTACCAATGATAATCGAATAGTCTTCGCTAACATGGTAACAGTCCTGCAGCTCCTCGGCCACAACCGGCGCAACCGGCTGGTGCGGTTTCTCCTTCGGCCCCTCTATGAACGGAAACCTGCTTCTGCTCGCCTACCCACAGGACGACAAAGTCCTGACCTCCTTCCGCTTCAGCTCGGGCTACGCGCTGCCAGAGGTATACGCGGGCGAGGCAACACTAACGCAGATCTCATCGACCGTGGCAGATGACGGCTTCACCGTGCTGTTCCGATGCGAGGGGTGTCTTGCGTGGGACCATGACGGTGTAACGGGCAATGCGACGACGTCGAGTGGACGGCTGATTATGGGCTGGGCGCAGGGGCAGGAGAGTCCGACTGATGGGGCCTGTCCGGATGATCTGAGCGTTGTGCAGCATGAGGGACAGGGGATTTGGGGCGCAGCGCTGGATGAGAATGCCGCGTCGAGTGAGTATGAGACTTGGGCGGCACTGGCTACGGAGAAGGTTACTGGGGATTGTGATGGGAGTGGTGGTGGAGGTGGAGGGGGTGATGTTGTTGGTACGCCTGTTCCGTCTGGCTCGAGCTATGAGTACATCGTTGTTGGATCGGGTCCTGCTGGGATGGTTCTTGCGGATCGTCTGAGTGAGACTGGTGCGAAGACGCTGCTTATTGAGAAGGGCCCGCCGAGTATTGGGCTCTGGGGAGGCGATATGAAGCCGGACTGGTTGAATGGGACTGAGCTGACGCGGTTTGATGTGCCTGGTCTGTGTAACCAGATCTGGGTGGACAGTGCAGGCATTGCGTGTCCGGACAACGATCAGATGGCTGGATGTCTTGTTGGTGGTGGCACTGCTGTCAACTCAGGGCTGTGGTGGAAGCCGTACTCGAAGGACTTTGACGAGAACTTCCCTGAAGGATGGAAGTACAGCGATGTCTCGGGCAATGTGGACAAGGTGTTTAACCGCATCCCTGGCACGATCACCCCCAGCACGGACTCAAAGCTGTATCTGCAGGAGGGTCCCAGTGTGATCATGAACGGGCTGACAGCCAACGGGTGGGAGATGACTAGCTTCAACGATGCCCCGGAGGCGAAGTATCGCAGTGTGGGATACAGTCCGTACATGTTCAGCAATGGCCAGCGCAATGGGCCCATGGCGACGTACCTGGTGAACGCGAATGAGCGCAACAACTTCGACATGTGGATCAACACGACTGTGCGCAGGGTCGTCAGAGACCAGGGCACTGTCACTGGTGTCGAGCTTGAGCCGTTCCTTGACGGGGGCTATGAGGGCACTCTGAACCTGACAACTGGTGGCAAGGTCATTCTGAGCGCTGGAGCATTTGGCACTCCCAAGATTCTGTTCAGAAGTATGTCCCATCCATTCTCCCATGTGGTGTCCCATAAACTTGACGAGATGCTAACGAGACAGGTGGAATTGGACCCGAGGACCAGCTCAGCGTCGTCAACAACTCCAAGACCGACGGAGACACCATGATTGCCGAGTCTCAATGGATCAACCTGCCCGTCGGAGAGAACTTGATGGATCACCCTAACGTATGTCTATCCCTTATAGCAGCGAACGCAGCTAATAAGCGCAGACCGAGGTCGTCGTGCAACACCCCGACATCGTCTTCTACGACTTCTACGGCGCCTGGGACGACCCTGTCGAGGCCGACATGCAGAGCTACCTATGTATGGTCTTCTACGGATGTGAATATGTGAAATGATGCTAATATCTACAGCCGACCGAACCGGCCCTCTCGCCCAGGCTGCACCAAACGTCAACCCTGTGTATGCATCTATCCCTAACAATCATCTTTAACGAAACTAATACCATCCAGCTTCTTCGACCAGGTCACCGGCCCCGACGGCGTAACCCGCCAGCTGCAATACCAAGCCCGTGTCGAGGGCAGCCACGACATCGCAGACGGCCACACAATGTCCATTACCCAATACGTCGGCCGCGGCCAGACCTCCCGGGGCAAGCTCACAATCAACAGCGGGCTCAACACTGTTGTCAGCACGCTCCCCTGGCTGCAGGATGACAACGACACCGACGCCGTGATCCAGGGCCTGGAGCGTTTGCGTGACTCTTTGAGCAATGTCACCGGCTTGACCTGGGCCTTCCCGACCAAGAACGTCACTATCACCGATTTCGTGAACAGCCTTCCTTCAACGGGGCGCGGTAGCAACCACTGGATGGGTATGCTAGCACACCTTCTTGGTTGTCAACAATGCTAACATTGAATATAGGATCGTGCAAGATGGGCTCTGACGACGGCCGCGACGGCGGATCTGCTGTCGTTGATCTCGACACCAAGGTGTATGGTATGGAGAACCTGTTTGTGGTGGATGCGAGCATCTTCCCTGGGATGGTCAGCACCAACCCCTCGTCTTATATTGCGACCGTGGCGGAGACTGCGGCGGAGAGAATTCTGGCTTTGTAAGATAGTCGTGATCGAAGACAGTATTTGGTTTGAAGTATTTATTCAGCAGATTAGAGACTTGTTTGCTGAGTTGGATAACCTGTTCGCTACTTGGAGGTCGCAGTGCGCGGGACACTGTCATGCCGGGATACCTGGATACCTGGATAGCCCTAATTCAGACATAAATACTGCAATACTATCGGAGCACAGACAACAGTATTGTTCCCTGTACAACAAGCGATGTAACTTCAGTATCGCCCCGCCGATCGCTTACTGGATCGAGACTAAGCTTTGCAGGGGATCGTCGCCATAATAAGCCGATTGTTGCTCACTGCCTCCCCCTCTCCAACCTCTCTCACCTCTGTATTCACCATTCACCCTCACGATGCGTTCGGTGTGGTTGCTTTCATTAGCTGCGTGTCTAGCCCAGGCACTGGAATACAAAGCGTACAACTTCTCTGCCCCGATAGACCACTTCCACAACGAGACCCGCTACGAGCCCCATAGCAATGCCTCGTTCAACCTCCGCTACTGGTTCGACGACAGTCACTACCAGCCTGGAGGGCCGGTATTCGTAATCGCCGCGGGTGAAACAGACGGTGAAGACCGGTTTCCATTCCTATCACAGGGAATCGTCACCCAGCTCGCAGAGGCCTACCACGGGCTAGGCGTCATCCTCGAACACCGCTACTACGGAACAAGCTATCCATTCAAGGATGTTACAGCAGATAATCTCCGGTTTCTATCGACAGAGCAGTCCCTCGCCGACTACGCATACTTCGCGTCGAATGTCGTCTTCCCAGGACTGGAAGACCAAGACCTAACAGCGTCCACAACCCCATGGATCGCCTACGGGGGCTCCTACGCCGGCGCCCAGGTCGCCTTCATGCGAAAAGTCTACCCAGAGGTCTTCTGGGGCGCTGTATCCTCGTCCGGCGTCACGGCCGCAATCATCGACTACTGGAACTACTACGAGCCCATCCGCAACTACGGGCCTGCCGACTGCATCGACACCGTCCAGACAATCACGGATCTGGTTGACCGCATTCTCATCGATCACCCAGACAACCATACCCTGCACGCGCAGATCCAGGCAGCATACGGCGTCTCGCCGCCAATCAACAACACCGACTTCGTGTCTACCCTGTCGAGCCCGCTGGGCTTGTTCCAGTCTCGGAACTGGGACCCGGCCGAGGGCTCGTACGGATTCAGGGCTTATTGCGATAATATCACCTCGCCGCACCCTCTTTACCGGCCAAACAACGCCACGGGTCTTCTGCCCAGTCTTGTGGACGCAGCAGGGTACGATTCCTCGAATAAGACCCTCCTAGCTGCCCTCCGCAACAACATCGGATACCTCAATGGCTCAGCCCCAGAGACGGAATCCAGCAGCAGCAGCAGCAGCAGAAGTGGCAGGAAAAGCACGCTCCCCCAAACCTCCACGACAAGCTGGAACTACCAAGTGTGCACAGAATGGGGCTACTTCATGCCAGGCTCCACAGTTCCCTCGTCCATCCGGCCCCTGATTTCCCGCCTCATAGACATCGAGTATAGCTCCAGCTTCTGCAGTTCCGACTTCGGCATCGACTCACCCCCCGATGTCGAGCAGGTGAATAAGCACGGTGGATTCAACTTCTCGTACCCCAGAGTAGCTATACTCGGGGGCACGGCGGATCCGTGGCGTGATGCGACCCCGCATGCAGAGGGTCTGCCGGGGAGGAAGTCGACGCGTGAAGAACCGTTTATCCTTGTTGATGTTGATGCGGATGATGTGTGGGATGGGATTCGGGGGGCAGTGCATCATTGGGACCAGAATGGGCTGAGTGTGGAGCAGGTTGAGAGTGGGGAGAGACCGCCAGCAGTGATTCAGAGGGTGCAGAGGGAGATTGTGGACTTTGTTGGCGGGTGGTTGGATCAGTGGGAGGCGAAGGAGGATCTGTAGTTCGTATCTGAGTGAAGAAGTGCCATTAATTTGTCGAGTTTATGAACATATGAAGCAGAAGACTGAATCGAAAGAACGCTAAATACTCGTACAAAGCAAAAAGGCAGCGAAGCACCGAAACACCACCAACCATCTAGTGTAAGCCCTCTAGTAACCAGAATCCAATCTACTGATCCTCTTCCTGGCTGCCCTCCGGCAACTCATCAATATCAGAGAGCTGCTGGTCATCCTCCTCTCCAAACAAATGCTCCAAAGCAAACGCAAAAACAAAAGCCTTGACCACATTCACCCAAGTGTTCACCACACGCCCATACCCCTTCATCAACCTCCCATCACTAGTCGCCCACCATCCCCAAACCAGTTCTTGTCCAACACTGGGCACAGGAAACCGCTCTCGCGGCTCATCACCACTGTTGCTCTCCGCCTCCAGACCACTATCCCCATCGTGTGGACCCCAGTACTCCTCGGAAGTCAACAAGTCCTCCTCAAGCACAGGGATGAACGTGCCCTCCTCGCCGGCGTGTGGGACAACTTCCACCACCAGCGGGAATTGCATGTAGTCTGAGACCTCGCCCACAACGTCGTAGACTATGTCTCTGTCCTGGCCTGCGTCGGCGAAGCCGCGGCCGGTCTCACCTATGAGCGGTAGAGGAAGTGGGAAGGAGAGGCGGCTGGGGGATTCAGTGGTTGACTCTTCGACTTGTTCGTCTTCGTCTTCTTCTTCTTCTTCGTCTTCTTCCTCGTCTTCGCTGTGCTCGTCTTCATTCTGTTCTTCGTCCGCTTGGCCTTCCTCACTGTGCTCTTCTTCAGAACCAGATGTGATGGCTACTTCATTCTCTATTGCGAGAATGTCGTCGACCGTGACGAAGGAATTAGAATCCTGCGTAGCGTCTTGGTTGGCAGAGCCGGCAGATGAAGTGTCTTCGTCGTTCAAGGGAGCTGAAGCTTCAGACGGTGCAGCTTCCTCTGGTGTGTTGGATAGAGGGCTCGACATGACGGCGTGTTGAGCTCGGCGCTTTTGAGAAAACAGCAGGTGCTGGATCTCGAGGACATTAGCAACGCCCACGCCTTCGGATTTCTAGATGCTACATACCAATGATTCTTGAGGAGATGATAATTGAGGAGTGAGGGATAAAGAAGGTATTTTGGTGGGAGAGGAGAGGCCTTTATGTGTGTGTGTTGTGTATTCACTGCTCGCCTATTCCCCTGCATGGTGGATACTCTCTTCTTTATGACAATGTCTTTGTTCTTCTCTCGGAGGTTGTGTATATCCGGCTTCACTATGTACATGATAGTGCATTTCTGTGCATGCACATCTCGAGTTACTGCTGTTGTGTTGTCACTAGTTGTCCTTCCTTGACTTTCGATACAGCTCTCAGCTGGTTTACCAGTTGAGACTTAGTACCCATTCCTGCATGGACAACCTAGGAAGTTATTATCCCTAGACACTACTGCGTTTTCTGATGAGATTATATACTACGTTATCTGTCTGCTCAGGTCGAAACGGTCCAAATTGCCATTATATCATTAAAACTAAATCAGCCAAAGCCACTTCCCATCCAACGAACGCTAGACCATCCATCATATAACCACCGTATCAAACCGACGCAACAATATTGAAGGATATATTGACGACGGAGACCACCCTGCCATACCCTCGCAAAAAGCACTCTGGATACGCCTCATCCCACCAGAACCCATGCGCCAACTCTCCAACCTCAGGCAAAATCCTAGGCAGATATCCCTGCCGGCCTCGCAGCTGCAGCTCCTTCCATCCCACCGGCCACATCTCCTCAAGCGGCTGGTAGTCCGTCGGCTCGATGCGCACAAACTCGGGAATCCGTAGAGCGCCAATAACCCTGCCGGGGGCGAAGGTCATGATGTCCATAGGAAGCCGTGCAAGCCCGAACCCGGTCCCCAGTGTAACGCCTGCCTTGGGGATGAAATATCCGCCCCGGAATATCTTGGCGTTTGTCTTTGGGGCGTCTTTGTCGTCTGGGTTGATGTTGTCGAACTTCTCCATTTCTTCGAGCCGCTCGATGTCGTATGAGAGTCCCATTTTAAGATTTCGTTACCTATTGGATTTCAGATGTTGGTAGATATGCGATTCATGGGGAGGGGTCTCCTTATATCTCTATCTTCATGTGTGAATACCCATTGTTTCTTGTAAATTTTGTATGCATTGGCTATTCTTTCTTGATATGGCTTTGTTATTCCTATCTGACTTACTGAGCTGAACCCTTTGGGACATTATCACATCTCTTCGTATCCAGTTTCTGTGGTACTGCTCTATACCCGATTCTAGTAAGAAGGAGCTCTGGATATTACAGCAGTCGCTCTTGCCTTTAGATGGAGGCCATCTCAGGAAGGGGCTGCTGGTTGCGACTTCCACATCCTAGCTATATTGTATTCATGGAGGCACGACACTCTGGACAGAAATGGAAGCTACGATAGGCAACAATATAAGGCTTCTATGGATAGTATCCTCTACAGTAGAATGAATCATATATTCGTGAACAAATAAACGTTTTTATTGCTTGACAGTTTTGTCTTATATATACTCTATCAGACTCATCCAGGAAATATAAAGGCGTTATACCAAACAAGCGGGTTTAACCCGTTCGCTCACGAATAACGCCCATAGCGGTCATTATCTTGATAATAGCGTTGACGCTGCACAGAACGGCGCCTGGCTTCATAGTGAGAATCCCGGTTGCTCGAGGCACGACTAAGATCTCCGTAGCCCTTCCGGTCATCATCGCGCCTACGCTCATCCTCACGGACCCGGCTACTACGGGCTGAACTGGCACTACCGGGAACACGCGAAGACCGGTGATTGGAACTATAACTGGAGCTAGGGGGTGTGATTTCCTCAAGGACTTCGACTAAACCCCCGTTATCTCCTCGGTAGGAGCTCATGCTCCTGTCGTCGCGGTACCCAGAGCGGCGCTCGTACACGGGAGCTTCATAAACATGGACGCTGGCTTTATCACCGTAGCGGTTCTGGTATTCGTATCTCGTGTCATGGCAGGATCCAGAAAAGCGCATCTCCAGGGGATCTTCAGCATAAGCGCTGGATTTATTACTGTAGCGAGATCTCCTGTCACTGTGCTCGCTCGCGTAGCTAGTCCTCCTAGAACTAGACCTGGGAGACGTCGGCGCATAATCAGCGCGGGAACCACGACAGCTCGAGTGCTCATACTGTTCGAGCCTCCGAGAAGCGGGCGCAACCTCGACGCAATTCCCAGGCTTGAGGAAATGCGGCCGGCCTACCTGAGAGACAGAGTCCCCAGGGTGGACCGTATCTGTGTAGCGTTTCGACTTCCGATGACCTTGGTCAAGTTCGCTCAACGTATCCTCGCTAAGAGGAACCCTTCGAGTACTGTACCCTAACCCCCCAGACATATAGGCCCCGGGAGAGTCGTAGCCTGAGTCCCTGGAGAATCTGTCTGATGAGGAACGGCGACCCATTTTGCTTAATTTTAGTTCTTTTCGTTCGTCGATTGATTCGTGTTTTCGGGTTGACGCGTCCTGATGAGTATATGATGCGATGATCAGACTGATGGGAGCTAGATTGGGTCAGGTATTAGGGGTATTTATGTCGCCAGCTTTCGTATCTTGGACTGTGCTCTCTCCTCTTTGTGTCTATATACAATGGGTAGCCGCACCGTTCACGGATTGTTGCAGACAAAGGATCATCGACTCCGCCGCATAAAATACCTTGTTCTCTAAGCATATGATAAAGCCCTTCTTTGTAGGTCTATAATGGCTATGCTGATCTCAGCCATAAATTCGAATTGAGCCTTATGTCTTGTATTCAAAAACACACAGCTTCAGAGACTATGTTAGCTGAAGCGTCTCACGTTCTTGGCTGGCCCATGAATGCATTATAACTCTGCTCATTTTGTAAGAAAGAAGCCAGCTCTTTCGTTTTGAAAAACCACACTGTGGATCATATGAAAATACTTGTGGTTTTGTTTTGCATGCGCCAGGTATTGGCAAGAAATCAGTAACTATTCGCCCGAGGGAGCTCAGTCTCGGATCTCCAGCTGCAATGGCGCAGCCTCGACGTCGGAGGTTGGTCTTGGTTTCTGGCTTGGGTCATTCCTTTTAATCTGAGGAATAATAGAATAGTAATGTTTAACTATATACCCAGTAAGACAAATTTAGGTGTTATATTTCCATGGAACCGGCGCACTCGAATCTGCTGGCGACTTCTCAAAATAGCCCTAATCAGATACTCACTCGGCACTGAACAGCCACTACAACTACAAATACAACGAATTAAATTATTAAAAGAAGTACCATTATAATAAGGTATTGCAAGCCTACCAACCACACCCACCAGGACACCGCAAAACCGGCACCACCGCGCGGTCAGAAACATGACACACAGTGCCCATCCCATTATACAACACGCCCCTCGTATCAATCCAGAGCCCCTGCACCCGATCCCCTATCTCCCCGTGCATTAGAGCATCCCCATCCCTCAGCGCAGCAAGGTCGCTATACGTCACCTCGCAGTGCAGATTCGGCGAACAATCCGCGTCAGTTAGCGCCACCCACACCAGGCGGCATATGTTCATGACCTCGACCACTTCGCCCCCAGTGCCGGTCCAGCATAACGGGCCGTTGCAGTGGTTTGTCTCGTGGACCATGTACCCGGGCGCTTGGGTGCCTACGGTAGGGATGGGGAAATGGGTTGGAGTTGACGTGCTTGCGACCCACTTGGGGGTATTGTAGGGTTCCACCACGCTATGAACCTCTGTCTTTGCTTCTTCGCGTTGGATGGACTCGATGTCGTAGTAGATTCCCATTTTGCTGATTGTGTTCGGTTGATGTTGATGGGTGGGTAGATTAAGGGCTTCGGGGTTATATACTTTTTTTTTTTTTTTTTTTTTTTTTGACATTGTTTGGGATTCCTGTTGTTTCTGTCAGGGGTTTCTTTGTGCTAATTGGAATGAAACAATTCTAAATGTCTCGATCCTGATCGAGAAATGGATATCTTTCATGGTCTGATCTCTTTGAATGATCCCTATATTGAACAAAGAATGCATGTTGACCGATGGGTTTTCAGCTGAGCGGGTCGTTAATACATTTTCATTATCTGTCATCTAGCAAGGCGTACCTTCTAGTCCACCTTACAGTCTAATCGGGCGGTAAATATTCGATCCTATCTAGTACTGACTCTCAGTTAGTAGCCTCTCGCAGTGCCAGAGGATTTCAGAGGAATAGTATAGTCAGTTAGTATGGCGTGTAATTGCGTATTTTTTACATTCTGGACAACTACTTATACAAGTAATTAAGTAATTCAGACGGGAATATATGTTTAGCATTATAAACGCCTTTTTTTATTTTTTTATATAGGGGGTCATCTAAATCACTAAGGCTTAGCAACAATAGGGACTCTGTCGTTTTTAAACACTTCTTTAACCCTCCCGAACCCATACTTGATGGGCTCACAAGGGTCATCAACGTAGAGAAAACCGTTAGCATAAATAACACCGTCAGAAATCGCCATTTGATCAGAGTGAGCAGCAAGTTGACGCAGCAAAGGCTCGGTCACAAGGGCGAACTCATTAATAGAGAACAAGTGACTCTCCTCGACAATGACAAGGTTTTTGAAGTCCAGAGTTTCGACTCGGTCTCCATACCCGGACTCTACACGGCCACCTTCATCATTATTGATGAACATGCCGGGAACGAGGCATCGCGGGCCCTCAGGCGTGGGTGGTGCAGATTTGGCGACGACGGTGTCTGCTCCAACGTCTACCTTCGCATCGTGCACATCACCTACATCAGTGTCAGCCCACAGGTCAGCTACAGTAGACCAGGCCTCTGGGAGACTCTCATATCCCGAGTCGTACCCTGCCTCGTACTCAGCGGTCGGCCTCTCAGATACCTCAGCGGCGGTGTCAGCAGCGATGCGTGCATTTTCAGCTGCCTCGCCCGCTTCTACCACAGCACGCTGCGCCTGGAGGAGACAGGAGGATAGAACCTCGTAGTCGAGAGCTCCGTAGAGTTTGACAGCACTGGAAATGTACGCCAGTGCGTCGGAGATGTGGCAAGCAGCGATCATAGAGCTGTTACCGGCGTTGGTAGCGGCAAAGGCCGCTGTCGCAGCGGCCACTTTAACCTCGTCGTATCCGGTCGTCATGGTGTTGTCAGAGGCAAGCATTTTGGCTCCTTTGGTGATGGATAAGATCAAGGTATTTTCTCGAGAGTGCCTGACTCGTTGAGGTCGATGTGTTTGCTAGTCGCAATGATTAGAGCGCAGCGGGCAGTCGCGCTTTTATGCTGATCGGGTCTTGCAGAGCCCTTTCAGGTGAAACAATCAAGGATCTCACTGTACTTTAATGGTGGTTTTGTTTTCCTTTATACGCCCTTTTCGGCATATCTCGGTACTGGTGCGTGAAAGACACTTTCCTTGTCAGCCAACCTTTCTTTATACCCCTCCTTGTGAAGCGAGACAATAGTGTGAAGTTCGCCTTCATATACAGTATCACCAGTTCCATGGAATGGAAAGTGAGCTAACAATGTGTTTTGTACCAAACAATCAGACTGTTCTCTGCCAGTTTCCACAATGATTTGTATACTGCGGCAGTTGTTCAGAACTGGAAGGACCGACGTCCCTTTCGCACCTTCCTATTTTGAATTATTCTTAAAAAGGGAAGGTACAATCAATATGACGTCGCCTAAATGGGAAGGAACTACAAATCCATACCCATAAGACTCAGGCACGAGATATGAAATCGTTTATATATGTACAGCTGTAGTTGGCCTACCTTCACATACAGGCAGTCCAGGACTGTGAATCAATTTCCGCTTCACCCAGCCTAAACATCCCTCCCAGGCATCTTGTGTATCCAGGCCAGATACCAACTCTGACACCAAAGCACGCCCAGAGTTCCTTGCCCACCACCGCTTTCCATCAAGTTCGCCCAAAAGAATACCCCAGTATGCAAGGACCAGCATGAAAAACGGCTGTCCTTGTCGTAGATTCTCCACAAACCCCTTATCCACAGCAGCCAGCCAAGCAAGGACAGGTGCAGGCCCTGGAGAACACGAGAACTTCATAAAGCAGTGCCGGAGATGATTCAGGACATCCCCGTGGACTTCCAGCCCCTGATTTCCATTTAAGGCGATTAGCTGATCCAGCGCCGCACTGGTATCGCCATCCAATGCAGCCAGACGATCTTTCTGCCAGAACTCGCCCCGTGTGAACAATTCAAGATTCACCCATGATTCCCGTTGACCAATCGTCAGAATCTTCTTCACCCCCTGAAGGAGTTCAAATACTGTAATTATATTCTCCGTCATGCTCATCGCGTTGTCGCGAACCGCCGTTAACTGGGGCAGGGCCAGGCTGATGGCTGTGGTGACAACAGACTGCGCGAGTGCTGCATTGCAATTCTCTGGCGTGAGATTCCCAATCGCAATCCGGAACGGCTCTAGACTCATACTATGATACTCCAGTCCAGCATCGATGTAAGGCAATGCGTCGTCCGATGGGTCTCGCGTCGTAGCGATATGCAGCGATGCGAGGGCCAGAATCCCATGCATCAGGTAACGATGTTTCAGGGCTAGACGAGGCACCACAACCTGCCATATGTGTCTTTCTGATTCACTCACGCAAAGACTTTGGTATGTCTCCGCTGTAAATTGGTGCATTAGCTCTAGGTCATCGACTGCCCGGCGGTTAGGCCGCGGGGTTGGTGATGCGCTGGACACTGCAACTCCGGCCCCATTCAAGGATTGAGAGTGTCCACCACTCTGCCCAGCACTCGAGCGACGGGAATTGGCGATGAGAGACGCCGGGACGACTCGCGAGTACGTGCAGTCGCTGAGTCGACGCACAATGCAATTGGTGCATGGAGGCCCCTGCTCGTCGCACTTGACACGTCTCCGGCGGCAATGGTCGCAGCCATATCGCGATTTCGTGTGAGGTTTACGCGCTTTTTGCATCATTGATCAATTTGGTTCAGGAGTCGCGACATTGTTGTGTTGACGGCGAGTTCAAACTTGGAGTCCCTGCATAGCATGGGGACAGCCGCTTACGTCATAGGCAGGTCAATCGGGACAGAGCAGTATAGTTAACATAAGACCTATTAGTATGTACAGTCTGGCATATTATGAATAACATGAAACCGTCCTCATTCCGACTTTAACCTCTTATCTGTGCCTACAGGAAGAACCCAGCAACAGCCATGAAAACGCCTGCAACACCACCAATGCTACCAGACGCCATTGTGCTCGCTCCTCCAGTGAAGACAGGCGGAGTTGCAGTAGTAGAGCCAGTCATCGAGGGTGTGGGCATACCGCTCCAGCCAGAGGGCGATCCCATACCCCAAGATATGGTAGGCGAAGACATAGCGCCAGAGGACATGGACATACTCCCACTACCGCCAGCACAACCACCACCGAGCTTCATTTTCGGACCAACCTATAAAATAGACCAGATTAAAACTCATGTAACAAAAAAGCTTTTAAAGCTGCGCACTCAATTTACCTCAATAATAGCGGGTCCAGCAAGAATATTGTCATCCGTCGCTTGGCTATCCCCGTTCGTAAGAACAACATAACTCTGCCCCGCAACACCCTTGGGGACCGTAGCAGTATACTTCCCATGTCCAGAGGACATAACATCCGCCCAAACGGGTCCAGTAACAGTAACAAAAGCCGCATGGACATCAGCGGAATTCATATCCTTAAACCCATCTCCAACCATAAACTCGACCTTCTGCCCCGTCATAACAGCGTCCATATCCATGGAACTCATAGTGAGAGAAGGGAACGCCTTCACAGGGAGCTGCTCATTTCTATCAGGACAAGAGACGATAAAGGGCGAGGCGACGGTGTACACCTCGTTGAAGTCGAGGGGGTTGTCGAAGGGTTGGGCGGAGGGTGACTCGCCCAGCGCGGCGCGCAGGTATGCGCTGTGCCGTGCTTCCACGGTGAGAATGCTTCCTGCTGCTGTGAGGTAGGTTTTGTCCATAATGGATGCGGCGGCGCCGAGGTAGGCGGAGACGCCGACGCCTGAATAACAGTAAGTACAGAGGTATAGAGGTATATGGGTGGAGAGGCAAATGCTTACCTTCGAGGATGTTACCGAGAGCAAGGAAGCTCTTGACGTCGGTGGAAGGGAAGGAGTAGTTGCATCGGGCGACGGGGTTTGCGCCGGCCTCTGCAGGGATGTTAGCTCTTTCGTCTCCAGATTCAGGGTGTCGGAGGTGGAAATGTACTGGTCAAGGCCTGGGTGAGGAACTGCTCGTGGGCCTTCTCGTCCATTCCGACCGACTTGATGTTGTTATAGAATGTCTCCATCATCCCGGCGTCCATGAAGTCCTGCTTCGTGTAGTTCTTCAGACCCTCTTCGTAGAAGGCGGCCTCGAGGTGTTCGAGAGTTAGTGCATAGTTTAGAATGTCGGCTATAGATTCGTGTTAATATAGATGTAAAGATAAACATAGGGTTGGGCATACCATCAGAGACACCACCAGCACGCTTGGTGACCGGGCTGGCCTGGACAAGCTGCAACGCAGCACCACATAGAGCAAGTGAAGTGAACTTCATTTTGTAGTATCAAGGGATGCTCGTGAGAAACTTTGGAAACAGTGCTTGTAGCCGGAAACGAGAATTCGGGCGCGGCTCACCAGGGCTTTATATGCAGCCCCTTGAGGCTTTGACATCATTCCAATATCAGCCTACTCTCGGAAGTCGTTCATTCCGAGCAAGCTCCATGGTAGTCGAACTGCTCTGATACGGCCTGCAACTACTGAGATCCGCATCTAGCAGAACTATAGAAGAAGCACTAACTCTGAATCCGGTTGTTTGGCTCCCAGCGATTTCCCATTGGTTCAGGGCGAGAACGATGGGGACTGGGGGCCAATCGGAGCTCGAATTAAACGAGCGAGAGCGAGGGCTCTATATCCTTTCTTTGGAGTATCATGATCGTCAGTGCGTTAATCACTGTGATTCAAGTTAGGATACTTATCCGTACTATCTCATTAAACGGTGTCCTTGTTGCGTGGAGTGACATCAGCCGACATTGACCTGCTCACGGAACAGTGCAAACCTTGTGGTAATTACATTTGCCAAAGACTGGCTACTCAGTATTCCTTATTTTCTGTCGAAAAAGGTTGAATAGTATGTTTAGTGTGTGAGACCTGGAGTATTGGGTGTTGAGCCTACACTTGTTGACGAGCTCTGGTTGCCTCCCGTATACACAGAACAAATCTGATATTTTATTGTTGTCAGTCAACGCATCGATATATCATTTATATATGCTGTAATTAGAAATGATATCTTGATATCTTTACGCAGTAGGCAGGAATATAGTTGTAGCCTCTTCGCTGAACGATCGTATGAATATTTCAAACAGTAGTTTCGATAAACCACCTATGTATACATATAATTTAGTTCATACTTGGAACAGCTCGTAGGTCGATAGAAACTAAACAACCTGCATACGAGCAGGCTATCGCACCATAAAGACCATCACGTTCTCCAAAATGCCAACCACCCTCCCCTTGCCATACGTAGCGTATCCCATACCAGGCCCCCAGAGCCCATAAGCCTGCGACCCAATTTCAAGCTCAGAACCAGGCACGGCATTATCGTCAGCCTTGCAATACTCAATGAGTTGCGAACGAGTAATCCGGGGAGTCGCTCCATCCATGAATGCCTCCTCGTTCGGCTCCACAAGGACGACCCGGTCCAGCACGATCCCCAATCCCATAACGGACCCCCACCGTTGAGAGATTTTGCCGTCGCCGTCTTCGCTGATTCCAGAGGCGAACTGGCCAATGCTTGGCATTGGTGAGGTCCAGGGGTAGAATGGGCTGTAGAAAAAGCTGGGCGTGTTATGGTTGTCGGATTCGTTGGCGTGGTCGACCAGGATAGTAGGGTAGATGGTAGCCTGTCCGGCGGTCATGGCCATAGTCTCGGCCATTTTGGTTTTTGTGATGGTTATAATATTATAATTCTGCTCTTGTTGCTGTTGGTGTGTTTGATTAGTGTGTATGTTTGCTGATGGATCGAGAATATACCCAGCTGGGGCTGGCGATTATATAGGGACTGTGAAACAAACCCATTAGCTTGTAACCCACTGTTTTATTGTTCCTACAGTCAAACGGGGTTAGATAATACTAGGAAGAGTATTGTATGATTCAGTCCTTGTTCCGCATGGACGGCAGAAGAGCTCTTTTAACAGCAAGCACCATTGTCAAAACAAAAGATATCCTTGACGTCTTTATACATCTTGTGTCCCAAGTTCCGATACTATTGACATTCCGATTTTAAGCGTCAGTTTGTCCTGTAGAGGGCGTCTATCCTAAAGACTGTCACAACAAAGGACTACTCTACTATATCCCACTATCAGACACTGTACCAGGATAGCCTCTGGTATAGCAGGTTCATAGGACATTAAGTCATACAAGCTCATAAAGTAAATGTATTCTATCATTAACCAGCACATTAATTAACTCTTAACATCACTGACATAACATAAACACCAGAGAATAATCTAGGTCATCGAAAACCGAGCGAAGCCTTCGTACCACGATATTGATTTCTCTGCCAGAAATTGGTCTCAGGCTCCCTATCCCAATCATTCCCTTCACCTCCTTGAGCCGTTGTTCCCCCGATCCCCGAGCTGTTTTCACGTTCTGCCAGGTGCATCGCGAATGCTCTCACGATCGCGTCTCCTAGGGTTTCCATTGGCCGACCTTCCACGTGTCGTAGGACTTCTTCCCACGACCCAAACCCCCGGGGAAAGTCTCCAGTATCATTTTCGCCTTCGTCGCTGTTCTCAGCCTCACCCATCTCGTCCATCTCGTCCATCTCGTCCATTTCATCCATTTCGTCCATCTCGTCAAACTCATTAGTCTCGTCAGTCTCTTGCGGATCCTCGGAGCCTTCAGTCTGCGTAGGTTCATTATTTACATCAGGCCCGTTATCAGGCTCCGCCGCATTAGTGTTAGCTATGGTGATGAGTCTCACCGGGTACCAGGTAACCCGATCTGTCGATAAGAAAGTTCTCCCATCCTGACTGCGCCTTGCATGAATCTGGCCAGCGCTGACCATCTCGTGGAACTGCTCGGAACTGAGTGTTTGTGGCGAGGCACCCGTAGTCTGTATGGCAAACAGTGTCCGTGTCCGTTCGTTGGAAGCCATCTTAGATGTTGGGATTGTGATAGGACGATGAGGTGAGAGGCTGATGGGAAAGGTACCCCGATGTAGTGCGCATACTAGATAATATGTCTCTCGCTGTCTTTGTAGTGGTAATGAAAATGGTATTCATTTGTCTCCTTTATATTGTGGCTTTGCTGTTTATATTCACGGCTTCAAGTCATTCTTTATCCGGGTCTTGTCTAATGCGGCTTTTAAAGCATGGAAAGTAGGTTCTCATGGGCAGACTGTACAATAAGATAGTCTGCGCGGTAATACCTCGGGCTTCCAGCTGTCCATTCCTGCGATGGCCTATCGGTTTATTTTTAGATTTAGAGCTCAGCAGTGACGAGGTCCGCTGAAGTGAATTCATGGCAGAAATGGTTAAATGAAATGAATATACTAAATAGCCAGTCTAGTTTCCCATTGGTACATTTACAGTATCCAGCAGCATAAGTAGTTATACAATAAAAAAAGCCCAAGTACAAAGAAACCAATGGAATTGTATATAAGCTAGAGCCCTATAATAAATAACCTGTCTACTTCCAAGACCCAAAGTACAGCCCATTAACAAGCGTAAACTGCAGCCTTCGCGAAACCCTTACCCTGCGCCTGCCCCGTTCCCGGAGCAGCGACGCGCCATTGTCATTGTAAGGGATCCAGTAGTCAAACATACCTCCTCGCTTCTTGTCAACCAGAACGAACTCATCTTCCTCCCGTTCAAATAGGGTGGTTGTCTTGTGATCAGTGTCAATGTTACTGTTCTTTTTCTTGGTCGATACCGCTTGCCACGGGTCTGGCTCTAGCCTAGATGTACGGCTATTGGGTACGTTAGTGGTAGATGAACCCCGGAATGGATTTAGGGCACTTAGCGTTGTTGTTCCGAACATGCTGCCTATCGTTTAAGAAGCGGCATGAGGATCTCTAGATCGCCTTGGGACATACGGGGTATTTATACTAGGGCGCCCTAGGCTGAACAGCCAGCTGAAGCATAATTACTACTTTATAATCCCTTTGTTACTTGAAGGCCATTGTGATCTTCACATGTAGCTATCTGTTTTGTCTTTATAAGTTTCAATGGTATTTCGCTTTTACACTGTTTTTGGCAAAGGACATTTCTCGTGTAATGACGCGATCGAACGCAAAGAGATCCAATGGACGAACTGGTGTATATCTTTAAGTAGAATAGTCAATCGTCGCAGTGGCATAAAGACGTTGGTAGTGAGTTAAGCCTGATGATTCACCATTCAACCTCCTCAGTACCATTCAACCAGGGCCTCTCTCTCAATATTTCCAACACTGGGTGCTCAAACAGAGGATAATAAAGCCACTCCTACCAGGGCTATAGCCAAAGGCCTGCTAATCACAAAACAGATAAACCCCATAATACTCGAAATGAAGGACTACAATGCAATAAGATAGATTCATAGAATAAATAATGCATTTAATCACTTTTGTACTTGACTATGCTTATCTGATCAAACAAAAGAAATCCCAACCAAGGAATTACTATGGCGAAGGGGAGAATAGCAGTCATTGCCAATCCCCTACCCAGTAGTCTCCTTGGCCATTTCAATATCTGTCGGACTCAGTGGCTTCTCAATAAACACACCATGTCGTTCAATCTTGACAATCTTCCCAGTACCAACCGAATAAGACCCATTTGCACCCTCATAAAATCCCACGCCGATATCACCCACCTTGCCCTTGAACTCGCGGTTCAGAGTGGGAAGTTTGCGAGGCTTTCGGCTCTCACTTGTACGGCATTCGCCGACATGCTTCGATTCGGCGCCTGTGTTTAACAGGCCACATTTTGGGCACTCGCCGGTGTAGGGGCGGAAGACCTTGCCGTTCTGCTGCCAGACCTTATCTCTGGAGTCGCAGATGCAGATAATTTCAGTCATGGTAACTAGATTAGCTTGTTATCCTGGGATTATTGGGAATGATATATTCGCTGAGTGACCTAGAGTTTTTATGTTGTGATGAATGAGGAAGCGTGGTCAGTCGGTATTTATGCTGAGACTGGCGTTGATGGTGAGGCTTTATCCTTTGATATAGTATGTTTCTTTGTAGCCTTTTATTCGAAGTTTCTTTGCGTGCACACTAGACAATGCTGTCTCCTTCCACCATCAACAACAATATTTAGCTCTGATTGTCTTACTTTGTGCCTTTGTCTTTCATATGCCCTAGCTAGCCGGCCGAGACCAGGGAGATGTTCCAATAAAAGAGGATAGACTGAATCTATTGCTGAGTTTTTGTATGCGCATTACAATCTCGTTAAGGCACTGGATACTTTGTACCCTGGAGCCCACAGAGACTACATGGTTGAGGATGGTGATGATTATGGTCATAATGATGGAGGGTATGATCAGCTGGGATTTGGGACTGCACTGCTTCGGCTGGATTAGCGTTGAATTTACATGTTAGACTGTTCTGCTTCTTATGGATATTAAACTTGTTATCCAAATATAGGAGGGAGAGAGGATAAGCTAGGCTGAGTGAGGCTCTTGGTGCAACATACAGTCACCCCAGATATGGCGACCCAATCTTCCAACATCCTCTAAGAATATGACGAAACCAGTCACGCCAGTCATCCTGGCGGAAAATATGAGACCTCGCCAGTAAGAAAATAACAGCCAACCGTGTGATCTTAAAAATGGGACAATCCACGCTCCTTCGGACCCAAAGGAAGGCTGGAAATACGAAGTCGACGGAATAAGCAAATGGCCATCTTGGAACCAGCGGTGGCTAAGAGAGATCGGCATTGCCATCTCGTCCAGGCAGAGACCAAGGGATCATGGCAGATGAGCACTGGGTAGGTGTAAGACATGCGGCGTGGAATACGAACTGCTTTTCTTGGCTGACGCGTGCTCTGGAGGAAGAGCTGGTTCGAGTACGAGGTTCTCGGCGGGATTTCTGGGCAAGGCTGTTGTATATAAAGACGGTTAAAGACTGGAACGAGAGTAATACAGTCAACTTTCTTGAATTAAACACCTGGATTAATCACTCGCTTGACAAAATGAAGCTCTCCACCATTTCCCTCCTCACGGCAGCAGCTCTAGCAACTGCAAGCCCTCTATCCCTATCCGCCCGCCAGGACTCCATAATATGGCCATATCGCACATACCGCTGGTTCATCCGCGACGGGACCACAATCGAAGACCCGCAAGACCAGCTCCTCGTCGTGAAAGACAACGACCCAGCACACGAGTCCAGTGCACTAGTCACCTTTCAAATCGCCCCAGAACTCGAAGGCCGCACCTGCAAGATCATTCTCGACCTCTGGGATCGCGATGTCTCGACAGGCACGCAGACCGCTGATGTCTTTAACACTGTCAACCCCGGGAACAGGGGCGAGTATCTTGGAAGAGTACACCTGCCCAAGCCGGGTTCTGCGGAGTGGATTTCTTCTTCGGAAAATGCGCCTGAGTTTCCCTGTCCGGCCGGGGCGTTGATTGGGTTTGAGTTTGTTGGGGCTGGGGATGAGGTTGCTGTGAGGTGGGATATTGGTGCTACTGGGCCGAAGGTCCAGGTTTTGTAATTGGACTTTATCAGGAATGTGATTAATTCAAGTTGTGGGATATGGTTTAACTTAATTAATCGTGATGCAGGCGCGGCTTTGGAATGATTAACCAGGATACCCCCGTAGCTCCCAGTAGGCCCACGAGTATAGGCTGGAGGACTTTGACTCCTGACTCTGCAGCTATGACTCCAGTTATAGCAGGAAAGACTGCCCCTCCGATCTGTCCGAGAAGGAAGATAAACGCTACACTTGTTAGCTTGGCTATTAGCAGGGTAGAACACTTACCAAGCGCAGACGATCGGATCTCGGCAGCAAACAGCTTCGACGCCACAGAAATACCCTGCCATTGTTAGTCCTCTTCCCAAGAATCACGGACAATCCATACCGTAGCAAAGAAAGGCCCCGAGAAAAACCCCAAGAGACTGATCGCGACCGCTTCGGTGATGATATTAGGCACCCTAGCACAATTAGCTAACGCCTTCACACACTCTTGCGGTTCCATACAGCCAGAAAACCAATTCAAGTGCCAGACATAGCGCAACATAGATGCCAATCATGCGTCTCTCTCCAAGACGATACGTGGGCTCAGCAAGGACGAGACGGCCGAGAAACGCACCGCCGTAGTAGCCAGCCGGGACATAACCCATTTTATCGAGATCGCCACCACGTTCTTCGACCAGGTATTCCACAATCCATCCTGTTACTGTTAGCAATATCCGTACTAGGCCTCTAATGTTTACATACCGCCAGCGGTGATCGCAACGCCGAGAAAGAAGAAAAAATACAAGCTCAAAAGCCACACACTGGGGCTGGCGAGAGTCTTTTGCATTTCAACTCTGGCGTCTCTCTGGCGCGAGGTCCCAGACGCGGCCACTTCAGCGGCAGGATCAGGGTGCTTGAAAGTAATGCGCTCGCGGAATGCCGCGCATACTAGCAGAAGATTCACTACACCCACCCCCAACGGGGCAGTATAGAAGAGTCCCCATTGCGATGTGCTCCCCGCGGTCGCGACAGCGGTTGAAACAAAGGGACCAGCGAGGCAGCCTCCCATGTACATAGCATGGATAAAACCGAGCCAGCGATGGGCGCCTTTTAGAGTTGTCACGAAATTGTTTGCATGGGGTTCCTGGTAAGCCTGTCCCAGGGTCGCGATGAAGAAGGCGACCGCGAATAGCGGAAACGGGGGGAGCCAGGCGCGGAGAGCATGAGCAACTATCTGCAGGACCGCTCCAATGACGAGAAAGACGCCCAGGTCGATGTACTGGCTGAGATAGCTATTTGTAAGAGCGGCGAACAGCCAGCCGCCGAAAGTGGTTCCGTATCTAAGCCGAATTAGCGGGTAAGTAACTGTACAAAAGGACTGGCTTGCTTACACAACGGAGATCATGTTGGTGTCGATGTCATATTGCTGGCGGATGTAAGGGATCAGAGCCCCCAGACTGCCGTCGTTGAGCCCCGCCACGAAGAATGCGAAGCCCGAACTGGCCAGCTTCAGGGCCAGTCGGGGAGGGGCGGGTGGCTCCACGGGATCGGTTTGGAGTGCTTCCATGCTTTCCAGGAAATCAATACCAGATTGAGACGATGATGGGGATAAAGTTGGATGGGGAGGCAGCTGAAATTGACAGATTGACGGGCAGTAACGTGACTCCTCCAACTGTTACTATAGAGTTTCCGGTATAGCTGCTCACTTGGCATTACATGATATGAATACGCATTGAGAGCTGACCCCGGATTCATCGGACATTTTCCGGCAAGTTGACAATGCGGGGAAGCAGTGCAGGATTGTTCTCTGAAGATCAGCCCCTACCGGATGTGCACAAAATGCCGATGCTGCCAATCAGCTTGGGAAACTCGAAATAGGAGTCCAGCCGTTCTTCCCACCGAAGATACGAAGATTAACTAATTAATTCCACGCCTTGCCTATGAAGATTCCGGCTCAATAATCGCGCGTGGCAGCCCCTGATAAGCTATCACTTGGCAGCACTAGCATCGCCAGCTCCTCCCTTTTCGGGTTAAGTGTGCTTGTACATCTGATAACTTATCACTGCTGCTTCAGGCCGTCGCGGCGATACCGATGCCGCCTATGGTTCAGTGCGTATGGTATAAGATGGGCGCATCGCGCTGGGCGACTCTTCGCCTGAAGACCAGCTACAGAGCACCTCCACCATGGACAAAACGTCGCCTGCGGATGAAAAGCCCGTCACGACTGCCGAGGGCACGGTAACCCCGTATGGCGAGACCAAGCGTGGTCTGACTTCCCGGCATGTACAGCTGATGGCCATTGGAGGCTCGATCGGAACCGGTCTCTTCGTCGGAATCGGGGCTTACCTGCAGGAGTCCGGGCCTCTCTCAATCGTCTTGGGATACCTTCTCTATGGATTCTTGTTCATCTGGCCTTGCTACTTGTGCGTGGGAGAGATGTGCGCATACCTGCCCATCCGAGGCTCTATCTTTGAGCTGGCCGCCCGATACGTCGACCCGGCTTTTGCATTTGCCATGTAAGTTCCTTGCTTTATAATAATTCATGCACAACTAATATGTCCAGGGGATGGGTGTACTTCTACGCTGGCGTGATGTTAGTCTGTGTTGAATACTCGGCTATTGCAACGATTATGTCGTACTGGACAACCAGCGTCAACCCGGCCGTGTGGATCACCATGGGAATGGTCGTCTGTATTATCCTAAATATCGTCGCCGTGGAATGGTACGGAGAGAGCGAATTCATCATGGCCTCGACCAAAGTCCTCTTGATCATCGGGCTTGTGCTTCTTACGTTCATCACCATGGTCGGCGGCAACCCTAACCACGACGCCTACGGCTTCCGCCACTGGACTGACGGTGTGATGTACGAATACTACACTGACGGCCCTACCGGTCGCTTTCTCGGTCTCTTCAGCGTGATGGTCTACGCTGCCTTCTCTCTCGCCGGTCCAGATCTGCCCTCCCTCGCCGCAGGAGAAATCCAGAACCCGCGATACACCATCCCGCGCGTCTGCAAGATGATCTTCTGGCGTATCGTCGGCTTCTACGTAATCGGAACCCTAGCCGTCAGCATCATCTGCGACTCTCACGATCCGGACCTAATCAGCGCCATCGAGAACGAGAGCAGTGGCGCCGCCGCCTCTCCCTGGGTCATCGGCATCAAGCGCCTCAACATCCACGGCCTCCCCGACCTCATCAACCTCCTCATCCTCTTCTCCGGCTGGTCCTGCGGAAACGCATACGTCTACGCCTCCAGCCGAACCCTCTACTCACTCGCAAAGGACGGCCAGGCCCCCAAGTTCCTACTCAAATGCACCAAGACCGGCGTCCCCATCTACTGCGTCTTCACCGTCTCCCTCCTCACATGCATCACATACCTCGCGGCCGATACCTCCTCCGTCGAGGTCTTCTACTGGTTCATAGACCTCACCACCTGCGGTCTCGTGCTCACATACACGTGCATGGTCGTCGTCTTCCTCTTCTGGTACCGCGCCCTGCGCGCCCAGAACATCGACCGCCACTCGTATCTCCCCTGGGTTGCACCGCTGATGCCCTACTGGGCCATCCTGGCGGTGATCGTGGGCGGCTCCGTGACGCTCTTCAACGGATTCAATGTATTTTCGCCCTGGGATACGCAGGGCTTCATCACCAGTTACTTTGCGATTGGGTTCTTCATTGTTATGTTTGTATTTTGGAAGGTTTGGCATAAGACGAAGTTTGTGAATCCCGCCGAGGCGGATATTGTCTCTGGAAAGGCGGAGGTTGATGCTGAGTGTCGCATTTGGGAGGATGGGGGGTGGGAGGAGAGGCGGAGGGCTGAGTTGGCGGAGATGCATTGGGCTAGGAGATGGTGGGAGAAGATGTGGTAGTCTTTTTATTGCTTGATTTAGATATCAATATTTGTTGTCAATTTATACAGAGTACGCAATGAATGATACCTCACTTGCGATCTGTATGCTCTATTCTATCGCTAACTCATACTGGGTAATATCACATTGCTGCTTCCCCCATCAATCAGCACATCCCTCATGGTCTCGACACTCTTCGTCCGAATCTCATCAAAGCTCTCGGGGCAATAAAACGCAGTATGGCAGGTCAAGACCAGCCTACCCAGCAACCAGTCCTCCTTCCTTCTATACGCACGCACAAGCGAATGCACTCTATCCTCAGGTATCGGCTCTTCAGGTAAAACATCCAAGCCAGCCCCAGCCAACAACCCCTCCTTTAGCCCCCTCTCAACAGCATCAAGACTCAACACCTCCCCACGGCCTGTATTCACCAACACCGATCCCTGCGGCATCAACCCAACCAAATCCCAGCCCACCATATCGCGCGTTTCCCGCGTACACGAGCAATGGATACTCAAACAGCTACTCCGCCGAAACAGCTCCTCGATATCCCGTACCCTCTCAACGCCAATGGCCTTATCAAACCCGTTCGCAACATAGGGGTCGTAGAATATAACCTTCCAACCAAACACCTTGGCACGGAGTGCAGCCGCCGTGCCTATACGTCCGAGACCGAGGATGCCGAATGTTGCGTCTCGCAGACGTGCTACGAGCGGCGTGTCGATTACAGCCCATGGTTCGATGTGTGGTTCGCGCTGGAGTTCGTGGTGGAAGAGGATCCCGCGCCGGAGGGAGAGAGCCAGGGCGATTGCGTGATCGGCGATTTCGGCGGTGCCGTAGTCTGGTATCTTTAGTCTAATGACTTGACAAAGGGGGGTTGGGGGGTTAGACGAACCAGGGACATTGCAGACAGTGACGTTTCGTTTGGCCAGGGCGACCCGGTCTAGACGGTCATAGCCGACTCCCATCCGGACGATGCTTTGGAGAATCAGGTTAGTACCCTACTAGGCAAGGTGCAAGGACTTCTTACACTTTCAGTTGTGGGAACAAGGCGAGATCTTCTGCGGTAAAGCCCATCTTCAGCACGAGGATGCCGTGGACTTTCTCTCTCAGGTCCTTGGGGACGGCCGACCATGGTTTAGGCGTCGGGACGCCCATGGGGAACAGGTCGAGTTGGAGGTAGGTGATTTTCCACTCTTCTGGGAGATTTGCACGCAGTATCTCTTGTTCGATTGTGTCATCCTGTTTCCGGCAAGTTGGCACCTGGCCGGGTGACGCGATGTGGAAGACTCACTGGGTATAGTCCGTCTGCCTGGATGATAACAAACTCTTTCCCGCCGGGGGTTTGACTTGGATCGGTTGTTTCGGGCATTTCCAAAGGATTTCCAAGTCGCTTAAAGCGTCAAGCTAGATGAAAGAAGGAAGAGGAGAATCTCACCCGCCGTGCAGCTGATCCTCAACTTATAGCACAGCTTGCAGTAGCCACATGATTAGGTTAGGGCATGGACGCCCGGATTTTTATCCAATTTATCCACCTGCTGTCCTGTTGCTGACTGTATTATCAAATGAGAAGCTGGTCTTGCCCTTTAGATTCCGCGTATAAACCGTACCTGACTTGCCCCTCATTCCATCACTCCTTACCCCGCCTCCCGACTGGGCCGACTACGACTCGGCAAGTAGGCTATGGAGACCGAAGATCTCTCCAGCTGAGAGGTATTGCCCTAAGGGTTGGGAAGAAAACATACGATGAATGAATAGAATGGTTAACGGGCCTAGCTTAAACTACTACTAGTGTCTATAAGGTACTTAGAGATGCTGTTTGTTTGGTTGATATCTATCTTAGCTGAAATCAGTCTCAATCAATCTAGAAAACGAGAATATAGCGCAACTAATGCTGAAATTTACGCCACTTGAACTTATAGACCCTGTTACGTGATGCTAGTCGTAAGATATCATTCCATGGTAAGCCGGAATGTATATCTGGCTTAAAACCTTGTATAAAAACTTCTTTCCACTCCCATCTCCCGCCACTCTGACTCACAAGTATCCTAGAGCTATCTCATCGAAAATGTCTCTCAAGCTGAAGGTCCGCAACATATCCAGACCGCTCTGTCAAGGCCTTGAAAACGCACTTGAACTGGCCGGAAAACGGGAGACAGCACAGAGATTCCGCCAGATCCAACACGAACGCTTCGGGCTATCCAGCAGCGAGTGCGAGAGTCTTCGGTCCTATTTCATATACGATGAGCTCATATGGATTTCAAGACAACGTGGGAAGTCTCTCTGGTATATGATGGAAGATATGAAGCCAGCGTCAGAAGAGCCTCCCGGCGGCGACGAGCCACCCGAAGGCTATGAGTTCCTGCATGCCAGTTTCAGGGAAAACAAGGGAGAGCGCCAGAGGGCAATCGACGCGTTTGAATCAGCAAGAAAACGGATTAAGAAGTCACCTCTCTATCGCGCGATGAAATCCCAGCAACAGTGCAGGAATTGGCACCTTTCAGATTGGCTGGTGTCGCGCTGCAAGGAATCCGGCGGATGCTGTGTGCGAGAATGTCGCTGTTGTGACAAGAATTCCTACGAGGCAGAAGACCGGAAGGGCCATTGTACGCCTGCCTGTGAGTGCTGCCAGAAGGAGAAAGGCCTGCAATTCCCTATAGATCTTGAAGGTTACCGGGAAGAGTTATATTTTAATGTTGACCCTGCGGACTCGGATGTTTTCAGCCGCAGGATGATGGATCCGTATGTTTGGGGGCTCTTGAACAAGAATGAAATTGTTCTTCAAGGGTGCTCCCCTAACGTAGTGGTATAATGATATAATAGGGTTAATACTAGTGGAACTTACCAAAGCAAGTACAACCGTGGGCTGTGATGTCACTGCAACAGGGCAGACCAGTATTGTAGCACTCACTCCCAAGCCACCCACTTCCGTACCATTAACGACGGAGGCATACGCTATTTTCGTATAAATAATTTGGATATTGAGATTACCTAGTTAGCTACCCCGTACTCCATAGGCCCTGGTGAAGTTTGTTTAAACTGCTCAATAGCCGCAGTGGCCGCAGTAGCCACACGAAGCAGCAGAGCAGGCCGTGAAGTCCTTCTCCGAGTCCGAGTCACCACTCCAGGCACCTGACTCTCTCATTCCCTCCTCGTCTTCTTCCTCTTCCTCTTCCTCTTCTATCACTACTCCCCCCTTCCATCTCGCATTGCATCTATCATTTCTTGTCTCATCAAAAGTTCCCTGTGTCCACCGTCTCTTCATCTCGTCCGGTATACAGCAATTGACCACACCCCCAACTTCCCTCAATTCTAAGCTGCCACCACGGTATACAACTTCTAATGTGCCATCTACTTGTCCCTGCACAAACGCAATCAACATTTTTATTAGCCCGGTCAGCTTCTGTAGATTGCTTTCTTCGTCCTTCTCCCATTGCCGTACTTCTTCGCGGACGTCTTCAACGCGCACGTCGTCAAAAACTCCATTCTTGTGGAAGCCGATCACGAAATTGGGCACTTGCGCCAACCAAAGTCTAGGACGCTCTCCTTTGAGAACATCCTCATACTCCTTCTTGGATGTCCTGGTCTTCAAATCGAACATGGCCGACTGGGGGACAATTTCTCCCCCAAGCTCAACAGTAAGGGCTTTTCCGGCATGGGATACTGTAGCCGAGCTCACCATTGTTTCTTCCAAGGAAACCATCAAGTCGTCTGGAGTAGCCGCTGCGCTCTTTCCATGGCCAATTCGTGACTGATGAAGCTTGGGAAGATATCCATCACCCTCGTAACGGACGAGACATGACAAGTCAGCAAACTTGTATTTCAAGATTCTCTGATGCGATTCGGAGCCCCTGACATCGGGACCCTTTGCGCAGCAATCCAACTATCATCGCACCCCAGATCAGTGGCAGAGAATTGACGAGCTGAATGGTAAATTCAAAGCTCTGGAGCAAGAAGTCAAGACGGCGTTCAGTGCATATTCGAATTTCAAACTGAATTACACCACCATCATGGAATTTCTAGAATTCGAAGAGCCTGCATTCTTTGAAGCTTTCATGCCACCGGTGGAGCTTGATGGGATGACTCTTGTTGGCGAAAATGGGGAGTCTGTCACCGGACAGTACCTGTTCGAGCGATGGTATCATGGAAAGAGCCATTCTAAGCTGTCACTCAAGCATCTTCATCAGCAAGCCCGTCAAGTGTGGGAAATGGATGGGTCAACTCGTCAAGCCAAAATAAAAACCTGGACCGAAATGCTCCTTGAAGAACAATTGGCCAAGGTTCAGAGCCTGATAACAAGAATGGATAACTGTCAGGAGAAACTTGCGGAGATGTGGAACGAGAAAACCCGTGATATCCTGCTATCGAAGCGGATAATCGGATGCACGACAACTGCAGCTGCGATGAACGCCAAAGAGCTCAGTGCGATCTCGCCCGGGATCGTGCTGTTGGAAGAAGCTGGTGAAATTCTTGAATCGCATGTCCTTACTGCTCTTGGTCCCCACACGAAGAAACTGATTATGATCGGTGACCATCAGCAACTGCGTCCCAAGATCAACAACTACGCTTTATCGGTGGAGAAGGGGTCAGGGTATGATCTGAATCGTTCTCTTTTCGGGCGACTTGTGGAGTCAGGATATCCTCACTCTACTCTCGCGAAGCAACACCGCATGGTCCCCGAGATATCCTCCTTGGTGCGAAAACTCACATACCCCGACCTGCTGGACGATGACAAGACATTGAGCCGACCAGCACCGAGAGGACTGCAAGATCGCGTCATCTTTCTTGATCATACTCACGCAGAAAATAATCTACGCGATGTTTCAGACAGAAATGATGTTGGAGGTAAAGGCAGCAAGCAGAACTCCTTCGAGGTACAGCTCGTTCTCAAAATTATTAAATACCTTGGCCAGCAGGGCTACGGAACGGACAAGCTAGTCGTCCTTACACCATACCTTGGACAGCTACATCTGCTCCGTGAGGAGCTTCTCAAAGATACAGATCCTGTACTGAATGATCTAGATTCATATGATTTGGTCCGAGCTGGCTTGATATCCCAGGCAAGTGCTCGGCATGCCAAACGCCCGATTAAATTGTCCACCATCGGTAAGGCCCAAATGCAAATTTACCAAATAGCCTCCATTGCTAACTAAAAGGAAAGATAATTATCAAGGTGAAGAGAGCGAAATCGTGATTGCTACCCTCACCAGAAGCAACAAGGATGGGGACATCGGCTTTATGTCGGCTCCGCAACGGTTGAACGTGCTCTTATCTCGAGCTCGAGACGTTCTAATTATGATTGGAAACTCGAAAACATTTATAAAAAGCCGAAAGGGCAAAGAAGTCTGGAAACCGTTCATTAACCAGCTTCAAGAGAATGGACACCTATATGATGGGCTTCCAGTTAAATGCGAGCAACACCCTCAACGAACAGCGGTACTTGGAACCTCCAATGACTTCGATACGTTATGTCCAGATGGAGGATGTGACCGACCATGGTACGTTCTTCCTTATCTGCTTTCCACAGTGCTAGTCATTGACGAATGACAGCGGGACGAAACTAAGCTGTGGATTACACGACTGTCCACATAAGTGCCATCAACTGTCCGACCATTCGAAGATGGACTGCCATAAAGTAGTAGATTGGACTTGTACCCGCAACCATAAGCTTACACGGCCCTGCTCCCAACAGAGAAGCACATGCTATCGCTGTGCGGAAGAGGATAAGGAGCTTGAGCGCCGACGCAAGAGAGATATGCAACTCGATTTGGACCGAGAGGCCAAACAGAAGGCTTATGCCCATCAGCTTGCCCTGATCAAGGATGAAATTGAGCATGAAAGACGGCTTCAAAAGGATAGCCAAGACGAAGAAGAGAGACAACGAATCCTCAAGCAACAGCGACAGGACCTCGAACGGCTGAAAGCCCGTGCCCCTGAACAACCCCAACAAAATCACCCAGTATTTGATGGCAGCAGCGAGCAATACCTATCCCCAAGCAAGGAGCCGCCTCAGGGCACTGCCGGTAATACCGGGTCGTCAGAAAGTACCAACGGTTCAGACGGTTCAAAGGCCCTGTCGTCCGCTGAGCAGGACTGGGAATACCAAAAGCAATATGAGGGGGCACAAAGTGAGGAGCTAGACAAGTTGATGGCCATGATTGGCTTGGAGCGCATCAAAACTAAATTCCTCGCTATCAAATCTCAAGTGGATGCGGCCATGAGACAGAAAGTTGACTTCAAAGGGGAACGGTTTGGATCGGTGTTGCTTGGGAACCCGGGAACTGGTAAGACCCATCATGCACTCAAGGCGTCTTGTTTGCTGATCCAAAATATAGGGAAAACAACGGTTGCGCGGCTTTATGCAAAATTCTTAACATCCATGGGCATCATCCCTGGTAGCTTCATTGTAGAAACCACCGGGTCTCGTCTAGCAAATGGCGGCGTGTCAGGCTGCGAGAAACAGATCAACAACATTCTCAACGATGGTGGGGGTGTGGTTTTTATTGATGGGGCTTATCAACTAGCACAGGGAAGCGGAAATGGCACTCAAGTTCTTGACTTCCTACTTGCAGAGGTTGAAAGGCTTACCGGGAAGGTTGTTGTTGTTCTCGCCGGCTATCGAAGGCAGATGGAGAAATTCTTCGCTCATAACCCTGGACAGCTGAGTCGATTCCCACATGAATTCGTTTTTGAGGACTACACTGAGCCAGAATTACGTTTGATCCTCCAATACCAGATCAATCAGAGGTTTCAGGGAAGGATGAAAGCTGAACAGGGGATGGGCAGTCTCTATTGTCGGATGGTTGCTCGGCGGATTAGCAGACAGCGAGGTCACGAAGGGTTTGGAAACGCCCGGACGGTGGAAAATACTCTTTCGACCATTCTCCAACGTCAGGCGAAACGCCTTACACACGAACGAAGAAAAAAAGTCTCCCCTGATGACCTCCTTCTCACTAAAGAGGATCTAATTGGCCCTGAGCCAAGCAAAGCATTGAACAGCTGTGCTGCTTGGAAACAGCTTCAGGGTATGATTGGACTCGCCTCTGTCAAGAATACAGTCCGTGCTCTGCTTGACAGTATACAAAGCAACTACGAGCGTGAACTCAAAGAGGAACCTCTGGTAGAATTTACTTTGAATCGAGTGTTTCTAGGGTCTCCTGGAACAGGGAAGACAAGCATAGAATCCTGCCGATTTTGTGGGTAGTGTTTTAGGACAATCTGAACAAAACACGAAAGGAATTTTGGCTTCCACCTTAGGCAAAGTCCTAGTCATTGATGAGGCTTACGGCCTTTCCGGCGGTGGAAGCCGCAATGCAGGTGGCTTCCAGACAGACCCGTACAAAACAGCAGTAGTGGACGCAGTCGTTGCAGAAGTTCAGAGCAATCCTGGAGACGATCGGTGTGTGTTACTGCTTGGATACCAGGACCAGGTGGCAGACATGTTCCAAAACGTAAATCCCGGGCTATCGCGGAGATTCCCGATGGATTCAGCATTCATATTTGAGGATTTCTCTGATGATGAGCTTGGAGAGATCCTAGATCTGAAATTAAAACAGCAAGGGTTTGAGGTATCCAACAAGGGGAGGAAGGTGGCCTTGGAGATCCTTTCCCGTGCGCGTAACCGTCCAACTTTTGGAGATGCGGGAGAAATCGATATTCTCTTGAATGGGGCCAAGATTCGCCAGCAGCAACGGCGTTCATCAGGGGCCAAATGTTCTGCTTCGAACCGATTAGAGCCGGAGGACCTTGATCCCGAATACGATCGTGGAGAACGGACGGAAACAAACATCCCAATGTTATTCCAGGACATCGTGGGGTGTGAGACAATCGTCAACAAACTTGAGGGTTATCGTCAGACGGTCAAAAATATGAGAGATTTGGACATGGACCCTAAAGAGCAGGTTCCCTTCAACATTCTTTTCCGCGGGCCACCAGGTAAGCCAATTTAAAGACTTAACACAATCGAAGTACAGCCACTTACCATATCCAGGAACCGGCAAAACGAGCACAGCTAGAAAGATGGGCAAGGTTTACTACGACATGTGTCTATTATCTTCTGCGGAAGTCATTGAGAGCTCCGCAACCGATCTAGTAGGAGAATATATTGGACATACTGGGCCTAAAACTCAGGACCTACTGGAGAAGGCACTGTGAAAGGTGCTCCTTATCGATGAGGCGTACCGCCTCGCTGAAGGGCAATTCGCAAAAGAGGCCATGGACGAGATTGTGGATTGTATCACGAAGCCCAAGTTCTTCCAGAAGCTCATCATAATCCTGGCTGGGTACGATAATGATATAAATTGCCTAATGACCATTAACCCTGGATTGACCAGTCGCTTCCCGGAAGAGCTTGAATTCGCAGGTCTCTCACCAAACGACTGCCTCCAACTGCTTACAAAATTTCTCCAGAAGAAAAAGTCAAAACTTCGGTCCAAGGTCAAAAACTTCAACATGGATGCACTAGAGTCACAGGGACCAACATTTGGTAGGCAAATTGTGGATCGGTTTTCTATACTCGCTCAGGGGGCGAATTGGGCGAATGCGCGCGATGTGCAGACGCTAGGGAAAGCTATATTTGGCGAAGCTCTTCGTTCCATGCAAAACAGGGAGCTTTCCATATCTGAGACGCTTATTCTGAGCAAGGTCGACGGCATGATATCAGAGCGAACAAGTCGAGCGAGGGCACTGTCAACGCCTAAGAATCCTATAACTGACTTCATGCAGAGCCAGGCTTTCAATAAGAAACCAGCACACCCAGTGCCGACAACAACGTCAAGCCCACCCGTGGCGCTTGAAACCACAGAAGAGAAGAAAGATGCACCCCCTCCAGCCTCTGGGAGTGTTCTGGATACGGCCCCTCGGGATGCAGGAGTATCAGATGACGTCTGGCAACAATTGGAACAAGATAAGCAAGCGGAGAAAGAAGCGGAATCGCTATATCAAACAGTCATCGAAAATGAAAACACGGCTGAGAAAGAACTCCAAGAGCTCCCAGAGCCACCAGAAGATGATTCCGATCCAGACCACGAGGCTAAACGGGAACGCGAAAGACGACGTCTTGAGGAGTTAAGGAGACGCGCCAGGTTGGAGGAGTTACGAAGAGAACGGGAGGAGAAGGATAAGGCTAGACGTGAAGAACAGAGAATCCAGCAGAAGCTTAGACAAATGGGTGTTTGTGTTGCTGGGTTTCGATGGATTAAACAGGCTTCGGGTTATCGTTGTGCTAGAGGAAGTCACTACATTTCGAACGAGGCCTTGGGAATTTAAATCATGCATTCGAGTGGTTCTGTTATTTTCACTATTATTCTATTAATAAACCAGGTTTTGGGCTTCTTTATAGTGGCGTTCTCTTGCTACAAGATAGAAGCGATGGTCACTACACCCAATCCGCACAGTTATATGTTATTGCCGGTATAAGCCCTTTACCGATAAAATGAGTCCAGAAATACATAATATTTATTTCTATAGTACTTGCGACGTTGAATTCGCTCTCTAAAAACAGCACGTCAAGATTTGGTAAGCTATTTTCTCCTGCGTTGGCGTTGCCCTCTTATCAACATCATACCATTCTGTTGAGAGTAATCACCTAATTTCATCCCACTACCTAATTAAACGAAAACACCCAGAAATGTTTATCGGAAAGCTATCCAGTTCATCTTATCTATTTTCAGATCTTTTCTTCAAGAATATGCACAAGCACCACTCCGGAACCACGGAGACCTGGATCATACAATATGACAGCTCCATAGCTATTTAACCCCAAACAACCGCGATAGTTAATCAAACGAGCTGACGAAATTTTGCAACTGCGAGTCTGCGACCCTGCGGGTATCTTCCTATCATCAAGACGATAATAATAGTGGGTCACTGATTCAGGTACGGACTGAGTTAAGTAAACTACGTTGCCCAGATTTTTTTTTTTAGATAAATATCGCGCAGTTTGGCTGGGGCGGTGGAAATAAAATGGATAGCTCCACTTCTCTATCTCGCATGTTACAAGAAGAGTCCCCCTTGTCGACCACGCCATCAGTCACGCTTCGGTATTACCGGTACGCGCAGCTCTGGGCTCATCTCTGGACCCGCGATCTCGATATGTATGCAGGAATATACGAAAAGAAGGATAGCAGCATCGCATAATCATACTTGAGCACATTCGACGAGACCACAAATGAAACGACAGTTAAGCCAACGGGCTTATGTACGTCGGCTAGCCTGACTGCATTAGTCTCCGTCGGAGTGTCCAATCGAGGAGATCGTCACAGCCAGCCCAGGACTCGAGGCGTTCGGAGAGGAGTCGGGACGAGATGTTTTAAGGGGTGGCACAGAGCCGGGGAATGCTAATGATAATGCGTATAGATCCGCTGATTGCGGTTGGCCGCAATCAGGAATGCAGCGAACAGCGAGTTCTCAATCTCCGTGGATTAGGTTAGGATCGGGATCGGGTGGTTTATTTAGGTGACAACTTGACAGGTGAGTTTGCTCCAGCCTGCTTAGCGAAGCTGCCCTGGTTAGATCCCGGTGTATAGTCGGTATGATTATGCCTCTCCTGCCTGTTTCTCCATTGGTATTGGCAACAACATGAAGAATACAAGGGTGAAGAGAGTGATAACGCCCGGGCCAATTCGGAAACCTCGTTTAGTGCGCGGGATCGTCCAGGCCTTGCACTGTCGGATCCACATCAATGAGACTTGGAGAATGGTGACTTGGAGTCGAGGGCAAGTCGCAATGCAACGATTCGCATTGAGGCTGTGGTCCTCTTCAACTTCCTTCCATTCGGGGTTAAGTTCGCCGAAGCGCCCGATTACAAATCCCAGAGGCCAGGCTTTGGGGCAAGGAGCAAGGAGCTGGATGGACTGTTGTTGTGTCCACATGGTGCCGTGGCCAGTCACCAAAATCTACAAGATCAGCTTTGACTGGCCGGTCTAATGCAAGTCACCCAAGACTGTGCGACTAAGTCTGCGCCTTGTAGAAACGGGCAAGGATAATCCTTGCAAGGTTGCCAATCACAATAGAGATGTTGGGATGGTGGTGTGCTTGACATTCCATGGGAATGGGAGTCCGAGGTCAACCTGATGTGTTTTTGCTGGTGATCGATAGCATGCAGCAAAGATATCGTTTATCGGTGGGGGGAAATTCAGCATTCGTTAATTGTCTATGTGTATCTAAGTAAAAGTAGACGGTCCAGATCGATAAGAGTGTATGCACCGTCTGATATAGATTAGGACGGGATGATCGATTGGCCCGCCCTGGACTATACTATACTCTCCCAAGGTAGCGTCCGAGAAGAGACAGACTGGTGCAACGCCCATCTAAATCGTTGGCTCAGAATAACCGGAGAATTTGGGAGCCGATGCAATCGACGGAGGAAACCTGGTTTAGTATCTGCAGTGCGGGATCGACGGACAACAGAGGCTGCGGCGCGACAGTCCAGAGCCCACAGCAGCTGATTGCACCGTTACAGGAGCCGGAGTTTCCCCGGGATGGCTTCGCATTTGTGGCATTATTCCTGTCCCTCGTACTTCGTACGTTCGTGCTTGGTTATTTAGGCTGAATGTAGTTGAATTGTTTTGATACTCAGGAAGTTACTGGAATCCCCTGCTGTGTGGGCATGATTCAGATGGTTCAGTGATTACCGAGGCGAGGAATCGGGAGAAAGTCCGACCTCAAACGAGAATACCCGCTGATAGACACGATTGCATTGGCGTCTTTTGCTACGTGCACGGAGCACAGCTCGAAATTGGGAGTCTCCCTCCCAACGTCATTGCGTGGGATGGTGCAGGAGATTTGCAGGGCGGCCGCTGTCTGGATCAACGCCGCATCCTCGTCGGTGTCAACGGGGATTGTCGCTGCTGGAGAAGCAGTGGATAAATCTGCGTACGGCTTGACTGGGCGGGGAGGACGCAACGATATATTTTTGGCAGTGGGTGCCTGAAGTGGTTCCTGGTGGGTGAAGATACTATTCAAGAGTCAGTCAGTCCCCTGATGCGACCGGCAGCAGCGGCCAAGGCTCCAGCCGCCAGCACAAGGAGTTGGCCACGGAGGACTCACATCCGAGGGCATTATTGATTATTCCAGCGGCTGCATTATTCGAAAACGGCTTAGAAGGCCCAGGCGGCGATGCAGTGGCTCGTTTCCAGAACTGAGCCAGGGGATTGTCAGAATAAAGGAACTGCAATTGGCACGCAGCAGCAGCCGGGCCCACGAAAATCCCCCACACAGGAACCTTCGGCTGCGCACTGGCAGCAACTGCTCTCCCCAGAGTCCCCGCAGAATGGTCGTCAACCGAAGCTCGTTTCCTCATTCTCTAGCACCTTTTTTTGGCCGGCTCGTTAGACTTTACTAAGATTGCTCGTGCCAGACACGGCGGCGCCAACCGCCACTCGAACACTCAGTGGCTCGTGGGCCGTGGCCCCAGTCCCCCGGTCATCTCAGGTACGGTCGTGCCCACGAGCCAACAATCGCCGCTGGATCTGGGGTCGAAACGCGAAACGGGAAACACGAGTCACCCAGCCTTTGAAACCTTTGGGCGGCGGAGAACTCCGTTCTCTGCAAACGGTCAGACTCAGACGGCTAATCGCTCGTTGCCAGCAACCGCGATCCTTCAACCGCAGGATGGAAAATGAAGGCGCCATGGAAGCGAGTCTAAGAGCCACGCGCTTACGTCAGGTCAATTCACAACGGAGCGTGTCTGAGAAAGGCAAGAAAGACAGGAACCGACATTGTCGCAGACAGCGCCTCGTTTGCCTAACAACGGGTCTGTTCCGCGCTGTCGCCGTACTCAGCAGACGGCACAATAATGTCATTATTGAGAGAGGAATTTTCCGATAATTTGTGAGCTGTTGGTCTGGCAGAACAACAGTATTTTCTTCCATTGTTCAGTACGCTCTCTATACACTCATTAGTGCACCAAACATGCCTCTTTTCCTCTGCTGGTCGTGCGCCGATAAAGTGCGTGGCAGTAACCGATAATCCTCTCGGCCTGGATTGAGTTCACAGGGTGGCTCCCATTGGCCAGTCGAGTAGCACAGACCCAAGTGCAGCTCCCCCGTGACTCCGATGTGGGGCGGATCCTTGGCTCTGGCCCAGTCGTGGCCCCTGCTTTATGCTCATCGGCCCACTGAAGGTGCTGCGATTGGGCGGTAGCTTCGTGGTTGATCCCGCGACAGTCACCGGGGTTGAAACAGAACACAGCGCAGCACGGAAGTAACGTGCAGCCTCTCGTAACTCCATTATTATTGCTTTGACTCTCGGAGGCCAGCCTGCGAGCAACTGCCAGTCCCAGACACTGATGCCCACTGGTCCTTTTGTTGAGATCCCCAGCAGCCACTCGCCTTAGTAACTTCCACTGCAGCTTCTCAAAGAACATCGTCCTCCCTTCTTCTTCCTCTTCCCTTTCCTCAGGCTTCACTCTCTCCCTTCCTTTGGCTGTGAGCTTTCTTTCACCCCCTGCATTACTTAACTCGTAATCAGCGAACTCCGCCCTTATCATCAATTGACTCCAAATTCACCTCTATCGATACGCCACTTGCCCGGCTATCTTTCCGGCTTATCCACCCGCCGCCCTCAGTCGCCCTCAGTCGGATTGTTTGCGAGAGTGCACCCAATCCAAACACTCAAACAGCTCGCAGACCACCCAGAGAGCCTGCGCATAGCTTCCTCTGCTCTCTTGAGTCGGCAATCCCCCCAAGGTAAGCTGGTATACCCGTAGCTTTGCGTCCCCTGGGTCCTGGAAGCTGGGACGTTGAGCCCCTGCTGACTACTCCAAAGGTTGGACCTCAGGAACATCTCGCCACATCCCACCTCGCCCGCGACTGTTTCACCTATTTATCCCTCTCTCATCGCCCCCCAAGACCGAATCATACACTTTTTATTCTTATTAACTAGCTACCGAGAGCTTACTCCTCGCATTTTTCACCCTTCGCTCCTTGCTGTCAGTGCCTCATTGTCACCCCGTTGCCCCAACTCCTTCCCGCACCTCCTGACCCACTGCCTAAGCTTTCCTCCCATGGGGACGATGATGTCCTCGATCCGACCGTTCCGCCTCAACCATTCTAGACACTCTCAGGCTAATATCTAACCAGTAAATCGTATCACCGCCAATGTCGGTCTGATCCTTCGTCGCATCGCATTTTCTCACTCCTTTGAACTGTTCGGTTTAGTGAAATACAAAGAACCGCCGCCCTATCCACATCGTCTCTGTTAAAGCCAGCCTGCAAGCTGGCCCTCACTTCCCACCATATTTCTACGGAGATAGCATGTTAATAGGCCCGATGGTGGACCAAAGCCTGGGCACCAGCCCAAAACTGGAGGACCTCTCCAGCATTTCGGAGATGCCTGGAGACGTCAATGGTGCGTGCTCTAAGAAGGGAACACTCACTCAAGCGACATATTAACGATGCAGCAGTATCCAAGGACAACTCGAAGAAGGATTCAGTTGCCAATCCGGCCAACATACCTCCCCCCAAGACTGATAAGCCGCGTCCCCACGGCTGTACAACATGCGGTCGGTCATTCGCCCGACTAGAACATCTCAAGCGCCATGAGCGTTCACACACAAAGGAGAAACCGTTCGAGTGCCCCGATTGTTCACGTTGCTTCGCACGTCGAGACCTTCTTCTCAGACATCAGCAGAAGCTTCATATGGCAACAACTCCATCTTCGCGGCCTAGAAATGCTCGAAGGGAAAGCACAGGTGCTGCTGGTGCGGGAGCAAATCGTGTGCGCAAGAACTCGATAGCGAGCAACTCGAGTAATATGCGCCCGCGCGCGAACACGATCAGCCACATCGACGGAGCTGGGCTTGGGCTCGTCGGCAATGCGAACCCGGCTCCTGGACCGACCGGCCATCCTGGTCATGCCTATCACCCCAGCCTCGGTTCGTCTGTGGGTTCAGGAATCGACTATCGGGGCTATTCTGCGACCCATCAACCTCCGGTAAATGGCCTCACGAAGCTTGAGACGCATGGACTGCCTATGGAAATTTCCGGGGGGCTCCGGACGGCGCCGGTATATGGCAGCTTCGAGTTCAACATTCCAGAGTACATCGGTCACGGCAGCACCATCAATCCAGCTCAGCTCCACTTTGGGGGTTCCCCGCAACACTACGGGAATGACGCCCCCTCCTCTCCATATGGTACCCACCATATGCCTCAAGCCAACGATGCCATTATGGAGGACGAGTACCAGTTTGAGTATGATTGGATGCAGAGATTCGACCCGTCACTGCCACTGGGTAAGAACAATGAATCTGCCATTGATGAGTCCTCACCCTCGGCTATGAGCACCGGCAGTCAGAGTGGAATCAGCGAGCCTATGATGGATGGGTCAAACCAGTTCTCAATGCCCTCCGTGGGCTGGCAGAACCAGTTTCCACCCCATCCGGCGACGTCCGCGAGTCAGTTCGCCGACTATAGCTCAACTACTTTTAATGATCTAGGCATTCCACCTGAGACGGTCTCTCCCAAGTCCCTGATGGCTCAAAACCCTTTTGCTGAGGCATATGCCACTCCCCCGTCCATGACTTCCGTGGGCCAGCCTATGCTGGGGGCACATTCGCAGAGCAGTATGTTTTCATCCTCCATGGCAACAAGCGGAGAATCTCCTAATCCTCTCAACCTACCTTTCGCGAATAGTGCCCTACGAACTCACCATGCCCCAGCCTCAACCGATACCTTTACAGACTCCACACGACGGGCTTTATTAGCCAGCATGGCACAACCCACAGGCTTCAACCACCGCAAGTTCTCTCAGCCGGCAACCGGAATGATTCAATGTCGCGATCTTTACTCCCGTTCTTCTTCTTTCAGCTTGAACTCCGCTAGTCAACTACCGAGCACAGCAGACATGCAGCGATTTATCTCCGCATACATCACCTATTTCCATCCTCATTTACCTTTCCTACATATACCCACCTTAAATTTCCAGGCACCCGAGTACACCAATAATCTGCGCACCCCGAGCGGCCATCTTAATCTCAGCTCCACTGGTGTGGCCGGTGGTGGAGGCTGCTTGATCCTCTCCATGGCAGCCATTGGTGCCCTTTACGAATTTGACACCGCATCTTCAAAAGATCTCTTCGAAGCCTCCAAGAAGATGATTCAACTTTATCTCGAAGAGCGCCGGAAGGCTGATATGTCAACGGCTGTTTCTCGTTCCGCCAATGCACGCGATAATTCTGTGCACAACACCCCACTTTGGCTGGTGCAGGCGATGCTACTCAACGTTATTTATGGCCATACTTGTGGTGACAAGACTTCTGCAGATATTGCAAGTACTCACTGCGCGGCCCTTGTTAGTCTTGCGCGTGCGGCTGAATTAACGCGCCACATTGACGCGAAAGATCTTCCACAAGACCACCTGAACGCTGGCTTTGCTGGTGGAAGTGACGCGCCGAGACAAGACTCGGAATCGGACGCCTGGAATCAAGCTTCGTTCGGTCCACCAAAAGAGAAGAAAGATTGGCTGGACTGGAAAATTGTAGAGGAACGGAAACGGACAGTATATGCGATTTTCGGCGCCTCATGTTTTCTGGTATCCGCGTACAACCACGCACCTGCTTTGACCAATTCCGAGATCCGTCTGGACCTTCCCTGTGAAGAGGATGTCTGGGCTGCAGAATCGCCCCAAGCCTGGAAGAAAATGGGTGGTCACCTTGCCTCGAAGAAGAACGTTGCCTTCTCTTCCGCGCTGACAATGTTACTGACTGCTGGTCGGCGAGCACAAAGTTCTGGCCCCGGTATTACCGCCGAGGACCCAAAAAGCGGCGACCTTGCACCCAGTTCTTTTGGCTGCTTCGTGTTGATTTACGCTATACACAACTACATCTGGGAAACTCGCCAGCGCCATATGGGTCGGCAATGGACTACAAGAGAGACGGATGCTATGCGAGCCCACATCGAACCTGCTCTACGGGCATGGCAAACGGCGTGGTCTACGAATCCTCAGCACAGCCTAGAGCGACCGAATCCCTGGGGGGCTGGCCCTCTCTCCGCCGATAGCATTCCTCTATTAGATCTTGCTTATGTTCGGCTTTATGTTGATCTCGGGCGCTGCAAGGAGGCGTTTTGGCAGCGCGACTGGAATGCCATGGCTGATGAACTAGCTCGTGGAACGGATATGGACAATGCTCCAGACGGGATCCCTTCAGATGTTTTGGATCCGTCAATCACAGAAGACGTAATGCAGATGAATGTCCGGCGTGACTCAATAGCCGACCTTGGCGTGGGAGAGCTTGCTATATCACAAACCCCTACGCAAGAGCGACCGATGCACCCGCTATTAGGTGTATACCGGCCTGGACAGACCAAACGCGAAAAACTTCTACGCAGAGCTGCGTGTTACGCCGCAGATTCATTCGCCATGTCTAATCACCTAGGCAACACTTTTGCCGATTTCACCTGCCGGGAACTCCCTCTCCAAAGCGCAATGTGTACCTTTGACTGCGCCGAAGTTCTCGCTGAATGGGTCACAACGGTTCAAGAACGTGTAGGGTCGTATCTAGGAATCCTAGGTCGGGATGAGGTTGATTTTGCACAAGCCGTCCAGAGCATGCTTCTTGAAGATGAAGACTGCAAGCTTTTGGAAAAAGTCGGTGGTATAATTTCCAGCATTGAAGAAAAAATGCAAAAGGATGTGCACAACAGTACGGCTGTAGCTGGAATGAACCTCTTACAACGACTGTCAGGAAATACGGAGGGAGGTTACGGCTGTAAGATACTACTTACTACGGCCAGCCTTCTCGACAGGGCGTCCGTATGGCCAGGTGAGACTATCTTACCCCAAACCGCAGGAGCTACTACTAACAGACTTCAGTGATGAAAATTATGGCTCGATCCCTCGAGTCCCAAGCTATGCGGTTGAAAGAACGCGCGGAGCATTCAATCATTGCCGCAAATCATTGATCTGCCAAGTCGCGGTTTCCGTACGTCAAGTCCAACTGCTCGAGCCCCCGAGTTCGTCGACTAGTGTCACATGAGCCCTTATTATTGACCGCGACGAGGCGCATCCATTTTGACGGTTAGCTTCCCGGGACCCTTTGGCGTACGCCTTGCTGGGGAGTCACGCCTGGAGGCCGGCATTTAAAATATTTGGTTGCACAAATGAATCAAAAATACCTCCTGTCATATCTTGCGGTGATTCACTCTTCCAAGTGAACTTAACACCAGCCTTCTTGCTAGACACCTAGCAATCACCAATTCTACCCACCTCCATTTCTCACCCCTCTTCTACATGCAGGATTTACGATCGACATCCGATGCCATTTCATTCCATTTGCGATGACTGCGAATTTGTTATATTTATGAGAATGACCTGTACCATTTCCCGCTACTATACATTGGTGTTGCGTGACTTGAATTCGATTATGCGCCATGACATGACCACCCTAACCATTGGACGATTTTGTTCTACGAATTTGTGCCTTTCCTCTTCAAACCTACTTGTTATGTTTTGTTTCATTCTAATTGTTTCCCTACTATGTCTTGTTTTGTTTTTCCTACCGCATGTGCATTATGGTCGAAGACTTACGCTTATGTTTATTCTATGCCTCCGTCGCATGTATCTTTAACTTTTGCTTTTCCGGGAATAGGTGGATTTGGAGGATTCGGAGCATCCCTTTCCATGAGCAAGGACAAGAGAAAGGATGACAGACGGACCACGGATGTTCCCTCTGTGATGCTGCAATGTGATGTGATGTGATATGCTGGAGACGACGATTGATATATTATACATCCATACATAGATATCTATATACCACCAAACCCTGTACATACTAAGTGAATACCAATAGTTCCCGTCGATTCTACCTTCTCTAGTTTCAGTTTTCACGCCGTAGTAATCTTAGCAAGAACACCATAAATGCACCATTGATTCTACTTTTTTATACTAAATACAAACATACAATGCATGCCCTATCCTATTTACCAAAGAATGAGGAAAGTGGAAATTCCATCAGAAGTATGTTCTGGTCAAATTAAACAACCAACCGCTCAAATGTATACTTCCCAACCGCCTTGCGTCTCAAATAGCCCATCTCACGTTTGCTCCGCTGCACAACCTGTCCGGTCCCCTTAAGCACCTTCGTCCGACTAACTCCCTTATCAGCCTTGAGCGACAGCGGCAGCAGTTTCCCACTTGCGTCGCCACCCTCGCCGTCAGCGTCGGCATCATGCGCACCAAATACAAGGAGGTCTGCGCCGTTGAGCTTTTCGTGGCGAACAGCTGTGGATGTTGTTGCAGGGAGTTTGGAAGCTTCGTCTGTGGCCGTGGTTGTATTGGTGAGGACGCGGGAGTCCACGCTCTTCGCGTACCGAAGGTATTCACGTAGGAACCCAGTTAGGAGAGACGCTTCTTCAACGCCGGCCAGGGCGGCCGAGACCTCGGATTTCATCTCGGCAATGAGCGCGATGTCGCGCAGGCTGGCTGCTTCTTCGGGGTCTGAGGATGCGGCGGCGGTGTTGTAGTCCGCTGGGGAGATGGATACCCATCCTGACGGGCCAATGGCGTCGACAGCGGCATTGAGGAGGGCGATTATCGTTTGGAGAGGGAGAAGGGGGGATGTGAGAGCCGGTGAGATGGGGGTGGGAGGGGTTTCGGTGAACCGAGTTGTGTGGCCGCCTGTTGCGAGGGAGAGGCGGAGGTGGTGGATTGTTGAGATGAGGTCAGTTCGGGTGAGGGAGGCACGGAGGGAGGTTGTTGTAGTTTGGTGGGGGTGCGCGTTGAGTTTGAGGAGACAGGAGTTCACGCCGGTGAAGATGGTTTGGATGGATGCGGTTGAGGATGAGGGTGACGCTTGGGAGAGTTCAGTAGTTTCTTCGCCGTTTGTTAGGGCTTTCGGTGATTCGTCTTCCTCGGTGGAGATAACGCTTGAGCGAGCGAGGGTCAGGAAAATCTTCAACGCGTGGGAAAGCTCGTCTGCACTAAACGCAGCGGCGGGGCCTTGAAGTACACTGATCAAGCGCTGGAGCGAAGGGTCGGAGTCTTGCAAGGCCTTGGTGAAGGTGCCGATTGGGAGTTGAGGGAGGATACGCGGCTTGTGGGCACGGCGTAAGGCGGCTTCAACGTTGCCGGGGTATAGGAGTCCCAAGCTGATAAGCCATTCGCATGTCTGTGTCGGCCAAATAGTGACAGACAGGTTAATGGACGACGATGCAGAAAGCTTGTCGATGTTGCCATCACTCGCTACGGAGAAGATGAGAGATATTAAGAAAAGGGCCGTCTCCGTGTTGACATATTGACCAGGCGAAGGAAAAGGTTGAGAATCCCCAGTACCGCAATAAGCCTGAACAGCACGGTCAAATCCATGGCCGTCTTTGTTCTTCGCGCATTGGCGAACCTCACGCGAGAACTTGTTCCACTTTTCGATGTCCTCAGATGAATCGAGGCCCAAAGCTGCGGTTTCGTTGGAACGGTGCTTCTTGGACACGCCTTCCCAATGTGATGCGGATCCAATACCGCGGCCAATGGCATCGATCAGCAGACCGTCTCGAGACCGCTTGCCTGGTATGCCAGAAATGCTTTGGGACGAGCCGAGGTCAAACGCAAGCAAAGAGTTACCCTTTGTGGCGACTACTAGGTCAAGTTTCGCAAAATAATTTATGAATGTGGTACGTGCACTGTTGGTAGCCGTTGATGGAAGGTCCTCGGTCACGATGCTGCGTTGGATAGACTTATATTGCGTATCGTACAGGGCGATCATGGACTTTCCGGCCCCGATAACGGTCTGAGGGGAAATACGCATGACGGACGAAAAGTCCTCGGCGTCGAGAATAAATTTAGACGTTGTGGCAGGCGTGTATTGGGAGAGGTCAAAGTTGACGAAGCCCTTCTCGAAGGACAAGTTCAACCCTGCAGAGCCGCAATGGAACTGCCAATTCATATTGTCACAAGAAATCCTTTCCCCGCCGATATTTGGAAGGTTAATTGTCATAAGATGCCTCATCTGTTGGCTTTCGTCGAGATTTCGGCCTGGGACTTGAGCAGGTATTGAGAATGCCTGGATCCTAACTTCACTTAGACTGATTTGTTCAGCTCCAGCGGGGTACGAAACGAGCAGCAATATTGAGGGGTCGTCGCCTCCCGAGATCAGAGAGTCCCCAGCTGCGAGGGAGACAAGGTCCGGTCGTCGCTTAAGTAGGGATTTCTTAGCGTCATCAAACTCCAGGAGAAAACACCCGTGAACTTCGTAATCCGCGCCCTGAGCGATTGCGCTATGTCGTTGGCTCCATCGCTGAGATTCTAAATCGGGAGACAGCCGGCGTACACGGCCATCCCGATGAATGGCCAAAACGTCAAACGAATCCGTGTTCTCGTCTTCGGTATCCAACCCCGGAACAATGCCAACAAAAATCGTCGGGCTCTTCGAATCGTCCACGGTGTAGGTCGAGGAAGAAATGACGGGTGCACTAGTTCCACCCGCGCCACTCTCTTCAGTAAACGCCTTGATATCTTTTTTCACTGCAACGAACGTCTGTCTCTTAACACCATTGGCGAGCTTCCTGCGCAACGAGCATGGCGGGCAAGAAAACGACGATTTCGGAGAAACTGCGTACGAGGTGACCAATTTGGGGTTTTGAATCTGTATTGACATTTAGCATTTGATTATTTGACTCATCACAACAGCACACATACGTTGTACAGATTAACAGCTTCACCATCGACAGCGACAGCAACCTCATATCTCTTGCGCTTCTTTGCATTGGCCAGGCTGTAGACCTCACTGATGTGAGTCTTGCCCGTCGAGGCATGCAGCGGGCGCGGTAATTGCGCCAGCACAGACGGCGGTTGCAAATCCATGGCGAGCGAAGTTGGATGGGCAAACTATGGCAACCAGAGCACTGTTGTCGCTGCTCTGCAGAAATCCATTCTGGGCCGCATCTCGAAAAATTTCCGGCCATTCAATATTCCGGGCCGATACTATCTAGAAGCGGACTAGCGTTGCACCAGTCCCCATTAGGTATAGTATGTATACTGACCGTAAATGACGTACGGCCAAGGTGAGGCTTGGCGGTCGTCGATACGCGCTTCTGCGCGTCAACTTTCGTGTCTCAATTATGCCCATCTCGACTTCAACGGCCAACTTTGCCGGCATTCGAGCTCTAGCGCAACCAAACTCCTTCGATGCCCTGTTTTGATCCCTTCTCCCTGGCTATTTTTAGGCGATGAGCGTTCGCTCTTTCGTGGGCACATAACCAATGGCCATGGGGCAAACAGAAGAGCGCGCAATACATCCGTTCTTCAGAAAAGGTCATTATGACTTCTCAAGTTGTGTATGGACAAGTGCTTATCGATGCAGACTTCGGAGTACCGACACTCCCGCCACCCGTTGATAATGGCCTTCTTCCTACCGATTTACACGCGTGCAACGGATCACCTGTCTCACAAGCACCCTCCGTAGCTGCCGCCCTTGACCACGACCCCAATGCAGAACGAAGAAAAAGACGGAGAACGGATACGAATTCCGCAGATATTTCGGCCGACGATATTACAACGACACCCAATAACTTCGATGAATCCGCTGGAGGTGAAATTGCAGCTCCCCCTGTGCAAACGCAGGGCAGCTGTATCTCAACCCAGGTTCCCGCTCCGTCAGAGCAAGGACGACAACAGCAGCCATTGGCTATCAATGCAACCCCTACGCCTGGTGAATCAGACCAAAAGAAACAGAAAGTGATCAAGCTAAACTCGAATGGGAAGCTTCTCATTTCTCCGGTAGCCGACAGGTTTACCGATAAGTCAAAAATGAAGGGCAACAAGCGTGGGAAAACAGGTTTGAAGCATACAGAGAGTCCGAAGAGCAAGCTTGTGGTCATCAAGTATATAAATAAGGAGGGGCTATCGGAAAGCCTGGGCCAGCAAATTAGCGAAATCATCAATGGGCAACGAAAGCATATTGCTTCCAGTCGCGCTCCTCCTCCTCCTCCGGCCAATTTCGTATCGAAACTTGCTCCCAAGCAGCCAGCCAAGCCAACGCATCCATTTTTTATGAAGAAACCTCCACACAAGACAGATATCTCATCTCAGCAAATACAATGTCAAAACCCGATCACAACCCCTTCCGAGGACGGATCGGCGATCATGACTGAGCGACCTCCTTCACGGCCGATTTCGATGCCTCTCCTTTCTTTCAAACATGCGTTTTCGAAAGTGCCAGAACCTATGCACCCACTTTGGCCTCCGCTCGGCCTAACCCATGTTCGAGATCTTAGCGATCTTAGCGACCAACTCTGTTCACAAGACGACGTAAATTCTTATGAAACGGACCGTAGGAAGTCAAAGGCACCTGCTGTTCAGGTAAATGACGAAGATAGTGTGCTTTCGTCTATTATGCGCTCCACTCGAGTTGCTAATTCTGTTTTGAGGCTTCCATCTAAACAAATCATCAGTGGGCGAGCTTTGCAAGCCGAAATGGCTAAACGGCTGACAGCACAGCGCGGTGCTTCCGATTCAGATATGGTGTCATCTCATGGCCCCTTCCATCCAGCAATTTCTAAGCTATATGCATCTCTTCCAACAGCAACTGCTGCATTTGATCGTGGAGAGTATGAGGCGCAGGCCTGGACGCAAAAGTATGCGCCGGCTTCTGCACAACAAGTTCTCTGCGCAACTAAGGAAGCGCTTATGCTTCGTGACTGGCTTAAGCACCTAATTGTCTCAAGCGTTGAAACGGGCAGTTCGTCGAAGGAGAAGGACAAGGCGAAACGTAAAGAAGAGAATAGGCGCAAAAGACGGAAGAAGTCGGACAAGCTAGAAGGCTTCATAGTTTCCAGTGACGACGAGGCTTCTGAGATGGGTGAAATTTCCGGATCCGACGATGAATTAGCTGGCGATGTGACTGTCTCGAGCAAACGAACCGTCATTCGTACTGGGGATCTCACGCTCAATCTGAAATCTAATGAACAAGGCCGTATGACAAATGCCATCCTTCTGAGCGGCCCTCCAGGGTGTGGGAAAACAGCATCTGTCTACGCAGTGGCGAAAGAGATGGATTTTGAGGTTTTTGAAATCAATGCAGGCCAGCGTCGCAGTGCAAAAGACATCCTGGATCGGATCGGTGACATGACTCGAAACCACCTGGTCCATAATACACATGACAATGGAAGTCCCATGGGTAGCCGGGCTTCCACTGCTGATCCGGAGACCGGCGGGCTAGAAACAGGAAAACAGAACAAGCTGATGGGCTTCTTGAGGCCTAACTCAGCTACCACAACAGGCAACAAACCTAAGGCAATAGCTCCCACGAAGGGGGTTGACATGAAACAAGGCCGAACTCAAAAACAGTCGCTAATCCTTTTAGAGGAAGCGGACATCTTATTTGAAGAAGACAAACAGTTCTGGTCTGGGGTTCTTACTCTCATAAAGCAGTCGAAGCGTCCGATAATTATAACCTGCAATGATGAGAATCTCGTACCCCTCGACGACATGTCCTTCCATGCAATACTGCGGTACAGAGCCCCTTCACAGAAATTGGCTGTCAACTATCTTCTTCTAGTGGCTGCAAACGAAGGCCACCTCCTCAAGCGAACAGTGGTTGAGAAGCTCTATCTGAGCACTGGTTATGACCTTAGGCGATCTATTACGGAACTGAACTACTGGTGTCAAATGGCCGTTGGTAGCGAGAAATCTGGTATTGATTGGATTATCGACCGGTGGCCGCAAGGCAGAGACCTTGATTCAAATGGCGACAAGCTGCGGGTGCTTAGCGAAAATACATACGATGACTGCATGGGCTGGTTCAGCCGCGATGTTATGACCAGCACTGGTTTAACGACCGAGGCCGAGCTTCGGCAGGAAGCACTCCATTGGTGGCAATTGAGCCTACAGGAGGCTGATAGTATGGAGGATATACAGCGCCAACCTTCTCCAGAGATTAGCCCAAGCGCTTCAAAACTTGAGATACTCGAATGTTTGCGTTTCCAATCTGACTATATGGAATCACGGAGTGTACTGGACCTTTTTGCTGCCACTTCCTCTCTCGATGCAGGGAAGGTGAGTCTTACATCTATATTTGTATCCTTGCACGAAACTAACTTCCACAGGACGCAGTTGACACGTCTGTATCTCCAATGTCCGAAAAACAAAAACTCAATTATGCCGAAGGCTACCGGTTACTACAAGCCGACCATATCCCCGATTATACAACGCTAACCGCGGAAGTCGGGAGTACCTGGGAGGCTCTTCTCGGGAGAGTATTCCGGCAGAGTAGAGAAGCGGAGTTACAAGAAACACTGGAAAATAAGGCGTTGGCGGCCGTTTCCAAGCCAAAAGCATCTCAACATCCACAGCAAGAGATTCTGGAGGCGCTGGCGCCAGCCATGAAACCAGATTGCGGAGATCGCCCAGCGAATGGAGGTACAGAGCTTTCATTCGAGCATGGCCAAAGATCAATCGCTGAAGACCTCTCACCGTATATTCGAGCAATAGTGGCGTTTGATCTCCGCCTTGAACAATACCGCCGGGAACTTACTCGCCTTTTTTCTGGTGATGAGAGGGGTACGAAGCGAATGCGCACAACTCGCGCTAGTCGAGCGGCGCTTGAGGGTGGCAATAAGGCAGAGACACGGAAGGAGAGATGGTTCTCTCCTGCTGTGAACGTTCATAGAGTAATGGCTACGGGCAAAACAGAGTGGCAGGATCTGCTGGTCCAGAACGGCTATTTCACTGTGCCCGTGGCGAAGGAGCAAGCAAGCCGAGAGGATAGCGAGCCTAGCTCTGGGAGCGCAACTGATGGGTCTATATAGCATGACATGACATTATACATCCGTATATGAGTGTAGTTACAAATATCATAACGCTGATGAGGAAACTTCAGAAGTAGCCCTTGAAGGTCATTTCACCACGTTAATTTCCATGAGATGTTCTTTAAATTATATATTTGACAGTTATTTATCCGGGTGATATATATAAATACTAGCTGCTTGTTGGGGCCAAGTCTCCGCAATGGGGAAATCCATGGTTTCCAATTCGACCAAGTAGTGTAAAGAGGAGTTCTGGGTTATAGACGCATCATCCCAAGACTATCCAAACAAATTCCAATATATAAATTAGAACCATCAATGTTTAGTTAGTTAGCTAGGAGGTTTCCGACCAGCATTGGTGCGAGTGATATTTGGACAAGGCCAAGACTGACTAGCTCCGCGGTGAGCAGCCCAGCAACAATCCAACTCGGACATCGACATCATCCCCTCAACCGCTCGCGTCACCTCGTTCTGATCATCGCAGGGAAAGCAGGTCCTCTTTCCCAGGCGCCCATTATCCTTTATTATTGTTGCTGATAATTGCGCTTGTCCTCAATTTACGAAGAAATTATTATTCCTGCCCAAGCCAAGCTTGTAGGCCATTCGTTGCCTGTCTCTTATCTCCTCCGATCGAGCTCCGCATCTTCCCTCCTTCTTTCGCAACTCATCGATTGTCCTCTATGTCCTTGTTCGGAACGTCGCCGGACGATTCTTCGGCGGCTGATTCAGCTCAGAGATCCAGGACTTCCCTCTTCGCCGACGAGCCTTCATTCGGTGCTGGCAGTGCCAACTTCGGCGGCTCCTCCCTCTTCGCTGATGACGACGGTGTAGCTTCGCCGTGGAATAGCAACACTGGCAAGCGGACATCCAAGCAACAGCTCGTCAAGACTCTGCTGCCCGATTCAGATGCCCCCGAAAGCTACATTGATGCGTATGACCTTGTATTGAGTGCGGGGGAAAGAGCGGGCACCGGCGCTGGCTTAACGTCCGTTCGAGAACTGTTGTCTGGCAGCGGAATCTCTGCCACGGATCAAGCCAAAATCTTGAACCTTGTTTTAGCGGGAGATACGGGTAGATCAAACGGGCTGGGTCGCGGCGAATTTAATGTTCTGCTTGCCCTAATAGGACTCGCGCAGGAAGGCGAAGACCTCACTTTCGACGCAGTGGACGATCGTCGTAAGAGTATGATCTCCCTGCTCTGCACGCACAATAGTGATAGAAGTTAACAGGATTACAGAACTACCCACGCCGACAAGCTCATACTTGGACGCTTTACGTACAAAACAAGAGCCTGCCATGTCCGCTCCTTCGAATGAACGCCCTACTACTCCTCCTGCGCCCTCCGCACCCTTCCCAGAACCAACCTCCGCCCAATCACGCCGGGCCAGAAGAGAGTCTATTGGTGGCCTCGAAGCAGATCCATGGGGAAGCCCCCAACTACATCGTGGCCATGCTCATGCTCAAACGGAACATGAGCACAGCACCTTGAACGGCTATGGAAGCGTCCGGTCGGCAACGAATGCTTGGTCAAAGGCAAGTGACGGGGGCAATCCCGCTGAGCACTCCAATCCGAACCGCACCAATGGTCGACCCGAGGTTCATTCTTCCAATAGCGCCGAGTTTGGATGGGGAGATCACTTTGCGCATTCACCAGACGGCGGTGGTCTTGGGGGTCCATCACGGCCTGGACTGGGAGATTTCGGACGGTCTGGAAGTGATCACGGCGAGTCGAACCCCGGTCGACGCTCGTTGAACATTGGACAGGTTACGTCACCTCATCTCAAAGAGATGGTGACAGTGACGCTGCTCCAGGAGAAGGAAGGGATGTTCATGTTTCAGCATCGTAATTACGAGGTTAAGTCGGCACGTAGGGGGAGCACGGTGGTTAGACGATACAGCGATTTTGTCTGGCTTCTTGATTGTCTTCACAAACGATACCCATTCCGTCAGCTACCTTTACTTCCGCCAAAACGTATTGCAGGTAAGTCAAAACAAGGCTTGTCAAAAGCTCTCCTCTTAAACTTACTCACTCTTTGAAGTAAATGGCACTCACCTCGCAGCGGATTCAACTTCATTTCTCGAAAAGCGCCGGCGTGGCCTCGTACGATTTACCAACTCCCTTGTTCAACATCCTGTTCTCAGCCAAGAACAGCTTGTTATCATGTTTTTAACAGTTCCTACGGTATGTGCTTGTTTAATTTTGCGTGGATCCGCCGCTAAACCCATGGATAGGAACTCTCGGTTTGGCGTAAACAAGCGACGATATCTGTACAAGACGAGTTTGCTGGTCGCGTTTTGCCACCAGACCTAGAGGACTCCTTACCATCTACTCTCATAGACACTTTTGATACGGTGAGGAGTGGCGTTAAACGATCGGCGGAAGTCTACATCAACCTCTGCACACTTCTTGAACGGCTGGCCAAACGCAATGAGGGACTTGCCGCGGATCACCTGCGCTTCTCACTCGCATTGCAGTCCCTCACTGAGATGACGCGCGACACATACGCGGTTGATACCAATGACGTGCCTCTGCTAAATGAAGGTATCAAGGCGACGGCGAGACACTTGTCTGCCAGCCAAAGCTTGCTAGAGGATGAGGCACGGGCATGGGAAGATGGGATGTTGGAAGACCTGAAACGCCAACGGGACAACCTTGTGAGTGTGCGGGAGATGTTTGACCGGCGGGATCGGTATGCACGCAACAACATCCCGCAGTTGGAGCGACGAATCGAAACCAATGAGCGAAAGCTCCAGGATTTACGAGCAAAGCCCCAGGGAACGGTCAAGCCGGGGGAGATAGAGAAGGTCGAGGAATCAATCTTCAAGGTATATCTCATTTTATGAGCTTTTCTCGATTATTATACTGACAGGTTCGGTAGGACAAAGAGTCGATTGTGCAACAACATGCGCGCGGGGTATTCATCAAAGAGTGCATCCGTGACGAGCTGGTCTATTTCCAACAGACCCAATATCACATCAGCCGGCTGCATCAGGATTGGAGTCAAGAGCGGGTCAAGTATTCCGAGCTGCAGGCTGACAATTGGCGGTCGCTGGGAGACCAGGTGGAAGGGATGCCGCTGGGAGACTGAGGGAGACTGGCCTGCGATGCTGGTATGAGGGATGAGGGATTTATTGTATCCAATATTGCTTTTTTTTGCACTTGCGTTTAGGATGTTTGCTGTTTATTGGTGTGTGCAAGTGTCTTCCTGTTGTTCGTTTAGCCGAAGATATAGTCTCCATTTACTACTATCTCATGCGGGATGCATGTGCGTTTTCTGACATCTCATGTGACCAGTATATCCGCTCCGGTTCGCCATAAGAGTTGGGTAGTTTGGGCTCAATCGTTCTGCAGATGGAGGATTTGCTGCAGGGAAAGCGTTGCCATTGTGTCGGCGAGTCGGGACAAAAAATCGGGCTCGGAGACAGCGAGTTTCCCGATCGAGTCAAAAGGTCCCCCGTGCCAGGCACTACAGGGCAGCCAAGCGTCCCAGCTGGGCCTAGTGGCTTGTCGGACCCGTTTTACAGCGGGTCAGTCTCCAATTTTTCACCAATAATGATGCTGCGGCGATCTTGGCAGCCTTGCAAGGCTGGGCGCAAGCAAGTCCACAGCATAACTTCAGTCTGGCCCAGCAAGGGATGCCCTGGGTGCCAGCCCAGAACTTCAGACTGGTAGGGAGATGACAGATCGGTAACATGTGTAGCTCCATGTGGCACGCCGATTTCAGGAACCCGGAACTGCACGAGGGGATTGCATAATGATCTGGATCGCCATAAACATGGTGTGCTGCATGGGCCTCGGAGATACGTCACTCAGCTTCGACTGGGCGCGGCCTGGGTGTTCGCTGGGAGGCGACTTCCGACCTTTTCATGCGTTAAACTAGTGCAGATGCAATTATACATGAGGGGTATTCCTGCTGAATGGAATTACTGAGAATACAGAGTAAAATCTCTGTGAATTAGTGATGCCTGCTCACAGAGAGAGGATCTGCCAAGCCAGGCTGCGTGGTTCCGACCGAGACTGAGAGCGGCGAGCCGTCTCCGGTCTTGACCTTCACTTCCTCTCCTCTCCTCTCCATCCCAGGCCCCAGAAAAATAAGCAATCGTGCTGCCTCCTCCCTTCTCATTCGCCAGCGAAAAGTCTTGTCCAAGACGCCATGCTCCTCTCTGGCTGGGTCTCGCGCTCGATCTTGGTCTTGGCCCTCGCTTCGTAATTTTTCGGACCTGCCTCCCCGTCTCCCTGCTGCCCAGACTCTCCTCTTTCTTGTCCTCCTCTTGTCCTGGTCTTGTCCTGGTCTTGTCTCCTCTTAACCTCCTCTTAACCCGTCTTAACTCCTCTTGTCCTTTGTTTTTCTCCATCTTCGTGCGTTTGTACTTTTTCATTAGCCCGGAGACCGGTTCCGACTTGTTTGCAGGAGTCTTTGAGCTTTGCATCTTGGTACGTCCTTGGCTGCGATCGCCGCCCTTTCACCTCCTGTCTTCTGCCCTAAGGCGCCTCCAGGAATATCCCTCCACCTTTCTTTACTGACTGTTTCTCTACTCTAGGAATTTCATACCCCGACCCTTGTCTCCTCTGCCGGATCCCTCCGCGACCAAAGCATGCCATCATCCCTACTCTCTTAAATTCCGTGGCGATACTTGTTCGATTGTGATGATCCGGCTGGAACCTGACTTTTACACGCTCAAATTCTGCTAAAGGGACCTCGGCGACAGGTTCAGGAACTAAGGGTACGCTTGAATACTTCAGCGCGGCGTACGTGCTATAAATTGTTGTCGCCATGGCGTGGGATCATTTGGATATCGATAAGCCCCACCTGGCGTACATGATTCTGGGAGGCTTCACGGGGTTGTTTATGCTTTGCTCTCTCTTTGTCAAGGAGAAGCTTTACATTGGCGAGGCTACTGTGGCTACCATATGTGGTATCATCTTTGGTCCTCATGCTGCAAACCTCTTCGACCCTAACTCTTGGGGAAACGTTGATAAAATTACTCTGGAGTGCTCACGCATTGTTCTAGTCGTGCAATGTTTTGCCGTGGGTGTCGAATTGCCAAAGGCTTATATGGAACGCCATTGGAAATCGGTCACTCTTTTGCTCCTCCCTGTTATGACGTGGGGCTGGCTCATTACCAGTCTCTTCGTTTGGTGGTTGATCGAGCCACTCACCTGGCTAGAGGCTCTCGTTTGCGCTGCATGTATCACTGCCACTGACCCTGTCCTGGCGTCCTCTGTCGTCGGTAAGGGTAAATTCGCCAAACGTGTGCCGAGGCATTTGCGTGACCTTCTATCTGCTGAATCGGGCTGTAACGACGGGATGGCCTTCCCGTTTATCTACCTATCCTACTATATTCTACACTACCGCCCGGATGCTAACGCTGTCGCGCTTCATTGGATTTGCATTACCATTCTGTACGAGTGTGTATTTGGCGCTATATTCGGTTTCACAATTGGATATGCCGCTCGTCAGTCGATCAGGTTCGCCGAGCGTAAGCAGCTAATCGATCGTGAGAGTTTCCTCGTGTTCTATTTTGTGCTGGCACTCTTCTGCGCGGGCTCCGGTAGTCTTCTCGGTCTCGATGACCTACTGATCGGTTTCGCCGCCGGTGTCGGCTTCAGTAACGACGGCTGGTTTACGGAAAAAACTGAAGAATCCCATGTCTCGAACGTCATTGACCTACTGCTCAACTTGGCTTACTTCGTATACCTTGGAGCCATTGTTCCCTGGGAAGACTTCAACAATGCTGCCCTTGGCCTAGATGTCTGGAGACTCGTGGTCATAGCTCTCCTAGTCATCTTTTTCCGCCGCATTCCTATCATGCTGATTCTGAAACCCATCATTCCCGATGTGAAAACATGGCGTGAGGCGCTCTTTGCAGGTCATTTTGGACCTATAGGTGTCGGTGCGATTTTCGCCTGTATCTTGGCCAGAGCCGAATTGGAAACCGGCACTACGCAGCCAGAAACGGAGGCCGAAATTTCTAACCCTGCAACTCACAACTACAATGTTGTGCAAATTATCTGGCCGCTGACAACTTTTATGGTCATTTCCTCAATCTTGGTTCATGGCTCATCCATCGCTGTCTTCACCTTAGGGAAACGCATCAACACTCTTTCAATCACCCTGTCGTACACGCAGGCTAACGAAGAAGGTCCATCTTGGATGAACCGTCTACCCCGTGTTCAATCTTTGGCTAAGGGTTCAATGTCCTTCCGCAAGACTGACTCTGAAGGCTCGTTAGACGAGCCCGAGTACCCCCCTGGAACTCTACCGCCAATCGGCCTTCCTGGTAATTTCCTACGTCGCCAACAGGAGGATGATTCTAGCTCCGCCGTCGGCAAGGTGTCCAGCCGCAGAGCGCGCAGACGCCGCAGAAAGGCCGAGGGCGCGGGTGGCCCGATCAGTCAATCTGCTATCGCACCTATGCGAGCCTCAGAGGTCGAGTCCGAAGATGCTGAAAAGGCACTCGGCGACTCCGAATCTACTCCTTCACCTAAGTTACACGCAATGCGGGAGGCGACAGTCAACGTTTTCGTAGAGGGTTCCGATCTTATCTTTGAAGACAAGGATGGCAATGTTCTCAAGACAGAGCATGTCGGCCACATGTCGACTGAGGAACAGCAACGTCACCTAGAAGGGGAACGGTCAAAGTTGAAGCTCGAATTCCAGCGATCACCTGATGTAACCAAGCCGGAGAGCCCAGAAGAGCAACCTACCGCAGGGGAACAGCTTGAACAGACCGTTGGTGAAAAGACTGACCATCCCATTCAGAAGAGTCGTGGCAAGTTTGGACGGTGGTTTGGCCTCGGCAAGGGGCGAGCTGCTGAGGCTGAGAAGACGAGTGACGAGAAGGCTGCCGAGAAGCAGTCTACTTCTGCCCCTCCCGCGGGTAAGGGCCGCTCTGCTCACGCATATCAGTTCGGTAACACCATCATTGTCGAAGATGAGGATGGTGAGGTGATCAAGAAATACTCTATTCCGTCAGGCAGCAAGCCGGAGCCAAAGGGAACTGCGCCTGTCCGAAGAGGTTTGACCCGCATGGGGACCTGGTTCGGAATGGAAGAAGAAGGCGAAACGGCTGAGGCTGGAAAGGCTGGAAAGAAAACACCAGCAAATGAGTGGATGGCTGACGATGGTCTTCGATTCACCCTTGCAAACGACGATGAGGTCGGCAAGCGTGGCGTTGAGCACAAGGGACAACGCATGACGAAGCAACAATTTGCTGAACAGATTCGGGGACTTGGCCCGAAGGCGCGTCAGAGTGTAGTTGAAGATTCAGACGTCCCTGAACGCGTGAAGGACTTTGCACGCGGTGAGGCCAAGGAGGCAGAGAGACTGGAACGCCGTGCGTCCGCTCCTGGCGCTTCAGGTGCTGCGCGTACGCAACCTCATGATGATATTGAGTCCGTGAGCAGTGTTAGCGACGGAGAGTCCGATTCCGAAGAATCGCCTGGAGGTGGCAACGTTGCCGACACGCTTGCCCGCATTGCTGCGGGCACCGCTGCTGAGGAGCGACGCCAGGATCTGAGCCCTGAAGCCACATCCCGCCAAGCGGTTCCTCGCGAGCGAAGAGACTCCGAAGACGACGGCACTGCAAGAGTTCCCCCATCCCAGCTCCGCCAGGCCGCTGGAGTTGCACGCCCAGCGCAAGAAGCCGACTTGGATGACACTGGGGAGACTCCAGCGGAACGCCGACGTCGTCTAGCCGCTCTGGGTGTATCTAACTCGGACTCTGAAGACTCGGACGACGATGCCGTTGAAGACAGTGAGGACGACGGCGAAATGCGTCATGTCCCCGGCAAGGTCTCGTTTGCTGATGGGACAAAGCTCTCTGGAGGCAACACGTACGACCGTGAAGGTAACGGGCCAGGCCCGTCCCGATCACGATCCAGCCGTAACAGCAGTTCGATCTCGTGGGGTGGAGAGAAAGGTCGTGACAGTTAGGTGTCTGAATAAAAAAAGGCTTTTGCGAAATACTTTGTTTGATTCAGTTTGGATGGCTATTGTATACAGCACATATTCTAGACACTGTAGAGGCTGCTTGGCTTTTTGTAGATACCTATTTCATCGTTATTTGCAATAAATCAGTTACTTTCCACTTCTTCTGGTATAATTATGACACCGTAAATCAAAGCTTTGATAGTCTTGATCTGAGCCTGTCTTCTTCCCTCAGGATTGCCGGCCGGCCAGTGTGTTCGTTCACTGCAAGTGCTGCAACAGTCTCCACGAAGTGTTCTTCATTTGTTGAATGTTCAGTGAATCCAGGTCGCATCATTCTCCCCGACACAACAGCGAGAACTTGTTCAGCTTCCGACAACCCAGGGGATTTGCTTCCTCTCCACGCAACGTGTGTATCTGGTCTCACCAGCACCAAATCTCGCTCCCAGATCTCTCTCGCGTGTTCTTCATTCCTGAGCACAACGTACTTCATGGGGAATCCCATCCTCTTCGCTACATCTAACAGAGTCCTCGCCTCCCCTGCCTCTTCATAATCGGCAACAAAATGCACCAGTGTCCACTCCCGCCCAAACAGATCATAAATACTCGTCACACCATCTCTCAGGAACACATGCGGCGCCCGACTTCCCGGCCATGTACTCGGACAATACCTCTTCACATCCCAATCGCGACTCGGCGACCCGTCAGGCCAAATACACGGCGAATGCTCATAGCGCAGGTCAAGTTCAATCCCACGATCCAGTGTCTCTGGTCCAGAAATATCCAGATAGTTCTTGAGCAAGTGCCTCACCTCCTTCCCCTCCTCCGACTCACTATCCAACGCAGCCCAATTCTTCTGGTACAGCTCTGCAAGCCCAACATGCTCCCTGAGATGCCGATAAGACCGCCGCAGCGCCCGCATCATCATCGGTCGTCTCTCAATACCATATGCTTTCAGGAGTAACTCCCCTCCATACCCCTTCGTCACAGCCGCTAACCTCCAGCCTAGATCGATTGCGTCCACGATCCCACTATTAAGCCCATACCCACCATGAGGCGGACTTCTGTGCGCTGCATCGCCGGCTAGAAACACCCGCCCGCCATCCGTGCAATATTTCTCTGCAATTCCGAAGTTCGGCTGCCACTCGCTGTGCACTAGAACCTCGTCAATGGTTATCCGCCATGGTCCGTTGTACCCGCCTAGCACGCGCTGGATGACTTCGCGAGGGTCAAGTGTGCGGCTGCTTTCTCCCTCAGAGAGGGGGTAGTGCGCTGTGAATGTATCCTTCCCATCTTGGTCTATCACGAACCCTCCAGTGGCGAGAAAGGCGTGCCAGAAGCGCCCGAAACGGAGGGTTGAGGCGAGTTGTTTGGAGCGGAAATGGACGAGATAAAGACGGACGGGTCTATCTCAGTCATCAGTATCTAGGAGACGAGGCGAGGATAGAGGAGAGGAGGGGAGGGGAATACATACACCTGTCCACCAACCATGCGAATCTTAGCTTCCCTCCTCACGGTACTCCGACCCCCATCACAACCAACAAGATACCTTGCAGTCACAACATGCTCTCGTCCCTGGAGATCAACGAACCTTGTCTTCACTCGGTCTCCCTCCTCAACAAGCCCAACAAACTTCCACTCACTCTGAAAACTTATCATATTACTCTGCAAGGCAACTGTCCTCATCCAGCTCTCAAACACAATCTGCGAACACCTCTGCCCAGGCTCAACAGGCTGGCTCCCATCATTGGCCCTTCTGATATCCCTCCTCTGGTCTTCCACACTGCCCACCCGCCACGACCCAATCATCTTCCCAGCAGGCGCCAGGGACGTAACGAATATACTATCAAACTTCTCCTCTGCCGAGACCGCGCCCTCCAGCGCTCGGTACTGGTCCGCGAGCCCTAGGAACCGCAAAATCTCCATGCTTCGAGAATTCGTCAGGTCCATCTTTGGGTACTGCGTTGTTGCATGTGTGGGGCTTTGCTCGATTAACATGCTGGGGATGTTTAGGCGGGAGAGCATGTAGGCGAGGAGCATGCCGACGGGGCCAGCTCCTACGATGAGGATTGGGGGGGATATATCTGTCCCTGTAGTGGCATTCGGCCCGGGGCCTGGGCCTGAACCCGAGCTTGAATGTTCAAGGGCCATTTTCTTCTATGTTTAGGGTTTGGATATGGATTCGAATCTGAGACTTTCGTATTCGGGATTTCAGGAACGTAAGGATCACACGACTAAGAACGACGTTGGAGCTTCGAGTTGGAATTTATATCATGTCCATTGAGGACCGATTAGTTAGGGCAGTTAGTCTAGTAGCATGCCCAAGCTCCCCATTATGATATGTCAGAGAAATATGGTCATACCAATAACGAAGCTCTCCATAATCGTACCATTTATTGAAAACGCCAATAGCATATCGTTCTCCAACTCGTTCTCCTCCAGACAGTCATCCAATGGATCTGGTATCTCAGTAGTAAGTCCTGGCCAGGTAGGAATTAAACTCAGTCCTAATGCGACCCCTCTCCACTATTACAGTCTACTGGATTTGGCTTTCTTTGTATGCGTGCAGCGCCGCGACGATCGCCCCAAGGGTCTGACTCGAGCACGAGTATCAAAGTTTCAAGAAGGGCTCCTTTACGGAGAAGCTTTCTTTCATCTTCCTTAAAATCGCAAATGGTGCGCTACTAGTGCCCAGCGCCCACGCTGGTGATCGATTCACGCCACTGATTGCCGACTAATAGGTATCCACTTCATTCAGACGAACTGGTTCTGAACATCAGTGTACGGAGTAGATCGGAATTGGCTTCAGGGATCTGGAATTTCAGCTTTGTTTGACTCCTTCTCAGCTGATTAGTGCTGCCATCTTTGGTGTTGCCAACAGTGTGGGACTTCACATGCATTGGTACCAATGTCAATTCAAGACAACCAACCGCTGGTCTGTCTGGTGTTAATCTTGGATAGCATGTCCACTCGTATGCAAACATCACCGTCTCGTCCCCTTCAAGCATGCATTGGTGGAGCAATTTCCTCTCCACCCACGAGCGGTCCCTCTCAGACCCAGCCCATGCGCTTCAAACAAGCAGTAGCTCTACTCTTAGTAGCGCTCCACGAGGATCAGACAGTATGCACAAAGGACTTCTATCCCGTTCAGTTAGCTTTCATCCCAAAATATTTCCAATGAAGTGAAGATCTCTGACGGGAAGTTGAAGGATTACCGATATGAATCGATACGAAAATGAAGGGAAATGATGTGGCACTGGATCACCGAATCATCTACAAAGTACCTAGTGCTATCCTGTCATGTCAAGAACTACTGCCCATCACGTAGCTGACCTAAGGCATTCAGTGGCCATGGATGGTTACTCTATTTCTGAATAAGGCCGGAATTGGAGTTCTGGAATCATAAGCAGGTATAGCGGATTGATTGGATATCTTCTGTTTAAGGGGTAACCCGAGCCTGACCGTCAGTTGAGAGGCAAACGCCAAGATACGGATAATATAAGATATTTAAAATAAGAAAGTACAATGTAGCATCATGTCCCGTCCTAGAGGGCCCCTTCCCTTTAAGTATAACTTAGCATGGAAGGTACGACTATATTTCCTCCGGGTTAGGAAGGAGCCATGGGTCCCGTACCCGGGCTCCTTCCTTGAGTTCCAATAGATTTGGGTGTCCCCTTTAAAGAAGGCACGATAGTGCGACTGGAAAAATGGCCTTGGAAACTTGTAAAGTTTGGCTACGATAGAAGTGAAAGACTAGAAATTCGAACTAGTCTAAAAGTCTTTTGGATATGCGGTATCTAGATGACAGTCATGCTAATGGTTTCGTTTCATATTTTCCCTTTCCAATTCCTTGCAACGCCAGACACCAGCGCAAATTCAAATTAAGGGTATGATCTTGAAAGATGTAAAGATATAAGACGGTAAGAAGGTAATCGAAATGGCCTCAGATTGAGGGGTATCTCAAGAAAATGATCAAGTTGCATCCTTCCAAGTTGCTTGGTTCTTACAATACCCCGCCAGGGAGGTTGATCTGCGCCTGTCGTGTGTCAAAGCTGGCACTATTTGGCCCTGATCCCCCACTCGGTGGATGAGGATTGGGGGTATTGCTGTCCGGCGCCTGTTGTTGTTTTCGCAGCATAAACATCGGTTTCCGTCCTTCTTTCTCTAGCTGCTTGAAGAGAATAAGGGGCCGTTCTTCTAGCGTGAGACAACGCTCTTGATCACCGTACACAATGTAAAGCGCATACTGTTTCCAATCGCCATTGATGTTATACTTCTTGAGAGCTGCGGGGAGGACTTTGTAGCACGGATCATCGACAGAGACACGGAAGGACTTGAAGATTTCGACGCTTGGAGTCTCACCTCCGCCTCCGCCCCCTGCCCTGGAATCGGATCGTGACGGAATTTCCGAACGCGTTGCTGACGATGGTGGCGGATTCAGACGGTCTTGCCGAGATTGGGATAGTGCATTGTCGCTGTGGTGATCATGGAAGCCACGAGCCGATCCGGGTTGCGAGTATGCACGGGAGGCCAAGGTTTGGGGAGCACCGTAGTGGTTGCTAGGAGATGTCGGAGAGGGTAGGTTTGGCGAGAGTTGTGATTTTCCATTCATAGTACTGAGATGTGATGATGCAGCCATGGCGGCTGCAGATGGATCAAGGTTTGAACCGTCGTTGTACGTCCGACTTTCGTGGATTGAGGGCGGGATATGGGTTGGTGAGCTGTTTTTGGGGGTGGTACCCCCGTGGACTCTTTTGGAGAACGTTCGAGACATGATCGATCCGGAGCGGTCTAGGATGGTAATTCCAGAAGGTTGCCCGCTGAGCGTTTGTCCTGAGAGTGAAGAGTCATGATAGTTATCTGAGATCGGCACGGCGGTCGGCGGCGGTAGAGGTTGAGATTTATCCTTTGCCATTTTAAAGACAGGTAAAAGTTCCTCCCTCAGTCGTCGGTAGTCTTCGAGGACACGCCGTAGGTCGGTCTCAACGGTAACTATTCGCTCGTCTCGGAGTCGGATGGACTGGATGAGTCGAGCAATGTCTTCCTGTGATGCGCTCTCGTTCATACTTTGATCCGCGGCTATCACAAGTCAGTAAGTAGCCACATAACCGAAAACTTGGGGGAACATACACAAAGGAATGTAGTGGTCGGCATCAAGTGGGATATCATGCTTCACTTTTGTTTCGTAAACGCTCTTAAGTATCGTCAACCGATGTCCCACACTAGCGATTCCCATTTCTTTCAGCTCATCATGTCTTAATGCAATCAGTGCATCTCCAACGATGCCGTTCTCTACAAATGTAGCGTTAGTGATATCCATCTGTCTCTTGCAATCTCTGGACTCACCTATAAACGCCTGGCAGTACTGGCGGAGGCCCAGGGCTGCAACATAAGCCGCGCATTCTTCGGCAGTCCATTCTGTGATTATTGTCTTCGGAGACTTCGGGTTTTCGTCTTTATTCGCAAACGTTGGTGTAGGTTCCGCTGAGGGGAACTCTGAGTCTGGCTCGGAGCCCTCGGAATCCGTCGCTAAGTGCGGTGACGTGATAACGCTGCGCTCATACTCGTCATCCGCATCAGAGTCTGCGTGGTAGGAGGTGTGGAGCGACATGGCGGCTGGTGGGCTTTACGACGTCCACGATGGCGAAGGTGTAGTGGACGCCGTTTGAGTATAATCGATGCGGTGCTGAAAGCGGACTGAACAACCCGGCTTCCGTCGATATGAATATTCCGAAAATGAGAGAATTCGGGCGTATCGTTCACTGTTGGAGCCAAAAATAAGGAGTGTGCGAGTGTCGGCCAAGCAGGTGTGCCACATGGAATGGCTGGCGGCGGCTAAACAAGAAACTCGGGCGACTCGGGAGAAGAGGTGAAATTGGAGGATGGTCGCTAGATAGAATCGCCGGTTTTCAAAAACGAGGCTGGTTCCAGATGAAAGAAAGTAAATGTCGAGAGGAAGAGGGATGTGATGGATCGTTAGCGCGAGCAACGACGATGGTGATGAGCGCGAAGGCGGGGAAGCTCAGGCAGAGACGTCTTCTTTGGGAGCGGACTGGGGGATAGGCGGGAAAACGCCCGTCCGAACCATAAAAACGAAGAGCAAGGCGAGGGGAAATATGACGACGGAGACGACCCCGAGATACGGCTGGCCGCAAGGAGACAACGAGCGAGTCGACAAAGTTGATCTGCCTGGGAGACTCCGAAAGAAGATTGAGGCAGGACGGACGCACTCCAAGTCGGATCGCCGCACGTGATGCCAGTCTAGACACTCGGGGGAAAGGCGAAGGAGGACAGCCGCTCTATTAATACACGCGGCAGCACGCAGAGGATAAGCTCGACCTTTATCTCGACTCCAGGTTCCATCTGCGTTCCAAGAATAACAATAATAGGACCGTTCATTCGGCGGTTTGGTCGATTTTCAACCACTCCTGTCCTTGCGTCTTCCCAGCCAAGCCAGCCTTCCAAGGGCCATTACCTTGTCCAAAGCATCTAGTGGATCATTCAATCTACCAAGGAATCAATTCTTCAAGAAGATTCTTCAGAAATAGATAGATAGGGGAGGCTTCTTCAGAACTAACATCTATTGCCAGCTCTGGATGGTCGGCTCGGCACGACTATTGCACAGGCACTGCTACTAGTTTCGGGCGTCGAGTCGACAAAAATAATACGATCGATGTTAAATAATGGGGAGGCTTTCTTCCCCGGGTCAATAATATCGAAAGGATTACCCAAGATAACTTGGGTTAACGCTGTCAAAATCCAATAGTGCCGGAGCCTTTACTACTTTGGCCATTTAGGGGCTCCAAATCCTCCGCCGCTCTCCGCCGACGCTGGGGCTCCTTCGGCTTCAGGAAACGGCCTTATTATTGACATTAATGTTACTTCAACGAGTTTCTCCTGTCTCTCCTGTCTATTCAAGTGTTGCCACTCCCTGCAACGTACGGGGGAGA